ACTAACGTCTAAACGTTACACAGTCGACAAGAAAATTCATAGAGTAAGAGAAGTAGTGTTTAGAGAAAATCATTTCTCTCAAGATAAATCGTACCAACCAACCAAGCTTGAATCACCATACGTTTAGACGTTAGTTCTAAATGGGTTACAGGTTAATACATCATTTATGCTTTGAGTTGCGACAAGTTCATAGCTTACCTCCTTCTCAATATAACAAACAACGATGGATGGATGCGTTGAGTTGTTGTTGATTGATGAAGGAGGAAGCTTTACATCTTTTGCCTTTTATACTCCTACACAGCCAAGTGGCTGTGCAGGGGTTTCAACAAAGGCCTAGGCTATCAATCCAGCGCCTATCAAGATGAGACTGTTCAGATAAGGATGTCTGCTGGAGTCAAAGTACTTAAACAGAGCTCTTTGGAATCAACGTCAATCTCTATGTTCTAAAACTCTGACAAAATTTTCCTGAAGCTTTGATTCCAGGTAGGTGGAAGCATTTTATGAGTGAAAATTGATTCTACATCATTATGGCATCTTTTAGATCATTGTTTATTATTACTCTTAAACAATACAATCTGACAATATTATGCGGAAACTTTGACTCCAGATTTGACTTCTACCTCATCTCTACTACTCTGCTAACTCCATCTCTCCACTTACTGTCATCACTCGTCAGCTTCAAAGCCTACTCTGTAGGATTTGCCTAGGCTGGTGTTATTTTGTGTCAGCTTTTGAGACTTCCATCTTGAGTGTCAAAGTTCAGTTGAGCGGTTAACATCTACAATCCTTCAATTCTGTATTGAGTCAACTCAATGGACAAAGAGTTAAAGGAAACGCGAGACATCGAAAAATCGAAGCATGTCAGGATATGACACAAATGTGTTGTTTGACATCCCACATGGAAAGTCTGCACCGAACATATAAGTATCAAAAGCAATATTAGTAAGTAGTAGATTTAGTATGTAGTAGGTGAACCGTCTTCCACTCTGCTGGTGTACAAAGCTCCATGGTCAGCTCGTCAATAGTCACTCTGCCAAAGGACGCAAGTCATGATGAAAGTCACATACAGGGCTCAAAGGAAGGAGAAGTATCGGAATATGATTCTAGTATAGTACAATTATGGAATCCTGGTGTCATATCTACTAAACAGTCATTTACGTCCACCAAGAATCACCAAAATCTGTATCAACCAATATGTCAGGTGACACGATCGTGTCAGTCGGATCATCAAACCATGATCCTCATTAGATTCATTTCAATCCTTGGGTGTCAACCAGCAGTATCAAGTGCTTGGGTGTCAGCGGCCAGTATCAAACGCTGTTGGTGAAACTGCCACCAGAATCAAAGCAGAAGACGCAAATGCGCAAAGAAAGATGAGGAAGCTGTACAATCCGACTTTCAAAGTCAAGTCAGCACCAACTGTTGAATTCAGATAAGTAGGTCATATGCTGTGGCTTGGATCAAAGAATAAAAAGGCAGGATTTCACAAGATGTGAACTCATCTACTGAAAGTCTGACGTATCGACTAAAACTTTTATTCAAGTTATGGGAGAGCAACATTATTATTTTGTTATATCAAATCCATTATTATATACATGTGACTTATAGATTAAAACTTTGATTCAAGACACTTGGGTGTCATCAGATCAACTACCTCTGCCTACGGCAAAGGAAGGATATAGGCTCTACCTAAAATCACTACTCATGGTCCCATACACTATCTCTGCTATTGCTATTATCTCAGGTCTATTGGTCTGTATTTATATGATGTCAAAGATGTATGTCAAAGTCATCATGCCAAAGCTCAATGTCAACGTCAACCTTATCTCGAGGTGTCAAAGTCTTATGAAGTCATTACTCATGTGGCTTGGATCAGAGTATATAAAGAAGAAATTTTGCCAGTTGTTTCATCATCTGCCAAAATTCTGTCGAATACTGAACCTCTGATTCAAGGTATGAGAATAAGGGTATATAGGCCTTCATATTATTTTTATCATATTATCAATCATACTTGTCTTACATATGTCTGTCGAATACTAAACTCTGATTCAAGTTGTGACAGGATATCAATTACCAGTATCAAGAGGGGCGAAACTGCCACCAGGATCAGAAGACACAAATGCGCAAAAAAAGATGAAAAGGATGGTCAAGTATAGATGTCAAACTCAACTTTATTTTCAAACGTCCATGTCAGATACAACCACCAATGTGGGCGCATAAGCTACTAAGTGATGTACAACTAAAATCAAAGGAAGAACCGCCGGTTTTCTGACTTGAATTGAGGTATTAAAATCAGGGTGAGGGATCTTGTGAGAGCACAGCCTGTCAGTAAGTTATTTTGAAGAGGGGTTGAGAACCTCAGTGAGGTAGCTACCCACATCGTCGGTAATTGAAAAAGACTGGCCATCCTTCGAAATGTGAAATAATTGACAGTAAAGGATTAATTCTTCAATTTATGCCAAGGAAAATGTCTAGTCTGTTGTCCCACAATTTTGGTGATTACACACTAGGATGAAAGGGTACCAATTAGACCAGAGCTCAAAGCGCGACGTATGGTCCCAGCTCGAGTTGCCGCCGGGTCTGCACTTGCGATGGGGTCTTAATAACATGGAACCGTGCGATTCCGAGTGACGAGGAAGTTCGCATTGACACATACCACCACAAAACCGCCGTAACGGCGATCGGGCCTGTCAAGTTCAGCAAGAGCTCGTCCGGCTCACGTGGCGCAAATGATAGTCTAGAGCCGAAGGAATCTCTCGAAGAACCACAATATAATTACTAGATGAGTGTTGTTAGTTCCTCCCACAAAAAGAATCGTCCGAGGTTTGGAACTTAGAGGCTCGGTAACCTCAACAAGCACCGAGATTCTTGGAATATTGAGCGCAGATATAGCTGAAGACGATGGGCTGGCATCTGCTGGTCGACCAATGTCCAAGTCGTGCACTTGTACAAGCTTTGTGCATTGTGTGGATTTTCTCCTCCGACAAAGAAATTGGGAGAGAACTAAGATGAAATTATCGTTGAAGCTCATATTCCGACCCGAAAACTTTTGTTCCGTTAGGTGCTCACCCGTGTTTCATTAGACACTGTTGGTTGTCAACTTCAAACCTTGAATACAAACCAAGTTTGCTGTTGCGGCGGTTGAGCGAGACAATATTCCATGAATATTAGAGGCTATAACGACGATCACAGTAATGTCTTAGCGTCCAATTCTACCTCTTTGGTTAAATAGACTCTTGTACCTCTTTGGTTAAATAGACTTTTGCAAATGCACAAATTCAAAGGAAGATGAATAAAAGCGATTTTACATGCATGAGGATTAGGCGACCACCACCGATCGTCCATTACGCGTTCATGTAAGTTCCATATACTCTAACTCGTCGAGATAAGGTACCTTATTGGAATTCCCAACATTCCACATTTTTCCAAACACCACAATCACAACATCATGCGTATTGACATCATGAACCAAAGAAATTGGCCAGTCCTGGTACTAGATTCGCTATTCAAGCATTTAGAGACCGGTGATGACAAGAAAGCGGTCTTGAATGCCTGCTGTCTTGTCTCTAGAAGTTGGAATGAGGTCGCCAGTCAGTATTTGTACAAGACGGTCTCATTCAATCAAGAATTCTTGGCTGGTTTCGAGTATTTGCTACTAAATGAGCCTACTGCCAATACTACTTATTGCATGTCTCGTGTGAAGAAGCTGGATTTAGACATTATTTTTGACGATGTACAGTATGTTTTCGATGTGAATGTTGCGCTTTGAGAAGCTATTCTAACATTCTTCATGTCCTTTAGTAAGGAGAGGTCAACAACAATTAGCACTTTACTACTAGGCCTCGCCAAAAACTTGGATGGCATTGGTCTAAACACGATAACACTTGCTATTTTATTGACTTCAGCCACTGAAGTACCCAACTTGACATATATCGAATTGAATGCTACCATAGTGGGAGCTCATAGCTCTCTCGCGCGGTTCTCTATAAACGATTGGGAGACACTAGCCAAATCAACACCCAAAATTTATTGGGTTGATGGTTCTGGTGCTATACCTGAGCTTTTATATGCAGCGTTGAGGCAATGGAGGCTTCGTAACTTTATGTGGATTTGCCCTTCGAATACCATCTCTAACAGTAGGCTTCTGTGGGGTTCTTTGCTGAAGGGTAGCAGGGACACGTTGGAAACACTGGAATTGGAGAACGTTGGGATTGCAATGGAACCTGGGATGTTGCCATTTACGAATCTGAAGAGTCTTAATGTAGAATCTGTGGTTTATGCGGATGATAAGTGGATTGACATGCTTGGAACGAGTTTGGAAGTTATCAATTTCCGTGAAGGTGAGCACCTGTTTCGATATGTACATCTCCTTTGGAGCAAAAACTGATTGGTGCTGATTCTCCTGCCTTCTAGGCTTTGACAATCTATGGCTCGATCTTGTAGCAAAGAGCCCGAACTTGCGTGTTTTGGAGATCTCGTCGGAGGATGAGCCGATTCCGTTAGCACTATTGAAGGACATTGAATTCCCTCATTTAGAGGCCATAACTATGTCAGGAGGTACCTTGAACGCATGTGGCCTAATGTCTCGCCAACGAATCTCCGTTACGACTCTGGTAGCATCGACATATGACGATCTTGGATCTAACCCGCTGGAAGGTGGAGATATCATCGCAACATTCCCGAATCTAGTCAGCCTAGTAGTAGATCTGCTGTATCATGACGATGCGTACCGCTTGATCAAAGAACTGCCACAGCTTGCATCTTTGATTGTTGGACCAGAGGATACAGGTGATTTGGACGGCGAGCTTCTCATCAAGGAAGTGATTGCTCGTGGCGCGGATGCTCCCATACTAGAATATACAGGTGTTAAGCGCGTCAAGTTTTTTGTGAGTGATATCTCAGACAGTGAGGTAGTTAGGCAGCAAAAGTCGCTTGTACGTCGCTTTGAAAAGCATGTAGAGACAGAAACAAACGGGAAGCTAGACATTTCTGGCAGCTTTATTGACGTTGAGTAGAATATTGTACGGGGTACGAGCGAGGCGTAATTGTGGCAATAGGTATATGTGTAGTTAATTTGAATAGAAGATCGCGGAATGTGAAACAGAATTCATTGTAAACAACCCATACCCGTCACGCTCTTGGTTCTTTTTCGCAGGTGACTCAAGATTTCAAGATTGATCAAAACTTTCCAAACATCGTACTTTTAGGTTTTGGCGAGTGCATAGACGATTACGCTGTATCCTTTTAATTAGGATTTATATCATAGAATATGAGTGGCAATACACCACCTAAAGCCATTGGCCCCGTTGCTCCTCAGCATTTAACAAACTCGCCTCGCAATCCAGGCCAAATGCGAGACAAGGAAGCACCACCAGCCCTATCTCTCCCCGGATCCGCTCTCCCAATCGCATCCATCCTCCCATCATTATCTGGATCTGCTCCAACACGCTCAGGATCAATCGCCAAAGATATAAACGCATCTCATGCAAAACCACCGTCCTCATCAAATGCTCCTAAAATCAGAGTATTCTCATCTACAGACTATAAATCCATGGCATGGAAGAACGGACTTGGTGAGACGACTGAAATTGCTATTAGACCGGAGGGTCGGGACTGCAAACGAGATGATTTCTTGTGGAGGTTGTCGATGAGTGAGGTTAAGGATACGTGTTCGTTTTCGGTCTTTCCCAATTATGATATTGGGTTGGTTATACTGCCTGAAGATGGAATGACTGCTCAGAAGGCTTTGGTGAATCCGCCAGCTTTACTGCATCATAATGATCATGAGGTAGGTCTTTGGTAATGTTCGAGTACAGTGGTGGTTTACATGGAGAGGAGACGGTGTCTTTGAGAAGTGAAGATCAACGGGGGATTTGCCACAGTTCATCGTTTTATTTGCCAGCTCCTTTTTTGGCTTGTTGGACAAATGTTGGTCGTTCGTTATTTGTTGCTGCTTCGTGTGGAATGGAGGTTGTGTATTTGGAAAGGGAGGCCATATGTGGATCGATGACATAAACATTATTCGCTTCATGAAGTCCTTTTTTGCTCATCAGATAACGTCAACTCACAAACTTCTCAACTAGACGGCAGTGGTGTTAAGGCCTTTGATACCATATACATACAATGGTGAAGTACCTACAACATGTCACGTCAGAACTCCTCCATTACGACACTTGACTATACTAGCTCATCGTAAAAGGACCTTGGTAACTGTAAATCTAGAAACCATATGTCCTCATGGCTTTTCAAACGAAGGAGGATGTAGCGCTGGAGGTCATGGATCACCTACTGCATACGCAGCATCACCAGACGGTGCTGACCTACCACCATTAGAAGGAGGAAGTCCACCACGACTAGCAGCCAGTAAAAAACCAGCAGCATTATCCAAAATCCTATTGGGTAACTTTACCATTGTATATGTTATTAGAGGAGCTATAAACGTGCAAATTGATGGTGATGGACAAGCTAGAACAGTCAATCAAGGCGAAACATTGATTTGCGAGAGGACTGATGATTCAGTCCCTACGGATTTCGCAATGACACCAATTGCGTCTCCGCCAACCTCTGCTTCTGCTTTTGATGCGACATCAGCTGCAGCAGTACAACAGAGTCGTAATTATGGTCAGGCTGGGCTGGGTATAGAAGGTGTAACCAAAGTCACTTCATCTGTAGACGAGGCTGAATTTTTAGACGCAACTGTAGCCATCTTCCAAATCAATATCATTAAAGATCGTGGAGATGCTACGCCAATACAAACACCCGGATCAGCCAGTACCAGTAATACATCCATGATGAGGAACCCGTTTAGACGTAAAGGATCCATAATAGTATACGATGACCAACCTAGTTGGAGTATGGAATCTGGATTCTTCCCCATGCCTGGAGACCCTGGATCTCCACTCTTGACCACGTATGGATCATTGGCTAACATGTCCAACTCGCAAACATCTATGATTGATTTGAGTCAAGCAAATGCTGCTAATAATTATAATCTCGCTGTGAAATATTGGGATTCTGCAAGACATTACAGACCGCCGTCAATGTCTGCACGTTATGTGAACGAGTCGGATGTTCCACCGCCTGTTATTCGAGACACGCTTGACATTGAAGAGTTTCCTGTGGGCAAGATATCGACTGTATGGATTAATATGATGAAGCAGGGGCTGTCTGAATGGTTGAGAGTGCCTGTTATTGTTGCTAGAGGGACTGAGGATGGGTGAGACTCAACTCCCTGAATATTTGTCAATCAGATCCATCTTTTTTGCTGATTTTAACATCATTTTTTTCTAGGCCCGTGGTACGTGTATAATGATTGTTTTTCCAGTTTCGAGTGTCGGTGACGCTTCTGACTGCATTTTGCTGATCAACGTCATCAACTTGATCCTCCAAAAATGAAGTAGCTGATCGGCTGACGCACACCTTCTTCACACTATGCTAGGTTGGAATCACTGCAGCCATTCACGGAAATGAATTGAATGGAGTACCATGTATACATCGAGTCATCACAGACATTGATGTACATCGACTGAGAGGGACGGTTGTAGCAGTACCATGTGTCAACGTAGTAGGATACTTACGCTTCACACGAGAATTCTCTGATGGCAAGGACTTGAACCGTCTCTTCCCTGGCTCACCAACAGGAACAGCATCCACCATATACGTACACAATCTCATGACGAAAATCATTCACCGATTCGAATATCTCATTGACTTGCACACCGCAAGTTTTGGACGAGTGAATTCATACTATGTACGTAGTGATATGAATGATCCCGTATCAGCCACACTAGCCAAACTCCAACAACCACAAATCATACTACATAATTCTGGACAAGACGGTACTTTACGATCTGCAGCCATGACGCTTGGAATCAAGGCCATTACAGTCGAGATTGGTAATCCTCAACTTTTCCAAAATCAGTATGTGCAGTGGTCGTATATGGGTGTGATGCGTATACTAGGCTACTTGAGCATGTTTACTCCTGATCCACCAGAACCGAATCCAATGCCACCTAGCACCGTTATATGCAGTAAAGGGTTCTGGATTTACACCAAGACTGGAGGTGTTTTGGAAGTATATCCTGGTGTAAACACTTTTGTCAAGAAGGGTGATTTGATTGCTAGGATCAAGAATATTTTTGGGAATATTGTCGATGAGATCTATGCTACTAGTACTGGGATTGTGAGTATAGTGGATCAACGTGAAGGGATGTTTGTGCTTTCTTGTATCCATGTTCTCACCATTTGTTATTATAGACTATTGGACGCAGTTCCAATCCTGTTGCGATGGCCGGGGATAGAATTCTGCACATGGGAGTGATTCGAAAGGAGAATGAACTACTGCCAAAGGAAGCTAAAGAGAACTGTGAGTACATGAAATGGTAGAGATGCTTCGAAGTAATACTGATATGATTTTCGGTTTTTTTTGCATCGTAGATTGAAGTGCTGCCAAAGGAAGGTAAGAGAGCTGTGATTACATGAAATGTTGAGATGTTTAGAAGTAATTCTCGTGATGCTGACATGGTGCTCGGTTTTTTTGCGCTTCTAGATTGAACATCTAAAAAACACGTATATTTATCCATCTAGTTGTAGCAGCAAAGAAAGTAGCAAGATATTAGCGAAAATATGTTGACACACCACGTCCGCATCTCAGTTTGTTCGCGTTGACACTCTTGCTGCCAAAAACCAGGAACGAGTCAGGTGTTTTTCGTCAAAGTCACATGTCGAGTGAAGCAAGTTTCTGAGAATGTCTTGTAGGCAATAAGCAGTGTAAGTGAATAGATGTGAAGCTCGGACATACGATACAACGCTCTAACATGTTGTATTGATAGACGAATCGCTCCGCCAAGTTACAACATAAAAAAACCATCCAGAAAAACAAAAAAAGGAGAATGGAAGAGCAAGTAAGTTACTAGTGCAAAGATGGAGTGGATGAAATTCATTGAGAGCAGTACATTGAATGAATCCATTTGCGTATTGTTCGAAATTTGGACGTGGGTTCATGGGGACATCAACATTTTGATTTTTCTGGACTTGTTGCTTTGTGTTCCCATTGGCGACCATGTTTTGTGAATACCTTTGTCGCTGTATATACTGACCATGCTTTATTTGGTGAAATATAGGATTCTAGGTAGTTGATTACTCTGTCGCATTGCTTGCTTGTTGGGTTGGGGAATCATGGCATACTCGTCGTCTGCGCATTTGCACGCACCAAAACATAAAACATAACTAACATCTCGTCGTTTCAAATCATCAGGAATGAATCCGCAGAAGAAGAATATGGAGGCTTCACTCTCTACTCTGGCGGCCCAACAGACACTCCATCTCCACAACCATCCACATCCCTCCAACAAAACCTCATATACGACCAACACAACAACATCAACAACATACACCCAAACATCCCAACATCAGGCGTAGGCCTCGCAACAATCGTGACCCGATCATCACGTACGCGAAACGGCGGCCACCATAATACAACCTCCACCATCCAACAACACCACACATCAAACGGCACATCATCATCCTCCTCGTCAATCACAAAAGAACACCGTGAAACACGCCAAAAAAACAATCACAATGTCAACGAACTTGATTCCAAGGACGCGAAATCACCTGTTGGGAGTGAAGAATGGGTTGCACAACGACGACAGAATCATAAAGAGGTTGAGAGAAGGCGTAGGGAAGCAATCAATGATGGGATTAACGAGTTGGCGAAATTGGTGCCTGAGGGTGAAAAGAATAAGGGGAGGATATTGCAGAGGGCTGTTACGTATATTCAAGAGTTGCGGGATAATGAGGGCGCGAATATCGAGAAGTGGACTATGGAAAAGTTGGTTTGTGAACAAGCGTGAGTGTTTTGCGTGCCCATTTTAGAAGTCGCTTTTTTTGTTGTTGTCGCGAGATGTATTAACACACGGGCTTCCTTTGTATACGCAGAATACAAGAACTGTCTGATCGAAATGTGGCACTACAAGAAGAGAATGAACGATTACGGGCTCACATTCAGGAATTGCATGCTGCCATGACTGGAGTTGGACAGCAGCAGCAGCAGCAACAACAGCTTCAGTTGCATCAACAACAGCAAGGAGATGACGATGATCTCAAGATATTAAAGAGGATTCGTAAGTGTAGTGTTGTTGTGCGTTTGTTTCTCGTGTATGAATGACATGATCCTGGCTCTATTTGCTTGACTTCTTTTAAACCCTTTCTTTCATTTCATATAGGTCGATGACCCTCTTCTCTCACTCTTTATTATTTGCTACATTTAAAATGCTCGCGTGTGTTTATGTGTGTGTCATCTCTCCCCAACAACAACCCAAACAACAACAAAAAACTTTGTAGTGAATGATACGTAATTTAGCTAGCTTATAAAATCAAAAGAGGTAGGAATGGACGAATATAGCAACAATGATACTTGAATGAAATAAATTGGTCTTATTATAACAAAAAGAGGTATTCTTTTGGTTTTGGATATCTTGGTCTTGATCAAGCGTTCCACTCAGAATGAAATAAGAGGAAGAGGCATTTCATCAAGTGCAGCTACTTTGAAATGCAATCTAACATTTCGTGAAAAGTGACGTAGTAGATGTTACTATAGATTGGCGTACAACGTCATTTTTTTGCTATCACGTCACTTGCAAGAAGTCCTTTGACCAGTACGTCGGTCTTGTACACGACGACGTAATCCCTTTCCCACATTGCTTGTTGGACTTTATGTGCAAACCCAATCCCTGTTTTGTCAGATTCAAGTAGGATTCGAAACAACGCAAAACGACGGAGCAGTGGCACAGAGTACTTCATCATTGATAGATGAAAGCTTCTGCTTAAGCCATTTGGCAGGAGAGTTCGAAGTTGAAGGAGAGAGCCTTGTCTTGTCATTGGTTGCCGCAATTGCGGCATTCCGAGCAGCTGTCAGATCAACAATGACAGAAATGTCTCTTTTCCCTGTCACTTGTTGTCTTAGATTCAGTCAGAAATCCCAACGGCGGAAAAATATTCGAGATAATTCATAACCATACAGCCACGTCAAAGTTAAAACAGTAGCATCATCACGGAAATGCTTGACGTCTCCTTGATTTCTTATCGAAATAAAGAGTACAACTGTGTGGGGTCTCCAATTTGTGGGCATTTAAGGAAGAAAGGAAGAATTAAAATCTTCGAGCTCGTGGCCGTCTCCTCGTAGTACGTCCATCTATAAGTAGAGTGGGTTGGTTAAAAGGAAAGTGTAAAATAAATGTGCGACGATTGAGCAATTCTTTTAGAACCGGTTCCTCGTTTTTGGAGCATTCGTCCAACAAACTAGCAAAAAGGCAGCTTGTATGCACGCCATTGCATTCGCCTTGCGTGACAGTAGCACTCAATTGGAAACTTCGTCTAAATACGCTGTCTTACAGTTTCCAGTTTCCACAAGCAGGTAGTCCTCATGAAATTTCCAATAGTTAGAATTCATGTTCTTCCAAAGAATAGGCAGACAGCTTCAACCAACAAAAAATACATGAAGAAACATCGCACACAGGTTTGAAATAGAAATGGTCTTTATATAAAGAAAAGGCTGATCGTGTCATTCTAGAACATGTACACAACGTAGCCCTAGTCTTGATCAAATGTTCCACAGAATGAAGCATCATCTTGAACTGTCATGCCGTCGAGTGCTCCCAATGTTTCTGAGAAGAAATCCTATTGTTGTGGGGAAAGTGAAATGAAGTAGTTAGCAATCTGTGATTACTGTTCCATTATATTCGCGTGTCGTTTTTGCCCAGTTGACAAACCCATTAGATACGTACGGAAGTTCTTCGCTGAGTACGTCGTTCTTGTACACGACGAGGAAGTCCCATTCCTACGTTGCTTGTTGGAGCCTAGATGAGAACAATTGTAAGGTTTTGTTTAGGCCAAGCTAAAAAAGGCCAGTATCGAAAAACTATGAACTCACATTCAAAGAAGACGAGACTTTCTGCTGAAGTTTCTTGATAGGCGAATTCGAATTCGAATTAGATAAATTGCTCATGGACTGTGCAACAGCGGCATTTTGAGCAGCAGTTGGATCAATGATGACTGAAATGCCTCCTGTGACCTGTTATTGATTGGGTGAAAAAGTTAAAATCAGCGGCGACAAACAAAACGCCAGTACTGCCGGGTTATACCTTCATATCAAGTTGCACGTCAATATCATCACGGAAATGCTTGAAATCATGTAATTCCGATCGAACTTGTTGATGTCTTGCCCAACTGAAAAGGAACTGTGTGGGGTCTCCAGCCTGTTGGTATTTGAGGAAGGATTCAAGTCTTTCGATTTCTTGAAGTTGGCGGCGGAGTTCGAGACCGTCTCCTCGCAGTACATCCATCTGTATACAGAGTGCATGGTTGAACGAGAATATGTAAGACATATGTGCCATGATGGAGCAATTGCACTAGACCAAAGTAAGTTTTTGGCCTCGCCAGAAGCGCGAGAAAGGCGACTTGAAGCGAAAAAAAACAATTTTCAAAATAATGTATACGTTACCTTGCGTTTGACAATCCCACGAGACTCGCTCAACGCCTTCCTATACATCTCCTCAACCAGCACCTCAACATGCCCACCCATTTTCTCAACAGCCTTCTCCCTAGCCGAAACAGCAGCCATCTGATTCTGAATCTCCAGTCTTCGTCCTTGTAGCACTGGGTCCCGTTCATTCGACTCTACCATAACAGTATCATAAGCTTCAGCAACCGAAACCAATTTATGTTTACTGGCTTCTCCATTTGCGTGGTTTCCAATCATCTTACAAGTCACACAGACAGGGATGTGACATTGGGAACAGAAATATTCAATGGATTTGTCGGCGTGGTGACGACATGTTCCAAATGATTCTGTGGTGCCTTTTGAGATTGGGGTGCGGATGTGACGAGAGAGAACTTTGGAGTTGTGCAGTTGGGAGTCGCAGGTGTTGCAGAGGGAGGCAGAGTCTGCTGAGCAGTAGACTGTTGCGTCTACTTGTTCGCAGTTTGCACATTTGACTCTCTAGTTTGTTGGATATGAAGTTACGGGAATAAGCCACAGGGACCACAAAAAGGCACTTTGTATCTCGGTATGTCGTTACCTCGAGCGACTTCTTTTCCAATGTAGCATCAAACTCAAAGTGAACCAAATATTGAGGCAGTATCTAAACAAAATCAATTTGACTTAACAAGGTGTTGAACCTCACAGTCAACGTCACACTTAAACACTACCAGTACCTACCAACACATACCTGAGCAGAAGACTTGATGTAGTATTCATGCCTGTTTTCATCTGAGGCGATTCTCTTTGGATCTAACAATACGAGGATAAGTGAAAAAAAGACGTCATTAGCACCAAAAGATCTCTTTTAACAAAGCTCTAAATACATCGTATTCTTCCTTTGTGAATGGCACCAACCTTCAATGTAAAAACTATCATAACCATCCGGAATCAAATCCTTTTCAGCTCGAGCCTCATCAGCAGTATACGCTCTCCCAACTCCAATCTTGCATAGCAGCATTCGACGATGTTTTGGGCCGTGTGTTTTTTCTGGTAGACAAAAAAACAGTTCATTCATCTGCAAGATGCGCTTTAACGTGACATTCAACATGATCACATACCTGAATTCTTAAAATTTCCAACACTAAACTTCATGCCAGAAGACGTAGCGGGAGCAACACCCAACTGGAAACCACGTCTCAGGACCTCATCTTCAGAGTTTCCACCAGCGAGTGTTGAGCAGTCGACCCATGATGGAAGTGATAGTACGTCCTATTTAAGAATAGGATTAAATATGTGTATGTCAGAATCTATTTATTCGCAGGTTAATACGGCTAATTGAACCCAAACGCGCCCAACATTCAAAATGTGTTTGATGTTGACCAAGCTTGACCAACGCAAAACGAGCTACACAACAGCTGTGAATACCTTGCATCTTCGATCAAACTGCGAGGTCAAGTGAGGATTCGATATAGAGAATGCCTGTAGTATCCTTGCTGTTGAAGCATGCAGTGATAATTGTAACTGATATTCTAAATATGCGAATTCCAGCGATGATGGATTGAGCGGGGTCCGTTGGGATGTCTTGTCTGCTAACATCATGACTGCAATCTATATAATGTTATGTGTCTTGTCTTATTAGCTACCGCGTGTGTTGTTATTATCTAGCAAGGAAGGCTGCCTTTTTGCACTTTTCAGTTGCATCACAAAAAAGCACGCAAAAGCGCGTAGCAGCATGGCGTCGAGAGCGGTCTCAGTTATTAATGCAGGAAATGCATCTTCTGGTGTTATAGAGCGTGCTCGATTTAAGTATCTGAGGTTTAGATGTTATGGTAGGCCACAATTATAGAACATTTTCCTCATATTTTTTGGCCGTGCTTTTTCAAAATCAATGCCAAATGCCAACACTCTCACTTTATATGTTAGATGTTCAAAAGACGTTAGACTTTTACGCTACAATCGGAATGCACGCCGAATGGACAACTGAACTACCACAAAACAAGACATTGATTTGCATGAATTTCGCTACTTCAAATGCTGGAGGCGCATCAGACTCGGATGAGAATCTGCTGTCCATATTATTTGAACATGATTCGGTAAGCTCAAGTATTGTGGGATGTGGTTGATTGTGTTGCACTAGCCGACTCCTTAAACCATTATTTTCTTTGGGTCGAACAAAGACTATGGGCCCTCCACTACCACCATCGAAATCAAAAACGAATGAAGATCATGCATCCAAAAACGATATGACAATGGCGGAATCCGAGTATTTGGTTATCTATGTGCAAATGTTGTCCAGGATAGTCAAGAGAATGCAGAATAGAGGTATGTATCGAGGAGACACTTCCCAGCCGAAAGACATTGTCTCTCATATTTGCTTATTGTTTTGGCTGACCATGACTTTAATTGAACACAGGATTCGACATACACATTCCAATCCAAGATTTCGCAGAACTACGCTATTGCATACTTCTGGACCCATCAGGAATCGAAGTCCGGTTAATGGAGCTGACGGATTCACAGTTGAATGAGTTTCGTGGCAAAAAAATGGTAGGGAACAAAGCCACGATCGCGAATACAAGTGATGCTCAATGACCTCAATCTCGCCCTCCTTTCTATAGTGGTATGGTAAAGTCGCATACTACACCATCCCAGCACGAATGGACGATGCAGTAGAATACTATGAAAACTTGTTTGCATGCGACAGCAGCAATAATGTCAATGTCGATCCAGCCAGAATGGATATGGATCAATTGAGACCTGGTGCTGCTAGACTGGGTGGGAAGGGTGGGCGTGATGGGAGGCAAAAGACTGGGTTTAGGAGGGTTGATGAGGAGGATATCGTTGTTGGTATGTATAACGCCGCATTGCAAACTTTATTTCGTTGCACAGTTGGATGTACTGAGCTTTTCTTTGTATTAGGATTAAGTCACATGATGTACGCATGGATGGGCAACGATGCAAGGGAGTTTGGAAGTACGTTATGCTTTACTGAGAAGAAGGAATCGGAAGCTATTTCTAGGATGAGCAAGCCACATAAGGCGAAGAGGAATGCGAGTGATAGTAGGCTGTTGTCTGTTGGTACGTTCGCGAACACGTTTTTTTGCAGTTTGCACGTGCGGTTCCTCACATTGCGTTATGTATGTAGGATTCGAAGTACCAAACCTAGACATGGCACTGAACAAACTGAAATACGACCATCCCATACAATTGGAATGGATTGATGCTAAACATGCCATACAAAGTGAGTTGTAACGACAGCATTATACATTCTATGTAGCTCTTTTTGCTTGAATTCCTTACTAACAAAAAACCATCCTAACAATATCCTGTAATCAGACCTGGGAGTCCTATCTCGATTCAGAGACTCCATAAACGACATCCGCGTCGATCTCTACGCCACAATCCCCATCTTTCTCGACCCACAAATCGACTTCACATCAGAATCCACCAAGAATTCAACTGAAGTCATTGCTAACAATAATAGCAAGCCACCACTTGGAGCACCATCGCGAGCAGCATCCATAAACCCACACAACATCACCATTACATTATCAAAGGGCTCATCACTGCCCCAAATCAGTAGCAGGCGCGGGGACAGTGTCATTGGTGGAAACAGCGGTGTTAAGAAACCATTCAGTGTGGAAGCCACAAGTCTAGACACGCTACGATCCGAAACTGTGAATAGTGGGAGGAGGCCCTCGGTTCCTGAAGCGGCTAATCGTGTTAGGGAGCCGATTTTGTTGGGGAAGAAGAAGAGTCGATCTGCTGCTGGATTGTTTCGGTAGTGATGTAGTATGGATACGGAATAGAGAGAGAACCTCATCGTTTGAAACTGTCGCCAAAAACGACATACGGAAATGAGAGCTTGATAGCTCCTCAACTCGTTTTCGCGTCCATGATATTCTTCGTATTGACTTAGAGCTGTCAACACTGCTGTAGACATTGACAGAACGCTGGTATGAGAGTATGAGCGAACTAAGAAGGGATGGTACTTTTCGTACTGCGACAGGCTTCAAAGTACCAAACCTGGACACTGGCATTAAAAAATCTGAAAAACCGATCATCTGATACAATTAGAGTGCGTGGTATACGAGCGGTTCAAACAAGGGATACATCACATGGGGACCATGTACCGGATGATTTTTTTGTGTGCTTTGTTTTAGAGCAAAACAAACCAATACTTACAAACCATTACAAACACTGCATTTGGGAGTCGTATGTAAATTCACAGACCTCATAAACGACATGGACCTGACACCTGAGGTCCACAATCCCAATCTTCCTAGACCCACAAATGGGCTTGACTTCAGAATCCACCAAGAATTCAAGTAAAGTCATTGTCAATAGAAGCAAGCCACAACTAACAGTTGGAGAATGATCAAAAGGGGCATCGGAAACACACAGTGTTGCCAGAACTGGGGATGTTGAGAAAGAAGACGAGTCTGTCTGCTGCTGGATTGTTTCGATAGTGTCGTGGATCCTTGAAATAGAGAAGTCCTCATCCTAGCTGTGATAGAGCAAACAGAAGTGTCAGGTTCCGACTCCACATGTTGTTCACCTAATTCCAACGTTCAACATTGGGATGATGCTCTCAGACAGCTCCAATAACAAGTTGTTTTAATCATGATTGTTGTTTTTGTATATTGTTGTTGTTGTCAGACTACGAAAAATGCTTGTTCATCACAGAGCAGTCCAACCTCCCCAATATTGAATGTTTGGTCAATCTTCCACTTGAGCTTACCATTTAGAGGAATCCAAGCCCGGTAAGCATCCATCCTCGTGCATTCGAAAGTGAATCAATCGTTTGGAATCAGTTATAACTCGTTTTATTCGTCGAAAATAGCTTCAAAAGCAAACAAAAAAAAAGCTTGGAAGGGCCTAAGCTTCTGAGATGTCATTAGAAAAGAAGGTATAAAGGCCAGCTTTCATTTTGTTTGCAATGCATCCAATGAATCTATGATGATGTACTTACTCTGCTCTCGTTCTTCCAACCAGATTCTCGATCATCTAAATGGCTGGGTGCAATCACGACAATACACGCTTAATGAAGAAGAACAAGCTTGTTTGAAATGGTACAATATGTCTCCTCCTGTACGTGTCGTGCTTGAAACCGATCCTATACTGATTTATTGGTGGTCGTGATATGTGCTGTAGTGAAATCTTGGTTCCCAACTTGGTGTAGCGGCATCTTTTTGTCGCTCATGAGCTTTCCACATTTAGGTCATACTGCTATCTAATAGCATGGTATGGGGTACTGTAGCCTGGTGCGTTATAACACGGACAGCTCCATGTTTGGAATCTGCAACGTATGATATACTTACCACGGATTCTTTTCGTCTTTGCGATTCAGGTACACGTTAGACTGGAAGAAGAATCCAAGATGGTTGTCGTATTGGGGTAATGAATGAGTGGCTGAACCTCGTTCTCTCGAAATATTGTATCTGTTTTTTGACCTTGGTATTCTTTGGGCTCGTTTAAGGTATCGCTGCTGTCAGTGGAGGAGCCTTTGCTACAATGTAAGCAATGCTTCAGGTGTAGGCTGAACTTCTTTTGCCATATACCATCACTTCTTTGTTGACAATCTACGTACGTTTGACTACCAGGTTCTGGAGCACGAAACATGTAAAACCCTTCTCATCACCAAGTCTCCTCAACACTGTGCCTTTGTTGCTCACCATGTCTCCATTGTCTATATTCAGGCTGCAAGGACATGCATACAATGTGTGCTAGATCAAAAGGACAAGACAAGTGCCTTTTACAAGGCTACAAGGGAAATCATGCAAGAGAATCACCCAAACGCATCATACTATTTTAAAAAAGAGAAAAAGTCGGATGTGAAAGCTGAAGAAGCTCTGTAACGTCAGGATTTCTTGGGGTTTGGAGAATGCCAGCTGTGATACAGAAGCGCCCAACATAATTCCTCATCAATCGCTAAGATCTAATCAATTTGGATATGTGATATCATTATTTATTGGAACAGTTTGTAAAATATCCTTGTCTTTCCTTAACGCTAGAATATAGATATACGAACACTGAACAACATCAGTAACGCCCACACAGCCCACCACTCCAATTTAGCTCGTCTCGATAATCTGCACCGGATCCTAGATTGAAGGGGGTAAATCTGTCAAAGGAGAGACTGAAGAGCTTCAAGGGCATAACGCCAAGTGCCCGGCATGTAAGCTGGCGCTCTTCCCACTTCTCTCGATGGAGTATTACGTTGGCATGTAGGCAACGTTGTATTAGAGGCCTCTAATTGCGTGTTGGTTTCAGCCAAACAATCTTTTGCAAAACGCCGCATTGGAATTATAGACTCGAGGCGAGATACTGAAGGGATACAATCACATCAATATGACTGGTATATGCTGTCATGTACACATTTGTAACAGCAATTCCATGACTTTCTCACACTCGCCTCATGGACCATTGTCCAAATATATCCTATGAGATTACTAGTATCTATTAAAGCCTATGCAAAAGTCTCCATCCCTCACAATCCACTATACAAATAATGCAAAAGCACAAGCACCGGCAGCACCACAAACCCACTCCAGCAACTATTCAGCCACACCCTCCTCGCAACACCAGAACTACTCGACCCAGTCGCCGGCGTGCTGGTCGCCCATGCAGTACTAGTGGTATGTCCAGCAGTAGCATTAGCATTCGTAAACGATATGCTACTACTCTTCAAATCTGCTAAAAAGGCAGATAGTGTGCCTGTTGGGTTTGATGCATTCAAGACTTGATCGTTTTTGAATACGCCGTCTTCAATCACTGCGTATTCAAACATGCCCCAGAGTTTTAGGCGTGGGAAGACGGAGAGGACTGATGCATTTGTTATTGTCTGCCGCCACCAGTTTTGTTTTATGGGGAGTTCGCCTAGTGTTGGTGAAATGACATAAAGAAGGTGTCGGATCAAGAGTACAAACATTCGTGATTTACCTGCACCATTGGCTACTCCTGTAGCTCCGACATACGGACCAGGACCATAAAATACTGCTGGGCACTAAGTTACATTTGCGTCAGTTTGTAATCAATGTGACTTGGAATCAAGTTGTTACCTCACTGCAAGCAAATGGCTTATTATGATTGACCGCAAACATAGTGTAAAAGTCAAACGAGCTGGTTCCCGGCCCGAATCCTCGTATAGAAGCCTGGAAGAAGCCGGCTGGTGGCAGGACATTTGCTGGAGTGGTTGTACTGAGACCAAAGTAGAAATTTTCTAATCCAACCTAGATCGTTTGAGAAGTTAGAATCATTACGTCACACGTCACGTTATAGATAGAGAGTGTCTTTGCGGTTTCGTACCCAATCTACCCATTCATCACCTAGTTTATGAAGAGGAGTAAGTAAATGCGGGTCATTATTCGACGATGGGAAGGACACACTAACCAGGATAGAATGGTGTATACTTAATAGAGAAGGAGAAATCGAATGTGAGTAAATGTGAAAACTGAAATTTGATCTTCCGAGAATACATACTGGATCCTACATTCCAAAAGTATATTGGTTAGGCTCGTCATTTTCATTGAATCACGCAAATTCAACCTTACATCAAGAGCATTCACAGCACCATCTCCATTCGTATCCATTGCAATGAAATCTGGAGTTCCAGCTGCAGCTGCGGGCGTCCACGCCGTCGTTCCTCGTACGTTGGGACTCCATAAGAACGCTGTCTGAGGTGCTACAGCTCGTACCGCAGTGACCACCTTCTTCCAGAAAGGTATAAATGCTGTAGGCTGTTGCAACAACGAATTGGCCCAGTCAGCACAGTAAAAAACCATCGTATGCCTTAATGTCACTTCAGGACTACCTTTTGGCCCCACACTCTCCAGTTCCCGTTCATCTCAGCTGCTAGTCGTACAATGACTCGTCTGCCTGACTTGTTTAATGCAGCCAGTTGGTTTGCCAGGTCTGAAATCATGGCGTCCGTGAGATCTAGATAGCGTGCTGTGTAAGAAACGACGTATGCGACAGCATCTGATAGCGTTACCTACCAGATATGCCATCAGCCGAGCCCGGACGCATGGGATATAAGGTGAGCATTAGTATGGCGTCTGTTGCTGTATCGTCCAATAGCCCTGTTGGTGCAATAAGTTGTCCACCAATTGGGAATAGAGGCGAGCTAACAGAAAGTAGGTATGGTCAGCTTGCATTCAATTGCAATCGTTGGCGGAGTTGCAAATTGCTGCAACTTGCAACACACGGGAATTTTACAAGGCCTCCAAGACGGTGTACGCGCAAGTACACTCCGTTTAAGGAATAATCCAACGTAACCAGGCACCGCTCCAAATGATCAGTAACTCACTTTGTGTTTGGGAGATTCTGACTGAAATGATAGACACCAGCATTAAACCCAAGTCTTGAATTCGTTGAAGCTGGAGTATCAGCATAGCCAGATCCAACTGCTCTGACATCTGGCCTGACGCAAAGGTATGGGGCACCAGCAGGTTCGAATAGCCCTAGACCCACCACTGTTGTTGTAAGGAGAGAAGAGACCAGTAATAAGCGTATTAGAAAGGTTGAGACTGTCTGGAAATGTATGAGTGGTGGGTATTTGGCTTTTGCCATGGTGGGTTGTTGGTAACGTTGGTCCTCCAAGTCCACTGTGTCGGTATGTGTGATTGCCAAGTCAAAGGAAAGAGGACAGATTGATGAAGAGATACCTGCCTCCTGTTGTCGTACTAACGTGTTAAGAAATATAAAGACTTGATATTTGTGGCTAATTACTGTCAGTTGCCTGCTCTTATCGACGTGCTTGTTCAAGATTTCGAAAGTTTGTGAAGTGGACAAAGGTCGAAATAATGCGACAGGTCTCACGCTCAAACTGAAGATTTGGTTATTCATATGCTTGATATCGATGGATATTCATTCACTTCACAAGTATGGTAAGACACAAACAAATATTCGATTAGCGTCCATTTCAACAAACGTGAATTGGATCTTCTTAATCTAACTAGTGATTTTTACCTAGGCCAATATCACGAGACACCGTATGTGATATGATCTCACTATAAAAGTCGCGGAAAATAGTGGCAAAGCATCGAAAAGAGGTTTCATGATTCAGGACACCCCTTCCGCAGAAGCATTCCCAAGATTTTAAACTTTGCAGCGGTTTGCCAAATTCTATCAGTCTTCTACTTGATTTTTCTTTCTCCTCTTTCTCGATTTATTTCGAATGCACCGATGAAGCCTAGGAAAGCTGGAATTCTAGCATTGTGGGGGGTGCTTTTCGCAGCAGCTCCTGCATGCTATGGATTCACAATACAGAGTGCTGTTATTACGACAACCAATGCGTTGGCCTATCCCGAGATTGTTAGAAATGGGACTTATTCACTCAAGTATATGTCTGTTGATTTTCTCACATTCTACAGCAGCTAACTCGGATTCGACCATAGTGTTGCCACCGATTCTGGCCTCGCACCCATGTTCACAACTGTTGCTGTTGAAGTCACAGGGCCTTGTTCACCCGGAACGCCTCAATACGTGAACCTGACTCCAAGTGGAATGGCACCCTTTTCTCAGTCGGCTCAAGTAGACATATCAAGCACTCTTCGCAGCTGGAATTATGGCGCAAACTGCTCTATGAATGTTCAGGTTAACAATATGGGCACACAGAGTAATACGTATGTCATCTCGCCGTTTAATATCAGGCCGCAGCCTTATGTGGTCTTGTCAGGAGTGGTGAATCAGACTGCTTACAGTGAGTGAACGCTTCAAACTCTTTGGTATTTGTTGTTACGCTCTGTTTCATAACAACGACTTTTACAGCCAACGCTACATACACTGTAACGAGTAACGCAATGGCATCCATCGACCAGGGATATAGCCTAGTCATAAACCAGACTGTGTGTGGAGGGAACTCATCAATATGGCTATCCAGTCAAAACCTAGTCGACAACTCAGGAAACGTGAGCCCCCTGAATATAACGTCCACCGATTTCACACAGTGGACGTGGACTAGGCAGACATACAACGGAACGTATAAGTGGTCAATGATGCCTTACAGCTACCCACCAGAATGGACTTCTTTGCCTGTTATATATCCATGTGTTGGACAAACGATACAGGCCATTGATAATTCGGGAGTCCATGTGGCATCTATGACGGTCAATTATTTGCAGAGGGCCATGACGATACTGACACCAGCTTCTATAAGAATGGATATGGGGATTGGGCTGTATGCAAAGCTGGACAATGTTTGGGCTTCTGAGATTACTAGTTTTCCGTTGAATATCAGTTTTGGGTGTACCTCGACATCGGCATATTCTGTTCAGAGGTAGTCCAAGCAGAAGATGCAACAAATCGCACCAGGAAAGTTTCAATGTTCACGAACTGATCCCGTCTCATTTCATTTGTAGGACAACAAACATATCAGACATTGACGTTACAACACATACCAGCCCAACATCCCTCGAACAATACCTCTACACAACATTCAATACATGGATTAGCAACGCCAACGTCACATACACCTGCAACACAAACTCCATCTTCAGCTACCAACTAATCTTCAACATCCCTTCCATAAACCTAACGCAAAACGGCAAAATTACAACATCCCCAGTCCTGTACATGACACCCCTCCTCTCAACATTCTACGTCGGAGACCCAACACCCACGTTCCTCGTAACTGGAGTCGACAGAGCATCAGCCATGGGCTCTCTAAACATCAGAGTCAGTGAACAAGAAAGCAATCCTGCTGGTGGTTGGCTGTCTGGATATACACTAGCTGTAACAGCTATCCCGAATGGTGCCTCTAGCATGGTTGTTCTTTCGACGTTTGGGCAATTGAGTGCTGCCACTCTGAATAGTCAGTTGATTAACTTGACGAGGACAGTTAATGTGACCGCAGGTTGTGATACGGCTTATCAGTGTACCTCGGCTTCTGTGATTGTGATTATGCAGGCGCCCGCTGTGATATCACTTATGCAGTACACGAGTCCGCTTGTTTATTCGCAGAACATGACATTCAGGTATGGAAATCATCTCCTCGTTCTCAAATGATTAAATCAATTGAATCATTCGGTTGTTTTGTTGCTCCTCAGCACACTCAACAATGCCGGCTCTCGATTCAACGTGTCGAGTTTAACGCTGACAATACAAGGAAGCTGTGCGAACTCTTCAAATGTTACTATTTACAGGTAAACAAGCACTTTCGTGCTTTGACAAGTGCAAAAAAGGCTTACGAAACAAATTCACATCAACAATGATTTAGTGTCCCTCCAAGTCAAACGTCCTGGCCACCAACATATACAGCCAGTTTCAATTCACTAAATGTGAAAAACTTGCAACCAGGAAATGGTTGTCTCGTAACAGCCATATTTTGGGACGGCATTCGATACGCTACAGCTAATCAAACCATCAATATCCGAGCTGCAGCTCCATCACTCTCATTCAAGACACTACGAATGTCGAATACTACTGCTAAACTGATTGTCATGGAGTTGTTGACTGCTAATTTGATAAACGTGATTGATTTCCCGTTGAATGTGACGCTAGATCAGAGTACTTGTAACGGCAGTGTTATACATTTGGCAAGGTAGGTGCCATAAAAGCATTTTCTGCTTTCAACCATTATAACCGTTTTTTCTGCCAGTTTAAACTCCAGTCAAGTACAAGCTTCCCTCAGTTTCAACTTGTCGAATTCATCAGCAATCACGTGTAATACATCTCAGCTCTCCGTTAACAACATGGAAGGCACAATTTCCATCACATTGACGTTCATCTACTCAACACGATGGATCTCTATTACACCACCATCGGGTGGCATGTTATACACTCTGGATGGTGGTTTGATGTCTTTAGCATTCACGAATTTCAACAGCAGCATTAATAGGACGGCATCTATAAATGCTACACTTGTCGAGTCGTGTAGTTTGGGTAATCAGACAAAATGGTTTTTGGGGACATATGTGGTTGTTCCTACGAATGGAACTTCGTCTATTGGATTTAATATGAGTTCGGTTGCTAGGTCGTGTGGTGCTAGCTCTGGTGCTTGGCAGTTCATGGTACATTTGCTTCTCGTTCGTTCCGCTTTCTTTGAGCACAGTTGCAACCCTGACACTTTTTTCATAGATTCAAACACAAGAGAACGACGTAACATCAGTAACACGAGTAAACATAACAATAGGAACCCAAAACACAACCTCCACATCAAACACCACAACAATAATACCACAACAACCATACGTAAACGCAACCGCACAAGTACTTAATGGAACTTTCAAACCCGTCATCCCTGCTCCTGACACACCAATAGCAAACTCATCACTTACAACCGTAACTGATGCAGGATATTCGATAACTTCAGCATCGGTCGGCACCACCGTGGTTGGCGCAGGTATTGCGATGATACATTCTGTTGTTACTGGAAGTGTTGTTGGAGCTACGAATGGAGTTGCCGCAGTTGCCGGAGGTAGTGCTGGTAGTGCTGCACTTGGAGGTGTTGGTGTGATTGCTGCGGTGTCTATGTTGCAGTTTACTGCTACAACTAGTATGCTTGGTGTTCAGACGCCTGGATTTTGTAAGTTGTGACTTGGAAGCTTCCGTATTTTTCGCGTTGTGATCATTCCGATAACTACGTAAACCAACCATTTGAACTACGTCTATACTTCTTTAGATTCAGTATACGCAAACCTCTTCCAATGGAGCACTGGGACATTCACCATCCCAATCGTTGTCGCATCAGCACAAACGTATATCCCATCAGTTTTGGATTCGGGCAGTGGAATTACAGATGAAGCAGCAACAGGAACAATAAATGGTCGGCTTCGTAAACGAGACGTTGTGTCCGATCTAGCTACTGCCTCCTACAGTGCACCCTCTAACATTGCTAACTGGAGTCTTGCTCGGTGGGCGTATTTGGCTGGTGTAGCTCCAGAGTAGGTTTGAAAATCCATTGTTTTGAGTCAACAGTTGGTTTTTTGGCCTTGTGTGCATCACAAAACAAAGCACCTCAACAAATCTTGCTAATGATTCTCAATAGGCACCTATTCTACGTCACGCTCGCAGGAATGATATCAGTTGTCGCTGTCGTCACGCTCATCTTTTGTATGGTGGATTTGACATGCAAAATGTTGAAATTGTGCAAGTGTTTGGGATCAAGATATGGAAAACATGTGTTTCGATATTATACCGCCGTGTTGGGAATATTGTTTGCTGTTTTCAATCAGGTAATGTTGCTGAGTTTACAAAAAAATAGTGAAGGCTGTTTTGTGGCAGGCGACTTGAAAGTGCTGACTCTGTATCGTTATTTTTACAGCAAATTACGGCTGTTGTGATATATCAGGTAAGCTTGTTTAGCAATTGATGCTAGTCATTTTACATTCTATTGCTTTTTTTGGCCTTTCTCAAAATCATATTGTAACACTCTTTGTTTGTACTTGACAGCTGACATTGATCAGCATCAGTCCTTATTGGTTGACAGGACTTGCTATAATGGTGTTGATCACTTTCGATATCATACCCATCGCGATTCTCCTGTATGTATTGTTGGGATCGACGACGGAACAGCTCTTTCATGATACGAACATCAGGCTCAAATATGGTAAATAGTCGAAACAATGAATAGCATCCGCCTCAAAAGGGATTAGGAGACTGATATTCTTGGTTTTTCTCTTAGGCTTCTTTTACGGTGCTTTCAAACAAGAATGGGTGATGATTGCAGCTCTCGTGCTGCTCAAGAATGTTTTGACCGCTACGCTTCTTGCTACATTGGGACAGATGCCATCGTTGCAGATTGCGTGTGAAATCGTCTTGTATGTTTTCTGGTAGGGAGCAAAAAGAGCTGATTTCTCAGAAGCCAAAATAGTAAATATGTCGACGTTAACGCTGCTTTTACTCTACAGGTTCGCAATCGTCATGGGCCTCAAACCATACGCCTTTAACCCCGACAACCACGTCAACGCATCCATCACACTATGCAAAATCGCCACCTTAATCCTCCTCGGGGTCCAATCTGCAGTCACACTGCCAGACTCGAGTCGAGACCTCATTGCCATTACCTCGCTAGCCGCATCAGCACTCGGCATACTCCTAATCCTCACAGGATTCCTATACCGGGCCTGTCTCATCGCATACTATATGCTCAGATCCATACACTCAAGACTCAACCCCACAGACCCAGAACTCCTCCTCCTCAAACGCAGGACTGCAGGCTTCGCCAAAGTGGATTCAACCGCAGATTTATTGGCGTCATCCGAAGCCATTGAGAGTTTCGCATCGACCAAGAGATGGCAGAGTGGGACATCCGTGTATCATGATACGTTTACACAGGTCAATCCACTTTATCAGGATCTTACTGCTACGAGGGTTGATAGAAAGAAGAGGATGGAGAGTGAGACTAGTAGACGGACGAGAGATGCCGAGAGTAAACCCCATACTGATGCTAGTAGGATTGCTGATTTGACTGGGCTTTTCATGTAGCCTTTTTTCTTCTCTCGCAGTGTTTAACGAGTTGAATAGAAAGTATCTAGTTTTTGTTAAATTGGATTCGTATGAAGAGAGTTGTTTGGTTTATTACTCAAGGGCCCACAGCACTTTCAACGAAACCTTTCTTGGAATCTGCATTGAGCTGGATTAAATTTCGAGTAGTACTTTGTAACAACCACGTTGTGCAGATATCACACATATTTATCGGGGAGGTACGTAAAAGTTTAGACGTCAGGTCTCCTTCTCAATATAACAAACAACGATGGATTGCCTTCCATCAGCCACGCTTCATGTCCAACCATCTGAATCGACCAATCATCAAACAATCCCAGCAAAACCAGGGAATATCAACACGAGCAAGATACTCATAGTGAGCATATAGATAGTCATCAAGAAAAACGTCGTGGTAACTAAAAAAAACGTGGTAAGGTCAGCAACAACTCATAGTCGTCATCAATGAGCAAGTCACGAGCTCCTATGATCTCATTGATTTCAGCATCCTGGTGAAGCTCTTTCGTTTTGCTGCCAGTAGTGGTAGAGATTGTTGGTATAGGCCAAAAGTGCTGAAAGCTTGGTATAATGTTTAACGGAACTGGAATTTGAAGGTGAATATCGTTTATATGTGCATATGCGAACTGAATGCCAGCACGGCATCTCAGATGCACGGTGCCTCAGCACAGTGAGCTCGCTGCAAAAAAAACATTACTATCGTGTCGCAGTAGGAAGCAGCACAAACACCCCTCAAACACCAACACAATGTGAACAGCTAACTTTGTAATTGTTCTATAACATTACAAAACACTACATTAATGCTACAATGCTGATACTTTTTTATATCTCGTTAAACTAAACTCATCGTTCCATATCAACACTATCAACATCCATATTAGGATCCTCCTCAATCTGCCCCTCTTCCTCTTCTTCTCCGCCTTCCATATCGTCCAAGAAGGCTTCTTCTTCTTCTTCAAACACTTCTTCAATCACTTCTTGTTCTTCTCCATTAGCATCAGCAGCAGGACTGTGTCCATCAGATTCGTACATCTCGTCCTCATCTGCTGCTTCGTGTTCTTCAAGATTTCCATGTTCTGGGTGCACTGTTTCTTGTGGCGCTGGATCTGATAATTGTTGTACGGGTAGTTGAAGAGTAGCGACAATAACTGGTGCTGTGGTAGCAGCAGGTATCGATGTTGCTACTGTTGGTGGTGTATACTCAGCCATACCTGGTGGCAATGGTTGACTAGATTCTCGTTGTGCTGATGATGCAATTGGGACGGATGATGACGATGAAGATGCCGCTGCTGTTCGTTGAGTTGGTTGGCTTGCTAAGACAGGAGGTTTGGGTGCAGGTGGAAGACCGTTTGGGTTGATTTTGTTTTGCATGTCGAGCATACGGCAGTATTGTACTGTTTGAGGGTTTGAATATGGTCGATATTTTTCTAAGAAAAAAGGCTTGCTGAGTTGAATGAGCCAAAACTATAATTCCAGAATATTATACCGTATTCTCGATCAACATTCTTGACCTGGTTCTTGGGATCTAGTATCGGTGCAGTATGCACAAAGTTATGTGGTATTTCTAATGATGGGACGTTATGTTTGACCCATTCTAACGATGTAGTGATATCCCTAAACACACGACGATTAGCGAAAAAAAGCGTTTAAGGCCTGTACAGATTTGCAAGTTACCTGGCAATAGTATCATCTCGTGGTAGATCTGGTTGAACAGACTGATCTGAAAAGAAGGAATTGGTAGCTTTGACTATCGCCAACCATTCTTGGTCATAGCTAAATTCGTATGGACCTTCGTCAGCAGTCTCAAATTCAAGCACCTGCAAAAAAAACCGCAAAGACAATTCAACAAATGGTTCATCTCGAACGTGCAAATACACAAGTGCATACCTGTAAGAATTGCCGGTGAGGCAGCACCTTGTCCAATGACAAGAATCTTGTCCTGGTTGGGAATCCATTCACTCCATTAGAATATATTTTGCCAGCAGGAATTCCTGATGATGCCGCTGTGCTTGTTGTTTGGGCCGCTACAGATGATGACGAAGAGGCTACTCCAACACCTGGCGGTAGTGGTTCATCCCGTCCGACAGCATCATCAACCTTAAGTTTCTTGGCAGGCGATTCTTCTAAAGCTGCTGGTTTCTCTTCTTCGTTTACAGGTTGTTCACTAGTTACAGCTGGGGCAATGGACTCGGCTTTGGCTTGGGTAGCATCTGGATCTTCATCCTCATCGTCATCGCCCAAATCGATCTCATCTGGATTCTTGGCTGGTGCTGCTGAGCTTCCTGCTGGTACTGCTGGTGGTGGAGCAGCACCGTGTATTACCAGTGCTGCAAACTTTACGTGGAGATGTGCTGCAAACCAATACGATGGTTTTAGACGGTTTAAGAGGAATTCACCAGCGGGACTGCCCAGTGTGTTTGACCGTATCTAGTATCAATTTCAGTGTCGGTGAACATTGATGTCGAGAGATTGATGTAGTTTTTTTGGCTGGTGACAGCAACATACCTCATTCTCCAGGAACCTCTTTATACTGAGTAGCTGCTTGATATTTCCATGCTGAGCAACACCACGCGGCCAATCGTGAGATAGAAAGACGTCCAGAGGAGTTTTGAGCTTCAAGAGCAAAACAACGACATGTGAGTTGGCTCGACAAGAGTCCAATTCCAAACTTTTCAATTACCTGAGCGAGTCTATACACATTAAACTTTCTAACATGATAAACAGATGTCTTGTCGTAGCTGCTTAGTGGTTCTCGTTCATAAAAGCCTAGCAACGAAACGACTTTGAGCCAAGAATCAAAGCTGATGAGCTGTCACCAAATACCATTGTTGTAGTGTCTTGGATTATAGATCCCCGTCAGCCCAGAGATACGCAGTGGACCGAAACGGATGACGTTCGCAAAGCCTAAAAAGTACATGTTTGGAGCTACCCATCCACCATGAAACCTACATGCGGCGTGTGTGAGCTCAAAAAAAGGAACTAGCCAAGCACCATGAGCTTTTCCACACATACAGCTCGTATAAAAAGTTGGAAGCCTCGTGATTTCCACCAATAAAGACGGTAGGATACGGAGCTTTGGCCTGCCCACTGTAGTATTTGTGGAAGGTTCCAAGTTCACGATACTTGTCCTTGATGTTCATTGCAGCCATATCCAGTTCATTTCGGACCGACTAGGTAAGCGTATTAGTAAACAGTATATGTATAAAATAACATGAAAATGCATAATAAATCGCGAATTGACGTACCTGGAAGTCACCACAGATGAGCAGCAGGTCGATGGTGATTCCATATTGTTTTTCAGTTTTACGCAGAGTTTGATAGACAGTGTCCAGCTCGCCGTGGAGGCATCCTTCTACTGCTATCCGCATCGCCGATTATATATCAGGCAGCCTGGTCTCTCTTCTTTGCTAGCTGATTCAAACCAGACAAGATATGGCAGTCAAGAATGTGGAAGTAGAAGTGCCAAAGACGCCAATTGAAGAAGATATCAAGGCTCCTGGTTGGTTTGTACGTGATCCATACGCTTATTTTGTTAATCTACTCTGTATCTGACATCAAATTCACCATCATCAAAAAGCAACAATTGTCGGACGTTGCTGACTACTGGAAGAATGAACTGGTGGCATTACTGGTATCAAATACCCCCATTGATTTGTATCTGATCGCAATGACGGTGTCAAGTTGACGACATTGTCTTGTAGCTTCATCAAAGGAAACCAAGCTATGCTCAAACGTTAATGGATAAGGCGACTACGTTTGATCAATGGACTGCCGCTGCTGAAATGCTCGACAAGATTGAAGGTACCATCATAAATCTATCACATTCATGGTCATGGGGTGCTGATGTGATACAACTAGGACATGACAAGTGGAAGGCAAATCCAGTATCATCAGACTACGATTACCGACTCGTACAAGATCGACTAGCACAGCTCAAAAAGATTCGTGAATCTGGGGATCTCATGTCCATGATCTACTACTTACGGACATCTATAACCAGGAATTTGGGTGATTGTGGAAACTACAAGGTACATAGTTGACGTGTCGCCAAAAAAAAGCCCTTGGTGTTCTTATCATAGCATTGTTTTCTGCATTAGCTGTTCGGTGTAGCGCATCTAGGCACCAAGAATCTGATTGACGAGTATCAAGAAGAAGTAATGACAATGCTGAAAACAATATGTGATATGGAGGCACCAGATCAAGTTGACGAAAGCTTCAAGTATGATTGCTTCATGAACATGCAAAAAGCGTTTGGAAGGACTGCGTTGCTTTTGAGTGGTGGTGGAACATTTGGTAATGCATACATGGATGTTTTGCGCTTTCTTTCTGGCCTAACATTCCCACACTTTTGCAACAGGTCTGGCTCATCTGGGAGTCCTTAAAGCTCTGCATGAAGCCAAACTACTACCCAAAATCGTTAGTGGGTCCTCAGTCGGATCTTTGATTGCTGGTATATTGTGTGTGAGGACAGATGAAGAGATTGGCCAACTGTTTTGTCGTGAGACGTATAATCTGGTAACGAAAATCTTTGCTGTTACGGAGTATTTTTTTCACCACACTCACTTTTTCGCATTATTAGAACACATTCGAAAGACCAGGAGAAGGAAACCTGTATTTGCGTCTAACACGATTTCTGAGACACGGAGTCATATATGACGGAGAAGTCTTTAGAGAATCTGTGAAGGAGAATCTGAAAGGTGTTGGGAATAATAATACGCGTGGAGATATGACCTTTCTCGAAGGTATTGGATCGAGTGCCTGCACTCTTCTTTTGTTGCTCATTAACCACTATTCTCCATATAGCATTCAACCGAACAAAACGAATTTTAAACATCACAGTCAGTTCATCGACAGTCTATGAAATGCCCAGGTTGCTGAATTACTTGACGGCTCCTAATGTGGTAAGTGCACAAAAAAAGAGCCTGCAACACATGTGATAATGAGCTTCAACTCACTTATCCTTGCTTTCTTCCATCTAGCTCATCTACTCTGCTATGTAAGACCAAGGCCTTATAAATTCGAGCACTAGATGTCTCCTCACACGTTTTCGTCTTGGATTAGATGCTGCTCATGTGCCATTCCATTCGTATATCGCTCTGCTCCTTTACTGATGAAGGATCGATCTGGGAAAGTCACTGCTTGGAATCCATCTGGTAAAATTACTTTGAATGCTATGGTTCTAGATAGTGCTAATATGCTTTTTATCATTAGGCCAAGTGTGGATTGATGGATCAGTCGAAAAGTGAATCAATATTTCGTCCTGTACGCAGCTTTTTTGGCCTGATCAGTGTTTTCTTGATAGTGATTTACCAATGGCTCGCATTTCGGAATTGTTTGGTGTTAATCACTTTATAGTGTCACAAGGTTTGAATTTCGGCTACTTTCAACACTAGCACTCAAGAGTCTAACAAACCGTCTAATCATCAGTGAATCCACATGTCGTACCATTCATGCAAACCTCATTTTCGCCCTCCTTAATAAGTCGACTGGTTGGGAGTACGTCGTCCGTGTTGAGATCAGAGTTGCAACATCGTCTTGGACAGGTATTTTGAGGACATGCGACCTTCCTTTTGCACTCGTAATCTAAAAACTCACATTTATAACATTTACCATATAGCTGTCAGACGTCGGCCTATCATCCAGTCTCACATACCGAGCTCAAGCAATACTCGTGCAAAAGTATTACGGAGACGTAACAATCGTCCCAACAATGACAATATCCGACTATGGACGCATAGTAACCAACCCCACAACCGACCTCTTCAACCGATACCTCATATCAGGAGAACAATCTACATGGCCGTTAATCCCACTCATGCGAAATCACATTCAAATTGAAATGTGTATTTCAGAGTGTATGTATAGTCTGAGGACTAAGAAGTTGGCTGGTATGAAACAGGATGAGAGGGAGGGGTGGAAGAAGATTGGGCAGAGGTTGAATGGGGTAGAGAAGGATGTTATTATATCGCAGCCTGATTTGTCGAGATAGATGAGGGGTTTAGAGTGTATATAGTGCCTTTGGCAAGGGAGGGTGCCTACATATATTAAGTTTCTGTTGAATTTGGTGTCGAAGTGACGGTCGGTACCTTTTTTTCTTTCTTCGCTTTGATGAGGATGTGTGATGGGTATTGTGTTTACATTCTGGGGGAACAGGCACGTTCAGGTATATTGGAAGTGGAGCCCTTCAATGCTTCAGCTCGAAAGGATATCAATCCTCGTTAAATGGTTTGAATTTACTTGTGTGCTGGAACTTTTTTTGTTGTTACCTGCATATTTGACACCAATTTGATCGAACTCCAATAGTCAATGTCATCAGATATTGGTGTATTTCAGGCACAGATTGCAATGACCTCAAGTTGGCCGTGTTTCATTGTAGATTCATCCGCGTAAATCTTGCGGGTAGTTAGATAAGTAACAATGATAGATGGGGCCACAGCCGCTGAAGTCCTCGAATGATTCAACGTGACATGCTTTCGAGATTCGCAACAAATAGGCTCAAAGCTTACGTCTTGATGTGATCATTCCAGGTGACGAAGCATATGCATCATCAGAGTGCGACACAGACTCGTGCAACATTGACTAGCTCAACTACAAAAGGACTTGGCAAGTGGTGTTCTCATGCCTACGATTCACTATCTACGGACACCCTTGGGTGATTGTGGAAGCTCAAAGGTAATGTTGATGTCGCAAAAATACTATCGGCTCTGCGGACATCACACATTTTTTGCAATAACTATTCGGTGTTGTTCATCTAGGCCCCAATAACCTGGTTAACGAGTATCAGGATATAATCATGACCAGGCTGAAAAAATATGTGACAATATGGAGGCACTGGATCCGGTAGTTTTAATGTAATTGCTAAGATTAGGTCAAGTGTGGATTGATGGATCAGTCGAAAAGTGAGACATAGGTATAGTTTGGGTTTCAATTTTTGCTGACAAAGTCTTCGTGCACGAATGATGACTCTGGGAGCCTCTGATACCTTGAATGATATGAATTAAAGTGAAAGGAGGGTATAATGATCTAGTGCTATTGAAGTGGGAACCAGTGGCGTCCAATGAGGGAATGTGATGTATAGATACAATTAAAGTTACATGCACGTTTGTACTAGATGTCAGGAGTGTTTTGCGTCAATCTATGTGGCTTCGATTTGTTGCGACAGAGAGAGTGGAGCGAATAGCCAATTACTGATTCTCAGTGAAGAAGGCAACTACTGATTGTCATCATTTGAATTCGAATCTTCAGGTCTTCCTCCTAACGGTCCTCTAAACCTTCTTCTAGGATCAACCTAAGATACGACGAAGCGTGCTTCAATGTTGAGCTCTTACGGACGCGAAAAAGCAATACCAGCAGTTAAAGCGACATACCACACTCCTTTTACAAGCAAAATACGATTCCTGTAATAATCGACATTCTTTGGGAACACTTTCATCGTGTTTCTTATCCAGACACTCTTTTACTCGATTTTTTTCCACAAGCACACAATCAGAAGCTGAGAGACACACTACTAGATCATCAAATAGTTTCTTGCATGATGGCATGCTGGTAAAAGAGACTCGCCCTTGAGATGTCAACGCACTGTATTCTACTTATTGGCCTGAATTTGTTAGAAGTTGACGGGAGGGATTACAGGCACTGAAAGCTGGAAGGAAATCTCAGCTGGCTACGCTATTACGTGTCATGACACTGTTGTCAACTGAGTTTGATCATGCCTACTGCTATTCCAACGAAAGTTCCGTGCTTGTCGTGTAGAGTAAAAGTGAAAAAAGCAGAACTCCAAGAGGCCAAGCTTCACCAATGCTAATCTTTGGGAGCTCGCAGTTCCCATTCAGCTTTATTACACGTATATGTGTACGCTGCCACCGCACAATTAGTAGTCCAATCAAACGATCTTGATGACTCGACCGCTGCGGGGCAAAGACCTTGCAATGCGAAATGCGAAGGACAACGAAGGCGACGCGTTCACCAGTATCGTTAGCGTATTCGGTACTCATATATTTATATGAGCCAAGTGGCTCCATACTGGCTATTCAACCCCTGGAGTAATGCGAGTCATCACCCTTATTTTCCTTGCCTTCGCCGTTGCGTCTCACATAGGGCTCCGACAAGGAACTTTTAGAGGATAGGAATGGAGCAGAGATGGAAGTCGTTTATAATATTTGCCATATCGACATTGTCCCTCGTCCATGCTGATGTTATAACGTATGTCGTTGAACGCCAGAAGAGCACAGCAATCCACCGAACTGACTATTTTGTTTGTTTCTACGCAGGATTCCGACAAAATTCAATGTTTTGACCGCGGATAGCAGTACCACATCATCAAAGTTATTTGCTGGTACTGGGCTTCAGTGGCATGGCGCTGTAAGTTACCTTTGTTTTTGTCACTAACCACCAAATGTTTGGTGGTAGGAGGTCTTGGCAAACCACCACAGCTGATTTTTCTTCAAATTGTTTGAAATAGTTGGAAGGCATAATCAGTCTTGGAACTCCAGCGCAGAAATTCAGTGTGATACTCGATACAGGTAAACTTGTAAAGCTTCGAGGCGACCGATGACTTTGCTGATATCGTACACAACAGGTTCGCACGATTTGTGGGTGCGTTCTTCTCAGTGTTCTGGATCATCAGCTTGTCAGTCATCGAATGCGAAATTCAATACTGGAGCTTCCTCAACTTGGGTTCAGACTTCTTCGTCAGTCGAATTTGGGTACGAGGGCATTTGTTTGCAAATTTGGACACGAACTCATACTGAGCTTCCGACATCATAGACCTTACGGTGATGGAACGGATGCGAATGGAAGAAAGGGAACAGATACACTCTCTATAGCAGGAATTTCCGTAAACAAGCAAAATTTCGGAGTAGCAGACAGCATCTCAACGCCCAATGTCAATCTCGGCTCCGATGGAATCATGGGCTTACCCGCCGCGACCTTCTACCAGCCCTTTGATAATAACTACGTACCCGGCAACATGTACGTCTCGGGCGTATTGGACTCTAATGTATGGGGATTCTGGTACAACAACTCGCAAGTCTCGCTTGGCCAGAACTACCTGGATGGCCAACTGACGATTGGCGGATACGCGTCGTCTTTATACACTGGCTCGATATCATGGATACCGTTAGCGTGGAGTCCTTCGGCACTTCCCAATAGTATATTTGGGTTGGGTTTATACTGGTTTCTTTCGCTGAGTAGTATTCAGGTGGGAACTGGGCCTAATTTGATCACCACGACTACAACGCCCGCTTCTGCGGGTCAATCGTTGGATGGGTTTCAGCTTAATGGCGCTGGTGAACTCCCCATTTTGATTGATACTGGCACGACATTGACCTTGTTACCCGCGGGCTTGATAAAGTATGTACTCTGGAAGACGCTTTGTGATCCGAGATAAATTGCTGATGCTGAGTTTCAAACACTAGTGCGATTGTCAGTGCGTTGCAAGGAATTTCGTATGGAAACGGTTTGTATGGGCCGAATTGTGCTGCCTTGCCTGTCTCACAATATCCCACTATTTATTTCACCATGGGCGGTGTCACTCTGGTAAGTGTACTGATTTTGAGTTGTTTGGTTGAAAACGAAGATTCTCATACACTCTTGCCTCTTAGCCTTTGGCTCCCAAAAATTACGTGTTGCCACTAAGTTGTACCGGTTATTATGCATTCGGCAGTCTAGGTGGCTCACTGTTCTCGGATTTTGACGGTGCGATTTTTGGCGCACTGTCACAGGCCGCTTTCTATAATATCTTTGATTGGTAAAGCATTGATTTTTGATGGTCGTATTTGTATTCAACAAAGAAGCTAACTACAGATCAATGATTTAGGTCTGGACGCCGAATAGGGTTTGCAGCTTCTAGTAGTACTGGCGCGGGGTGAGATCCGAAAGGCGCCTGCCGTGTTCTCCAAGGAGTAACAGCTAACATTTTCCCTTTGTCTTTTATCAGAATCAGTGCAGCTGTGCCATCATCGGCTCCAAAACCACCCGCAATCGTAGCTCCAACTGCATCTGCTGTACAAGTGGTCCCAACAACCACAGTCGCAAGTGTCGCAACAGGCACTGCAACTAATGGAACTGGAGCCATTTCGAGTCCTGTTGCTCAGAACGCGACTAGTAGTTCATCACATCGAACGCTGGCTGTCTCGAATGTATTTATGATACTTTTAGTTGCACTACTTTCTGGGTTGTATATAGTGTTATAATCACTGTTATCTTAATCGTAATATCTCTTTTTTACATACATATTAATGTCGAAATGATGTTGAAAGGGTTACTTGGTAATGTCAGGGCGGACAGACTTGAGCCTGATGTTCTAGGCACGTAATTATTGGACTTCCGCCAGTGCAAAGAATTTTTACGTGCCATGGAGGATGAAAGCTAGGACATGACGAGATACATTCTAACTCTTAATCGTGCAGCGACCGTTTAGTTGGGACGGCTCTAAAATCGTAAAAATTGACAAAACCCTGTGTGGACTGTCGTAACACTTCCGAAGTAACAAACAATCAACATCAAGCAGGAATTTGACCCGTCAAGAGTCCGCTTTAATGCTCATGTTAAGGATCCGGCATTCAAACAGTTAATCTCAAGCAATGATGTCGCTGAAGAGCAGATTCGGAACCATTTTCAGACGTCGACGTCGGCTTTCTGTTGTCGAAGAGAGCAAGGTAAGCTACAGTACGGAACAAGCTATTTTTAAACTTTTTAACTGCACACTAACGCTTGAATTATCTCAGCCTGCTGCATCCATCATTGCTGAAGCTGAAGAAGAAAATCAAATCATGGCAGCCACCACGACATTAATAAACGAAAACACTACCCCCAGCCAGACGGATGTCAGACCTGGATCGCCGACTGTATCTGTATCAGATGTACAGACGAGTCCAGTTGTGCCTCAGCCTGATCTGGTCCAGCTCGTGAGTTTTGCTACAACAGAAAAACAGTGGTTCTTGTGATGACACTAACGATCAAAACCCCTTTTCAGCCAACGTATGCTGATAGTGCAAGGACATATACACATTATCGCGTCAAACGAGCTTATACACCTCGTGAACCTGACGAACTGGTGCTCAACCTGGGCGATCTCATAACCGTTAGCGAGGCGTTTCATGATGGTATGTGCTTCCCCAGTTTGCTTGATCCAAGGTGACTGTCTGACAATATTACATGTACAGGCTGGGGTCGCGCATACTCGCAGACTCGGGGACAGTATGGAATGGTTCCATTTGTCGCGTTAGAGGAGTTAGCCGACCAGACAATGGATTCGTTGATTATCGCAAAGGGTGGTAGCTCAACGCCAGCTCCCGAGGATCTATCGGACTTGAAGTCATGGTTGAATCCTCCAGATTTTAGACTGACTCTGTTTACGCTCAAGGAGAAGAGACTCATAACAACCAGAGGCTGGCTTTTGGATGAATTGAGTCAATGGATGGAGAATGGTGATGAATCCGTCTATTGGCTGTCTGGGGTAGCAGGTGTTGGGAAGTCTGTTGTGGCTGGATCTTTTGCTCATGAACTACAGCAGAGGAAGAAGCTGGCTGCTCACTTCTTTTGTAAACACGACGAACGTGCCCGTAATGATCCTTTACGAGTAATTACCACATGGGCGTTCCAGTTAGCGGCTTTTGATCCCGATATAAGGCAGGCACTACGAGATTTGCACCGAGCTGAACCCAACTTCCTAGTCAATACCCCATCGATTGGTATGCAATTTGATCAGCTTATAGCTAAACCGTTATCAAAGTATCGTGGCGAGAAGGCCGTTATATTGCTAGATGCACTGGACGAATGTGCTATAGAAGGTAGCAAACCCCGAGGAGATTTTCTACAAACGCTTGGTAGACACTTTGCCAGCCTTCCCAAGAATATTGTCGTGTTTGTGACGAGTCGTCCGCTGCAAGATTTGCGGAAGCAATTATCGGACTACAAGCCGAGGATTATGGAATTAGGAGACGTATATAATTTGAATGACATTAAGCTCTACTCGCTATCTCGAATGAAGAGGCTACGCCCTATCTTAGAATCAGATACCGAAGTTGACTCACTCGCCGATAAACTATCAACAATGGCACATGGTCTCTTCGTATGGCTGTATCTGGCATGTGATGCAATGGACAAGTCTGATGATCCATCTGAAACCATACTGGAGTTGGAGGAGCGTACTCTTGGCAACGACGAAGATCGTATGGATACTATATATACTAGAGCGCTTGTCTCCAGCTTTAGAGGTTCCGACGAACCTGCCATGCAGCTATACACCGTGCTTGTAGGAGCACTTGTAGCCCTTCGAACACCAATGTCTGTCGAAGACCTTGCTCTGTTATTAGATGTACCCTCAAGCAAAGTAAGGCTGAGCTTCACTCGTCTCGAGTCTCTGCTAGTAATGTCTAAATCGTCAGTACAGCTGATGCATAAATCAGTGGCAGATTTCATCGCTTCCCCAGAGCGTTGTGTTGGTGAAGCCCTACCATTCTATATAGACCGGAAGTTAGCCGAGGCACATCTCGCCAAAATGTGCTGCCTGTCGCTTCCAGTGAATCTGAAACTGGAAAATATTCAGGTGCATATAGAGCGGCTTAGAGGCACTGCACCGTCGTCAACTCCTGGATATGTTAGCTATGCTTTCGTCCACTGGGGCGACCATCTAAATTCTATAGAACAGCTGGATCCGGAATTAAGAGAGATTCTCGGCCAAACACTTCAACACTTTGGCCGTGCCATGCTTATAGTAGCAGTGCTAAAGAACTTGCCTGTTGCTCTTAAACATATACTGAAAGTCGGTGGTGGGCCTACGCTATTAAAATCCGCTGAAGATGTCCATTTCTTCAAATCAGCCATACTCTTTGAAGCTGCCGCATCCGATAATCCGGAAATATGTGACGTCTTACTGGAATATGGAGGTGCTGATGTAGAGTGTCTCAACGAAACGAGGCAGACTCCTCTTTACGTCTGCTCCTTTGCTCACACGAGGCCCGATGTGGTGAAGGTGCTACTTCGTCATGGAGCCAATACCGATTTCAGAAACCCAACTGGAATGACTATTGACACTGTCGCGACGGGATCAGCCGCAAAAGAAATCGATAATGAGCGGATTCGTCGTAAAGTGAAGCTAGACGAAACCCATATGGTAAGATTTTCGGTCGCCAGATTGTAAGACGAGTGTGCGCTAACGCCCCCTGATTTAGGACGATTTTATGAATGCTGCGAGACTGGCAGACCTTGGGCGCTTGAAGCACCTGATGACATCTAATCCGACTATAAACATCAACCGACAATACCCTGAATGTAGTAACAAGACGCTCTTGCTTGTCGCATCTCAATATGGATCCGTCGATGTCGTGACTTATTTGCTAAACATTGGAGCAGATCCCAATATAGTGGACGTCCTTTATCTGAGCCCACTGCATCATGCTTGCGTGTATGGATCCCTTCCCATCGTCAAAGCACTAGTAGAGGCCGGGGCATGTGTAGAAGCAGAAGGGAGAGAACGCAGGAGTGCCTTTTTCAGCAATGCCTTCCTCAGACCTATCGATCTGGCCTGTGAGAAGGGGTATACAGATATAGTTAGCTGGTTGCTCGCTAATGGAGCCAGTGCGTCTGCTCTCGAGCCGGGAAAGATCCATCCTCTTTTGTATGCCGCAATAGGAGACTCTATAGAGGTATCCCAGCTCCTAATAGGCAAAGGAGTCGATGTCAATTACCAAAGCAGGTATCTCGGCACAGCTCTATTCGCCGCGGCCATATTTGGAGCCGAGAATGTCGCCCAGTATTTGATTGGTATCGGGGCAGACACGGAGCTTGGATGGAATGCACCGGGTTTGGAAACAGAAGCCTTTCGATCTCCCGTTGTGTCGCCATTGATGGCAGCCGGTATGAAGGGATACCAGAATATCTTTGCTTTACTGCTACCTAGATCTGCACCAGGTGAAAAGCGGGTTCGTCTTGAGATGCGGAATAGAGACTCGTGGTCGTTTGTGGATTTCACGCCGTTTATGCTCGCAGCTATGGCAAACGAGCCTGAATTGGTGCGATTGATGCTAGAGTATGGTGCTGATGTAGATGGTGCTAGTGTCGCTTCAAGCTCGGCTGGTTTGAGCGGAGAGACGACACCATTGCTGAATGCAGGATACTATGGACGTATAAATATTGCTAGGATGTTATTGGAGGCTGGTGCCAACAGTGATGCCCGAGCGCCGAACGGATGGTCTTGCTTGCTTATGGTAGCAGCCAGTTCGATAATAGGTGAACGTGGAAAGTCAGATATGGTCCGTCTCCTGCGGTTTTATAAAGCTGATCTAGATGATGTTGATCTTGCCGGAAACACGGCTGTGCATCTAGCAATTGTTATGAAAGCTACACAGATGGTGGATACGTTGGTAGAGCTCGGAGCTAGAATTGATATTGTAAATAATCTAGGGAATACCGGTTTGCATGAAGCTGTTCGGCAGCGAGCTGCGGGTATGGTCAAGATCTTGACGGAAAACGGTGCTGATAAGGCTGCAAGGAATAAGGACGGCATGACTCCGCTGCAGATTGCTGTTAGGGAAGGATATCATGAGCTGGTGCAGTTTTTGAAGTGAAGTAATGGGGAATTAGAGTAATGGACGCATAATTTATGTGACTTATTGATACTTTAATATTGTAGTATGTTCATAGTAGTATTGAAACGCTGTAGTTTGTCTAAATGTTGTAGAAGCCTTTTTACGATGTGAATTAAATGAAAAATTATAACAAACCTAACTGAACTCGTAGCCTCACTGTGATCTCTTAGAAAGATATATCGCATATTCTACCTGCTGGTCGTTGGTGATCGACTAGTCTCCCTCACGTAAATTTCGTAGGTTTGGATTTGACGCAAGTACTGCAAACTTGGCGAGGGAGTCAACAGCTGGCCCAACGACCACTGGAATGCCACCTTTAACGCTACGCGACAGGGAGTATGGCCTCTCGGATATGTCACCTCCCACATTCTTGCCACCGGAATTCTGGCAGAGGTTGCTTTGCAGGGGTTCGTTCTTGAGGCTCATGTCGCACCATAATATGTTAACATGGAGATTCGAATTTGCGAGTCTAAGAACGCACTTTAAAGCTTAATACTGCATCAGAATCCTATCAAATACTCAAACATGGACGCCTTGAAGCGGAAGCTTGGTTTATTATTCAGAAGCCATAAACAACACCCACACCTCGTCACAAAGGACGCTAAGGTATGGTGGAGTACATTCCACTGGTTTTACAAGGGGGCTACAAGGTCTGATTTCTTTTCTCTCAGGTCTCCACCTTGAGCATCGCCAGTGGACCGGATCTTGTCGACGACTCAACCATGATCGAAGAGTTATCCATATCAGCCGACCAAACAGTCGCAGGACGAATCTATTCAGGTGGATCGCATGCAAAGACTACTGGTGTTGCATCTAAAGTTGGGGATTCCAGGCCTGTAAGTTTCAGTATTATTTGAGAATTCCGTTTGGGACAAGTCACTCAAGTTCAACCGCACCCAGCCATCAGATTCAGATATCGCCGAATCCTTCATTCAGTATCGAGTAAATGCCGCCTATGTGCCTTGTGAACCAGAGGAACTAGAACTTAATGTGGGAGATCTCATTACTGTTACTGCTGAGTTTGTTGATGGTAGTGTGGCAATGTACAGTTTACCTGCATTGAACTTCTGTCGACATCTTTTGCTTACGTTAGGCTGGAGCCGTGGATTCTCGCACGCTAGTGGTGAATATGGTCTAGTTCCCTTAGTAGCCCTTGAGGAACTGGTTCAACAGCTGGACTGGTCCGTACTTACGCCGACCCTTACAAGGACGAACAGTGCCACAAGTCACGATGACTTGTCGGATTTGCAGATATGGTTGAACCCTCCAGACTTTAGCTCGACCATCCTTGCACTGAAGCAAAAGAGGCATAGTTCGACCAGGGGCTGGCTCCTCGACGAATTGATGGATTGGACAAACAGTTATAGGGAATCCCGGGTGTACTGGCTGTCTGGTGTAGCAGGAGTAGGAAAGTCTGTCATATCTGGATGTTTTGCAGACGAATTGCGGCAACGAGATCAGCTAGCAGCACATTTCTTTTGTAAACATGACGAGCTTGCTCGCAATGATCCATTCAACGTAATCGCAGCATGGGCATACCAAATAGCTGCCTTTGATTCCGACGTTAGGCAGGCACTACGGGATTTGCATCAGGCTGAACCAAACTTTTTAATCAACACACCCTCAGTCGGTCTGCAATTCCAACAACTCATAGCTGAACCGCTATCCAAGTATCGTGGCGAGAAGGCTGTAATATTGATTGATGCACTGGATGAATGTGCGGTAGACGGTAGCAGGTCACGAAAAGAGTTTCTGCAAACACTTGGTCGTTACTTTGCTAGTCTTCCCCAGAATATAGCTATGTTTGTGACCAGTCGTCCATTACAAGATCTGCGGAAGCAGCTATCAGGATATACTCCACGAATGATGGAGCTAGGAGACACATATAATCTCAACGACATAAAGGTGTATGCATTATACCGCATGACTAGGCGACGTCGTATAATGGGATCAGATGAAGCGGTTATATTGCTTGCTGATAAACTATCCGTAATGGCTCATGGTCTGTTTGTGTGGTTGTGTCTGGCCTGCGATCAAATGGACAAATCTGACAATCCAACCCAGACAATCAGTGAGTTAGGCCAGCGAACGCTGGGAAATTATGAAGATTGGATGGGTACTGTATATACCAGAGCTCTAGTGTCGAGTTTTAGAGGAGCTGACGACACTGCTATGAAGCTGTACACCGTGCTAGTAGGAGCAATAGTAGCCCTGCGAACACCATTGTCTCTTGAAGACATTTCAGCTCTCGCCGATATACCCTTAACTCGAGTGAAGCTGAATCTGACTCGTCTCGAGTCGCTGTTAGTAATATCCAACTCATCAGTACAGCTAATGCATAAATCAGTCGCAGACTTTATAAGTTCCCCAGACCGATGTATTGGTGACGCCTCGCCGTTTTATATTGACCGAAGATTAGCGGAGGCACATCTTGCCAAAGTGTGTTTGCTCGCACTGCCGGCGAATCTGAGACTGGAAAGTATTCAGGGGCAGATTGAACTTCTTCGAGGCATTGTGCCGTCTGGTACCTCTGGTCATCTTAGCTATTCCTTCGCTCATTGGGGCGATCATTTGGATTCCCTTTTGGAGCTGGATGTCGAGTTAACAGATATTCTTACTCAAACACTTCAACACTATGATCGTGCCATGCTAATCGTAGCGGTACTGAAGAACTTGCCACTCGCTCTCAAACATATACTACAAGTCGGTGGTGGTGCTACGCTATTGAAATCCGCTGAAGAAATCCATTTCTTCAAATCCGCAATACTGTTCGAGGCAGCCGCGTCCGATAACCCAGAAATATGTGACGTCTTGCTGGAATATGGAGGTGCTGATGTAGATTGTCTCAACCAAACTAGGCAAACTCCTCTTTACGTGTGCTCTTTTGCTCACACGAGGCCCGATGTTGTTAGAGTGCTGCTTCGTCATGGAGCCAATACATATTTTATGACCCCAACAGGAATGCCTATCGACGCTGTGGCGACGGGATCAGCTACAAGGGAGATTGAAAATGAGCGTATTCGTCGTAAAGTGAAACTGGACGAGTCACACATGGTAGGACCTCGCTCGTCAAGTTTCTTAAACCTGTCTGGTTAACTGGCATGAACTTTAGGACGAGGCTATGAATGCAGCGAGACTGGCAGACCTCAGTAGCCTGAACCATCTGATAACATCCAATCCGAATATGAACATAAACCGACAATACCCAGAATGTAGTAGCAAGACACTGCTGCTTGTCGCATGTCAATATGGATCTCTCAAAGTCGTGGCTTATTTGTTGAGCAAGGGGGCAGATCCCAACATAGCTGATGTCCTTAATCTCAGCCCACTCCATCATGCTTGCGTCTGCGGGTCCCTTCCCATTGTGCAGGCTCTGGTAGAGGCTGGGGCAAAAGTAGACGCTGAAGGGAGAGAACGCAGGAGCGCCTTTTTCAGCAATGCTTTTGTCAGGCCTATAGATTTAGCATGTGAGAAGGGACATGTAGATATAATTAAGTGGTTGCTCGATATAGGAGTCAGTCCCTCAGCACTAGAGCATGGGAAGATTCATCCACTTCTATATGCAGCAATAGGAAACTCTGTAGACGTGTGTGAGCTGCTTTTAGGCAAAGGGGTGGACATCAACTATCAGAGTCGATACCTAGGCACAGCGATCTTTGCCGCGGCCATCTTTGGAGCAGAAACGGTAACCCAGTATTTGATTGGTGTTGGGGCAGACGCCGAGCTTGGATGGAATGCACCTGGTTTAGAAACCGAAGCTCTTCGATCACCCTCTGTATCGCCACTAATGGCATCGGGAATAAAAGGATACCAGAACATATTCGCTCTGCTGCTTCCAAAATCCGGTCCTGGTGAAAAGAGGGTACATATGGAAATACGACATCGAGACTCGTGGTTTGTTGTCGACTATACTCCATTTAGCCTCGCAGCTATGGCGAATGAACCAGAACTGGTACGGTTGATGCTAGAGTATGGAGCAGATGTCGACGCTGCTACTATCCCTTCGACTTCTACTTTATTGAGGGGTGAAACAACACCGCTGCTAACCGCAGGATATTATGGACGTATAAATATCGCCCGGATGCTATTGGAAGCTGGTGCGAACATTCACGCACGGGGGCCCAACGGAAGGTCTTGTTTACATATGGTCGCAGTCAGTTCGATTATAGGCGAACGTGGAAAATCAGACATGGTCCGTCTCCTACGGTTTTATAAAGCGAATCTTGATGATGTTGATCATGACGGTAATACGGCGGTGCATCTGGCAATCGTTATGAAAGCTACACAGATGGTGGATACACTAGTGGAACTGGGAGCTAGGATTGATATTGCAAATAATCTAGGCAACACGTGTCTGCATGAAGCTGTTCGGCAACGAGCAGCTGGTATGGTTAAGCTGTTGACAGAAAAAGGTGCAGATAAATTTGTAGAGAATAAAGAGGGCTTGACGCCTTCGCAAATTGCTGTCAAGGAGGGATATAATGAGCTAGTGCAGCTGTTCAAGCGAAGGAGCTCGATGGATTAAAGAACGCGTAGTGTACTGATTTATAAACCAAGTTAATTATAATTTGCAACTAAATTGAAATGTAGATGGCCTGGATTCAGTTTGCAAGCGTACCTTTGGTACATGTGGTGATGTATTGAAAGGATCGGGTCATAGTCAGCAGATGCCACACTATCATATTCTGGTTTTTCGGGACGTATAGTAGTTACATATTTGGGACCAGCTCCGGTTTATGTTGTTGAATATTGTTGAATATTCTTAAACAAGAAGCCCTTCACTGGATTTGGACGCAAGTACAAAATTATTGATCAAAAAGTTGAATGACAGCCCAACTACATCGTCGGCATCATGTTACAAATAACAAATATTGATCCTGCCCTCCAAAACGCCTTGTTCAGACTACCACCAACTTGTAACCGAACGAATGAAAGGGGATCCATTGTTATGATTCCTTTAGAGATAGTTCTTCTTAAGTTCCAGAATGTCGTTCAGCCACAACGAAAAGTCTCCTCTCAAGATGAGGTCATGCCTACCAGATTAGAACAGTGTTGCAGGACCGCCAAAACCCCATCCAATCCAATATACAGACTGTAGTCCAAATCAACATACCTTAAACTCCCTCCCGAATGAGATCCAGTAATAGCATAGCTACACTCATATCCAAACTGTATACATTCTCGTAAAGCCAATCTAGTCAGCCTGAACTTGCCAAACGAGAACAAGTCGTATATATTCGACTAGAGAATCCAAAGCATTGCGACAGAATCAAGTTTTTAAGATGGGCGCAAGGTTCGAGAGAGGCAAGAAATCGTTCATTGATTCGATCCATGTTGGTGATCTTTACTTTTTCGAGAGTGCATTCACAGGATTCGATCATGGCAGACAGTGGTTTGGATGTTGTTGTTGCAGCAGAGACAGAAAGGAATTTAAGAGCTGGAGCGGCTCCAGATAGAGCGGCCAGACCGTTCTCTGATACCATGTACCACCTAGAGTGTGTTGGCTACGATTAGAGTTTGCTCTGATTGGGTTTCACGTATGTAAAAAAAGAGATACGGAAGCCGATGTATGACATACCCAGTCATATCGAACACAGTAAGCCTCTTACGTCGCACAATCTCTTTCACGAAATAACTCCTGACCTCTCCACAATCGTTTAACAGTAGCCGTTCCAAACACCCATTAACATTCTCATCCTTCAAAACCCGCACCAACCCACCCGCACTCCAATTCTCAAATACAAACTAACTTCCACTCAAATCATACATCTCTACATTCCCCAATCGTTTCGTGACTGCCTGTAATCCACAATCCCCCAAAGTTTCACAGCGCTACGTGTTTGGTTTTTGCGTTACGCAGCATTGACGACAGTGTTTTAAACGAGTCTCATGCTGCGTACGAGGATGGAAGATTATCAGCATCCAGTTTCAAGATGGGCATAACGATGGATCAAACACTAGAATCTTGATTCTACCACATGTGAGAGCGAGCAATATTAGGTATGCCTGAGGGACGTAAGCAATGATCAGGATCAATATTTCATCAGGTAAATCTACTGGATCGACATCGCGCTTGACTTTTTCGAGTTGGGATTATGCTCAGAGACGGGTTTGGAATTTACTGCCATTTTTTTTCTTCGTGATAGAGTCTACCGATCGCTCTTCATGAGGCTGTTACTATTAGTCTGTACCATACAAGCATATTGCTTAATACTCTCTCATCTTGTAAAAGCTGCCGTTTTTCAAGCAACAATGCGTCTGAAACAATTGTTTGTGTGTTTCGTGTTGGAGTGGAGACAAACCACCTGAAACACGAACGTGAAAGATGACCAACCACTGGCCGCTTCGTGAAAAATTCGAAAAATTAAATTTGATGATCTCTCGATAGCTGTTGAACCGCCCACTACAATTTTACAAACGTCCACTATCTATAATATCATGTCTGACGGCTACATTGAAAGAGCGTAGATCCGTGCCCAGATGCTAATCTGAATCGTTTCATTACTTCAATTGGTGCTACTTTCTTTCTTGGCACGAGAGCGAAAAAAGCACTAAAGTCCAGAAAAAAGACAATCGGGAAGGTCCATTATTACAGTATAATGCTTTCTATTACAAGAATGCTCATCTATAAGCCCCAAACTACGACACTCCAACTACAAGACTACTAATAACTACTTTTTAAGCTCCTGATATCTTCCCAACAACACCTGCAAACCACTGCCGCCACCAGGCGCTGCAGTAACAGCAACATCAGGCACATCCCTCTTCCTCTTGGAATTCTTTTCAGCCTTGCCTGCATCACCGTCACTCTTACTTCCCGCAGCAGCAGTAGCGGCCGCTTCCAATTTCTTTTCCCCATAAGCCTTAACACCAGCCAAAACAACCTTTCTCGCATGCTCCGTTCCACATTCCACCAACGCGACAAGCACAAAAGCTGTTCCACTAGTACGTCTAGGATCTTTAGCACAGTATTCCAACCATGACGCAATCGCGGGCTGGATTGCGTTCGCGATTGTATCCGAGATTACTTCAGCGACTTTATTATCGGGTCCTGGTGGTGGTAGATCTGTAGGTGGTCGTCGACCTGATGTGATGAGTTCTTTAATCATGGTGTTTGAAGTGCGGTTGATTAGGACGTGTTCGGTGGATGCTACTGTTACTGGTATTGCGTTGGCAGCGCTGGCGGCTTTGGCTGCTTCAGCAGACAAAGCTTTTATAGCATGGAAGGGCTTTTTAGGTTGTTTTAAGACCGGGAGGTCGGCGACTTCTTCTAGGGTTTCGATAGGTGCTGATAGGGAATTCGTAAAGTTATCTAGTAGTTCGGCGGCATCATCATGTGATGCGTATTGTTTCATTACTTCTGCTACTATATGACTAGATGTCTTTTCCTTGACGAGTAATTCAAAGTGTCGGTTGATGACTTCCTTTAATGGAGTAGACCATACATTCAGCAACTCAGTATGTTTCTGAGCATCATCCTTCCTACAAGTGGTGGCACGTGTAGCGTCTAGAGAAGCCAAATCGAAGACAACAGCAGCAGACAGGTATCGTTTATGACGACCACATAAAGCATGCAATACTACTCGTGAGGCATATTGGTCGAGCAAGAGTGTCTTTAGGACATTTACATCAGCAGTCAATTCACCGATAATGGCTTTACCACTCAGCACGGTATCATCAGTAGACTCTAGTATAGTAATCAGTACGGTAAACCCATATTGTTCCTTGGCGGCTTTTACGACATATGATTTCATCGTCTTTATGATATGTTTACGGTCCTTGGCACCTGCATGACTATACAAGATTTGAGAAACACGAGCGCCTTCCCGCGTATGCAAGATTCGAATAATCTGGTCCTTTAGTGGTTCAATCATGGCAACCACGTCAGATGTTTTGGCATGAGTCAAGTATTCTAGTAATACTCGGTGGACTATGCTGTGTGGTCCAATGTCAGCACTCCCTTTATCTATGATACCATCCAGAGCTTCTCGAAGGTGTTTTAATACATATGGCTTTTTAGCTTCGCTGGATTCCAATAGAGCTGCCAACGAAGAACCACCAGTTCCCTTGAACAGAGCATATTGGGGACCATAGAATTCTTCAATGAGTTGAGCTCGTTGCTGAGCATTGGCGTATTGGGTGTATGCTTCTTCAATAACTAGCGAAGCAGATTTCTGTCTCATAAGTTTTCGGATTTTACCATGGAATTCCTTCATTACTGCATCTCGAAACTTTGGGCTAGGTAATGAGAGAAAATCGAAATGAGTCAGTCGTTAATGGCATTTGGGTCGTTCCTTTTTTGCGTAACTCACCAGTAGTTGAGAACCTTCGAAACCAGGAATCGACTATACTGCTTTTTCGACAGTTCAACAAACGAACCCTTGAGTTCAGCAGCAATAGAGTCTCGTTGTGCACTGTTTCCAAACTTGAGCATGGACTGTATGATTCGTGAGGCATCATGTTTGAAGATCAACTAGGAGACAGAAGAAAAAAACGCCGGTGAACCAAGAGATTTTATTTCCTTTCAGACCTTGCAAAGCGCACCTCTTGAATATGACCAGACACAAGTTCCATAAGCTCCTTCATAACTTGAGCTCGACCATCAGATTTAGTCTCCTTGTGTCTCAGCTTTTCCCATAACTTTTTAGCCGATGTTATCATATCAGCATGTGGTTTTTGCCCCTAAGTCAAAACGGCGACGTGTAAAGACAAAACATTCATACGCCAAAAAACGATTGTAATCATCTCAACATACTCGACGTTCTTCAAGCAAACGTTTCTGCTCCTTCCGTGATTTAGCAATCTCCTCAGCCGTACGAGGTTTCTTTGCAGGATTCTCTGGATCTGCTTCAGCACCATCTACAGCCTCATCACCTTCTTCAGGCTCTACATCCTCGTCGTCATCATCATCTTGTTGCATGGCATCTGCGTCTTCATCTTCTGACAGTTCTCCACTAGCATCTACAACACCAACGTCGTCTGTATCGTCCATCATTTCATCATCCTGTTCCAACACAGCCAATTCTTCAACGTGATCGTCTTGTTCTTGATCCTTGAATATGGTTTTCTGTTTTTTGGATGTTGACTTTGCTGGAGGTGGTGGTCGAGCAGCCTTTTTAGTAGTGTGAGCCAGTGATCTCTTTAATGGTTTAGCAGATTTTCCTGCTTTACTAGGTTTCCTCATATCGAGTTTCGCCATGATTCTGGATTTTGAATCTTTTTTGGAAAGGTTTGGACGCTGAAAAAAAAAGTCCAACGAAACGGCAGGATGCGCTCCCCAATTCGCAGAGGAAGCTCTGACGTGAAAGTCGGTGAATTCTACTATATATGAATTAAATTACACGTAATCCAATAGGTTTGGTTCAGGATAGGCGAGCTTTGATGCTGGTCGATCGCTTTTAGAAGATTATGCCCGTTTTGGACCGTTATTTGGCGTTCCAAAGCACGACAGGTGTTCAGTGAATTGCTTTAATACGATAAGAGTATCAAGCTAGAGCGCCGTTAGCATGTATTGTGGGGTTGACCTTGTCTCACTTCAAACGTGCTGCAACTTACTTCGCGACAACAACTATTCTACCAAACAAGCTAAAGGCAAGGAAGGAGCATCATGGCAGCCAGACCAATAAAGAAGCTGCTTATTGCTAACCGCGGGTATATGTCGCTTGCATTTCGTCTTCTTCCGGTTTGCGTTAAATCTTGTGTTCGTGGAAATTCAGAACTTTCAGAGGCCTAACTTTGCTTCGTCAAACGTTTCCTATCTAGTGAGATCGCCATTCGGATTTCGCAGAGTGCCAAGGAACTGGGAATCAAAACTGTGGGATGCTATGTTCGTGAAGGTGCGTGTGCGTTTCGTGGAATTGTGTTGTATGATGAAATCACAGCGTCATAATCATGCATTGTGTTGTGTACATCGCGTTTCTACTTAATAACGTATGTCGAACCTTCAATAGACATGTCCCATGTTCCCTACATGGATGAAGCCTGTGAACTAAATGTACGCAGTGGTGCAGCACCAGCAGCCTCATTTAACGACATTGGAGCGCTGATAATGGTGGCCAAAAGATTCGGCGCTGATGCAGTACATCCCGGCTACGGATTCGTCTCTGAATCTGGTGATTTCGCACAAGCTTGTTCGCAAGCAAACATACTGTTTGTGGGCCCATCGCCTGCCAATTTGAGAACGTTTGGCGACAAGATCACGGCCAAAGTAGCTGCCAAAGAAGCTGGTGTTTCTGTTGTTGAGGGTACTGCGTCGGCTGTTATGGGCGTTGGTGAAATTGTGGCGTTTGCAAACAAGTTTGGATATCCTATAGTGAGTCACTGGATAAATCATCTCATTATTGAATGTACTGATTCTTTTTTCTTTGTATGTGTAGATCCTGAAACACGCTAACGGTGGAGGAGGACGCGGAATCCGTATCGTCCACGAAGAATCCGAAATCGAAACAGCCTACAAACGATGTCTATCTGAAGTCGGCGGTACCGCTAACGGCGGTGTCTTTGTAGAGCAGGCCATAATGGGAGGTCGTCACATCGAAATCCAAATCCTAGCCGACACGCAAGGAAACGTAGTCCATCTCTACGATCGAGACTGTAGTGTACAACGTCGATTCCAAAAGATTGTGGAAATTGCTCCTGCTTTGAATATTGAAGCTGGATTGAGAGAACGGGTATTCAAGGATGCTGTTGCTTTGGCACAGCATGTGAAATACGCTGGTGCTGGAACCATCGAGTTCCTCGTAGACGAAAAGGCCAACCGTCATTACTTTATGGAGGTTAATCCACGTCTTCAAGTGTGAGTCTTTACTCGCTTTCTTTGTTTTTGGTTCGCTAAGACGCATACACACCCACCTTCAGAGAACACACAATCACCGAACAAGTCCTAGGTCTCGACCTAGTTGCAGCTCAACTTCACATCTTCCAAGGAACGTCATTACAAGAGATGAACATAATCCAATCCAAGATCGTGCCCCGTGGCGTCTCAATCCAATGCAGAATAACGGCGGAGGACGTTAGCAAAAACTTCCAGGTGCAGACCGGCGTAATCAGTATATGGCAAGCCGCTTCCGGTAACGGCACAAGGGTGGATACGTTTGTCAAATCTGGTGTTGAAATCACACCGTTCTTTGATTCGATGATTGCCAAGTCTATTACTACTGGCTCGTCATTTGAGGTTGCTAGAAGAAAGGCATTGAGAGCTGTGAGAGAGACTGTTGTTCAAGGTATGATTTCAATTCTATCAGGTTTTTTTTGCTCGCTGATTGACCATTGAAACAATTAGGCGTCAAAACAAACATTGGCTTCCTAATCAACTTGTTGGAGCACCCCCAATTCATCGCCCAGCAAGGAATCACCACATTATGGGTCGAGGCTCACACCGAACTCATGAAGGAAGCTATCAGCACCGCACCAGTAGCATCATCATCAACCGCCACGCAATCATCAGTAGACCCGAACGCAATCTACGTCAAATCCGGGGAGACCCGTCTCCTCGAAATCAACACTGACGCAACAGCAGCGACCGGATGGGAAGAACATACGGTTAAAATCCACTCTGTAGTTCCACCAGGAGCAGGCTTGGGAGCGTCTCAAGTACCCCATACATCAATCAGCGCGGAAATCGACGGTACACCATTACGTTTGCGATTACATGGACCTGGAACTGCAGCCAGGAAGGTAAATGTAAAGATTGAAGCCCCGCCAGGCAGTATTGCGATTTTAGCACCTCATGATGGACGAGTCGTGGAAGTCTTGTTTGAAGAGGGTGAAGATATCGAGGAGGGACAGGAAGGTGTCGTGCTGAGTTTGATGAAGATGGAGACTATTGTCAATACTGCTATCACTGGACGAGTTGTCAAGGTTGTTGTTGCTGAGAATGATGTTATCAAGGAAGGAGGTATGTGGCAATTGTCGAGTATCATTTTTGCACTGAACGTCAACTAATTATAGTTTGTGTTTGTCATAGCACCTCTTATGTTTGTACAACCAGAGGGAGTGTCTGCTGCGAAACTGTAAAACAATAGTTTTGCAATAAATCCAAATCAGTGAATGGGACTTTGTTGAGAACTCAGTAGGGTCTCATCCAAAGACATGTCTAGTTCGAGTCGTACTACAAACATCTGTACATTTGACTTGACGATCGGTGGTGATCGACTAGTCTGAAGTACTTCAAAATCTTAGGTGTAGATTCTGGTGCAGGTAGCGAACGAAGTATCCGAATTTTGAGCCAAAAATCACGGCATTTAGGCTAAATTATTATGCAAGTAGTTCGAATAAAGGAAAATCGGTCAATTGGACACTATTGGTCAAGGTCAAAAACATAGGCGACATATAGTGTGACGACGGAATTAATGTCCAATTCAACCGACGCAACCGACTCTTTTGGAACGTTTTCATTACATAGCCAAGTAAATTAATACAAATCTGATACGCGCTCTTCTCCTCCTGCAATTCATGCTTGTTCGTGCAGCTTAACGTCCAGAACTCGGTCTGTCCCAGCAACAGACAACAACCGAGCGACGTGTGACGTTTGTTGTTGCAAAAAAGTGAAAGGTTGTTGCCGACAGTGTCTTGCATGAGTGGACATTGACTACCGCTTTGCTTTGTCTCTGCATTCTTTTTTTGCTCTCTTGCCTCATTCTTGCTGCCAATCAAGGCTAAGATTTGACAACAATCGGACTTTCTTGTTGGACGAGAGAGAGATTATTGGATCTTGCTATAGGCAGTAAGGTGACAGCTATGCCAACATTAGCGGTCTCCCAGTATCCAACTCCTCAGATGTCTCCATCGTCGCCATCGAGTTATTACACAAATGGCACCAATGTAGTCAACAATAAGAGTATCCCTCAACCAGCAAATCCCATTCCTGGCGCAGATTATAGCCAGTCTCCGTTTGCCAGTCTCATAAGCAAGGTTACCCAGAGCAAACCACCGACTCCTGAGGTGCTAGTGTATATATGGCGAAAGTATGGAATCCTGTTGGAGATCTGTCATATTTCGCAACTAATTGTTTCTAATCTCTAACTTTTTGACTCTAGCCTGCATGCTTCAGCAGCCCAAAACCCACTCGCTCGCCCATCCAGAACCGAACTACAAGCATTACGACAGGGCACACTACGAACCCTCCAGCTCAAAGAACGCACCTCGCTACGTACCGTAATGAGACTATGGGGTGAGATCGAAGCCATAGTGGAACAATTCCCTGGTGACAGACTCCACGTTGGAGAACGCCAAATCCTCGTTGACGCATTAATGGAGTCCTTCAAATACGAAATGGAGGCTGGATCGCGCTACAACAACCCAAACACTATTGTCGAGCCTACTGTCACAAAGGAAGAAGACGTCGCTGTTTGCATGGAGTCGCTGGAAATGCTGCTAGCGAATGATACCGTCGGGGGTAAGGAGGGGGTTAATGATAGAATCAAAATGACACAGGAGAATCGAGTCGTGCTGGCTACGGTTGTTGGACACTATTATCGGAAGAATGGGATGATGATGAATGAGCCTGTGGGCCGGATGGAGAATGCGCTGAGAGGGTTGGTGTCGAAGAAAAGGGAGGGTGTGGAGTCTGTGGTATTTGGTGGCGGGGCCGCTGGCGGTCTTGTTACGGCTGCTGTAGGTGCTGGTAATAGTCCTGTTCCTGTGTTACGAGAGGCTGGTAGACAGTCGCAGATATACGAGAACCCATAGTAAGTTCTAGTTCAATCATTTGCTAGGTAAAGCCAAAATGACTGACATGTATTTTCTACAAATAGTTCTCAACAATGGCAGCAGTCTCGAGAAAAGTAAGTGCCTAGATCATATTTTTGAAGATTGCGAAAACAAAAAGACTCCTAAACTGATTACCAATACTCTTATTCTAGCCTCTCAGACTCAACGCTCTCCAAACCCGACCTAACAAACACAAACCCACTCTCACGAAACATATCCATATCTTCCCGCAAAACAAACATGACAATGGCATCGATAAAGTCCTTCCGTCAGAACGCCGACAAACCCAAGGTGCTGTTTACAGGCCTACCCAAAAACGATTCAGATTATTGGACCAAGGTGCTAGTAGCGCTGGGAGTTATCATGGTGGATAACTGGAAGGAATGTAATATATTGATTACAGATCGGTCGAGGAGGACAACGAAATATCTGGCGTGTCTTGCTGCTGGCAAACTGATCGTTAATGTAACGTGGGCGGATCGGTGCCGGAAGAGTCATCGGCTTGTTGGTGAGTTTTTGGTTTGTGAGGGTTGTTGAGGATGGTGTAGCTTGTAGCAATGCCCTCTGCATTTTACATGATATTCGGTGTTTTTTGCGCCCAACGTCAACTACTACGTTACTCATCTCACCACCTTGTCCCCATCCAACACAGATATTGAACCATTCCTCATCGTACCCACTCAACTCGTCCGCATCCACAAACACCCCCACGGCATCCTCGACACCCTCACCTTCTTCATAACACCCCACGTGCACATACCACGCCAGGACCTCATCGAGATAATCGACGCAGGAGGCGGATCCGTCCTCGATACCATGCCAGAAGACACCACCATCGCGTCCGACCCATACCACCCCATCATAATCGGCTCGCTCGCTGACCGAGCCGCGTGTGAAGCGCTCGCTGACAAGGGCTGGGCAATCCAGTCAGTAGAGTTCTTGTTGAGCGGCGTGCTGAATGGTGAGATTAATTATACGGCGTATCAGATTGTCGCGCCGGGGAGGGCGCCAGAGTCTGGTGGTGTGGTGGTAGTGGATGGTGCAAGTAATCATAGTAATGAGAGTAGTAATCGTCGGTCGAGGTTGCTATTGCGAGGGACGTCGGTTGAAAGGGGGAATTGGTTTCGTGCGAGGAGCAAATCGAGATCTAGGTCTAGGGAACGTAGACGTGGACAAAATGTTGGTGTTGGTGCAACAGCTGTTGCTAATGGGGCTATGGACAGTGTTGATATTCGTGGTAGACGAGGTTGAGGGACTTGTACATGTATGAAACTACATTATATTCATCTGTATATATAGTAAATCATTGACTTAGGTATGATTCAAAAGAAACTCTCGTTTTGACCATGCAAACTCATATTTATATTGTGTTTATGCCTCGATATACAGATTTTAATACGACCTAATAAAACTATGCCTCGATCTACAGATTTTTATAAGACCTGATAAAACTACTACTATCTGGTTGCGACTGATGTTGCATACTGATGTCAGGTTTGACTTTGATTGACGACCATAGCAGAACCTCCACTGACGACCATAGCCTTATTATTTACACTTGCTCTATCAGACGACGACATCTTCATACGCTCCCACTCCTCCTTCAACAACTCTAACCGTGCATCCGTTATCCCCTGATGCGAGTACTCACATTCCTCCTCGGATTTCTTACAGCTCTTCCACAAGTGGAAGTATATACAAGGCACATCCTTCTTGTCGTGTGCAAAGGGACATGCATCTCGACGAGTACACTTCCCACGAACCATAAATGTGCACATGGTACTGCTTCGTATATCATCAATACCATTGTCAACTGGTTTCTTGTTCTTTTTCAATATAACATCATGTGAAAAATCACAATGTGCAGCCAACGCACAGCGTCTCTTTATATAGAACTGACATGGGATTGTAGACGCCCATTTTTTGTACTGTGCTTCTCCTTCTTGGTATTTGGCTATTTGAGTTGCGCTTATTTCTGATGTTCTACTATTGGATGATGGTACTGGTGTAGTTGTTGAGACGGAAGGGCGAGATATCGGTGGCTCTAAATCAAGGACTAGGTTTGTCAAGTCTGATAAATCGGCGTTGAGGAGGGCTTGAGATAGATCTGATCTGACTCCTATACTGATTGCTGTTATGTATTCGAATATATCCATTTCGTCACTGTTTGTTTTGGATGTGGGTGGTGGTTGTGGTGTTGTTGTTGGATTTAGAGTTGGGATGATGGCTTCTTGTTTTACTTCAGCCATGATGACATCTTCCATGAGCGGTACAGGCCTGATTTTCAACGTCTTTCCACCACCCCTACTATTATTCTTATCATCTGATTCACTTTGCCTAGCTTCTCTTATTGTAGCTGATGCGTCTTCCTGTTTAACAGCCTGTTCCTGCTTTCTCTTTTTAGCAGCCTGCTTCTCCGTCTTCCTCGCGGCCCGATCCTTGACAGCATTGCCAGTCTTCTTAATGATGACTTCCGGGTCAAAGCTAGCCCATCCAACTTTACATATATACCCCTGCCACATGATAGGATTTATTGTCTTTTCAGCGACATATTCCTTTGCCAGGTCATGACTAGCAAAAGTCACAAAAGCACAACATTTATCCTGAATTACATTCACGTTTATAATGTTGGCGTTGTTCTCGAGTCCTATTTCACGAGCGACTTGATCCGCAGCAAGTGGGTTTTGGATTTTGGTATGCATGCCCTTCATGATGTGTCCTAATGACAAGTAGCATGTACGGACGGTGGCGTTCGGTGGATTTGGCACATTTATTACAGTAGATGGTTGAGGTATCGGATACGGTACTGGTCTATTACTATTCTTTTTGTGCTTTTTCTTAGTTTTGGCTTTTAGTGGATTTGATGTTGACGTTGATGGCATGCTGGTAGATGTAGCTGCATCCGAGAGCGGTGGAGTAGGTGGATGGATGAGTTTCGAATACTGTGCTTGGCTCATATGTCGTGGTATGGACGAGCTGGGTGCGCCTTTGGCAACATCATCACCGTCGTCTTCGCTATCTAATTCCAGTTCAAGATCAGAGCCAGAACCGTAATTTTCTGCTGCATCTACATTATTGAGTGGTTTGGCTATTGGATCCTCGTCTTCTGCTATCTCCCCTTCCTCCCAGTCGTCCATGCTGTCGTATTCACGTTTTTCGCGTAGTTGGAAGCTCTGAAGCTTTTAGATAGACTTGTAACAGCGTGATCGGAGACGTACGAAATGAATATTTTATATAGATTTGAGACAGTTGACGTGTAACTTGAACTCAAGTTTATGCTATACATGACTCAATAATATGTTTACAAGAATCAGCTCTAGATCAGAAACAAATACCATTTTAAAGGATATGAAATTCAACGGTTTCCATCATACAAACGATATCCATCCATGAGTGGCTGCTAGCCATCGAAACCAACGCCGTTTGTGTGTTCAGATGGCGTTCTCGGTCTTGGGAGGTACGAAAACATTTCCAATCTGGATCCCAGAAGTATAGGAAGGTGACTTTTGAGTATATAAAGATGATTACGTTTGCAGGGGAGCAAGAGAATCAACGAGTGAAGCAGCACACAAACCTCTTTCGAAACATTGTTGGGTTCCAGGGCTTTTTAAACAAAGTACTCGAGACCAAAGAAGTCCGAGACGTCGCCATCTCATTGTAGTTTTCCTAGTTGTGGTCGTAAAATGTAAGAGAAAGCGTCATGGCAAAAAAAAAGAACGAGGTCACGTACCATGTGTGTTTCTACCACTCCTCTACCAGGTTCTACTTCCATGATCAACATAATCAGTATTCGACGATGACAAGCAATCGCAATTCAGTAACATACCCGTTGTTTCTTCACAACAGCAAAAGAATTGACCAAGACCCTTTTATCCCGGGTCCAAGTTCATTCCACACACTCCTATTGCCACCGAAAGTTACAAAATAGTATTTGAGAGCGTCCAACGGCGCCTTGCTCAGCGTGTCAAGATACGAAACAGCGAGAAGAGTGTGGTCAGAATGTTATTGGAGCAAACGACTCCCACTTGTTGGAAGGGCTACTTGTACACATAGAATGTCAGATTCGTTTTGAAAAGGGTCTGAGACGTTTGAGTCTTACAGTTCCAGGTTTGTAAGGGAGTGTGGGTAGTTGTCAACTTTACAATGCACTTGGAGAATGGTTTGCGTAGTCAGTAGCATCGCCAGAATGAGGGTTGCCATGTTTTTTAGCACTTTGCTTCGCTGTACAAGTAGAGCGACCCTTCGTTTGAATCCAAGATTTGACATAAAACACAGGTTCCAAGGTTTCATGTTTCGAAAGTGTAACAGCATTCATAGTCTCATGAGACAAGACGTCAATGCGTTAGCAAACGACTTGCATCACATCTGCAATACGTCGGAGGCCTTGTCTGACGAAACCAGTGAAATGCTAGTCTGAAACAAAGCTTGAAATTTCAAATTGCTTAGTTTCTCATTAAGAAGCAAGGAGTCAGCACCCAGCGAGGGGGTCGAATTTGGAGCCAGGATGAAGTTCACAGATATTTTCATGCAGGCTACAAACAAATCCTTTCTCCTTGTTCACTAATCGACCAACAACAGGCACGGCGGAGTCGAATTTGTGAGAATCTATTGTCACTGGGCCTAGCCTAGAAGCAAGGAAGATTTCAATTCCAATACCAGTAGCACTTATTGCCTCGCTGGAGCTTGCTATAGGACCAACTGCATAACTTATACCATGGACTTGCGAACCAGACTAGGGTCAATCTTCAGAGGTCGGAGACGACAACAGCCACGCATTACTGATGAGACTCAGGCATAGACTTTATGGAATTGTCTGTATTTGAACGTGGCTGTGTGAATTCTAACGCATTTTTACTCAGTTCGTTACCAGCATCGTTGTTGAAAGAGAAAATCTGTATACTGTAACTGCCATTGCACCAAACACCACCATCCCTCAGAGAGTTACCGAAACAGCATCAGGATCAGTGCTTAGCAATGTAGCTGCAGAAGACAGGCCAGTTCCAGCTCAAACTGGCGGTGCTGGGCCTGTAAGTCCTAGTCTTGGAAGACTTTGTCTTTGAACGAGCTAACACTCAGCCCGCGCTAGCCGTCGTATGCCTATACTACAAGCAGATATAAGCAGTATCGCGTGAAGCTCGCTTACACACCTCGTGAACCGGACGAACTGGAGTTGAACTCGGGCGAACTTGTCACCGTCACAGAGACTTTCGTTGATGGTATGTGTCCCTGAACTCGCAGTATGTCAAAGTTATTGATTGTTGCTCTCGATTTTAAGGCTGGGCCCGTGGATATCTTCACGCCAGTGGCCGATCTGGAATGGTCCCGATGATGTCGTTACAGGAACTTAAAGTCAGTAACCTGACCGATTCTCAGTTAAAGGACGTCGCTTCCATAGATATGAGTCCAAGTATAGCCCGGACGACTACACGGACGCGGGACGAATTTTCTGACTTGCATGCATGGTTGAATCCTTCGGATTTCAGATTAGCCATGTTTACGCTAAAGGAAAAGAGACTCAAGGCAACTAGAGTCTGGCTTATGGATGAACTGATGGAATGGGCTACAAAAGACGATCAGTATCGTGTCTTTTGGCTATCCGGTGTAGCAGGTGTAGGCAAATCTGTCATAGCAGGTTGTTTTGCAGATGAACTACAGAATCGCAATCAATTGGCTGCCCACTTCTTTTGCAAGCACGATGAGCTTGCTCGTAATGATCCATTCCAGTTAATCACAACATTGGCATTCCAGCTTGCAGCCTTTGATCCTGGTATTAGAAGGGCTCTACGGGATTTGCATGAAGCTGAACCAAACTTTTTAGTCAACACGCCATCAATCGGTCTGCAATTCGAACATCTTATAGTAAAGCCAGCATCAGCGTATCGTGGAGGCAAAGCCGTCATATTGATAGATGCACTGGATGAATGTGCGGTAGAGGGAAGCCTACGAGAAAAGTTCCTCCAGACTCTCGCTCAGAGCGTTCCCAAGCTGCCCAGGAATATTGTCTTATTCATTACTAGTCGTCCGTCGCCAGATCTGAAGATGCAACTATCGGAATACGTACCACGAACCATGGAACTCGGAGACATATACAATCTCAACGATATAAAGCTATACGCCATGTACCGCATGACCAAGCTACGCCCTATACTGGAATCAGATCAATTTGTTGACTCATTTGCTGATAAACTATCTGTAATGGCCCATGGTCTATTTGTATGGCTGTATCTTGCATGCGACACCATGGATAAATCCGATAATCTCGAAGGAACTCTCGCAGAGATGGAGAACCGGACTCTCGGAAACGACGAAGAGCGAATGGACAATATATACACTAGGGCTCTTGTGGCTAGCTTCAAAGGAGCTCCCGAATCGTCTATCAAGCAGTATACCAAAATAGTAGGGGCCCTTGTATGTCTCCGAACACCAATGTCTGTCGAAGACATTGCGGCTCTCTTAGGTTCTCCGTCAAGCCGAGTGCGCCTAAACTTGAGTCGTATCGAGTCGTTACTTGTAATGTCGAAATCGTCAGTGAGGCTGATGCATAAATCTGTAGCGGACTTTATCACGTCCCCAGACCGGTGTATCGCTGACGCCTCGCCATTTTACATTGATCGACAGTCAGCTGAAATGTATCTTGCCAAAAAGTGCTTGGATGCACTCCCATTGAGTTTGAAAGTCGAGAGTATTCAAGTACAGATAGAACGGCTTAGAGGCATCACACCCTCTAGCAATCCCGCCCTTTCTAGATACGTTTTAAACCACTGGTGTGACCATTTGAATTCCGTGGAACAGCTGGACAGTGAGTTGACAACGATCCTTACTCGGACACTTCAACACTATGGCCGTGCCATGCTGATAGTGGCGGTTCTAAAGAACTTTCCAGTTGCTCTCAAATATATACTGAAACTCGGGGGAGGGTCATACCTGTTAAAGGCTACCGAAAAACTCAATTGTTTCCAAACACCAATTCTCTTTGAGGCTGCTACATCCGACCATGCAGATATATGTGAAACGCTGCTCGAATATGGAGGTGCTGATGTAGATGCCGTTAATAATGAGCTGGAGAGGGTCACTGCCCTTTACATTTGCTCCTTCAGTCACACCAAACGAGCCGTGGTCGAAGTCCTTCTGCGTCATGGCGCCAATATTGATTTCAGAAACCCGGTAGGGTTTACTGTCGACACGTTTGCAGCGGGATCAGCTGGCAAAGCGATCGACATTGAACGTGCTCGTCGCAAAGTGAAGCTGGACGAATCGAATATGGTAAGTTACCATAGTATCGGTTGAGTCGTTCCAACCAAGGTTCTCACATACATGCATCGTAGGACGATATTATGAATGCGGCGAGATGGGCAGATCTCACACTATTGAAACAATTACTGGCTGACAATCCGTCGATTGACATAAACTACAAGTATCCAGAATGCAACAATAAGACTCTGTTGAGTGTCGCTTGTCAGTATGGATCTTTTGACGTTGTAGTATATCTCCTGAGCATCGGTGCAGATCCGAACATAGCCAATAGCCAAAATCTCATCCCCCTACATCACGCATGCTCCTTTGGCTCCGTCCCCATTGTCCAAGCACTGATAGACGCCGGGACGAATCTAGATACAGAAGGTCAAGAACGCAAAAACGTCATTTTCAGCAATGTCTTTCTGCGGCCTATAGACTGGGCCTGTGAGAACGGGCACATAGAGATAGTTAGGTTGTTGCTTGATAAAGGAGTGAGCCCTCACGCACTCGGAGATGGGAAGATTCATCCGCTCCTGTATGCTGCTATGGGAGGCTCTGTGGAGGTCGCCCAGCTACTCGTGGAGAAAGGAGTGGATATCAACTACCAAAGCAGATACTTTGGCACCGCGATAGTAGCTGGGGCATATTTGGGGTCTCAGGATGTAGTCTCGTATCTGATCGATATCGGAGCAGATACTGAACTTGGATGGGACGCGCCAGGCCTGGAAGTGGAAGCTCTTCGATCACCAAAAGTATCGCCTCTAATGGCATCCGCGATAAAAGGACACCATAATATTTTTGCACTGCTACTTGCACGATCTCCTCCCGGTGAGAAGAGTGTTCGTCTTGAGATGCGGACGAGAGACTCCTGGTGCTTTCTTTATCTCACTCCGATGCTGCTCGCTGCCATGGGAAATGAACCAGAGTTGGTACGACTGATGCTAGAGTATGGAGCCGATGTAGATGGTGCTACTGTAGCTACGAGCTCTGTTGTTTTGGCTGGGGAAACAACGCCGCTGCAGAATGCAGCATACTATGGACGTATAAGGATATCCAGGATGCTGTTGGAAGCTGGCGCCAATATTCACGCACGAGGGCCTAACAGACGGTCGAGCCTACTTATGGTAGCATCTAGTGGAATTATAGGAGACCGCACTAGGGCTGACATGACACGTCTCCTACGGTTTTATAAAGCTGATCTTGATGATGTAGACCATGACGGAAATACAGCGGTGCATCTGGCAATCGGCATGAAGGCTACAGAGACGGTCAAAGCATTGGTAGAACTTGGAGCTAGACTGGATATAGTGAATAATCTAGGCAATAGTTGCTTGCACGCAGCTGCTCGACAACGAGCGGCTGGGATGGTCAACCTCTTGATTGATAAGGGAGCTGATAAAGGTATTGCGAACAAGGAGGGTATGTCGCCTTTGCAGATTGCTGTTAAAGAGGGGTACAGTGAGCTGGTACAGCTGTTGAAGTGAAAGTAGTGATTCGGTGGAGTAAATAACGATTGCATCTCAACATAAATTATAATATGTCTGCAGTTAGTTTTATTTCCAGTATTGAACGGAAAACATGGTTAGCTGCACAAGTTATGCCTGCGGACTGTTGCTGTGTTTGTTCGAGGGAGAGTTAGAGCGGTCGCTCAAGGGCAGGGTGGGAATGGCCACCAACTCGAAGGTTTCAATGTGAAGACTACTTTCATCAAAGTGTTTGACAAGTCGACAAGCATATATGTTATCGGCACAGCACGTGTATTCATTCTTGAAGGTCTTATTATTGACTAATGGGAGGATGGCAGTTGACCACAAACATATTTTTAAAGGACAGGCCGTATAAAAGAAGGAATCCTTTTGTCAATTGTTCGTGATATTTGTGTGTCGGGCAAATAGCAGTTGGTGGAATGCTGGCAAGATCATGAGTTAAAGGGCCCTCGAGTTTCACATGAATACAAACTACATTCGTCCACTTCATAGGCGTCATAGCGAGTCGACTCCAGTCTAACAGTCCCCTACAGCTCTACCTTGTGACGTGGTTGCTGAAGGTCTAGAACGCTGCTTGGCCTGAAAAAGACTTTGTTGGTGAGTAATAAGGTAATCGGAAATTCGGTTTGAAAACGAGCATTAAAAGCAGAAAAACTGATTTCTTTCAACTTGTCTAGCATACTCCTCGTACACGCATTATACAGATACCTTCTGCATCAGTCTCACGATGCCACATCGAACGAAAACACCAACTACATCAGACCTTTATCAAACCAGTCACGATGCTCACGACCATCATCACATCCACCATAATGAACATCACAATCCAATCCTGGCATTCTTTGGGTTCAAAGAACATAGTAAAAATCACCATCATCACTTTGGAAGTGAGTCAACGCATTACCTCATCGTTTTTTCATCACGACTAGCCGCGACGCTAACCGTACTTCAAAATCTAGTAAACTTTCCACTACCGGATCTTCATATACGACGAGACTCCCTCGCAACACTGTCCACGATCGATGGTCTACACGAACACCACGACGGTGAACACCACCACAGTGAAATCCCAATAGTTAGGACACCAACCGTCGTCAGTACACACTCTACGCAAAGCCATAGCTCGAAACATACCCACTCATCGCATCACAAGTATGAAAGTCTGCTGGAACGCTTGGGGCTGCATCATCATCACACTGCCAAGAAGGAAGAGTCGAATGAATCGTTTAGGGAGACGTTTGATGCTTTAGCTGCTCATGAAAATTATCCAAAGCCAACAGAACACCGACATACAATTAAACCAGCAGCATTCGCTCATCTAAACGGGAACTAGTAATCCCACCCAGAATCAACCTCCATATTATTATTTAAATCATCGAGTCAATACGCCTGATGTAATGTGTGCCGTGAGTGAATGAGTGTGTACCTTCCTAATCTGCTTCTTAATATCTCCCAACCATATATTGTCTGTAATTTTTATGATTGTGCTCTGCATATACCCAATCATGTCTTTACATCAGGTTATATCCCGCGTAAAGCACGCTCTATGTCGCGTAAACTTCGATGTTTCAATTACGGGTTTGAGTTGCTGTCGGAAAACCTCATCGCGAAGCAAGGCCCTCGACGAACAGCGACAATGGAGCCAATCTTCCAGGACGAAGAGGTGGTAATCCATGACGAATACAAACCAATAGAACGACAGAGTCCAGAAAATATTCGAAAACCAGCAAGGCCACCATCAACAGCACCAGCCGAATCAATCACTACGACAAATACCACAATCGTTACTACAACTACTACAATACAAGCAGCTCCAGGCAAAGTCTCGAATTGGAAGACATCCTCCTCTTTGAGCAATCTCATTGTAAACAAACCAAGACATTTTTGTGTCATCATTTTCTGAAATTGAAATCAACTACATTTTCATGATTTATAGCAACCTGGAACACTTTTTTTCCGACCTGGCGAGGCCATGAAACGTCGTACATCAGAAGGGAATCAACCTGTATCTGACGTCCTATCGTTTGGTAAGATCAAGTGTGCTTGTTCATGTTTTTGTGATGATCTGGTCGTCATCAGCGGTCGATCATCTCAAAGCTGGAAGATTTCAATATGAATGATCACAACTTGCTGATCATGATCATCATATTTTCATTCTTTAGCCAAGACCTCTTCAGCTGCTCCTCAAATCGGTCAAGGTCCTCGTGATTCCAAGGGCGACGACGATGATTCGGCTTCATCAACCTCAAGTCACTCTATGGATAAGGGAAAAGAAGAATCACCGATCAGCAGCAACGACAAAGACGGTAGGTTGAGAGCTTATTTGTCGTTTCCAATCATCACGTGTTTCTCAGAAAGACTCGAAAATGGAGTTTTATGGAGAAAAATACCCTCACACGTTTTCATCGCACGAACGTTTATAATCTCATCATATCCTTCCCATCAACTATCCACAGATGGATACGCATCGACTTCACGAAAAGAAGCGTTGCGTGCCAACAGGGCTTCTCGTGCCTCAACTGGAAACACATCTACAGCAGGACGTGCTCCTTCAAGTATCTTGAGGCCTGAATCAAACTGGTTTACGGGTCTTGCTCGTCATTTCACTCGTGGCAAAGCAACCAACTGGTCTCGCAACGACAACTCGATGGCCGAACCTACTCCTGCTATGGAATTGGAGGCAGTCACGGAACCTCAACCCATCGCCACAGTCTTCTCTCCAGAAAACAACGCTGATGGTATCATTGAAGAAGCAAAGGTTGTTGACGTCAACAAGAAGCCTGAAGGGCGTGTTGGGCTGCTTTCAAACTTCAAGTCCAGGTAAGATATGATGTGCAAATGAGATATTATGCAGGATGGTGGAGATTCAATCATTAATCGTTATGGTTAAATAGGTTGAAACGTATGGCTTCTAAAACGTCTCATGCCATGTCACCACCACAGTAGCAACAGGACTAGAGTAATCTCATCCGTGGTAAAATGCTTGTCCCAAGTCGTAAAAACAAAATGTAAATCGAGAAAGATGTCAAATATAAGATGGATGACAGCCTCAATTCCATGTTTTGACTTTGTTGACTTTGTTGACGTTTGGAGTAGAATAGCTTCAAGAGTGGTAATTTAAACTGCCACATTGCGACATTATGGCCTCATCAGTTCCAAGGAAGATACGCATCGCTCTTCTCGCTACCGACTATATCGAGGATTTGCCTTGGGTTCCAATTTTCACAACTTGGTACAATAGTTTGAAATTGGAGAACAGGAAATTTTGGAACTTGATCGCGAGCTCTTCGAACTAATGAATGCCCTTATCTATACAGGCTAAACGCATCCGCAGAGTCCTATCCAACATCAGTATCTGTAGAACTGGAAATGTTTGATACGTATCGCAAATTCGAAGTGCCAAGTAGCCCCAAGGAGTTTGATGCTATACTGATTACTGGATCGCGTATGGATATTTGGATGATATCTAGACGTGATTGTGTACTGACCAGAACACTTTTAATAGGGTCAGCAGTATTCGACGAACCGTCTGAGTGGAAGGAGACTCTGTACAGTTTCATCAGGCAAACGTACAATGAGAAGAATTCAAAGATCACTGGAATATGTTTTGGACATCAGGCTGTCGCCCATGCGCTCGGTGGTGTCGGTGAGGAGTTGCTACAGTTGCAACATTTCTCACAGACTCTTGGATCGATCTTCTCACCAGTTGAAGTATTTGTATATAGTAAGGCGGAATCCGAAAGGTTTGGAGGTACTCTATCCATCGCTTGACAGGCCGGTTAGTCCGCCACTGCTGAAATTCCTGTACAAATAGCTCGGGAGGACGAAAATTGATATCTCACCGAACGATACGCTGCTCAAGACAAACAAGACAGCTCTGGTGCGTTCTTTGTTTTACTCTTTTTTTCAATGGCAGACTAATAACATTCGCCTTCTTTCGCCTAGGTGCTCATGGAAGCTCACAATGACTTTGTCGAAGTCGCTCCAAGCCAATTCACCGTTCTAGCCAGTTCTGACCTGGCATCGATACAAGTAATGTATGAAAAGGATCGTGTGTTTACTATGCAGCCACATCCAGAGGTAATTGAATGATTCTCAAGTGTGATGATGTGGCAGTTTATACCTGAATCTCAACTACTTGACCATTGCACTTTCATTAGTTCACACCAACACTGATGCGCGATGCTGTGATCGCCAAGTTTGGACTGACCAAGCAAGAGGAGGATGTCATCAAGACCGGTCTGTTTCAGTCCGTAGATGATTTGTTTATGGGACGACGGTTGATTGCATTTTGCCTTGGTGATGCGCTGGACGATTAATCTGTAACGGGACTGATAGGACAATGTAGAATAATGGATTCTGATACTAGAAAACTAGAAAAGTGATTAATACACGGTTTTTGGGGTGTACTGAAGGGGCTTGCTCGTGATAAATTGTGTCACGTTCGTCACAGCGACCTTCCCACTTTTTTTGCAGCGTCGCAAATCGTTTATACAGAGTCATTGCTAACGGACAGCGGCCGAAACAGTGCAAGTACATGTATTTCGGCTATTGCAGTCCTCTATCTCTCAAATTAGCCGTTTTCCTGACTGTCGTTCCTTGTTTTTTAGAATAGCCCGAAACAACAAAACATGGACGGTCCAAGAGGATCAGTGGACTTGGGAGACTCGAATCTAGGAGAATCGAATGCTACACTCGCACCAAACACAACTGATATCACGGCCAAACTACAGGAAGTGCGCATTGAAGAAGATCTGGAACATTTAGGCGACATCAAGCAGTAAGCTCAAACATGTTCCAGATCTGTTTAACTGGAACGGCACTTGGAATTTCACATCATTTGATCGTTGTCGCAATGATTTAACTGATCGTACCTGGGGTTTGGATTCTAGACAATACGCAGACCTTAATGTAACTGATGCCGAAGTCAAGACCATACTTAAAAAACTGGATTGGACAATCCTTCCCTTTTGCACGATTCTTTATCTATGGTCATTCCTCGATCGGACAAACATTGGGAATGCGAGATTGGTCAACTTTGATACCGCAACGTATGTTGAAAGGTGTTGAGAAAATGGCGAATGTTGTTAAACTCACTCGTACTGGGTTTTGTTTAGTGGCCGTGGAGACTTTGAACGTGATACAAATATGAGTGGCTCAGATTTTTCGTGGGCGACGAGTTGCTTCTTTTTCAGGTATTGTTAAGGTCATTTGGGGGGTTTGTTAAGGTATTTGGGGGGTTTTGATATTCCAATCTCACATCGAGTTGACCGACGTTAGCTATATAATATGTGAGGTACCATCAAATCTAATGCTGAGTAAGTTGTATATTGATTGCGTCTGGTTTATGAGATGTTGATTTGTCCTTTTTTTCTGTTATAGAGAGAGTTTCACCAAGCAAATGGTGAGCTTTTTGCTATTTTCGACTGTTTGACTCACCGCAAATGTTATTGACGGTTGTTCAAATGCAGGATGTCGAGAATCATGATCACATGGGGATGTAAGCTTTTGAATTAGACCTCGTGCTGTCACTTGGCTTTCAGCTGACACTTGTTACCTAGTCTTTGCTACTATGATGGCCGCAACCACATCTTTTGCATCCGTCATTGCTGTACGTGTGCTACTGGGAGCTGCAGAAGCGGGTTTGTTTCCTGGACTACTCTTTTATTGCAGTTTCTGGTACAGACGACGAGAACTTGCTTCTCGAATGGCGCTTTTCTACTCTGGCGCGACTCTCGCCGGTGCATTTGGATCCGTGATTGCATATTTAATAACACTAATGGATGGAGTTGGTGGCTTGAGTGCTTGGAGGTGGATTTTCATTCTAGAGGGCCTACCGACAATAGTGGTTGGTGTAGCTACATGGTTTTGTAAGTGATTCGAAAAAATCTTTGCCAATATGGTACTGATCAGTCCATCCCTATAGTACTGCCCGACTTCCCACATACAGCGAAATTCCTCACTAAAAGAGAGAAAGCTGTGCTTGTTGCCAGACTAAAGCTTGATGATATACACTCACACGATCGAAGCTTCAATGCTTCTGAATTCTGGCATACCGTAAAGGATGTCAAGACATGGTTATACTGTATCATGTACATCACGATTGTGATTCCATTGTATACTTTGAACTACTTCTTGCCGACGATTGTAAAGTATCTTGGATTTGCTGTAAGTTGACGTTTCCCCTTTTGAGCTGGATGTGGTACTTTACAATTCAGAGTTTGCGTTTTGTTCTTTGATCTAACTCTCTTTGTTCTTTTTGGCACCAGTCTGTCTCAGCACAGTTAATGTCAGCTCCCCCCTTCGCGTTTGCGTGCGGGGTTGTAATCCTGACATGTTTCGGATCCGACCATGTGGGCCTGCGCTACCTATTTATGATCGTCCCAGCACTGGTTGGATGTCTAGGCTTCCTGCTTCTAGCAAACGTGCGTAATGCCGGTGTCTTGTATTTCGCCACGTTTATTGCAGCTGCTGGAAGTTATATTCTGGTGCCCATCGCAATATCGTGGCTGAGCAATAACATTATTGGTCAGACGAGGGGAGCGACTGCTATTGGAATGGTATGTGGGAACCAAAACATGCGTGTTTGATGGTGAATGCAACTCATATCACACACTTTTCCAAACAGATGATAGGAGTTGGGAATATAGGAGGGATTGTAGCAGGTTTCGTGTACCAGACCTCTGATGCCCCTTACTTGTAAGCGAATGAATCATTTGCCATATCACGTCATTTCATATGAGATCCGAACGATTAACATCTCTGACAATAGCTTCAAGGGCCATATGGCGAACGTCGGCTTCCTATTGATATCAGCGACATTCGCAACCATTATATTCTTCTTCCTGCGAGCTGAAAACCAGTTCCGCAACAAGCAAGGGTATCCAATCGATGACGGCAAGGGGGAAGTCATCAAACATGAAGATGATAAAAGATTTAGAAATCAATTGTAAGGTTGAAATAGTCTTTAGAACACTAGTAATTATTTGCTTAAAACATACACTCTCTCACTAATACTACAACTTGACTATGAAGAAAGAAGAAGAAAGGTTTTACTTTTATTACTGACTTGTTTTGATTCGATTAATGCATTACAGTCTAGATGTTTTAGCAGTGCCCTTAAACTCCTTTTCAGGATCAGGCCGTTCTAGTACGGCATCCCAATAGTCCAATTCCTTTGTTCGCCAATATCCACCCTCGATAACCGATCCAAGTTCCCGCAAGACTAGGATTGCGCTGTCTTTACCCGTGTATCGCTCCCATGGCGTTCTAACTCCTACTTGACCACCGTCTGGATCTCCAGCTGTGGCAAACTTGCCCCATCGTCCTACTACGGCGTCAGATAAGAGACGTTGCTGACGTGGTACGTTTTTCATTGTTCCAGCCCACTGTAAGCAGAAATTTCGTTTGGTCAGTGTGTGTAGAGAGCGAAAAAAGAGACATAGCAAACAACAATACCTGAGGTGGAAACAGGTATGGCAGCTCTGCACCAGTATGCACTCCCAGCCCAGATCCTCTCGACCCCAACACTGTAGAATCAAATCGATAAAACCACGTTCTCGTACCACTAGCAGCAAACACTCTTGCCAGCCATCGTGCAGACGAGAATGCAGTCTTGTCACCAATCAAGTGAGAAGCAAGATTAGATGGCGTCGAATACAATCCCGGTGGGTATAACGTTGATATGGCAGTTTGAGCAGCACTAGGTATCTCAGCCAGGAAATCATCCAAATCCGATTTCGTCAATATGTGACTTGCATCTGCGGTTCCTTCATCTCGGGTATGTCCAATTATAGCTCCTTCTATATTCCTTTCCTTCACTCGCTTCCAATCGTCTGTACCCTTTTTCGGTATCAGGACTCCGTCTGCGACGGGCAATACGGTGCCCATGCCACCTAGTATCCTCCACTTGCGCTGGGCGTCGAGGAGGACGTCTGATGGCGTGCTTCGTAGATATTTTAGACGGTCGGCGCCTTTTAAGGAGTTGGGGCCACCAGACATTATAAACAGTGCGTCGAATGCCTTTTGAGCGGTTGGGAGATCGGAGACGGCTTCGAGTTGGGGAGATTGGAAGATTGCCTTGTCGAACGGTAGTTTTGGGAGGGTTGGGGAGACCATGTGGTAATATATTGAAGCTAGTTAGGTTGGTGAGTATGCGAGGTCGAGGGAGGAGTTTTTTTCCTACTTACAAGCACCAAATCCTGAGCCAAACACAGTCACATTCTCTGGTCTTGGATCACCTCCAAATGATTTTATGTTTGTCCGTATCTGCAGAAGACGTTGGATTAGAAAGTGTATCTGATATCCATAACACGTAAATTCAAGTTATACCCAGTCAAATGCTAGCCTCTGATCCATGAGTCCGTATGTCCCAACACTGCCATCCGCAGACTCTTTCAACAACTCCTCTGATCCCAAATTAGCAAACAATCCAACCCGATGCTGCACAGCAACCAACACAACTTGCATGTTCAATCCAGCCAGCCTTCCTACAAATCTCAGACCATCCAGTATGGGATTTGATGATTCACCGTATGGAAATCCGCCACCGACAAACCAGACCATCACTGGTAAACCACGATCGGGTAAGTCTTCGAAGGGCGGCGTCCATATGTTTAGATATAGACACTGTTCGGATTGTGGTAGAGCTAGTGAGGCGAACGAGCCTGTAGCACTCAACATGCTCTCCTTTGAGCTTTCGTCAACGGTTACGGTTTGTTGAGGACATACCGGCCTGCGTAGTAATGATGTATCGACCAGTTAGATTATGTAATGGACGTTCCAGTAGCGTTGGAAAATGCGTAACCTCGTACCCAAACCGCGTTGCCTTTTTCACCCCCTCCCATTTTGGAATTTCTTTTGGCGCAGACCATCGCTCAGCAGTACCGTACTGTACACCTATGAATTCACGTCCAGTCCACCACCGTGATCTTATAGCAGCTACAAAAACGGGTCGGGGGAATGTTTCAATGTGGTCAATGATGTCAGTGTTTCAGAGACAATGCGATGTCGAATAGTCTACCTCTGATCGTTCCTTCGATTGTGCCATACGGAGTTTCGACCTAGTCATGGAGGGGCGACCGTTAGAAGACTGAATGTGTTTGCTCATCGTGGACTAAAAAACACGAGTCGAGTCAGCAACAAGGATTTTACCACAGTGGGTTTGACTGCATTCTCGTCATCCTCCTTGAATTGGTTCCAGTACGACGCCATAGACCCTGACAGAAGGTGTATAGTCCTCCTCGTCCAGGTTCTGTTGTTGTGGACAATTACTGGCGTGCTGCTGTGGCAAACAGCGTAAGCGATGGTACCAAAACGGATAAAGGAGCGATGATTTCGAGTAGCTTGAGACCTTATGACGCGTCAGCGGTGCGTTCGCTTTGCCTTTTTGGTGTATTTTGTTGAATGTTTCTTGCGCGTACGGTGAAAAAGTACAATGTCATCAACCGTAGGTGGAAGGAGAGTCATAAGTCCATAAGTCCATATTGCTAGCTGGCAAATGCTCTTGCAACGCGTTGAAACCGCCTCTTTCTTCTGTTTGCTCCTGTCCTCATTCCAACATTTGCCAAAAACGCATCCAGTGTCCAGCAGAAAGTGTCGGACGCCATCTGTAATATTCAAAGGTAAGTACGCTGCATACTAACCGGACTGATTTAGTACTTGATTTGAAATGCGGCTGATTTGGGACGTTGGACGTGGACGAGAATCCAGTGTTTTGAGGAGTGCAATGTTTGGTTTGTCGGATGCAAGACCTTGAGGAGCCAAGCTGGAGCAGGAGCAACGACAATTCAATGACAAGATATCCTGCTTAGTACTGGAGGACTTGCAACACTGTCACCTGTACATCAATCGAGATGAAGCGCTGCCAAACATTTCGCAAAATCCTTGACCTGAAGGAATTGACACTCACCGATACATTGTCGCTTCGTCACTGATCATCATGGGTTTGCTAACATTTCCAACCTCACAGATGGTCAAGCGAGAATTCGGCCTCTTCCCATTCAGACTCTTTCGAGTCAACCCACCCTTCTTGGAACGCTCACTCCCAGACAACCACTACGATCCATGGAGGAAACGTGATGCTTGGAGGAGGCACGAGTTCTTCTCGGCCAGAAATAGGATGAGGCATATGGTGCCTGGTCTAGGACTAGCGACTGTTGCTTTTGTCGCTTACTTGGCTTATGATTACTGGTAAGACATAAACCTAGACTTATATATGTGAGGATATGGGACAATGATACTTACACGTTTGTTGGTTTCTAACAGGGACAACACTTCTGGACCAAAGGCAGAAGAAAACAAGAAGTGGGATGTTTGGATGAAGGAACGTGATGCCAGATTACATGGCCATGGACAGCATTAGTAGTAGTAGTCATCACAATTCTTCAAACAAATATAAAGACCATAAAAAGCTATCTCAAATGGGTTGAAACGGCACAATGTATAGGGATGACACAAGCAAATGCTTACTTTTACGTTGATGGTGATAGTGGGTTGGGGCTAAACAGTTACGATGAATGCGTTTGTCAGGATGAGATTCGAATCCTCACGACAAGACACCACCAGCAAGAGGGGACATGTGCAAATACATTCTATGTGTTTTCTGATTATATCACAAAATAAACTATGGATGGATATCTCACAGATTTCTACAATGCTACATATAATTTATGCTGACACCAAATCGACAAGCGACTCCATCTCCAAAGCCTCAATACCTTCAGTCAAACAATAGATCACAAATTGCCTCCTACGTGAATTCATTTCAACTGCCGACACTACGACTTCACGTAGTGTTTCCATACTCTTTTTCGATGTAAGACTCTTGTCGGCATCACTTGTTGACGAAGTAGAAGCAGCAGACGCGCTCGACCATGAATTCCATATACCAATCATTGTTGATTTGGCTACGGAGAGTGTGTTTCGAGGTGAAGATATAGAGGTGGTATTGCTATTATCGTTACTGTTACTACTGAGAGATCCTCGATTTTGGGTTGATGTTCTGATGAGTATAGGAGCAAATATATCCGCTGTACAAATAGAATTTCAGTACGAAAAATCGAATGAAAATGCTCTGTCAAAAGATAGATCAATCCCTTACCAATGTCACTGGGAGTAGAGTCACCACGGGCGGCGACTAGAGTTCTCAAGAACGACAGAAGATATACCCAAGTGGCATGCTCATATGGATACTGTGCTTGCAATGATGCCAGTACTCGTCTAGCAGAATCCATATCTTTATACCCGTCTTGCAGTACCGTCTTCCACAACACATCAGGTAATACTGGATTCGGTAGCGATCGTAGCAATAATAGTAAGGTATCAGCGACCGACAATACTGATGCTCGAATGCCATAAGATCGAGGAGCATGCGGCGGCTTTACATCTTGATCAAATTGTTGTTGATGGTTATCGACTTTTGATATTTCTTGCTCCGCCAAATCATCTTGTACAGGAGAAGGCGACGATGATCGGATATCTGCCGGAGACATCTCTGTACTCAAAGCCTCCACATCAAAGTCAACCCCCGAGTCGAGACATTCTCGTATGTATCGTGCAACAAGTGGATGGCCCGCGTCATGGAAGAGCTCCTTTGCATAGAGCCATCCACATCGTTGCAAAAACTCGACGAGTTTGCGTATTGGTTGTGGTACCAGACTCTGGATAGTGGCAGCCCCACCAATTTGAGTTTCTTTCTGTATCGATTCGTCTGCAGCTTGATTTGTATCAGTGAGGAGTTTTATTCCTTCGACACCAATTTGTCTAACACTAGAAGTGATTCGCCCGATGGTCGCTAAATTTAGACCAAAATTTGATGGCATCCATTCACCAGCTATAAACGGGCAAGCTTAGCGCAAGAACTTCGCATCAAATCCGAATGAGGAGATCCCTTACAGACTTGTAAAAAGAAGTCAGCTCCTCTCTCAACATGCAAAATCAAAAAGTCATCCAGTTGATCTTTGCCAGAGTTGAGTCCTGGTGATGTGAGTGCATCGACTGCCATTGTAAGCTCAATGGAGACTGATTCACCAGGCATGATCGACGATGATACAGGAGTTATTCTCATCCTTTTGAAAAAAAGTGAGCTTCAGCGGAATTTCAGGCCTTCAATGAAGTTGCATGAAACGTACCAAGATTTAGCATAGTAAACCTCACCAGGCTTGGCGACAAATGTAAACTTGGCCGACACTTTACCCACATTCGTAAACAAGATCGTCCTCACAACTGGCACCGCAAACTCAATACTTCCAAAGAACACCTTGTCGTGTCCCTCCTCTAATCTCAATTCTGGTATACTGTCATTTTCCAGCTTGTCTAATTCCCTGACAACTTCTCCATGTACAAACTCATATTGCGGTCGATCTACAGTTCGGACTTGCATTGAGAATGTAGCCGAGACAGGTTTGTGATCCGATTGGGTTAAATCCATGCACGACTTGTAAGACGTGCACGAAATCCAGTCTTTAAAAGTTGCAGAATGAAGTGGATTTCGGTACCATAATATGCGGTCGCACCATGCGGGTGCTCGTTTCTTCTCTGATGAATCAAATGTCGATGAACCGACATCATACTAAATATCCGAGACTGGATGAGACGAGAACCAAAAGACAGTATGAGAATGGTCAATGAATACCTTGAAGGTTGGGTCAAAGTTGATTGCAGCTTCTTCATACGACCCAAAAGCTCGTCGTGATCGTCTTTCGGCGCTGAGCTAGGCAAGAATCCAAGATTGTTAAATAGCAGCAACCAGAGAAACCTTATCAATTAGCAATCTCCATACCTGATCACCCTTCATCAACTCACTCCAAGCTTTATCAGCAACAAGAGTCCGAGCATCAGTATCGTTCACAGTCAACCGATAATTCAAATCACCAAACCACACCAAATGACTGGTTTGGATCAAAAGACAACAAAAAAAGAATAAGAGATGAGACAATCAGAGTTTTTTCAAAGAACTTCAACCATAAACCTACTCCGCATCAAAGATAGACAGCAGAGACTTTCCAGGTCCAGAAGAAGAAACAACGCCAGGAACCGAATCCGTCATACTGCTGACCCAAGGATGCAAATTGCACCAATTTGAATACCCAGACACATCGGCAGGCAATGCGAATCCCAATCGTTTGGATATGTGTGCATAGTCTGCATTTCTTCTGTCAGTCATACTGGCGTCAGCGGCCAGATGAGCGTTTACAAAACAGAAATAACTGTCTCGTATGCGAAATCGTACGGCGGTTGCTCCTTTATTACCCTTGTTTGCAAACATCTTATCAAAACCTGCAAATCTGCAAACAAAAAACGAAAAAAAAGAGATAGTTACCAATAAAGAGAGAATGCCCGTCGCCACAGAGCCAGCCGTCGTTTCAGTAATGGAAGGCAGTATAGACGTACGAGCCAACATGATTATAAGCATTCCAACAAGCTGTTTTGATGCAACCTTGGAATACTGCCCGCCTTTTTCACCTAGGCCGTCAACGACAGCCTTCGTCCATAAAGAATCTTTTGTGGAATCGGTCAACAGCATATGAGCTTCAGTTGTCAAGTCCATTTCCTGAAGTCCAATGACCAATATATCTAGTTCGTGCACAACAAAGCGGAGTGGGTGAGCTCTCTTTACCCAAGCAAGGAGTGGGTCATCTACAACGGTGCATTCTCACCAGGATCGCAGTCAGTATTTAGCCACGGTGCGAGTGATTCTGTGACGATTCTTCCATTCACATTATACGTTCCCACAAATACGTTTATTGGTGTAAACGAAGTAAAACTTTCAGCTTTCGATCTCAATTCCCTGGCAATCCATGCTTCTTTTATAGCTTTCGTATCTGTTACAGCGGACTTGTCATCATTGATGAATGGATTTCGCGTTGGGGGTTTTGAGATTGTAGGTGTGTTGTCACCAGGAAGGTAGTGTCTTCTCCATTCGTGCGATTTGCCCAAAGCACCGTAATGCTTTTGCTCGGCAATAGCCATGAATTTCTTCAATTCGACCAGCAGAGGTTGCAGGGTTTCAAGAGACCCGACAGAGTAGTTGAGTTGCTGATCTCCCACAGACAATCTGAGGGTATATTCAGGCGACGTTTGAGGTGAGTTTGAATCATCTGGATTCACGGCAAACGTTTGCGCTAACAGGTTGAAACTCGTCAGACAAGTTGTAATATCTTTGATGCGCTTCCCAACGACCAATACATACAGACTCCTAGCTGGAATGTTTCCATAACTGGCAAAATTATCTCAATCTCTCTCTTTTTGATCACAAACACACTGTTGCAAAAAAGGTGGGAATGTTGTCAGATGAAGTGAGTCTGATAGGTGTGGTAGTATCCAGACACATGCCATGCTTCGTCATCCCCATTTGACGCGATAGCCAGTATACGAGTAGCACGTTGGCCATCTTTTTCAGAATAAGAAATCTCTGCAAACTAGAGAATAGATCAAATGTCAGAGACAAAATATTGTCCAAAACACATTGTGCAGATATTGTGGAAGGGAAATGGTACCGCTCTACAGCTGTCAGTAACTCTGAGAAGCGACGAAATCGCATCTTGCGTCGCCATTTGCTTCAGACAAAAAGGACTGTCATTTGTTTGAAACTGCAGAACAACACGAAGATTTGACGTGCCGCTTCTAACAGAGCAACTCAGAGTATATTTGATATTGTCTCTAGTCTCCGAAAATCGCCTAGTTACCAATGATCTTACGCTTGACTGACCGTCACAATCAGTTCCTTGCAGCAAACAACCAAACCAACCCAAACTTCTTTCCAACACTCACAGGAGGAGGGCAATTCTTCTTTAAAGCTAACGTTTCCCGTCTAGCTGACTTGGACTCTGCAAACAGGGCAATGTCAAAGAACGCAGCTTCGTCATGGTTGGACACTTACAACCAATCGCTCTCAGTGAGGCCGATGCTGACGAAAGGTATGTTGAAGGCAGACCTTCTCGCCGGATTTGTATTTCTCTCTTGCCAAATGATGAGAATACACGTCTTGCCACCATACATCTTGTTGGGAATCCTTCTAACTGTCCAAACATTCATATTATAAGGAGTAACTGTGGGATCTATCTACTTGATACAAGAGATCGCTTCATCGACTATCGCATCATCAAAGCCGTCTATTGGGCGTGCACTGAAGATGTTCTTCTATGGTGATAAATTCTGAAACGCGGTTGCTCTGCACACGTACTGAATCGCTGACTTTATTCAATTCCAAGGACTATTGGTCTCGGCGCCTGTTGGTCATCGGCTCAGCGTCGTTCAATCGAAAGTCTTTGAAGGCAGGACAGGGAGACTGTGGACTATCGTGCAACTGTTGTCAGGTATGTCTTTGAGGAATCACATCTCACTTCCAAAGTCACTAACCCGCTTTTGATGTAGGAAATCTTGTACTCGCAACTATACAAAACACTGGTTAGTTTGCGCACTCTTGGGCACTTGAAACTCTGATATTGAAAGACTCTTCTAGTTTATCTGGCCTCGATGGCAATCCTAGCAGGCGAAACAAGCTTCTCCAAAATCTCCCAATCCATACAGAGAGGGCTGTGGCCAATAAGTAATTTTGAATTTTCAAAGCACTCTGTTGCACCACGCAGCTCACCCACACACTTGCTTTTGTGTCTGCAGTGAAGGTTACCTGGTTAATCAACCCAGCAGCCCAACTGTTCGCCATAAACTTTCTGGAAAACAAGTACTGGGTTCCCTTTTTTAATCTAGTCGGACTGGTAGTTGGCCTTACGATTTCGACTAGTGTGAAATTGCAAGCAGCTCGGATCAGACGAGCTCAAGAGTCTAGGAAGGCCCAATCAGAAAAACAAAAGAAGAGACTGTCACCATGACCATATGTTGAATATTGAGACTGTACATAATAATCTATTTTTTGTCGGCTCTAAGTACAAACGCTTGCACCTTGAACCTCCTCGTCACTTTGGTGTAGCATTATCACCAGAGTGATGGAGTGCAGAGCAGCGCGATAGACCTTTGGCCTAAACTGCGTATATCCGGGACTGTTTCGCTGCAGTGGTGGTGCAGATTCATCGATCGTGCACCTTGTTAGTTTAGTCGATCATGCATCTCGTTAATGTAAACAAGCATCGTGTTTGAGGTTTGAGACAGGACGTATTCAGTGAAATCCATAATCCCTCCTATTTTGCATTGTACATCGTCAGTTCGCCCTAGTGCGCCGGAGTTCTCCCAAATGCCTTGATTATGACATCCGAAGCATGGGTTGTCACAGACGTGGTAGGAGCGCTACAAACAACCAAGCGGCACCGACCTCTTGATCGAGTGCACTTTGCACTGAAGGACAGCCTCGCAGGAAGCACTGTAATCCATATTTTTGGTTGAAGGTCCCTCGACGATACGACAGGCAAAGGGAATCAGACATGGATTCCCAAATTCATCTCTGCGAGACACTGGAGACAGCCAGGGCAGATCTAATTATCATCGCAGGATCTTCGATTCAAAATTTGAGCTACGTTCGAGTTGAATCTCGTGCAAGCAAAAGGTACCATCGCAACCAACACATTTTGCATGTCAGTTCTTTTGGCTCCCACCCAAACCGTCATGCATAAAACTAAAAGACATCGTTCTATACTGCTCTAAAGTAGTTGATCCTTGCTGTTTGGTGGACGTTCCCCGACGTTCTGATATATTTGACACGTTTATTATATTCATCTGCCCGATTCTTACACCGCCAGCTGTCTTAAATGTAAGTTCATTTCGAAAAAGAGTGAAAAACCACACACATCAACGGAATCCAACAATTCCCTATTTTTCCTTTTATGTTTAAGTGTTTGCTCGCAAGTCTAACACAACATTCTTTGATTCGTTTTTACAACAACACAGCATGCACCTATGTCAAGAGGACGCAATGGAACCATCTATGCAAGTGGTACAAGAACCGGCTTCCGAATCGCCGGAAGGAAGCAACCGTCAACATGACAATGACTACCAGAACGCGTCGAGCCAACCCACCTCGCAAAGCAGTACGATGACTACCGAATACAGCCGAAACTCTCGCTTACGATCTCGAGCCCTTAACGTACCTCTTACCGGTCAACCACTGACGCCTTTATGGTCATAACACTCGGACCGCTACTCTTTCTATTACAGACACTCAATTTATTTCGCGTCAGAGTCAGTTTGTCTGCACTGTGACGTTTGGCAACATATAGAAATGAATTTGTGGCGGTTATGCCCAAGAATGTCAATAATAATACACACCAGCTTTACAAATTAATAATATACAATACCTTCCCTGTGAATAGAATAGACTACACTAAACGCAACAGCATCAGTAAATTGGGGGTATCAGACAACGTCTTGCTTGCAAGTGTAATGCGCAAAAATCAGAGTTCTCAGACATCATTTATATAACTGAATTGTTTAGCACGTATTAATTATTCATCTACAAGGTATCTAGAGAAACTTTAAACTGTGTTTTACATGGTCAGACAGCATCCACTGCTAGGCTCTTTGGTTTCTTGCGCTGGTTTGGTTGCCTCTACTGGTTTGGTTGCTGTCGTGGGTTCCTTTGCGTCCATTTTCACTTCCAATGTTGTTGGCAAAGCACCCTTCGACACTTCGGCCTGAGGCTCCAGCTTCTTGTCCTCCAGCACAATTCTCGAAGGAGTAGTCCCAAAAGGACTCGGTTCTCTAGGCGTCTCTTGCTGGAGAATAATAGTACCCATAGAATCCATGTTCCTGACATTCTTGCCTTTGCCTGTCGTCGTTGCGGATCGTTCAAGACTGAAGGTGCCCATTCCAAAAGAGAAGGCGGGCAGTTCTGGTGGTGTGTTGGATGCGGCTACTAGGTTATTTCTACTGCCCAGATCGGCTTTGCTTCCGGCTTTGGAAGATTTGTTGATCTTCTTTGCGGAGGATGCTTGTTGTGATGAGGATAGTTCACTGATAGTGAACTGCAGAGATAGGATTTCCTTGCGGTATTTTTCGACCTCGTCTTTTTGTCGTGTGCTGTCCGTCTGTATTAAAGTCTTGAGAACTGTGACTTCGGAGGTGAGTTCAGAGACGGTTTGTTGAGCAGCATATAGCCGTTTCTAGTAGTGAAACCGTGTAAACATAATTCTTCCTCAGTAGCATATTTGCAAAAGCTGTTACATACCGTTGCCTTATCTTCTGACCGTGCAGCTTCATCCCTCTCACCCCTAACTTTGGCCAACTCGGTCAACAAGATGCTTTCCTCCATCTTGGCCTTCTCAAGCCTCTCCCGTAAGTAATCGACATCGTATCCACGTTCAGACATAATGCTAGCCTGTGACTTTTTCCGAATACGTTCGTCAATGACATCCAATGCTGGTGAAGCGATAACTGATCTTGCAGGTCGAGCGTCAGCAATATCCATTTCACTTTCCTCCTTGCTATGTTTGTGAGATGTTGAAATGTCTCCTTCTTCTTCCATGATTTCGGTTATCAGTGTTGGTAACGGTGGGAGTATTGATATTTCCTTGCTGTCACCGGTAATGGTAATAGTGTCGGCCTCCTTCTCCGAGTATTTACCTTGATTTGAAGTGGACGATGATGCTACTGTTTCGTTGTGGGCATCCAAAATGTCGGCACTCCCAACCAACATGTCAGTGGACGCAAGTATGTTTTCCTCGACTACGATTTCATCTACTTGCTCCAGTGACTTGATTTCGGCTATACTGGGCTCATCGGCACCCGAGAGTTTGTCGTTTAGGTCTGTGCTCGTCATGTATCCATTCGATTTCGATACTTCAATGTCCATTGTTGCTATAACTTGACGTGGTTTGTCCAACACGATCAATTAATTAAATTTAGGATTTACTGAACTAATAAGAAGCGAAATGACGCGTGAAAAATTGGTGTGGTTGCTGTGGGTGAGAAGAGAAAAGTGTAACCCAAACCTAGACGAACCAGTCAACGAAAACCAAAGCAACACACACTGGCCAACGTGCTTTTCGATATTAACGAAGCGACACGCTTTGCATTTATTCACCCTCTGCATTTATTTGATCCAACACAGCACACAATTTGAATTGGAAGACGTGGTTTCTCCTCTACGCATTGGGATCTCCGGGATGCCCGTTGTGAAGCAAATGGCCACCAGATGCGACAGCTGGTAAATGACTTGGCAGCTTTTGCAGATGCACTACAGGTCCATGGTGAGCAACACAATAGTGTGGTATAGGTCTCACAAATCTGTATGGCAGTAAATTCATCTTCCTTCTATCAGTATCAGTCGAATCATTGACATTCAAAGTCCTTTTAGCTATAAAGGAGCGGTATCCATATGCGAATGAATCGGCATTGTTGGGCTTTTCTACAGGCTTGACTGGTAGCGTTTCAGCCAAGAATTTGATTTGCTTTGGCTTTTGGGATTTGTGGGCTGCGGCTGTCTCAGAAGGTAACCGCGATGGACTCCAGTATCCTTGACTATGAACGTAAGAGAGTGAATATTTGTAACCTGAGAACTGCCGATCAAAGCAAGTTGCACACGTTTACCTAGCAGATGTAGTGTACTTTGCTTCAGCATCAGACCGGCTGCCTTTGGGCTTTCGACGACGGGGTGGGGGTTGAATGACAGCAGTATGTAGTCGAACTCGATCGTCCTTTTTCGTAGCAGTGCTGATATTGGTATTGGATTTCTTTGGCGAATCGGGCGCTTTCTTTCGTTTCTCTACAGTATCTTGACCGGGGTTGGTTGTGGAGCCTTGTAATGGTGTAATCGCTTCTGATGAATCCTCTGTCAGCTTGATGGCCTCATCTGATACGGATGCTGATGAATCTACAGGTGCATCGGGTTCTAGTGCAGACGCATCAGGTTCTACAAACTCACTAGAATCACTTGGAGATGACTCTTCTTGGTCTAGGCTAGCTGAAACAGGCTGTTCGTCTTCATTTGACATAATTAGTCTAGGTCAATGTTCCAATCAAACCACTGTAGGTCGATGTTCCAAAGAAAGGTACGGGCGGCGCAGTTCCAAAACCTGGAAATCCTTTTGGATCAATCTAGTTCAGTAGTGAGGTTTAATCGAATTTTCGCTGCATCCTCTTCTCCTTCCGCTTGTCCTTATCCAATGATTTTCTTCAGTTTGCGTACTGCTCCAGTTTCCTTTGAACTCACATTTCTTGCCCTTCTAACCCATAGAGAGAGAGAAAATGCAGTACGTATCGAACGATGATATAGCAGATCTCAAGCCTGAAATTAGTATTCCTGAGGGATGTCGGATTCTCGAGATAAATGACTTTCCGTCATTGTCAATTGGAATTGCTGAGTATCGAGAACAGGGAACTGGCGGTACTGTCTTCATTTTCAAACCTAAAGATGGACAGCCGACCATGTCAGTGGATGATATTCGTGGTGGAGCTCCTGGTGAGTCCCTCTTCGAGCTGTCGTGGAAATCACAAGTGTTGTCGCACGGTTACATTTCTGTTGCCATGTTTTGATGCGTCAAAGTCGCAAGTATTTTGCGACGAATGCTCAGTTTCAGACTCAAAATTGTCTTGTATTTTCTGGTAGGTTGCTTCAGCCCAAAGTCCGCCACTCCGTCTGCTGTTGGATTTGCTGGTGGTAGTTTAATGGGGCTAGAGTTTTGTACGGGTGTACATGCCGAATTGTTCAAGCAGTTTGGATACAATCCTGACTGGAGAACTCTGGACAAGCGAGTCAAAGCTGTTACATTCGTAATTGAATGAGGTCCCATTCTTACTTACACACTTACTTCCAACAGGTTTTCATGCAAAGGTGCCATTATCTACGATTATCCTGCTAGAGCTCCGAGCTCCGTTTACCCCGACAATCGTCTAGGTACAAGAAGAATTATAACACGATTGCGTTGAAACCAGTATGTTCACGCCAGAGAATGATTAGGACGAGCTGCTGTGAGAGCGGCCAAACATGGTAGCTTCCCTATGGGCAGAGTTGGTGCTGGGAAAGGAGCGACATGTGGCAAATGGAGCTTTCCTAAGGGAGAAGTGGAATTTGCTGGTCAAGGAGGCGCTTTCATGGCCATAGGCAAGATACGAATCGCCTTTTTCACGGTTGTCAATGCTGTTGGTGCTATACATGATCGCGATTCCAAGGTCGTTCGGGGTGGACTCAAGGACGGACAGCGAATCTCATTTGGTGATGATTTGAAAACTCAACAAGCTCCTGGTGGAAACACTACCATCTCTTTATTGGTTTGTGTTGCCGGTTGAAGCGCAAGTGCACAGAAGACGTCGTCGCTAAACTATATATGATCTTCGTTAGGTCACGAACGCCATCATGCCGAACGAGTTTGTGTTTAGGCAAATCATTCGACAAGTGCACTCGTCAATGTCCCGTGCCATTCAGCCATTCCATACTATATCTGATGGAGATGTCTTGTATGGTGTGAGTACCATGGAAGTACCCGTGAATTTCAATGAAGGGGGTCGATCCAGTGCTATCACACACACCGCCAGTACTGGAAGTAGTAGTGACAAGGACGTTGAGGAAATCACCAGTATGGCGTTCGCGCACTATTGTAGTGAGCTTGCATGGGATGCGGTTCTGAACAGCTTTGATCCATAATTTTAAATGTAGACAATAAAAGCTCGTCTTAGTAACCCGTGAATTTCAATATTAACAGGACAATAACTCGTAAATTCGTCTCTAAGTATGTTTGACGAGAATTTAGTCTGATCAATGCAATTTCATCGTCAAATTCTGTATGTATCAATCAACAACACTACATGTTACCGTTCCAACGATTAACTCGTTCCCTCTTCAGCAAACCCCCTGCATCAGCTTTATCTTGTACCTATAAAATGTCTACTCTAAGCTTCGTTCACTCTGACAAGGCACCAAAAGGTATGAATAGCTGTAATTTCTTTTGAGACTGAGCAACGATCCAACAAAGTTTTTAACAAACGCCTTCATTGTAGCCATTGGACCATATTCTCAAGCTGTGATTGCAAACAATATGATCTTCTGCTCTGGTCAAGTCCCCTTTGGTGGGTGTTTCCTCTGACATCAAAAATGTAGCAACGTTGTGGTTTTGACATCCTGCACATACCAGTTCCTGAAACAATGGAGATCGTCGAAGGAGATATCCAAGTTCAAACTCGTCAAGCTCTGACAAACTTGAAGGCTGTGCTTGAAGCTGCTGGTTCTGACATGCACCATGTTGTCAAAACTACCGTTTTCATCAAGGACATGAATGGTACAGTGTTTTGGCTAATGGGAACGTTTTCTTTGACAATACTAAGTACATCCTATGTAGAATTCGCCAAGATGAACGAAATCTACGCCGAAATGTTTGGAGACCATAAACCAGCCAGGTCAACTGTTGAAGTCGCTCGTCTTCCAAGGGACGTCAAGGTTGAAGTCGAATGCATGGCTATTCCAAAGTAGATCGTTTGATTCTGGGATCTTTATACATTTCTGGTGCCATCGTTTACATACAAAGATACACTACTTCAAATCTACAAGTGACAAGGCCGACATTGGTTTCTGATTCTTTTGACGGTTTTTGTTACTGGGGGAAATCACGGAAAGTCTGTATTCCTGGCATCTTGTTTTGCTCTTCAACGTGAAGGAAGATTCCTCTTTGACGTGCATATGATGATTTGAGGGTTTTCTCGTCGACGGAGATCTTGAAAATCTGCTCAGAGCCATAGCAAAAGCCTGTCGTAGGGATTTTTCTAACGGCTCCTGCAGTAGATGTAGGTGGCAAGTCCATAGTTGTCCATCCTGGTAGTTTGTAGTCTCGTTCATGTGAAGTAATGTATTCAGCACCATTGCTGGCGGGGGTCTCTGGTTGTTTTGCTGGTACTCTGTGGGAACACGAAGAACTCAACATTACTTGTTGCATCTCAGCAGTAACAGACACTGGACGTACCTTCTACGTGCTAACTCCGAGTCTTCCAATTGATTCTTCAGACCGTGTCTTGCTCGACTCTTCATTACGCTACGTGTTTCTGTTGAGTGAAGGTGAGGCTTGAGATCATGGTATCTTCACGGTTATTCTGCATATTGTGCTTGCCTGCTTCTCGCACCGGATCGACCATATTCTTCACCGAGTTGGTAGTGAGAAAACGCTCATTTGACGCAAAGCCATAATCCCAGGCGCTACTACCAGCTTCGAAAGCACGCAAGTGCTTCTTGGGTATCTGAATTCCGTGAGTATTGATCATGTTTGAGTCGACGGGGTTGAATTCAAAAATTTAAAAAGTGTGTTTCTGGTTGTCCAATCACGTATAGGATCCTTAAGTTCCGAAGATCTCGAGAGGTTTTGAAACTAAGTCTCAGTAAGTCTCACTTTGGAAAGATCTACAAAGGCAACAACGCGAGGTCAAAAGCATTAAAACACGTCGTCCTATGCGGTCGCTTACGACAAATGTCAAAACACGTCCTCCTATGCGGTCGCTCCCTCTTTATGTGTAACTGTTCCCTCTAAGCCGGTTGACCGATTTCGATGCTGGATCTTCAGCGATCGTCTCAATTTAGTGAACGTATGTGCTCTCCAAATCGTGATCTGCTTCTTTCTTCAACTATTCGAATATCATCCACTAACTCACCATCACATTGGAGCCATGCTCAAGGCTCTAAAAAGAAGCTTACTCAAGCAAGCCACAAATTACAGCTCAAGGCCCTTCCATCTATGCCAAATACCCCACATCTGTCGCTCAGTAACAAACTTTTCAAATACACGCCCAAAACCAAGTTCACAATCAAGCAGGAATGCGCAAGTGTATATCAAGTCTAGGCGCCCAAGTAAACCTTCATACCCGAGCATGAGTGGACCAATGTATATAAAATCAAAGCAGTTGACAGTGGGTGATGAATTTCACAATCAACCATTATTGGGCTTCTTGATGGCATCTAGCCTACACTTTTCGAAAAACGTGGCAAGATGGAAGGTGATCAAGGCTGAAGTCACGATAGATCGAAGTGGCAAGACATTTACTGCATCGGCGGATACGAAGGTGTCTACAGGTGATGTAGTTAATGTGATGATGGACAGCTCGCCGTACAAACTGGTTGGGAGGACTAGTAGGAGCGCATCTGAGAAGCGTGATGGTATTAATGAACAGATTGCTGTAAGTTTCTTATTGTGTCATCCAAGTTCACTCCGTTTTTATATGATCGATTGGCTGAAGCTAAAGCTTTTTGTAGGCAACGCTCGAGAAACTGCAAAACTCGTAAGATCATGTTGGATTGATTTTCAGAACTCTGTGTTTCAACTGTTGGAATCCGTCGCATAGGGTCTTGTATCGCGATGCAGACATCTTGGCCATCAATAAACCACATGGCTTGCCAGTGCAAGGTGGCTCCAAAGTCTGGATCCATGTCGACAGATTCCTACCAGATCTCAAATTCGATTCCGAGAATGTGCCCAAGATTGTGCATCGTATAGACAGAGTAAGTCTCGGTGATAAAATGGCAATCCGTCGTATTAACGCACATTAACAAAACAGGATACTGCTGGCGTGGTATTATTAGCCCGAAACGATGCAACAGCCGCCCGACTATCTGACCTCTTCCGCAACTCTGAAAACCGTCTCGAGAAAACATATTGGGGCATCCTCGTCGGTCGTGTCCCTGGTGTCCCGTCGTCATCATCAGAATCAAATCCAACAAAAGAGATTGTAACAGGCATAACTGAAGTGAAGGAACGTGGAAGAGACTATATGGCTGTATGTCCCGCACCTAATGAATTGATTAATGATGGGCAACTAGATCACGAAAGTAAAACTGCTGTGACAAGGTATGAGATTGTTGCTACGACACCAAATGCGTCGATGATACACTTTCATCCCATCACGGGGAAGAAGCATCAGATACGGGTTCACGCTGCTTCGGTATTGAGGGCGTCTGTTGTTGGGGATTACAAGTATGGGAATGGTGTCAGTGACAGATTGAAGGTGAGCTTGTGTCTTGGGATTGAAAAGCATACCGATGAATCTTAACACCTTTTTTGGTCGTATCTAGCCCCTATTTCGAGATCCGAAAACGATACCACTACACTTGCATCTTCGAGAAATCACGCTCAAAGTATTCATCCTGAAAATATTACTTTCAAAGATGCGATTCGTTTTTTTGTCTCACTTCATTTCTCCTTGTTTAGAACTGGTTTGGTCCTAACGCTCACTTGAAGATCACTGCACCTGTACCAAAATACTTTGAACAGACAATGAGACTGCTGGGATTTGACAGGCGCTGAGAAATGCTGTTTGCATGTTGATAAAAACACGCTGCATATGTATTTAGGTATTTAATTTAAAACAATGTTTGCATCACGTACTAGAAAGGACCTTTGTGGTATGTGTCTATAGTTATATATGGTAGTGTGGTGTTATGTATACGCTGCGTTCGGGAGCTGGGGTAAGTTCCTTGACCTATCCATTAGGTCGTCTTTGACCGCATCTTCGAGGTTTTTCACCATTGCTGGTAGCCTGAGAAAACAAAAGCTTTGGTAAGGGGGGATCATAAACACGACCTTTGTATACAAAAATCATACACACCGTATTTTTGAAACCCATGACGATATCCAAGACATCAGAGCACCCTCAGATGCACTGCCAGGATCTTCAACATACGTCAGCACGACCTCCGTGCCCTTATTATCTCCCGTAGCCCTCATAGCGATAGACTGCCGAAACACGGGCACCCTCACAAAAGTCGAGTCGGTGACTATCCCCCTGTGCTCTGGTTTTGTCTCGCTAAGTATCACCACCGTCTCTCGCCCATCATTCTGGTGTAAGAAATGCTGGTGTCCTATAGCATACACGTATTCTCGTGATTGTAGTGGAAACGGAAACGGTATTATATGGGTGTATATGCCTGGTTTGTGATGGCTTATGTTTGATGATGGTAGGTGTTGTTGGGTGCTGCTAATGTCTTCGATTCGGGTGCTCCGAGGCGGTGATTTGCCCCATGATTTCGTGTATTCGTATTCGGCAAATCTAGGAAAATGCCACCGTTTAGCATTAATGTTGTAGGATTCGCAGAACTTTTAGACCTACACTTTGGCTAACGTCCTTATAGGATATTCTTTTAATGTTCCAATGAGACGATATTCGTTCAGCCGAGTATCGAGCGGCCATGGCCGTTTCAGTATTGAAAATCCTCTAACATGGGAATAAGAAATGGGTCAACCTTTGATTTGGTATTAATGTTGAGATCAACGATGAACTCTTTTATGATATGTTGGATTGTCATCAAGGCAGTATACATATGACATTCCTAACTTACCGAGCTTGAAATATCTGTCTGGCATTGGTAAATGTAGCGAATCCGTCGTCCAGATCTTGAGCAACTTGGAAGAACTGGTTGTTTGTAAACACCATTTTGTCAACGACGGTCGCTGTTTTGTTACCAGACATTTAAGATTTATAGATGCCAATTGATCAGTCTATAATGCCTCTAGAAGAAACTTGCGGGTGGTGATGCGTGGGCGGAAATTCGAAAGTTTAATAGTTAACACGTGGAGAAACGACGCAGATGATTTGTCGGCGTACCCCAACCTTGGTAGAAGAGGGAAGGAGCTGTTACTGAGGAATTTGAAACTTTTGCTCCAATTCTAAGGTCTACTTTTGGTTGTTTGATCTTGTCTGCAACCCTAAACGTCGCCAGTCCCAATGAGACGAAAAAAATCCATGTCAACTTTTTTCTACTTCAGTTACAGAAAATACAATGAGGAGATATATATACAATGATCGTCAGTACTCCATATACGCCCAATTCTTGCCCTTCATACCATACTTGGCTGGCCCTTCTTCATCTTCCTCGGGTGTACGAGGATGGGTGATGTACATTTCCAAATGAGCCTTCCACAGCACCGCCATGGTCTCAGCAAAGTATTCAGGTTCTTTCGCTTTCAAAGTCGTCAATTTTTTCACTCCTCCAAGGTACGTCTTTTTCGTTTCACTGCGTTTGTTGTGCCAGTAGTTGTCAGAATGGGTAAGACAGTAATCAGTCTGAAGAGAGACAAGGATGAGTTTGTCATTGTTCACATATCAGGTTGAAGTAACATAAGGGTCTTACAAGTGCCACTACAAGAGCTATGGCGTGGATAGGGAACTCTGTCCATCCTAAAACCTTGGCATGGTCACGATATGCAAAATGTAGAGCTCTTGCAAGGATCGGAGATTGGAAGACCTGCACGACAAATTGTTGTTTTTGTGTAAGCAGCAATGCCAGTAGGGGTTCTAACAAACGAGAGGAGAAGAAAGCGTGTTGTCACCTTCTCATTCTTTCCGTCTTCACCACGGACATAAAGAAGAGACTGGGCAGTGACGATTTTCTCACATGCGGTTTTAAGATCTCCTTGGTCACTCTGATAATCAATAATGACTTCCAATTTCTTCCCTATCTCTTGTTTTATTGTGCTTCTAAACTTTGAAATTTGGGTTTTGACGGCCTTGGGAGAATGGTGAGAAAATATATACACGTATTGCGAAGTGAATCAGATACATCCAATTGACTCACAGATTCAGATGAGATATGTTTCCTCCACGCATTCTTATCACCAAACGCCTCAACTGACGCATCCTCCACATAATTCGGCACTTCCCAGTCCGGCCATAGGGATTCAGTAGCAGCTTCTCGACGAAAGACGTTCCAAAACCTCATAACCTTGTCTTTGATGTCTTCGACTTCCACTTCCTCGTCAGACTCGCATTCTTCAGCCTGTTTGGCCTTGAGGTGCTCAGCATAGCGTTCCATAGCCTCCAACTTTGCATTACTGTTTTAAGGAAACGGCAAAGGTGTTAGAGGCGATATCGGCCCATCGTTCCAAAGACTTCATTTCTCATAGCTCCTTGGTTTGACAACAAATGGCAAAGCTTACGCCCATTGCTCAAAGTGGTCTAGTTGAGCGTCCATCTTCTCGACTGCACTCAAGACTTCATCTTTTACTGGTGAGAGCCTTGGTTTCTATTCACGGCAACGAAGTTAAATGTTAGCAATCACGTAATATGAGCTACCTAGTGACAGAAGGGCTGGATGTCTCATGAGAAGGTCCAAACAGCACACAGTTCCGCAAAAGTTGATGTCAGGGGCAATACAAACCAAATCTGGCCGACGTCTTCCAACCAAAACAGATTGAGTGTAATTTGATCGAGGCGTCAAGCAATCGAATCGTCCGAAGCGTCATTTACCTTTCTTGGTCTCTCCATTTTCAGCAAATCACCAAAAAGTCAGAAAGCTACCTATCAGAGCGCACTGCCCAAGGGAGGAATCGTCCAGCGAATAAAATTATGAGTTAATTTGTTAGAGAAGATGTCTAGACGCCGGCTTCCTAGCATCTCATACGCAAAGCGTATGGTTCTGCTGGAGTTTGTACTGACATGATCAGAGCTTAAAACAACGATCAAAGTGTATACACACTACTATCAAGGAAACACCAACAATGAACCAAAACATTTTCGTGAATTATCTAAAATAAATCATAGTTGTCCGATTTCAAGCGCTGTTGAATGCTAAAACCTCTCGCATCTTGCTGTAGCGGCAACTTGCGCCAGCGAAAATGTGTTGTAGGAGGCTTTTCGCTCAAGGACTATAGATCTATATACAGAAGATGCACAGCATCCTCAAAACACTAAAATGTCGCCGAATCCACGTCTTCCTGTCGGTTATGAGGGTAACTTGAAGCTTGCAGTCCGTGTTTGTTGTGGTTTTGGAGCGCCAGCCAATTGAGTCGGTTTCCCATCGAATTAGTCGCTCATTAAATAGTCCATGATAATCATGTCGCTTATTCACTTCTACGTTTGTCTATAGGCGCATCATCACAACTGGCATCAGAGCCAGAATTGTTGGAAAGCTCTTCTTCTCCATTCGGTGGGAATGTAGAGGATATAAGCACGGTGAATATGTCAACTTCCATAGATACGCCAAGGAATCATTATGATCCGCCTGAAGAGGTTGTGGAACCAAAGCAGTCAAAAGTCGCAGCAGCACTAGAAAACCAGGAGCTCAATGCTCAGGCCTCTCTACTTCCGGATGTTAGAATTTTGTCATCACCAGATCTGTCTCCAGATAATCATAGTGGGGAAATTAATGTTATGGATCCCCATATAGCTGGATCTTCAACAAATGCTTCACATCCTCAGCCTAATTTTGGATCGACGTCTACTGTGAATACGGGTGACGAATTCACGTCTGTAGATTTTCTGAATATATCGGAGCCACTTACCTCTGGCGGTGCTATACCGGCAAACGACACAGGCGATAACCATGTAGCTTCGCCTGTTTCAGCATCAGCAGAGACATTGGCTGAGACGGCAAGTCCTGGTATAGAAGAGAAGCCACTACTAGCAGATCCGGGGAAGCTTGTTTTAACCGTTCACGATGAGATTGCACAGCGACGGAGATGGAATCGCAGTAAGTTTTACACAAGTTTGAAGCCTACGATCAGATTTCGTTCCAAAGGTTTGCTTGATGAAATTTCAAAGTATTCCAAATGAAGGCTTATATTTGTTCTCTTAGGCTGGCTTATATGGCTCGCATTCGGCCTTACTTTGGTGATTGCTGTTGTGGTCGTAATTGTCGTCGTAGTGTTGCAACAGGCGAACAGAGGTACTGGTGCAAGTGCCTCTCCTAGTGCAACAATATCACCTTCGGCGCCATCTCCTATACCCACAGGGCCGGCACCGTCTCCCGCAACAGGTCCAAACGTGTTTATAAACAGTGCTACGTCTGGACCAGTGGTTGATCCTGTGCTGAACTCCAATGCCGGTGCGCTCTTCACTACCACAAAACCAGCTTCTCCGATATCAGCCTACGGAGTTTCTGAATCAGGAGTCCATTTTGCTACAATGCAGCATCAAACTGCGAACGGATCAATCGCCTGGCAAATCAAGATTGGAAGTGGCGGGCAGATCTACTCCATATTGGACTCAAATGGGCACGAATATATAGGAACCAATGTGCAGATCTCTCACGGTGAATGGATTGATCGCGTATTACAGCTTATTATGGTTACTACGACTATGAATCCTCTACCGTTTTTGCAACAAGCTGGGGCTTATACTACGTCATCTGCTCCTGCCGGAACAGCTCCCGATTACGCTCCTGTATTGGCATCTACGTATGTGAATCAAACGACACGGTTGTGGAGTTGGCCAGGACAAAGCACCAACAACCAATGGAGCTACTCCACAAATCAATCTTATGAAGCAAATTGGTACGACCATGCTGTCATGTTTTGTATATTTCTGAAACTCTAGACTTACGCAAACACCGCTACGAATAGGCTGATACAAACCGACATAAGAAACGTCGGAACAATGGGTCAACCAGGCGTCACAGCAATCGAAATCGCATATACAGCTGTAAATTACGGTCTCGTGAACTTGGATTGGGGCAACTTCCCTTGGCTGGTCACAGATAGAACATATCTTCAACAGCCAATCATATCGTCGTCGTCAACAAACCTGTCCACATACGACTCGTTCAATCGTGACTGGCAGCAATCTCCCAACCCACAGGCTTTGTCAGATCTGAATGGTTGGGTTGGATGGACTGATGCGGTGAACTCTTCTTCAGCGTTTAGTTTAGTGTACGGCAATAAGATAACAGCAGGTGTAATCCAATTTGGGAAAGATGGGCCCAACCCGCTAAATGTACTGTCTGTTGATCACTCGACTGGATATCCCGGGGACACGATAACTTTAAACGCAGGGTCGACATTGTTCCACCGTTTCTATCTAGTGTTTTCAACTGTCGGTGTTGAAGCTATGACTACAGTCGCAAACTCTCTGGCCAGCAACTATGCTACTACCGGTATCGTCAGCTATACCATCGCACAAGCAGCCCACATCGATAACTGTGCGTTATTGGCTAGCCACAATATCTCTACCTGCAACTGGTACCCGTTAGACAGGCCGACTATACGACCGTTACCGATAATCCTAATCAAGAGTAAAATAAATAATGCAACATATGTGACAACATGGACTTATATACTTGGAGCTACTACAGACGCTAATTACTATGGTCCTCGGATGAGCACTACAACTGAGTATGTGGGCTTGTTGGGATGGGGCATTAACTCAACTAGCCAAGACTCCTCATTACCTTCTGGCCTGGTAAAGCTGTCTACTGTATTGAGTTCTACCGTCTTTCTCGATCCAACTAGGATTCATCAGGACGTCTGGGTTTTTAATTCTGCAACATAAAAATTTGTCAATTGTAATATGTACCCATCGCCTCTTCAGATCACGCATCACTCATAGAAAAACGACAAAAGACGGAACAGAAGTTTACAAATTCAAATAATATAGTTTCTATAAACGAACTCCATGTCTATTTACAAAGTGTGTGTTCTCGACGTTACTCTAGAGCAACAGAGCAATTCGGCACCTGATACTGGTTCTGCCATGGTTTCCGTTGCAATATACATGCAGTGCAAAAGTTTACAATGACTTTTTCATCCAACTGTAGATCAATTATTGTTCCTGCAGTAGCATTCGTAGTTCTTGCTGAAGCAAAAGCAACACCACCCCTCTTCCTCCATCTCATACCAGCAGCCTCAACACCCATCCCAAGCGCAATCCTCCCAGACATTTCAGACACTGCCGAGCAAATCCGTCGGCTAGATCCCTCCTGACACATTTTATGATGATGTCTACTAGGCTTGACTGATCCATACGCCATGTCATCTAAAAACGCCAGTGACATTTCATACTCGTCTAGGAAGTGGATTGATTGGTCGGCACCTGATAGTGATGCTGCTTCTTCACGTAGTTCATCATTGGCGGACTTCATTTCGGCTAGGGAGTATATGGGAGACGCTTTCCGGAGTGAGACGACAAATTGGCCAGTCCAGTTAGAGTTACACCAGGCTCGCATTGAAGATATAAGGCCTCCGTGTACGTTGATTGGAGGCAGTTCGACTAGCAGCAGGTCGGGACCAATATCTGAAGTCATTCCGCTCTCAGACGTTATACCATGGACGAGAGAAGAAGCATTTTTAAGGGAGTTGGCATCCTTCAATGTCCTTCCAAATCGAAGGTCTATATATGTCAACTAATCCAAACAAAGGGGTTTCAAAATAATGAGTATCCATACTGTAACAAATACATAAGATCCAAGCACAAACCTTCAGATTCAAACCAATCATAACATCCACACGACCATTACAATTATACACTAGCGGGTGCGTCACATTTGCAGCAGCTTCCCCACCTAAATAATCCACCAGAGCCAAAACGTCCCCTCTGCGAGTAGAGCTACCTGCAAAGACAATCCACACATCATGTTCCAGCTTCTTTACATCCTTTAGTCCTATATCACGATATAGACAATCTTTTTGTACCCATGCCCAATTCATCGCCGTACAGATGCCATGAAGATTTGAATTTGAATCTACACAACGTGCCCATCTAGCTGCTGCGAGATGAGTCATACCAGAGCAAGCTGATTCCTTCCGTCTTTGGAGAGAAAAGAGTCAGTGAATGTGTTTGCAAACTTACGGCTTTTTTCGTGTGAGGCGGATTTGGACTTACACAATTCTCTCCTTGTAACTCCCCCTTTCATCCACCACCTATCCAAAAAGACGAAACAATATGGTCAGCACAATAGTCCAATTTGTTCTGTGATCGTTGTCAATTGAGGCAACATAAATCCCTTTACCTGCACGATATCACGATGTACATTCCGCCACACTTGGAAACCCTTCGCGTCAGCAGAAACCATATCCACAGTCAAATTATACATTCCGGGATCAAGCGGAGTGAATTCAGCACGATCCGGACCAGCAACGTCTTTTGTTACAGGTATAGCGTATTGAGCTTTGGCGCCTCGTAGCAAGACATGGAAAGAATACGGCGGGATTGTCTTTGAATCGTAGTCTTTCATAGCCAACAGGATAGCTTGGGGCCTTCCAACTACGATAGAGCTCTCCAAACCTTGAAGGGACAAGGTAAACGCCGGATACGACGTGTTTTCATGCCTGGGACGTGCCGGGTAGACTAGATCAAACATTTAACGATTAGCTTCATTCGACAAGCTACCGTAATACACAAAACAATTCCAGTTCTTACAATCCACAATCTTGACTCTTGGCCTTTTTTTGCGAATTGATGTCTTGGGGTTAACACTTGGATACGAGACTTGATTGATGGCTACACCTGCTTCTAGACCTAATTAAAAGTTGGGCATGAGGGTTTAAAAGCTTAGAACTTGAAATTATTGACTTTGTACCATTGGTCTTGGCTATAGCTGCTGAGGATCTGAATAAATACCACAAGAGAGCAATGAGCAACAAAGCAAGAAGTAAATTCAGGCGTCTCGCATCCCAACGCGGGCAACCATACATCAGGCCCCCCTTCCTAGACCTAGCAGCAAAGTCGAAACAATGGCTGCCAGAGTTTGATGATCAGGTTTGTTTAGAGTTTTCAGGCAGTCTGGAGCGTGTTTCGGGAGCAGCTTCTTCTAATCAGATCCTCACGGCCTTCACTATTATGAACTTTGTTGGTTTCGTGATGAATAGAACCTCCCATCGTCGTTTGCGATTTGCGACTCTCGAGGAAGGAAAATTCACGTTGCCCCCATAAATATTCGCTGCATCGTACATCAGGACTATTCAGGACTCGCGCTCTGACTCTTCCTACCATCCATGACAGTGCATATTAACCTTTGCAAATGTCCGAACGGCTAGTGCTATGGGTCATGTCAAAACTCAAAAACGAGCACTCGGAACAGCACAAATTACTCACCCACCAGACAACCTTGACAAGCAAGCCAAGTCAACAAATCCAAATCTTACAATATTAATACTCAAGACGCTAGTTGCTCATATGTAGGTATCTTCACAACTTTAAAACGTGTGATGGTCACAACGAGTCACCTAGTTTAGCAGATCCGGTATAGTTCTCACTCCCACCTTCATCGTTCTCCACCACCACAGAAGCTAATTTATAATATAAAAGCTGATCCCGGAGAATTGCAAGAGGCACACCATCAACCCCAGCATTCCAATATGTAAGTTAGTCTTCTCTTTCATCTGTGGTGATGTGTTCTGACAAAAGTGAATCAACAGCTCGTCAAGAATCTCAAAAGCAGTTAATTTTATAGTGTATATCTAAATAAGATATTTTGAATCCCTTCGAGCATCATGGCACCGTCAACTGCAACAGACTCGACGTATCCAACCACTGGTAATCATCTTCACGTGCAAATGTCCTTGAGTGAAGAAGAAGCAAACTTAATCACATGTCATTTCCCTCAATAGAACTCGTAGTGCCGTCATGCAACACTCTGAAACAAGCTCCTCACATGACTAATGGAAGACCTCGCCAGCCGAGGAGTCGGGCATGCTCGATTGATCTTAAACTGCCGGCGTCACCTTTAGTCATTAGGCAGCTATGGGATCTGACGATGGTGGTTAGGCCATCACTAAGGCCTAGCTTGTAATTGTTGCTCGACAAGGCTTGGGACCCACAGCAGAGTAGCAGAAACCCCCGCGTAATAGCAATCCCCTCCCAAGAAAAGAAACCGGGTATATAATCTCAGTAATCAGTTATTCGGCCTGATATAGTAAGGTAGATAAAGTTTTGTAGATAAAGTTTTGCAAAAACGACGACATAAAACTCCCCAAAAACTAAAATTCAATAAAAGAAATCGTAATACAAGAAGCAGCATGTTCGATTTAGCATAATACAGCAGTTTAAATGCGAGCAAAGGAGTCAATGGCGAGCTTGGTCTTATCCTTGTAATCCTATTGTTTAGAAATAACACGTCAGCTTCAACAAAAGTACCAACACACGCCTTCGTTATAGCAAATACTACGTACCTTCACGATTCCTTGAATAGCCTTAAACTTTTCATGCGATGCATCTCCCAGCAACTGGAACATAATGCTTTCCGAGGATGCGACAGTACAACCCATTGACCTCAGAGCTTCAATTGCGATAGGGATCTCACCCTTATTGATGGACGATACACCATCAGCCAAGATGACGACCTTGATGCCTTCGTTTAGCAAGTCTAGAGAGGTCTGGTATACACACACATGTGTCTCAAGTCCGGATATAATGACAGTCTCGATCCCATATTCGGCGAGATAGGTCATGACTTCAGGGATACACATGGAGAACTTGGATTTGGGTTTGTTTAGTTTGGCAAATGACACATCGATCTCCGATACTGTCTTGCCGAGACCTTGAGGGTTTTGTTCGGTTACGATGACGGGCATCTGTAGTTCTTTAGATACAGCGACCTAAATGAATGGAGATGTGTCAGAACGAAATCATTGCCGGACGGCAGACAAGTTCTAGAATCATTATGGCTGATTCAAACATGGGACACAAAATATCAAATGTTGGTTCACACCATCTTTGCGGCCGTAGAAACTAGCTTGTCGAAGGCATAGATGTGATTTCTAACAAGAACCAAAAGTTTTAGGTTAGTTTGGTTGCTCCTTCTACATCTTTGGTTTGAAAATTCACTTTCCCGTCCAACAACACATTTTGATGACATACCTAAACTTTTCTTGGATATCGCAAACGAAGAAGGCAGTCTTCAACGGAGTCATTCTTGTTAGCCTTGCAGCGGTAGCCATCACTACGTACGATTGTCTTAGTCGGTCAAGTGAACCAATTGAAGATGAAGTGATGCAGAAGTCCATCAACACTCAGTCCACAACAGTCTCATCATCAAATTATTAAGATTTATTCCAAAATATGATATATATGCAAAGCAAATTACCAATTTTATGTTGAAAGCAAAACACATATGTGAAGATCTTCGTAATCCCAGAAGTTACATTACTGCCACTGAACCTACAATTACGACACGACCACGAGTGGCATTCACTACTTGAGGTGCACAAAAAAGACACCAACCCGTGGCTGTCTAAAGAATCCAATTAATGCATTGCCCTGTCTCAATATTGGGAAATCAATTGAAGAGAATGGCATATTCTCGAGGCACCATCGTTCCTTTCTCTCGGCATCATCTTTATGTTCACCAGGTACACGAGCAGGTTTGCTTAATCGTGCACTAGTAAACGTGATACCGCCATCATTACTAGTAATACATATAGGTAGATCAATCTGCACACTACATCCCAGTCCTGAGGACACATTTTCCGATAATGTTTTACAGTGAATGGGATTGAGCCTAAAGGTGCCGTAGAATGTAGTACTGTAGATTGGTGATATTTGGATTGATGATGACGTGTCATGTGTAGTCTGGGATACGATGCATAGTTCACATTGATAGCCTTTAAAACGGGTATTGGAGCATAGACCTCTCATTAGTTGACCAGTTCGCAATGGCGTAGATTGAGTTGGTGATATCGGTAATGCTTCTTCAGCTACTACTGCGAAGGCTCCCAAAAACTGGGGGATACCTTCGAACAAGGGCGGATGAGTGAATGTGTCTATGGCTATGACAGGCAAGCAGCGAGACGCACCTGGATCATAAATCCCAACAATACAAGGTCCACACCAAATACCTTCATACTTGTTTGGTACCGCTATCTCTGAACCTCGTATTATTTCAGTCTCTGAGAACGTCACTAGCTGCGGTATGCTGGTTCCCAGCCAAACGTCGGTCTTGAATCTGTGCGATGCACTCCCAGAACTGTCAATACATCCTTCCAGTCTGGTCAATGAATCTCGAAGTGTCGACCACCTGCATACACCAGAAAAACTATCACGCTTCATTATTCCATTAACACTTGATTGACCAGATTCAGTTATAAGCACTTCCATCGGATATGGCTTGAATCCATTAGTAGCTCGGTCTAAAACGAAAGACTTTTAGCATGTGATGCCACAGTCGAGACTTTGTTGAGTTTCTTGCACTTACCTAAAGCGTATCCTTTCCAGCCAGTGATGCCAGAATCGAGTCTTATATATAACTGCTTCCAGTTACGCTCAAAAGACTCGTGGTGCATTCTGCGACATTGATCATGAATATTCAGCCAAAATCGGTTCTGTGTTCGTGTACGATATAGATATTGATCCTCAGAGAGGCGACTCCAAAATCTGCAAGTCTGGCCCAAAACGGAAGACGTCGTTGGTTCGAGGAATTCCAGCAAATGTCTACATATATGCAGTAATGTTTGATTAATCGTTGTTATAGACGAGGACATGACTCTTGCCATATAGGGAACCAACTACTTACAAGCATAGTTCTTCGGAAAGCACTGCAAATGCACCAGTGAATGGTCTTGTGATGTTTGGTATTGGTTGCGGATCCTCATCGACGAGCGAAGAAGTAGGGTGTCTACTTTCACTTTCTAGCCTTGATATTGAGTCTAAATCCATATCTGAACTGCTCTCGTCATCGTCTTCATCGGGAGTTGAATGGACCAAACCCATCGTTGCCGTGTTTTGGTTTGCGATTTGCTTTGAGGAGGCTTGTTAGCTTAAGACTAGATCTACATAGTAAGGTGCCTTGTAACAATCATACCTATTCCTTTTGAACGGCCTTGACTTGCCTAGGATCAGAGTACCTGTTGTCAACAAAACAACAAATCTAGACACCGTGTAATAGACATTAGAGCCTTTTGTGGGGGGATTTAGACAGCTAGAAGAACTTGTTTTCATGTATAATTAGGCATGCCACCAGTCACTCAGATTCAACAGTCGCTTGCTGGAGGCCTAAGCCATTCGAACCAAGATGACCAGCAGACATCTGCTGGTCATCGCGTATCCAAAGGACCAATGAATAAGAGAAAAGCTGGTGATACCTTCTTGGATACATTCTGTTCGAAACGCACTGCCCAGGAGACCGTGGCCGTAAGCAGAACTACAGTTTTACTGACAACTAAATGCAAACGCTGACTCACATTGCTTGGTTTTTTAATAGTGCAAGGATTGCAGGCTTAATGGAAGAAAGGTACTTTCAAACTGATTTCACCACTGTCCTCTTACATGCTTGACATTTTGGCTCATTCGGCGTCCGTCACGTTCTCGTTTTGCACAGTGCGATGGAACTCGTCCATGTGGAGAATGTCAGGCTGGACACAAGTCCAATTGTACTTGGGATATAGTTCAAACGAGACCTTCTATTTTATCTACCCCACCCGCCGAAGATTTCCCTAGAGATCTGGCGAAAACAAGACCTGAAGTATTTGAGCTAGGAGCTGGAGTCGAATTGTTGCAATCATTTCCAGCAATTCCTTCTTTTGACTTTCCATCGCCTCCTCATGAAAATTATTGGCAGACGCTGGAATCGGTGACTTGGCCGACTACACCTCCCAGAGTGTCGGTGCCTCCACAAAGTACAATGCCCTATTACATTCGCACGCAAAACGAAAATTGAAGGTTCTAAATCTTTCTTTCTTCATCTCGTGTAGTTCAAGCACACCCTGTCGACTGTGTTGACATCAGAGACCTCATTCAATCATTTTTCACCTTTATATATCCCATCGCACCGAGAGTTTCTTATTTGCATCCCCCAAGCTGGCTGAACCTTGATTCAACTAAAGCCAAAAGACCCCTGTTGCTCAATGCTATATGTGCCATAGGTTTGTGGAGTTTGCAAGTCTTGCGGCTACTGTTTACTAAGGGCATTTCACATTCAAACAATAGGAGCCACAGTGTCTTCGCAACCGTCACTAATACAATTTGGTGTGGATAAGTGCACACGGGGCAAGCCATACATCGACACCTGCCGAACTCTGTTAGCTGAAGCAATCAGAAATCCCTCCTGTGAAGCCGTCCAAGCATTAGCCCTATTGAGCCATTATCATTTCCGATCGGGAGATGGTATGAGCTTCGACTTTGAAGGTCTTCCACGTCCCCTTTTGATAACTCGGTCTTTGTCATTTAGGACATCTGTGCATAGAGTTTGTACGATTCGCATCTAGGTCTGTCACTCTGGATCACATTCATCTCCTCACATCTTATCTCAACTCACCTCTACACATATCAAACAATAGAATGATGATGGCTCTCCATATGGACGAAGATCCTGACATTTTGACACAGAAAGGCCTTTTGGCGCCTCAGACCTTCCTAGAAGAAGAAACACGCAGACGGACATGGTTTTGTCTTTACGTTCCTGAACGAGGTTGGTTACCTTTACAATATCTGCCCCGTCGCTTCTCCTAACATTGGTGTATCACAGCCATTGCACTCATGACCAACACTCCATCGATAACGCTGAGAGATACACACGAGCTGGACGAAGTGTCTCGTGTCACTTTCCCTTGCTCTCAGGCGACATGGCTGGCCATTGATCCTGAGACTGGTGGTGTCCCGCCTTCCGTTGAAACAAGGATGGTTGATTCTGTACAGGCATGTATAGAGAGTTACAGACTTTACGGACTCGCTATACGAGTTACAACGTTATACAACGCGGACTCTTGGAACGTTGTAAGTTTGGTTTCGTTCATTCGTGGTCCTTCAGCTTATCATCCTTCTATTCATAGCCAGGATACATTGGCACTACCAAACTATCTGAATTTCCAGATGGTAAACTGCGTTTCAAAATTTGCCAAAAAACAAGATTTAAATATTTGCGCTTCTAGATGATTTGAAACGGGAACTTGTTCTGAAAAACTTGGATTTTCGACCGGTTATGGAGCAACGTCTCGACGATTTCTATGGCAAATTGCCTGCGTACATGAAGCCCGACGGTGATGGACTCCAAAGCTGGTTTAGAAGGGTAGTGCATTATAAAAAGCAATTGAATGGAGACACAAACCCCTTCAACGTTGTCTTTTGCCATCTGCTGTACCATTCCTCGATCATTGGGATTTTAAAGGTAAGAAGCAGTCGAATTTGGATGTACATAGTCGCCACTTACAACGTCATGTATTCTCTAGCCTGAAGTGATTCTGGCAATAAAGACTATGAAAGGAGACGAGGCTTTGCAGAATCGTAGTGTTCAGAAAGCTAAACGATCTGGAATGCAAATATATAGTCTGATTCAGGAGATCATTGTCCCGCTGAATCCACAATGGTAAACGAAAACCGGAGACGCCATTTCTGGTTTAAATTTTCTTGTCGTGATTCTGACATGCCGTTTTTGTTTCATTGAGCAGGGAAATGATTGGAGAAGCCTCCGCTTTCGCTGTTGAATCCGCTATCAAGGTTGCGCTTTTAACTTGGTTGTTGGTTTTGCCTCCAGAGTCTCATAACCGAGTCTTCTCTCTGTGTTTAGGTGCTTGCAACACTATCTGCGCTCCCGGGTCATGAATACTTGCTGAATATGGCGGATCTGATACTCAAGGCCTATGAGAAAGTGCAACCGACATTTTTATCACGTGTGTTGCAAAAAACGTCGAAAGAGGCCATCGAGAAAGCAAGAGCGCATCTTACTCGCAAGTCCAAGTAAATCGCCAGACAATTACATACTGATTCCACTTTCCATTTGCATAAGTATACGTAAATACATCACTATATCGACTAATGCGACACGCAAAGGCGAAGAATCACGCGAACTAGAAGATCTAAGGCGGCCATGCATTGTGTATAAGTCAAATTGGAAGATTTGATCCTTGCAAGGCTTGACTTGAGATGACCTGCTTTGATTTGTTTCTTACTGCTGGTTGCTTGGATGCAATGTACTTAACTTGGCTCTTTGGCTCTTGCAGCAAACAGCCTTCCCCGCACAACTTCATATAGATAACACAACACACAACAACAGGGAATGGACCGGACCAGCCTATATATTCGCGGTCGCATCTTGTGTCAAGACTCTCGCAACCTTGTTGTCGCTGCCTGCTGGCATGTCCAGCAGTTTCCTACGGATGGCCAGAGCTGCATCCAAATCCCTAGATGGAATGAAATTCGAAACAAATTTGGCTCGGAGGGTGAAAGCAAACACCAAAGAGGTTGTGGATAAGGCCGAGACTCTTCTTGCCAACCATCGAACTGTTGTAAGAGCCTTGACCTCGATCTTTTTGTGACGAAGGTAATAGAATCAAAGTTTATCTGGTCTGTATCGCCTTTTTATAAACTGATCCTGAATTCGTAGATGCCTTTGCACACAGAGCATGCAGGCCTTTATCATGATTTGTTGCATTACACGTGATAAAACACTTCTTGCGAATTTCGTAAGGCAAAAGGGAGGCCCCGATGATAGCGATCAAGTACTACTGAAGCTGCGACAATAAATTATCTGAACTTGACTTCTTGACATAACCCCCATTCAGGTTTTTAGTGTGGTGCTTGGACAAATTGTCAAGAAACCTATCTATATGATACCTTCACCCACGATCAGGAATATGAGAAGAATGAACTTCAAGCTACGAGTAGCAGAAGCAGTAAGCTCGTATGCCTTCTCTTCAAATTCCGCTGAGTGTGTCCTAACTGTGCATACTTTTGTTTTAAACTTTTTCAACAAGTGCCACGAATGTCGCAGACGCAAAAGAAAGGTAATTGAAATTGTTCTTTACTTGTCTACTTGATTCTTCATGCAAGCATCCGGCACGCTAGAAGCCACTTTTCTCGCAGAGATGCCTTCCTCATCACTCATCACTGTGGTCCAATTTAGTGTGATGGAGTAAAGGAACCAGTTTGCGGACCTTGTAGTCGAACAAAGAATGCTCTCTGTACTTGGCAATCTTTATCTGCAGAACCAAGGCCGGATGACGTTCCGGTTGAAACCGTGGAAACGAGTTCCGATGGTCCCGGCATGGCTGACCAGTCTTATTCATTCAACAACACGACCATTGTTAAATCTCACTACCAACGTCGCTCGAATTCACTGCTTTCGAATGAAGGATCTGAAATGTTTAATGTGGATATGTCAGTCCAGTCTCATTCGGAATGGACGTATAGTTTCCCAGCGCAGAGCTCTGGCGTATTGCCGCGTTATGGTATGTATCAGGCTGGCGCAGCGAACCATTCTCTTAAATGTGCGTCTTTAATTCAGCATCTTGTCCTTTAGCGCAAGTTATAAATCCGCTGGATCGAGTCGATGTTAGAGAACTGCACCAATGCTTCTTTTCGGTTATATATCCTGTAGCGATCATGTCGTGTCATATTCATCAACCAAGCTGGATGCATGCCTCTCCTCTTCCCAATAACAGTCCACTCATTTCAAACGCGCTCTGTGCTCTCGGTATGTAGTGAGCGTTGAAGGTCCAAGCACGGATTGTAATAGCCAATTTATGGACTTTTAGGTGCCACGGTGTCTTCGCAGCCCGGACTGCTTCAATTTGGAGCCACTCCAGCAGAACGCGGTCAACCATACATTGAAAAATGCCAGGCACTGCTGGTGGACTCGGGCCAAAAGCCCAATTTGGAAACTGTACAAGGCCTTTCTCTCCTTTTTCTCTACTTTGAGCGTCTGGGTCAAGGTACGACCGATTATCTGCTCAAATTGTGAAAACCACTCAACTGTTTCTTCCCTTCAGTGCAACAGCACGTGTATTATCTCAAAATACTATCGGCCATGCTTATGTCTCTTGAAATGGATGAGGACCCAGATATTCTTATAGAAAGGGGCTCATTGTCTTCTAAAACTCTTTTGGAAAAGGAAACGTGGAGACGCATTTGGGCCTCCCATTTTCCTCCTGAACGAGGTAAGATAATGAACACAGAACCAATGTTATGTGGAAGTTCTAACATACCTGACTACCACAGCGATGGCGCTGGTAACCCATACTCCAGCGATTACACTTCGGGACCCGGAAGAGCTAGACGAAGTGAATCATGTCAGGCTTCCGCTTTGCGAAGCTACATGGCTGGCCATACATCCCGAAACGGGTGAATTATCCAACGATATAGGCAGTAGCGAGGCTCTGGACTCTGTCCAAGCTGTGTTGGAGGTCTTTCGACTATACGCGCTTGCCCTCAAGGTGGTGCATTTATACAATATGGAATCTTGGTCACTGGTATCATATGAGCAGCCGATCAAGCTACCAGAGTTCCCTGGAGGTTTGTGAAGGCATTATTGCGTCAAGCTCAGTGTGCTCACATGCACTTTGTTGTCTCTAGATATGTTGACCCGACAGCTTGTCGTAAAGAACCTCGACTTTGGTCCATTGATGGTGCAACGCCTCAATGACTTCTATGCTCAGTTGCCACCGTACATGAAGTTCGAATGTACTCACTGGTATTCAGTCGATAACGGACTACATTGCTGGTTTAAGGATCTTATGCACAAGGAGAGAAATCCGTTCAACGTCGTGCTAGTGCACTTGATCTTTCATACCTCAATTATTGGTATAGCAAAGGTACGTATGTATAGAGCGCTGTTCTGTGTTGTTACCACCCTGACAGATTGTGTTTTTTTTTGTTGTCGCTGTTGTTGTCTTAGCCTGGAGCCATTCTAGCTATCCGAACACTATCTCCAGAAGATGCTGTCGCAGATGGTAGTGTGCGGGTGGCGATGAGCTCGGCGATTGTGATACATGATCTCTTGAAAGACATTGTGTTGGTGTTTGATCCAACCTGGTGAGGGCGTCTTTACTTGCAACGACCTCCTTTGTTAGATTCCTAACATTTTTCATTCGACAAACAAGGGAGAGGACGGGCCCAGCCGCTTTATTTTCTGTTGAATCGTGCGTCAAGACTTTGGCAACATTATCATCGCTTCCTGGCATGGCGAACTTCCTGCCAATGGCCAGAGTAGCGTCCAAATCCCTAGACCACATGAAGTTACAAACACACTTGACTGCCATTGTCAAGAATAACACAAAGGAAGCTGTCGATAAGGCGGAAGCTCATCTCGCAAATCATCGAACGGTCGTCAGGCCATTCACATCGATTTTTTTGTAAAGGCGTACAACGTTGCACCAGCAGTACATAAACTAGATACAATGGTATATAACACATGAAATACACGAACTCTCATCACTCTCATCTCTTGCACAACACATTCAGTAGTGTTTTAAGTTACTTTCTATTTAAACGACTCGACTCTATACATAATATATTGGGAGCTTCCACACTCTCCGAATTAAATATTCACCCTCCACGTATCCCAAAACAACTTGGAAGCCTGGCACTGCTCCACAGTCACTATCTTGACTAGACCTTCGAGCGACACAAGGCGGAACTTGAATGACTTTGCTTCAGCGGGTGCAGCAGTGGGTGATAATGACAGGCCACTATCCCGACGTTCGAGTCCTATTCCGCCTGTGGGTGAAGGCAATGATTCAGGTTGTTGGGTACTAGTGTCGGGTGTTGCGTATCCTTCTCCTACGGGATCAACATTTAAGACGTGCTTTTCCCATTCTGATCCTTCGACTACTTCGAGGAAGTCGGATAGTGTTGGTGTTGGGATATTGTTCTATGGAAAAAGAACGCCAAGGTTGAGTAAATGTAGCTGGCTAAGAGCTTGGCAGGAAGTTGAAAACTACGAGATTTGCTAACTTACAACGTGGGTAACGAAATTACAGGCAGTAAGGCCATCTCTTTGCGCGGGCGAGCCAGAGTAGAGTAGTGATATGTATACACCTTGTTAAAAAACCTCGTCAGCTCATTGTTGTCGGAAACATAACAGAAACGCAAATGCTTATCTCACCTTTTGGAATGGTTTTGATGGTGAAAGAGAGCACACGGTGTGGTATCTGGAACACAGCTCCAGCCCAGTGCACGATATTGATAGACGGTGTACCATTCAGAGTAATACGAGGTACAGATACAACCATTTCTTGCCCATCACGTACAATAATCATCTCCGACATTGTTGATTGCGGAGCAGAAGAAGACTTGACATTCCACATATCAGTCATTTTCGTAACGACTTCGCCATCCAATGATAAGATCATGTCTCCTTCTTGAAGCGTATGATCATTAAATGCGTTATGAGAGTCTGTAGCTGGTACTCTCCTAATTGTGATGACTGTGTACTTGTCATCTCCCACAACCAAATCATCGGATTCCTCTTCATCCATTTCCATAGCTTCTAGACGTAATTCGGGTTCACTGCTAGAGTCATCTATAACTTCAGCTTGGCTTTGTCTCTTGTTGATGATGGCTTGAATCCACTTTTCAGAGACACCCAGTGGTCTCGCTTTATGGAAATACGTTTCAGTAAGTTCTACATCAATCGTGTTTACTACGGGATGGGCAACGACTTGTGTGCTGTCACCCATAGCGAGCTGACGTTGTTGTTCAATAACCAGTTCAATAGCTTGATAGAATTTAGAATTTTTTGATAAGCAGTAGCCAAGATATGAGGATGATTCTGGTGATTTCAGCCATAGAGCTCGTGCACGGCCTTCATCGTCGACCAAAACACCTGCTTCGTCATTCATGGGTCGATGAACACTCGGATGAAGGAGAAAATCAATAAGATGACAGCAGAATGCAAAATGAAAGACAAAGGAGAAGAAATAGAGATACTTACGTCAAGAATTCGTCAAAGTTCATTTGACGGAATTTGGGTGGTGATGTGTCATTGAAGACAAAGTAACCTTTGCCCTTCACGTGAGTCTCGCTTATCTTTGGAAGATGCTATAACAATGATTTCTGTAAGCGTTATGATCAAAACTACACAAAAGGCAAACGAACGCGAACACGTACAGTAATGGAGCTAATAGAGAATTGCAGCACGCTATCACCAATAGCCAAGGCTGGCAAAGGCGAGATCTCTATTGCCTTGATGGCAAAATTCACAGATCGGGGGTCGAACTTGACGATAACCAAGTTCTGGACGGGGTCCATATATACGATTTTGGCTGGCACATGGACACCATTTCCAATAACACAAAAGACTCGACCCATACCAGTAGGGATTGTCGACCTGTCAACCAGTACCAGTCCTAACTCTGCATCGACAATAACACCAACACCATCAGACCATTTTGAGTTTGTTCCATCCAAGCCGACTGGAGAATGCCATTCCACCAATATCATAGATGGTAGTAAGGACGAAGCGACCTTGGCATGACGGTTTCGTTTCTGAGGTATTTTTACGTATGAGGCAGTGATTTCTGGTGCTATGGTGGTTTTGCTGGGCAAGAGTGCTGGAATGGCAGTGTAGTTCCATAGTCCAGTTGAATCTATTCATAAAAGCGTTAATGAGGTAAACCATCCTGTAGCTATATAATACGACGACATACCATCTCGAGATGCCATTCGCAGACGACCCCATTTACTCTCTACCAAAACGACTTTAACAATCTCTACATTCTTCTTGGTCAAGACATAGTAGCGAACAGGCACTCTTGTCCCATCAGAAATGGATCTCATTACTTCAGCGAATGATTCAATATCGGGAGTTTTGATGTGATTGACAGACACGATTATAGAATTGGTTGGAATACCAGCTACACCCATCATATGGCCAGCATCAGCTACAAATGGAGCACCAACTCTATGCAAGAAGCCTCTGGCTAGTTGAAAGCTCAAAGCATGGATGGTTGAGCCACCGATTTCATAGAAGCGACTAGGTTGGACGGAGTGAAGACATTGGACTTCCAAATCTATATTTACGACCTTTTGATCACGGAATACAGTCAAAGTGATCATGGAGTTTACGTGATGATCTGGATTAGGTGCTCGGGAGTCGAGTTCTTCGGCCAATTCATCCAAGCGAGCTAAGCATTTACCATTTACTTGGAGCACGATATCACCAGTAAACAAGAGACCATCAGCTGCACCTTTTGGAATGACGTGCTTTACAGTCAGTATTCCGTTAAGTTCAGGATAGGTTTGACGGAACAAGGTTTCCGTCAAAATGGGTAGACCGAGTCTTCTAGCTTCGTCATACTGCTTTTGAGCAAATTCTACTTGTAGTGTTCCTCGAGGAACAAATTTGCCTTGTTTGATCAAGTCCAATGCTACCTTGATACCTGGTTGCGATTGATTTTTAGAGTTGTGTGAGGAGAGTGCTAAACGAACTGCAATATATTGGACTTACGAGGTAGAGGCAAGAAGAAGGAAGATGCAGCTTTAACCGAGCCGCCGGCGTTCAAGGCTACAGCGTTTCCGTGAATATCAATCACGGGAGATCCAGATGAACCACCAGAAGTGTTTGCTGATGCTTGAATGTAGAAAGTATTGAAGTCACAGTAGGTCCCGATGCCGTAATCGGGAGGTGATCTGTCTAGCCTGTGGAACAGAGTTGCGATGTTACAAAGTGTTTGGAATTGTAGCAACAATATCAGCGAGATTGATATACGGCCGCTTACCTAGCAATGATACCAGACAAGACAGCAAGCTTCTCTCCAGCGTCAGATCCAGGAACCTAGTGTTCAAATGTCACCTCCAAAACCCGGCATCGTGCAGCGCATTTGGACCAACCTTTACAGCCAATCCGATCTTGGCTGACTCGGGTACCAATGGGACTTGAGTTAACTCCATGAATTTGACTTTAGACTTGTCAAATTTAATGAATCCAAAGTCATGAATTGGATCACTAACACAAAATGACGTGGCATTTAGATATCACTTTGTTTTGGTCGTTTTTGGTTTAGACGCGATGAAAGGATCCGTGATTGTCTCGAGCACTGCCTCCGAAAAGACTGATGCCGGGTCGGCTGACTCACCGATAAATAGGATGACATGGCACTTCCTCACTGTTCTTGAAGCAGATACGTCCAATCCAAGGAGCATCAGTAATAACATGCTTGTTTGTGAGAATGATTCCGTTTTCAATGTCAACGATAAAGCCCGTCTAATGCGAAAGCAATGTTTGGCTGAGCGCAGTTTCAAAACGAACATTTGGAATTGGATAACAAAGTACTCACAGCATTGAATGATCCAACATTCCACGTATCAAACTTGCGACAGACAATGAACTTGATGGAGACCAATGACTTGATGGCATGTTCTAAAGTCTTGGTCCAACGTTCGTCTTCTATATTCTTGGGCTCATCAGCCGATGAAACAGGTCTTGAGTGCATTGTGGTAGTGTGGTTGATATCCACGTTGGCCGAAGCCGAGAGGGGGACGGTTGAGGCTTCTCCAATTCTAGCGCTTGTATCGGATGATGACATAGCACGAGATAGTGATGAGGTCTGGAGATGGCCTAATATGTTGTGAATGCGTCTAATGGAAAAAATGTCTGCTTTTAAGAAGCGGATTACCTAACAGAGTGTTTGATATCGGTTAGATATGATGCGAGTAGGTCTCATGGGAATGTGTCGTCCAAGTCGCGAGTTTGGCAAAGAGTGTTTGGGTATCGTTTGTGAGCAATTGGAGTAGATCCATACAGTTGAGCAGCGATTTCAAGGACAATATGCATATTAAATATGTTATCCGTATCAAAGGGACGCACGCGCCCATTCACATTCCATGCATCCCCAGCAAACGTGATAGACACCACCAGTCACAACAAAGTTGACCTACCAAAGAAGGAGGCGAACCGATATTATATGGCGAAACCCAATTAGAAAATGTGTTCGTTTTCGTTATCTATCAACTGGCTCGCGTATGTGAAATGTTTTTGGTGGGGAAGGGAGGTAAACAACAAAGGAAAGGAACATTTGGCATCGATTTTGGACTGGTGTTCCAAATTGCTATTTAGATCCAGACCCAGAACCTCCCGACACGAGAAGCAACATACTACTGTTAGTGGAAATTTATGTAGTCGGTGCCATCCAAATATAAATATTTCCTTGTTAACCTAGAAGCCCTCCTCATTGGAACCAAAGCTCAATGTTCAAAACATAAATAAACAATGATTGCGACAACATTGACGCAGTTGTTGCCAGACCAGGCTTCACTAGACAATATCCATGCTCTGGTCGATCATGCACTGCGTTCCCATCTTCAAATACAAGCTAGGGTATGAACTCCATCACATGTCCATCGTCTACTGGAACTAACCAAACACACTTAGCTCCAAGAACGCAATGCCACTACTCCCCGACGCGTCAAGGCTTTGTCGGAGGCTGCGCTCAACTTGAAATCCACTCTATCCGCCATCAAGACTGAAATCCGGGACTTGAGAGCTCTCATCAACCAACTGCTTTCATCAGGCACTCACGAAACCATTCGCTTTGTCAAAGAGAGTCGACGCGTCGCTGATCAATTACGAAATGTTTGCAACTATTTGGCTACTGTATCCAAATTCGTCAATCTCAAGTATGGACTGTGGTTGATGGTTTGGCAATTTCCACAAGCTGACGATTTGTCGCTTTGATCAGAAACCTGGTTGCAAATGACATTCCAACGTTGAGCACATACACGGAGCTACTTGCTCTCCGCGATGGAATACCAGTCTCATCAAATCGCCTGAGACTGACAGATCATATTGGAAGTGTGTTGATATCAGTCAAAGAGACTGTCACAATCAGACTATCCACGCAAGTAGAAGCACCAGTTCTAACCTTGATTTGATAATATAATTAATCCTGCTCTGTTGATTAGAGCTCTGGATCAACGACTTGTCGGGTTGGGGTGGCCGACGCAAATGGAAACAACAAATCTGGAAGCTATGAGGCCGTTTCGAGACACGTTTCATGAACTAGTCATCCTGTAAGTACTTTTTTTATCTGGTGCCGAGACATGATCTCAATCTTGAGAACTTCTGTGCGACTTAGGGAATCGTTGGATGGTATAGAAACTGCCACAGCGTCATCGCCACGACACTTGGCAGAACCACCAACAGCCATCAAGTGCTTAGTTAAACCTATATTACTACGCTTTCAGTATCACTTTAGCGGTGATAGGCCGACAAATCGTCGTGACAAGGTATAAGACGAGCCCAGTATTTTTTTTTGTAGTCAGTACCAACATCAATTCCACTTATATGTAGCCAGAATGGATGTTCAAGTTTATACAAAAGAGTATCTCAGATCATGCAATGTTGCTTGCACAACATATTCAACCACTCTTCCACGATTCGCCATTTAGCACGTTGGACGCCAAGGTACTTCAAACATCATGATCACATTGTTCCCAGCTTTTTTCGCCTTGCTCAATAGCTTCCTTTCTTTTCGCAGAACGAGTTCATACAATGTCTTGTCATTGCCATGATCGACAAACTCGTTTCTGAAGCTTCTATACGAACAAAGGATCCCAGCTTGCTCTCACCTTGTATTAAAGCAGCAATCGACTTTGACAGAACACTGTTAAATACATTCGATTATCAGCCGCGATGGACTGGTACTGGTTCCAATTCTTGGAAGGGATGTGCATCTGTATTTTTGGATGATGTGGATGTGTTTGGAGCTTGGTTGCAGTATGAACGTGAACGTAAGGTTCGAAAATCAGTCTCATCGACCACCGCAGTGCTGATTTACTGTGTTTGATGTAGGTGCCCACAAAGCTCTTATTGGTATTGTTAGCTCTCCAACAGCCTGGGACTTTGAACAAGGCGTGGAGGATCAAGATATCATGCCTACCTCTTCATCTGTACAGTTTATGAATTTGTTTGATACCGTTACTGGTAATTTGCCACACATTGGTCCTGCCTCCTTGTGTGTGCCCTTGCTAAGAAATCTCAACGTCTAGACGTATACGCGCAGTTACCCAGTCTATCTCATCGATTGACCTTCTTCACCTCACTCACACTTGATGTGCTTGAAGACTATCTCTCTTCATGCAGAGACGTGGCAGAGAACGTGTATCGTAAACTGCCATCAGTCTCGAATATCGACAAAAGACAAGCAACAATCTCAACTAGGATCGAAACCCTTTGTAAATGTGTGTCTTCACTTGACTTTGTTTGTGAAATGCTTCGAGATCGAGCTGAAAGTGATGTAAGTCAGTCTAATTGGCGTTGTGTGACGAGGTCTTATTGATCGTCCACATTCACTACAAAGTTCTTTTTTTGCTAGTTTTTCTTGGATTTATGGGATCACATTGTTACAGCCAAAGGCGAATCTCCAGCTAGAGCTTCTGGCAAAGCTACTAGTTTGGCTTCAACGGCCTTCGATGATGTTATGCGTGCTTATGACGGCTGTATATCTCGAATATCTGAGGTCATTCAAGATGTCGCCTTCCAAGAGTTTGTTGAGAGTGTATGGATGTATGAAAAGAAGTACGTAACATCCTATACTACCCTCCACACTTGATTCTTGTTGTCAGTCTGACGCTCTTCAATTCAACGAATAGAAAAACATGGGCAGAAAATCTTCCATTAGCAACAACACCATCACCTGAACTGCTACCGTCATTAAGCATTGTCAAGAGTCATCTTGATATCATTCGAGCCCATCTGCCATCACGAGTGTTCAAGAAACATGTCTTGATACCTCTAGCAGCACGCATTGATGATCATCTGTTCCAACGTGTCGTTATGAAGAATCGATTCAGCAAGATGGGAGCCAGTGCATTTGCTGTTGACATGTGGCAAGGTGTCATCAGAAGTAAGACTTGGGATGTTGTTGCTGGTGGAGGTGATATTGATAAGGGTGTGAGACGCGTCGAGAAGCTGTTTGGAAGGTATGTGATATATCATCCAGTGCCTTTTTTTGTCGTTTGTTAATGATGAGATAAACCAACACTTGGTTTAAGGATTGTTGATGCTGCACACTTGTTGAACTTGCCTGCAACTACTTCAACTGGATCATTATCTATGACAACCGTTGTACAAGCTTTGGGGAGCGTCAAGAATCCTGTATTAGAGGATCGTGATGCACTGAAGGTTTACAAGCTGGCAGCACGCGAAGTGATCGAAGTGTTGGCACGTAGAATAGACTTTGGCTGAATTCCAGAGCTACATTATTATGTATATATTAAATTATCAAATGCTGTACACTGTATGCCCTGTTCCAGGCCCTGTTTGTATTCGGATGTCTCTCGTTTGTACATGTTTTATTGCGCACTCTCGCTCACCTCGGTAAGCTCTTCCAGTGGATGAGGATCAAGTCGAGGAGCATCGTCATTCGATAGAATAGGTGGCAAAAGACTGCTTGGCATTCTGGATCTACTTGGACGCAACACTGCCTGTCAAGGAACTTGGCATTTCATTTGTTTATCGGAATTGGAAGAACTGTAGAGTTTTAAGGGTGTAAAACTTGTCGATGTAAGTAGAATAACATCGATGCAATCATTTCAATATACTTGAATCACATTTTACATCTTATCCCCGCTGGAATCGAACTAATCAACGTGTAATCGATAGAGAAATTGCAATAAAATGACACATCACTTGTGGCTACGAGCAATACGGATACCGTTAATCATTGTCACGATCTGTTTAATACTCTCCCTATCCAGCCACATTTTCCTATATGGAAATGATGACGAACAAACTCAACAACAGCCAAGAAGGATGTCCTCAGCGTTTAAGAACAACACGCAACTGCATGCAGCGCCATGGGGTGATCTCACCGCTCGCAGATGTGCATTATACACGTATTTCGATGCTCAAGTATCAGAAAGTGGTGCTTCGTACGAACACAAGCAGTCTGATCAGTATATTATCAATCTGTGGAAGGGTGTTTGGTGGCGACGTGGATGGGATCCTATTGTTCTGGGAATAGAGGATGCTAAACGGCATCCTAATTTTACTGATTTGTTGGCTGTGTTCAATATGATGCCTACTGTTAATGATCGCCACTACGAGGTATGCTGCTTTGCTTCAATGCTTGTTTTGTTAGGAGTTACTGACAATCTACATGTAGACATCGTGTTATCTGCGCTGGGTGGCATTACAGACTGTTGGAGGTGGACATTTTATGGACTATGATATCATTCCGACTGGGATTCACGATCTTGAGTGTGAGGGTACCATTGTCGCTTGTAAATAACTATCACACTGACAGTATTCAACCAATAGTTGATCCAGAGATATGTGAGATATCTGTATTCAACCCTCGAGCATCTCTAATGGTCAGCAAGGGTGACGCCAGCGAGATTGCAGGCCTTATTAATCTCTTTGTGGACTATAACGTATCAAAGAGCAAGTATACTGTCGATGGCCTCGTTCATGGTAAACACAGTGTAAAGTCAAGAGATGTGAAGACAAACTGACTCTTGACGTTTTACACTAGTCTCGGATATGGTGATTTATATAACATCCAAATCATCTGGAGAGGGAGTGTTTCATCACCCAAACTATTTGCATATCTCGACAGAGTTTATTATAAAAGTCACCAACGACACCACCGGGTATCGAGCGAGGAAGCTCGAAATCATGAAAAGGATGATAAAGGAAACCGAGTTGCAAAACCTCAATATCTGGTACATGTCTCTTCCCCAAGCTTTGGGTGTCCCGGTAGCCAAAATGTTGCAACATGCGACAAACCATACATTTGCACCTGGTATTGAGTTTCCTCTAGATAAGTGTTTAGGTCTTGAACTAGATTACATGATGAGCTGGAACCGCAACAAGTCGGCGAGTCGGCCATTTATAGTGATGGGTCTTCGAGATCCTATAGAACGAGTGTATTCTGAATGGAGGAGAACGGATCTCTTGACCCTACATGGTAAATCGCCACCATGGTTGAACAATCGGGTTGCTCAACATGTAGCATTGATGGGCAAGTATAATGCATTGCGGCCACCACCGCCACCTGGAGCAAAAGGTGACGAAATCGTATACGTGAAACAATTCACGGCGGATATAGTGCCATTGTCAGAGTATGCGAGGTTATCGGTGGGTGTTGATGAGTCAGATACTGGTAGGAGTGGTGGGAGAGCGGTGTTTGATTTGGCACGGTTGGAGCTTGAGATGGCTGCTGGGATTATAGACAGCAACTCTTCATCAGTAAAATTGCTACCAGAATCTGATGACGAGATACTAGAACTAGCAGTAAAAGCACTAAGGACACGTGTAGCAGGTCTCATCTTGAGAGAACAATGGCAGGATTCCATGTACATGCTGGAATTCGCCATAGGGTTTGATTTTGTGAGAGATTATGATCCAGATCTGGGGCCAGGATGTGAATTGTCAATGCATTCACGATTGTCGCGTGAAGAAAGGGAGGCAATAGAGGCCCATCATTATTTGGATATTCGGTTGCATCGACATGCAGTGGAAATATTCGAAGAGCGATTGCATACCATGCGACGTGTCAAAAGTACGTATTTATATCCATAGTCAGTAGTAAATATAAACTCGAGTATAAACCAGTCCACACGCATTGTATATCTGTTTGACCGTTCCCTTTCTTCATCAAAACTCGTTCTAGCGTCGAGGAGAACAGATCATGCCACGAGAGATTATCTCATTACAGGTCGGCCAATGTGGAAATCAAAGTAAGTCATCGAAGCTTGGCTCTTCCTTGTCGTTCTAACGCTTTACAACCAAACCAATAACAATTTATGTAGTTGGTCAAGAGTTTTGGGCTGGACTATGCGCGGAACATGGTATTAGTCCAGATGGTATATTAGAGGAATTTGCTACTGAGGGTGGAGATCGAAAAGATGTCTTCTTTTATCAAGTAACGAGTCCAACCATTTAAATTGTTACGCTGCGCATGATATTTGAAGATCTGACTGAAACCGTTGAACGTTTAGGCTGATGACGAGCACTATATACCACGTGCTATATTATTAGATTTAGAACCACGGGTATGCAGTCGTTCTTAGTTGTTGGGACTGTGTTATGGTGGTTTGGACGAATACTCACCACAACACCATAATATCTAGGTGATCAACAACATTTTACAATCACGATATGCCAATTTATACAATCCGGAAAACATATTCTTGTCAACGGATGGTGGTGGTGCTGGTAACAATTGGGCAGCAGGATACTCACAGGGCGAGAAGGTGTACGAGGAAGTGATTGAGATGATTGATCGTGAAGCAGATGGCAGTGATAGCTTAGAGGTACTAGAAAATCATTTCTTTCGTTTTTTTCTGTTCTTTGGAACTGATGTCGTGTAATGGCATATAGGGATTCATGCTACTGCATTCAATTGCAGGAGGAACTGGATCTGGCCTTGGATCCTATCTGCTAGAAACTCTAAATGATCGATACCCAAAGAAGCTAGTTCAGACCTATTCAGTGTTTCCAAACAATGAAGAGACAAGTGATGTTGTTGTGCAGCCATACAATTCTCTCTTGAGTTTGAAACGACTTACTTTGAATGCTGATAGTGTCGTAAGTTACGATTATTTGGGCATGTTGGCATAAGGAGCGATTCGGGAACTGATCTAGACTTTTCTCTTGTTCGAAGGTGGTCTTGGATAATGCTGCACTCAACAGAATCGCTGCTGACCGACTGCACATCCAAAACCCAACTTTTGCTCAAACCAATCAACTTGTGAGTTGTGATCTCAAACGGAAGAAGCTATCGCAGAATGGGACTTAACTCAGTTTGAATCAATAGGTGTCGACAGTCATGAGTGCAAGCACCGTCACTCTCCGTTATCCAGGATATATGAATAACGACTTGGTGGGGATGATTGCCTCATTGATTCCTACACCACGTTGCCATTACTTGATGACAAGTTACACGCCCTTCACTGGTGATCAGGTTGACAAGGTATGCAAAAAAAACATGTAATATTATGCGGTAATGCATAATTCTTGAATCAGACGAAGAGCCTTATGCCTATATGCGCCATTAGGCAAAGAGTATTCGAAAGACCACAGTATTGGATGTTATGCGACGATTACTTCAACCGAAAAACAAGATGGTGTCCACCAACCCGACAAAGAAGAGTTGCTACATATCAATATTGAACATTATACAAGGGGATGCTGATCCAACTGATGTGAGCAAACTGCGTCATGTCAATAGTGGCAGGCAATAACATCTCTTCATATTTCCATACAGGTACACAAATCACTCCTGAGAATACGAGAAAGACGACTAGCTCAATTTATTCCATGGGGTCCAGCATCCATTCAAGTTGCCTTGTCTCGCAAGAGTCCATATGTACAAACTCCTCATCGAGTGTCTGGGCTCATGCTGGCTAACCATACATCCATTGCATCTGTACGCATTGCAAAGAAATAATGATAGCACTGCTTTAGTCTACAGGATCTGACCTTGCGCTTTCTACTTAGCTTTTCAAACGTACATGCGATCAATATGATCGACTACGAAAAAGGAATGCCTTTTTGGAACAGTATCGACGGGAACCCTTGTTTGCTGATGGATTGGAGGAGTTTGACTCGTCAAGGTACGGTTTTGGAAAGTGATGATTGTGTGTCATTACGAGAGCTTATGTCCTTGCTTTGGGTCTGTAGGGAAGTTGTCCAAGAGTTGATCAATGAGTATGAGGCATGTGAATCACCAGATTACGTAAACTGGGTAAGCTATAAATTGTTATAGCTCCTTTTTTTATCTACTAGCTTAACGTGAGCTCATATGAATTCTTCTCGCTAGGATCCAACTATGGCAGCTGGCACCTTAAACTCCGCGCCAAAGGTTGATCAAAGTGCACGATTAGGCTAGACCGTAGCCATGTCTCGAAACGCGTCAGTTTTGATGCAATGTAGAATCTGTTAGCTATGTGAAATTTATATAAATAAAGATGGTATGCAGCGATGTTGTACTGAAACGAGATGCCTGAATACGTAGGGTGGCGTTACTATCCTGTCAAGTATCAATAGGTTCGGATGAGACTAAGCTCAGACTTGATCGAACTTTGTCCATATTTTGTACCTTGCACTTTGCTTCAGTTTCACAGGTGTACAGGCCAGTTCTGAGTAATGCCGCAGTTGCTTGTAGGACCTTGAATCCGTACCAAGAAGGGACTGACCGGTTGCAAAAAGTTCTTCTCGAACACAAAAGATTCCGATTCTCTCTTTTCGATAGTTGCACGCCACGATAAATCTTAAAAGAGTCATAAAATCGAGAAAACATGTGCTAGAGAAAGTTACGCCAAACAACGAGAGAAACTTACTTTAATGAAAAAAACTGTAAGTCTGGTATTAAAATTGATTATTACTTTGAGACGGGCGACGAGAAGGTACAAAGAATTACACTACAATATACAGGTGATGAGTAAATATGACGAAGCAAACAAAGGCCTCAACATTCTCGATATACCAGATGATGCAGCAGTATTTGAGCTTGACTCCTTTATAGCGGTATTATATCGCGGTGTTAACCTTCTTGTCAGTGGTATAGCTGGCCTGATATCCAAAGTTCCAGACCTTATTGTGGCAGTGGCCTTGAGCTGATCAAGAAATGCTGGGATTTCCGTCACCGCTATATTAACAGCACATGTACGATGTCGTGGTTGTGGTTGAAGCATACTGGCAGAAGCCATCTGTGCTGGAAACGCACCACGCAGGGGCAAATGGCCGATTCCACAGTTTTGGTAGTAGTGAAAGCTTAATTCTAGCCAAGAAACGAGAAACTAGTTAAGAGTCTTTTTCCAAGCTTTCAAGCTCTACAACAGCAGTTAACTCCAGTCGCACCTGCCCTGAATATGCTGTCCGTGCCCTTGGAAGTTTAAGTTTCAGTGTTGGTAGTGTTTGGCCTCAAATGGTTTAGGACATGGAAAGGAAAAAGCGCGAGTAATGACAACGAGATGGTTTGATAATGGAAACGATGACTCGGATAGTTTTGGTTTTACTGATGAGTCGTTTTGAGTCAAACCACCACCGACGTGACAAGGCATAGTGGCACATGTGAACAGAGGTTTACGACGTTTAGTTCACATGCAGCAAAAGAACCGAAATAGGGAAGAACATCTTGAGAAAGTCGGTGGTTTAACGTACTAGCATTCGAAAAATCGATCGCTTTGAATACACAATTTACGATGACCACCGAACTCCTGACGTGCTTTCCGATAGAAAGATACTGGAAACATAGTTAACAGACTTCGTTGCAGTGTCCTTTTCTGAGATTCTGAGCAATCAATCTACATCCAATTCTAACAACACTTGTGTTCATTCGTTGCCGCAATTCAGAGAACTCCTCTTAGCAAATAACCAAATCTGCAGATAAGAGCTATGAAAAACTAGGTACTAATTACAGGAAATCGTCTCCTACTTTTACGAAACTTACAATATATGATTTCAAAACTCCAAATTTGCGAGTCACAACTAACACCCATTGGAGAATTTGAGCACGCGTAGAGAGGGGATTACAAATAGTTTGATATTCGATTCGACAACATTATGACTATATGAATCTGGTGATTATTACAGGCATAACAACAAAAGACGAGCAACAGAGGGGGAAGATTAGACTCTAGATACAGTTGATGCAGCTGCAGGATTGGCGGTTAAGGCAACCATGATACTACTATAAAGTGGCACCTGATCTCGTTTTAGTGGATTAGACGTTTCCTCGGTGTTGACTCCAGCATTCGTTGTCGTAGAGGTAGTTTGGTTCCATTGGAACAGTGCCGAGATTTTCTTGCCACCAATCTTGACAGCCTTTGCGTGGTGTGGTGGCTGCTGTTGCATACTGGAAGAGCTCTCCGATCTAAGATGTACCCGATTCAACAGCCTCTCGCGCGAGAAGGTGGCCGGCTGACTGGAGAAAATTTCTGAGGAAAAGATAGATAAAAGAAGTTGGTTTCTTGAATCCTGCAATGTGGAGAACACTTGTAGTCAAGTCTTTACCTTTCCAGCAACCTCCTGGCCTTGCGCCACGGAATTTTATGCTGAATTGATGGTTGAAAGTATGATGAACGAATCCATGGATTGTCGCCATGGATGGTGATTCTCGATCTTTCTTTTCCCCCCTTTTCTGGACCCGGATAAAAATAGGCACGAAGGAAAAATAAAAGATAAGACTTCGGCTTTGTTTGCCGAGACCAGATGACGTTTCACCTGGATCCGATTAGGATATTTTTGCTAGTTCCTCTGAGATTGCCAAGTCTGACATTGGTCATTGGCAGCAGTCCCAGCATAGATTAACCAAACATCCGTCGATTCCAGTCATGATACTGAATTCTTGACCGGGATGCACCTTTTACAACACCCTTCCTTACTGCAGTTGACTACAAACGATGCATCGAAGCAAGATGACAATCCATCGTCTCGATCTCTCCCTCTTTCGGTCAGTTTAACACTGTAGGTAGTAGGTAGGACTATTAGGTGATGACGGTGTAAGCAACTTCATTGAGCATGAAGTTATATGTAGATAGCCATTATATTGAAAATGTATCGTTTGGAGATCAACATATCAGGAGGAATATCTAAAATCGTGGATTCAAATTGATTCCTGGAGGTATCAGACCGAAAAGTACGTTTTGACGTTTTGACCGATACTACATCCAGAAAATACTTGCAAACTAAGTGGTAACAGGTGTACTGATGTAATCTATCCCTTATTTAGTGGAAAATGGATCCAATGTCGTGTCCAGTACATGTTTTTTTGAGAGGCCTTTCAGACAAGTTTTGAGTGTGTTTTCAGCAGAAGCTACAAACAAATCCAAACATACCATCGTTAAATGATGAACATCGAAAAATGCGTATTTTAGTAACCCATATCAAAGTCGGTGACAGGAATTCAACGCTTCTCACAAAAACGCTCGCGATTGTCGTTTTGTACTTTTTTTGTGGTGCTAGTCGACCTTACGCTCGGTAATAGCATCAAGTGTAGTAGGTATACATATTCAAACGACTGTTGAACAATGACAAATTGCCAGACAGGATAAAAAGCGATATTTGTTTCAGGTGCAGATTGAATTGTTTTCAGCACGAACGGCAAACTTGCCAAAGAAACCCATGCTCTGACTAAAACGGAGAATTTGGAAGGATCACGGGGTATCTTAACCAATGATCAAGCTAGAATTCAGAACGCTCTTTGGGTGTCACTTTTCACTCTTTACTGAACAAAACTTGAAAAGATCTGCTTCCGAGAACTGACGCAACTTGGCCGATTTCAAGGAGTGAACAAAGATGGCTGCTGAAAGATACAGAACTATCTTTTATTTTCACACAGTGTCATGTTCTGTTCTTTCTGACTGCTGAGCTCTACCATCAAAAACCAAAACTCTTATCACTTACCAAGATCCAAACGACCACAAGACGCAATGATGTGAAGGAGAGCACTTGATTGACCCGGACATCGGAAAGAAGAGTTTAAACATATTTGAATAATGATTTGTGCAGTCTGGTAGTTTAGTTGACTATTTAAGGGATATTTGACTATTTGAGGATGGCAAAGGATCTTACAAAACTTTACAACGTGACGATAGCATCAGAAACTAAAATTTGATACAGTAGATACAGAGGGTGAAACACGCCTTTTACTATTATATTGTGGCATTGGGCCTCTGATCCGATCCATATGAGATGTGCTGGCGTTGATTCCAGACCATACTTTCATGATTGTAGCAGTTTTGAGATGTTCAAGAAATGCTGGTATATCTTTCACGTTCATGTTTATAGCAATTGTGCGTTGTCGTGGTTCATGTGGCATCCTGAAAATATTATCGAATCCGTAATAATACTGTAGGAAGTGTATTCACAGGCTTGTGAAGCTGATTTCACCCAAAAAGCTGAAAAATTCAAGAAAGTAAAAGTTAGATTGTTTGGCCAGCGTAGAAGGACGTCTTTAATCAAGTCGAACCTGGCCCAATATAATATCACGCACTGGCGGTGCTCCTGGCAGTTTAAGTTTAATGAGGTGTTTGGCCCAGTAACATCATTGTAAGACCAGGGAAGAAAAAGGCTGGGTAATGATAACAAAGCGATCTGGATTACGTTTAAGTAACCGGCTCATCTTTTCGGCCAGCGTTCTGAATGGGACCTCGGATCCAACGATCCAAAACGGGCACACATAATTCATACCGGCAATACAATCACCTCGAGCAGCAAAATGGTCAGCGTCAACGTAGACTGAAGCCTGGATGGTGTTGCGGGTTCCATGGCATTGACTGGCGCAAGCCTTCTTTGGTTAGGGCAACCAACTTTCACAGTCGTTTCTACGTCATGGCCTTATGGCTTGAAAGGTCATCTCCAAAAGGATCTTTCGCAAATTCCAAGCAGCCCATTGTTTGATGATGTACGTAAAAGCGGTCGAGTGCTCTAGTACGTGTCTTCCAGAATAGGATTCTTGTTCATCGATTCTTGCTCCTTTCGCCTCTGGCACTACTCTTTTGTGTTTTCATTTTTGCATCGCTGTTGCCGCAATTGAAATTTTCGAGGAAAATTCCAGTCAAGTGGTAAAGACGAGGGCCTTGAAGCATTTGATTGCATACATGAAATGATAGTCTCCCTCATTGTATGTTGCTCCTGACCGTTTCAAAAACAAAAACTGTTGGAAAACAATGGAGAAACATGTGTCAAAAACAAATAAGTCGATCGAGAGCAATGGAACACGTTGGTAACTACAAACATGAGTTTTAATCTGGTGTCATTACTATTATTGAGACTGTGCTATTACTAGATATAAAATATGTGGGGTGGCGAAATTCACTAAACGTGACAGGCCATCAGATCGAGCGAGCGAGACAGATAACTTAAAACCTAGATATAGATGATATAGATGCAGTCTTTAAGCTTAGATCACTGATGGTGCTACTATATTGTGGCATCAGGCTCCTTGTCAGAGCCATGGATGCGTTGGCGTTGATTCCCGACCAGAGATTTGTGTAAGTGGCAGCGTTTTTGAGGTCTTCGATCAAAGCAGGGATCTGCTTCACGTTTATATTTATGGCACTTGTGCGTTGTCGTGGTTGATGCATGCTTGACACGTTGTCTGCTGCTAGCAGTGTGTGAAGAGAGTAGTGCATTTTTTCTTTTCGATTTCTCCGGGAAGATCGCTTTGGAAGGTTTGCTAAAAAAGTCAACGAAATAAATGATTTAGCATGGTTTGTACGATTCACAACAGCATCTGCGTCAATCCTAACCTGTTCTGAAGGGTAGCGTTTCGGTTGTATGAAATTTAATGGCAAACGTTTAGACAGGAGAAGTTTGATTTAGCCCGCCGGGAAAATGATGTCAGGTGGAGTTAACTAAGATGTTGTGATTATTGTTCCACCGCAAATCTCCAGATTTTCAGATCGTCAAAACAAACAAAGCAATGGAGCTTCTCCAGCCTTCTAGCTCCCACGATCCCGGCCGGCACGTCACGTCAGAAAAGCGTGACATATCTCTTGAAATTTGCCTCAAGTTGCTTGGAATTTGGTCAGATGTCAGATGATGTCAATTCAGATGACAGATTTGGCTGCTGGCTGGAAAGAAAAAGTCTGTGATGTTTTGATGTCGTTTGTTCCAGAAGTACCAAGTACATATACTCTATACCAAATAATGGAAATCCTGATAGCCACCGTTCGTGGCTTTCTTTCATACTGGCAGCTGGGTGATCTATCGCATAATGCCACGCCTAAGGCTCCCAAGCCATACCTCGAGATTCTATGTGAAGCACTAGTCACTTCTGTGCAAAACGAACTTTGACGCAGAGGTCAACCAACAATGGGAAAAGCCAAGGTAAGGAATGGTCCCTTAGCGATTGGCAGAACTACGAATCCGTAGAAAGTATGTTAATACCTCTTTCCCGTCCTTCAGAAGAAGCAAAAGGAACGAGCAGTTGATAACAAAGATTTGCATACCCGAATGAACTTTTTGCAACAAGCTTCCTTACTGAAGTCGACTACAAAAGATGCTTCCAATCTACATAATCCATCTTCTCGACCTCTTCTTCCTCTGGGACGTTTCTACGCTGTGGGGATGCGCAACATTGCATCAAAATTGGTGATGAGGGTGTAAGCAATCTTTGTTGCATTAAATGGACGCCTTGTGGCTTTTATATTGAGTATCTGCCTCTCAGAGATCCACTTGTCAAGAGGAATATGTGCAACAAGTGTGGATGCATGTTGATTCCTGGAGTGACTAGCAAAGTCAGAACGAAAAGTGTGTTTCAATCAACCGTGTTTGCCATCATTGTAAGTTGGGTCTTATTGCGATGTTCTGATATGTCTTTTTATTATCTTAGGGAAGCACGGATCCACAGTCGTGTCTACTACATGTCTCGAGTGCTTGTTTCAAAAGAATCTACCAACCAACCCGAAGAAACCATTGTTCAATGATGTTCATCGAGTGGATGAGCCTGTTAATACGTGATATTCGTGATTAAAGGCAGGATGCAATGGTCCTCATTATATGGGAGACGGCTCAGAAATTTTTTTCTGCTGGTCAAACGCGATAAATAACTTTAAATGCAGAGAAACGATAATTTATTACAAAATTACAGATAGCTGGAGAGTAATCTTTGTTTCTAATGCAGTTGAAAAGGACTCAGTCCGTCCCTACTTACAAGTCTGCAATAATCTGTTTTGGCACGATCTCTAGAAAACTCTGCGGGCAGGACCGGAGGAAGTAGTTCAACTCGCAGCCTAAAGTTATGCCCATAATGTCACGTAACAGTCCGTATTCCTTGGCATCGTTATCAACCACATTACAATCAACAGCACGAGCAATTTTATGGAATTCAAACACCTTCGACGGAGACGTTTCATACCACTCTCTACAAGCAGATTATGAGTCTGAAAGCTTGACTCCTTCTACTGTAATTTTGGGCCTTATTGATCGCATCAGAGCGGTAGATTCTGCGGGTAGCATTTTCACAAGTAGGATATCAGATGGTGAACTGCTGCAACGATGTAAAGAGATATCGTCCATGTTTCCGGATGCTTCAGATAGGCCAGGTACGAATTTTTTTGTTTCCTTGTTTCTGTCAGCTAGACTCTTGACTAATTCTATGTTTTACAGCACTTTGGGGCATACCTTTTGCTGTTTCAGACTGTATTAATGTAGCAAGAATGACAACGGATTGGGTATTTGTACTCTGCATGTGCATGTCGTCTTCTTTCTCAGACAAATCCAAATCACTGACTGGGATCAATTTCAAAGGGCGTGCCTGAATTTGGTACTCTCGAACGTGAAACAGCACACATAGTGGAATTGTGTCTTGGATCTGGAGCCATATTGATTGGTAAAACGCATCTCGACCAGTTCTCATCTGGTCTAACTGGCACACGAACAGCTACATCACCAGTATCATGCTATTACGGACCACCACATACATTCATACCTGGAGGCTCTTCAACTGGAGCAGCTGCAGCAGTTGCTAACGGTCTAGTGACATTCTCATTGGCAGTAGATACGTGGGGCGATGTAGCTATCCCAGCATCGTTGAATGGACAAGTTGGTTTGAAGATGAGCAAAGGAGCTGGATCTTGCTCTGGTGTGTTGGACAATTGCAAATGTCTAGATTCGCCTGGCATTATAGCTTCATCAGTTGCAGATGCTCAGGTAGTGTTTGAAGTCATTGCAAAGTACGATCCCAGTGACATCTTTTCAATATCAGTTCCTAAATGTAAGTTGAAATCAACGGTCTTTAAACTAGGCCCCAAGCCAACACATATTTTCAAAACTAGCACCACGACAAAGCATTGAAAAGATATTCAGGATTGGTTTCCCACCGGCAGATCAACTAGTCTTTACAGGGCCAGATGCTGATTATCGCAAAATATTATTCTACGCAGCTATTGACATGCTTGAATCAATCGGGGGTGTTATTGTCGAAGAACCAGATCCGAGATTTGACTACTCTGTCTATAACCGTGCCAACGCTCTAGTCTCCAACAGCAATCTCTATAAGACGGAGAGACTCGCCAACCCACGATTGATCCAATTCCTCCAAAAGTATAGCTGGATGAACTCATCTGTACTTCCAATAGTCCATAAAACCCTGACAGATCCGATAACCCCGTCGAAAGACTCTTCCACTAACATCACAATCGGCGCTACCGACACATCATCGAACCTCGCAATGCTGAATTCCGGAGCTGAAGTATGGGCGACATCGTACGCCCTCAAACGGTTACAAAACGAACATGTCAAACACTTTCGGCCCGTAGAGGAATCAGGTGGTCTAGATCTTGATTTCTTGGTAGTACCAACAGTGCCGAAACACTATAGTATAAAAGAAACAACCGCCGACCAGCTTGGCACAAACCTCGAATTAGGAATGTACACCAGGTTTACAAATCCCCTAGATTTGTGCTCGATTACAATCCCAACCGGTTTTGTATCTGCAGATGGAACGCGTATAGTAGATGATCCAGATGATGACGATGATAATCTGGACGACAACGAAGACAATGGGGCTGGTCTGTTTTGGAACACGTCTGGACAAAAGTCTAAAAGTGTGACTGATAGGCATCTCAAGTTGCCGTTTAGTATCACTATATTGGCACCAGCTGGGAGGGACGCTGATTTGTTGGAACTGGGGAAACGGATTGAAAAGGCTAGAGGGAGAGCAGTAGAGAGTGAAGATGTAGAAGAACCAGATCATCCCGTTATGGGAGATGTAATGTAATTGAATAAGGTCTGTAAATAGAGCAACAATCAAGCAGGCTTTCGTTGTACTCGCTTAAAGGGGCAACTTTGAGGAACACTATGTTTATCATGATGCAACCATTTCTTATATATATATACGACGGCTTTGCTACTACTGCGACTACTTAGCAGGTACAAGCATATCAACCAACCAATCCAATGGCACAATCTGGGTTTCTGGACCCAAATTTGCATGTTCCAGCTAACAGTACGGAAGCTTGTGAGCTTCAAACATCAACATAAAAAGCCTGGTAAACAAATTGCACATACCAAGTTTGATACAGCAGCTTCATCATGCCCACAAACCAAATGTGTCACATGTTCAGAGACCTGCATGGAAATTTCACCACCATATGCGATCACACGGCGTGCAAATTGACGTTCCAAATCTGGTGACGATATACCAACCAGATGGATAATGCATCCTTCCAGCACATCTAGGAACGGATTGGGCACCGTAAATACACTGTTTGTACTATTAGTACTATTTGTGCGATGGCTGTCTGGTTGTTTGATGTATTTAGATGACACATCATTCTCGAGCTCATCTTCAAGCTCTGTGTCTGAGCCACTTTCAGACGGACTCGTGTCTGTGTTTGGTTGGTGTCTCGATGATGACGAAGCCTCGTCGACCATTACTACATCATCGTCGTCGTAAGCCTTGAAGGTTCGCGGATGTGGTCTTGACGAGCCACGTCCGCCTCGTTGATAATAGTATCTGTCACAAGAGAGAGTAAACACATCTGCTCACGAAATTACTACACATTAAGTGGACAACACTCACATCGAGACTGGCAGTCCCTGATTAACAAGACACTTTCTGATCAGCCTCTCAGTCTTGTACCAGTCAAATCCAGGCGTCGTCTGCCCCAGACGTGGCAAATGAATAGATGCATGCAACGACTTGGCAGCTTTTGCGATACTATTCAGAGCCTGCTCTAAGTCCGGGAAGCGAATAGGACTGATTGAATTATCACGACTCCGTTTCTGAGCGACTGCTAGAGCAACATGTATATTGGGTTGTTTTGATGACTCAATCAGGTGAGCTGAACCTTGAAGCAAGTCGTCGTTTTCTGACGCTGCTTCATAGTATTCGGAGCAGTTGCCAAGAGAAGATAGTGCGGCAAACACCCCTTTACCTGGCCAGTACCCAGAATCATCACAGACACTAAACGAAAGGACGACGTAAGGTCGCTTAAAAAATGATTGGGTCTCCTGCAGTACTCACTGTATAATGATTGCTTGGCGTCCGTCATTCACATGTGGACGTGATACATCTCCACTGACAAAACTCAAACGACCATCATCTCCCTCATCATCAACAACATCACCATCCGGCACATTTTGATCTTGTTTCGATACAACTTCCAGGGATCTACTCTCGTATCCATTCTCTGCCCATTTAGTAAGTTTTCTCTCATGTTTCTTTGCAGCATTTTCAGCTTTGCGTCTAACGCGATCAGCTTCATCTTGTGCAGAGAATTCTTCGTCATTTTCAGCAGGAGATCGTTTGCGCTATCATGACAATTGAATGTTAGCTTTTTGTTGCTGACTTTACAGACACAATAATACACAGATATTTCAGGATTGTTCACCTTGGACACAGTAAACTCTTTCTTAAAGGCATCTTCCTTGAGCTTTTCAAAGGCTACCTGGTCTGCCTTATAATCATGACCCTCATACATATAAAAGTTTTCAGGTGAATTTTCATCTTCTGATACTTCAAGTAGTGTCTGTATCGCAGCATCATCAATACTCTTCCCATCCAACAAGTCAGAGATTTGTTGAATTGTCATGTCATCTTCTAATTCTTCATCAGACATGACCTTCTTCAAACCAAATTGTAGCATGGAGACTAGCTCGTCAGTCCCATTTGGAGCCTGGAAGAAGGATGGGTTCAAGGTTTGCAGTGCTGATCAAAGATAATGATGGTTTAGAGACTTACACTCGATGATTCATCCGGGACGGAGGTTTCAACACCCTTCATAATATCTCGTGAGAGAGCCAACTTTTTCGTAGCTCTGCGATAGATGATTTCTTCTACGGTGTCACGCGCCAGAAGTCTGAATACCTGAATTTTACATCTTTTAGCTCAATTGTGCAAGTGCCAGCGATTTCGAATTCCTAGATACCTGAACGGTCTTGGTTTGGCCTATCCGATGAGCTCGTGCCATGGCCTGCTGATCCATTGTAGGATCTATGACGACAGAAAATTCGTGAGTCCATTGTAAAAAGAGACTCGCGAGTCCATTGTTTTCTTGACTGCGTGCTATCTTGGGTAATCAAGTGAAGCTTACTCCAATCCGAATCGATGAAAATGACAGTATCTGCTGCGGTCAAATTGAGTCCAACGCCTCCAGCTCGTGTGGACAGCAGGAACACAAACGTAGTAGCTTTTGAAAATGTCTTAACTGCGAGATTACGTTCTTCCCCACGTACAGACCCGTCCAATCTTTCATAGGAGTATTCTCTATAGGTGAGATAGTCTTGCAAGACATCCAGCATATGTGTCGATTGTGAAAATATGAGTGCTCGACGATCACGTTTCTTGAGTTCACTCAATAAGCGATCCACAATGACGAGCTTTCCCGAAGCATCAACCAAATGCTCGCCAGCTTCGTATGGCTCGGGCTCGACACCTGAAAACATGTACGGGTGGTTTACACATTTGCGTAGTTGAGACAAGACATTCAGTAGTTTTGATCGTTGGGTCTTGTCGAATAATGTTGGGTCTTTCGATAAAAGTGATTTATATTGGGCACGCTGAATCTTGGTGAGCGCTGTTGGTGTTCAGCGATGTAAGCAATCGATTTTTTATTCAAAATTGGAAGGACTTACGAGTGTAAATGACAGTTTCTGTAAGCTCTGGCAACGTTAGTACGTCCTTCTTGTTCCTCCTCAACATGAACCTACATTAAATTACAGTATTTGGATACCACCCAGAAACCAACGATGTATTAAGAAAACGTACGGTTTTAGCAACTCTTTCAACTGATCCATTCTCTCCTGCTTCTCATCTGCACTGACTCGTCCAGGATCAAACCACTCAAGGAAGCGATCGACTTGGTCTCCCCATATCTGAGGATTTGAAAAGCGAAGCATGGCATATAGCTCATACAGATTGTTTTGTATCGGCGTGCCAGAGAGTAAAACACTATGAGGTATATCCAGTGCTTCTAAGTTTTGATAAAAGAGAGAGCTTCTGTTCTTAAGCCGGTGAGCCTCATCCACAATCACCAAGTGCAAGGACAATGTGCCAAAGTATTCCACGTCCTAATGTAAATTCTGGTTTCAATCAATTGGCTCATACACAACAGCAAGGTGTTTGATCCGTATACGGCGAGAAACTCAACAAAACAGCAAGCCGCTTAATGTATACACGGCGAGGAATACAGCAGCGGACCCTTACAGCATTGAAAGTCTCGGGTGTCGTGACAATGACATTGACATCGTTTGTGATTTGCGAACGGAGAGCATCACGTTCTGGACGCGTTCCATGATGTGATATGAATTTCAAGGCTGGTGCCCATCTTGAGAGTTCGTCCGCCCAATTGTCAAGAACCGACACAGGAACAATGACCAAAGTCAAATGCCTCTTGATGGATGTCTCGTGCAAATGAGCAATGAGCCCAATAGCCTGAATAGTTTTGCCCAGTCCCATCTCATCAGCTAATAGCCCATTTACGTTGGATCTATATATGCTAGCCAGCCATCGTACGCCTTCAAGCTGCAAGAAATCATGTCAGTGACTTTCAAGCAGTGACTTTTAAAAGTTGATGCCAGCGACAAACAGGTAGTAAGGCCATGCCTGGTAATTACGAAGAGTAACATTCTGTAACAATTTTGGCTGATTTTGAGGGTCTCCAAGACGTAGCGTTCCTGCCACTTCCGTGATGCTAGCAACCAAGCTTTCTCTGTCAGTCAGTTCTGTAGTTCTAGACGATCGACCCTTCAGGCGCTTTGCAGAGCTAGCCTGTTTGTCAACGTTCCATTCTTCATCGTCTGAATCGTCCTTCCTTACTCTCGACATTATTTGAGGCACTCTGTGGTCTTTTAAGCCAGCTGGTTTCACTGTGTTTCAGTGAAATACCTCAGTGAATTTTACCAGCAGCTCGCGTTTGTAAACGATGGTAACTGCAAATCAGCCATGCTCCTAAGTGTTTCTAGGTCGTTCGAAATTGATTGGTGCGGAAGAGACTAGAGACACCTGCAACAAACCTCAAATTCAAATTCTCACTTGATCGCGATCTGGTTTGACCAAGAATACCTACACACACAACTAAAACAAAGCCGATATCAAAAAAGTTCCCTCTCTGCACGCCATTCTTTCACCATTTCACGTATACATTGGTGGCCCTACCCAAACTATTCTCCACCTGAAAAAAACATTCCGTAACACTATGGCAGTAACAGCCTCGATGACGACACAGACTTGGAGACAGGACGTCTCGGTCCACCACGATAAGGAAAGCTCTGCAGACTCTTTGGACTCTATAAATCAATCCGATCAGCAACAATACCATGAGTCACGTCACAATCATCATAATCACGACCGTGTCGGAAGTGGTTATAATTTCGCAGCCGACGGCGGTCTATCCGATCCAATAATTCAGAAATTACTAGAGAATCGCCCAAAGATGAATGATGTTAGCGATGCTGACGAAGAAGAGAGGAAAAGAAGAATGTGTATGTTGTTTGCGGCACTTCTATTTTTTTATGAACAAGGGAATTTGGTGGTGATACATCATTCCCCAAAGATACGGACACCAAAAACTAACATTATTTCAATTATTCTAGATAATATGCTGAGACACTCACATCACTATAAACGATTACAGGTTCGTGATGCCAATACAAAGTGGGGAGAGGACTTGCAGGCTTTGGATGCTGCACTAGCCTCTGAATCCACCACTACCGACAACTCTACTTTATCTCCACCATCAAATTCGAACGAGAGTCATGGTACTCGCCCATCATTTGCACAAATACACCAGCAACAACAACTTCAGCAACAAGAACAACTTCAGCATCAACACCAGTTGGAAGTCTCCCCATCAACCACATCACCAGCATCGTCAACCCCCGACACATCAGAGCCCTTCCCATCCACAGCATTACGATCACGATCAGTCCTAGACTCCATAACAGATTCCCCCCAATTGAGCAGCATTCTCCCAACACCAGCAGCACTATCACGACGAGCAAGAAGGGTCTCATTCTGTGTCCAACCACCAGAAGTAATCGCTACTCCGTCTTCGGTAGAATCCGCAGGTCGTGATTCTGAAATTTCTAAATTCTCATCACAACCGTCGACATCATCAGCATCCGATCTATCAAGTCAATCTAAATCATCGTCTAGAGATGACATTGTTGTTACTGATGAACCGGAAGACGAGATTGAACCTGCTAATATGAATGTGGTAACCTCAAGCCCAACGTCACCGGATGACCACAGGGGTAGTAAACAATCTTTATCATCGCCAACGGGGCGACTTAACTCTGTAGACGAGGGGGAATGTGAAACTTCGGCGCCATCATCACCGCATGGTACCAGAACACCAAGAATATGGGATGGACTACTTAAAAAGTTGAGAAGGACTGATGGGGGGTCCAGTGCAAGAAGCTCTTCTCAGAGCCGCCAGTAAAACACGCCGAACCTAGTCTTTCTTGAAAAGGAAGAGTGCAAATCTTTATCTTATTACAAAACATCTTGTTGTTTTTCGTCTCCCAAAAAAACCTCTTCAGCCAAAATAAACAAAAGCACTTGTCTAGCTTAAACAAAAGTCCATTTTATGCAAGTTTGATGTCGTCCCACTATACATGATGCGAAGAATCTGGCCATTTTTTATATTACATGATGTCGTCTGACAAGATAAAATGAGGTTCCTGAAATTACAATCATTGCTGAAACAATGGCAAAAAACCAGTACAAGCTTTCCTGTCCTTGCCCTGGTACCTAAGCGTGGAATAAACACGATGAGCAGTTGAATTTGCACAACCAACAAAGAAGAGCCTGACGACTTCAAGTGATGAGACACCTCCACAACAACTTACCAAAACGTTCATACCCCACAATCCAGTTATGACGTTGAGCGGAACTAGCACTGAGGCTAGAGCCGTCATTCGCATGACAACATCGTTAGTCTTGTTGGATGCTTGAGTCAGTTCAATTGTTATAGATGCAAGATAGTTTGAATGAGATCGTGACAATGTTGCCTCATAATGAAACACGTTTTGAAGCATAGTGAGTATATGATCTAAATGATGAAATGTCTATTTGTTAGTTCATCGACAAACAGTGCCCAAAAAAAGGGGCTAAATATTCCTGCGATGTACCTTGAATGTCACCAAGATACAGCACAGTCTCACTACCAGGCGCAACCCTCTCACCACATCTCTTGATGATGGTTTTCAATACATCTGGTTTGGTAGCCAACAATCTCATCAACTGATTCACATTCTTTCGAGCCATACCAACTCGTTGCAACATGTCTGATTGTTCAGATTCTTTGAGAATCAATACTAGATCATCTATGGTGTCTACTTCTAGCTCTGTGTATCGAAGAAGGGGCTGGAAGGAGTCTGTTATGTCGTCGATGATGGCATATGATATCCAGTCTACAAAGTGTTAAAAAAAGTCAAGGATTATCCCATAATCATAGGCTCTATTGTCCAATTCTTCACCTGGAGATAAAGTCATCCCATATGGCCGCAGTTGTTCAATCCTTTTGAGTACATTAAAAGTATGAGGCACAGGGCGATGGTGAAACTACAAATTTAGGGAGAAAAGGAGGTCAGTTTGAGCACGGAGACTGTTCCGTTCAAGGAAAAACAGAGCAAGCATTCACTCACAGAGAGAACGCATTCTCGAAACACGACTATAAACATCTGAATAGGCTTCAAGAACGCAACCTCGTGTTGCTCAAATGTCCGAAACACCACGAAATAGTAGTTTCGAAACACTTCGCACTTTTCGCGAGTTTCATCGGCCTCAATGTCTTCCTCCGTCAGGGGATGTATGTTGAAGAGCTAGGACGACACTTGAATCAGTAGATATTTGATAAATTGCGAGAGATGGTTTAACTTACTCTACATAGTACACCCAGTTCTTCATGAGTCGGCAGAGTAACATCAATCCAAAAAGCAGACTGTCGAAGTATTTCAGAGATTGGCTGATCAAATTTAGCAAAATCAAGGGCTTCAAACGAGTTCGATTTGAGAACGCCCGTCTTTTCAGAATAGAAACGAAGCGTTCATCTCGTTCTTGACTATACATCTACAATTCATATGCGAGTGAGTGTCCACATCACATCGCGAGGCTTGACATGTCACATATCTAGATGCTCAGGGCGAGGTTTGTTACCTTTCTCAAGAGATTCTCGTGGGGAGTAGAATTACCAGCCCTTTTAGTGAATGTGGTTGGTCGTAGTTTGGGCGAACCTGTAGCTACAGGATTTTTTCTATGATGACGTTAGCCTAAATGTCTCAAAGGTAATCCAAAGCGTGCAACGAATATTCACCTGGGAGTCTGTAAACCAGCTGCCATTATATGTTGTTGGATAGTAGTAAAGTCCATTTCATTGATTCTAAACCAATCTTCATCTCCACCCTCATCATTCTCATCATCATCAGCTGTACTGCTCTCAAACCCCTCCGAATTACGATGGCCTGTGTCGCTGGTCGTCATTGACTGTGCTGGTGGAGGTAGTTGTGTCAATAGAGACGGTGATGATGGTTGATGTCTTGTTGGTTGTGATGGTGAAAATGCGATATTTGGTAGTGACTGTCTAGGTAGACTCTTACTTAGACTACCTCGCCCTACATCGTCTCCTCTTCTATAATGACTTTCTTGAGCAGGTGATTGCATGTGACTTGTTATCCTTATCGGCGACGGTGAAGTCCTCGACCTAGCGTCCTCCTCCTCTTCATCGTCGTCGTCGTCGTCACCACGGTTGTTGTTCTCCTTGTCAGTTGCCGATCGTAACTCTGGCATTGACATTTGCACGACAGATTTAGATCGTTGACGTATAGGTGCATCCTGATTATTATTGATGCTGTTATTACTAAAAAAGACGGGCCCAGAGGGAGGTGGTTGGAGCTGTGTCCATCTAGTACTAGCTCTTGGAGTGGAGGACAGATAGTGCGAATCATTGTGAAAGGAGAATGCGGCTCCAATATCCGTGTCGTACTTGTTTCCAGCAAGACTGTTGTGAGAAGATCCATTCGAATTCAAATTGTTTGAGCTGTCTCGACGTAAAAGTGATTTTGGGGATGGGCCAGATGGCGACTTTTGTGGAGATGGAGAGGAGAGTGGGCCGGGGGCAGTCTGGCGATGGAATAAAGTGTTTATTCGAGCTGTATTGGTGGTAGGCAGCAATGGTGATGTTTCACTGCTGCTATCGCCTTCCAAGTTGAAGATATCGTCTTGGCTACTTTTGCTCATTGTGCTAGTGGAGATAAGCAAAATGGTAAGTATGTTATCACGCATATAGATACGCTAACGTGCATGCCTTCCTCTTCCCCTATGATCTAGCTACTAGCTTTATGTGTTTAGGTTTCTGATCGACATGTACATTGGCTGACTTAAAAGACAAGTAGGGTAGTCGCTTTCGATCGCGTATTTACGCGAATTCAGAATTGCAGTCATTTTAATATTTTAGCATTGATGCACTTTTGGTCGCTGAAGTCAGGATTAGGTGTCTGACACGCTTACAGCTGGTATAATCGGAGATTCTGATCATTTTCGACGTGGATGCGGACGCTACGGATTGTCCATACACCTTTGACTTGGCGTTCTGAGCCTGCAACAAGCAACTGTTTTTTCCACAGCTTTGACCAACAGAACCACTCTCGGATTTTCTCCCCATCGGTCTGCAAAGGAGGCCGGCCATTCTATTGAGGTTCTACCCTACTACGAGTAACGCTCCTTGCTCTCTCCTTCTGCACTGAAAACTTTCCACTTGTGCTGCATTGCCACTTCCTTGAAAACATTCTTTTTTTGACCTATCAAACAACGCAGAGACAATCGCTTATTTGTAGCATATCGTGCATCATCATCTCGCTCTCGGAATATGGGTTGGCCGTGGGTGCCGGATCCACCACCACCACCAAAAATCCCTCCAAGTGCTGCTCCACAGTCTACTGCTCCAAGATCTAGTAGATTCCCATCTTATATTGAATTAGCAAACGATGTACCCTCTCTAACTGTAAACTCCATCCTAGGTCCAACAACAACCACCCTACCAAATACGCAGCCACTGACATCTCGCAGTACGACAACAACTACCGGAAACGTGCTTCTCGGGCATGCTAATGTAGGACCCACTGCTACTGCATCGACCGGTCTGTCGTCTCCTGTGTCGTTTTATAGCGATGCTGGTCCTTATATAATACCGTCACAAACTGTCAACGAGGCAAACCCAAGCCCAACTGCTTCGAACCAGATAATAATATCTTTCCCTGCTGAAGGTAGTCCATATATAATTCCTTCACAGCCGTTAGTCAATGAGCCAAACCCAAGCTTGGCCACGTCTACGCACCAAGCATTAACATTTATACCGTCAGCAACAATATCATCTGCTCCTATAGTAATCGAAGAAAGCCCTGTGGCAGTAATCCCCTCTCAGGTCGTACTAACCTCACCTTCAGCTTCGCCTTTAACTGGTGAACCCTCTGCGGCAGCTGTAATCCCCTCCGGAATAATACTAAACTCACCTTCAGCTTCACCTGTAACGATATCATCTGCTCCATCTGTGACGGGACAATCGGTAGCAGCACAAATCATTCCTTCACCAACGCCGGAAATAATACCAAACTCGCCGATAGTTGTAGCTCAACCTTCTGCTGTACCTATAGTCCCTTCACCAACGACGGAAATAATACAACCCAGCCTCATAATACCAACATCACCAACACCATCATCAGACCCTTCTCCAACTCCATCTTCAGATCCTTCGCCTGCTGCATCATTAGGGCCATCGCCGAATCCTGCAAGCATAACACCACAATCGTCACCAAATGCAGCTTCTGTTACTGCAACTGTAAATCCCCCTGTACCTACTACATTTCACTGTCCTCAAGTCCCTCCTGCTCCCGTACCCACAAGTGTAGCCTTTCAGATAAGCTCGTGTGATGGATCTCTAGCTTTGGGTTGTTCAAGCACGATTTCCAAGAAGAGGCGACGAGAAAAGAGACAGGGATGCTCTCAATACCCTGTAAGTTGAGTGGCCCGAGTTTGCCCTTGTCAGTTTTGTATTTCAATTGGTTGGCCCGACCTTACACACACCTGCCATATTATTAGAATTTGTCACTAAATGTAGCGAGTGCGAACCCCTCAGACAATGCACAATATTGGGTCTTGTTGCCGAATGGATTATTGCAAAACCAACAGTATTCATACGCATATCTGACACCAGGTCCGAATTCGACCAAAGTTTTCAACTGTATTACCATTGTGGAATGACACCGTTTTTTCACAGGTTCTGGAACTCTGACACTTGGAAGTGCTGGCTGCGGTGCATCATGGTCCTCTTCAGCCTCGGGCAGCCTAGTAGATTCGACAGGGGCGGTCTTGGCATTGACGAGTAGCGGAATATCCATCTCTGCCTCAGACGCAATAGGGATTTCTCCATTGGCAGTCAAAGCCAATAGCACTAGAGCTATAGCGTCTATGGCACAGCTTGCAACTGCTATAGGAGTAGCAATTACGGCTGCTGCCACACCCAGCGCTGATGCTGGTTTATCGGTAAGCATTCGAACTTGAATGCCCTTCGTCAAGGCCTATGACCAAACTCTTAAACAATTCTATACAAAGGCTGCGACATCTGGTGGTGGAGGTAGTGCTATAGCGGGAAACCCTGGAGCAAGTAAGGGCCTTTTCAGTCGTTATTCATAAGGATGTCGTGTTTGGCTCCTGCTTTAATATGGCGATGATTCCAGTGGTAACCAAATATGAATAATTAGTTGCTGGAACGGTTGTTGGAGCTGTCGTTGGAGCTGTTGCTGGTAAGAGCATTAGATCTGCTTTCCATAGCCATCCTGTTTGCTAGTCGGTGTTTTTTTGCTCCTTGGAGTATTGGCTTGCACCCCGTCATGTTCATTGACACATTCTTTCAAATTAGCGGCCGTTGCTGTTGCTTTTGTCACGGGAGTATGTTACACTTGACGGACTTTGTTCCGCATAGGTGGTCCGTTTGTTTTTAACCGTGTTTCAAACTTTTCATAGGGAATAGGTGGAGGAGCAGCTGGTATGTTTGCATGTCCGAGTGCAATTCTGAGCATGCTGACCTTGGATCCCTCTTTTTTTTCAAACGCACATTCCGTTCTGCTGTGATCTCAATCCAACCTTTTCTCTTACGTCAACAAATAGGTGCTGCAGCTGGTAAGTCTGCATTTCGAGCTTCACTATCGCTGCATCATCAAATGAATCACGCCATGTCAGCTGATATCTACATGCCCAAACAACCAAACAAGTGGTATCTTGAAATCTTCATGGCTCACACGACTTACCTTCACTTTCTTTTCAGGAGCTGCTGGCGGAGGTGCAAGTGGAGCAGCTGCTGCAGCTGGTGGTGCCAGTGCAGGCGCAGCTGGTGCTGGTGTCGCCACAGCGGTTGGTGCTCACGTAGCAGGAGCAACTGCTACAGGCGCTACAATAGCTGGTAAATGCTTGATCTTATTTATCAATTATCTTCATCGCTTATGGGGGGCTCGTTCATTCATTCCCAAGCAACGCACTAAAGTTCGCGCTCTCGTGTTTTAGCACATGCTGGAGCCGCATCTGGTGCCGCTGTAGCAGGTTCGTGATCTTTTGACGGTTTTTTCACGTTTTCGATGAAAGTTTCGAATATTTGAAATGATTCGTCAATTGTGTCGCTTTCCCAATGTAATTTTGTCAGTTCCCTTTATTTGGTGGATGAACTATAGTCTTTTTCGACAAATGTGTTTTGGGAAGAAGTCTAACTCTTCACCCAATCCTTACCAGGACATGCTGGAGGAGCAGTTGCTGCAGCTGCGACAGTGGCGGGTATGTACGAAGAAAGTTGACGCACTTCTTGTGTACGATTATATGAAGAAACTATAATCCAACAACTCATCTTCTCACTTTAGGCCACGTCGGCGGTATATCAGGAGCAACCGCGACAGCAGTCGGCGCCTCTTCAACAGCAGTAGTAGCAGGACCCACTACAGGAGACATAATAGGCATATCAGCAGGAATAGGAGCAGGATACCTGGCAACTGGCGCAGCCATAACAGCAGCCAACGCTCGATACTACACTGCCATTCCCGAATCTGAGATAAGTGATACGATGGCGACCAATGGTAGTAGATCAGCTGTAGGATCAGGCAGAAAGACCAGAAGAGGCACTAACAGAGACAACGATACGGACCTAGCATACGATATAGGTGGATCAGTGATACCAGCTCCACCATCGACATCACCGTCCTCGCCAAACACTGCAGTGCAACCCATGGATGGGTCGCGGATGACGTATAGCAAGGGCATGAAGGCAGCGGAACTAGCGCGATATGCAGCTGCCAATTCATTGTATCAGGAGATTATGGCTGCGCGCGTTGCAGAGACACAAGGATTGTTGACTGGACCGGACAAGGGATTTTTAGTAGACGGGAAATGGGATGATGCCGCAGAAGAAAAGCTGCCTCCTATTGGATGGAGTAATGACAGTCTGTACGAAGAAGAGTTTGATCAGATGGCGCCTAGTGAAGGAGCTCATTTGAATCCGGTTTCTCATGACCATTTGTGACAGGAACAGGAGCGTGAACGTTTACTTGAGCAATTTCTTAGGATTTGGAAGGATTTGACAGAAAGGATTTGACAAGATTTGACAGGATTCCAATATCTGATTTTGGTGTTATATTTTTTGGGATGATAAGTCTAGTGTTCCTTACCTATTGACAGTATCTGTCTTGATGTATAAATATAGAGTGTTACGATGTTAATCATGGTCGCGCCATATATTGGTTTTTTTTGCCATCATAACGGTCTGAACGCAATGATAGCGATGTGTTATGAGCCAATATGTGCGTTCTTTTATTTGTTTTTACCAGTCATACAATCTGTTTCTTATATCCTCCCTTCATTAACAAAACCACACATCACTATACAAAACCACCAATACATATCTTCTATGTCCAAAACGTCCTTTTTCCTCAAATCCACCTCTTACAATCGTCCTATGTATGAAATGTGCCCATCCACGAATTGTCTACTGAACATAAACATCAACAACGGCCTGCTCAACAGCCCGACTAGAAGCTCCATGCATGATTTGAATCAACCGTGCAACTTCAACAGCCATCCCAAAATCTTCATCAGATCTCATCGTTATATAATCACCATCTTCGTCCTTGTAGCGTAATCTCGCACCATCGTATAATCCACCTCGACCAACAGCACGTAGCTTTTTATCAATCTTGGCAATCAGGTCGGTGAGTGCAAAGTCTGGACCTGATATACCGATTAGGAAAGAGTCAGGGCCTAGATGGAAACGGACTCTGACACCTATGGACGAAAAAAAAAAGTTAAAAAGACTGAAGGCGAATATGCAGCGTGCGAATCAACAGCATCGGCAACTACAACGGCAAACGCAACCTGAGGATGAATACATACCGCCTGGTGGGAGTGGTGATGTTGATGTTCGGGTTACAGGCGCTGCTGATACTAGCGGTGGCACAACCTCATTGCTATAATCGTTCGAGCTTTTTCGTGCTGGTGGTGGTTGGGATTGTCGTAGCGATGAAGCAACTGCAGATGCGCTTCTAGCAGGCGGTGATATTATAGTTGGACCTTTACTATTACTGCCCGTAATCAGCCCATCGTGAGATCCAAAGTATCCATCAATACTAGCGGTACCAAGAGCTGGAATTGGTGGTAGTGGTGGTAATTGAGTGTTTCCAAGTTCCCGTCGTTGCGGCTGTTCTCGATCCCTTCTCAACTCCTCCGATGATTTGGATGCTGGTGGGTAACGATGTGCTGATGGTGTCGTTGGTGGTGATGGCAAGTATGGGAATGCTGGGACTGGTAATGGAGGAGCACCATTATTATTGGGAGCAGACATTAATATAGCGTTACCACTAGCTGTTCTTGCTCTTACTGATGCAAATGAAGACGATGACGATGATCGTGACGAATATCCTGAATCATCACCTTGACTTTCATTATATCCATTGCTGGTAGGCCTATATCCATACATTCCTGGTCCTGAAGCTGGAGGATAGTATTGCCCTTGTTGTGGCATCATTTGTTGCATCTGCTGTTGTATTGGTGGTTGATTATAGTATGCCGAGGCATCACCAGACAAGCCTCGTAAATGCCCTCGTAGACTTTCATCACTACCGCTTTGCTTTCTTAATCTACCCATACCCACACTGCCATCACTATCATCGGCATATCCCGAATCTACATCAAGCAATGGCCCGGTATTCCTTCTCACAAGTTGTGGTGGATTGCTTGATCCATTCGACAATTGAGAGTATCGTGCTCCTAGATCTTCGTTAGAGTTGGATGCGGAAGATGATAATGATGATCGAGTTGGAGAGTATTGGCCTGATACAGCTACTGGTTGTTGTTGAGTATATCTAGTGGGCGACGGTGGTCCATTACCAGTCAAGCTAAAGTTTGATGGCGCATAGCCTGTTCCAGTAGTAGCAGCTCTGGGGCGAGCAGGACTAGATGGCATTGGTGGTGGAGCTGATGGTGGTGGCGGTGGAAGAGTTATACGACCATCTACATTCGAGAATTTACGTTGCAAATGTGGTGGCCCTGGTGATGTTGGTACACCTCCAGAGTTTCTCGCTGGAGCAGGTGATGACATACTCCGAGTCGGTGGACGATCCGGGCTAGAGTATGCACCTTGTGGTAACATCAAAGATCCTTGAGATGAAACTTGTGATCCTACATCACTATTTACATCGTCATCGTCAGGTTCTACAAGGAGAGCTGGACGTCTACCAGCAGGTGACGATCCATTCGGTAACTTTATAATGTTGTGGTTTAGTTGAGTACCACTAGCATATGCATTCCGTTCAGCTAATGACTTGCGACGAACTTTGGCTTCGTCGACAAGTGCATCGGCTTTAGCCTTCCACATTTTGCATTGCTCAACGTTGAGACATTTTATGGAGAAGGATTCCAAGTCTGGTCCATCTCTCCAGTATATTTTGAGACCAAAATAGCTTGGCTTTTTGGAGGTGTCTTGCACCTCGGCAATGGAGTGAATGTATATGTTGCCCTTGAGTGTGAAACGTTCCACGGCATCCGTTTGCTATATGGCGAAAAAAACCTCAGTACATGACCAAGAACGGAGAGCGACAATGGACGGCAACCACTCCGTTGAGGGCACAATATCATGAGTGTACGCAACTTACACTGGCACGTTGCTTCTTTGCTGGCACCTTCTTCTTGTTATTTGGCACTTCTTTACAGCACAAGAGTATCTTGTCAAACAAAAAGAGATGGTACTCTCTTTCAATGTCGTGAGCTTCCATGAGGAATCGGTCTGCCAATTGCAAATCACCCATCTCCATGATTTCAAGACCCTAATATTAACATTAAACAGATGTCAGAGCAAGTCATCAGCGCATGAGGGACAGACGCATAAAATTCGCAATGCCATTGAAGGTACAATTCGTGACATTTACCTTCCAGTCTTCAACAGCCGTAGCCAATCTAATCTTCAATCTCCTATTCTCTTCCCTCCTTTTTGCTTCGTTGATCATATCTGCAATGCGTAAAGTACATTCTTCAGCCTTCTTGAGTTCATCAGTGTATGGGTAGTTGGTGTCTTGACTGAGCAGGATGAGTTGTCTGAGGAGAAGAGGATACTTGGCCAGTCGCTGTACAGGCCTGATGAGATACGAAGGCAGCCCACGTGTTGGTTCAATGACACTTGCGAGTGGCTAAGTTTGGACGGAGTGGGGGTGTGTTAGATGTTTTCATCACCACGGGTCAGAGAAAACGATCAATCATGAATGGATTCATATAGGCTTACCTGCAAGCTTCCAAAATGCGAAGGCAGAATCAGGTTTACATCTATATAGTTGACACAATATGGTCCGTAAACCTTAAACCCATCTTCATGATCGATAAACACAGCTCCAATCCGTTGTTCATTGTTGGATCTAGCTAGCGCAGATTCCAAAGCAGATAGGAATCGTCTTTGGAAGTCAATCAACTCGTTGAGGTTGGCGAATATGGATCGGCCCACTTCCGTAGACACGAGTTTTCGTTGATATACAGTGTTTTGATAGGCCTGTAACTCTTCCAGAGAGGCTACATAGGATCTTTCTGTGCTTAGGAGCTCAGCGATGGTCATGTCTCTATTAGAGACTTTGTCACGAGGCGGTTGATCTGATGGCACAGCGAATGGTATGGGGAGAGATTTTCGGATGGGCATCAGGCCCATGCTTGAGAGTTGGTCGAGTATGATGTTGATTGTTTTCAAGACCTAGTATAGATCGTATATAGTGTCAATTGATTTTAATATTGGATATTAGGTCAAATGATGCGAAAAACTGGATTAGGCAGTGCCTCTCGGTGAGGTTGCGTCACCCGAAAATACCATCTAATCACTATTTTGTTTGGGTCTAGAACCCGAGCTTTCCCTTTAACATGTTTTTTCCGACTTGCATGCAACTCTTACCTTTACATGTCCATTCGTATCGTCATTATATAAATCTCTGATTTCAAACCGCTGCTCGTCTGGTAGGCCCAACTCGTCTTTGAGTGCAACCAAAAATTTGAAAGTAGCTTGCTTACACCGATGCTGATTCGCAGCTCCTTTCGGGATATCGGCCACATCAACGACTTCTAGTTCAGATAGTCCCAATCTGTTGTACAATTCACATAAGGGGGCACCTAGTCGTAGGCTGTCGAAAAGTGTTGAAATTGGGTCGATTGGTGTTGGATTTGGTGTTTTGGAGATGAGTTCCCCCTCAGGAAACAGATACTGCTCCCAGTTACCACCTAGTGAGAATAGTAAAGTGACTATATTCGCACAGTTCTGTGACAGGGAGGTGACAATCTTTGTCGTTTGCGGAAGTGATGACATGGATGCGTATTTTTGCGGAGTGGGCTTCGAATTTCGAGTAGTGAATGAAGAGTGGTCTAGCTGGGTGACGACCACTATTTAATAACTAGCCTATTCTACGACAAGGTTCCCCCTGGTGTGTTGAAAAGAAGTTGTTAGCTCTCTTTGTTCTTCACTCGTTCTCGTCTCAGGGTCCTTCATATAATTGGAACTCCGCTAAGCTTTCACGGATTCAAAAGCAAGTTCTCCTCTACCTTTTGGTCTTGATCTAGTTCCAGCTAGTTCGTCTGTCGAGAGTTTTGGGCAAAACGCAAAACACTTTGAAATTGCTCTGATTGGTAGTGTAGGGGAAGGCCAGGGGAAGAAACTGCTCTGTTTTGCCTGAACATGCCAACGCAATGAATGCACAAGATCACTTTGCCTGTCAAGTGATGCAACAACGAGATCTGCAAGACTCGGGATCTAAGGACAAAGTCACGGGTTTGATCAGCTTGCGTCATTCCTTGGATAATATACTAGTTTTGTTGATAAAATGGATGCAAACCAGTTACAAATTTACGGATATATATGTTATTGATGCTTATAGGATAATGGTTTCAGTTTTACATCAGTCTTTTCTGTTGCAGCTTTCTTTTTTTTTCGTTCTGTACACACACTCACAGTAGTCCCAATTCACAGTTCTTTTATAGATCCATCTTCTCAGTTGACTCCTGTACTACTTGTTCGACTTTGGCTGGTTCACCAGGCACAATCAATTCCACCTCCCAGTGAGAAATGAAGGTGACATTTGACACCAGAGTCTGTCTCACAGGTTCACACTTGAAGACTTCGACGGGGCAACCACCTTGCGAAAATCGTTGGCGTAGTGCGGCTTCAAACTCTAATAAGCCCATAGGATGAATTAACGATTGAGAGATGATGGAGCCCAGTTCAGCCCAGAATCGTTTCTGTGAGGATGTCCGATTGATGCTAAATACAAGGGCATTTAGTTGGGAATGCTACAATGACAAGAACATTGATGTCTTACCTTGGTGGTACATTCTTCACGTTTGAATCCTTGTCCACAGAGAATGCCAAAGATGAGACACTGGAAGACTTAGCATCGGCCAAGACCTGCAATGTACGCTCCACCATATACTGAGAAAACGAAGAAGAGTCCGGTGATATTTGTTGTACTGACGAGTTGAGTTTGTTGGACACTAATAGTGTGGGTATAGTGTGAGGCATGGCCTCGGAGGTGCCTTGAGCGCCAGGAACTATGCCAAAGTAGTCCAGTTCTTCACGAACTATGGAGAAAGGACAGTTAGTTCGATGTCGCGTGTGCAAATGGATCAGATGCATTCGTACCAGAGTCAAGACTGATTTGCGGAGGGACAATGAGTCGGCCAGTGCGGTAGTAGTCCATTATAACCTCAAAGGTACGTCCATTCTATAGAATAAGTGATAAATCATCAGCATAACGCATAATAAGCCCGCGAATATGAGAATACACTTCAAAGGTCGTCCATTATGTGAACCAAACTTCGTAGCATAATGCATAAGACAGCTTTTGATCCCGAGAGGACGGGGAAGTATAGCCCTCCGTAGACTTTGATCTCGGCAATGAAAAACACGTTCTCGTCTTCCTCCGCAACTCAAACCACCAAACAACTTACTCGATCAAAGAAGATTTCGTTTTCGTCCTTTACGAGGCCTTGATTTCTTAAATTAAACATTGCGCCGAGCAGGCTGTCTGGTACAAGAGAGAATGTCCTGCAACAGAAAATGAGGAGGGTTTGTTAACATGACTTCCACCGCTGATCACTCTTTATGAATTTCCACAACTCGTAATACACACTGTTTGTTGGTTTGGTACTTGGTCCCACCGACGTTCAAGGTGACAGTAGTATTGTTGCTTCCTATAGCCATACGATAGTAGTTTTGATCTGTCTTTTTGGTTGCGGTTCTTTTGAAATGAAATGTTCAGTTGGTAAATCGTGTGATCTCGTCACCGAAAGACATGGTCAGCAGTTATGTCACAAAGCAACAATCCGCTGCCAGACCGTCAAGTGTGGGAGGATGAATTCGTGTGAAGAAACTATACCGGGGATATTTCGAACTGTAAACTCTGGCATTTGCTGGTGGTGCTCGTCAGGGCACAATTTCCCATGCTAGTTGGTAGTTAGTTGACGTTTTGTCATTTTGAAATTGAAGAGGGAGTCTGTAAGAAAGGAAGCGAACTAGACGCGCCAAATAGTGGATTTTAGACATGAAGTAAACGTGGTACCCTCTTGTTACCTAGTGAAGACTCGTTGGCGGCGCAATCGCAATAACCGTGTACTAATTGTAAGTCGAATTTCAACTCGCATTTCACATTTCACCCAATTGTATTCATTGTAAGATGTAGACAGGCACTAGATAGACCAATTCCATTCAATGAGATGTCATTTCACTTGTTTTGTTATGTTTCGTTTGCGAAGTAATGAATGAACCAGCCACTTGCTTTGGAAGCGCCGTACTTTTTTCTCTTGCTCCCATCACACGTTAGACGGAGGGCAAAGAATAAGTACCAATCGGTCTAGGGAGAAGGAGTCCAAGGCTGCTGCTGCTGCACTTGGTTTGGTTGCCAATTACCAGTCTGAACCGGTGGGCGCTCTAGCCCTTGCATCAAGAGCTACCAAGTTCCTATTAAATAACTCTTAATTGTGTGTGGATGAAACATACAACACAAAACCACCTCATCATGGCCAGGATACCACTTATATTACTCTTACTGTCATCCCTGCAGCTGGCTTGCCATGCCTACATTCCGACTGCTTCCACCTTGGTGGGAGTCCTTCTTGCCCTATCGTCATACCGTATATCTTGTCTAGCTGCACCGGCTGCCTCTACTTTGGGACTACTCGAGCCTGCTAATGGTGTATATCTGATGATTTGGGTAAGGATGCTGTCTATTTCGCGGTGGTGGTGTCTTGTTTTTTTGCTCTAGCTGGAGTGATGGCGGGTTGTTATTGTTCGGAGTCGTTGCCCCTTCATGGATAGTAGTGCTCATGAACTATAATTGATGATTATGCTCGGGATCGATGCTTTATGTGCAAGACGCTGGAGCTCGACGCTTCCAATGACAATCTTATCCAATCAACACAGCACTGCCACATTCATTCATCAAGGTGCTAACAACAAGTTATTCACACTATTTCCTACTATTAGCCTGATACAGAAGTCACTCCATATCAAGCAGATACTCCATCGCTAATAAATCAAAGGCTAGGTCAACGGGTGCCTGTTTGGCACTTTGCACAGAATATTCCTACATTGACGTACGTCGACCTGTCAAAATCATTGAATTATACACATTGTAACATCCTTCTCCTCAACCAACAGTCAATCAGGCACGCCGGGCGTGTCAGTGAATGTCGGCATAGATACGAAAATAAATACCACCTTTTTGGAGCTCACGTACAGTGACGCCATGATCTTTTTAACTGTCTATCCCTTCCTTACCGGGGACATGAATGCCGTAAACGATACCGATATTGCAGCTTTAGCAACGCAGTGTGCTCAACTAAATGCTGCCGGGCGTAAAATATTCTTGAGATTAGCTCCAGAAATGAATGGAGGCTGGTATCCTTGGGGCCAAAAGCCATCCGTATATGTGCCATGGTGGAGAAAGGTCGTGACTGCAGTTCGGGCGCAGGCTCCGAATACCGCTTTCGTTTGGTCTCCCAACGTTCGTGGACAGGGTGGTTTTGCTCTGGCATCTTGGGTTCATCCATTGGGAACAGATTATAATTTGATGGATACAAACAAGGATGGAGTTGTTAATGGTACTGATGATCCATACGGCCCGGTAAGGAAGTCGTTGCAAAGCTGCGTTTATAAGAAAGCTCGACCAACATGCTCCCTTTTCAAAATAGTTCTACCCGGGCGATGACTATGTTGATTGGGGTAACTACAGCATTTCGCATTCTGTTGTGCTTTGCAAACGGGGAAGGTTTTGTCGGTTGAAGCTTACTGATACTTGTGTATAGTTGGCCTCTCGCTATACTATTACGGTACCAGCTATCCATACCACTTCAACACTCTACCACCAGACTATTGGTTTGTGCAGTCGCTCCAAGGCTTTGGAGCTTTCGACTTTTATCAGACGTATAGCGTTCAGCATAACAAGCCTTTCGCTGTAAGTTTCACGTTCGAATGGCAGCAACATCCCGAGCAACACACTCAAACCGCGCATTTTCTATCTACTTCATAGTGCTCAGAATGTAGCAGTACCTTCTTTGCCGCACAGCCGGTTGGTAGCTCGCTCGTTAACGTGCCTCCAGGTCCAGGAGAATTGGCTATAAAGAGAAGCTGTATGACATTATCACTTGATTGATTTTATAGCTTGCGATTGACATCCTTCTAAAACAACAGGGTGGAATCAAACGGTAACTTCTACTACGGTTCTCACACAGTATCCAAGAATAAAGATGTGGTATGTTGGATTCCACAAGTTTCTGACAACCTGACAAGGAAAAGACTAACATTTAGCATCGAAACCAAAAAAGGGGTCTATTCGAGTTCCGAAAGAAGGAAGACGACACATTCAGAGACTTTCAGATACTAAATCAATCGAATCCCAACAACCTGCTTCCACAGTTCTTGACTGATCTTCAAGCTGCGTCATCCAAGATCAACTTCATCTGGTAAATGCGACAAAAATTCATCCATGACTTTTACCCATAGTTTACTCATTCTATTTGCATTAGGGCTAATTACTCACCGCCACCGGTCGTTCCTGCCCCGCTTCCGGCCAATTCCACTCCAGGCGATCATATCGCCACGATACTGGGAATGAATTCAGGTCATTCTAGTCTACGGACTATTGTACAGCGATACGGTGCTTATTTCGCCATGTTTGTGGCGACGTGGATGCTATCTTGAAAACCTGAGGCAGGGACTCTGTTTTAAGATGACCATTTTGTAATGTATCATAGTCTGGATAGTTTTGACCTCTCTCTCGCTAAAGACTTGATTTAATTATTGTTGTGAACATTATCATCCAATAAGTCTTTTTCGTAAAATAGTAGAAATACAGTATCTTGTAAATCAAAATATGTGCATCGGGTCGTGTGTATTGTGCAATCTACATATTTACGAATCTGCTTGTTTGCCATGAGGCTGATATTAGGGTCAGATGGGTTTGCCAGCTCGAACTAGTCAGGTGCAAAGTCCTCGTCAATATCAAACACCATGTCCTCCGCAACAAATAGATCTGAATCCGACATGCCATCAAACAAGTCATCATCATCTAATGGAGGCTCTTTGCGTTTATGTGTCTGATTCTGTATCATTGGTTGTTGTTGCTGCTGATCCGGTAGTCTTATTGGTTGCTGTCCAATACCAGGTTCAAGTTTCACTGCTGGAGCCGCAGCCCCTACCATCCCGCCACCTTCATTCCGCGGGCCTGGATTCTCACGCTGTCGTCTATGTAAACAAAACGGTTAAGACGTGTCCAATGTTAAAAGCGACGATGATGTGTGTACTTTAGCATGTCCTGAAGCCTCTTTTCAAGCGTATCAATGGGATCGTTTTCCCATGGCACACCACCACCCAACAGTTCGATATTGCGTGAATTTAGCATTGCGACGCCTCGCCGAATCTCTACATTCTTTACCAAGACCTACAGCCGAATGTAAGTAGACAATCACTACAGACGTCCTCAAACGCAACACAATACTTTTGTCTTGAGAGGCACCAACAAATCCAGCTGTGGCACTACAAAACGATATCAGTATTGCAACGAAAAAAAGGAAACACAACAAGGATCATTGAGCACATTGATATTACCAATTTCCACTTCCATGGCTTTGATCTCCTGTTGCCCATCCGACAACATACATCTAAGCATCCGTCTAGGCAGCATTCCTCGAACATTCATACCACCACCACGACCACCCGCATTCCCATTCCTCCTCTGCTTCTCACGCTCATTCTTGATTTCTTCAACAGCAGCAAGCACATCCAGCACCGAGTACCCAATCTCCATGACACCCTCAATCTGCAGAATCGCCATTGCACCACCAGCCTTGTTCTTTAGACGTTCTTTATGCTTTGATGCGACATCGTCAATGATGGTGGGAGAGTTGATCGTTGCGAGATCAGTGTTTATGTATTCTTCGTAGATTCGTTGAGCTAACGGGTCGATTGTTGGTGTGATGGTGTTGTTGATGTTGGTAGCTAGTCGGTTGTCCAGGTGTTTTAGACGAGTGATTTGTGAGGTAGTCCATTGCAGTGGAGGCTGGCATGCTCTGGATTTTAGGAAGGTTGTTACTCGTACGGTTTCATCGTCAGCCATTCCTAACGTTCAATATTTTGAAATTAGTGATAGTTTGACGATGGGTTGAAAGATGTTCGCAAGAATACAATAGATCTGATAGTTTTGCAGTAGATGCGGGTCAAACTTACTAGGTTGACCGTGCTGTACTCTTGAAGTAACGATTTTCTAGAAATACGGAGATTGTTGTGAATGTAAGTACCAGTGTATTCGAGCAAGCTTATGTTCATACTGATTTTAGACGCGTGGAGTTAAGTATTCTACGCGTATTCACTGCGCTCTACTACAAGTAGCTGCAAGCTTTCATCTCATCCACTCAACCAGCGTTTGAAGTTTGACGATTGACAGAGTCGGAACAGGATGCCGCCCTCTAGTCGGGGAGGAGACGACATACACATCGTACAGCAGCCCAATCTATTCTCTGTGCTCTTGTCGGCGATATGGAAGTTTGTTTCTTCAATCCTGCAGGAACGTGCCTTCTTCTGGTATCTCTTTGTGCCAATAATGGTCTTTGAACTAGCGCTGAATGCTTTAATCATATGGAAAATACCATGTACGTACATGAACTTATCTGTTGTTTCTTTCTGTGTTGTGATGTGTCTGCTGCTCTCAACATTTTGTGTGCGAAAAAAATCTGAACCGGCCATTGATCATCGCGCATCCCTCCATGCAGATACAGAAATTGACTGGATTGCATACATGCAAGAAGTCGGTGGTTTTCTAGCTGGAGAACGCGACTATACCATGATGGAAGGTGATACTGGTCCACTAGTGTAAGAGATTTTAGACTTGATGATGTGTCGTTTTTGCTCCCCTCTATTCTTACACCATTCATCACATCTAGGTACCCAGCTGGATTCGTTTACATCTACTCAGTCCTCTCCATCGTCACTGGATCAGGCACATCCATACTCTTAGCTCAATGGCTGTTTGCAGTACTGTACATGACGACTCTAGCAATCGTTCTCCTCATATATCGGGAATCACGACTCGTGCCACCTTATGTCATCATCCTAGTCTGTTTGTCACGACGGCTGCACTCCATATATGTGTTGAGACTGTTTAATGATGGTTGGGCAATGCTGTTTTTGTATCTGGCTGTCTTGGCTATGGTTTGGAAACGGTGGACGGTGGCTTCTATCTTGTACAGGTAAGTTTAGGGAAGATGACGCGTGGTAGATTGGCGTGTGAGTTGTCGTCTGACAACCCTTTTTTGGCTAGTTTTGCAATATCTATAAAAATGAACATTTTGCTATTTGCACCAGCCTTTGCTTTAATTATATTCAAGGCACAAATGTGGACTGGAACCATATTTCAAGGCCTACTGGTTGTGCTCGTGCAAGTAAGACACCCCTCATCCTACAGCAAGTCCAATTTTTTCTACCTCTGACACCCATGAATTTGATTTAGGTACTACTAGGCCTACCCTTTCTTATCCACGCCCCGAAATCCTACCTGACACAAGCCTTCCAATTCAATCGTGTATTCATGTACAAGTGGACTGTAAACTGGAAGTTCTTACCCGAAGAAGCCTTCCTATCACCCATGTGGGCAGCAATCCTGATATGGGCTCACGTCTTGACTCTCTTTGGGTTTCTCTTGTGGCCTTGGTGTAGACGTGAAGGCGGATTCAGAGCTTTGCTGAAAACTGGATTTGGATTGTTGCCTGCTGTAGAACTGTTTAAGCAGCCTCCGCTACGTTCAGATCGTAAGTCGTTGGAAGTTGAGAACTTGTACGTCCTTTGTTGCCTGATCCACGTTGATTCTTTTTTGTCTTCCCAACAGATATCATACATCTGATGTTTACATGCAACTTTGTGGGCATAGTGTTTTCCAGATCACTGCACTACCAGTTCTATTCATGGTATTACATGGCGTTGCCGTATCTGCTATGGAGAACGAGATTTCCTGTCCTCTTAAGGTATGCCTTGTGTTGCATTCCAACGATATTGTAACCAACTCATTACACTTTTTTTGCATCAGGCTAGTCTTGTTAGTAGTCATTGAAGTATGCTGGAACATATATCCAGCAACAGCCATAAGCTCTGCATGTCTGGGGATCAGTCATCTCGCTGTGTTGGTGGGTGTAGCATATGGCGATGGGGAATTGGACCGTAAGACAGAAGACAAGGTTTTAGAGGATGGATTCGATGCCGTGAACAAGGGCGATTGATATTCCTTGATAGAACTCATCGTCTTGAGGCCAGTCGCTTTGAGAGAAGCCCTCAATGTTTAAAGCTTGACGTGGTGCTCTACCCCAAAAAATATACAAAGGACTTCATCCTGGACTAAGATCACTCTTTTTGTGGTCATTCGTGTAAATATGAATATAATATATATGTATTTTCTCACAGCATCCCCGAATGTACATAACAAAAACGCTTCTATGACCCAATACCCCAAATTGTCCACCCTTTAAACATCTTTTCCACTGTTGTTAGTGTCGTTGCTGATATTATTTTGGTTTTGCCTTGAAAGCGTAGCGGATCGTGTAACTGTCTGTGCTCGAATAACTCGGTTGCGTTGCAGGGTAACAGGAAGGACACCGACGTAAACCACATCATCACCACCATTGTCAACATCAGCAGTATTGTTGATCTCACTATTAGATCGCGCAGCTGGTGATGGTCCTGCAATCGGTGGTGGCAACACGAATGCGGTCGAATTCGTTCCATTGTTATCAACAAACAATTGTCGTGCAACAGAAGATGACTTGCGTCTCGATAGTGATTGTTGCATAAGGCTGTTGGATGCTGGTGATGCACTATTATGCGGTGTTATTATCCTGTTTCCTGATAGTGGTGATGATGTAGTCCGTGATCTGCCGGCTGACTCGTACGAGTTTGCTGGGTATCCGCTGCTGCTATTGTTGTTGAAGACTTGGGGTGCGACTTTGGGTGATGATTGTCGGAGTGAGGCTGGTGATGCGGCATAGACTGGTGGTGGTGGGTATCGACTTGATAGTGGGGTTCCAGGGGCTGGGTGTGCGGACATGGCCATGTGGGAACCAAAGTCGAGATGATGGACTTCGCGACGTGAAAGACTGCGAGATATGTCAAGACTGACACCGCGACTATTTGATGCTGTTGTCTTGGCGGTCGATAGTGGCGTACCGGGTAGCAGTTGCTTATTGCCTCTCTTTTTAGAGTTTCGGCGACTTTCAATCTCCCATTCAATCCATAACTTGTGTTGGACTCCTGCATCGTCAAAAGCGCCTCCCTCGCCACCATGACCTCCAGTACCGGCTTTTTCGCCTGCTACTTGACGTGTTTGGCCCCATGAAAAGTCGTCGAAATGCCAGAATGCGTAAGTTGGGAGGACTAAATTCCATACGTGGAGAGAAAGGAGGTAGACGCCCATCCAGTAGACATAAGCCCATCGTTTGGAAGTGAAAAGAATCAAAAAGGCGGGAAGACCTAAGATGGCACCGAGTAGCATGAGTGGAATCCATTGCACTGCTGTGCTGGTGAGCGAGCTGAAGGCTGTTTCGAGTAGTAACACCCTACGCAACAAAAAACATGTTCAAAACTGTCCTTCGGTGTCTGCAATGTAAATATTACAAACTTCATATGTAACACTTACGTTGTGAATGTGATGGCAGCAGGAAGAGTAACAGTACCAATCAATTCCAACAAGATAACAGCTTGCATGGAAAAGCAGAATGTTCCACACAATTCACGAACAAGTACCAACTCGAGCAAGTTGTGAATCGTACTATTAATCCATCGGCGACGTTGACTGAGGAGCACCTTAAACTCAGCAGGAACAGTAGTTTTGCAATATGCTCGAGGCACGAACATAAGTTTGCGGGTTGGGAAGGCACGTAACATTAGAGTAGTCAAGAATCGGTCCTCTCCTAGTAGCAATAGATTCTTCTTGTGCAGTGTGTCGACAATGTTCTCGGAATAGACTTCGACGATATCTGGGTTGATGAGGACCGGGACCCACGTATCACCTTTAGGAGCCTTGATACGGTACATGCAGAAACATCCGGGCAGGCAAGTGACTTCACCAAACACACTTTCAAACGCCTTGTTGAGGTGATGTGACAAGTAGTACTCAAATACTTGAATTCGAGAAACCCACGATTCGGCCTTGTTCATAATACGTGTTTCTCCACAAAGACCCATGACTGTTGGATCAGATGCCATGACTGCAACCATACGAGATAGGGAATCAGGAGCAACTTTGGTATCGGCATCCACCATGAGAATAATTTCAAATTTGTCGGGTGTGGCGCCAGTCAGATACGTCATTTTAGCAGCGAAATCATATTCCAAGGGTGGTATAGGATCATCAAAAAAGGCGTGTCGGAAGTAATTCATGACGATAAGTTGGGAATCTCGTTTTCCACGATTACCAGGTTTGGCCGTACCCTTTTCTTCGGCAGTACCACACTTTACTATAATCATTGTTGCGACTCGGTGTCCCTCGTAAACATACCAACCAGCATATATCTGAGCCTTGTTGTGTCGTTTAGCTCCGTCTGCGATAGCCAAATAGGATAATGGTACAGGTGGTAGAGCGAATTCTGGATCCATTTCAACCATGTCGATAACTATATCTGGTGTTGTCTTGTCGTTTCCTGATCCCTTGACAAGTCCGTCAGCTACAACTAGAATCATCTTGTTTTTGTCCGGGTAAATCGTAGATGCCAATGAATTCATGGTTGTTCTTAGACCTTCTTCGCCTTCGGAGTAACAGGCTACCATAAGAACTGTGTATAAATCGTCCCCGTAGTAGCCGACAACGTCCGAATCGACATCTGAAAAGGACGAGACACCTGAATTTGATGCCATCGATTCTGAAGTAGTAGAAAGTTCAGATGTGATGCAAACTAACACATTTCACTAAACAACTCGAGGGAGTTGTAACAAAACAAGAAACATACCTCGCACATTGCCCACTGGTAAATTCTTTTCATAGGGCATAGGTGTGGGAACCGTACTCGTGTCATAGCCGCCACCAATTCGTTGTCCACCTTGAATCTTGCCATCCCTTTTGACGTGTTGAATACCCATACGTAGATCCGATGGTCCTATTACCGAGGGTCCCTTTCGTTTCTGCAACATTCCAAGTTTACGTGACATAAACCATCCAAAGTATAAAGCCAACATGAACTTGACTGCAACCAAAGCCAGTATAATGACAAGAGATATGTAGAGGAAGATTTGGAGGGTGACACATCCAATAGACATAGTGTTGATGTATCCAACCATAAACAGTTCAGTGAGACAGGCTCCAGCGCCAGGGTAGTTGGCGAGATACTTGGAAGAGTCGAGATTCAGACTTCGTTGTATGGCCGCATCGACACCGGCACCCAAGAATGGTACACCTGCAGCATTGTACTTGCTCATATCTAGCATATAGTTTGAGTATACCATCAAGTTTTGGTTTCCTGGACGGAGCATATCTAACCAATCGTATAAGATATACCCAAGGATTTTGGGCTCGGTACTGCTTCCTTGCCACGAAGCACTAGCAATAATTTTTTGATATCCAGACCATGTATGACAGTTGGTTAATGTGCCTGTTGCATCACTACATGTAAAGTTCGGGAAGGTAGTCTTCAGGATACTCTGGCATGACGTTCCTGGTGCTGGAAATAGACTAGATATATCATAACCAGCAGTCGAGCTAGCAATACTACTGGATATAGGAGCTGGATGGGAATTTGACAAGTATTTGGTAAAGTCGTAGACTGTTCCTCGAATATTGTACACGTATGGTTGTGCGGTATATCCATCGTCACCAACTACTTGAGCATACGTCAGTACTGCTCTGGCAGGACATATAGCAGTCTGTAGTCCGAAAGTGATGAAAGCCAAAACGGTACACAATAAGAACACAATGGTACAGAGAGCCACTTTTTCCCTCCATGCTTGAATGACTTCACCACTCCAAGCTATAGTGACTTCATACACTTTGCCTTCCTTGAATGTAGGCATTCCCTGTTCATTCAATACTGGTTTGCCTTCCTTGTCGAGTATTGGTTCATCGTTTTCGGATATGATGTACTTGTTGTGGCCAATGTTTCGTTTTTGACCTTTGGGAGGCGGAATATCACCCACTCCACGATGCCATTCATGCCTTTCGACCTTTTTACCAATCTCTAGGTAGTGTATTAGTGGTGGAATCGCCCAACATGTAAGTACCCAAGACATGACACGCCACCATGACGGCCTATCATCGGATTCTGGTTTAAGCATTCTCGTCGTCCTTTGATGTGTTGCTGTGGGTTCACGTGGCATTCCTCGTTGAATGGTAGGATGTCGCTCAGGTCGAACCAGGGATTTGGCTCGCCCTAGAGTATTATGGCGTTGAGGCGAAGGAAGTCGTTCCAAATTGGGATTCGTAGGTGACAGTGGAGGATGAGAGTTGTTTCGTTTGGGAGTGGGTTTAGCTCTTGTTGGGGGAGTTGGAGCTGGTCCTTGCGGTTGTTCCATGTCGGTTGGAGTTTCTAGTATACTCTCTGAGAAAGAAGCGGGTGGGGATGTGTAGTACGTTTCAACACTTGGAGTTTTTGGTGACTCTGTTGTTATAACCGGAATGGCGGGAATGCTCATAGTTGCTTCAAAGAAAGTGTTGACCTCTGGTGATCTCATGTGCATGGAATCAGCCGTAAGCCCATATTTAGCAGCACCACCTTTACTAATAGCCAAATCCGGCCCTCCTCGTCTATCTTTTGTAACTGGTGGTGGCACTGGTAATGCTTTAGCGGGACGCTGGTCAACCTTCGTCTGCTGTTGTTGTGGGGATTCATTTCCAGGTATGGATACACTCAGTCGCGATCCTTTCGGTGGTAGTGGAGGAGCAGGTAGTGGTGCTGTTGATTTTGATGTCACACTCGACCTCGGACTGCCACTACTACTACTAATACTACTTTTGCTACTTGTGCCATCGAATGTATATGTTGAAGTTGGAGGTTGTGGTAATGGGTGTGATGAGCTAGCTGCTGGTGATTTGGAAGGGAGAACAGGTGGAATAACGTATGATGATGGTGGTTGGGTTGTAGAATTCCGTTCATTATCAACTGTTTGCGTGATTTTCATCGGAGGTTCAGGAGCCCTTAAAGCCAATTGTGCAGGACTAGGCGCTGGCAGCACGGGCTTAACTGACGATGCAGTTGAGGTACGACTACGACCATAGTCACCCATCGTGTCCAGCTTCCAACAAAAAAATGAAAAATGTTAGCAAACGACCAAGGGTGTGATAGATCAAAATAACAAGTCCAAAATACCGATGCTCGACCTCTGTTACGAGGATCAACAGTTCAAGATGTCTCTGACCGGCAATGCGACTATAAGATGACTTCTACAATTGCTCAAAGACCCTTTTTGATTCACCGCGCAGCAATTTCCAATTAGAAACTGGGGTTCGTCAACTCCGACAAAGTGTCCTTACAAGCTTCTTGTGATCCTAGCCCACAGTTAGCTCTCTTTCGTCCATTTGGTTAAGAGTAGGTTCTACACCGTAATGTTCGTTGGCGTTGACCATGCCAACTTGCAATAGTTTAGCAAGTATCTTCAAAGTTAGCCTTCATATTGAGACGGTTAGAATACACGTGAATATGCGCTACTTACCCAGACTTGCGCTTGTCTATCTTGCGTACGTCTGTCTCGCGTTCAGACAATTAGCAAGCCATAGCTCTCAGCAAGAGATGTCCCTGGACAAGCTTCCTTCTAGAGAGCTCCGAGTATTGCAAGGCCATGGAGGTCCAGTTCATTACATAAAATTCAACAAGGATGGCGAATATGTCCTCACAGCATGTGCAGACAAGACTGTTCGTTTATGGAATCCCCTCAAGGGACTATGCATCAAGACTTATTCGGGACATGGTCGCGACGTGTTTGGAATCTGCGTGTAAGCGTTACTGGAGTCTATAGTCTTCTGGAACTGCACATGTTGACAACATTCATCTGACATTTTGTTGCTTGTCCCTGACATCCTTAGGTCGGCAGATAATTCTCGATTTGCTTCAGGAAGTGCTGATAAACAAGTCTTTTTATGGGACGTGGGCACTGGCAAACCCATTCGACGCTTTACGGGCCATCATCAACGTATAAATTGTGTCGACTTCAATCAGGATGCCACTGTCGTTGTGTCTGGCTCGTATGATGCTACTGTACGTGTCTGGGATTGTCGAGCACAGACCAGACTACCTGTGCAAGTCATGGAAGAAGCTAAAGATGACATCATGTCTCTTCAAGTGTCTGGCCATGAGATTGCTGTTGCGTAGGTGTTGAATCGGTGGATATGAATGGTCGTTACTGGATTTAATATAATTCCTTAAACAGTTCCGTAGATGGTAAACTCAGAGTGTATGATATTCGAGCAGGAAGAGTCACTGCTGATGACATTGGTCGTAAGTGTTGCTACTCTCGATCTGGTTTTTTGCCGGTGGCTTAAATCTAAATCGCATCACTGAACAGAGCCTGTAACTTCGGTCTGCTACTCGAACGACAAGAACTGTCTGCTCATCAGTACATTGGACTCTACTGTGAGACTCATGGACAAGGACAATGGACAAGTTCTTAACGAGTATTCAAAACATTGGCAAACAAGAGTAGATGACAATTCAAAACCAGCTAACTCAATCAATCGCATTACAGGTATAAAGGACATCTCAACAAGGAGTACCGTGTCACTAGTTGCCTCTCTCACACAGATGCTTATATATTGAGTGGAAGCGAAGACGGAAGAATCGTCATATGGGATTTGGTTGATGGTAGTCTAGTCCGTATACTAAAAGGGCACGATAGGGTCGTGTCGGCTATAGCCTATGCACCCAAAATGCCAGTTGCTGTATCTGGAAGCATTGATGGAGTAGTCAAAGTGTGGACGACACCCGAGGTTTTTGCTAGTTTAGGGAAGAGCTGAGTACTCCATTGTGATGGATGTTAGTGTTGGTCTTGGAATTGATGCTCATTGTCTTGAGTTACATATGCTTCAGAACGATGAGCCTAAATGCATTGCAAATGTGAAATTATAAACCAGATAATTTATTGTACAGCTAACTATAGATGACAGAAATCTCATATTTACAGTCTATTTACACTCTTCTGTCTGCGCTCTATGTTTTTAAGCAACAGATTGTGGCCTGGTGCGAGTCATTGCATTGCGAATCATGGCATCAGTCTCCAACGTAGCTTTAAGTACTGCGTTTTCCTTGACAAGTTCATGTAACCTCTTAGTCAAAGCCTCCACAGTCATTTCAAGAGCCAAGAATTTACGGTCATCCTAAGATCCGGTGTAAGCCCGTTGCAAGCGACATATTCACTGGTAAAAGAAGAGGAGTATGAACTTACTGTAGACGTAACCCCATCGACCTTAGCGACTGAGCTCGCGTCAACCTGAGTATGTACGTTCTCAAACATGCCAGTTGAGATTTCAGCAGTAGCGACCACAATAGGCAAGGTAGTAACCCCGACATCTGAAGTAGCACTCTCAATTACAGAAGGCACCACTGGTGGTGAGCTCACCTGTGTTGAGGATGATGGCCTACTATTGACTTGTCCTGAGTACGAAGACCTAGTTACCACTACTTGGTCCTTGTATTCAGTGATTACGATCGGGATCGTCATAAGATGATTCTCCTTGGCAATTTCACGGCGTTGGAGTGCGCATTTCAGTTCTTCGACGACATCCGAGTAGTTGATTTTGATGGATTTCTCTACGGGCTTCTTAACCTTCCTTAATTTTTGGATTGGAAAGGGTGGTGGTGCAGGAACGGCTTGCGGAAGCCCGTACACGTAAGTGACTTCATCTTCTGTAACATCAACTAGTTCAAAAGGTTCTTCTCCGTTGGTGATCATGGTTCTTGCTACGAAGCGTTTGAAGTGTAAAAGTGTTTTAGTGACCAAAACCTCAAAACAGCAAGAGTCCCGGTTCAAAGTAGATCGCATTACCTTGACGAGTCAGTGTACTGTAAGAATGGGATTGGTGGTCTAAGCAATGTGTTGGCTTTCCTTTGCGAGCTGTTCAAATCGTGGGTGTTTGAAAGCTGAGATTGCCTTTCTTTCGAAAAAGCACCCAATCATCTACTTCAGTCTTGCGTTTTACGCTTACCAATCACAACTGCACTACAGTTTGGCAGATGTACTGATCAGACGACCTAGCTCCGAGTTCTCTTTGTGAAGGGTTAACGATTTGCGTCATTGCTCAAACACCAAAACCAGACCATCGAATATCAACAAACATTTATTATTGGATAATGATATGGTTATGTTCAAGGAACGACGAGTATGCGAAATATAGATAACTACATCCTAAAATCATCTATTCTACTATCTTATCTAAGACGGCGGCCTGAAACCCTGATGAAACATCTCTAACAATTCAACTGCCGACTCTTCGATGGTCGCTCTGAGTTTCTGCAGTGCAATCACATGCTGAGTGACGTTGCTCATTGTATGACTCCATTCTAAGAGAGAACAAACCGTTACTTAAAAAGCCTGCTGTTGTGTCAATGTTGTGGGCAACTTACCAGTTAGAGTGTCAATAATAACCATCTCTGCCGAAAAGTCTGTTTGTGACTCTAAACGGCGTTCTTCAGGGTATAGACATCGTAATGCTAAAGATATGGTTGAGTCATGAGTGCCCAATATCCCGGAATCTAACGTTCATCAATACCAAAGAATTCACTCACCAATACTAGCTACACCAGAAACATAAAGAAATGTCGATAGAGAAGCCAGACACCTCTTTATCTCTGGATATGCAGCCAAGTGAGGACCCAAATAATAAGCCAATCGACTCAATGATTTCTTAATCACTGCTACAGCTACCGGGCCAGAATCGTTTTGACCAGGCGCACTCAGTACTACAGCAGGAAAATAGAGCGCTGTTGTCATCAGTTCATGAGCGACTAGCAAGTATATAGCCAAATACGACACTGGCTCTTTCGAAAAGCTTGAGAATCCAAACACAGTTCCAGGCTTTCCAGCAGAGCGAACCCATTCAGGCAAGTTCTGGAAGAAACGATTTATTTCCGTCTAGGTTGCATATGTCGTTGAAATGGCTGCTCACTTAGCCGTAAAGTGCAAGATTGCGGTTCATACCTCCATTGCCGGCAATGAGCGAAAGTAGTTCATTTCAAAAGACTTGCTTTCTTCTGGGCTTTTACGCGTTGATAGTGTAAAAACAAACGGCATGACCTAATTATATATAGCATTAGCAGTCGATAGGAGTGAAACTTGCAAAGGAGGACACCAACCGTTCTCCAAACTTGAATCATGTCATGTATCGGTACAAACGGAACAAAAGTCTTGTCCGGCAAAAACTTCCACATTGTGACGCCGTTAGCGACATCCCAATTCCATTCCGACTTTACTGATCTGAGATAGTGGGGATTAAGCTTGTTCATCGACTTGGAGTTTGTGGCTGTGCTCATAATATTTTCTGCCATTATAATCGAGCACCAGCATCTTATAGCGTTCTGAGACATCTCTGGATGAGTTGTATCCCTGACTGAGTCAAAGCCCAAGTCTTTTCCAACTTTGATGGCATCTAACAGGAAGCTAGGAAATTGCTGCTATCAAGTTTGATCACAGTGAAATGAGACAAGGATGTCCATGCGCATACCTGACGGCTTTGGCAGTGTTTCCAGTGACGACGGACTGTATAGACAAGATGTGAAGGGATCGCATCAGCTGTAGATCAGCAGCAACGAGTGATGCGATTCCTGTACAAGACTACGCATACATCATAAGAGACTTAGATAGACTTCACAATGTGCAACTCAACATCAAACGGATGGGTATTGTGACATACTCTCTGAGCGAAATCGTCAGCCCATGCCGCTCTTTGCTGCCTGGAAACTCCGGCAAAGCTATCGCAAGACAGCACCGACAGGGAGCATATGGCATCAAAGAGGTGCCCTGTACAAAAACAAGTTCAGCACTAGTAGAAACATGTGTCGACACACATCTTGAGTAAAGTCAAACTCACGTGGCAGGGCGGTTGCCGGAACTACATGTTGGTGGTTAGTATGCATTCCATCAAGATGCTTCGACGCAGACTCGATATTACCTAGCGTTGAGCCTCCAGAATGCTCCGTAAATAATTCAGACCGATGAATCAAGTCGTATGACAGGAAAGGCAGCCTCTTTTCAAAAAAATGTTGGATCAGAGTGGCCTCAACGAGAGGTCTCTCGTCTTCCAACACCTGTAAAGGCTTCTGAGCGACCGCTCCTCCGAGAATTCCACAATCCTCGTTCAATATACCAAATGTAAAGCATGTATTGCAGATCTTCTCATTCAGTGGTTCACATTGGAGACCATGTTGTTGGCAAAACTACAGGAATAAGGAGTGATTAACGAAATGTTGGTAGTACTGGGTGCAGATCATCGCTTTCCGGATCAGATCGACTTGTGGAAACAAACGATGCAGGAAATTGCGTGATCAAGGGACGCTTGCAAATAGCTCCATTTCATGACAATATGCAGAATGTGTAACTTGTTTCGATGCATACCTTGCAAGCAGGATTGAGATCGCCAGCTTTGAGCATCGAGAAAGGAGGCCACGATGCAAGAAATGTACAGCCGTTAAACGTTTTTCGCAGCTTGATGTATCAATCTATCAAACGTTCGGAGGCTCCAAGAATTGTTTGCGTTCGTTGTAGTGCCCCGCTACGCCATCTATGACTGCCTCGGACGGGAGGTGACGATGCGTCAGTAGCCTGTTTGATTATGACTCTAGTCAACGGATCTGCAATCGTGGCTTCGGTTTGACCGGGTACGGCTTTGCCTAAATCCAAGTCGGATAGATCGTAGGAATTCGCACTAGAACAAAACGACCGGTCCAGGAGACCCAACGAGACTCATGCTGCATATAATATGTGTGTGATCGTTCGACTGTTCGATTCGCTCGATGTAGCATCATGCATCATAATTTGCCGAATTTTGGTCTGATATCACACAGTCCACCTTTTATCCGATTAATTGGCCAGGATAATACGATCCAAGGTAAGATCATCAGCTCTGGTACATGATTGTGACTTTATCTAGACGGTTGACCCGTCGCAATACACGTTTGTTGCTTGTTGCACGTTTGTCTCAACTTTTTTCCAGTTTGTACGCAAACCGCATTCCAGCACAAATCTCCTGCGAAGAACGGCCATGTTGAGCCAAACATCGATATTTATTTATAATTGCAATGATCCCTGTGTCGTTTATTGTGTACAAAAGCTGCCTGCTGTGCCATGAACATCCAATTTTCAGCGTTGTGGCCGGTGGTCGATCGAGATTAAAGAATTCACAAAGAGCCTGCTTGACTCATTGACTCATTGATCAACATCCAGACGCCAGCCACCTTGCCAGAACTGCTATTCGATCTATTGTGGAGTGTTGCTCCATTTTAAAAACCTGACGCATCGTGTGTGTGTTCCAGGGCCTAGACCTGTATACCTAGAAGCAAGCCGGTGAGTTGGATTGTGTTGAAGAACAGCGATATAGATGTTGATATGGATTCTTTACGCTGAGCATAATGCATTATGCATTATTATGCCGGTTTCATCATGCAGCGCATAGGACGATAGGGTCTAATTGATGTCCATATGGCAGTTTTTCGGAGGCATGAATGTTGAACATTTTGAGCATACTAGACTGAATCGTTCATCATGTAACAGCTTTAGTATATTTTCCAGAACACATTTGCCAGGTACCTTTCATATTCTATTTGATTCAGATTGTGCTCTCTTAGAGAATACTATTGTTGCTTGCGAGCATTAACCCGTCTAAACAGAATGACTGAGATGAAGGAGATGGACGACACTATTAGCCTATTGGAAATTTGTATTATTTATGATCATTCCCATGGCGGCGATATCGATAGAGTTACGATCCAAAAGTGTCTGGCCATTGTCACAGCAGCTACAGCCTTTACATTGTGTTGCTTCCTCTCTCACCATGGCTCTACTTACATGTCATTGAATGCCTTATTCGAAAACGCGGATATTTCAGTCGACTCGGCTGGTATCGATGCCATCACTAACTCATCATCAGCAACATTTCCATTTGCAACATGTGCACCACGAACAATTAATTGGTCGCAATCGAATTTTACTTTGAAATGGGATGAGCTAGAGAGATTGCACGAGTATCAGAATGTATCTCGGAACCTATCTGTAGTAGCTAGTGCTGACCTGGCAGTACGAGTAACGAAGTCAGTTACTACTGATCCCAACAACGACGTATCCCACTGGCTATCTCCTGTATTATTTCACCCAATGCCAAACTATGCACTCTATGCTACGGGTGCACGTATAATTCCATCGTTGACGTCTGCATCGTACTCAACCACACCCAGATCGTCGCTCTTGTCTGCCTTGTATCGACTAGTAAATATCGTTATATATCCAGGAAGGCCGCCACGTGTAGCAATAGACTCTCATCTAGAAGCTGGGAACTGCTGGGCAATGGCCATGAATACGGATGTCGACGCGACTGCTGAAAGGTCTATAGGAATTCGTTTGTCTCGAGCCATACATCCAAAATATATTACTGTATATCATCTCACAAAGGCTATAGCTTTCTCAGATACCACAGATACACGTAATGTTGGTCTAGGAATGGGATCAGCTGTAAGAAGCTTTCAAATCAAGGTTGGAGCCGAGCAACGATTTAATGAAGATTCTGCTGATGATTTGGTGTGGGTGGGAGACTTTGAATATGATGGTTCTGTTGGTGGAGATCAATTCTTCCCGCTGTTGACATCTAGATTTGTATTGCAACCTATAAATATCGTCAAGCTGGTTGTCAAGAGTAATCACGGGGCTGATCATGCTTGTATATACCAAATTGGTGTACATGGCATCGAGCCTGTAACATAGCTGTCGTATTGTCATCTATCTCATAAGTACATGGTATTACGCCATTGTAACAAAGTTGTAGGCGGTACCATTGTAGATTCAAAGCAATCATGCTATAATTATATTGCTGTATCAGCACAAATACACTATTCAAACCAAGAAGAACTACCATCATTCACACTTTCAACGAGATGCCCTTGTTTCATTCTCATGCAGACCGAACTCTTCAAAGTCAGTTGTATCTGGTCTTCCAGCTGCAACCCACATCTTCTTGTTAGATATATCCATAACGATCGAAAAGACACTTTCCATTTTATTTATTGCAGGTCTCGCTGGATTTGGCCTTACGCAAATGCTAAAAAAAACAGTCAATCTTTTGAGGAGTATCAAATTAATTCATGTGGGACATATCTCTGCATCGCACCTGAAATGTCCTTCAGAAGTGTCTCGTAACAATTTTTGAGCAGAGTTGGCGTCCATATCGCCCGCTGCCTGAATGATGGACTTTGCCTTTTCATAACGAGGCACTGTGTTTGATAATGGGCTGTCTTTTGCAATGGCTTCTATGGTACCTGATGTCTTGCCTAGCAGATGATTCGTGTGCACTACGGACAAATCACCCATTGGTGTCACAAACTCGGCACCAGCTGGCGTCATCTCAGCACTTCGTTTTAACAATGTAAGTATCTGATGTGTGTTGCAGTAAATTTGTTCAGTCTCACCACAAGAAGCTAGTAGCATCAGCGACAGTTATGCATGAGGACGCACCTCCAGATGTATGCCGACTCAAATATTTTCTGGCTTCTGCGACACTCTGACGTTGCAAGATGGCACGTAGGGCAATGTGCACTGGCAAACCAGGTCCTGATGCTCCATCCATTGTAGTGGACAGGATATTGAGCGTTACACCTAAATACTTCAAAGTGTTGGCAAACAGACCCAGAACCAGAAAAACAATGCGACAATATGAAAATACAGTATTAAGAACGATGATTTCCATACCTAAAGACTTGTTCATCCCAGTCTTCACGAGCATCCCAGCTTCTGCCACACATATGACTTCTGGTTCCTTGCCGTGAGGTAGGACGCGAAGCATGATGCACTGGTTACGTTGCTCTAAATACATCCAATTCAATGGTCAAGATCACTGTTATGTTTCCCTCGAAAGGTCAACTTAAACATCTCGGGTCATAGCACTAACCTCCAAACCAGTCCCAGTTTTGAGCTAGAATGGTGGGTTTACCAATTGTAGCAAATGCGGTGCATTCCATTGCGAATTCCATGGCAATAAGACCTTTGGATTTGTTCTTCTCCAATGCTTGTTGAGAGTTTGGATGCCGTGTTGCACTCGTCCCAACACCAGCCAATAACTCAGTTCTTACATTCAGAGCCAGGATGCTCTCAAATGGTTGATTAGAGCCGGCTGCGATTCCTTTTATTTCGTCAAGGAGGTCGGGAGAGAACTTTTGTATGACTGGTATGTACGTCGTAGCCTTCAGCATAGCTTCCTCCCAATTCAGACCACACTTGACAGAGAACAGGGTGGCATCTGGTTGATGAATGTGGTCTTAGTGACATACCGAATTGTACGAAGGAAGATCTGGGTACGACTTACAAAACATGATGCACTTTGATATGAGTTCCGGAACTTGAGCTCCATACTGTCTTCCTCGCTCAAAAGGAGGACCAGATACTTCCACATACGGAAACATTTCATCCAACCAGGTCAGCGAAGCCGCGTTGCAAGTGAGTCCGATCGTGGTTTTGGTCTTACGGTGTTGATGTAGATCTGATGTACTCAATTTGAAGACTTGTAAGTAATCGACATGGTGAAAGATCACGTCCACGAACTTTGATAAAATTCGATTAGCTCCGGGAAGCGTCGTCATTTATCCTGATCATTTGTTTCGGTTCCACCACACAAACAACACAACTTCCGTGCTCTCTTTGATTTACTTAAAAGTCTACATAAGGTAAGGCTCTCCCTCCGACTCCCTGCAAGAATAAATAGGAGCTCTCACCTTCTAACTGGTAGTTTCCTAGCTAAATTCGTGGCCTTTTGTCAGCAAAGCTGAAACCCACTGTCAAATTTCAATCGCACTATTGGTTGCGGATAGTCTATAGACAATCTGATACCTCACACTCGTCTTAATCTGAGCGCTTGCGGTTATGGCTGCAGCTTGGCAAAACTTGTAAGCTTGACATCAGTATTGAAACAAGTTGGAGTGGATCACATTCAGAATCATTGAGAGGACAGTAGCTGGCTATCCACTACAACAGCTTCTCTAGTTCTCTGATTGTGAACAGAATGCTTTCTATCTATGAGCTTTAGCCTCTTTTGCTTGGCAGATGATTTGTACTGAATCCCTCGCACCTCCAATTCTCGCTGACACATTTTACCCATAGTGTCGTTGATTGCAGATGCTATTGCTGTGAATCCGGTCAAACATGTATACCGACGTACGCTGGATCTTTCAACTCAAACAATACCTGCAGCCCTCAAACATGTAATACGATGCTGCCCATGGACTGTCCCCTAGACGGATTCATAGTATCTGAACATGTATACAGCGACGGAAAACCTCATTATTTTTATGGAGCTCTCGCCATAATATTCCTTGCACTACTGGTGATATGGGTGTCGGCCAGCCTGAAATCTCTAAATCAAAACCTGTATTCTGAAGCATATAGGAGTCGTTATATACAATTAACCAGCTTGAGACGCCAAAATGAGGATGACAATGAGCCATTACCGCCTTATGAAGGCCCGAAAGACCTTGAAGAAGGAGGAGGAGGAGACGTGCCTCCAGAGGTCATATTCGCTATCGATGGAGATGTCGATAGTGATCTTGAGGACGACCGCCCACACTACGAAGACGCGCAACGACAAGATGATGTCGTTGTTGCAGAAGAAGAAGAACAACCGTTAAACAGGCCTCAACGTAATTAAGTTTGTAGTCAGTTTTGTATCATATATATCACAACTCTAGCTCTCGATTTTAGGACTCGCGATCTTTGTTGTTGCGATGAATCTCGATACAGACTCAGAAGAAGAGTATGAGGAAGAAGAGCTATATAGAGTGTACAACCGGGAATGGGAAGGTTGGCGAACTGAAATTACCCCATTTGCACCAACATTAACGAAACGAGGATCAGTCCAATATGATGACACCCAGTCTGATATATACGACCTTGAAATCAAACCTAGAACTACTGTGTTAGATCACGAAGGCTCTTCCGACCGTCTCATCGATGGGACTCAGTGAGACCATTGGCAGCATTGAATGGAAACGTTTACTAAATTGTTGTTTTGTAGGCTACAAGCAGCAGTACAGCAAACTAAACCTACTCCAAATTATGCTATTCTTAGAACTGGACGAGGCTTACCGTACGCTCGATCTTTCAGAATCGTCTAAGCTCGTGCAAAGACCTTGACAAAAAAATCACGCCCTTGTATAGGTACATGTTCTGTAGTAATCCAGCCTATACCGCACATTTCGAATGTGCAAACTCGATATCTTTGGGTCCTGAACTAGCCATGAAAATTGTCAACCGTGGTGAAGAGACACGAGTGATATACGCTCAACAACCAATGAGCAATTTTTTCCGTTATTCTTTACTGGGACCCTCTAAAGAATCGCTCAGTGACTTGAGGCGATTTATCAAGTATCGGCCTAAAACTTATTTCATGGCAAGTCGGTGTTGCATATGTGGTTTTTGTGTTCAAAATTTCAATATGATAATCAATACATCAAAAGGATCCGGAGACTCCACCGTCTGAAGATATCCAATATCTGCTCTCGAATAACGGGACTCTTCTGTGCATTGATTCGGCATACGGCTATATAGCACGAGGCACGGACACTGGTCAACTGGAAGTACTCTGCACGGTCGGAGAGCCTCACTGGATAATTGTACATCGATTTGGTATCTTGAGTATGGTAAACAGCGTCCAGATCATTCGACGTTTAGATGATGACGATGACCGAAGCAAGGACGAAGTTTACCTTGTGGTGTCGCTAAATTCATCTGCTGTAACAAGTAAGAATGAACTAATGAGTACGCAACTTTTAGCACGATGCCCTTATTCTCATCGTTTGTTTGTAGTCATTCCGCTACAGAGGCATTCGGAACATAGAGGCCCCACAGTTCCACTTGTCACCAGACAGAAAGTGGTTCCAAAGGACAGAATACCTATAAATGACTCTAAAATCAGCCCATGTGGACGATTTTTGGCCTCGGTTGGAGATCATGGCTCTATATGGTGCGCTCCTATTCTTCAGAAGAGCAGCACGACGTCTGACGCTGCCGATGACCTAGAGGACGAAGACGTGGATGTTGATATCGAAACATTCGAAGATGGTGACGAAGGTGATGAATGGATGGATGTGGATGATGAGGGAGGTGAAGAAAGTCAAGGGTTTGAGCCTGGATCCCTGGATGATGCATCTTGGCGTGTAGGGGATATGAAAAGGATTGACATCAGTGAGTATATTGGCCTGGAGCTCCTTTGAATTTTCCCTCAACGTATTGCTCGTTTTAGAGAAAGACGTGCCTGGAGACCTCAGACGATTTTCGTCTCAATATGTATCTTGGGCTGCTGATTCTTCGGTCTTTGCATGTTCATCAAACAGCCATGCATTTGTTTTGATCTGTGATCCAAGACGACAGTGTGTCGTTCTCAAGATTGATTGTGCTGGTAAGTCAATTATATGTTTGAAGGTCTGTGGTCATTCTCTAACATCCCGACTCTCCTGGTGTTTCTCAGCTCCAACATTCGCCGTCGCATTCCATCCCTCAAGGCCCAATATTTTGGCCGTCATTCTTCAGCATTTGGTCTTGTATGTATTTGACATTGAACCTGCTTTGGCAAATCAGGGCCCAGTGTCTACTCAGATAGTACCAATCTCGTATCGCTCGCATAAGAGTGAGGTTGATGAATCGGGAGAAATCAGACGTGAAGACACAGATCGAGTATGTGAAAAGTTGACCGGATTGGTTTGGGCTTGTGATGGAAGTGCACTTTATGTCGGTAGGCAATTGTGTGGCCGGAATCTGCTTATGCGCCTTTGTGCACGATATGTGAGACTAACCTTTACTGCAAATAGGGACACGATGGGCAACGCTGTATTATCCATGTGTCGAAGTGCCTTCACTGAAAGACCTGTGCATCAAAAGGATCTATCACAGTAAAAGAGGCGAAGAACAGGACGAGAGCAAGCGACGGAAGCATTTCAATGAGCTGGAATGGTATTACATTTCACAGCATTTGGATTCAAAGCGCTGGTATTGACAAGGGATACGAACTCATGAAAACCTCGCTGTAAATTTTTTATACCTATTACATATTCCTCAAATACACTATCAATTCCACTTATATTCACAGAAATATTACGCGATGGTTTATTGTAGCTAACAGAAGTCAAGAAGAGTTTGCCTCAAACAAGATAGGTTACAGTGAACAGGGAGGAACTGGCCCAAAATGAAGTTTAGCAAGCAGCTCTCTCTTCGGTCTATTTCTGACTGGGCTCCGCATTACATAGACTATAGGTAATCTCACAATCGCAAAGCTTGTTTCACGGCGGAAGCTAACATTGATCGAATCGCATTCACAACACCTTTAACTTATTCCTTTAACTTGACTAGACGCCTCAAACGAATCATAGAAGGAGATCTAGTTGACCAACTCAGTAAAGGTTGGAACGCATCGGCATACATTACAAGCTTAAAGCATTAAAGCAAAAACACACACATTAGACAAAACCGATGAAGGAGTCGACTTGATTACCCAAATCCAAGAATCTTTTCGGAATGAACTAGACAAGGAATGCGTCAAAGTCAATACCTGGTATTTGGATCATCAACATCAAGCAGAAACAAGCTTGAAGCTCTTGACGGAAGCTTGGGATGACGAGATGCCAAAGTCGGATCAGGAGGGGTGGATGGAAGATATGGCAAAGCTGATTTCAGAGCTTGAAAATCTGGTGCGTGGGGGAGTTTGTTTGGGGTTTGGGTGAAACACCGTGGTTCTTATCGATTTGTCGCAATTCTTTAGAATGAGTTTGTAAACACCAACCTTGAGGTGAGTGCCTTTGCAATTGCCCTACTCGATATTCATTAACGTTTTTTTGGTATCGCGTGTTAGGGATTTAAAAAAATTCTCAAGGTATTTTGCACAATCGCAGTGATGACCCGGCAACCTCCTTGAACACCGACTCAGACCAATTCTTCTGTCAGAAATTCGACAAGCATATGAAAAGAAGCGATACAATGGTATTCTGGCCAACGGTGGGGACGTATGGGTTTGTAAGTTGCAAGCAGCGAAACGTCTCTCTGTTACAGTCAGGGCGTTCAACTTGATTTGCGTCTTTAGGCCAAATCGGAAATGGATGAATTGCTCTTATCGCAAGCTCAACAAGTAAGACAAAAAAACCTGCTGGTACCGAGTGATCATGCACTAGACTCAAAACCTCCTTCTATTTGTCGCAACCACTAGCAATGGCGAAAACACATACCAACAATGCCTCTGGAACCAACTGACACACTCGTCATTGTCGAATCTGTAAGCTACATAACAATAGTGAAGCACGACGTGGAACACAATCATTTCAAGTCACGAAAGTGTGATGATATTTTTTCATCTCATCACTAGGACGTACCAACTACTCCAGTACTCGATTTGGATGTTCTACCAGCTGGAAAAGTATCCTATCTCTGGATAACACTTGGCGAAGACGGATTGGGTAAGACGTACTGTGTACCTAACAGGTCCTCCCGTGATATTAGCATGTTTACATACCGCCGCTTATTATCAGGACAACCACATAAAGTGCCTGTTATTGTTGCAAAAGGCATGAAAGCTGGACCTGTTGTTGGAATGACTGCTGCATTGGTATAGAGTGCTGAAACGCATCGGTTGTTCTTTGGCTTGTTGTGACTCCTTTTGTTACATTCTCCTAGCACGGAAACGAGTTGAATGGCATACCAATTATACATCGATTATTTCGTGAAATCAACGTTAAACAGTTGTGTGGTACTGTTGTCGCTGTAGTTGTGGCAAAGTATGTCATGGTCATATTCAAGGTCATTTTTCCCTCCTTTAAAGCTTTTTTTCAATGTTGCACACACTCTGGCCTCTGACAATCCCGATCAACGTGAAATAGCACACCTGGTTTCTTACGTGGCCAACGTCATTTCTCAGAAGGCACAGATTTGAATCGAGTGATGCCTGGCAAGAAGAATGGATCATCGCCACAAGTTTACGCATTCAATCTCATGGGTAAAACGCCTCCACACAATAAGAATTTGGTGATATTTGTCAAGCTCAAATCACTTTTTACTGATACTTGCTAAACTGGTGTTTTAGAAAAAGTCATATCAAAATTTGAATGGCTGATTGATTTACATACTGCTTCAAAAGGGCGAGTCAATTCTTTATATTGCCGTGCTAATATGCTTGACACAAAGACACGCAAAATGGCGAGTTTGCAAAATCCTCAAATCATCGTCCACAACACTTCTCCTGATGGGTCATTGAGAGGTGCTGCTATGGACTTGGGTAATCAATACGCTTTCGATTCTTTTTTAGTGCAGTAAGTTCATGAAAGTTCATGTAGGAATTGCTGCCATTACTGTCGAAATCGGTGATCCAAGTCGATTCCAAAAGCGATTCGTCAAGAATGCTTTACTGGGAGTCTCCAACATATTGGCACACTTGCAAATGATTCCTTTGGAGCCGGATTTACCAGAATATCATCCGGTGGTTTGCTCCAAAAGTTATTGGATATTTGCTGACAGGGGAGGAATCTTGACGGTTTTGCCAGAGATTACAACGTATGCACAGGGTGTTGTTGTTGGTTTTTTTGTGTGGTAATACATTTGACTGGTTTGCTTGTTTCACCAACTCTGTCCAACTGTTATTAGGTGGGTCAAGAAGGGTGAACCTATTGCTCACATACATTCGTTATTTGGCGCCCTGATTCATACATACTGTGCATCCGAAGATGGTATCATTGTTGGTATGTAGAATTGGATTTGCTTTTATGGGAAGAGGTTGCATTAAAACCGGGCTTTTCTTTTGCTTTAGGAAAATCCGTTGACCCAGTATGCGAAAGTGGTAGTCGAATCCTTCACTTGGGTGTCGTTGAAGGAAACTTTGCTTCAGGTACTATTTTCGGGCCTTGCAGTCGGCAAAAAAGCGCTTGTTGCAGTTGCAGGTTGCTCATTCGCAACCGTCTTGAATATAGTTGTTCACGATGGACATCTCTGAACTTTGACAAATCCTGTATACCTTGGCCTCGAAGATCTGACTGTTGTCTTGTTACTCTGCTCATCATTTTCTTATCCCATATATATTGTCGATCCGAAATACATAACTTTATCAACAAAAACTCCCCCAAACAGAGCACTCCAAAAGAAATTATTGTTTACTGCGACGTGCCAATCCAGCAACCAAGTCCTGTAATGATCCAGATGGTGATTTTCTGCCAGTACTACTCAACATTCCACTAAGATTCTCACTCGACGAACTGCCATCCTGACGTCCTCCCTCCTGTTTCCTTGCCGATTCAGAACGTGACCGATGTAGTGACGAAAAAGCATTTGCCAATGGCGACGGTGTATTCGTCGATGAACTAGTCGACGTTGTCGAATTTGTATTGTTCGAATGTGTGGACGGTGGCGTATCAGTACTCGCTCTCCCACTCGTCGGGTTTCTAGCACTCCCCGATAAATTCTTACTGCTCCATCTCCTTGAAATACTTCGTGCGAGCGCTGACGTATAATCTCTGGTCTCAACCGAAGAGCGAGCTGCTGCCGCAGCACCAGTGGTATCATCTGAAACTGTGTCTTGCGATTCGTTTTCGCTGGACATGGCGAGGAGTTCTCCAATGTCGGATGCAGGTGCGTCCATGTGTGTGAGTAGTTCGAGAGCGTCTTGGATGTCGTGCAGCCAGTTTGAGCGGGCTTCGGGTGTTTCGGTAAAGAAGAGGTGGTCGCTGCCTTCGTAGTGGAGAGAGAATGTTGGGCTGAGAAGTGTGTCCTCTCCTAGATTGGTTTAAAAGGGGTGAGATTCGTGAAATATGGACGAGTGGCAAAAACTGATCGATTTGAGAGGAATGAATGTCACACTTTCAGGCAATCTTTTACAGCACACTTACTCTTATTTGTTCCAGCAATCGATGATGACATAGACGATGACATATCACCATCTTTCCGCTGAAGCACGAGATTCGAGTCACAAAGCTGTATCACGACCATTGAATTCCTTCCCTTCTCCGTTATCCACAGCTGGTCGACGAAAAGGTACACGTATGCTGGTTCAGGTTTCTTGGCCTTCTTCCACAAAAGTGATTGAATCAACATGTCACCCTCTGTAACGTATTTAGCTCCAAGATCCTGATTTGGAATACCTTAGCCAGGAATTTCGAGCAGCAAAAAAATGACCGACTGTTCTCGGAATTCAAGACGAACCTTGAGTGATGACTTGGCCTTATTCTTAGACACTAACGTCTCAATCCTATCCCTCGAATGATGAAACTTTTTGGCTCGATTTATTATGGTGGCTGATTCTCGGATTTGGAGTTGTGCTAGTTTGAGATTCACGAGATCAGGATGGTCCCACCATGTGTTTTTGATTAGCTCCTAGAACGCAATGCCAAAAAAGCTCGGGTTAGCATTCGCCACTGGATGTCAATTGGAGTATCTTAACTGACTTACTTTGAGCAAGAGCTCATATCTAGGTATCCTCTGAATCGGCATTATGAGGTACGACGGTAGATCAAGTTTATGAAGCACTTTCATTCCACCGGCCATATCCAAGAATGCTTCGAACTCTTTCAGTTTCACACACCGTTCTGGCAAAAAAGAAACAGACTATGTCAGCAAATGTCCTCAAACTTACCAAGAATGTCGCCGATCTTCTTACCCAAAGTCTCTCTCGAAGTCTCATAATTGTTACAGTAAGGAATATATACAGACAACCAAGCTGCCATTTGTAAGAAGGGCTCTGATATTAAAGAAGTCTCTGACCAGGATGTAATAATTGGTCTCAACTCTGCGAGGAACTGGGTGTGATGGGTGTGTATCTCTTCAATGTTTGCGAATATAGCATCGATTTCGTGTTTTCCTGACGTTGAAATGAGTTAGCTTCCACGTGCGAAAACGTACCAATAGAATTCAAAGATGGGACATACCTATCGACACCTTTCGATCATCAGATGACAGAAACAAAGCTCTCATTGGTTTTAAGAACACCTTGACAGCCATATTGAGATTCTGGAGATACGATTCCTCGGTTGCGAATATTTCCTGCACAATTTGTGTTCGTGCAAATTGGAGTTTTGTCAGGGCTGCTTGCCTATGCGTATCAGATTGATTAGCGTCATTTTGAGTATTCTATCGGTTGTTTTTGCTTGCTGCTGTGAAAGCAGCAAATAAAACCTCACGACTCACAATTTCTTTTGCCTGAATTTCCTAAACATCCTCTGTATCCTTATTGAAGATTGAATCATGTTTGGAGCTACTCGTCTCACTGTTTCCTCTGTCCGTGACCTCTCCTTGGTCACCACTTCCAACGACCGCTACATGGAGCAAAAAAGGAGCCTATAAGTTGCCGGTATGACTAAATGCCAAACCAGGCTTTGGTCCTTACCTCAGAAGCCTGAGATTTTACCCTCTTCAATTCACTCTGTCTCTTCAAAGTTGATTTACTCCCAGCCCTCCTCAATTCACCATCATTTAACACCAATTCCAAAGATAAGGGTGTAAGCGGGCTATCTAGTCTGTCCACGACGGTAGACGTATATGCCTTGTCGACAGGCGATGAGGATGCATGCCGAGAATCCAGTATCGATCCCTTATTGGACGCAGATACCAGAGGCGAAGTGATTTTGGGAGATGAGGGGGACTTGAGTGTGGAATCCGAGTTTATAGTACTGCCCAAATACGAGCGTTCGACAGATGTGGATGGTGACGTTGGTGTTAACGAGAGAGGTATAATGGGAAGTTGATACGCTCCAGCACTTTGTGGAGATTCCTGGAGACAAATACGATTTAAAAAGGGAAGATGAACCTCGAAGGTCACATGTTTAGCTTTTTGGGTCTCTCACTTACCTCCATAGTGGCTATAAAGTGCGCAACTTGCGATTGGTTTCACTTTTCTTTTTGAGTTTGTTAGTGGGGTGGTCTGGATGAAAATTTCCGACGGTGACATAGCGTTTTAAGAAGTGCAAATAAATGAGAATCGCGTCTTGCTTTCTGACTAGCTGCGGGTTTCGACCTTGCTTGCATCACACTAAATCTATTTCTCACTCTCAACAAAGTAGAAACTTGAAAGAACTGGATTGTGTTTTACAAAGAAAATCGTGTCCAAATGAACTCAAAATGATTTAGATCGATGGATCTTACGCGACATTCAATGCTTTGTTGATGCCTCTCTTCATCCATTTCAAAGTCATACAACTACAAAAAAAACTTTGTGAAGATGACAGTAGCCGCAAACATGTCGATTAATGTAGGCCTAATAGGTAGCGGACTCGTAGGCACAGCTCTCCTCGAACAACTAGCATCTCACGGCTCTCCCAAAATCAACATCATCGCAATACTATCCACATCTAAACTAATACTTCACACTCCTACACCATCAACACCCGGTCTAGACTTGTCGAACTGGAAGAAGCAACTCCCAAAAGCCAAACCAGCAGATTTACACATCTTTGAAGAACATCTGGCTCGTAATGGGCCCAGTTGTATCGTGGATTGCACTGCAAGTGCCGACATTGCGTCAAAATATGTCGGGTGGATGAAGAGGAACATTCATGTTGTCACGCCCAACAAGAAGGCATTCTCCGGTGATTTTAAGGTCTGGAAGGAGATTAGAAGTATACACGTGTCTGGGAAGGCATTGTGTTTTCATGAAGCTACAGTTGGGTGAGTTTGACAGGAAAGACCTACTCCAAAGTGTCATATTGTTTGAAAGGCAACAAGCATCTCATGACATACTTTATACATTAGTGCTGGTCTACCAATCCTATCCACTCTATACGACATGATTGCAACAGGCGATGAAGTCGTGAAAGTCGAAGGCATATTCTCAGGAACACTATCATACATCTTCAACAACTTTTCATCCACATCCTCAGCCTCATCATCCACATTCTCACAAATCGTAAAAGGTGCCAAAGAGCTAGGATACACTGAACCAGACCCGCGTGACGATCTCAACGGAATGGATATGGCCAGAAAAGTAGTCATATTAGGACGTATAGCTGGCTTGAATTTGTCGCTAGAGACTCTTGATGTGGAGAATATTGTACCTACTGAATTACGATCGTGCCCTACCGCAGATGAGTTTATGAGTAAATTGCCTGGTTCGGATGATCATTTTAGAGCGTTGAATTATTTGGCGAGGGCTGGTGGTGAGGTGTTGAGATATGTGGGGGTTGTGGATCCGAAGGGAGCTAGTTCTGTCAAGTTGATGAGGTGAGTGTTGCTTGTTTTGTTGACGAGAGTTGTATGGAATAAAAACAACCTGTACTAACACTAAGGCATAGATATCCAGCCTCACACCCGTTTGCCGGCATGAAGGGCAGTGACAATGTTATTGCTATTACTACCCAAAGATTCCCAAATCCACTCATCATACAAGGTGCAGGTGCTGGTGATGCTGTCACCGCTTTTGGAGTGTTTAGTGATCTGCTCAAAGTCTGGAGCAGTGTCGCAAAGTAGAAAACATTATCAAGACAGTGTTGTGATGCAAAGTAGAGTTGGTATTATAAGTTAGTTGGAAGATAATATACAAAGGTATTAGAATGGCCACCAGGAGCTCCTTGTTATCGGCTTATTCTTCTTTTCAGCATCCAGCCGTTCCTTTTCCAGAGCTAGAGACTTCCATTGATCAACTTCACGTTGCAGTTGAGATAGACGTTCTTCTTCCTTGTTGCGGTATTCTGATAGACAAAGTCAGCTTGCTTTGCACATCCATCTAACTACAAAGAAACGCAACCAACCTTCAAAGTCAAGCCGTATCCACGCATACTGAGCTCCAATAAAGGTCAATGAAGTCCATACAAGAGCAGATGCAATAGGTCGTCCAAATCTGTCATGAAAAGACAATGCCTTTGGTGGTGCACCAAATGGCTCTGTAGACGACGTTGTGGATGACTGTCTTGTAGCGTGATTTTTCATGATGCGAGCGTATATGAATGCTCTTTTCCCTATAGCCGTCATTGCCGTGTTTGTCCAATAAGCACGATTCTACATGTTAGAAAAGACAAACGCTTAGCTTCAAGGATGGACAAGCTCAATTACTATGGCGACGCGGACGAAGATGACAGTGATAGAGACTCGTTACCTGATTCTAGCCGTAAACGTCGCAACAAGTCCACGCAAAACAAGGGCAAGAAACGAGCTAAAAACAACGAGGACGAGGAATTGCTGGTTTTCGGATACGAAGCACATTTATTTCGTGATGATGATGTAGCTGCTAGTATAGAAACTGATCGACTTCAGAAGTGGAAGAATCGGGGTGATCTCATGGATAGGTAACGAAAAGAGATCACAAACAAATTTCGACCATTTGAAAATGATGCCAATGTGAGCTCAGCTTTGAAGGATGGAGCCAATTAGAATTCAAGAATGAATTACTTTGAAACCAGATTACGTTCTGACTCGTCGAATTAATGAACGGTTGCAACAGAGAAACCACATGTACTTACTACGATTTGATGCAGCCCTACGTACTTTTGTTTCCGTTTTGCTTCACTTCATACGTAACTAACTGGGACTCTTTGTTTAGGTTCGACGTTCGGCATTTAATCGATAACGAGCGAGATCTGGACGGTGGTGATTATATACCTCTCTCACCTAAAGCTAGAGATGAAGAAGCTCTCGCTGAAGAAGAGAGATGGACGGATCTTCCTGTTGAAGAAGACGAAGAAGGAGAGAGCGATGAAGGAGAAGGTGGTCGTGAAGGTATGCCAAAAAGAAGTGCTCTTAAGTTCGATACATTGTCTATTATTTGACTCAAACGCAAGATTCCCCGCTGGACACATCGTCCATTGTCTGACTCAAACCACTCTTGTCTCTTAGGCAACAACATCAAATCAAAGTACCCTGCTCCCCAATACATTCCGCCACCTCCTTTAGAAGAACCCATACAACCTCCACCGCCCCCACCTCCTCCAGACGGAACAATAGTGAAACTAAAAGTACCAGCCAAACAAGGCATGCTTCCTCCACCAACTCAACAACTCGCAGATATAATAGAAAAGACAGCCAAAATCGTACATGACAGTGGTAAACCACAGCTCGAAATCGTTATAAAGACTCGGCAAGCTGGACGTCCAGAGTTTGGGTTTATGGAGAGTGGACATTACTTGTTCCCGTATTACACGCATGTCAAGAATATGATGAAGTTGGGGCTTGCTGGGTATACTTCTGATGATGAGGACGAAGAAGAGGAGGAAGAAACGAACGAGGATGATAAAGCTGTGAATGAGAGTAAAGAGGAGGCTAATGTAGATGGACAAGAGCAACAGCGAGACACAACACCTGCTGCAACTGAATACGTAGATCTAGAAGCACATCAACAATCGCAAGTAGAAGATGCCATTATAATGGACGTATTGGAAAAGACTGCTAATGCAGTAGCGCGAAATCCAGAGCTTGAATCGCTGCTGAAGCAAAAAAATGCAGGTGATTCGAGGTTTGCATTCTTGTTACCATGGTCGTCACTCAATCCTATATATGCTGCGAGGGTGAAACAGTTGCGAGAGTGGTATGCTAGTATGTAATATATAATATAGTGTAAAGTACAATGTACCAAGCTGCGTGTGGAGTCGTGTGTAATCACCATGTGTTGTGTGTTGACACGTCGTTTTCAAGCCTGTTTATCAGCAATTTGTAGCTATTGACGCGTAGAGACCAAGTTCTAGTATGCGATATCTGCGATAGTGCCCTCGTTCCCCGATACTGGACGGTTGAAATTCTTTCATGAAGTGCGGCTACTCCACTTGGGTTGAGAATTAAAGTTACAGCGAAAATATACGAACGCATCGCAGACTCCGTAGTATTTATCGCATTTGCAGCAACTATTCTAGCGTGTTTATCGTCTCCTTTGTCTACAGAAACGTCTCTGATCACTCTCATCACGCAAACAAACACCTATCATTGAGCTCGATACATCTCCAACTAACAGGAATTGAGAAACTACAGAGAAAAAGACATTTCCCTGTACAGTTGTCATTATATTTATTGAGACCTAGCGCCAAGGTACGTCAAGGACAGCATCGTAATATGAAGCTTATGAAATTCTCATTGACTGCTTGAGATCTTCCTCGCTTGACGAAATCACGTATCTTCCGGACAAAGAAACTGACAGATACCAATATGATCATAGGAACTAGGGAACTAGGCTATTTAAAATCATTCACTCCATCAGAGTGATTGCTTGCCTATAATATAACCACACGTCTCAAACACCTCATCACATCACGAATCCCTCAACATCACACCGGTGATCGTTTGTCCTTGTAAATCCATCTTTAAATAAGTAGATACTCACGCAAAATATCTCAACAAACTCCCACAATCAACATCAACGAGGAACGAGAATCATGGTCAAGCACAGCTCAACTGCCACCACCACAACGCTCACACCAAGACCATCAAAGACAACAGCAACAAACTCGGTCTCAGAACTCGTAAGAAGCATATCAGAAAACCTCGCTTCCCACAACCACATTGTCATCTTTGCAGACATGGATGTCTTCCAAGTCATTGCGAAAAAGAATCCAACTACTGGCAAGGTCGAATATACACAAGCAATTGATACCAGTAGTAACAGTAGCGATATGATGCCTCCTCCTCCACCATTGACGAAAGCATCACCACCTCGCCACACTCATACTGTCGGTAGCGGCAACAACGGGAGTGGGAAGAAGGGATCAGCTCGGAGGAGAACTGTATCTACATCATCATCAGCTTCATCTGCAGCAACTACTATTGAATACGATGATTGTGATCATGATGATGAGGACGAATATGACTTGAATGGGTGTGATGATGGTAAAGCTAGTAGCACTGGACGGACCAAGGATGCCAAAAAGACTCATCAGCAACCAGCAGTATCATCTGCTTCTCAACCACTCAAAGACTTTTTGGGATTCTTGATGAAGATATTCAAGTCTCATGATGATACTACCACTGTTATTGTGAGATCCTTTGTACGTGAAGTCAGACATGGTTATGTGTCCAGTGGTGTTGTTGAATGTCGTGAAGGTATGCTTTACGAGTTACGTGTTAATGGGGAGGTCGTTTTGTTCTTACATTGCAACCATAACAGACCCATGTGTATGCACCAAAGGCGACGAATGCCACTTGGACCGCGTCCACGAAATCAGAGGATACAGTATTCACAGCCAAGGTGGCAAAAGATCTGAATCTACTCAATGCCAGCCAATGTCCCAAGACGATTTACGGGACTTTTTGGCAGATCAATTTGGTGGTGACTTGGCACCTTATGAAGTGGTATACTAGGATTATTAGGGTCTTGTCGTATTCCTCTCTTTGCTAGTTTATATAGTTAGTTAGATAGTTTGTTGAGGCTGCTAAGGATAAGAAGGTTTGCTGTTACTAACATTATTCCCAACGTATGAAGAAAAGTCTGGCGCACGATAAAATTGTAGTTGAAGAAGAATCTCATTTGTATAGCCGTAGCAAAATATAACGTTAGGCTTTCCCCTTGTAAGATTCTTGCTGGTGAGCTGGCACGTTTTGCAGCAGATGGTTCCTCGTCATCTCGCTTTCCAGCGTGGAAGATAAGGTGAGAAGGCTTGCTGGTAATTTCAGAGGTGAGTCTTCCTCTCGACTCGTCGTTGGCCTGAGTGTCCAAACACGTATTCTATATGTGTTAAAATGATGGAACGTTCGGATGTGGTTTTGAACATGTTCAGAACTTCGAAACAGCTGGATCATGTTTGGATCTATATTATGACGCGTACTAACTGTGTCCTTCATATTCTATGTAGGCTGGAGCTCGTACATCAACGACATCAAACATGTGCCAACACCCAAGATCGAATTCGTTCCCTGCTCCAGGACCATCATCATCGTGTGAAACGACCGTTTTCATCTATTGAAACATTGGCATGAGCTAGTAATAGTGGTAGAATTCCACGACCTTCGACCAACAGATCGTCGCATCGCAAGCCACAGTGAGCATCATTCAACGACAACCTATCACTAGGATCATGATTAAACAGGCTTACGCAACAAGAAGAGCTTCAGCTCGTATAAGCTGGCCGGATCAATCGCTCATCGCATTGCTCTACTGCTTGTTTTGAATTGATGAATCCGTAATCTCAAGTCTTTGAATCTGAGCTGTAATCTGTTCAAGGTTTCAAGAAAGCTGATATTAGCCAGGAATTGAAGGCATGAAGGGTGAAACGGACGTTTGCACCATCGGTTTTCTGGACCCTTTTTGGCTGAAGAAAAGTCAAACATACATACAAACCAAGAGGGACTGACTACTTTTTGTTGTACACTGAAGTTTGAGGTTGGCACCAACAAGTTCTGTGTGGAAACAACCAACCACCACCCAAAAGTACACACGAATAGGTCACTGGTTAAATGCGACAGTTTTATTTTAGGTTGAAGAATGAAAGACACTTCTTTTCTTTTACACGTTAAAAATTGTTGTTGCGGGGGACCTTTGGTTTGATTGAATGGTTTCAACCAAAAAAGTCACGACACCCATTTCCTTACAAAAAAATTACAGAAAAACAACTCAAATATAAATGAAAATCCCCACCAAAAGAAAGTACCATAAACCACAAACTTCTCTCCCACCCTCACTCCCAACGTACTATGTGTCTCTTCTGTTGTGTTTTACATTTCACCTGCTGGTACAAACGGCGGGCTCATGACATTCAGCGACCCTCCAGGCGACGCAGCATTCCAACCATTACGTGGCATAGACAGTGTAATCGGGTATCCGTTGACTGCCTGTACGTTTGGGAAGCCATTAGACATGACGGCATTGACTGCATTCATCATATTCATATTAGCCATTCCATTCATAATGGCTGACATGCTACTACCGTTTACAGGCGACGTGGATGAGGGGCCATCTGAAGTAGATCGTTTGCCTAGAGGGTTTTTCGAGTATGATAGGCGGATACCACCCTTGGTCGAGTTTGATAGTGGGTTGCCGTATAGTTCTCGGAGTGCTAGATTGGCACATGCTACATCTTCAAACTCGACAAAGCATTGTGGGTATGGAGATGCAGCCTATTGGGGTTGAAACTGGTGTTAAAATCTCCTTTGTTGTGAACAGATGAAAAAAAAAACGATTCTTGTAAAGTAATGACTGACTTGCCTTAGTTAATGGACCACTTGGACGCTGTCTGAAACAGAGTCGTTTATATCCTACACATTTAGAAAATAGAGCCCTCAACTCTTCTTCGGAAGTATTCATCGGCAGATTGCCCACATAACTGCAAAAAAAGAATGTCGCAGAGTTAGCGATAATGCACACTTAGATGGAGTCAACGCGTAACATCCCATAACAGCACAATCAACTTACAGGGTGTTGCACGGCGGATAATCCGTCACTCGCGGATCAGAGTTACGAGATGCATTATCAGACAGAGATGCAGATCGTGGCAGCGACGTATTTCCATACGAAGCAAATCCATTCGCTTGACCATTACCAGATGGCGACGATGATGCTCCACTACCAGCCTGACTAGTGGAATTAGAAGAACCATTTCCATTCATATTGGCCATACGTTCCGATAATAGAGATTCCGATTGATACAAGGCTGAATTAAACCCACGTTGACTACTTCCATTATTACTACTAGATGCAGTATTATTGTTGCCGTTGGTGCTACTTCCATTGGCGAATGCTTCAGCCGGTGTTGTTGTACTAAATCGACGTTCAGTGTTGTGAGTGTTTCCATTCGTAGATGGACCTCCAGATGTAGGCGACGCCTGAGACGACGATCCATTACTGCGTGACAGTAGCGTATTCATCATTACTGGGTCAATCATTTCACTATATCCTCGTTCATATGAAGATCGTTCCATTAGCGATGGCGGAGTGCGTATTCCACTCGAAGGAGCTGTAATGGATGTTGGACGAGACGAGGTCGCGGAATCCATACCACTCATCTCACTGCCATATGACGTGGCTCCGTCCATGAATCCGCTGTATGAATCACTTCCAGCGTCCTTGTTGTAGGGTGCAGGTGACGATGCGGATCGAGTCAGCCTTGACGATTCACCTGGATAAATATCGAGATAGTCTACTTGAGATAAGATATCTCGCGGAATTGGCGGAGCGTATTGGTAATCGGTATCAACATATAGTTCCTTGCTTGAGATGTTGGCGACAGTAGATCTTCGACCCATACTGTTGTATGAGGCGCCGGTCATCATCATCATTAGATTATCATTAGACAGTCCTCTCTTCGTATGCAGATTCTGTAATATTATTTTGGTTGACGAAGGTGAGCGATCTGGTGCGTTTCACTGAATCATAAAAACATGACATCCTGTTGATTAGCCATTACCTTTTTGGCCATTTCTGCCTTTAGGATGGAATTCTTTTCTGCATCTACTTTTCGACCATTCAATACCCTTAATGCTTCTAACGATTCCAATCGCGACGAGAATTTAGCAAACCCAATCTGTGTTTTAGTGAAGCGGAAGCAATGTGAGCGATTCGAACTTCTTGCATAGACGAGCCCTCACGTATTAATTCATACCGTTACTCCATTAGATCCCCTCCCATTCCTTCCACTCTCGTCAATCGAAGTTGGCGACACAGCGTTGTCGGCATTTGACGATAAAGCTGGTGGTGGAATTTTAAGAGTAGCCGCCTCAAACCCGGGACAGAATGTAAACATATTCTGGAACTCTCGTTCTAGCATATCATCAGGAAAACCTACTACAAATATAGTTGTAATCTCTTCCTGTGGAGAATTCATCATGTTGGCATTGTGACCCATTTGCGATGTTTGTATATGGTGTAATGAGTTTGTAGGTAGCGATGTAGATAGCATTTGGGAGGGCAGTACCATTGGTGTAGGGGAGATACTGCTTTGAGAGGCGTAATATTGGTTGTAACCTGACTGATATTGATGATTGGGTATTGGACCAGATGCTGGTGACGGTAATTGCGTCTGGCCATAAAGAGATGTAGCGTCAAACTGATCTTCATAACTTGACGAAGACAGCTGTGGGTTTGATGCCGGTGATAATATCAGGTCACCGTTGACTGAGGACATGATTTAAATGTCCCCTACGTCCTTCTACAGATTTACAAGGCCAGTATAAGGAATTTTCAAGTGAATTGCAAGCCTAAATGCGAACAAAATGTATTAATGGTGGGTTGAACTGAATGAAATCAACTTCGCATGTTTGTCTCCACAATTTGAGGTGGTTGCAACATTCTCGACGATTGCGGTTAGAAACAAGTCTACTTACTGGACAAGATAGTGCGATGCACTTTAAATGCTATCAGCGCCCGTCTAATCGTCTCTCTTTCTTCGTAGTCGTGCTGTAAATCCGAGTTTCTTGTTATGGGGGACACGTTCCTCCACAACCACGTTTGCCGAGAGTTACACCCTTACTAGGAAATTGGCACGCGATTTGAACAAATAATATATCATTTGATCTCGATATTGTCAGATCTGGGTCTCTCTCGCCGTGTTTCAACAGTTTGCTCTCGCTTTGAATTCGCAACTCAGGGTCTTGATTTCTTGACGGTCCAAGACAAACGAACCAATGAACAACCAGATGTCAATCCAGAGCATCAACGCATTAATCACGTCCGGAATCTGATGCAACAAAAAGGTGGGGATCAACTTCTGTGTATTAACCTTCAAAGCTTGACATTGACAGTCTTCCACCATCTATTGCAAAAGATTGTTAATAAGCGCGATTTATGAAGACCAGATGACAATGACTTACGGGTAGAAACTTGGTAGATCGCGTGGGACTCTAATAGGTAACGAAATCGTGAGTGGGCTGACGTGGCACAATCAACCCAAGTTTAGTTACCTTCCAGGGAACTGAGGAGGTCTCTTTTGTAAGAAACTAGCAACGCCCTAATAATTCATGGCATTGGAAAGGGCATGTGGTCATTGGAACCCTGAAACAAGCAACTTACCTCTTTTCCGTCACCTTGGCCCAATTCAAACACTGAAGGCGAATCCAACAAATGCTGACCCTCAGGAGTGCCAGCGTCGCGCCACATCAATGCCTAAGTATGCGTTCGCGTTGAGTTGTCAATTGCAATATTCTCGAAAGACGATTTCCATCATATATACCTTTGAAACAGCCAACGAGACCAAACTGCAGTTATCAGCCACCTCATGAGCTAGTTTGAGAGCGGCTGGGAGAACGTCTTCGGGCTTGTCAACTAATTCAGCCCAGAGTCCTGATAATGACGGGTGAGATGCCTTTTGTACTCTGCCAGACATTGTGACCTGAAATAACAACGCAACGTGTGAGAATTATCGGAATGTGATGGCAAGAACTTTCGATAAGTCACTATCGTACCTCCAGAGCTCTGGCATGCCCAATCAGTTTTGGTAGAAAGTATGTTGAAGCAGCTGCCAAAGAAGACGCTATGTAAGTACATCATCACGCTTGTATTTGAGCCAGGCTACGTATACCTTCAGCTGTGACACCGCGGCGAGCGAAAACGAATCCGATCTTGGCGTCTAGATATGAACATGTGAGCAACACATATTGAATCGAATGACGAACTTAGAACATACCTTTATGAGTGACACGAAAGTCGCACGGAAGCGTACACGTAGCTCCAATACCAACAGCAACACCACTTTCAAGAAGACGAATGTTAATCAAAGTTCCTCTCACACTTGACCTTTCAAACCAAGACATACTTGATGGCAGCAATAGTAACCTTCCTCATCCTGAAAGCAGTCAGAGTAAAAGTTCCTCCAGAATCACGATGCTCTAAGTGTCCCAGGTTAGTGATGCGTTTCTGCAAAGTCAAACCTCTCGTCCACCAACCTCGTTCTTCAAAGGTAGTGACCTCAGAACCACCCGAACTAAAGTTATCATCAGCAGACAATGCCAAACCAGCACAGAAAGCCTTGCCAGCACCTGTTCGATTCCAAAGGACGTGTTAAGCTACCATGTGTGACCGTGCATGTTGATGTGTGTATGATGCTTTACCCGTCAATATCACTACTTTGACATTGTCGTCCAGGTCAAGGCGTTCAAAGGTTGCTATAAGCTCATCGGTAATAGCCCGGTTCCATACATTCATTCTAACAAGGAAGCAAAAAGAGTTAGTAGCGTCATTTCCACAAGAAACACAGAAGCTGGTTTGAAGTTCTTACGGAGGGTTGTTTATGGACACGATGGCCACATTGCCGTCCATACGAACTGAGGTTTTGGTGCCCATCGCTGTTTGATAATTAAAACTCACGAAAAATGGATATGGTGACGAAACAGGTGTATGAACTTCTTCACGATGCCTTGAAGCTAACCGCGTGCAATTAGATCTACTACCAGCATACATAAATAGTCAGTTTCGGTCTTTAGAGCCTGTCGCAACGGGTTACTGCGCGATCATACGTGATGCCGATTGATTTTCGACTTTTTTGTAGCTATAGAACGCGTTTTTAAGTATGAAAAGCATCTGTGCACGCTACTCGAGGCATTAAAAGCAACTCTCGTCACATGTTTCCCTCAAAGTCAATCCGTGAGATGTCACTCGAATCTTCAAACTCCAAAACAGACGAAGAAATCACTATCTCTCAATGATTGCAGCAACGAGCGACATGGATATTGACGATTACGAAGAAGAGCTGATGCCTGGAGTGTACTTGACTCGACATCGACGTAGCAACACCGCAAACCAACGAACAAGGAATCCAATGAAAGGAATCGAAGACAGCTATGAGCTACTGGAGATTGAATCCCTTCGATTGAAGAATTCAGTCAAGCTGCTATTACAGAGCAACCAGCAGATGAGGGAGTTCCCTGAAGATCCAGACTTGAAGATTGTACATGACATTTCGGGCAGCAGATTTATACCCTTCGACAAAGCTAACTGCATTACTTTACGTTAGGCTATTGCTGAGAACGTAATCATCATAAATAGGCAGTTTGAAGCTATCCGAACCATAGAAGCCAGAATGAAGGATCTGGCTGGAACTGGTCGATGTGGATCTGAACTCAATGCCTCAGCAGCTGCATCGCTACCTTCATCATCTATTGCTACCGCTCCATCTGCTGTTGTGCATACTCAGGCCTCGTCATCAACATCCCGGCCTTTGAATCAACCATCACAAAGCAGTGAGTCTGCAAGTGATGATGATGGAGGGTTGTACTTGTAAAGAAGCTTTATGTCGCAGTGTATAGTTATAGTCTTCCACATAAACAGTATATTTGCACCATATATATTGCACCATATCTATCTAGTCAAGTTCGGCTGCCTTGACTGCAGGTTTGGCCTTTGGTTTGCTACTCGACGACGAGGGCCCAGCAAACAAACTCTTCATCATTTCCTCCATTGGATTTGTCTGTTTTTTCGGTCCAAGTCCAAAGTAGACGTTTGCGACTATATCCACCAGCTGAAAGACAGACGCGTAAGCAAACATAACAGGAGTTCTTTCCCAAACTTCAAAAACAAACCTGCACAAGATACGAATCCACCTCCCAAACAGCTCGGTATTGACTCCTCAACGACATGAATTGATCAGCAGCATTTCTTGACACCACCAGTAGTATAAATTGACCAAAATTCGCCATGGGTGACTTAAATATCGTAACTTCTACATCTGCTTCACTTGGTGTTTTCAGTGGGATTGTCACTGTTGTCTCTGTTGGTTTTGATGTTTTCCATGCTTTCAAGAAGGCTTCCAAAGCGATAGATGCATGGCCGACTTTTTTCAATGCCAGGTATCTGGAGTTACGCAAAAAAAGCGATATGATAGAAAGGTTCAATTGTTAAAGACGCAACAGGAACTTACTCGAGTACTGCTCGTAGTATAAAGTAACCGAGATCTGAATACACGCTCTCTTGACTCCATTCCCACATCATGACACCCATAAGTCGTGCAGAGTCGAAGGTGCCATATGCAAAGTTGGTTTCTGCATCATAATATTCGTTTGCTAATATGGAAAATTTGAGAAATGATCATTCAATGCGTGCTTTTCAGTTGCAGATGGGCCAACCTGCACGATTGTCTAAACTATACCTGAGTAATATTTAGTTCCAAAGACATGCCGCAGCTGAGGATCTCCCGTAGCGACACCTCCAACTTTCGACGACCATCTAGTTGGGATGTTGAGAATAATAAGTTACAGGTCGTGATCGACCAATTGCCTTTGACTTTTTGATTCACGTACGCCAAACTGCTTCTCGTAAACTCTTTAAATAATGGATCTTCAGCAGGGAACTCTTGTGCGAGGTCAATTATCTTGCCTACATTGAAACAAGAAAGATGTTGGCGTGTCAGCTAAACAACAAGCTTTAAACTTGAGATCAAAAGCAAACCTCGTGTTGCATCAGTGACTTCCATCTCTTCACTTTGAAATATTTCCAGCATTCTCGAAGCCAATTCGGATGCTGAACCGACTTGTCCCTTGACCAACAGATTCTTTGCTCCAGAATGTAGCAATGCAACTGCATCATTTGGTGCATTCTGTTTCAAGTATCTAGGAAGGAGGAGAATAAATGGATTAATTGCAAGCCTCAAGATCATTCTTCAATATATACGTAAAGCTCAAGCTTCCCGAGAAAGCTACGCAAATTCCATCCAAGTTCCCTACCTTTGAGTGACGGACAAGTACATTTGATGAGCTTCATAGTAATTTCCATCTTCTACTGACTTTTGGAGCTTTGCAAGAACCTTTTCTGTGCCTCCTCGACTCATGGTGCTCGCCGGGATTGGTTTTTGAGATTTCACGATTTGCAAACATCACGATTGTCAAGTTCGAATGAAAGCTAAGTAGAGTAGATTATCTACGTGACGACGGAGCAATTACACTTCTTTCACCACTCGGACGTCTTTACAAATTGAACAGAAACGCTAAACACTACGATACCAAGACACAATATCAAGGTGGACTCCTCTATTTCAGCAAATACAAGTTTTTTTAGAATCTCCGTGAAGAGATTTGGCGCTTATTGAGCAGCAGCCAAGACGAGACCTAAAGAAAAGAGAGTTTGCGTCAGCCAAGCTTACGCCTTAAGTGAGGCTGCCGCTACTCACCGACAACGGTACCGCCAGAGACAGTTACGGCAGCCAAAGCTTCGTTGATCTTCTTGATAGATTCTTCTTGAGATACAGCGAGGACGGTGGCTGGTGAGTCAAAGACGTTGATCTATTGACAAAGGAGCGTTTCAAGTCAGTTTGAGAAGGATCGTGTATCATCACCACGCATGCTCTCATACCATAGCTCTGTGAGACTTGTCGGTGGCTCCAACGTAGACGGAAGTTCGCTTCCATCCGGCGTATTTGGCAGCAACGCTAATTTAGAGTTTGTTAACGACGAGTTGACGAACTGGCCGCATCACTGCAAACACTCACGCAGCACCAGCGGCGGTAGCTTCAGGAGAGAAGCCTTCTGGAGCACCGGCAGCAATGATACCAGAACGGATGACGACTACATCAGTTGGGGCGACTGGGTGGTATTCTACACGGTTGGCCAAAACAGCGGATTCAACCAAGAAGGGCTTGGCTGCAGCATAGACTTCCAAGGCTTTTGGCAAGAATGCGGTGGCATCCTGATTGTTGAAAGCGTGGCAAATCGTTAGCATTCTACTTACCAACTTTGAGGTACGTTCTTGCTCAACAGCCATAACACGGTTCAAAGACTAAAATAATCTGCTGCTTTACGTACTGCTTCGGCCTTGAATTGGTGGAGGATGACTATGTATGCAAGAAGAATATAAGTCAAGTCGATGACAAATGAATTTTTCAGGCAAACCCATGCCAGAATGACATATGGCCGCCAAAGCTCGTAGCGAATGGCCTACCGTGGGAAGATCTTGCTGGGGGAGCACCGTCAGCCTAAAATAAAAGTGAATTTGTGAGCTTCAACTTGAAAATCACCCGTGCCAGCAAAACCCCAACAGAGGTAAAACCACATCGCTAGCATACCTTCTTGACAGCAATAACACCTTCTGAGCCCTAATATGTTATCGATGGCAATGAAATAATCTGATTAGTCAACCTCCACTCGCACGCAAAAGGTTCTTGCACCACAAGGAATATAGCTTACGGGAGCGGCAGCGAAGGCAGATGCAACGACGGCCTTTACAGCTGCGTCATCACCGTTTTCGATGAATACAAAGATCTAGTATTGCAGGTATGGCGGAAGTTCAAATTAGTAAAACGTGGCCAAGTTGGCAAAAACGTGGATTTTGTGAGCAAAGGAAGAGCATACCATGGAGTGTCCGAGAGCTTGTGCCATTGTTGATGAGTTGAGAGTTGAGAAGTCGAGGTTTATGGAGTTCTTTTGAGGTTTTATTTGGAGTTTTTGTGTAGAGAAGACGAGAAGTAGGCCCCTTCCCAAAGAGGCACTGCAAAGTTATTGCGATTTTGTTCCTCATGCACAAAAAAAAGGTAGATCTTTTTACCATTTCTACCACAGACTTCCACGTTTCATGAGACTATGAATTGAGAATCAACCTCGATCAACAGCCTTTGTTACAGATCATTACTGTAAACACTCTCCAAAAAAGCGTACAAATCTATCAATCTGCTATCTGGCACGTGGGGAAGTGTTGAAATTCAAAAAAACCGCGTCGACCGATTCCACTCAGATCCACTACCGATCGCCCCGTTTAGAGCAGCAAAATTGGAAGTACTTTGTTGAAGTATCGAATTCATGCCTGTGAAATCCTCGCCTGGTTGCAGATCTCTGTACAATCTCAGCCACACCAAAACGACGCAGCGTATCGCAATTCCACTTTTTGTCGTTCAAAATCCACTGGCGAACTGGCGCGGTTTGTTTACTACATGTTAGGTATCTTAAAACACAGATCCAAACACAAAGTGGTTTTATGCAGCTGCAACAGGCTTGCCAACGAAGACCCCACCGGCTTCAGCTACAAAGAAGAAGTGTCAGGATTTGTAACTGTCCTCTCTCTCAAAATCAAAAAAGACATACAAACAGCGTCAATCCCCTGGTTGATAGCCGACATACGAGGATCAGCACGAGCAGCTTCAAGATCAGCAATGGTAGCAAAGTAGTTGACGATGGCACCATTGTGCTTGTCAACCAATCCAGCTTGTAAATGTACGTGTGAGGTATGTGTCCAAAAAGGTACATGAAATCAGTGACACACCGTAAGCAGCAGCACGCTTCCATCCTGGATGAGAGCTCATGTATTCTTTAGCAGCAGCAATGGTTTGGTCTGGGAGCGATGTTGGTGCATCCGCCTATATCGATTGTGACAAACGTTAGTTGATGTTTGGAAAAGTTCAACTATTGAACACGATTCGTCCAAGGTCATGTTACTTACCTGGGAATGCAACAATCGCACAGTAACAATATCAGATGCAGTTGGAAGCGAAGACTCTTCTCGAACAGACAATACAGCACCTTCCAAAACAAGCGGTTCACCATATACAGCTTTAGCAGTTGGCAAGTACTTGGTCAAGTCGGCTTCAGTTGCGAATTGGTGGAGGATGATCTGTTGTGTGAAAACTTATAAGTATGGGTGCTTGTTGCAAATATAGTTGGAGGTTTTTTTTTGCCTACGTGGGAAGCTCGACCGCCAGGTTGCAAGGCTTTCAATAGCAAGACACCAGTAGTACCAACGGCGGCTGATTTTGCAGCTTTGATTTGTGCAGTTAGTGCCGCATCGTCTCCAGTAGCGTAAGCTAAAGTAAAAAGATACGATTAGGACGTGATGCAAAGAGAACCCAAACATTGGTAACAAATCGGATAGATTAATGTGAATGTATATTGAAGGACGCAGGATTTGTATAGTTCGCAATACTAACCAGCGACGAGTAAAGCAGTTCCAGTGTTGGTTGCCATTTTCCACGATTCTTGTTGTGCAAAAGTTCTGAGGGGAGGAGCTAAGTGGAGGCTTTAGACTTGGCAAGATATAGCTGTAAGCGTTATATTGACTCTAGCTTACCTTCAAATTAGATCTTGTATGTAAGATTTCTCGTTTTGCGTCGTGCTACAACCTAATTCCTGTGAAGAGGCTACGAGGTCACGCAACCCCGTGGCTCATTATCTTGCGCAACAATTAACGGAATTTCCTTACATGCAAATCTATCGATTTCCACGTGTTAGGAACGACATGCAATTTTTTAGTTTACTACAAAGGTATTATTTTACACTTGATTCTTTTTTACTTTGATATCAATGATCTGAAAAAATCTTGATTCTTGTTTCCAACTTCGACTGTGGTGCTTGCAGGTTGTTGTTGCTGTTGTTGAGCTGGGGATGGTTGTTGAACGGTAACTCGACCTCTACCTCTAACACTCCCACGAGGCTGGAAATTACTGCCACTACCACGAGGCGTGTTGCTAAAAATGTAAAGAGGGCATGAGGACAACAATCAAACTTTCATCATACAGAACAGAGGAGAAACGTACCCAGAAGAGCGGTCAGAATCTTCATGCTGACTGCTACCATCACCACCGCCAAATCCTCCACGACCACGTCCTCGACCACCACCAGAAAACCCAAGACCTGCACGACCACGAGAGCTTCCTCGTCCACCACCACGACTTGCTTGTTCATCACGTTCATGTTCTTTACTATCATGAGTTTGCTTTCTGTCTTTACGATTATCTTTTCGTTTGATATTTGGATCAGCCAACGCGACTGCAACAACTCGACCATCGGCTTCCCGAGCATTCAAAATTAGTGCTGCTTTGGCATGTTCAGGTGTTTCAAACTCTGCAAAGGCAGAACCCTTAGTATTGCCATCTTTGTCTCGAAGGACTCGGATATGTTTGAGGCCTTGACACTATGGGATGGACCGGTTGTGAGACATCTTGGAGGAGTGCGCTTGACTGGTGTTTTTTTGTCTAAACTGAACAATTGTCCATTCTCACCTCTTTGCAAAACTCTTGCACTTGATCTTCAACCCACGCCTTGGGCAAGTTAGTTATATACACCTCATTGCTGGCTCGGTTTCTTGAAAAAGTATAAGAGTCAGAACAGCAAAAAAACCAGCAAGTGCCGAAAATACACATACTGTTGATCCTTAACACGAGGATTCGATATGGCAACACTCATAGGTGGACAAGCATCTCTTACAATAGTGTTGTTGAGAGCCAATGCCTTGCTTGCAGATTCCTGTTTAAGGTTCACAATCTTGTTACTTCGAGAGCGCTCAAACTAGTACACCCTGACATACGTACCGAATCAGTAAACTCGACATATGCAAATGAAACAGACTTGTTTTCACGCATTCTGACTTCGCGTACGTTACCAAACTGGAAAGCAGGGATCAGCACACAAAAAAACGTTGCAGGACCTGACTCGATACAACATACTTGCTCAAACTTTTCTCTCAGCCACTTCTTCTCCACTCCAATAGGGAGATGACTGACATACACAGTACTTGGATCCTTGTCCTTTGAGAATTCCCATACTCGCTTTTGAGGGCGACATGGTTTGACGCTCAGAGGAGCTTCACCAACAATCGTTCCATTCAGTTTCAAAGCTGATCGAGCAGAGCTCTGAGTGGAAATTGAAGGAGACTGAGGATATGCCAAGAAACAATAAAGATGGTAGTCCAATACACACCACATCTTTAAACTCGACAAGAACTCCATCATCAGCCACTCGAACGTCAGTGATGGTTCCACACTACATGAATTGAAAGCAATCAGACATCAAATGTTAAACAACCAAAACAAAAAGATGTCAATTACCTCCTTGAAAGCGTCTCGTATCAATGCCTCATCATAAACTCCAATCACAAACACTGTGTAATCAGCAAATGAACTATTGATGACAAAATAAACCATAAGATACAGACTACAACATCAAAGTACAAACACACAACATACTTGTCGATAACTTTGTAATCTTCATCGGGAATCATTTGTGGTGCTTCAGGATTCGCTTCACTCATGATAGCATCAGCGTGTTCGGGTTCTGGTGCATTAGCTGGTTGCTTGCCCTTCTTTTGACGTTTGGCAGGCGGATGGTCTTCTTCGGTAGCAGCAGATTCTGTTTCTTTGTCTGAACGATCCTTTCGTTTGCTCTACAGCAAGGTATTAATTTCCAAAGTTCCTTCATTTTTGCCTCTTCAATTCGAACTCACCTTTTGAGGTTCAGCCTTTTCCCTCTTTTGTTTTGGTCGAGGACCCTCCTGTTGCTGTTGCTGCTGATACTGTTGCGAGTGTATAACAGGTTGCATCAACGGTTCTTGGGCGTATTGTTGTTCCATGCCGACACCAGTCATACCAACTTGGGCAGCTCTCTCAGCTTGCCTTTGTTGGGTGGCAGCTAATGCCTTCATGACTTGCTTGGTACGACTATAGGTCTCATAATAGGTTGTCACAGTACCAAACTCTTGTTCGAATTGCAACCAATCCTGTATGATTCTATCTGGCCAATCTAGATTCTTGGAAACGGCTTGTCGATAGACGGTTCGTACTGCCAGTGCTGTACCGTGTTCTCTAAATGTTGAGAAGCGGTGAGCTGGTGAAGCAAAAAAAAGCAGACACATTCCGTCAATTACTTTTCGAATTGAGCAAATTCACTCCACAATTCAGAACTGGTTGAACGTCGCTTGATGTACTCTTCGTATAATTTGCGAGCTCGATCGATCGACTTGGCATGGTGAACCTACAAACAAACAGCAATGAATGAATCAGATTTGAATTGAGCAGCGAAACAGTTTCCTTCACCTCAGCCTGTATTCGACATTTTTCGAGTCGATAATATGGATCTCCTGGAGGAAACTCTACAACAAGTGAACAATGTTTCAGCTCTTAAAGGCAATAACAAATTGTTGCGGACGGGAAAACCCACTTTCTTTCAAATACTTGATGCCATCTGTAAATGCACGTCTCATTTCTCCAATCGTTTGTTCAGCATTGGCGTCTAAAAATGATTGAAATTGGCCACACGCAATACTGTCTCTGAACGTCTTTCGTTTACCATCAGCTTGGATTTGACGTGCTTCAAATCGACAATACGCATCACACACTTTGTATGATTCTTCCAAAGATGCTACAGCTGCGACCATAGCTAATCCTCGTTCCATAGTAGCTAAAAACACCATCAAAGTTGCAACGAAGAATGGCAGTAGAAATGCATGGACGGAAATCCTTACCTTTGATATCTTCCTTTGACTTTTTGAACTCTTCCTACAGAGTATTATAACATTCAACCCCTCATTCGGCACGACCAAATAACAAGCTGCAGCATTTACTCACTTGAAGACGAATCAAATGTGCCCACAAGTCACCACTCCAACTACAATTTCGCACAGCTCGTTCAGCAACTGGCAACATTGTAGCTGCTCCTTTCAAAGACGAGAACTACGAAATCAGCAAGGAACTGTGAGACTAGCAAACCCAGCCAAGGATAACGTTGACTCACGAGATAAGCAAGGTAATCATCCCAGAGAGTAACATCAAGACAATGCTTGGAAAGAGCACGTTCATATAAAGTTTTGACTCGATTCTTGTCCATGGGTTTTGAGCTCAATTCATAGTCAAGGTATGATCTGTATGTCTGTAGGTTATCCTCATTCTGTGCCTAAAATGAGCTGATAAGAAAACGATACCGATATCACTGAATCCTTACAGAATAGGAGTTACACATACCAGCTTCATCTCAAACTGATCCAGCTTTTGCAGATGCTTTTGGGTTGCTGATTGTGTAGAGCTAGCAGATTGCAAGTGTTTCTCGTAATTGGCATTATCGTATTTGGTTTCAAAGCTGGAATAGTCACTGAATGTATCTTGGATTGCTAGAGCACAAAATATAATGGTCACAAAAACTATGTATTCATCTAATCAAGATGTTTCTTTCACACCTGAATGAGGAATCTTCAGTCGATCTCGATACATGTTTCGAACCTTGCCGGTTTGGACGTCACTAAATAATTTCCAAACTGTTTAGAGGCCAAAAACGCGTTTATGTATAAAGATTCAATTCTTGCCTCTGCGAAGACTAGAATTGGCGTATCAGTAAGAGCATGAATCTTCAACATACAACGAACTCGCTTACCTCCAACACTGCAACTTCAAAATCACGACAAGCATTCCAAATAACATGACTCTACAAACAACCCAGAGTCAATTAGAGCATTTTGCCGACCACAGCAAATCACTTTTAAGTTACTTTAGAAACGTGATTCCCCGTATTGGTCATTGCCTGATTACAAACCCCCCTGACTTCCTCAAGCGTCAACCACAAGGCATCTGGATCATCTGCGGATACAGCTAATCCTTGCACGTATTCTTCCACGACGTAGTCAATGTAATCACGCCATATCTCGATGGCTATCATAGCATTTGGTGTGAGCATTGTTTTGCTATTTGAAATCAGAAGCAGGAGCAGCTTACAAAGGTAATCAGTCACAGCACGAGCATATAGTTTGAGGACATCTCGTTTTTCTTCCATGCTGGACGCTAATCGTCGCTCGTCTTGAAGCCATTCCATCCATATTCCTAAAAGACACAGAATATGATCAGTTTCAGCAAAAAGAAGCGTGATGGTGAAGGGTTCCAGAGTTTCCTCAAACTTCAAGAAGCCAAAAAATGCGAAAAAACAGACCTTCAGACAGTGGATACGCATTCGCAAATGCTTCACGTGCAGTCCGTAGTTCGTCCAATATCGAATGCGTCTTGAGCGTCTTGATGTACTTGATGTGAAGCTCGTATTGGTAGGGATTGATTACCAGCTAGAAACAAAAAACACGCGCAGTAAGATAATGGGACACGTAGAGGAACTAGAGATTTCTATAAAAAATGAACGAAGTCGATCCATGTTCAGTCCTGGCAAACGTACCTGCTCTGTAGCTTGAACCAACTCTTCCAACGAAAGAATGTCTGTGTCAGTGTCCATGGCGTTGCCATCTTCAGAGCTTGCATCTGATGAAAAGTCTGCTTCCTGAGTGAATGGCTGCTCGATAGTGTCTTCTGCTTCGTCTACCTCCATGGTGACGAGCTTGGTTTGTGATTCAGCTTGTTTTAACTGTTGACGAAACACGCTCAGTTCGACAGTTCGGCAACGTGTCGGTGTAGATCGTATACGAAACCTTTTAAACTATAATCGTTGGGCTTCAAATACAGAATTTATATCTTAAAGTGCTGTTATGGTACATCATTTGGTGATTGGACTACTACATACTAGTAACTATTGCTCTAGAGGGACAGAATTGGCATCAAGCTAGAGTAGTATCTGAACACGTTAGGACTGACTTTAACTGCTAAAACACCATGACAACACCTTACCTGAGCTTGAAGACTTGAAACTTGACCATCCAACGCCTCTTTATCCTTCACCAGCGCCATAATCTTTTTATACGCTTGAGCAGACAACCGATCAAACTTGGCCTTAGCAGATTCCATCTCCCTAACCTGTTTCTCCCGTTCCAGTTTACTTTCTTCAGCTTGTGTTCGCAACTGCTGCAAAACTTCTTGCAGCTCAGTCACTTCTAGCTGTAGTGCTTTTTCTCGTGACGATTGGGTTTGGTTGGAGGCTGTTAAAGCATCCAATTCTGCAGACATGGCATCATATTGCGGATCAGAGGTAACTGGGTCGGTTTGTATGGCAATATGCGCGACGGGTGGTCCTCGAGCTTGTATTTGCACATGACGGACTTTCTTACGGGGTCGTGCTGCCATCTGCTGTTGTTGCAGTAGTAGCTGTTGCTGTTGCTGCTGCTGTTGTTGCTGACCGTCCGTTTGTGCCCAGCCTCCTGATATGGCTTTAGACACAGCTGAAGCTCCTGGCATATATTCGAATGCACCGAGCGTGGGATATGATCCATAGGCTGCTGCAGCTGCCTCTGGATTTACAGGTGCGGGTGCAAGCAACGACGTGGTGCTTTGCGCACCATCTCCCCTGACTTCAGCCACCATAGGATTAAAGTTTACATTCTTACTATGACTGGCTTTCACTGGTCCAGCATTTTCGATTTGATCAATCATGGCGTTCAGTTCGGTATTACGTGCCACTTCTTCATCCAATTCGTCCCATGGATCCTCGTCTTCTAATAAATCCTCTTCGTCTATATATTCCATTTGTTCTTCCTCTTCCTCCTCTTCTTCATACTCCTCGTCGTATTCTCCTTCAGGGATATCCATTTCATCTTCTGCCATACTAGGACTGCTCATCTCACTAACTGTCTGTGTTGGACTGGATATAGATACTTTGTCGTCTGTTGTATTATTATACACAGGTCGGCTAGAGGAGTGCATATTTGCCGGGATATTGTTCACATCAGCCATAGCTCGAGCAGAGTCACCTCGTGGTGGAATGGCCGTGCCTCGAGGAAGACTAGCTATTGGCGACACTTGACCAGCAGGTGTCGATAATACTGCGCGATCATCCAGACTAGCATCCATACCATATGCTCGTGGCACCGACGACTTTCGCACGGGTAGTTGGAACCCAGTAGGTAATTCTCCTGATGACGGCCGTCCATTCTCAGAGGCTCGTGATGGCGTCCTTGCTTCCAAGGCCAAGTTCTCAGCTGATGCGACCCTTCTAGGATCTGATTCAGTGTGAGACTTCATGACCCTATCTACTGAAGCTGATACTACTCCATTCGGTGGAGCTGATAGGTACCCAGAGTTGGATGAAGTTGCGGGTGGATATACAGATGCCGGAGACGGTCCAGCCGTCCTCGGTGTGCCTAGTTGAATAGCCTTTAGTTCTTGCGCTAGGGCCATCTGAGCTGATGCATATTGCGTCGGTTGTTGTCTTGTCGTAGCAGGTGGCAGTGATGCCATCGATTGTTGCTGCTGCTGATCAGGATACCAATTATGTTGCTGAGAATCACCGTCACGGTGATCATGGTGATGTCTCATTTGTGCCAATGCCGAATTACCATCTATCGAAGCCCTTCTGGCTGATTTACGAAAGATGTTGAACAACCCATTCGGTTTATGGCCAGCTGCGGATGGTTGTGTTGCGCCAGACTGCATTGATGATGATGTTGGTGATGTTGGATTACTACGTTGTGACGATGCTGATACAGTTGAACCTCCTGGCGGAGCCGCCCCGGCTGCGTTACTATTATATGGCGGCGTCATTTGAAGGGCATACCCTCCTGTACTATTTGAAGGCAGCGCATATCCACCCACGTGGGTTCCACTCGATGAGCCTAGACCACTACTGCTACTACTGGTTGCGGGAAGTGCATATCCTCCAGCGTAACTTCCAGCATTCGATGTCGGCGACAGAGGAAGCGCATACGACTGTGTTGTTGGTGGTTGCGTCGTGTAGTTAGCACCACTGCTACTACTATAGCCTGCTTGGCTGTAAGACGTCTCGCTCAACGGGCTTGTAGTGGTGGTTGGTCTAACTTGCCCAGCATACTGCGGTGCTGGAGGACGAGCCATCATACCTTGATGCGACTGAGTCTGATATTGCGGACTCGTTGCAGGTGGCGATGTAGGTGTTGTGGTTGCAGGATAATGAGCTGTGGTCGTTGGAAGCTGGACAGACGGTTTGGGGTTCTTTGCGCCTGAAGCCAAGTGTAGGGCATAGGTTAGCGTGCTAGTCAGGCTGCTATAGCCTTCAAAAAGACGAGGATCCAAACCTGGAGTTGATGATGGACTGTTGGGGAGCACTGGTTGGTTTAAACTACCACCTCTAAGCTGAGAAAGAGGACACCAGAATTGTAAGCCCTAGAAACCACCATTAATCGACTCAAACTACATAACTTACTGGTACGGTTGTCATCTTGGCACAGATTCAACGAGTGTAGATAGGCACAATTCGTGATTCTGTGAATTACATTCATATTAGTGAGGCGTCACATATAGAACGTCAGTAGCAGCATGAAAGCGCTCCTCAGAATCAATAGAAGCTCTAAGGATATCTTTAAGAGGCACTTGTAAAGTTCCACCTACCAAAACGTTATATCAACACAAGATGGAAGAAGGTTAAGCCCCACAGCAACGCAACCGTTTTCAGAAAGGCAACGGGTATCAAGGCGAGCAATCTCTCCTACAATAATTGATTTCGTTGAAAACTTGTTTTGAACCTTTTTCCCCGAGCTGTGATTCAGTGTTTTGTTTTCTTCTCGTACTTTTCGGCCAGAACGGTCTTCTTGCGTTTATGTGATACATTACCCATGCACGCTCGAAACGCCTCAAAAGAGAAGTATGGCACCTTTAAAATATTTGTGGATTATGTATATTTGCTGTAAATGTACTTAAACGATCCAGAAATCACGTGAAATTTGAGGATAATCATCATTTTTTGTTGACTGATGTTGAGCTTTTGAACATGTCAGCCAGTCCCTGTGCAACAAACAATCCTTTAATCTTTCCTTTGGATGCTCCTCCTTCCTTGGGTGTTCCTTCACTGCTAGGTTCGAGAAGTGAAGGCTGGCAGCTAATTGACGGTGGTCCAATAGACAGAGCACGATCGGGTGCCTCAAATACAGATCCCTGTCTACTTGGCGCCACAACGGATACAGCTCGACTGGTAGCACCACTCATTCGTTTCTGTAAGAATTCTTCCCAATTCTTCCCAAGCTGAGTCTGTTCTGGTTCCGCTACACGTTCCCGCTCCAGCCTTTCAAGCTCCTTCTTGTTGAGTTCTTCTTGTTGTTGTGCGCTAAGACGGCCATCAGCGGCACTTATGGAAGCATCTAGTTGCTTCAGATACTCTTCAGGGCCATTACCGACCTCGGTTCGATACGTGCCATACTCGTAAACGATTGGAGGTGGGACTACGAAGAGGGCTCGGTTTAGGGACTCTGATGGAATTGGAGCATCCAGTAAAGCTACGACGGCAGGAGCCATTTTTATGACGGTAGATTCGAGATACTTTTCATTGATCTTGTTCTTCATTTCTGGTGAAATCGTTACGGTTCGAGGAGCAAACATCTCGGGCGGTAGGTATCCTGCCATGGCAACTTCTAACTCAGTAAGTGTCAGGTTGGAGGAGGGGTCGAGTGACGCTGGTAGACTCTGTGCTATGGAGCTCAACACATCACAAATCTCTCTAAAGTTTCCGCTTGTGGGCGGTAGTGTGGGCAGTTGTAGTGATCTTGAAGACATGACAAGAGTCTGGATTGCCGTCGTCGCAGCGAATTCATGAGATGAAGCCGAGCATCTATAATAGCATTGTGAGGTGTACGTTTTTCTCCGTCAAACAAATTTCTTTACATGATTTGCAGATTGTTTCTCGGTGCCACTTTACAATCCACGAATAGAGATCCCACTCGCCACTAGGTATCAAAATTGTGCATTAGAATCACGCACCGCTGGTTATAAAACGGTTGTAACACAGACAAGACCTACTATAGAATCAAATGCAATTCCAGATTCACCAGTAATGGTTTTGAGTGCAATTCTGCTCATTACATACAGATTGGGATGAAGCGCACCCTCTATCACTAGTCCACATCGTTGCTCATCATCGCGGCCGGTTTCCGATGTCATGCCAGCAGCAGCGACAACGGATTCCTACATATCCGAACCATTAGTGGTGAGGTTTGTAAAATTTTTGTGTCGGACGCCATACCATATTGATATACGGTGATTTGGACAAGTATTCTAATTCAGGAGCCCTTGCTTGATTTCGATCAAAGAATGGCACACCTGTAACTTGATCAACCAAAGATTCCGTACAAAGTACAAATCGAACAAGTGCTTGAAGTGATGGAGTCTGGTGACAAAACACTCGAGATACAGAAATGAATTCTCCAACGATTAGAAACTCGACAGCAAAATCTCCACAATATCGAGTTGACGTGTAATACTGTTTGGCTAATCGTTCACCGGCCACTACGATTTGTATATCTTCTGCAAGACTTTGCGGAATGCGGTAGCCGAGGACACTGTTGTTTGGCATGTGTAGCGTCTCTGTAGTGCCCACGAGAGTGATATTGCCTTCAGGTGATATTACATAGTGGGAGTTCACACAGTTGGTTCCTTCACGGACTTGTTTGATAGGGAAGTCACACAGTGACAGGGCTTGGGACTGGGCGGATTCTTCACCAGTCATTAAATGGTGAAATGATGGGTGAGAATATAGTGGAACTCCAAGGACCTATCACCAAGAGAAGGGTTGGAGCAAAAAAAGACGTCGTTGAGTTCTACATCTCACTTACAGAACTGAGAACCTCCTCTTCGGTCACAGAACCCTTTACATAGGAAGAACCACATATACCAGGCACTATAAAGGCATTGCCAACTGTCCAAGCCATAGCTCTAATTTCTTGCAATGCCCACGGGGATATCATGAGCATGGAAGCTAAACAAGATCCTTCTGGCAACAAGTGTCCATTTTCGGGCTGGAGTACTCGAATGCGATTAAATTTGCTCTGAAGACCTGATGGTACTGGGCTTCCAAGACTGTCCATAAGAGCCTTGACTGGATCTTTGTGAAGTTGTCCAGGTGGAACGACGTAGAGTATTTGCAAATGTGGATCCGTCAGCAGCTCAGTTAATCTGGATGAGATGTGTGTAAGCAAATGCACATGCGAAGTCGAGCGCCTTCAATTTTTTTGGCCTTACTTGGATATCTGTTGCCAGTACCAAGAATCTATTGCTCCATATTTGTCTCGCCGACCAGGTGGACAAGATAAAGAGGGGATATGTACCAGCAACCTGTGCTTGGAAACGAGTGAGCAAAGCCTCTTATACCAGGAGAGTAGTGTGTTTCTTTCTACCTTGCTTTGTTCTTGTTTTCAGCCCAGTTGTCTCGAAACTTCAAATACAACTCGACTGAAACTTTTTGATGCCTTTCTCGGCGCTCCATAACTAAATTATACGTCCGCCGTCTCGTCAAATGAGACTCCCAGTGCTTTAATAGACTTCGACAGGCGATTCGTTGAGCAAGTAACAGCACGTAGCTGCTTTTACATAAATACATTCGGAGATTTCGTTGTATCGTGATGGCAGCTGCGTCTTTCCTATCCATAGACTTGTATCTTTGCCCTGGAAGGTGAATGATTCTCTCCACATCAGACTTGTTAGCGAGAATGGAAATCAAGTCGGATTTCGTCACGGGATACAGTAACGGTCGATGTAGCAGCTTTTCAAACTTTTTAAGAGATATTTCAGCCCAATTGACTAATGTGACGTGGTTAGTCACGTGGAGAAAGAAAGAGGATCAAAAAAGGGTGAGTGTACCTGTATAGTCGCGGCATAGCTTCATGACAAGCGACAACACTACATCATAACCTTCAATGCCTCGCAATAGTCTCTGCATATGTATACAAGCTGGAGAATGCCGCACTAGCTCTCCATCCTTGACTACAATTCCATCAGGATCTCTTGTACTGTCATTGCCTTCTCTCGCTACAGCCAATAGATCCATACTAACGAACGGAGTGGCTGGCAGAGACTGCTCAGATGCTTGCTCTTTTTGATACCCTGTAGGAGGACGTGGAATAATCACACGCTCTCTCGATATAGTCTGAAAGATTTCTTCTACGAGCGGATCAGTCCCCTGCAGAGTTGGCATTGCTGAAGTCACGTCCATGCCATTTGGAAATGCTTGTCGAGATAGATGCTGATATATGCCAGTATGAGCAACAAGCAGTGGTGAGGGTAGTGTGGTCGCTGCCTTTCGTGGCACTTCACGATGCAAGATTGCATTTGGTTTCAAGCCGTGCCGCTGAGACGTTTCCTTCTTTGGAGCAGTAGGCTTTTTGGTAGGAGTGGTTGATACATTGCTTGATGTTGAGCTCCTCGGTGATGATTTTGATTTTAGCGAATCTGATGAATGATCTACTGGTCGTAACGGTGCTCGGCGATTTGCAGGACCTTTGGGCGGTAAAGGTGGCATACTAGATGGAGAATCCGGCCCTAAATGAGAGCGATTGTCTTGATCTTCACGTTTAATATTCCAGTTCTGTTCTTCAAACTTTCTGTCTGAGGATTGCACAGCACAGGATCTAGGTAAAAGAGTTTGCTGTGGCGATGAGCTCCAGTTCTTTACAGAGTCCGAAAAAAGCTACAGGTCCTGTTCAGTCACCCAAACTGTAAGTCCAGATCACAAAGGATGACAGCTTTGGTTTTTTGAGTTTTAGCAGTTTTTAGCAACTAGTTGGACCAAGCTCACTCATCAATTATCAACTAGCTCACGCGAAAGGATCTCTACATGGCTCAATTTCATCCCTCAATTGCTCTCTCAGAGCAAGATTTCCAACATTGAACGTGTCGTCAACTTGTTACGTCACGCTGAGGAAAGCGATGGGGCAAGACAACAGAGTGAGTCAAATACTCTGATTTTCTTGAACATTGGATGTCAACTCAATGAACTGCATCGCGCTTTCCCTAGTTGGAAGATGTCCTGGAGTTACCTATGTACCAAACTTGTTGCAAGGGACCAATCTGCATCAAGTTCTTGCGTCGTTCGACTTAACAAAGTCTATGACGTGGGAGTCTATTGTGAAGGCCCTCGAGTCAGGAAAGATAGAGATGCTAGTCAAGAAAGGGTGAGTCCTATAGCCTTGGTCCATCACCGTTTTTGCTCATGGAACTCTACGACCTCATTAGAGTCAACGTGGACCCTATCGCTATTGAAAACATCTTGCTTCCACTTGTATATATTGCATGCCACAGTGGCGAGCTTGTTCCTGGAGCCCTTCGTGACATACCACGTCAAATATCTAAAAAGGTGATTCAACATTGTTTCAAAATCTTAGCTCAAATGGAATCTGAGCTTCGTGCCCTTTCAGATCTTGGGAATTTCAAGAACATCGAAGCTGCCAGCAGATACATGGTCTAGTGCATTCACAGATTGTGCTCTTCGGATGCATGACTATGAATCTCCAACGTATGTCAAGCAAAAAATGAATCCTGACAGAGGTTTGATTTCAGTTGGGTTGATCTTCTCTTCTAACAATTTTCCTTATAGGCCCATAATATCTAATATCCTAATGAACGAAATGCTCGAGACGATACGAATCAAACGACTTCAAGAGGCTGGATTCATAGCACCATTTCCGTTGTCAAGCAAAGGTCTCGAGCTTCCCAGGGGCTCTGAACAACGGTTAGCTGGTATATTATCGTGTAGCTTTTATACAGTGATTGAGTTCTCCAAAAGAAGCGAGTACATGGTGAGTTCGCAAAGAGTTAGTCCTCGTCTATATCAATAACCTTGTTGCTTTTTTGTTTCTTTACCCAGACTGTAGAGAATTTGCATATCTTGGCAAGTCATGGGGGTCGGCTTCCTGCTGCATGGTTCACGTCAGAGTTCCTGGCTGCTTCAGTGAAGGTAGCTGAAACACTTATGATTGATGATTTGGACAAGCCATCTGCTGCTAAAGGTCTTGGTGCAATTTCAGCGTTATGGTCGTTTTGGATTCGGAAAACAAGTATAGAATCTCTGCCCAGTTGCATTGAGCGACGTGCAAAAAACAACGAAGCTTTCATCGTTAACATCTGCTCAATCTAGCTACATACTCACAATCGCCTCATGCTGCATCCATAATGGAAATGCTAAAGACTCTAGTTCAAACCGAAGCAACAGACCCAACCACACTCTTGTATAGCACTGTATCTTTATTATCATCGTACCCACCACATCCAGCCTCCGAGGAATCCAAAAACGCCGAATACCTCAAAGAATTATGTTCCCTACTACCAACCGTCTACCCACGTCTACCAACTCAAGAACGAGATCTGACGCGAGCCTCGATAGCTCAAGTATTTCGTAAACTGCCTGCCACTGAAATCAAAGCATATGCAACAGCGCTACTGAATGGTGTTGCAGCAGCACCATTCGAAGCAAACGATATTGCTCAATTGATTTATTTAATTCAGTTTGGTGCTGTACAGCAGTGGGAGGCAATGCAACCTGTGATTAGACCGATATGGAGGAGAGTGTTTGGTGGTGAGATGTACGCTGAACGGACTGTTCCTGATTGGACGTTGGATATGTTAGAAGCTTGTCAGGAGGTTGGAGGCATTGTTGGGAGTGCTGCAGCTGCTGGAGTAGCGTAAGAAAATTGCTACTACCTTGTTTTTTGGGTGTGTCTCATTTGTTTGTTCATTTTAGAAGGAGCGCATTCCTATCCAAAGCTGATCCAAAGCACTTTGTGGTTACGCAGACCATTCGACGTGATATCCTGGATAGAGCGTTTGAGATTATTACAGTAGAAGTTTCAAAACGTATAGCTGATGAAAATGGTATGCCCAGCTAAAAAAGCTCGCTGATTGGTCAAAATAATTCTAAGCACGGTTCCCTTGTTTAGATTTGATACCTTCTTCCGTCCGGGACGGAATTGCTGTAATTTGCTCTTCAACAGTGGGCGCTGTTACAGACCATGAAGATATCTTCACCCTTCCCAAATTCGATTGGCGGGTATGGCACTTTTGCATCTGACAAAAAAACAATTGACCCAAGCGAACTCATCATGCTCTCTTAGCCTCTGATAAAACAAACCGTCGCATCACTACTTCATTCATCCGATACATTATCACTACCATCCAACACATTCGACTTACTATCATCTGGCACTATATCACCAAGTCTGCACGACCTCTTGACTCAACGAGCAGACCCAAAAGCACGAACATTCATGTATGGTGAAGTCAGCAGAATGGCTTATGGTATTGGATTAATGGCTGCCGTCGTGTGGAAGGACGGAGAGGTAGAAACTGTCGAGTCTGTGTTGAATGATGTGCATAGTATGATCGCTAGTGTTTCAAAGGCATGGGAGACATGTACCCTGAATAGCAACCCTCCAAAAGGTAACGTGGTGAATCAGTATTTGAGCAAAACAAATCGCGCACTCACACTGAGATTTGATCGACTTTGCATAGCTATCGAAGCAACAACAACAGCACTATGGTCCCATTTCCGTATAATGCTGTTCTGTGTCACATCCATATTCAAGCACATAACCGATGTGTTGCCAGACAGGCCGGATTTAGATGCATCACCAGCCCTTACCAAACTATTTATGGTATTGCGAGACATCCATTTCGTGACTGTGAGATTTGGCAGTGAAGGATTCAAGGCCTGGCAAGGTGTAATATCAGGATGCTGTGCATGGTTTCATACTCATATAAGGAGACAACTAAAGTTGAAACCTGATGATGTGATTTATGCATTGATTGGCGATTTGGAAGCTGATTTATACAGTGAGTGAAGGTTTGCTGTTAGAATAAAATGCAAAAGCTAAAAAAGACTAATGTAATAGTCGCCAAAAATCCTGTATACAAGACACAGTTAACATTCTGCATGCTGCTATCACGACAACTAGCACGACATTTATCAGACAAGATCTTGTCACAAGACTTGTTACCCAAATGCTATCCATATCTGTTTTTATCATACAAGCCTGAGGCCCCATTGCCTCGAGAACCACCATCAGAAGACAAGGATTTGTTTGAAGCATGTCACGCAGTATGTCTTGCTATTCTAGAACGAGGAGGAGGGTCTGGAAATGTAGTTCAGGATTTGGCTGGTTGGTATGGTGCTGCTTTACTTGAGGTATTTACGCCAAAAAGCCGATAAAACTTCATAGAGTGTATGCTAATACTGCGTCGTTGGCACACAAATATTTAGGCATATCCCGATCCGATCGATTACGACATACTACGACGAGGCTTCACACTATCTGTCCGTGCATGCTCCTTTGCGTCATCAGCAAACTCATCAGCATCAGTAGGAATGAATGCCATCCATGAAGCCGAAGAAGCAAAAGAGAATGCCGAATCAAACATCCCCGATACCCCAAACGCACTCTTAACATCATCACCTGATGAATCAGATGACGATACCAACAACAATAACAAGGATGATGCTATAAATAACGCAACACCAAAATTACCATCTCAGCAAGATACCGAATCAGATGCCATGGCATGGTCACTAATAGCACGATTACTACACAAGATCCAAATCCTGAATGATCGTATCGCACATCCTGAGAATGAGGCTGTACCTGATTTTAGTAAAGGTGGAAGTAAAGGACGTAGAATCGATTTGATATTGGAGGCGTCGCCGTTAACGCGGTTGAATCTTCAACGCGATCAATTGACGATGGTGCTGTTTGATTCTATAAGGGTTGTCGGGCTGAATGGATTGGAAGGTGTGTTGAATGTTATTGAGACGCTCTTGTTGGATGGGTATGTGCCTGCGTGGGCGACATCTGGGATAGAAAATACAACCGCTACAGCTACCAGTGATACACATCACGAACCCGCATCCGTCGAAGAGGAAGAATCCACACACCACACACCATATACTGGAATAGGCATCCAATCAAATCCAGACACATCCCCATTATGGCAGTCCCTGATATCAACCATCGGACATGCGAAAGGATTTGATTATGCCAGAAAGACGAGATGTGTTGGGTGGTATATGAATACATTGCATGCTGCACGGGACAGATGGAGAGAGTTTGTAAACAGGGAATTGACGAAAGAACGTGTTGTGGGGCCTGTGCTGCCACAGGGACATCCGTTACGAGCTCGGTTGTAAGCTACAATAGTGTAATAATAGTAGATATAGTTTTTTGGGCTACTACTATTACTATGATATGGGGTGTTCAGGTTGAGAAAGTCACGTTTTCGCTCCTGTCAAATCGTTAATATGGTCTAAACATTTGTGCTGTTTGTGCTGCTACATGCACTTCTACACTTTTCATAACTCCTATAGCATTCTTTGCACTTGTCTAACGTATATGCGTGCTTTTGCTAAATGGGGACAAAAGTCGTCAGTTAAAAAGCTCAGAATGTCATTTCTCCCAAGATTTCAACACGATCGCCCATATCGGTCGCCTACTCCCAACCAATCTTAATCTCCTCATAAACAAACACAGCTCATACGTACACAGTTGCAATACCAGCAAAGTACACTACTTCTCCCACAATCGTCGAGACAGGCTGTCAAAATCTGCTCCTTTGTTTGCTTTTTCTTGCCACCGGCTATGGCAGTATGCAACAGGGTGAGTATAATGAGCAGATGCCATAGGAATCTCATCGTAAAGGAGTGAATTCTGATCAGTTTGTGTGGTACACGTCAAACTGTTTTGAAACGCGTCGGTAAGGGCGTTTTGACAGTTGTTGACAGAATGGGGATAACACTACTTGGACGCGTTATCACGCTCCAATTGGAGTTTTCAGTTCATCACTGATGCTTTCAGATAAGTCACTCCGCAAGAAACATTTTGGTTGGGATTTTAAGAGGGCAGATGTCTATTTTGTCATAATGGTTTGGTGGTTTGGAAGCTCGTTGGTGTAATGATAACAAATCTAGTAACAGAAGCTCCTTCCATAGATATGTCTAGGCATTTTCGTGGTGATATTGCTCAAAAATCGTCTCTATCTCCCGTCACGATTACAATCACTCCTTGTTTATCCTCGTACACATCAGCCCACAATCACCTCTACATTTCTCATACCTCGTATAGCATGCCAAGCAATTTCTCCAAGTGATTGACTTATTTTGCTAATATATTAAAGCCCAAAGTATAGGTTAGAATTCAACAAGAAAAACAAAATGATTTCGTGATTTTCAAGCCCATTCGTCAAAGCGATCGCTGCCTGATAACTAAATAAAACACTTCCAAACACATACAGCATTCATGGTCCAGCACTCTACACTATAGTCGATACAGTAGTCTAGACATGCTGTCAACCGTTGTTCTGGTTTTTGTTCTTTGGCCTTGCCGCCTGCGAATGAGGTAGCGCACAGGGCCATTATAATGAGGATTGGAAGTAAGAGCTTCATTGTGGCGAATTTTGGGTTAGTTTGTCAGATGCCTGTCAAATGTTGGTGAAGCTGCGTCTGTATCGTCAAATACCACAACATAGAGGCAGAACCCCACTCGTGGCAACAACAACAACAGCAACAAGAAAATAGACAAAGATTTGATTAAGTGACGTGATTTCTATGTCTTTGTTCATGGTTGACGCGTCTATGAAAAAATATTGAAGTGTATAAAATATGTGCTTTTTACAAGACCGCAAGGATTATTTGTACACCACTTCCTTCGTACCGCACACATTCTCAGAGCTCTCTAGCCAACCCTTCTACGCTTCCTCCTTTCTTCAGGCCCATCATGTTGTGTCGCAGCACGAGTTGCATGACTGCTCGATGATAATGATGCAGTTGATGGTTGATGCGCTCGGGTACTACGACGAGGCTGTTGTTGCTGTGGTTCGGTAGAACTTGACGATGGTGACGGCCTTGCTTCGTCTACTATTATAGGTGCGGCGGCGGATGAAGATATTGCGACGGATCGAGTAGGTTGTACTACCGGCAACCTTATACGTATTTCTCCAGGGACGACTTGTTGGAATGGTAGTGCCGGTGTTGTAGTATTTGGTGTTGGTAGAGTAGTAAGGGTTGTGTGTAGTAATCTTGGCGATCGTCGTCGAGGAAGTCGTCCCTCTAAGATACGATTGTTTGATTAGCGGAATAAACAAAACCAACAAACAACAAAAACAAAGCAAGATCAAACATAGGTGTATACCTTCATGAGCGAATTCATCAATCTCGACATTCAAAGCAGCGAGCCTTGGAGCCATTCGTTCTCTCACAAGTGCACTGAATTCTTGATTATCAACCTATCAAGTACATACACATCGGTATTTAGTCAGATTCATCATCGCTTTTCATCTACACAATAATCTGCTCACTTCGAGTTCATAGCGACAAGACGGACACGTATTGTGTTGCTGCAACCATTGAGCCAAGCAGTCAAAATGGAAGAAGTGCTTGCAAGGCATGAATATAGGACGAGATTCGTATCCAAGCATGTGAGGTTTTGTCGGTTGACGTCCCTTGGCTATTGGGTCTCTACATATGCTGCAGTCTGTATCGGCTCGTCGCTCAGATAAGAATGTTGGACAAGCGAGATTTGCGATTGCATCGGCGGATGCAGGTGGAGGGCCATGGTGGATGGAACCGATAGTGCCTATGTGTGTTTAGTGATTAGAAAGGGAAATGCACGTCTTTGCGGATTTGGAATGAAAAGCGAGGTACCTAGCCATTCACGTAATGACAATGTCAACTATGTAAGAACAGAGTCTAGTCAGTGATTTGCTACCTCACAACAACACGATGCTACGAAGGGTTGATGTGTTATTTAACAGTGAAGATATATACCTCGAGCAATATTCCCAAGTCGGCAGCAGGATTAGCACCGTGAGCAATTGGCTGTTGTCTATCAGCGGCGGACCTAGTTATACGTCGATTGTTGTCTGAATGCAGATGATTGTTTGTGTCGTGATTTGCGGTTGTTTGTGGCAGTCCAGCCCTTGCGAGTGAAATCCTTTCGAGAATAGCAATAAAGAGCGCCCTGGACGCGAGATCGTCAGCGTCCATCCTTGTCTCTTCTGATGGTTTACGCTTGCTTTACAATCGGCTAGTCAGGGAGGAAGATTTAAGTGTCTGATGGGCGATCAAGTGCATGTGCGAGGCAGGGGCCGAGAGAGAGAACTGAGTCCAGTCCATGATTTAAGCGAATATCCACTTGTCCACTCGTGTATCGCTGCTTTGATCGCGATCTGACGCTTTATGACAAAATACCTGATAACCAGCTGTAGGAAGCCAAAACGTGTCTATTGACGCGTCATAATATCGGTAACAATATAAATACGTAAAAGTAGACCAGTAGTAACGTGTATATTTGACTATTGTCTCGTCTCTTCACCAAACACAAGAGTGAATCAGACCAAACGAATAGCAATTATTAAAATGTTTTCTCCTCTTCAAAGACGGATGCGAACGCCCATAAATACTGTATACAAGGTATCATATGATCACTCCTTCTTCCTCCCCTTCTTCCTCCCTTCTTTCCACAATATTAACTGGTATTTAAATTTTACAGTTATCGCAAGCATCGTTGAGATATGCAACTACCACTTCGGCTCCCTCTGAAGGCAGATACGACAGCAGCGGAAACAGATTCGTAACCCTGATTCCCGGCGACGGTATCGGCCCTGAAATATCAAAACACGTAAAGACCATCTTTGCTGCTGCCAAAGTGAGTCTTGCCTCATATCAAAGGGGATGCGATGGCTGATGATCATTGTATTGCATTCACTATATGTGTTGCATCAATGTTGTCTTTGTTGCCGGGCTTGATCTCTTACAGCACTTTGTGTTGGTCAGTAAGAACTAATGCATGATTATTACCCACATAGGTGCCTGTCGTTTGGGAAGAAGCCGACGTGACTCCCGTTCTAAAAGATGGGAAGACTGTCATCCCAAAACTCGCACTAGATTCTGTAAACAGGAACAAGGTCGCTCTCAAAGGTGCCTAAAAATATGGGAAATTCTCCTTTTTTTTGGTTTATCTTTACAAGGTCTTTGAAATCAACCCCATCCTCCCCTAGGCCCACTCGCAACACCAATTGGAAAGGGACACGTGTCACTCAACCTAACTCTCCGAAGGTACAGCCAAAAAAAACATTTAATTCATGAAAATATCACCACTGATACCCACTCCCACAACAGGACATTCGACTTGTACGCAAACGTCCGACCATGTAAATCCATCGTGGGATACAAGACCCCCTTCGACAATGTAGACACAGTCCTCATCCGTGAAAACACAGAGGGCGAATACTCTGGAATCGAACACGAAGTCATCCCTGGTGTAGTCCAAAGTATCAAACTCATTACCGAAGATGCCTCAAGAAGGTGTATTCGATATGCTTTCGAGTATGCCAAGTCTATCGGAAGGAAGAATGTCACTGTTGTGCACAAGGCTAATATTATGTGAGTTTGTGTGATTCTTACGATGAACTTGGAGTTACATGGAAGACGCGGCATCTCGCTTTCTTTGTCTTGTCCTCGTTTCACTTGATGACCATTTCCGCTCCACTTATTAAATAGGAGACAATCAGACGGACTCTTCTTAAGCGTAGCTCAAGACATGGCCAAAGAATACCCAGAACTCACACTGGATGAAAAGATACTAGATAAAGTAGTCCTCGAAATCGTACAAGACCCAACAGACTACTCTGAAACCGTCATGGTGATGCCAAATCTGTACGGTGATATCTTGTCTGACTTGGGTGCTGGATTGATTGGTGGGCTTGGTTTGACTCCGTCTGGAAACATTGGACAAAAGGCGTCCATCTTTGAATCGGTATGTTTCGCAAGCTTGAAGTGCTTATATTGTTGTGTGCGGTTGGGATTCCTGATATGAGAATCGGATGGCGAAACGAGCGAGGAAGAGATTAATGGACTCCTTAGATGACGGACGTCGTACACTTTATTGCTTGCCGAAGCTCACTTCCACTCTCAATTCCTCAGGTCCATGGAACAGCACCAGATATTGCCGGACAAGACAAGGCAAACCCAACTGCGCTACTCTTATCTGCAGTCATGATGCTGAAACACATGCACATGGAGACATATGCAGAAAAGATCTCAAACGCTGTCTTGTCTACTATTGCTGAAGGAAAAGTACTCACTGGTGATTTGGGTGGTAAATCTACTGGAACTGCGTTTACGCAAGCTGTAGTTGCCAAGCTAGGTTGATTTTTGTTTGTAATAGTTGGTTTTGGATTGTGAGAAGGAGGTTTTCTTAGATAATCGTAGAATATGAAAAAGCACATTTTCAAACAAGAGACAAAAAAAGGCGGCGAGCAGGATGCAAATGAATCTCGGTATATCGGGTCTTTGAGCTTGTTCGGGTTACATGTACGTTATCTTTACTGTTTTTACAACGGGCGAGAGACAGATATGACATCAGAGGTAACAAAACCGTCACTGTGCTATCCTCCCACGTAAATGTTCCAGGATGGCTGCAAAGATTGAAGAGGGAGAATACGTTACCGAGAAAAAGCGCTTCAGGAAAAATCCTCGAATACATTTTTGCTTCATACCACACATACCCTCAGTCCCTTTAGCTAATATCTGCTGCCTTGGAACTTTGAACAGATTCCCATTCAGATTCAGCGACTTGAGTGTACTAATCAATCCCAATTCAGGAGGCACTTGTGTGATGGAGTTGTTACTAGTTATATAAATGCAAAACCAGTTACTTTCTCCCTCTAGGCAATGTTCCAATTTCTTTTGCCCATCCATCAGCGCTACTTAAACAACGAAAACAATGCACTCATTATTGTACGAGGAAAACTCACCTCAAATCCAAATGCACCAACCCTTGCACAAATACAACAGAGACATCCCGTAACTGATTCCCCGACACTAGTAACGTCGACAGGCTAGGAAACACACGCTCATTAGGCATCCTAGTTATGCGATTCCCATTCAGATTCAAATCTGCGACTTTCGGGAAACTGCATCCTTGTGCTAATGATGGTATGACACTAATAGAATTATAGCTCAAATCTAGTAATCGAAGTCCGGGATAGTCACCGGACGGGAATTCGGTTAACGAGTTATGGTGTAGGACTAGTTCTGTTAGGTGCGATGAGATTGGAGGTGGTATGGCGAGGGCAGAGAGTTTGTTTTGAGCTAAGTATAGCTTTTCGATTGCTGTTGGAGTAGTTGTGGGTAGTTCCGGGAGTGCTTCCAAATTCTTGTTTGAGAGGTCTAATATTTTCGAGGTTGGTGATAGTATTATGGAAGCACCATTGCTTCTCTTGCTTGACTCTTGTTCCGCTGCTTTTGAGAAGTGGAAAGACAAGTTAAATCATGCGCGGAAAAAGATGATAATCGTGCCTTCAGATGCTTTCACCTGGCGCAATCTTGTCTCGTAGGTACTTCAACACCTTCACAGTCCCAGAATCAGAAGGTATTCCCAATTTAATCACATTCCCAGCGAACGACAAGACATTCAATTTACTCAAATTTCCCAATTCAGGAGTCAATACCGTTAAACTATTATTACTAACATCGAGTCTCGTCAATTCATTCAGTGTTTTGATACTTGATGGCAATTCAGCGAATGCACAATCACGCATTTCAAGAGTCGCTAGCCGTTTCGATGAGGATGACAATATGGTTGTTGAGATGGATTTACATGGGTTGTAGGAAATGTATAAATCGGTCAAAGCGGGTGTTGATACTGGGTCGTTGAGGTGTGTCAATTTGTTATACCTAACATGAACAGATGTTGGTGTATGATATTTTTCGCTTCCAATAGGTAGAATATCAAAATCGTTTCCTACTTAACATCAAGCCTCGTCAAAGCCGGCAAGGTAACAGGATTCTCACCAAACAGTGGCGCAACAATCGAATTACTCTCCAGATTCAAATCAATCAATTTACTCAATCTGCCCCATGCCACATTACAGGTCCTTGTGATTCCATTCTTGCTAGCATTCACTTTCGTCAAGTTGAGACAAGAGGAGATATTGCATAAGTCACCGATTAGCTGATTGTCTGATACGTCCAGTGTTGATAGTCGAGTAGCGCGAGATATAGAGTCTGGTATCTCGACGAGCTTGTTTGCAGAGACGTTCAGTTCAACTAATGGCAGATCAAAGAGTTCGTCAATGAGACTGGTCAGTGCGTTTGTTGATAGGTTTAGGTGTGTGAGGTTGATCAGAGATTGTACTTCTAAGGGACTTTTGTTCGAGGGAACGGAAGTGTGAGCGAGAAAAAAAGCCGTGGTCGACATATCGAATATCACCCTTACATGACTTGTATCCGATTGTTATGAGCGTCGAAAGCAACTAGTGCTTCGAATTGGGATATCCGTGGATCTACACTTGCTATCTGATTGTCTGCTATTACCAACCGAGTCAATTCAGACACCTAAAAGGTTGAGATTAGATCAGATGCAAAAACTAGTGATGTGCTGCCAAGTTATTGACCGATCTTCTCTCAGTTCCTACCTCCCACCAAGACACATCATTGTCAGAACGATCAAGCGATACGTTCGTGACTGGAGCAGTTCCGACAGATTCATCAAAGAGAGCGTCAGGCCATGCGATCAGAGATTGCCCCGACAAGTTTATGCGACCTGAAGCTCGTCCTTGTTGTATAATCTTGTTTAGTGACGATGATCCGGATGATACATTGTTGTTGCTGGATGATGCACCGAATGCATTGTTCTTGTGATGAAGTGATGATCTGTTGGTCGAAGGTCGCGGTGTCGGAGCTGTAGTGCTAGAACTAGATCGTGGTGATGATTTGATAGATGCCGATGGTGATTTAATAGATGAAGAGGGTGGTTTTATTGATGCAGATGCAGATGAAGGCTTCGACGTTGGTCTTGTGGCAGGAATTGGGATTGAACTTGCTCGTTGCATTGGTTGATCCTAATGTTTTAATGTTTGGCGATGCGAAGAGTTTCAACCTATGTGGACTGTGACAAGGAGCAAGTTAGAACGCGTTTAAAAGTAGATCTAAACGTGATCTAGCGATTTACAGATGATCTTCCCTCCACCAACAACAATTTGGACACATTCATCAAACACACTTTGCAACTACATACCAATACAAGCAAGAATGACTGCTCCAGCAGTGACCGATGTATCCCAGATCTATGATACTATTTTAATTCTTGATTTTGGGTCTCAATACACTCACTTGATCGCTCGTCGTATTCGAGAATTGGGTGTCTACTGTGAGCTGCAAGCTTGCACTGTCAAGATGGCTGACATCAAGTTCAAACCAAAAGGTATGCGTTGATATTGCTTATATTTGTATCGTGCTGTTATCTCTATCCTTTCAATTGGTGTTTGTTTTTCCAGCTTGTCATCAGATTATCTTTTTTTTTGCGAGACACTTTGCGCAGAAGTACACACAGTCGTTAACAAAAATACTAAAACAACGCATTCTGTCTCGCTTATAGGCGTCATCTTATCTGGAAGTCCTTACTCTGTCTACGATCACGATGCTCCTCACGTAGATCCAGCTGTCTTTGACTTAAGTGTCCCAATTCTCGGTATCTGCTATGGTCTGCAGGTACAAAAAAAGAGGATCTGCATGACACCGACAATGATATATAATCTTATGGGACTCATTCTCTCTTTAATTCAACCTCCACAGGAAATAGCTCAAGTAAAAGGAGCAAAAGTAGGCTCCTCAACAAAACGTGAATATGGAAAAGCTGATCTCCATATATCACACGAACAACCATCACAACTATTTACTGGCTTCTCACCTGCCGATAAACATATAACTGTGTGGATGAGCCATGGTGATAAGGTCGATTCCCTACCTCCTGGTTTCCGTGTTATTGCCACCACCTCAACTTCTGATTTCGCTGCTATTGATAACGAGGAAGAACGTATTTGGGGTATGTGTGGTTGCGCGTGTTGATTATGGGTGATAGATAGGATGGAAGAAAAAAACTCGTTGGGACACCAGATCATGTAACGTCCATTCTCACTCCACACCCAACACCCTATAGCAATCCAATTCCATCCTGAAGTATCACACACACCACGTGGAACTGAGCTATTGCAAAACTTTGTGTGTGGTATTTGTCATGCTGATGCATCATGGACAATGACATCCTTTGTAGACAAGGAAATTGAACGTATTCGTTCCATCGTTGGACCAACTGCTCAAGTTATTGGTGCTGTGTCTGGTGGGGTTGATTCAACTGTTGCTGCTAGGCTCTTGACTTTGGCTATTGGTGATAGGTATGTAGCAGTCGCTCGTGCCTAGCCCAAGTGTTGGTTGTGTCAGAGCAAATTGGGAGCACTGATGCCCACTTTTTTTTGGTTTTGTCTCGTATTTAGATTTGCTTTTGACCTTTTGTTGTTCAATTAAATATTAGATTCCATGCCATATTGGTCGACAATGGCGTCATGAGACTAGACGAATGCACCAATGTCTTAAAAACACTTCAAGAAGGATTGGGAATAAATGTTCATTTGGCTGATGCTGCTGATCTCTTCCTTGGTAGACTCAAAGGAGTAAGCGCAAAAAAGCAACAGATATGCATCATCTGTCACCAGCGTTAACTGACCACCACCACACGGTCACCGAATAGGTCACAGATCCAGAAAAGAAGCGCAAAATCATTGGAAACACTTTCATCGAAGTCTTTGAAGAAAATTCAACACGTATTGAAAAGCTAGTTGAACAAGAGGGCAGAGGCAAAGTTGAATTCTTGTTACAAGGGACTTTGTATCCGGATGTAATTGAGTCGATATCGTTTAAGGGACCTTCTGCTACCATTAAGACTCATCATGTAAGCTGGGTGGAAGTCTGATAGAAGGGAGCGTAGCATTCGACTAGGACTAGTCAATACCTGAAGATGTCATGTTGGTTTTTCGCTGACGATTTCTCTCTTGGTTTTAGAACGTTGGTGGTCTATTGGATGACATGAAACTTAAACTTATTGAACCATTACGAGAACTCTTTAAAGGTATTGTTGACCCCCTTTTTGATTTTTCTCGTTTTCCCGAAACCCCAACCAAAAAAGACCCCGAGAAACCGCAGAACACATTGAATACCTTTTTTAATCCTTTCTCTCGTTTTCAATTTGTAGATGAAGTCAGAGCACTCGGCAAAATCCTGCAACTGGATGATGACCTTGTATGGAGACATCCGTTCCCAGGTCCTGGAATTGCTATTCGTATTTTGGGAGAAGTGACAAAGGAGCAAGTTGATATTGTTCGTCATGCTGATCATATTTACATTGAAGAGATCAAGAAGGCTGGTTTATATCGACAGATATCTCAAGGTGAGGAGACAAGGTTGATTTATTGCATTTTGCTTAACAGCAAAAAAAGACGCAGTTTTTAAGTCGTACTATCCCCTCCTGAGAGCATTCAGATTTTTCTGATACTCTGAGGTCGTTAAAGCTTGCATGAGATTCCCCATTCTCACACAATCACTTATTTATAGCATACGCTGCCCTACTACCAATTCGATCTGTTGGTGTCATGGGTGATAAGAGAACATATGAGCAAGTCATTGCTCTTCGTGCTGTTGAAACCAGAGGTAAACGGAGAAATTTTCAATTTAACAGTGTCATGTCTTTTGTTGGGTTCCAGTTTGATGCAGAATGAGCAACAATTTGTTTAATGGGAGAACCAACAAGACCATCCGTCACAGAATCGTCCGTTACAAAATCGGAATAAATATTTTGCTCGCCATACGCTAACCGCTCGTTTGTTTATTACAATAGATTTCATGACTGCAGATTGGTTTGAATTCCCATACGACATACTCAAAAGGATATCATCTCGTATTATAAACGAGGTTGCTGGTGTGAATCGTGTTGTTTATGATGTTTCGTCGAAACCACCAAGTACCATTGAATGGGAATAATTCCATGCTGAGCTTTTGTAAAGTGCAGCAAATGGTTTGAGTTAGAGTAATAGATGTGAATTGGAAGGAGAAACAATGGGGCCAATCGCTCAGGGGTTTCTGGTCGGCAGTGTTTTTGTTTGGCATGAACACGTACCAGCACCAACGTTACTGATCACATGCATTCTTTAAAAGATACATTTTCTCAATGATCTTGTTTCCTGTCGTTTCTTTGCCTCGATCACGATGATCTTGGTTTCGTGACAGCTTTGCCGACCTGCTCGGTATCTGTATTGAATTCTGAAGTACAACGAAAAAAACCAGACACTAACTTGTAGTAGATGGTCAATATGTCAAACTCTACCCATCACTTCGCATCTCAAGGAGCAGAAACCAGCCTCTTTTGAGAAAACGTGAATACGGCAGAGCCGCACTAGTTTAATTCGCCCTCGACAACCTCATTAAGTGAGAGCAGTCGTTCCTATCTCACACATCCTCTTGTGATTGGCCTACTTGTTACGCCGATGCTTCATGGACAATGACATTCTTCAAGTGGAATAGGGAACTGAATACATTTGTTCAAGCGTCGGTCCTACTGCCCAAGGATGACAGTAAGAAAAGGGACCAAAAGCCATTGGCAACAAACAATGCTCAACTGGCATTGAAAAGTTAGTTTGAACCACAGAGCATTATTGAATAGAATACGTGGTTTGTTTGGTTGCTTTTGTTAGACGGAGGGGATAGCTTTAGGATATCTTGGAAATAATGCACAAAGTTTAAAAGGGGCAACGTCTATTTGATGCTCTCATTGATGCTCTTTTTTGCAGCATTCTGTCCAAATAACACGAACAAACCCCAAAAAAGGACAGAGTAAAGTCACACCGACGAGTTACTAGTATGCAAAGTTACTCAATTCTACAGGTTGATGAATCAGTCTATACTGCATTCCTGACCCGCCGTTCCACCAAAAAAACAGGCGCTCTGGCCCTTTCTACACTCACACAAACACCCGCAACCGTACCGAATAAGTTTATAATTTGGCAACCACTCTTCTCTTCCTACCACTCTCTCCGGCTCTCCCCTTGATAATCTTGATAATATTCAAGGCAGCAACAGTCTCACTCTCCATAGTTGAAAACGCTCCCTCAAATCCGTTCACATAAAATACATTCCTAGCGACTTCTACACTGTCACCAAATGCACCACTACTAGTCGGTGGTAGTTCCGGGTAGCTCCACCATTCGCGTCTCGTCACGGCTTTAATCTCTTTATAATATTTCTGTAATTCGGTGGCAGTCATGTATGTTCGTGAAAAGATTTTGGTTATTGTCGTGTTCTTGTCGTGGCAATAAGCTACGATTGATATTGAGAGGAAAGGGAGTGTTGCGTTGTTTGATGTCAGGATTGTAGATGGTGCTTTAGATGTTGGTGGGAGGCCGAATGCCGTTGGGTCCACTTGACCTGTTACGAATGTTACATATAGTTTGACGTATGGGATCATGGGTAGTGTAGGTATGTTGGGACCCAAATCTATATTACTTTGGCCCTGAGATTCGTTCAAATGTTGAGTTAGCAAGAGCGAGAAAAAAGTACTACACTTAGTTTTCCAAATGGCACTCACACCAGGACAAGCAATAATAACAATATCAAATACTTCGGGTTTCCCACGAAGTGTTTCAACAACGACTCCATCAGCACCGCCTGGAGCTAATCGCCTAACGCCAGTCACTCGAGTATTCAGTTTCACAGTTGCTTTAGATTCTTCAATCCATTTAGCCATGATTTGAGAATTCCCTCCTTTGACTTGTTGCACGTCTCCAAACAAGGCAGTCAAAACAACCAAGGCTCCAAGCGAGTTCATGTCAGAGTTTTGAGCATAATTGACTCTTGTGATTGGCTGATGAATGTAATGGTGAGATAGTGCAAGAAAAGGATGAAGAATGTCCGTATGAGGCTTACCTCCACAACCTCATCAATGAATTTTTCACTAACACCCCAATTCTTGGCTAAGAACTCTCTTGCACTAACACTCATATAGTCAAGTAACGAGTAATGATCCAGAAACTCCTGCCATGTCTCAAACCCAACATCATTCTTGTCATAAGTCTTGTACCATTTCGAAGCAGCCTCGTTGGCAGCCCTATAAGTCCTCAACGGAGACGTGCCCCATCTCCATACACCTTTGACATAATCCCAATTACTCTTCATTGTATACAGGATCTCATTTCCATTCCATACAACTAGTCCATCATCAATGTCATCCTGTGTCGTGAATTCAAGCTTGTATTTGATGCATGCATCGTGCAGATGTTTGTTTGTTTTCAGGAAGATCGACGCCCCGGATTCAACTATTATCGGTGGCGAGTCTGCAGGTGCTGTGGGATCTAGTATCGGAATGGAGTGGACACGTCCGCCAACGACCGAGTTGCGTTCGTAGATGGTAATGTTTGAATCAGGAAATTGTTCACGTAGCGAGAATGATGCATATGATCCAGCAGGTCCAGATCCTAATGCACGTGTTTAGATAGCGTCAGTAGCTGTGTCTGACGAAGGGTGGTTGACAGTTGCGAGAGAAACGTCAAAGACGAAGCGCAAGATCAAAGAAATTCAAATTAGAGGGTTGAATTCATTTTTCCACGAGACTTTGCTGATCACCTTCCCGTTAACGAGCTGTCAGAAACAGCGTCAAAATGCTTATCAAAATGTTGGATGTTTTTCAAGCTCCAAGCTTCAGATCAACAATTCGAGACGGTATCATTCCAAATCACGTACCTATAATAGCAATCTTACGTGTCTTGAAGACCATGGTGTCTCTCTCGTCGTCGTCTTGGAACCGTAGTAAATCAGCTCCAATAATCGATTGAGTTATGAGCAGAATGAAGAAGACCAAAAGAGGCAAGTTCCTATAATGCTTATACTGTTTAATGTATCCCGTTAATAACATCTATCTTGTCTTTAATTAGCTGCAACTACTGGCACATTGAAATCCGCTGCTGAATTTTATATCGATTCGCTTCCAGGCCTTGGCATAGTAGATCAATATTCTTACCACCAATATGCTGGGTATGTGCATACAATACAGTCCCTATGATTGTCATTGCCATTGATCTTCAATTCTACGTGACTTTGACATCTCATTCATTTCAACCAACAAATAGGAATATAGAGCTGGACGCTGCAGGTCTGAATTCGCTCTTCTTTTGGCTAATTAGAAACCAAATCAACCAGCCAAGAGATAAACTCGTATGTACTCGTCGGTTATCCTGGGTCTAAATGTGAAGTTTTTGGCTTTTGATCCAAACACCACACGTTCTTGTTGATCACGTAGGTCATATGGCTGAATGGAGGTCCCGGATGGTATGTGGCATATTGCTGAGCTATGTGGCACATTGCTGAGCTGTCGAAATCTCACGTTCTTGTTCATGTAGCTCAAGGTACAAGACCTCATATTGGACCAATCTCCTATTTGATGACTCACACATCCGCTTCTATAACACGTAGTATGGACGGAATGTTTATGGAATTTGGTCCATTCTCCGTTAATGCTAGTAAAGTGTTGGAAATCAATCAAAACAGTTGGGGAAGAAACGCTCATTTGCTGTTTGGTGAGATAGGATGCTTCTTCCTTGTTGTCTTCTCGTCTAGTCGTGGCTGACTCAATGTACCATACGATCAAATAGTTGATCAGCCTGCTGGAACAGGTTTTAGCACTGCCGATCAATATGATTTGACTCAAGATTCGGTATGTTACGTGTTTTGGAATTAATTGTTCCAAAGAACCAAAAATCGATCTACCTGAATAAGGCTTGTATGGTACACCTTTCATACACTTACACGCAACGCACTGCAATCAGGCAACAAAACGGTTTATGGTGTTTTTGGAAAACTTTTATAGCATCTTTCCTGAATTCAAAAGGAGCGAGGTAACAAAACAGATATTTCGATTGTGAGCTCACAAGCTTACACATTTCCACATATGTAGCTCTATATTGGAGGAGAAAGTTACGCCGGCATATACGTCCCGTACCTAGCTAACGAAATACTCAAGAGACGAGAAGCTGCTACACTGATTGTGAGTTGGAAATAGTCTCATTCTTCAAGTTGCTTCATCCTTTTTTTGTCTGACTGTAATTCTGTCCTTTTTTAGCCACCAGAGCTAGATTTAAAGGGAATAATAGTTGGAAATGGGTGGATTGATCCATTACCACAATATCTATCTTATTATGATTTCGCAACCAAGAATGGGATACTTGGTGGCGAATATGCTGTAAGTGGGAAAAAGCAAGAAATGCCCCCTCAATCGATTCGGTTTATTCGCTTACTCGCAACTTTATTTAGAAATATGCTAGAGCAGATATAGAAAACTGTAAACGAGCCTTCTCGAAAGGCGGCCCGAAGATCCATTATGATACCTGTGATATGATTATGGAACGGGTGTTATTGCAATCTAGAGCAGGGTTAGTTCAAAGTGTAGTGTTTTTGGGTGATTCTCTTGTCAAAAAAAAAAAGAAAAACAAAATAAATGACCTGCTCTAAACTTAGGAATCGACCTTGCATCAACATGTATGATATTCGATCAAAGGATTCTAAACCGAATGGCGATTGCGGGTTGAGTGAATGGCCTAAGTCGTTGCCGTATGTTACTGAATATCTTGGGGTATGTGAGATATACAGTCTTCGTCGGTGTGGTTTTTTCTCAATTTTGGGTGTTCTCAACAAGAAGAGAGCTAACTCGCTCTCCAATCTCGGATTTCCAGAGAGCGGACGTTTTAACTGCTATCCATACGACGAAAAAGACGAAATGGACTGAATGTGATGATAAAGTTGGAAGCTCTTTACGTTCTGATCCAAGTTTGCCGTCATCTGTTGTGAGTTCTGTTATGATTGAGCGGATCCTCGTGTCGAATTTGTTGGCTGTTTTTGTTGTTGCTATTTTGCGAACTTTTAACTCACACGTTCTTCCACGCCTTGCAACAAATCGCATAGTTACTACCATACCTAACTTCCAAAATCCAAGTCCTTCTATTCAGTGGAGACCAAGACCTCATATGTAATCACATGGGCACTGAACTCTTTCTATCAAACCTAACATGGAATGGCGCCACCGGCATGTCGAATGCCACGACATATAGCTACCTGATTGATGATGTGAATATAGGGTCGTGGCAATCGAGTAGGAATATGTCGTATGTGTTAATATATGGGGCATCGCATATGCCGGCTGTGGATGTGCCTGTGGCGGTCTGGGATATGCTGAATCGGTTTATTGGGGTTGTTGATACGAGTAGGGGGACGTCTTTGCTTCTTGATGTGAGTTTTGTGCCGTTTGAACAGTTTCAGGTGCATTCACCTGATTTTTTTTCGTGTTTGTGTGCCGATGGCCGAATGATGCTTGCCTCCCCATCTTTCAGCCTTCAGGATCACCTTCTCCTATACCGTCATCGGCTCCTCAGAAGGGGCCTCAAGTGTATTATGGATGGGTTGGGTGAGTACGTGATTGTGATTGTGTTTGAAGTGGAGATGATGTGCTTCGGAAACGAATATCGGCATTTGATCTGTCTTTTTTTTAGCTACTCGTTGTATCCATTGAAACACATACAAAAAAACTCGTCTCATCCGCCGATCTTCATTATCCACATAGAATCGTAATTGCCATCTTAATAATGTCACTATTTGCATCAGTCCTGATACTAGTCTACATTCGAGCACGCAGAAGGCGAGGAGCCAAGGATACTAGAAGAGGAGAAGACTGGCACGAGTTACGAGGTGCCGAAGACGATGAGGAAGAAGAAATGTTTGATGCAGATCGGTATTTAGATGATGATAACAGCGCTGGACGTAAAGGGAATGGCGGTGGTGTAGCGAGGTTTGAGATTGATTCCGATTAGAGGGAATCTCACAACAGTTTCTCGTCCTTTTTTTTGTGTATAGTCATTGGACGTAGAATTTGTCACTTTTAATATCCCATTTCACACTATCAAAGCATGTGTCATTCTAGAGACTCCCTTGTGTGCCAGCGCAAGGTTGTTGTTTCCGGAAACAAATCAGTCATGTTGGTTGTTTCAGGAAAACAAGTCAGCATGTCATGTTGTCTCTATTTCGTTTGTTACTATAGTTATTTACACACGCAAGAGTCTAAAAATTACAGTGCAGCAATAATAGTACAGAATGCACGACGTGCACGGCTTCCCAACTCCCAAATCTTAATCTGCGGCAGCAGGAATATCATCCACGGTAACAACCACAATCTCCGTCTCTTCGACGTCTTCTATTTGTTGTCTCTTGATGCTCTCTACTTGCGATCTAATCAAATCACTGACAAATCCGCGCAGCCCATCGGCGTTTTGGTAATTTGATAAGTACTCTAACTCCATTGTTGTGCGTTGGTTTGCGTATTCGAGATGGGATCTAAATATCTGCTCAAAGTCTGGTGGGTTTGCTGGTACGATGTGGGTAGGGATTTCCAGCATGTCTGTAGGTGATGAGAGTGAGTATGGGTATGGGACACACAACAAGGACATACCATCCAGATCAGGAAGAGGAGGCGGTACGAGTTGAGCCAGTACTTCGGCAGAAGCAGACTGACGTAATGATGCTAATGCTGATCCCTCAAACCCATCAGGAGTATCGTCCAGAGTTAGAAGATCTTGTCTGAAGGACAATAGTTCTTCTTCGGGGTGAGTATCAGTGTTTGATGGTGATTCCTATGAAATAATGCATATGAAAAGTGATATCTATTGTCATTTGTCTGAGATCTATCCCAGATCAAATAGTTGCCAATTAATGCAACACACGCACTTCTTCTTCCCATTCCAGTTCATCGACCTCGACAGTAGTGTCGTCTTCCTCGTCGTCACTGTCGTCCTCACTATCTACGAATGATAGCGGGATGGTCTTCTTCTTGGTCTGTTCCGCTACATTGCTCTTTACATTTTTAATAATTTTCTTTGTAGGAGATAGTCTGATTTTGACCGTCTTTGTGACGGCGGCATGGATTTCATCGTACTTGTCGTAGCTACTGGCACGACGCATTGGCGATGTGGTTCGTGTTCCTAGACTGGACATCATCTTTGCTATGGGTGATCCTTGAATTGGGTTGACTTGAATGATGAGTGCTGTTATATAGGGAGGCAAACGTAGTAGCAAACGAGTTTGATTGGGCATGTTACGTGACGACACTCGTAGCAGAAAATAAAAAATTATTTACGCCTTGCAACTAAAAAGTTCGCATGATCAGCCATCCGATCGGTCCTCATTCTTCTTCACGTTATTTCGCACAAACCACTCGTACGATTACAACTATGGCAGAAACAGAAGTAGACAGTAGTGCCAATGCAAGCAAGACGTCTTCCACATCATCGTCACCAGTATCGTCTCCAACCCGCAAACATTACAGCCACTCGTTAAAAGAAGATGTTGTAATGGTCCCAACATCAGATGGAATAGAGTTAGAAGCTCGTGTGTGCAAACAGGCTTCGACTGGAAATCCACGGCACAACGTTTGTGTGCTAGTAAGCCATCCATATGGCCCTCTAGGTGGCAATCTACGAAACAATGTATGCCATCATCGCAGTCTTGAGCGCTTTGTTTACGTCCAAGAAGAAGCCTACAACAATTATTGTATTGATGTATCGACACGCATTTAGGTAGTGGAGGCTGTAGTCTACGAGTGTATGAAACTCGGCCTGTCGACCTGCAGATTCAACTTTCGGTACGCAATTGCACTCTTTCAAGTCAATTTACCCCTGTATACCAACACTTTCATTCTCTTGTATAGAGGATGTGGGAAATCTGGCTCACGAACATCATGGAATGGCACTCCCGAACTAGCAGACATGATCACAATGGGTACATACTGTGTTGAACAAATGAAGTGTACGCGTCTACTGCTTGTTGGATACTCTTATGGATCAATGATGGCCTGTGCTGCTGCTAAAGCGCTGATTGATAACGGGGTGAATGTGGTTGGGTTGGTGGCAATCAGTTATCCAAGTTCAGGTATTTCCTTCATGATGATTTTGTTTTTTTCGAAACTTCACCTTCAACCAAGTTGACTCTTTTCAACCCAGTAATGTGGTTTCTCACATCTGGAAACTCGTCAGCATTCACAGCACCGCTACAAGCCTTGAACAAGACGCCCAAACTGTTTCTCATGGGTACATCTGATAATTTCACATCCATATCAGCTCATCGGCAATTTGTAGAGTCTATACCGTTGAGTATTCAATTCTTGTATATTGCAGTAACAGGTGGTTGACGCATTCCATTCTTTATATAGGCAACCGAAAACTCAAATCGAGTTTGATGCAGACCACTTTTGGTTTCAGAACGAAGAGCATATTATGAGTAGTATAAACGTGTTTGTAACACAATTGGCATTGTAAAAAATTATATTTATCATGTTCTTAGTCACCTAAATACACAAAAATTGAAATTGTAGCCCTTTTTATTCTATGGTAAGTGAACGAAGTAAATACTCACGAAATCACGTCCTAAATCGCTACACTAAGATACCCTTTCGTCATACTGAACGTCAGGTTTGCGTCATTTTGTAATTTTATAGTACCGGTCAAGAGCAGCAAAAGCAAAGAGGACACGCAAATACCAAAACGTACTGAAAAAAAGCGTTTCTGATTTAAGTTGTCTCCTCAGCTGATCTAGACAAACCGGAAGCATCTAGGCACAAGCTGGAAGATTACACTGCTGCAATCGGAGCATCTGAGGGTACTGCCCAAATGAGGGAGTCACCAGTGAAAAATCGTGTGCGGAGACAAAAGACTGTCAATCTAGCCTGATTTTCAGACAAGTTTGATGGTTTGATTGGCTTCGGAAAGAAACCAAACCTCCAGTAGGAAACAGTCACTTTCAAATTTATGATATGGAGCTGTATGAGCGCACAGAGTTAGCAAGATACTGAAAGATGGTGGGAAAGTATGTTTGCAGTCTGGTTACCTTCATCTTGTATCCATTGCATCTTTCTTTGACGGTTTCACGTGGAAAATTGAGAACTCACACACGTCCCCTCCATATTTTAGCAAGCCCAAAGAGCGTCGTTTCACGATCCCATTATGGGTTTTATTGCTCGGTGAAACAGTTCTGGTGGCTGGAACCTTGTGTCTCATCATTGGGCTATTATTCACTGCTGCGACCACGACATCCCTAACGAATTTTGGAACAAGCTTACGAGATACATTGATGAATCAGACTATTGGCAATGTTACTGCCTCCTTGATTCAGATGGAGTATGCGCTGTTTGCCATGACGGAAAACCCGTTGATGATGGCTTTCGCGAGTCTCGACCCAGCTGTTGCTACAAACGGTGGTATCTCATCAAGTATGATTTCGTTTTGTTTATGTCTTCAACATAATCATTCAAGTTTTGTCACACTTAATGTGTTTCTCATTATAGTCAACGTCACAAGCAATGCAGCTGCACTCTCAGTCTTGACATTGGCCAGCTCGGCATGTATGCACATACCAGCCTGTGAAGCAGCTGGAATGGGGCTTGGTGATAACCTCATGCTGGGATACTCGCACTCTGTAAACGCGTTCTCATATCAAGACATTACCACTGGATCTGGACCAACACAGACAACCGCGATATACAACCGTGCGGTTGATCCGGTGACTTATCGTGCTGCTTTGGTACGTGGCTTGTAAGTGTACGTGGCCGAGGCAATATTTGTTTTGAATAAACTGCCTTGTGTTTAGACTCCATCCACATACGTGGCGAATGTACAATACAGCTTTAATGCCTCTTTATGGATGTCGATCGCTGGATGGACCCCCGCAAGAGTTCTGACGCCTATGTGGGGCGCGAATGCGAGGTCTCTCGTTCCAATAACTGGGACACCATACTTCTTGATTTACTGTGAGTAACTTTGGACCACCCATTTCGCCCGTTCTTGTATTCTCGAAACGAAACGTTGCTCACATTTTATCCAGTAAATTTCTTCAGAGTATTCTATGCAAACATGCCAATCGACACTGGAAATCCAGCCCAACATTTTTCGACAATGGCCTGGGTTAGCCTATCGATATCTTCTCTTGAAAACACATTATCAGAATTCTCTGTCACGCCAAACGGATTGGTGTATATCGTTACCCCTGCTGGCCTTATGGTGTCGTCGTCAGTCAAGAATGTGTCGCAAATCAATTATGGAACTACATCGTACTTTGCTGGCGAGTCGCCAAACACGTATATTCGGGTAATGCAAATCTTGCAGTAGTATGCTGCTTGTATGAGAAAGCTAAACTCTTTCGAATCTTTGCTAGGAATCCAACATATACCTAAACGCCCAATACGGCTCTCTGTCCAACATCCCCGCCTCTGGCCTATCCCTCACCTTCACCTCAACCACCGGCGAATCTCTTCTATGTGACGTCCAATGGCTAAATCGTACCAACCTCGAATGGATTGTAATCACCGTCATACCTCGAAGCGACATCTGGGGTTTCGTCGATACCAATTCACGCAACATTGTGATTTCCACATCCATCGTGGGAGTTCTTGGCGGTCTCATCAGTATCGCCATGGCAGTACTTCTAACTCGTCCCATTCGTCGCCTTGAAGCACAAATGTGTCGAGCGCGTGATTTTGATTTCGATGGGCTGGTGGCTGGGTACCTCAACTCCAAATCTGTCTTTACTGAGGTATGATGTGGTATGGTTTTGAATTTGTTGGTAAAATCGTGAAATCTGACCTAGATCACGTTAGATCAATTTGATGCAAGTCACATTTGTGGAGATGCTCGACAAGTTTTCGCATGGGATTAAGCAAAACAAGGAGCTCATGACTGGGTATGTTCGTACTTCGGGTGCTGGTCGATTGTCTGGGGTTGCTGAGATATCGGAAGGTCGGAAATCTGTTACAGAGGGTCGCAAGTCTCTTACATAGTAGTGACTGGGAGATATTTATAAAGTTTGCAATATATACATTACGAACTATTCAGTCATTGATGCAGTTCCCTCTCCCGTTTCACTTTGACAGTGTAAGAGACAGTAAACGACAAAACGAACTTGTTGCATCTATTCGAAAACAGTTGTTATGTATTTCTTGGCGTTGTTTTGAATTTCTTTACAAATGTTGGTATTTAGTCTTCCAAAGGCTATCATACAAAATGTGCTGTGTCTCAATTGTCACTAGACACGGTTCTCAGTAAAAGGTCTGATCACAAACATCCCCACAGGCACTTCCCTCAGCATCCACTTCTATAAACCTGGCAGCCTTTCCGGCACCCTTAACCCCAGCAGCAGCAACACAACCCCGATTGACAATCTCGACATTATCCAAGGCGACATTGAGCGTTCCTTGATTATACGCACTCTTGAAAGCAATCCATACAGGTTGGCCTGCATAAGCCGATAAATCAAACGTAGTTGTTTGCCAAGGCGAGGTTTTACCATCTGCGACACGATCGGCGGTCAAGATGTTGGCAATGACTTGGGTCTTGTCAAACCATTGGTACGACTGGGCGGGACGGACAAGGTCGACGAGGAATTGCTGGTTGGCGAATGTTGCGACGGAGAGGGTTTTCGGGGTGGCGAACTCGGGGGCGTAGTTGGAGACGTACCAGTTGAAGGTTAGGATGTCGCCGGGGATTGGGGTGTATTGTTGGTACATGACGAGAGCCTAAGAAACAAAAGTTGTGAGTCAGTATAGAGTCTCTAACTGAGATCAAACAGGAATTGGTTTCTGATTGAAATAAAAACTTACACCGGGTGCATTGGAATCCAAGACGGCAATATGGTTGTCAGGTTGTCCAAGACCAGTGAAATGCTTGCGAGAGATAGTAGTACGTCTAGAATCCGATCGCATGACTTGGAATTCCCCACTTGAACCAGCTTGACGCGCGACAGTCCAGCCACTGAGACCCTGTTCAAAATCACCGTTGACAAGACCTCGGGTGCAAGGAACTTGGTATGGTGATTTTGCAGCAGGCTTGATTCCAGATGATTTTTGAGCAGCAGGCTTAGACTTGGATGACTTGACAGGTACTTCGGTATCGTCTTCAGAGTCTTCAACAAAGAGAGAGAGGATGGGGTTGTAGGTTTCACCGACTTCTTCGTCGTCAGAGTATTTGGACTTTCTGGACGGACCTTCGGCTTGCTTGGCAACAGCCTTCTTTACTTCGTTCAAGGCCTTGTGGAAGTCAAACCATACGTCTTGGCTTTCGGCGGGAGTTGAGTTGTCACCGAAAAGGAGACCACCAAAGAGAGAGTCGTCGGGGTCGGTCTCCTTAAATGATGAAATTGTTTAGCAATGCGATTTTAGTGATTTTCTAAAACCCAAACGAATACGACATTATAGAATGCTTACAGAGGGCTCGTCATAATCAAGGTCGGACATTCCTTCAGTCAAATCAGCTAGAGATAGTTTAGGAATACCAACATGGAATTCAGGAAGGTGTTCACCATCTTCACCATCAACAAAGAATGAAGAAATGAATTTACGCGCTGGTTTGGGCAATACACCGGCATACAATCGAGATGGGTCTTCGTCATAAGGAGCGTGTTGAACACTGTTGACAAAGTCACGGTCTCTTGGTATGGTGGTCATGTGTTCTTCATCAACAAACCAGTTTGTGAATCCTTGGTTCAACAAGTCAATTGCTCCAGCATGGTTTGGTTGATCTTTATCGGCCCATTCAGTGGGGCTGCCCTTTTGACCAGCCTTGATGGGAGTCTTGTTGGATTTAGATGGCTTGGCCTTGATGGAGGAAGCCCACTTGGAGAGGTACTCGGTAGGGTCAGATTCTTCTTTGGAAGAAGCAGCAGCGGCACCTTCAGCGGTGGCAAATAGGCTCGACCACGAAGACTTCTTGTTGGAAGAGTCATCCGAGTTCGACTTCCAGAATTGTTGTGGCTCATCATCAGTACCAGCATCTTCATCAGCAAACAAACTGGCCCATGCTGATGTATCGGCTTGTTTAGCGGACTTTTTGGTGGACCAAAGAGACTGAGATAGTTGTTGTTGTGGTTCATCGTCACCAGTAGCATCTTCGTCAGCCCAAATGGTCCAAGCTCCGGTATCAGCTTGTTTGGATGCCTTTTTAGGGGTTGATTGTTTTGCAGCGGTGGTTTGAGTGAGTTTGACAAGAGACAGCTTTGGTTGGATTCGAGCTTCAATGGCTTCCTCGTCCACAGGTTCAGATGCAAAGGAGGACAACCATGATTCCATGGCCTTTTTAGCCTTTAACAATTGTTGGCTGGTTGGAGTAGAGCTCTCGTCATCGTCATTGGTCAATCCGAGTGAAGCGAAGAAAGATTTCACGGCAGGTTTCTAGATGGGTTGAGAAGAAAGAAAACAATGAGCATGCAATTGGCAGAAAAAACCAGCTATAAAATCTAACGACCAACTTACGTCAGACTCTTCCAAATAGTCAGTCAATTTGGCAGGAGAAACAATCTTGGGAACTTCAACACGGAATTCAGGAAGGTGTTCACCATCTTCACCGTCAACAAAGAAGGACGAGATGAATTTACGGCCAGCTTTAGGTAGTACACCAGCATACAATCGAGATGGTTCGTCATCATAAGGAGCGTGTTGAGTACTGGTGACAAAATCACGGTCTCGGGGAATGGCGGTCATGTGTTCTTCATCCACAAACCAGTTAGTGAATCCTTGACTCAACAAGTCGATAGCTCCAGCGTGATTTGGTTGATCTTCATCAGCCCATTCAGTTGGACTGCCGACTTCAGAATGCTTGACTTGTTTTCGGACGATTTGTCCTTGCTTCTTGGCTAGTTTGGGTTGAGCGACTGGTGCAGGTTTAGGTGTTGAAGCGACGACGGGTTTCTTGATGACGGGAGCAGCAGCGGGTTGAACCTTCTTTGCTGGCTTGGCGGGGCGAGCAGGTTCAGGCTGAGCGCGTTCTTGAACATCTTCGGAAGCAGCTTCTTGAGGCCAAGGTTGACCGTAAGGTGCAGCAGGGAAACCAGGTGGAGCGTTTTGGTAGTAAGCGGCCGGGTAGTATGGGTATCCGTAAGGAGCATATACATATCCAGGAGGTATATTCACGTTTTGTTGAGGTTCTTCGACAGATGGTGAAGAGGCAGCAGTACGTTTTCCGTCAGTAGATTCCTTGCGAGTTGGTTCAGGTTGCTGTTCTTCTTGTTCATCTTCCTGGGCATCTTCAGATGCAAACCATGAAGAAAAGAAGCCAGCAGACTTGGAAGATGATTCGATTTCGACTTCGTCGTCTTCATCGTCACCAGACGAGGCCCAGATACTAGACGATTTGGCAGACTTGGCAGGAGAGGCTTTGGCAGGTTCTGACTTTTTGGCAGGTACTTTAGCGGCATCTTCACTAGCAAACCATGACCAACCGGCAGATTTCTTGTTGGTGGCAGGTGGAGTTGGCAGTATAACGTCATCAGCTTCTTCTTCAGCTTGCTCTGAAGCAAACCAAGAGGTACTTTTGGCGTTGGTTTTGGTAGCGGCAGGAGAGTACCAGGCGTTCCTCTTGGAGGCCTCCTTAGAAGCTGTTTGTTCGACTTCGTCATCAGAGTCGTCGGCAAACCACGAAGATTTCTTGACATTGTTGGTGTTGGAAATAGAAAAGAAGGAGGAAGGTGTGTTTTGTCTGCCATAGCTCTTGACAGACGTTGTTGCTGTAGGAGTGGTTTGGTATGATCCAATAGACCTCACCAAAAACAGGATACCTACAACTGTGTTGGTTATCAATTTAGTTACGAATAAAACCAAAGAGAAAACGAAATAGCATGATTTTGTCAATTGCTAAATATAAAAGACGTGTTTGAAGTGGACTAAGGGACTTACCAAAGGCGATGACCACTGTAGCAGATACATCCGTGATTTTGCCAAGTTTCAGGCCAGGAAACGCTGCGTCTACTCCTAGCGCGTCGACAGTAGAAGGATCGGCAGATGAAGAAGACCCACCACGACCTCGTCGAGCACTTTCATTATCTTCACGTCGTTGTGACATCTTGGAAAATGTTCAGTATCAGAGCACTGACAGTTCCTGCAGACGTTTCGATCGCTTGTCTAGCAATTCTAACAAGAAAAATGCGTCAGACTTTGAAGTTGGGCCTGAGAGATTGCTGAGAGTTTTTATCAAGCTTACCTTGTTGGACGAAACGTGTCGAGCAACTGAAAAACTAGCAAAGAGCAACAAGAACACTACTATAGTGGAAAAGGTAAGTAATGTACCCAATCAATGCAGTGTGGAATATGCCAACGCGTACCTTCTTGTACTCTACTTTGGCGAGAAAGTTTGTTTGATAACGAAACGCGTCGCTCGCTCATTTTGAAAATTTAAAATGAGGATTTTTGAGGAGTTGCTGAATCTCTTTGCAGGAACAGTCCTGGATCCCAAACATCCGCCGACCCTCTCTCGTACAGGATCCTCAATCCAACCTCAAAGGTGATCCACATTAGTCTCTAACAATGTTCCGAGACACCAATTGTGTGGACAACGAGATGACGCCAATTGCAACCCCTAGAGAAGGAATCGAATCGTCGAATGATGAATGCAGTGACGATAGTCAAAACACTCAACGATGAAAATTACGAATTTATGAAGAGGTTCCAAAAACAAATCTTGTTCTACATCATTTTCACTTTCTATTCTTCTTTGGGTCCCTTTGATTTGGTGTCTTCCAAGGCCTTCTTTGCAGCGGCTTCTCTGAGACGCTTGGCAGCAAACTTGGCTCGCAATGAGATCAAGAATCCAACCTAAAAGATATATTATGAGAACTATGTTGACGAGGAATAGAAAAAAAGTAGACACATGATCCGCACGCACCATGAAGCCGACAAAGTTGTACCATACAACCCAGTATCTCATGGGAATGAAGTTGACGGCAATCAATTGAGTAGGAGGATTTATCATCCAAGTAACTCGCACTATATGATAGACCACAGTTAGAGTGTTGCTTGCCAATTCAGGGCGTTAAAACTATTCGGTACGTACTCATGGGGTAGAGTCCCGCACGAACGGCACCAATAATTTCCTCAGGTTTGGTTCGACCAGCCAATACAGCCATAGATATCAAATACACAGTGTTTTGGATGGGCGAGATGATCAAGTTGCCGCTCAACATTTGGAGAACAGTCCATGGCAGACCTACGTAGCAGTTCAGGCAAACAGTTAGTGAGCCGAGTTTTCACATGATTTGCACGGAGGAGCCAAGTGTATACCAGTCTTGCCAGCAAAGACCTTTTGCTGAGTGGTGGTCAACTGATGAGCTACTGGACTCGCAACCAAGAATCCTGAGGTGTGGTGTTAGGTTCTGAGCTCTGCGATCGAGAGGACAAACAGTCACAATGAGCTTACCATACAAGTACATTTTGATTGCGCGGTCCATAAAGGACAAGAAAGGAACACCGGTCAAGGCCGAGGACAATATTTCCTTATTGGGGCTAAACGGTTAGCACCCAGCAAGCACATTTCAGATGGGTTGATGTTAATTAATACCTGGGAGGCAAGCACGGAGCCCGAAGTGACACCCTTCGTCAAGACAGGACGAGTGGCCAGTGATGCCAGATATCTATCCAGGAGCTGTTCAGCTCCAGAACTGACAACTTTTGTTGCGTTTACGTCAGACATGCTCGGTTCGGTGGTGTGAGGTTTAAAAGATGAATGGTGGTAGACGGTCGCAAATCTAAAGTCAACACGAATAGTGCTGGCAGTTGGGAATCTATCGGCTCTGCTCTCTACAAAATGGCAAAACCAGTGTTGTTTAAGTTCGTGGGTTGAAACACAAGTGGAAGTTATGATTTTTTAAAATAAGAGTAGAGCAACCATTATGAAACTGCAGCAGAGATAGAACGTGATATGCGCACTCCTAGTTGACCAGTCTGAGTCCTAATACGCTGTCACTCACCTGACTCCTGGCAATGTTCTCTGTTCCTTCGTTTTTTTTTACCATCATTCCGACTGATCCAGAGGTGTTCTTGATACGAATAGTTGCGTTTTACGTGCTTTCGCGAGGTCTAAGTCAACTTGAAGAGTCCCTTTCTAGCAGCAAGCAGCAACTGGGCCACTCGTCGTGTACTTCTCATTTGGCCAAACGATAGGCTCAGAGAGAGCTAGTCAAACACTAGATAGCTTGCAACAATGGCTCCAAACATTAAGGATATCGTAAAGAAACGTAAGCACCTTCTCATTCTAGCCCAATTGTGCTTGTTTTGCAAAAGTCCACAAATATCTGTCAGTGCTGAATTGGGTGGAGCTATGGAACTAAGCATTACGTGGTAATTAGGTATCATGACCGATATGGTGCAAGCTGTAGCTCCTGGTAAATGGAAGATCATGGTCGTCGACCCTCCAGCATTGAAAATTTTGAAGACGGCATGTAAAATGGAAGACATTATTGATGAGAAGGTGACGTGTAAGTTATATTCTCAGTCTAGAGATGAATGAGCCATTTGTAACAGTACGGGATCACGATCATCACATTCAAGGAGAGCAACTTGTAACTGATTCCTCCTCCTCGTCTCAAAACCAGTGGTCGAAGATATCTTTAATCGAAACAGACAACCCTATCCAACGCAAGACGCCATCTACTTTATCAGTCCAAATAATGAAGCCGTAGCTGCATTCATAGATGACTTCAAGACGAGACCGATGTATGCTCGTGCACACATCTTCTGCACAGCAGGTAAACGGCATCTACACTCCATCTACTACACATGTAACGCTCGTTTCATATTGCCAATACTCCCAATTTAGGACTTCCCGATCGTCTCTTTGAAAGCATCAAACGATCCTCAGCTCAGCAATATGTCAAGACCCTGATTGAACTGAATGTAGATTTTCTGGCCGTAGAACCTCAAGTATTTACGTTAGATGCGCCTCAACGCTTCTTTAATCTATTCAACCCACCGTCTCCTGCCCATCTGAACTATGAAATTGAAATGATTGCCAAAAAGGTTTGGGACGGTAACCGTGAATATGTGTCCAGCGTATTCACGCTTTTCTCGCTTTCTAGTTGACGTCGGTTCTGGCAACCGTAGGAGAATACCCATTCATTCGCTTTTATGATCCTGAAGGCAAACGAGAGACACTAGCTGCTAGACTAGGTCTCGCTATACAAAAGGAAATGGACGAACTATGTCGTATAGATAAAGACTTCCCACCACAATCACCTTATCCTCGCGCTATACTTATAATAACAGATCGCACTCTCGATGTCATGGCCCCATTATTGCACGAATTCACCTACCAAGCCATGATTTATGATTTGCTGACTTTGGACGGTAATCAATATACTTACAAGGCTGACGAAGGTGTCCAGAAAGTGACGCTCGATGAATCCGATCCGATATGGACGCAGATAAGGCATAATCACTTTGCTGATTCATCAAACTATATTTTGGATTCTTTCAAGACCTTTTTAGAAGAAAACAAGGCTGCAGCAAGTGCTGTTAGAGACCAGCAAGGTGGCGGGAATAGGTAATGTACGTTGTCCTGTCTCGAGTTCCCTCAGTACTCATTAGTCTTGCATCATTAGGCCGAAAGGTTTGGACTCGTTGAAGGAAATGCAAGATACCATTAGTGCTCTACCACAATTCCAGGAAATGAAGAAAAAGTTTGCCGTGCATATAAATATATGTCAGGAATGTCAGTCAGCATTTGGAGAGGGTAAACTGGCAGATCTTGGGGCCATAGAGCAAGTAAGCGAAAAGTTACATAACAGACGCTATTGGCACATGTATGAATTTATCCATCGTTCGATCTAGGACTTGGCAACTGGAGAATCGGCGGATGGAAGGGCTTTGAGAGATATGATGGTGGCACTAGTACCATTATTAGATAATCCATCTGTCTTGAACGCAGACAAGGTTCGACTATTAGCCTTGTATATTATCGCTCAGGAGGGTATTCAAGATGATGCCCGTCGACGACTCTTAGAGCATGCCCGTCTCTCGCCTGAGGAATCGCAAGCCATCACCAATCTGTTCATGTTGGGAGTGCGTCTGTCGTCTCGCATGCAAAAGACTAGAGAGCAGAAAGGTCGATATACATATTGGGGTCATAAATTAGAAAAGAAGGGCAAGAAGAGGCGAGACGATGATATGCCATATGATCTAAGTCGATATATACCAATCCACAAGTACATCTTGGAAGACCAAGTAGAAAACCGTGTAGATACCGCCATCTTCCCATGGATTAAAGAACCACCACCATCCGATATCGGGCCAGCCAAATCTACATGGGCTCGTGCAGGAGGAGCTGCTCCAATAGGTGTCCCGTCATCGACATCAGGATCAGCATCGTTACGAACAACCAAACCATCATGGGCTCAAAAACGAGGAGGTAGTGACACGGCTTCAATATCGTCGTCAGTGTCTGGATCATCGTCCATATCAAAAGGCCGCGATGATGACTTGAGGAGGAATGGACCACGAGTCATATTATTTATAATGGGTGGCATGACATATTCGGAAATGAGAGCAAGCTATGAAGTTATGAAGGTGTCTCAACGTGAAATTATTATAGGATCTACAGCAATCTTGACTCCATCTGAATTCGTTGATGATATAAAATGGCTGCACAAGGGATCCATACCACCAGATGTAGCAAAGACAACACCACGTAAACCAGCTTATAGTGATAGTCCTCGTAGTAATAATATTGGTGGGCCGAGGGCAGGGCAATCAGAAGTAGGCAGAATTGTTCCTCAGATGGGGCAAGCACAAACAGTTGATCCCAGTTCGTCGCCACGCTCTGAGAGAGCTGCCAAGGCAGTTAAACATACGGGTGGTGGATTTGGAATGTTTAAGCGGTGAGGAACATAATCGTACTCGTTTGCTTTTTGCCAGACTATTTGGATGATAAATGTTTATCGAAACTACGAACAGTGTATGGAATGTATCGTAATTGCCGCGAGAACCATGTATTTGAGATCTTTATAGTTAGAATATGCTGTAGGGAAGTTGTACTAGTACGGCAGTACTGCTAAACATGTGATTTGTTGTGCCAGTTCCATTAACATGTCGGCTTACATGACATTTCTTGCCAGCAAGCATCATGCGCTTTATGGGCTGGGTTTCTGTTCGTCACTTGACGGTAAGTAAATTGACTAATATCTGACTACAAGTCTCCACTTGTTTCAACAGTCCATACAGCAAGAAAACAATCGTTTAAGCCCATCATGGTCTTTTCCAGGTGACAAACTCTGCAATCGATTCCATCCCAATCCACCAAATGAACATGGCTCTGTCACATGCCTTGTTTCTCCTCGTGTTTGGAGCTGACTGCGAATGACAAGGGTACATGGTTGATAAATGTGTTACTTCTTACAATTCCAATATCCATGTTTTTGGACGTTGATGCAATTGAAATCAATGATCTTTCGGGTGCGGAGGGAGGATGAGGTGAGTGGGGTGCGCAGGCTGCTCGAAATGGATGGATGGAATGCGCAAGAGTTCCAAGTTGGGTCTGGAGGTCGAATCAAGTATGGTTGTTGCAAACAACGGCTCTTGCCGTCAGTAGAGTCTTTGAACGGCCTGTCACTCGTCGTCAGTCAGTGACTGGAAAATTTCAAGTCTTTGAAGGTAGCCATCTGCGGTATTTGCTTTGGGCACTGCTTGAGAGTAAATGAGGTGCAGAAACTAGGCAGGTTTGGTCCATACCTATGCATCTGTAAACAAGCATGTTCGTTTGCTGACACGACCTTCCGGTGGTGCCTCGGATTGTCGAAACCGCCGAAAATAAGATTCGGAAAGGGGGCAAGGGTCCAGGCACACGTTCGTTTTGAGGGATTATTATTTGGTCTAGACCTGTGTTTGCAAGATCTTGTGGAAGGCAAAGTCGCGAACGACTACAAAACAAGGTACTTGGAGATGAGCATGCAACACGGAAGGCTACGGGTGCTGCAAGCTGTGAGTGATTGCTCTGGTAGCGTCTACAATCATAGATTTTTGCGATCTATTGAAATCTATCTATGGTGGTTCGGTCGGCTGACATGATAATCAACACTTTTGTAGTGTAATGAATGCAGGAAACGCAAGCGCCGAGTAAGGAGAGATCTCGAGTTCTCGTGTTTTTTGCGTTTCGCCCACGATACATGCTCAATTCTCACATTTTTTGCAAATATCACTAAAACACAGTGTGATGGAAAGAGGCCAATCTGCAAACCATGTAAATCATCAAAGACAGATTGCGAGTGGGCACCACCAACTGCCAGTCGATCTGGAAGCTTTGACGATGATCTCTGGAGTGGTGGTCATGGTGTCGTTGCTCAACGACAATGCGCAGACCTAGTGTTTTTGGACGAACTGAATCCCAAATCGTATGTCTTATGGAGCTTCTCTGATGCTGTGGGGCCTTTCACCTTCCATATATCAACACTCCCCGGATCACTTCCGTTTGCATCTCAAGTTTGCATTCCGCCGCAAAGTAATGTCATTGAACTTGGCTCATCATAAATACGTGCTTTTAACACCAAACACAACCCTAGTTCAATCACAGCCAGTTGACCGTGTTGACGTCGCTGAACTTATCAAGTGTTTTTTCTTGCATCAGTATCAAATCAGTCCAAGAGTGTGTTATTTACACCCACCATCATGGTTGAGACATTTCAAGCCAACGAATGAATTGCTCGTTAATGCAGTTTGTGCGCTAGGTGAGTCAACGTGATGATTGAATGTTTGGGCCAGCAACAAGAAACTGACCCAGTGTTTATATTTGGTAGGGGCCATGGTGTCTTCTCAACCAGCAGTCTTAGAGCTCGGACAGTCTGCGGCTGACAGAGGCGCACCCTTTGTGGCAAAATGTCGAGGTCTCTTGAATGCAGCATTGAAAAATCCCTCTTGCGAAGCGGTTCAAGCACTTGCTCTGCTTTCATACTATTGCTCGCTTGCTGGTTATGGTATGGAATCAGTATTATCAATTGAATCTACTCGTCTTTTCACGAATCATTTTTTCTTAGACAGCCTATGTCTCGAATTTTTTGGACTCTCTGTCAGGTTCAGACTAAGTTCTTTCGACTATTGCGGGGATATTCAACTGACATCGCAAAACCTATAGACTGATGATGTGGTTGCAGATGGACGTGGATCCAGACATTCTTATCCGCCATGGACTGCTAGAACCACAAACGTTTTTGCAAAAGGAAATACGGCGACGAATCTGGTACTCTCTCTTTCCTCCTGAGCGAGCCCTTGCATTAATGACAAACACAGTATCTGTTACGCTTCGTGAAAAGCACGAGATGGACGAAGTATTTCATGTATCATTTCCTTGCTCGGAGGCAATATGGCTGGCTACAAACCCTGTAACTGGCGAAAGGCCGGCAGCAGTGTTTGAGGATCGAGACACTATGGACGTCATGCAGGTATATATGTATCTTGGAAATGTTTGTCAAGCAAGTGGCAAACTCTTGGTTTCGATCAGGCGTGTATCGAGGTTTACAGACTGCATTCGCTCTCAGCGAGGATCACCACTATATACAACACAGTAAAATTCATCATGGTCAAGGCGAAACACTGCACTGTAGCTAAACTTTCTGTCGGTGATAGGATTGCTGGCATGTTCTTGGATGGTTTAATCCAAAGAGTCTCCCTGAATTCCCTGAAGGTAGAGAAATGAAGATCCGGCTTCAGCGTGGTGGAAGCCCGTTTAACACACATCGCACACAGACAATCTGACTCGACGTCTGGTGATCCAAAATCTCGACTTTCAGCCCTTAATGTATGAGCGTCTGTGCCACTTTTACCGAAAGCTGCCATTTTTTATGAAGCTGGAGGGCACCAAATGGTTTACAATGCAAGGTGGTCTTCGGAGTTGGTTTGAAACTCTTCCGCAGCTCATGCCACCGGTTGAAAATCGATGGAATATAATCTTCTGCTTCCTAATTTATTACTCGTGTTTGATTCATATTTCCAAGGTAGTTTTTGCTGGTTTTGTGTCGGACAGATCGAAGACTGACGAAGTTTGGTCAAGTAGCCTGGTGTAATATTGGCCTTGAAAACAATGTTACCAGCCGAAGCCCTGCAAACGCGATGTGTGCAGACTGCCAAGGCTTCTGCACTGCTGATATGTGATCTCATTCAAGACGTGATTGTGCCGCTGAATCCTGAATGGTGAGAAGCCATAGTCACCAATGTCCCGCACTTTGCAATTCAATTTACAATATTGATAATCTTCTCTCATGTTAAAGGGCCTGGATTGGAGCTACTGCTTTGATATCAATCGAATGTGCTGTCAAGGTATGTTAGACTGTAATACTTGTGTAGAGACGTGAAGACTAAGTCGTGCTTTTGTTGGTGTTTTGTAGGCAATGTCCACTCTCTCTGTTCTTCCCGACCATGACTATCTGTTACCAGTGGCAGAGTCCTGCATACAAAGTTTGGACAGAGTACAGCCGCAAACAATAATGTCAAGACTGATGAAGCTAACGTCCACAGAAGCTTTGACAAAAGCTAGAGCCCGACATCGAAGTGTTTCAAGTATCTCGATCGGCCTCTAATCGTTTAATTGTCCATCGTAGGACTAGTAGTTTGCTGAAATACCTATTAAACTGAGTTGTTAGTGCCTCGTTAACTAGTTTACTTGATATATAATAAATAACCTGAATCAACCTAAAATTGTTTACAAAGCGCAAGTTGGCCACAAAAACATATCATTCAAGCAACAATCATTATCCTCACAGGTGCCTTGAACGTAGACAAACGTGGGTAGTATTATTTCACATCTTATTAGGTTATATGCACATTCACTTTAAGGTTGGTGAGAGAGAGCTTGAAACGGTCCAACCTCCATCACTTTACGATGTCGTCCGCAGCATGGTTGTTATACAGCCAGCCACAGGTTCCCTAGCCAACATTTCCACCGATGCATGTACTGCAACGTTCTCCTTCACAGTCACGTCTTGTTGGCCTGAAAACGTTAGCGTAGCTTCATCCATAGCTTTGCTCAGAAGATGTAGCATCGTCATCAGTCCCACCATTCCCTCGCTGTACGTTGTCCACTCCTTGAGTATGTGTATGAATTTCTCCTCACGTTCTCTGTTTTCTGCAGTGGCAGATAGACACCTGCATGCACAAAGATGTGTTTAGCAGGGTTGTTTAATACGTTCATTTTCTCCATCATTGTGATAAAAACCTCAACATGTTGAACCACAACGTCAAAACGATTAAAACGCTTACCGGCAAAGTACGGCAGCCAAACCACCCATATAATGGAAGAATGCCATGTTGATAAACGTCCCATTGAAGAAATCCGGGTATTGTTGTGCTCGTGCTATTATATCGAGCATCAACGGGATTGTTTGCGCTACTACTCTATAAGACTTTACTGATATCGAATTTACATCCTTCTCCAGGTCAATGTTATTCCTCAACCCCACAGTTAGCGATGGAGCATGCAGACCACATCTCAATGCATGGAAGGCAAAGATCATTGTGAGAGAGAACAAACATGGTGGAGCTGATGAGCACAGATTGTATGAATAGTTTGATGGTCCCAGGTTTGCACTTTGGAACCATACGGGAAACGATCTATACCATGCTACAATGTCATTCTGGGGTTTGTATTAAAAGAAGGATTTGTGTCAAAAGTTGGAGAGGGAGGAGTTGAAAAAACAAACAGCGAGACTCTTTGTTTACATCTAGAAGCTTGATTTCCTGCATATAATCATGCTCGAGTTTAGCATTTGGTGTGGTGCTTCTCATCAATCCATTCAGGTATCTCGTCACACGTTTCATTAGCAGAATCAAATCATATATAGATTGTAGAGGTTCAATTGTGAGATCAATTACTGCAAAGGGGATTGCGCGTGAGCTCAATTACAGGGGAAACCAAACATAAATCAAGTGGAAAATACCTGAAGCATTGTCTTGTGGTTCCAAGTTTGCGAGCTCCCACAAATATCTAAATAAAGAAACAGACATGTCTTCAACACACATTGTGATTTGAACGTAGAACACAATGATGCCGTTTTACAGTGGACAGGGACGGTGTATTGATCGAAGCAGTTCATCACTTAATTGCGGTGGTCTTTCCTCAAAGTCAGAAACGAGCTGATCTCCCAAGGCTAAATCCATCCATAAGCGCCGCCTGCGTTCCTAGACGTCACAAGTATCGTTGGAACCCTGACATTTTGATTGAAAACTCAAGGAATACCATACCACCAACAAAAATTCTGTTTTTCGTTCTGGTGCTTCGTCTCCCAGTCCCAAGTACTCTGCGAGCCTAAGAGCCATTGCCAGGAATTGTGTACGCATTGAGGACCTACTGGTTCTCCCACAATAAGTAGAGAGAAGTCTCAAAGCTTGGACGAGGTGTATTGATCTCTCTGAATCCACAATCTTCATTACTGCATGTCGAGATCTTTCAAACCACCGTTCGCCTCGTCTAGGAATTGGTATGGATGATATTGCGACTTCTGGGTGTTGGGAATATGATGCTCCATAGGCAGCAAAAGCATCGATGAGGTATTGGGGGTGTTTGGGTTGACGTGGTATGAATTCACTCCGGTGAAAGACACCTAATCAACGATAGGAGAGCCTGCTAGAACGAGTCCCGGCCTTTCCAGATGCCATCATTGTCTACGTTACCTGGTAATATACCAGAAAATCCGCCCCGGTTATCGAAAAAGGATTGCAATAAATGTTCAGATAGCTCGTCAAGATGTTGATTGTCCATCGGAATCCGATACACAAAAGAAGCGTGATAAGATGCAAGCTGATTCAATGTGGTATCCAGCAATGGATTTGAATCATCAAAGTAGTGAGTATCTACTGGCGGGAGTTAAACCGTTGTGAGTTAGGCGTGACAAGGGGTTTGCGAAGTGTTGCAGGCAGATCGCAAATAGCCACATCTTCTTACATTGAGAATATAACTAAAAGACAGAATGGAACTCTCTATCCCTCCCTCAGTATACGCGGTGCTGCCTGCTTGTGGTTTTTAGACTTCGATCTAATACTGATGCCAAGATACGTTGGCTTATAATCAAAGAGCTTCAGCTTGCCTTCACGTGATAGTAAGTTGTAAGGGTTGAAATATGTCGATTGATTCTCTTTAAGGATTGTTTGTTACCTTGTGCTTGCTGATGAAGAGTCACGTCAGCGGTAGGAGCATGACGGAACGACCACTAATACGTATTCCCCAAGCAATTACTACTTGCAGATACTCGAATACGAGTCTTTACGGTGAATCAAGGGTATTTCTGGTCTGGATCTGGTCGGGGCCGGTCGAGATCTAGCCGGAACTAACCACATAATTCCAAAACAATTAAACCACAACACAACACCAATCGGCCGTGAGAGAGGCACAAGACCAAAGGCGCATTCTTCAACTTCCAGGCCTTGCATCCAACTACGAGATGTCAACTTCTCCCTCTGCAGCCTCCTCCCAACAGTCTGTCAATTGCACTGGTCCCAGTAATACCAAAATCTCAAGAAATAGTAGTGGCTCAAAGCACAGCGAACTGGATTTTCTCGATGATCTCGAATATGCAAAACAGGCCGCACTGAAAATCACGCCTCAAGTTACCCAACGAGCTGCATCGAAAAGCATCGTTACATATCAGGTCTTTGAATCATTGATGGACAAGTCTCCAGGTGCGCAAAGACGATCGAGGACCCTGAATCAATGGATTACTCTAAACATCCTGCTGCAAACTAGATGGTCCTTTTAAATTCCAGGTACATGGCCTCTCTGACCCATGAATTCGCCTTATATGCTAAACAGTCGATCTGTTCTTGTCCCCAGATGTACATGGAGGCCAAAGGAAAAGCAAGCAAGCTCGATTATTTCAAAAAACTAACACGTTTAAAGTAAGATGGTTGCTGTCTCGTCTCTTGTTTCTTCTTGGAATGTAAGGGTTTTCAGCTGCCATGTCCCGTTGACGCTACTCCCAAATTACCCTAGACAACTGCCCGCTCGCACTATAGAACTATTGAAAGATGCCTGGGAGAACTACACTGTGCCAGGAGGTAACTTTTACTCTCGCTGTGAGTGTGCCCTTGCCAATTCCAAGCTGAATTTCTACGCAAATAGGACCTCTCTCTGTAACTTTGCCATATGAGCTCATCCAGAGAGATGGGGAATCTCTCAAGCCTCTCTTCCAAAGTGTAGCTGCTTTTGCAAAATATTTCAAGTCGTTCGAAGAAACTCGGAACGTTTTGCTCAAGGACTTGTATATCAAGTATGGAATGTCGTGGAGATCTGTCAGGCGCTTTTCATCTAAAGAAACTTTGCAAAGTTGATCTTTTGCTCATCATACACACTGATTGGGGGTTTATTAGTGACTTTTTACCATACCTTGACCAAGCGGCAGCTACCCAAAAAGCAGGCGGCAGGCAGGACTCGGCAACCAGGTTTTCGTTTTCTGGCAAGTGTGACTTGAAAACGCGTACTTCTTACGTATCAGTGAGAATACTGACTTTATCGTCACTTAGGTGCGGCAAAATCCATCTGTATATCTGATCCTTCGACCGCGGATAACTTGGTTATAATGACATCGGATGGGTTTCATGAGCTCACTCTATATGTAAATAGGAACGACCATTTGATCCCTCCTTTCACCAAAGCGACATATCGACTTTTATTTCTTCTTTAGAGCCGAGCTGAGGTCATCAACAAACTCAATTGCAGATTCCTACAGACAGAAATGTCGGACGCGAAATGCATCGCACGTCTCAAAAAAGGCGAGAAACGAATAATTATGTTTTGGGATCTGCCAAATCTAACTTTTAATACTAAAGGAATCTTGAAGGCCGTGGAGGTTGCAGAGCCAGGCAAGAACCTCTTTCATGCTTCCTCCTGTAAATCACGAATCTTCCTCAACGTTATCATCTAGTTCTAAATGCTAGAAAGAATGGGCAAGTCTTTTGGAATCGTATGTAATCGATACAAATTCCTTGGTGTTTCCCTTTGCATCTCGTCTAACGCCATTTTCCACGTAATTCTGCCCTCTCTCGTCAGTTCTCTTTATTGCACCTCTGTACGGTTCCTTGGGTTTGTCTTTTATTGCATCTCTTCTTACCATTTCTCAATCTCCCTCAGGTATGATCATCACGGCAAGATCCCCTTCTTTGTCGGAGTTCAAGTAGACGTATCCAATCTTCTTGACGGTGAAGCAGGAATCTTTGAACTGTTACGTGCTGTAGACCTCAGCGAAGCACCCACTTCAAGAGCCCAGCAGAGAAGCCAACAAAGGCGACCTTCGTTCCACATGCCAGGTCAAACTTCCACAACGACAAGTGCAGCCGGCTCTCGAGCCACCTCTTCTGATGACCTAGTACGGTATGTGGCTAGTGTCCTTTTGAGGTTTGAAATCATGTTACATTAATTTCATTCTTTTCTCGCATGAACTTAGGTCGTCGTTTGCTGGTATTTAAAAGTCTACATGTTTAGAATATGGAAGCAACATTCCATCAACCATTGTTCGCCAATTTACAGGATTTCAACGCCGAAACTCCATCACATCAGTGGCTGCCAGCACAACTGGGGTGGACTTCGCCGATGACGAGCCTTCTGGATTCGACGACAATGTCTCACTGCAGCAGAAGGTTGGTGTCTGAGTTTGGAATGAAGAAACGCGTTCAGTCGGAAGCTAAGCTGTATAAAACTTGCCCTTCTAGGGTATCGTTTTAACTTATTCTAGAATGCTGGTACTCGAACCTCCACAAAAGGACAATGATACTGGAAAAGTCCTCTATGCAACCCAACGAATGATCGAGCAATTGGGTCTGGAGGATGATTGTGCGGCAGTCCTCAATCAGCCATTTGATGCACTACTAGATTTGGATCAACGGGAAAGTGAAACTCTGGAAATCCAGTTGAGTGAAATTGCTTAAATACTGTACAAACGGCAAGGCCGCTCATTCAGCCTGACTGACTGTCTCTCTTCCAAATTCACCATTGCGTTAGAGAGGCACTCTCAACCAACGCACCATCATCGACATCATGCACATTCCGAGGTCACCTACCAGCAACCCTTCATATCAGCCCTATGAAGGCTGTATCGGATAAGCCATCATTGTTCGTTGTTGTTGTGATTTTTTCAGAGTCTCGACAGGGTACTGTAACGTCGCCTGTTGAGTAAGAAGCTGTGGACAGTTGAACTGGCCGATTTTGTGTTAAATTGCCAGCGATATCGTTTCAAATATAGAAGTGGTACTTCAGATAATTAGAATCCAGTTTATAGGTTCCAAGGCTTTCTGTATCTCCTTCCTCCAGCGTAAAACAGCGTAAGATGCGGACACTATAACAAAAAAGCCCACACGAAAACCAGGCACTCTCAAATGTACTTTATAATAGGGGTGTTTTCTTATTTTGCGACTGTTTGTGTTGTAAATACAAGAGAGTGCGAAACAACAGCAGCTAGATAACAAAACAACCCTTTTATACCCTCAAACCCCATTACCATCCCTCTTACTCGTGTTCAGCACTCTTGACTCTGCCCTTTGGATTGGTAACCTTAATATTCAATTGCTTTGCGCGTTCCAAGATGGCAATACGTTTCTTTGCAGATACATTGGCCGAGATTTCAGCAGCAAACACCCTGTTTTGCATCAAGAGTAGATTCACGTCTTGCACATTTGATACATTGAATTTCTTGAAACCGTTTGGCATCAAGTGACGGGTCTTTTTGTTTGATCCATAACCGATTTTGGGGAGGGCGATACGACCCTTGAATTTTCGTCTGACTGCGTTATCGATACCTCTTGGTCTACGCCATGAGGGCTAGAGCGTGATGCGGTGTAAGGATTTGGGATGTTTGGAATGGCACAAAAAAGTTGGTTGTTTTAGAAAGTGTAATGTTTGACAATCTGCACTTACGTCTACTCGCATAAACCGATCCGACTGGAAACGGAAGAACTTTGCACGTCGTTTCTTGACGATTTTGGGGTGAGGAAGAGCTGTGACCATCTATAATACGAGCAAAATAGATTGCGTGAGCATTCAGAGTTTCAGTATACGAAGTGTTTTCCATGTCTTCAAGAATGAAAATAATCGTCGTCATTATGTTAGCAGCCTTCTTTCTCTTTATCATATCCCTCTACTTGTCTCCACATGTTTGACATTTCCTGGTTCTAATGAGCTCCTTCCACTATTTACACTTCCAATTGCCAAAAGGAGAGAGTGATGGTGTCGGCAAAGCGAATCAAGTGGGATCTCCTGTAGGGTCTCTCCTCTCTTCCCTCCATGAAATACTAGCTCCCACAAACACTGCTTGTCAGAAGGAAAGGCATCCAATCCATCCATCACAAACACACAAGAAACAACATGAAATCACTGTAGATTCCGACTGCTACGATGGTGACCTATATGAGAAAATCTCCTTCTTACCTTGTTTAGCTTCTTCTCCTATCAGATTCAAAAACTTGTGGTGAAGGAAGGTAATGTTAGGTAATAGCACTGTAAGCATATTTCAGAAACATGAGAATGGCGCACCAAGTTCAAATGCACGATGCAGGATGGAGCGTGGTGTTGAACGCGATATCGATATTCGATATTTCAAGCTAAACAAGTAAGCAATAAGCAATGATAGTTACTGTATCATTTTTACCAAACAACTAGTGTTGACGTTTGTTTATTACTCAAGATGCTACTTGTAAATATGGTGGTTATTTCGTGTTCCATATGATGATAATGTCCTGGAGAGTCCTTTCCTTGTTCGGGCTCTATTCTAATGATGGCGTTACTATATTGTGAGCGTCAGTAAGATCCATAGATCCTTCGGTTGGATGAATGTAAGGGATTCCATTTGTTGATGTAGCACGAATGCTTGCATCGTCGGTAATTGACAGTTTTCGTCCCTCGTGAACTTCTTGTGTGATCTCCAGTGCAGCAGAAAGTCGACGAGTAGTAGAAGAGGACGATTTCCATCTCATCATTCGAGTATCCATATTGAACTTGTTTTCTTCAATGGCCAAAGTCTCTTGATGCTCCTGTGGCTCGTTTTGTGACAGAGCGCTCGAGCCTTTCGGTCTCTCACGAGGCAAACCTTGCTGCCAGTCAGACGACGACGATTGTTGTCCTTCACGAGTCACGGAGGGCTGTTGTATAGTACTGGAGACAGCGAAAGATGATCGAGACGGATATTGGAAGGCTGATTGGTGGGAAGAGAATACATCGTGTGCGAATGCACTGGAATTTGGTCCCAAAATATTGTCAAGCGTAATTATGGGAACCTCATGCTCCTCATAGCTCTCATCTTCGTTGCTGGGGTGTGGTAGCGGCATTGGCAAAGAGTTGTGACTGCTGTTGGCTACGATCCCGATCAAGTTACGACTTGTGCCGTTTCCACGTTCGAGAATCGCATTTTTCTGAGAACTTGACATTAGGACTCCAGAAGTGTTGTGAATGGAATTGGGGAGGGATTTGTTCATCATGGCTGTTATCTTGGTGGCCTTTGTCATCCGAGAGTCTACGTGGATCATGCCTCGGTTAGGAATGGATCCCGTAGCTAATTTCAGCTGTGAGGAACATCTCTGCACGTAGCTCGTGATGGAGTGCAAATATAACAACTTGGCAGCTCTATAATGGTACAGGGTATCTTGTTAATCAATTTTTCACAAGCACTGTATATTTTGACATTCGAAGGAGGTGCTTACCCATATAAAGACATAAACAGCGAACCAACGGCTAAACAACGATATGGGCTGGCAGATAGATACGTTCCGATGGTAATGTAAGCAGCAGCGTAACTCGAGATACTTAGGGCCAATGAGGTCACGGCGATCCATTTACACCAATATCGGGAGACACTAAAAGTTTCTCCCGTTGCCCGAAATACGATGCAAATCGACAGCACGTCTGCAGCCATTACTGGCAGACGTTGCAGAGCACCAGGTAAACCAATCCAAAATAATGTGACAAAGTCATTCGTAGATACTGTGCAGTAGGTGGTAAACGATGTTCCAATAATGGCGATTACGAGCAAACTGGTTTGGACTGTTCTCTTTAGAGTTGGTGAAAACCACGGCACGAAAACAGCTGAAAAAGAAGTAGTCATTCTGTGAGTGGGAGGAACATTTGCAATAAACCAAAGTTACTCACGATAAAACAAAAAGAATCTTTCTAAAGCCGCCATAGCCCACATGCACCACCTGGACGAGGTCAATTGTAAAAGGATCAAAATAAAAAAGGTCACGATTTATCGTCGCCTTACCCAATATTGGCGAATGCAAGTGCCAAAACAATAGCTCCTGAATTCGCAGCATCTCCAACTACTGGGAAAATCCAACATATTGATTGCGCTAAATCAAAACTCGTGGCGACTATGAGGAAGGCAGCGTAGGTGTGGCGAATGGCTCTCCATCTGGCAATAGCGGCCAGTAAAATACATAATGACAGGAAGAGGGTCGTGCACCGAATTGCCAGCTCTGCGACGTCGACATCGAGTGGATGCGGTGGAATCTCTGCACCAATTGGAGTACATGTGGACATGTTCCTGGATGTGTCTTTTGTGTTTGTTTTGCTTTTGACCAATGACGAAGGTTATGAATAAGATTTCAAATTTCAATGATGACTTCCGCGTTGCCGATAAGCTTCCTGACGCCGTAGACTGGCACAAGGGGTCGTATCTAAATCGACCCTGGTTTTGATCCCAATGTTCTTCAGTGTGGGCCTCAGTACTTGCCCTTAAATGAATCCATCGGCTGCTTAACATTTGCCTAGATCAGCGGAAAAGGGGTGCTTGGTTCGTCTGGCATAGATATGCTGGACTTGGTTCTGTGATGAATCCATTTTGAGGATTTTTCAGTAAGGAGGCAGGCGCGCAGGATAACGAGTAAGTAATCGTGAATCATGGACATTCGTGATAGTGGGCACTTTTGGTCTGTGGGTGCCTTTCGTTCTAGCCACCTATGCACCTAAAGGCGAAGCCGCAAATCTGCAAATTTACAAGACCTTGTTGTATCTCATGAGTCAAAACAATATTTGCGACGCTGTAATTCACTTTGAGTCGATCTTGGCCTTGTTCACATCCTGTATACTCTATGAATTCTATACTCTCTATGGTTGAATTATATACAGCACCCTCTTGCAGAATCTACTCATTCATTAGAGAAGCTGATCCAGGCAAAGTCTTACCAGAATCAAATTGCAAAGTCTGATCATCTGCTAATACTGTTCCATCCATCGTAAATGGTCTGCTTTCAACATTGGCCTGGCAAACTTCAGCTGAAGCTGATCCGGCATAAATGCTTGCTTCATCGGTGGCAGCCGGCTTTCTTTCCTCACGGGACAATTGTGGTGGAAATTGCAGTGTTGCAGAGAGGCGGCGGACAGCCGACGGTATACTAGGTGACTGGCACTCTTCGGAGGGTTGGGTTTCTGTACTTTCTTGTTCACGGTTCTGTGGAAACGCGCTGGAGGGGTTCAGGCGCTCCCGTGACGATAAGCCGGACTTCAGATCAGAAGACAATGATGTTTGTTCCTCTCGTGTTGAGGCGAACCCTGGGTGCGTCGACTCAGACAGGCCTATAGACGACCGAGAAGGACATCGGAAAGAGGCTTGGTCGGTTGTGAAAATGTCATGAGCGTAGGTGTTCGAATTTAGTCCCAAGATATTGTCAAAGACTATAACGGGGACATCCAAGTCCTCACTGCTGTTGATTTCGTTCTGGTGGTGTGGTGCTGGCATTGGCAGAGAGTTGTGACTGCAGTTGGCTACGATGCCGATGAGACTACGATTAGAGGCGTTTCCTGCCATCATGGTGGTGCGTTGTTGGTGGCTCATTAGAACTCCAGAGGTATTGTGTACAGACGACGGTAGGGTTTTGTTCATCAATGCTGAAGTTTGTGCCTTGCTGTGATAGTGGGAAGATTTATGGCGCGGGGCTCCGACAAATGTGGTAGATTGTTTCGAAGACCGGTCCTGGACATAAATGGTTATAGCGTTCAAGAAAAACAGTTTTGTCATTCTAGAGAGGACGAGATTGTTCATAAATTTGTCCTTAAAAGTAGCTGAACGTATTTGACTTACCCATAAAGAGAAATGAGAAGGTACATAATCGCAGTTCCAAAGTATGGAGACTGGTTGAGATAGAATCCGAGAATGGCAAAAGCAGTAGTGAGCAAAGAACAACCTGCAAAGAGTGCCAATACGGCGGTCCAACGTAGCGCAGAATTGGGGTTACTTATACCGGCTCCAAATACTATGTTGAGCGTGGCAATATCGGCAATCAGAACGGATAGTCCTTGGAAGACACCAGGAAATCCAATCCAGAATGATACAAAGAAGGCAGTGGTGTTTGCCGTGCAGTAGGTTGTGAAGCAGGCGCCGATGAAACCGATAGTCAGCAAAAGGACTTGACTAATCCGCTTTCGGGTGGGTGTGTACCATGATACAAACGTAGGGTGGAACAATCCAAAACGTTCCAAGTCAGCGGACGCCCATAATGCCCATTGAATCTAGAAAGACTTGTCAGAATCATTCTCAAGTACAGTTTAAAGATACTAGATAGATATGCTTACATTGGTTTGAGCATGAGTGATGGCCTGCAGGACTTGTTCTGCCTGACGACTGAGGATCCCGCTAACCACCACAACCCAAAAAAAATTGTGTAGAATGTCGAGAGTGGTCGCCAACACGAGTATCTTCGCAAACAAGTGCCTTGTTGATCTGTATCGTGAGATGGCAATCCAACATGTAAGGAATGATAGGGCAAGCGTAATACATCGAATAGCGAGTTCACTGGGAATAACATCAACTCCATGAGCGGGAATTTCTTGTCCGATTGGGGTGCACAGACTCATCATTTAAAAGAGCGATGCAGGTTTGACAGATACACGGTTAACAGTTAATCGAAATTGAATGAATACCCAAAAAGTCTTCCTGTTGAAACGCAACAAGAAACAATCATGAGGGCCTGATAATTTGCGGCTACCCGTAACTGGATATACCCAGCCTTCAGCATGAGGATCAAATTAGTCACATAGTTCAAGTGTCGAAAGAAAACAGTTGAGGATTCCTTCGGAAAAATCAGTTTGATAGCCGTTGCCCAATCCTGCATAGTGACTCACGACGTCCGTCGTTCCAGGCAGGCAAGGTATCCATGGCACAATTACTGAGTAACCAAAACGGCTGCTTCTTAAACGGTTAAATGTAATATGAAATTTTCCAATTTTTGATACTATGATACCCTTCATTCCTTCAAATGATCTTCACTTGGAATGCTGAGTTTTTGTCTTCATGAAATATCCGGAGACCAAAGAGGCCAATAAAAGATGAGAGGATGGCTGAGGTTTGAAATATGTATCTTGATCTTGAGTATTTTTAGTTTCCAGGTGCGGTGTTTCTTTGGATTGCCTCAAAACTTGACTAACTTGAGCTTTTCAGGTTTTTGCGGCAAACGTCACCACTATTTGTCGTTGTGATTGTCTACTCGACACTGCCAATTCGACAGTTAATGCAGTAGAGTCTTGCTCCTTATGCTCCAAGTCCTTCTGCTCAAACACATCATCTTGCTTTTTCTCAACAAATTCAACAACACCAACGACCACAACCGAATTGACCGCTATACCATCTGAGTCTCCCCAGGAATCCCCTGTGGTGCTCGAGGGAGAGTGGAATGTCTCGTGCTTTCGTATGAAATTGCTATCAACGCGTTGTGTCGAGAGGATATGCTCACTCTCCTCGGTTATTAGAACGAGGAAGTAACAAGGACGAGGCCATAATCATAATATTCATAATCTCCGTATCCACTCTGTTGATTGTATCAGCAGCAAAACCGTATCTGCTACGTTTTTGGAAGGATTACCTCGAGAAACACTCATACAGTTTCTTACGCGGATGATACATGTGTACATTATCCTCATATTGCAAAATCCTGTAAATATATTTGCCAGTGTACACCATTCAATACTAGATCTTTGCCAAAATGATTTGGATCAACGAATTTGACTCGAGCTTCAAAGCGGTTGCTGGTATTTTCGCCACGATGGCCTGTTTCACAAAGCCTTCAACCACATCTTTAAGCCATGTTTCATTCGGAAGGTCGGTGCCTGTCAGTTCAAACGGGAAAGGTTGGTGTCAACCACAAAAACCATCAACTAAATTCATGTCATTCATTGGTACCTGAATTGCTTCCATTTTGTGGCCTTCGACGAGTCCAAAGTCATACTTGCGCAAGATCTCAGCTACAGCAAGCCTAGTCTCAAACAACGCCAGCTTCTCGCCTGTAAAGAAACAAGACGATTTCAGAAGGCGTCGTTCAGCGAACCGCGTTTCATCTTAGCGTTTACCAAGACATCTCCGTGGCCCAGCTCCAAATGGTATGTAACTCCAAGGTGAATAAACCTTATCGCTCAACCATCTCTCAGGCCAGAACTGGCTAGCCTTCTCGAAATTCCGTTCGTCCAAGTGAGTAGCATAGAAACACGTGAAGAGTTCTGTCCCCTTCTCCACGAAATGCTCTCTAGCAACACCCTGATCGTCAACCCAGTTGTATGTCAAGTCTTTGGCAGCAATTCTACCAGTATTTGGAGCTGAAGGCCTCAGCCTCTATTTATTGTACAATGAATCATTTTACGAAAAGCAACAATCGAATTGGAAAGTATTTCATCACACTTACCAATGTTTCCTTGACGCAGGCCTCCAAGTAAGGCATCGTCAAGAGATTTTCATAAGTCAGTGAGCCTTTGCCAACTGTTTGGATGACCTCCTTTCTAGCACGATCGAGCTTCTCAGGAGACATAGAGAGGAATGCCAATGTCCACCCAATAGAGGAAGCAGTCGTATCGTGGCCTGTACAGCAAAAAAGTGTCTGAATGCACATATCTAACAAAACGTTGAGCACAAATAGCAAACATACCAGCAAACACTTGAGTGATGAAATGTCTTTGAAAACTTTCCCTGTCGTTCTTCAAAAAATCTGGGACGGTTTCCGGGTTGGCCTTCAAACGTCTTACATATTGCGCGAGCATATCCACGGCTTCTGTTGGTACGCCATCCTTCAAGTACATATCATACCGATTCATGACAAGGTCACGCAATACCTGTAAGACAAATACGATAACGTAAACCTTCGAATGCATACCATGCATTGTAGACTCACCTTAATGTCCTTTTCATACTGTCTAACAGCTGGCGTTTTGAGGAACGAGTATTCCCAGTATCGAGATTCTGCAAATGGGAAACTAAAGAACACGAACAGTGAGTGGGGGCAATGCAGCAGCAAGATTCTCAGACGAGCTCACCGATCCATTAGGTGAGATAGAGCATGCTCCCAAGCTTTGAGAAAGAAAATGGTTACAATCAGCACCTTAAATTTATGAGATTCTGACGATGATTCAAACCTTGAATGTGAACTGCTTGACCACCAGTAGCCACAGAATTTGGGTCAAATCCAAGTAGAATGTTCACAATGATATCACTGGATGCGTTATAAAGAAGTCAGGAAGATTTAAGGCCCTGACAGCAAGAACGAAATAATACACACAATAACCACTCACAAAGTCAGACCATGTAAAGCAGGCTGCATTTCAATACCAGCTCCTTTTGGGTGATTCTCAGGCGACTTCAATTGGGTGTCCATCCATGTCAACAGCTTGCTCGTACACTCGGTGACAATAGGTGCATAGCTTTTTATGGTGCCCACACTGAACGAAGGATCGAAGTACTTTCGAACTTCTTTCTGTTCAATTCCATCTGCGGTATAGAGGTGTTAAACGAACTGCGGTTTGCCCAGAATGGACGCAATTGGTGTTTTTACTGACTGTCTTGAATGATAAGGCCTCCAGCGATATCACCAAATACGACCATAGTGTTGCCTACGTGGACCAATGGGTCAGCATCGCTGTGTTTGTATCATAACTCTGTAGATTCAACTACTTGTACCTCCACGCCCAAAATCATTCATATCATTCTGAAAGATCCTCTTGTTCATCTAATGATTTTAAAATTCAATATAGTCATTAATGTCGTAAAATGGAGTCCACAAACCTCAGGGTCACTCGTAATAACAAACTTTCTCCCAAGCAGAGAGAACTTGGCAACACCGCCATATTTCTTTACAAGTGTTAGCTGATACTCGAATAGCTTTTGAATATCACCGATATTGAAAAGATTTCCAAAGATCGGCACTAGATCATGATAATGAGTTGCATAGTCGGTCAAATGTTTGTTTGCATATTATGCCCAACGGAAGCTTGGAGGTACCTTCCCAATCTCCTTTAGCTTCACGGCGAACACTAGATCTACTCAACACGAATGTCCTCAATAACGTGTATCCAACAACTGTTCCGCCAACTGCAAGTGCCCATGGTGGCAGCTGTCTGACTTTGTCGGCCAATACTTCCATCGACTTTCGCACATTCTCCATGGCTGTAATGATGAGGTCGTACTAGGCAAAACGGCGATGAATCGCGAAACAATGCTCAAACTAATATCTGAAGTAAAAACGTGACGGTCGGTGTTACTCTACAATTCTGTTTTTCTCAAAGCAAAATATCGGCATTTTAAAAACAAGACATCTATAGCTTCTTGAGCCAGACTTTCAGACCATTACGTATACGTAATGTGGGTGCTTGTACCAAGTCGAGTACGTGGCCATCGATCAATCCGTAATCAAAATTCCTCAGAACTTCAGCAACGGCGTAGCGGGTCTCAAACAAGGCCAGCTTCTCCCCCAAACACTTTCTTGGACCAGCGCCAAACGGAAAGTACATGAATGGTGAATATTGGGAATTGAGAAATCTTTCGGGAATGAAATCGCTAAGACAGAGCAGCAGCTTTAGTCTTAAAATTTTAATTTTGGTAACAAGCCTGCAAACACTCACTCTGGATTTTCAAAGTTTCTGGGATCCATCATCGAAGCATACATGGTGGTTTGACAATCTGCGCCCTTGGGTATCCCTTGGCGACGTAAAACACCTTCATCGTCAACTAATCTGGAGTGTAAGCAGCCGAAACTCCTAACAAATAAAGGCTTTCGTTTGCGTACCCCATTCAAGAATAATGTCTTTCTTGGCGACCCGATTCATGTTGACAGAGCTTGGTCTTAAGCGCATGGTTTCCTTGATACATGCCTCCAAGTACGGCAGGTTTAACAAGTTCTCGTAGGTGAGTGGCTGACCCTTTAGAACCTCGACAACTTCTTTGCGAGCACGTTCCTTCTTTTCTGGGTGCATTGCAAGGAAGGATAGCGTCCAGCCAACGCTGGATGCAGTTGTGTCGTGGCCTAAATACCATACGGGTGTTGGTTGAGTTCAGCGAATAGTATCAAAAATGATACCAAATTAACAAAATGCCCCTGCACTGTAAGAACCACACAATAGCCATAATAACCGTACCTGCAAATACCATGGTCATAAGATGTCGCTGCAAGCTGCTTCGGTCATCTTTCAAATATGTAGGGACAGAGGTCGGATCGGTTTTGACACGATTGACGTATTGAGCGAGAATATCCACGGCACCCTCTGGCACTCCATCCTTCATATATAGATCATGGCGATCCATTACAAGGTCAGTGAGGAGTTTCAAGTCCTTCTCATATTGTCTCACAGCAGGCGTCTTGTAGTATTTCCAGTAACGCGTGATGGCGAGAGGAAATCTATTGGGTATGTTAGCCAGGCCGATTGACGTGGAAAGCGAGCGAATTGGTACCTGGACATTAGATGGTCCAGTCCACGCTCCCAGGCTTCGACATGTGGTGAATGACCACCAGTTTCAACAGAGTTGGGGTCAAATCCGAGTAAGATATTCACAATAATGTCACTAGTAAATATTGGGTAGAGTCAACAGCCAGATCAAAGGGCAAAAGAACAGAAGTTGAAGGATTCTCTTACAAAGTCAGTCCATGTAGAGATGGTTGAATATCAACTCCAGGTCCTTTGTGGTCTCTAGCATTCGATTCTTGTGATTCCAACCACTTGATGAGTTTGGATGTGCAGTTTGCAACATAAGGGGTGTAACTCTTGATTGCTGGAATGCCAAATGCAGGGTCAAAATACTTTCGAACTTCCTTCTGCTCAGGGCCATCTGAATGTTTGAGGGAAATGAGGATTGGTTGCATCGGTTCATTTTTCAAGCACGGTCACATACTGTCCTGCAAGATGAGGCCTCCGGCGATGTCACCGAACACTTCCAAAGTCTTTCCACCACGTCCAAAGCTATCAATCTCGGTTGAGTAGATCCTCTTATTGATCTGGAAGAGAAAAGTGACGTGTCAGTTTCAAGAGGGCGAGAACACAAATTTGGCATATTTCTAAGGTCAAATATAAACAATATAATTGAACAATAGACCGACGGAGCGTGTTGGAGTCAGAAACAAAGTGCCTATGTACCTCTGGCTCTGAAATTACAAATGCTGTATCTCCCATAATCTTCTGTCTCGACACCCGGCCGTATTTGCGAGCAATGTTCTTTTGATATTCAAACATCTTATATATATCTCCAATATCGAGCAGATTTCCTATAAAGAAGACTGTACGTGCGTGGTGTGAATTTTCAAAAACCAGACCGAGTTGTAACTGATTTCGAATATTTTACTTCCAGGATCTCCTTTGGCATCTTCCGGCAAATTGTTTCCAAGTAGCGCGTGCAAGATATAGAATCCAGCAGCAGTACCACCAACTACAATGGAATCAGACTTGTCAACATTCCATTCCAATGTTATGGCGTGCAGCAAATTGAAGACCAGACAAATAAGAAAGCAAGATCACAATTCGTTATCTTACCAGCTAATACCCAAGGAGGCAACTCCTTAACTTTGGTGAAGAGAGACAGCGCACCACTCTTGACTTGGTCGACGACCATTCTTCGACTTGAGGAAGATACGCAACTGGATAACTAAGAAAGCTCAGCAAGGCCCCAGGAACGTTTTGAAACAAAGGACAAAGTCGTTAAGCTGGTCTCTGTCGGTGAGTTTCGTTGACGGGCAATTCGAAATATGACTCTTGAAAAAACACCGATTGAACAACGAGGAAACCAAGTCAACCCAAAATGAAACCATGATTCATGATTACCATTGGAGATTTCTTCACACCTTGACGTGTTTGACGCGTACATCTTTGATGACTTTTTACATTACAATTCACTGACATGTCCACAGTGATTTACAACTAGCTGCCCGAGATGATGATGTTTGGCAAATTGCAAGCAGCATTCATGGCTCGAATACTTGCAACTCATTCAGCCACCGCTCCTCCTGTAATACTTCACCACCGAATCGGCAGCGCATTCTCTAAACGAGCTCGCCAAACGTTGGCCTTGAAGCAGAACGTGCAATTCTATCAATGTATCCATGCTGGTGATATGCCCGGAACGAGGTTGGCACTGTCTGAGTTAGCGGGGGGTTATAGGCGTGTACCTGTCTTGCAGGTGGGACGGATAGTATTGGTCGAGATTGAGGCTATTCACAATTGAGATGCAACTGGATCTGATCGTATTCTATTGCTCGTCTGCCTAGGTTGGCAGTGACGTATACTGCGGCAGTGATACAATAGCTTGGTACTTGGAAAGGCGACATGCATTCCCATCGCTCTTTCCGTCGAGTGAAAGCTCGGGCCCGCCATCAGATATAAAAAATGCCAGTATCGGAACCATATTGCACGAATACGTAGATCAAATCCTATGGCCTCAATTAGTGCCGTTACGGCACTCTTATAAACTGCCAGAGTCTCAGAAAGCAGATCGAGAAAAACTGTATAAAATGACTGGAGAAGAAGCTCCAAAACATCTATCTGACGCTCGAGCCGCTTTCGCTAAGTACTGTCATTTGCTGGCCTTCCAACTGGGCCCAAACAACTTTATACACAACACATCTGCACCACATTGGTCTGACCTCGTAATGAGTACTCCTGTACATGCGGTAGTCAATGGATGGAAGGTAGTAGAGAAGGACTCAGAAGTATCTAGTATATGGTCGCACTATGGTCGGATACTAAAGCCGTGGATGGAGCGTATTAATAGGGCTTGCGAGACAACGCATGATATAATACAACTGACTCCGGCAGATACATTGGGTGTTGCTATGAACTATCAGAGTCTAGAGCAACCAGGTATAATGAATTGTGGTGACGGTCTGCTAGTTGGAAATGAAGTGGAAGTGTATCCTGGAGGACGTGATGATATAGGGAAGAATCCAAAGGAGTTACCGGAACCTCCTGTACGTGGTCGTGTATACTCTTCGTCGCCTCTGCATATTACTTTGGCAAGGAAGGTGTCGCTCAGAGATGGAGATGGATTCAAGGATGTGCAACTCACGGTTTCCTTTATGAGGGGACGCCTCGCTACAAAGAAGCTAGGCGACACTACAACGAATAAATCGGCAACACCATCATCACCTCCTGATACTTCTACCAAACAAAAGCCATTCATATATCCTGGCGACTTGAAACGGTAGATTATCATACTCAAACGGTTATATTTGCATTATAGTAGCTACAAGCATAATATATTACAATTCAGTCAGCAGACGACAGCCTAACCTCTCTACTTGTTGATCAGCCGGAAGGTCAAGTTGATCCTTCCGGTCACACCCCTTTGTTTCGGTATCGAATGCTTCCAAAACTTTTGAGTCGCTCCTGCCATGACTAGCAAACTACCAGAGCTAAGTTTGTATTCAAAGCTTCTCTTGTCTCCAGCCTTAAGGTTCCTTGGAGTTTTGACTCCTTCTCGAGCTTTAAATATGAATCGTCGTTCAGCTCCAATACTTAGTGACGCTATAATAGAGTTCGGGCCCAGTTCCTTTTCATCGTCAGAGTGATATCCCTACAATGAGAACGAAGCGAGTCAGATACATACAGAGACGACAACATCACACAATTGCTGACCATATAGTCATTGCCATCACGGTAGTAATTACAAAGCACTGAGTTGAATCGTGCACCAGTCTCTGCTTCGATCTGTTCCTTGAGAGATATCACGAGTGGTGTCCAAGGGGTCGGCTGTAACAAAACACCAGAGTACTTGTAGCTCGCCGAGGAATCTCCCATCCAGACAGTCAATCGAGGTTCCTTGACGTCTTTTCCAAACATTTTTATATCTTTACATTGCCATGGGAGCGAGCTTATCAGGGCGCTGAGCACTTCAGTAGACCGCTTAAAGCTTAGAAACGTTGGGTTGAACAGGATAAGTCCCGTCGTTCGTGGCAGATATGTTTTGATCATTGATGGCGACGCGCTCGGTAAAATGGTATCTGAGCATTCGTTCAGTTCATCGTCAGGTATATTCGATTCCAAATGTACAGCTGAATCTGGATTCATTCGTGACAGTGGAGCTCCTGCTAAAGGTATATCTGTAAGTACGCGTACAATAAAAGTAATCATCTCTTTTCTAAGCTCACTCACGTCCGCCAATTCAAAAGCTGCAAACGTCCAGATTCACTTAAGCACATTTGATTGACATACCTCAAGAAAAGAGCTCCGTAGCTAAGAGCAAGAAGAATGGCTACCTCAAATCCAACAGGAAAGATCTCTCGAGAGGACTTTCGAAGGCAAAAGGACTTGGAAGAGAAGCGTAAAGCGTAAGTTCGCAGAGTTTACAGACATTGTTGGATTTTGAAGCATAGAACTGAATCTCAATATTATCATCACTTATAGAGGAACGATTCCTGCAGAAGTTGATCCTGAAACAGGCCAAGACATCAATCCGCATATACCACATTATATATCCAAGGCACCATGGTATCTCGACATTCAACATCCAACACTCAAACATCAACGGGCTCCAGACAAGGATGAAGGAACTATCTCGTCCTGGTATGATAGAGGTGCGAGAAATGGTCCTGCTGCTACAAAGTTTCGGAAGGGTGCTTGTGAGGTATGTGTTAACTGATGTGGAACTGTTTTCTGTTCGATCGCCGACATACGCTCGTCGAAAATCTAGAACTGTGGAGCTATGACTCACAAGACTCTAGATTGCTTGGAACGGCCTAGAAAGAAGGGTGCTCGTTGGACTGGACAGTACGTTTCAACGTCACCACCAATCATTTTCGTCCAATAAATCGCTTTAGACGAGACTCAGCTAACCCACCATATTTTGAAATTCAACAGGGACATCCAAGCTGATGAAGTAGTACAGGACGTACATCTAGGCTTCGAAGCTAAACGAGATCGCTGGAATGGTTACGATGCAAACGACCACACTCGAGTAGTAGAGGAATGGGAATTGATTGATCAAGCTCGTCGTAAAGTCCGTGAAGACCAACTCTCTGCAAAGCAAAACGAGCCCGTCGAAGAAGCAGACAAGCCCGCTGCAGACGATGACGATGATGACGATGATGCAAACGAAGGTGACGAAGACAAGTATGCCGATGCTGCAGATGCAGTAGGTCAGAAAGTCGATGCTAAAACCCGAATTACTGTCCGTAATCTACGTATTCGAGAAGATACGGCCAAATATCTACTCAATTTGGATGTCAATTCCGCATATTATGATCCAAAGACCAGGGCTATGCGTGAGAATCCGCTACAGGATAGTCATACGCCGGACTCTGTGTTCTTTGCTGGTGACAACTTTGTAAGGTATACTGGTGATGCTCCTAAAGTAGCTGCTATGCAAGCATTCGCGTGGGAAGCTGCTGATATGAGGGGCAAGGATGTCCATATGCAGGCTCTACCAACTCAGGGCGAATTACTGTTTAAAGAATATCAGAGCAAGAAGAGCACCGTCGCCGATAAACAAAAGGATTCTATATTAGCCAAATATGGTGGGGAGGAGCATCTACAGGCTCCACCCAAAGAGCTCTTGCTGGCTCAAACCGAACAATATGTAGAATACTCTCAAGCAGGTCGTCTCATTAAAGGTCAGGAACGTGCTACCATGAAATCGAAATACGAAGAAGATGTACTCCCACTTAATCATACTGCTATCTGGGGATCTTGGTGGCACGACTTCAAATGGGGTTATGCATGTTGTCATCAAACAGCAAGGCAATCGTATTGTACTGGTAGAGCAGGTATAGACGCTGCCTCGGCATCCGAACAACTCATGCTAAAAGATGCTCCCGACAAGGATGTAGAGGAAGAAGACGAACGTGCTGCGGCAGCTAGAAGTAGTGCATCCAAATCCCTTCTCGAACAACATAAACTCAAAGTCTTGAAGGAAATAATCAAAGATGATAAATCTAAAAAAGATCATGAGAAATCCAAGAAGGATGATGGAAAAGATAAAGATGACAAGAAAAAGGATGATAAAAAGAGGAAGGCCCGAGGTGAACGTATGGGTGAAGGTGATATTGAGATTGATCCAAAGAAACTAAAGGCTGCTAAAGAAGCTGCTCTGAAACGATCAAAGGCTGGTGATGATGGATATAATGCAGCCAAACCTGATGATACAGATGTCACTGAAGAAGATTTGGAAGCTTATCGCTTGATGAGATCGCGAGGTGACGATCCAATTGCTAACTTTATTGGCCAAGATGCTGAAGACGACGAATGATTTCGTAGAAGGAATTTGTAGTTGCAAACACACTGTAAATAGAAAAAGTAATACTGGAAACTATGATTGTCAAAGGAGCAGTGAAATGCTTTTATTTCGGGAAGCAGTGAGTGGATGATGTTATTGTTTGGTAAGGTTTCTCTATAGACGGTTCTTGACCCATTGTTCAAGCCCATCTTCAGCGACAAGTTCCTGAGCAGCGAGACCCACAGCTGGAATACTAAAGTCTCCTACATTCTTGATTTTCAATGTACCTGCCACCAAATCAACCGTAGCCTGCCAGCCTGTTCTCCTCGTCAACACTTTTTGCGAGAATTCCTTCTTCAGTCTAGCAACCAATTCAGGTGCTTCTAATACCAACAAGGCATTGTTCAATGCGTTTCTCTTGTATGTTTCGGAGAATGATGATGCTAGTACGAGTTTGATGCCTGCATATTTCAAGCATGTTGCGGCCTGTTCTCGGGATGAACCACTTCCAAAGTTGGAGCCTGATATCAGGATGTCTCCCTACATAATAAAAAATTCAGTCAAAGAGTTAACAATTGCTCAATGTGCCCTCTACACACATAACACGGACAAAAGACATTATACATACCTGTTTGACTTGCCCAGCAAACGCCGGATCATAATTCTCCATAGCTACACGAGCCATCTGATCCTTGGGTATATCATCTTGATACGTGTATTTACCAGGATAGATACCATCCGTGTTTAGATTATCGGCATCTGCAAAGACCAATTCGCCAGTGAATTGTCCTTCAAATCCAGGTACTGTGGATGCTGACGACGATGGTATAGCCGAATTTAATGATACAGGAGCAGCTACTGTCTCGTTTGTACCCACTGGGCGTTGTGCGGGTGAAAAGGCATGTGATGAAGATACGCGAGATGTTGATGAGAGAGGTGGTAGAGATGCTGGGGAGCAGATCTTTCCTGCTACTGCTGATGCAGCGACGACGGCTATATGTGATATAAGGTGTTGGATAAGCACGTGGAACTGTTTATTGGAGTTGATTGACTTGCCTGGAGAAGAGAGATATGCGAGTGCTTTGGGAGAGCCCATACGACCTTTGAAGTTTCTGTTGGTGGCTGATATGCCTACTTCATTGTCTTGTAACAATCCTACACCCAATCCTAGAGAAGCCATCTGTTGGCAAAAAAGATGAATCAAACCCAACCACTTGATGACAACTTGCCTATACATGGTCCACAGCCGGCTGGTAATGGACGACCACCAGCTTCTAACAAGACCTTCCAATCACCAGCCCGATCAGCGTCTCGTTGCACTTCAGTACTAGCAGCAGCAAAGTAGAATTCCACACCATCAGCAACTTTACGACCTCTAAATACATCAGCAGCAGCCTTCAAATCAGATGCTCTTGCATTCGTACACGATACCAAATATGCTTTTTGAATTTTGATATTTTGAGGTTCTAGGTCCGCTAATGGTTGAGCTACCTTGACAGAGTTAGGGCCCGATACATATGGCGATACAGTGGATAAATCTAGAGTGAGATGTTTGGCATAATGTGCGTCTGAATCGGCAATTAAGTGGTGTTCAATCATGGCTTCGATACGTGGTAGATTGAGTCGTGGATGTGTTGAATACATGTTCTTAGAGCGTTCTACGAGCCAGTCAGTGACTACCTGATCTATTGGGAAGACACCGGCAAGAGCACCCCATTCAGTGGTCATGTTGGCTATGGTCAGTCGGTCATCGACAGACAAATGTTCCACATCACCAACAAACTCTACAGCATGATTTAGTACTTCATCCTGATTAAACAGTCCACATAATGTTGTGATGACGTCCTTGCCCGTAGCACCAGGCGGTAGTTTGCCTCGCAACTCTACGCGGGCTACAGCTGGAATTTGCCACCATGTACGTCCCGTTGCCCAAATTGCAGCTGCATCGGTACGGACTATGGGAGTTCCTAGAGCTCCAATACCTCCATACATGTTTGAATGGGAATCCGAAGCTACAGTCAATGTTCCAGGGAAGGCATAACCCTCTTCTATGACTATTTGATGTCCAATACCTCGACCAGCAGGGTAAAAGTCGACTCCGTGCTCCTTTGCAAAGTTTTCAATGTTTTTGTACTTTTGCAGATTCTAAAAGTATTTGCATGAGCTTATAGTGCTTCGAGTCACAAACGTACAAAATAAGTGTGTGTGAAGTGCGATGTGATAGCTTACCTTTTCAGTAGTATTTTGGACATCATGATCTAGCGTAAATACAGGCTGTTTTGGGTTCTTGAACTTGGTAGCTCCAATACTCTTGAATCTACATGGAGGTTGTTTTGTGTGCAAGATGTGAGTAAGCCTTGTACATCAAAGGCAGCAACATATAGAAAATAAGGAATATAGTAACGTGTACTTGTAGAATATGATTACTTTGATATGACAGCACCAGTATTGTCATGTGTCATCACATGTTCAGGCTGTATGCTCACGAAATCTCCTGCTTTTACTCGTTGATTTTTCTGCATCCCGACTGCATACTGCTGCACAATCTTTTCGACCAACGTCTGTGGCGTGGCTGCCAACGTGGCCAATGTTCTACCAGCTCGCTTCATAGCGTTGACGGTTAATGCAGCTGCTCTTTGTGACGAAGAGTGTGGTGAGAAATCGTGACGATGGACGAAGATGCATGGGAATCACGTTCAATTAGTATAATTTTCGTTGTATTTTACGTTATAATTAGTCTTTCGTCCGTTTCAAACGTTACAGCAGACCTCTCTTTACGACGCCCTTTGACATCAGTCATTCGTGACATCACCCGAGTTATGGGACGTTGATGCAAACCTAGAGAACGATTTTGTCATCCAACCAATCAACGATCTGGCTCGTGCTTTAATTGCATCTTGAAGGCCCCCAAATTTCGACCTTGATTGGTAAATGCAGAAATTGCACGTCGATCCCTTCAAGCACCAGCAAGGAACTGGAACTGCAATCGTCGCATCGTCTCGCTAGAGCACCTTACAAGCTCTCGACAGTTAGGAACTGCTAGATCTCAAGTGGTCAAAGTCGAAAAATGACTTCAATTTTACCAACACAAACCACGATGATAATCGCTCCTGTGGCTAGCACAATAGATCCAATACAACAAACTTATATATCCACAGCAACATCCTCATCAATACCAATACTCTCCGAACCGAGTGCTCTACTAGCTCCACTTATAACATCACAACCAGCAGAACCTTCGGAGGCGCCTGCAAATCTAATAGCATCAACGGCCCTAGGCACATCAACACTCAGTGTCGTCTTCATAGTAGCCATGTGTCTGGTAGGGCTCTTTGCTCTTGGTGCAATCATTTGGGCATCACGTATTGCCAGGAAGGGTGGATTCAGTGTCAGGACACTTACTAGGACTGAGCAGCCTCCAGCATACCACTCTACGAATCAAAGTGAGGGAATGGCATTTGGAGGAGTAGGCTTACCCAAAGTCTGGAGTCCTGTTGCTGCTGATGCGTCATCTCTTAGGGTGTCAAAGTTGGAGAAGGATTTGCTGGCTGAATCGCAGTACAACAATGTATAAAGTGCCATAAAATTGTAAATAAGCTAATTATCTATCCAAAAATCGTACATAAGGTTTAGAGAAATAAAAAACTTAAGAACAGCCAAAGATAATCGCTTTGTAGAACCTAAGAACGCGATCGATCACTGGCAAAAATGTTTTGGTAACAGCTTTACGTGCTGACTTGGGATATGTGTAGGTGGTCTGGGCTCATTTCGCCCGCAAGCCGGAATAGATCGTTAAACGAAGCCCTCCAATCAACTTAATCTAAGTAAGTCATACGAAACAAACGAACAGCTTGCGAGCTGGAATTTTGAGTCAGTCTCTGGTGGAATTCTGAAAATCCCTCTAGGACCATTCATTGTACACCGACCGATAAAGAAGGTTGCCCCAAAATTTCAATTTCACACAATGTTTGAATCCATTTCAAGTCATTTCGACCGATTCACCAAACGGGATGGTGATTGCTCCCAGAAAGAAACCGATTATGGCCAACATAAAATCAAATCCGCCAACGCTGTCGAATCAGTAGGCTCGTGGGACATGATTCAAAAATCAATTCAGAAGGGTTATAAAGGGCATCCAACGAGGCAACGAGGGTTATCGTTTGCTGGAAGAAGCAGCAATAGCAGCAGCACCACCACTTCATCGTTCTCGCCACTTGCCCCAATTTACTCTGGTTTCAAGAGGAAATGGAGGTTTCCACTGCATGAACGAGCACTGTCAGCTGCAAATCATAGCATTAGTGGACAGTTGGACGTGTGTCGAGTCTTGTCTAGGAGAGATGGTTTCAGGGTGCCGCCGACTCAGGATATAAAGTGGAAATCCAGATACGTCATTATTGTGGAAGACAAGATGCTGATACTATCCCAACAAAATGTAAGTCGTATTGTGATGGCCTGCATTTCCCAGCACGGATATTTTTCTCACAATCGTCGTCTTACAATAGGATACTGTCGCAAGGGACGTCATATCGCTCAATGACACCTGCAAACTGCATCCATCTCCCAAACTTCTGATAGTCTCGCCAACACAGTTCGCCTTTTCGATATCCTTCCCACATCACGACGACAAGATTGATTGGTACTCCTATGCATTTGAACCTCCCACTCTGGACGGCAAGATGAAGTTTATGGCAGCCATACTGCAGGCCATGTGTTGGCGTGAACACAATGATGGTGAGTACCCAGCCTCCTCAGTTCTTGTTTCTGTACATAGTCTCACACGATTTCCCATGTAGTTACTACAAACTGCTTGCCTAAAATTGTTTTAGACGAGGTCCCTTTCAAATCGTTTAGTCTGTCATCGACTGCGCCAGAACTGCCAAGCAAGCAAGAAGTAGATGAATCTACAAAGACGATCCCTCGACGTATCTCGCATACAATATTTCCTTGGGAGCCGACGGTGTCAGATGTTATTCGGCCTTGCAAGGTGACTGATAGATGGGGAGCGCCGGTACTTGGGACGCAAATGAGACGACACTCGGTGGGGTCCTTGCAAAGCTCTACCGGAAACTTAGCCGTCCCTTTCCATGTCCCGTGCAATAAAGAAACATCATAAACCAGGCGTCCTGTGCAAAAGGTAAAATACGAGTTTTACAATATTTGTATTGAAGATTGGAATGCTTAATTGATATTGTACACAGGGTGTTTGAGGTTTATAACTCTGGCTCAATATCGCTGAGAAGTGCCCAGTCCTTTGGCATGTAGATGGCAGCCAGTACAGCCAACAGCAAACAAAATACGCCAAACAGCAATTCCACATAATTGGCTTTGACTCTCCACTTCAGCCCATACATGATTTGTAGACGGACTTGACGAGCTACCAGTCGCGCTGAATATAGAACTACAGGGACACCCGTGCCAGGATGAGTAGATGCACCTAGATATGTATATAGATGTGAATAAAAACACGTTTTGCAATCTTCAATTTGCAACGTACCAACAAAGAAGATGTTACCAATGTCCTCATGACGAGTTGAGGGTCTAAACCAACCAACTTGCGTAATGTTGTGACTGAGACCTAGTGCAGAACCCTGATGTAGATTATACGTATCCCTCCAACTCTCTGGATTATTGACTTCCTCAACTTCAATCAATGAAGCAAAGTCCTTTATACCCAATTTAGCCTCTAGCAGAGATATAACAGCTGCACGAGCTCGTTTCTGTAATGCTGGCCAGTCCTGTTTTTTCGAAGCTGAGATATGACCCACTGGTACCAACACCGTCACAACATCTTTACCAGCGGGCGCTGCAGTTGAGTCTACTCTAGATGGCACGTGTATGTAAAACGATGGTTCAATGGGTAGATCTTGGTCTTTAAAGATACGATCGAATGATTCTTTATAGTCGGCGGCCAAAAAGATGTTGTGGGCGTTTAATTCAGGTATGGTTTGCTTCATGCCCCAGTAAAAAGAGAAGGTGGATGACGTATGGGCTTTCCTAGTCAGACTCTTACTATATGATGTCGGTTGTAGCAAATTATTGTAGGCCCATACTAGGTCTGCATTACAGACTACGACGTCGGCGTCTATAACACGACCATCATCTAATTCGATACCAGTAGCTAGTCGAGCTTCCTTGTCAACTATTATTCGTTTTGCTGATGTATTATACATGAATTTTGCCCCTTTGGTTATGGCGATCATTTCCATCTTTTCGATTACTATATTGAAGCCTCCTTTAGGATACCACACCCCTTAAAAAGAAATATGTGAGTGTGAGCTTCATTCGACATTTCTCCCGCGTGCAAAGGAGAACATACCTTCAGCGATCTCAGTGTATTGAAGTAGATTATATGTACCAGGAGCTTCATACGGACTTTGACCCATGTACATGGCCTGGAATGTGAAGGCCCGACGTAACTTGTCTGACTTAAAGTAGCGTGAAGCTCTACCCCACATGCTCCACAAGACGTGCAATTCAAATGCACTGATTAAATTATCACCCGTAAAGAACTCATACCACATTTCAAAGTTTTTTCTTAGCACCAATGCTACAGACTTGTCATAATGCGACTGCCCCTCCTTCAAAAATCTAAGGAAACCAGGCCATCCCGTTTTAGGTTCCACTCGGTCGATTTCAGATTTGAGCTGTGTCAAGTCTGAGGATAGCGTGATGGTATCGTTATCGGCAAAGTATAGCTTGTAATTGGGGTTGCATTTGATGAGCTCAATGTGGGTCGAAATGTCTTCACCCAAGTCAGCAAATGTCTCTTTAAATATATCTGGCATTAAATATAGAGATGGGCCCACGTCGAATCTAAATCCTTTACGGGTAAAGACAGAGCATCGACCACCACAGTTTGCATTCTTTTCGACGACTGTTACTTGATGACCTGCGCGTGCCAGACGAGCAGCTACCGCGACCCCTCCTACTCCAGCACCCACTACGATGATATGCTTTTTGGTCTCCTTTGGTCTATCCTCTGGAGCGCTCATTTTGCTATAAAGAAGACAATCTAAAAAGTTGGCGTCACACTTTACGAGATCGGCAACGCGTCAACATTTTTTGAATTATTAACACTGATCTCATCATAGTAGTAAACCAAGAACTTTATACTAATAAGCCCAGGTGATAAGCCCTGGTGATAAGCGTGAAACAAAAGTCACGAAATGACAAGATGAGAGAAAGCTCAACCAGGACAAGAATTGTGCGATGGGAAATTTCCAATCGTGGAAATTCTAAAAGCCTTTATCACTATATCTTATAGCGATCGGAAGATCTGGTTTCCCAAATTCTGGCTAAAGTCAAGTAACGTCTTTCTTCCCCCACGTTTCCCAAGACAGCAGCTCGACGAACTAAAGAGCCACTAAACACAATGGAATACAAGCCTCTGCCAACCTCAAAGTATCATGCCAAATCTACCGCCGAGGAAGTAGCCGCTGGCATACTCGGATCTGAAGATAAAGGGCTCGAAGGGAAAGTTGCTATAGTCACTGGTACGTGGCAGCGCAATTTGCGTCTGTTTAATGCACTTGGAATTCAATTTCGAATAAGTACACCTCCTTTTAACGTAGGTGGCAACGGCGGTCTAGGAAAGGAATGTGTTCGAGTCCTCGCCAAACATCGATGCCATGTTATAATAGCATGTCGCAATGTAGCATCTGGTGAAGCTGCCGTAAAAGAATTCAAGGAAGCGATGCCATACAGTGAAGTCGATGTGATGCATTTGGATCTGAATTCATTGGAATCTGTACGCAAATTCGCAAAGGAGTATGAAAAGAGAGGCCTTCCAATCCACTTCTTGGTGAACAACGCAGGCATCATGGCGGTGAAGGACCGTGAACAGACAAAGGATGGATTCGAGGCTCAAGTTGGAACCAACCATCGTAATCAAAGGCTTTTGTGTTTACGAAACGACATCCTGCATAACTCAATCTTCTGTTAGTGGCTCACTTCTTGCTTACGGTGCTGCTCATGCCCATCTTGAAAAAGTCTGCACCAGCAAGGTTCATCTCAGTCTCATCAATTGGCCATATGCGCAATGGACTCGACTTTGATGATATGATGTTTGATAAACGGGAATACAACAAGTGGACGGCTTACGCGCAATCGAAAACTTGCAACATCTTGCTGGCTCTTGAAGTAAACAAGCGATTAGCCAAGGACGGTGTGTTGGCTTTATCTCTTCATCCTGGTGGAATTATGACAGGCTTGCAGGAGCATATGGATCCCGAAGAATTTAAAGTAAGGTTTCCGCCGACGTTGCTTCGCAAGACAGCAAAACTCACAATGTTCTCATGTCTCATTCTCAGATCATGGGCTGGATTGACAAGGAAGGTAAACTGAATGCCGCATTCAAGACCATTGAACAGGGTACTTCAACGCATCTCTATGCTATACTTGAGCCATCACTAGTAGACTATGGTGGAGCTTATTTGGAAGGTATTAAGCTCGAGTTTGTCCTCAAACGCTGCTTATGCCACGACCTAATGCCGTACATCTTTGAAATCTAGACGCGAATGTGTCCGTCACAAAAACTGACATTAGTAAAGATCCCGAGGCAGCCAAGAAGCTGTGGGATATGAGTGAAGCGCTTGTAAATGTTAAAGCCAACTTTTGAGGAGTTTATTCTTTAGAACTGCAATGATAGTTTTTTATGTGAGATCTACTTTTAATGAAAACTACTCAAAAAATTCGCTTGTAGAGCCAAACCTTTCGTGCGGTTTCACGGCGCTTTTAGGCTTGTTGTCAACACTTAAAACCCACTAAAGTTGCTAATTACTCCCCATATGGTACTGGAACTACGTTTGCGGCAGCCCCTCAACTTGGTTGTGACTCACAACCTCCCCATCCAGTGAAACCCATACTTGTCCCCCTACTATATTAACTGCCAGTGAGCCGCGACTGACACACCGTCGTTCCTTAAAGCGATCCTTAGCGCGACTGCGTCCATTTTCCTCTGTTTTTCTGGCTCATGCATTCTGTTGGGATTATAGTCCCGCGAATTTACGATTATTACAACACTTAAAACCCACTAAAGTTGCTAATTACTCCCCATATGTTACTGGAATTACGTTTGCGTCAGCCCCTCAACTTAGTTGTGACCAACCACCTCCCCATCCAGTGAAACCCATACTTGTTCCCCTACTATATTAACTATCAGTGAGCCGCGACTGACACACCATTGTTCCTTAAAGCGATCCTTAGCGCCTTTTTTTCCATTTCAATTAGGGGATTCTGTGTTTTCTTGATACTTTGTATGAACTGGTAATGTGTCCATCGAATCAGTTGTCTCCGTGGTTTAGTTGGTTATAACGTTAGTCTCATAAAACTTATGTAGCAATCTGAAGGCCGCGAGTTCGATTCTCGCCGGGGACAAGTCCATTATCTTTTTCTACATTACAAGGACCCTTTCTCCCATGCTAAACCCGGAGTGCAAGCGGTAGAATTGACAAGTCATGTGATGCGCTCGCTTTCCGTGAGAGACCGATACGGATTTCACTGCGTTTGGACAGATGTGAAGTTGAGTCGAAATGTTTCGAGTGAGTGAACAAGACAGGCACCAAAGGACACGGAAAGGGACAAGACATTCATGTCAAAAGTTACAGCTGTGAAGAAGGCGAACAGCAGCCTCTGGTTGATGCGAGGTTTGGGAGTTCTGGGTTCAACAATTGTTGGTTCTTGCTGGACAAGCAGTTCATTCGTAAGTACAACTTCACATCCAACACCGGATTATGGATTCTCACAAGGCTTACCTCTATAGAGCTGCTCGTTGATCGTAAGAATTCACGTCTTTATTGCTTGACATTTCATCTCCTCGAAACTCGTCGTCCAAACACATTTTAAATAGGCTCTACTCTGAAAATTGACTTCCTTTTCTATTCAAGAGACACAAGAAACGAGCTTTCGCATCAAATTCATTATGAATATTGGCACTCTTTGCCACCACATCCCCTCGAAACTCAACTTTGAAACCATTGTGGTAAAGGATTACGATTATGGCCATCTAATATTTAGCTTTTCTCTGCCAGCCATATCCATTCATTGTGGCGATATCTTTGAAGTCACTGAAAAGGATGTCCAAATAATCGATAATTAATGGTGGACGGCATATCTCAAGGACTTGATTCGCAGCAACGACACAATTCCTTTAACATTTGAAGGAACGCTATCCACAACCGTATTCAATCTTGTTACTGTACGAAATGTACGCTTTACAAAGTCTATCCATCTTCCTGGGCTGGGTGGTCTCAAAACTCTAGAATTGAATGCATTCAATGTGTTGAAACCAATTGATGAATTGGTTCCATCACAGCTACGTGCACTTTATATAATCCATCAACCGTTAATATTGACGTCGGACAGGTCACGTTTGCCATGTATCGCAAGGATAAAATTGAGCTTTTGGGCATGCTTGTTGCCGAAAATGTCGTTTTGAAGCACGGTGCCAATCGTCTCAACACTAGTGGCTCGCTTTCGAGTATGGAAGGGCTCGAATCAATCATGAATGCATATGTAGAAGGCGAAACATTGACGCTCGTGATCAATGATATCTCGGCCACGCCTACTTGGTAAGCAACCTCTCCTAAGCTTTGATTTCCTGATGGCTCACGATTTGGTTTTTAGGATGAAGGAAGCCTTTGTGGGGTTGGAGCTTTCCATGAAACTACCTGGTTATGGAAAACACAAAGTTCTTGAATCATTAGATTTTGGGGCTGTTGGTCTCAAATTCAATGTGACAGATCCTTATTCCGCTACTATTACTTGTGATAATGTCGTCGCTTCTATTGATGTCATTTTATCGGAATCAATCAAGTTTACAGCAGACTTTACTAAACTTGAGTTGGTAAGACCGTTTTCCTTCCTGACTGTAACCGTCGATTGCAAATATTGACACTAATACGTTTCAAAGAGCTTGGTGGCAAACTATGGAGACACCGATGTCGCCGTGATTTATTCACGTGCTCCTGCGACTGGATCTCCTGCAGGTCGCAAACTCGTATCGTCGCTTCACGGTGTTATGAAGGCCATTCCAGGCGAAGAGACTGAATATCAGGACTTTTTAAAGGATTTGTTCCATACTCCACAAGGTGTTTCCGTCTTTGTAGAGCTGACTGGCATAGTGACTATCTTTGTTTCTACTCCGTCTGGTGAAGTGCGCATTACGGATATTACAGTAAAGGTCGCAAAATTGTCTCTTCCTGGACTGGGTGGCGTGTGTGAAACGATAGTCACTTCAGCTCCTGCTATCACGATGGTTGAAAATAATGGGATTACCTTGTCAGTTCCACTTGAGGTACATCCAGAAATCCTTTTGGTCATTCCCCTAGCACTGAACTTTTATACTCGCAATAGATCGAAAATCCTTCTACTTTCTCTTTCAACTCTGGTGGATCTGTCAATCTGGATTTGATCTTTGAGGAAATGGTGATTGGGACATACGTATTACCTCGACTGCAACTATCACCTCTCAGCAAAAGCCACGTTTTAGCAAAAGCCATTACAAGTCCTCTCGGAAAGGAATCTCCTGAACGTGCTGCTGGAAGCAAGTTTCTGTCGCACTTTGTGAGCGATTTGCAGTTATCCGTTGTTGCTCGAGGGAATCCGAACTTGGCGAATGTGGAGAGTCTCAAGGCTGCCTTTGGTGCTCTGTCCTTCTCTTACGTCGATGTGGCTTCTGCATTGCAGCAACGTCACAGCTGACACTCCATATCATACTTAGACTGGAGCTGCCTTCTCAAGGTGATTTACGCCCCATCATTGAAACATCAACCATCTTTGTCAAACGCTGGTTACCGTTCAGGCGTAGCACAACATTTTCAATCTCGAATCGTTTTCCTGTTCCGTTTACCGTGCTTTTCATTCAAAGTACTCTGACTAAAGATGTAAGTGGAAGCAGGGCCGCAAGTTTCTCAACAGAGCTAATCACCTTGCGCTTCGATAGGGCAAGCACATGGCCACATCCAAAGGACATATGAACCTTGTAATCCCCGCTAACAGCACTGGTGCCTCTGGACCGGTTCCTGTTACTGCATCTGCGACTGGTAGGCTTTTATGTGAAATCTCCTCCAAAGGTCGTGTGCTAATCTCCATCATCAAGTAGGTCTGACTGGACCACTAAAAAGACTTGGACTTGTTCGCCTTCATGAGGACAGCACAATGAATGTTGTCATTGGAAGCTATGGACCAATAACTCTTAAACTCCAACAGGAGCTTTCTTCTAAACTTCATTTACTGTAAATGTCCTTTGTTTTCTTTAGAGCTTGTAAATTCAAATCAATTTTTGTACAAATATTTATGTTTTATTCAGTAGAGTCTCGATCCAAAAACTGAGATATGGCCGTCGGATGTCTCTTTCGTGGTTTTACTTCAAATCGTTTCAGAAAAACGCGATTTAACGTGTGATTTGCTTGGATAAAGTTATAAAAGTGCTGATTTCGGTTTCGAGACACTAAAATTACTATGTCGTTCCCTTTAGTTTCTACCAGTTGTGGATTGAAAGGTTCAGAGGACAAAACTTGGTTTCTTTGCGAGACGCAATTCAACATTCCGAGACCCACAAGCTCATACAGCAGAGGAGTGTCCATTGAAATAGATTCCATGTACTATACAAAATGTACGAGCACTTGTGATTGTCATTGTCTTCAAACACTAGCAGCTTTTCTGCACCATCTCAAGCTTTATGTTTTGATCGTTTCAAAGCCCACCCATCTTTACCACACTTTTGCGATCCAATAGAAAAGTAATTAAAGTCATTTACACTCCATTATGGCCAAATTAACCAACTTCCAATATGAGAGCTTGGGTCTCAAATTCGACGCTGCAACAGCCTTTCAACCCATTTTAACTATGAACAATGTTATTGCTACGTTTGAATCAAGTGAATCTGTCGCTGCAGATGCCAAGTTTACAAAGCTTGAACAGGTAAACTAGAATGCAGTATTCGCATCGTCGTCGAATTGATTGTAGATCATTTACCATCTCAATGTTTGAAACTGATGCCATTTTTTTCAATCTAGTCTCTTACAATGCACTATGAAGGCATTGATATCGCTACTGTTACATCTGGAAGTCCTGCTTCCGGAAGTGTCAGCTCAAAAAAAGTGGAAGCTACCTACCAAGCTTCGTTTCAAGGTACTTGAATGATTCCCACACCCTCTCAATTTCGTCCAACCGTCTAACAGAATTCTGTCGTTTTCTTTACACATAGCTATTCGCGGTCAAGAAAAGGCCTTTCAGACGTTCATCAAGGATGTCTTCAACGGCAAGCCAGGAGCACCCATCAATGTCGATTTAACCGGAACTGCCAATGTGTTTGTCGGTGACAAGGCCATCAAGACCACTGTCGAGTCTCAATTCAACTTGAACGGAATGGGGGGATTGGCTGGTATGAAGATGCTTGAACGTCCAGAGATGAAGAAGGGTGACAAGAATGGTATTCAACTGACTGTTCCTGTCGAGGTGAGACTTTTGCTTGTTGAAACTTATAGATGTGAGATCCTCAACCCATATTCTCAAATAATTAGATCAACAATCCCTCCCAAATCACGTTTATTTCCGGCAGTCCCATCAACTTGAACTTGGTTGCTGAGGGAGTCAGCATAGGCATGGTCTTGTTGCCATCTCTCACGTTGGCTCCTGGCAAAAACACCATCTTGGCTTTGGAAGTAGTAAATCCACCCACTTCTCATGCTGCTATTGGAGCAAAATTCTTCTCTGATTATGTCGGCAACGGTCCCATGAACATTCTTGCTCAAGGTCATGCAGACTCTATCAACGTTGATAGTTTGAAGCCAACGTTTGCTGGTCTGGCATTCAAGTAAGCTAGCCTCCTCCATTGCGTCCACGTTTGAGCCTACATAAACCTAACATGCTGGAATAACACAGCCTTCCTTTGCCTGTACTAAAGAACCCCAAGCCATTGATTGCTAGCAGCACCATCATGGTTAAGGGATTCTTACCTCCCAAGCTTACCACCACCATCGTCGTGGACAACCCGTTCCCATTAGATTTGATGATCTTGAAGGTCCACTCTCACATCTCTGACAATGTAAATTTTGAGTGCTTCATTTTTGCAATAATGAACCATACTAACAACATTTTTCCGAATATTTAGGGAAAGCACTTGGCCACTGCTGCAGGGTCTATGACTTTTAAGGTTCCTGCCAACAAGTCAGCACCCTCGCTTCCCATTGACGTCAGCACAACTGCTGCTGGCCTTTTGGGCATCAAGGGTGGAGGATCTATTCCAGGATTGTCTGTATCTGATGTAACTGTGATGGTTGATCAATATGGGCCTATCAATCTCAAGGTCACTCAACACTTGGTTTCCCAAATCAAGTTGCTGTAGTTTCCAGATGGCTCCCTGAGTGGGTTGACCTGTGTGTGTATGCAAGGAGGGATTGAAAAGAAGAGGGAATATTATAAAGACTTGCAGCTTATAAAGTGCAAATAAATCTCTAATCAACAGTCACAAGTGCGATGCGCCACTCTTTGTTCCACTAGCCAACTCGGTCCGTGTGAAAGCGAATAAGGAAGTAACAGCCGTAAAACGATACAATATATCCCAGTGGTTATAACGAAGAGGGTTTATATTTGTTCCAAGACGAGACTACTATAAAGATGCGGTATATGTACACAGTCCAATAAGAGTATTACTGATGGTAGTGAGGCCAGAAGTCCAGGAAGCTTCCAGATGAACCTACTGATGCTTGAGCCTGAGGAGCGTCTGTAGCAGCAGCAGCAACGTCAGCAGGCTTTGTTTTATACCGGTAGTTGCCACCTCTGAAGTTACCACCAGGGGCTGCGGTTCGAGTAGCATCTGCAGCGCCAGCACTGCGTGTTCTCGTCTTGCCACCCCGATGCCCATTAAAGTTTTCTGCTCCTGTGATGTTGGCTCCGTTCGATGTTATGTTACATAGAGACGTCCTTCCATCAACGATTGCGGTTGCATTGAATGCAGTTTTAGAATTGCTAGACAGACAGTTTAGACAGTCTGCGAATTCGGGCAGTGCCGAGCATTCGCAGCCTAGCCTATAAGTGGCATTACGTTCAGGAGCCTATAGGTAGAGCAGGTAAGAACATCAATGGGCATCATTAATATAACGAGCACATCTTTCAAAAGACTCAAACAAGGGTAGTTCTACGTTGAATGCAACTTTCTAATCCCCTCAACTCCGAACACATTGTTAAGATGCTTCACACAACTTACTGCTAGGATGCATGCGTCGAAGCTGCTATCATAGATACTACAAGTTGAGACGCAAGCGGTTTTGGCTGCAGAGTCTACAGCGTGTGATATTCCCAAACCCGTTAACAGCAGAACCACAGTGGCGACCAAGCTTCTTCTACCCATTGCTAACTATGGAAGCACACGGTGTATGGCCCTTATATGCGAATTGTACGATTTCAATGATACTATGAGCTCTCAAACTATGAGCTCTCAACGCTAGCTCTTTGTTGGTTGGACTTTGGCCGTTACTTATTTTTTCGGCGTGTGTGAAAAAGCAAGAAGGGAGTCTTGACAAGACAACCCCGGAAGCGAGAAAGTCACGTATAGCTTGCAGCCAAACTTGCATCGAGTATAGTGAAACACGTAATCAATCACTCCTCTCTCCACAAGGGACTATTCATCCTACGTGTGGCGACTGTGCCAAATAGTTGAATATCAAATTTCCACAATCGGATTCGGTGCCAACGTAAATATCAAAATACTACTTTCTCTCTCGCTTGAAGCTAGACCTGCGACCACATAGCAATACCACATCTTCCATTCGTCAAATTCAAACAGCCAAATCGAGATGTCGACGAGTAGCGATTCGAGCATAACAAGACTTGGACAACTCTTATCCAAGCTGACAGTAGCTTCAACTAGGACTTCTGATCAAGCTCCAACAGGTCCTGTGGCAGCAGTCATTCCTCCACGTAAGATAATAAACGCCTGCCAAAAGCTTGCAAAATGTGACCAAATGTACACTTATTCAACTCCTTCTAATAGCAGCTCCAGATACTCCTCAGCAGCATATTGGTGAACCTGTATGCTCTATATGTGGCTTACGTTTCTCGAACTGGGAGGAACAACGAAATCACTTCAAAACAGATTTCCATCGCTTCAACCAACAACGACGACTAAAGAAACAGTCTATAGTAACTGAAGACGAGTTTGAAGACTTGTCGGATGTGTCTTCGATAGATGCCAGTGACTCTGACTCGGATGTTGAAGAGGACGACGACGATGAACAGCAACAGAAACGAGTAAACCAACAACGCTCGCCCCTTATTGAATTCCTGATGCCAGATGGCAAGGCTTTATTCGTATATAGAGCTACATTGTCCTCGACACGAGACTTTGTCGGTCTCACGAATGATGACTTGCTGGGCAAGCTCCAGTCTTTACAGAAACAAAAGTATTGGACAATGTTTATGACTGGAGCTGGGCATTTTGCTGGTGCTGTATTCGACTTGGCTACTGGTAAACCACTGGTGCACAAGACGCTACATAGATACACAACCAGAAGGAAGCAAGGTGGTGCTCAGAGTGCGAATGACAAGTCTAAGGGGAATGCACATTCTGCTGGTGCTGGATTACGTCGATACAATGAAATGGCGCTCGAAAGAGTAGGATTCAAATACTGCATTACCAATTGGTTTGTTGTTGTTGCTTACGATTGGATGCTCTCAAATCTTAGGACATTCAAGAGCTGATGATACTATGGAAGGAACAGATACAGCTATCTGGTTGCATATTCCTGAGAGCGTCACAGTCTAGTCGCAAGTCATTCTTCTCAAACACATCAATATTAGCCCCCGATGACGGGAGAATACGAACCTATCCATTCAATACAAGGTTTGTGCTCATGAGCAACTGTTTCAGACATTTTTTTGAGTTTTCAGGCTCACAAGTTTCGATTTAGGCGTGCCACATTCAAAGAGTTACAAAGAGCATACAAGGAACTCACAATGGTTAGAATTGCTGATGCGACACAATACACAACCGAGACAGATACCATCACTACTCCAGTGGTAGTCAAGAATGTAGTCCCGCAGCCCATTGCAGTGCCAGTAGATGAAGGCCCACCACTACTGGAACCCTTTGTCGTCAAAGTCATTGACTTGACGAAACGTGGTAAAGTCGATCTGCTCTCATCCCAACTACAAATACAACCCGATATTATACACACCAAACTAGCTGACTCATACGGCACATCGCTACTCCATATCGCATCTCAGGCATCACAACCTGACTGTGTAGAACTCCTCTTGTCACTTGGAAGCAACCCAACCGTGAAAAACATCCGTAATCTACGCCCATACGATGTCGCATCTGATAAAGATACCAGGAATGCATTCCGGAGAGTCATGTATAGGCAGCCTGAAGCTTGGGATTGGAAGGATGCGCATGTGCCTAGTGCTCTCTCGCCAGAGATGGAAGAAGAGCAACGCATTAAAGATAAGGCAAAGAAGGCTGCTCAGAGAGAAAAAGAAAAGGCGTCCAAGAAGGCTAATGCTGCCAGTGCTTCTTCGAAGGAGCCTGTTGTTGAGCCAGCACCATCGTCGTCATCGTCTCTGAAAAAGTCAATAGTCAAGTTGTCAAAGACTGAAGTTGAATCTATCGGAATGTCTCCTGAAGCTCGTGCGAGGTTGGACCGTGAGAAGAGGTATGGGAAGTTAGCAATCGAAGTTCTTTTTTTTTGCTCACCGTTGTGCCTCTGAACTATCGGTAAATAGGGCTTTGGCAGCTGAAGCAAGGATGAGATCTCAACAGTCTAAATGTGCTAATTGTGGGAAATCTTTGGAGGGACTCGTGTCGTTTGATAAGCTACAGTAAGCGATATTTGACGGTTGGTCGTCTTTTTTTGTCGCTGACTCCATAACACGTTTTAAACAGGTATCGCTATTGCTCAACCGAATGCGTTCGGGCTCAAGTTATCTTGCATACTTAATAATTTAAGTTGTTTTACGCAATATATACATACGTAGAGAATTCAGAGTGAGCCTCCCCTCTCTCTAACATCGCTGACAAGACCACCACCTTGACCGAAACGACGAAAAACTGGCGGGGGTTCCAATACCGTGCGTTTTTTGTTTTCAACACTTTTTCATTTTCTGTAAATGACCCAATTTTGAAACCATCTACCACACAACGGCATCCAGCTTAGAAGATCCTTGTCACGCAACTCGTACGATCTAAATTTTCGTTTTCGTCTGTTTTCTTAAACAACATAGTCGAGATACCATTGGCCATTGGAGAGGACAGTCGCAAGGATGTGAAGGAGCAGCGTTTGGATCAGCTTTATCGATGCATTTATTTATACATTATGCAAGTACATCTAGAGAGTGAATGGCCCCACCATGTTCGACGTATTTAAAGTATTGTAGCGGTTCTCGAGATCGTAGGGGAAGTTTATCAAGGTCGTTTATATCAACCCAGCAAGCTGATAATGACTCGTTGTCTGGTATTGTCTTTGGAAGTGCATGTTCATCGGCCTACACAACAAACGATGTAAAACATACACTAATTATTGCCTGGAAATATCATTTGTCTACACAGTGCATACCTCTGCGTAAAAGATACCTCTGACACGAACACCTCGGTTTTCACTGCTGCTATATTCTACTTTAATGACACCTTTGATGCTAGCGTCAACACCAGCTTCTTCAAGTGTCTCACGTCTTCCTGCCCGAGCTAGAGATTCTCCAATATCGACACCACCACCCGGAAGCCACCTGCAAGATAAAATCAGAGTCCGGGTAGAAGTAGCATTGAGTTGTTATTGGACGTACCAACCCATTTGCCCAACTTCCTCGACTAGCAAATACTTGTCATCACTTCGTCGCCGACAGACTACCAGCGAGTAAGCGTTGATCCTGTCAAACCAAAAAAAGCATGGAGTAAATGTTACAGATTTGGCAGCTTGCTCAAGCTTTACCTCTTTGGGTGTGTCCTATGCGAATACTCGATATGCCTTCGTAATTCCGTCGACGACTCAGAGCATAACGGACACTTGTATTCTCGTTTATAAGGTTCGTGAAGTGCAGCATGATATAGCGGTACATGCTCAAATATATCGTTGGTGTCCAGCGACACCAAACATATAGGGCACTGAATAACAGCCCGTGAATTCTTTGCACGTTGTGAATGATTTGACGTCATGGTTGCGATATGGATCAAATGTTCTATCTGTGAGGTGATCATATCCGATAGCCCCGAGTATTCGTGTCTTAAAATTGCAGAATTTGATAATGTGGCATTCCAGATGCAGACGAATGTGGATCTAGGAGTAGCTCCGGAATTCCGGTTCAGCCATATCTGTTCAGATAACTCGGCTTTCAATACGTGTAACTGGGTGTCGGTTGGCAGGAAAACGACAAGTTGAAATTCTTGAATTTGGTGTTGGTTGATGCTGCCCAAAGCTTTGGTTTGGATGTGAAAGAGGTGATCCAATCTAGATTTTATAAGTACAAGATCATGATTATCGTCGTCGGAAACAAGTAAGAGCCTCGCCAGTGCAGTTTCATTCGACATTTTTGTGTCAAGAATTATTTTGTAGAGTTAGGATTATTACTTAGGTACAAAGTCAGCAGCAAACTCAAAGGCACACATGATCCCATACGTTGTATGCGGACCACATGCAATTCCAACTGAATCAAACTTGGGACTATATATGTTGATACGATGACCTCTATCATTTACTCCAACATCGTTGATCAAAACCACAATTCCATCAAGAGCATTATAGTGTCCTGCTATGAGATTCTCGCCATACCACGAATAGCTGCCATAAGAGGCTATTCTGGCTTGTGGATCTTGACCTTGAGAGTTCAGGTGGTCGAATAACCCTTTGGGTCCTTCGTCAAGAACCATAGCCAAAGCAGATTGTTGTAGACCGTCTTGTAGTGTCAGTTCAGACATGGACTGAAGATTGTTGATATATGCAATACTTTCAGGAGTTAGTTGAACCGATGAGTACTTCGATACCATTTGGATGAAGCCCTTTGTTAGACCAGAATGACGGTTAATAAGCCAACGGGTACTGTTTCTTTGAATGTACTGCTTACCTGTGGATCAGATCTAGCTAGGTTTTGCCATCTCTTGTATCGAGTTGCGAGTAGTTGGTATGATACGGTGCCGTCTTCAGAAGGCTTGTTGTAGTACGTCCTACAAAAGTGAACTATTCTAGCATGCGAATGGAGCACGAATAAAATGAAATTATCGATCTCACACGTCACGAAGCAGAGCATTTGTCCTAGGTAGCAATCGAGCAGAGTTGTTTCGGTTGTGATTGTGCAATGGGGGTTTTGACGGTTTGAGTGGTATTGCTCTAGCGATTACTGGTATAGCGAGGAGATATAGTAGCAGTAATACGTATTTTCTTGCAATATTGACCATTTGTCGATTGGTATAAACCTGTTTCACGACGTAGTGTTCAACCAAAGTTTAGTTGGGATTTTGTACGCAAGACCTGTTTTCGTCGATGGATACGCAGATATATCAGATCTTACAGAGCAGCTCTACTCGACTCGATTGTTCAATGCTACAGCTATCTCAAAATGTTTTTGGAACAGATGCACACCATTTCTTTCCTTTTACGCGCAACTGCACACTTGTATGTCGAAATGTCTCGAATGTCCATGTTTCACGAATGTGCGGTGAATGTTCCTATGTTCCATATGCGAATGAATGGAATGGTATCTGTAAGTGCATTACAGTGGCAACTGCACTACAGCGTGATGACCGTTTGTTAAATTATGTAATTACAATCCCTCATGAATTCCAATCAAATGAACATCAGCAACATCCGTGCTACTACCGCCCATCTCATTCAACAAGACAATTTCAGCAGTACTAGAGCCCCATGGCACATCATTCAGCCAATCCGCTATATAGAATATTGATGAGATGTTGAAGTTTCAAAACACAATTAACCAAGAATTCAATCAAGTTTCCAGGATATTTCAATAAACGCATATCAAATCAGCGAAGTTCTCACCTGGAACATGGTAATATGCCTGACTAGGCTCTCCACATCCAACACGACACGCCTCAGTTCCAAACTCATCATTGTACTTGCAAGACACCCCTTCAGCCGCAGTAGGACACTTCTTATTTACACCTCCTGTTATATTCCAATACCTCCCTATCGCATGTCCATTGACGAAAGCAATGCCTTTACCAAGACTACTGAGCTTGAGAGTATATGATTTAAATCCTGTAATCTTCTTATCGTTTAACTGAGACAATGGGAATGAGAGTCGTAGCCATGATAATGGAGGTACGACTGACGGTAGTGGTTTCCACGTTTGCTTTTTTACATTGGCGGGGATTACAGCTTCACCCTTCAGCCCGGCGATAAACTGCCATTTACAGACAGTGATGTCTGCTCCAGACAGAATTACATGTCCACTTATTCCTTTTTGAGCAGATTCTGGGTGCCATGTGTAATGGGGTAAACCCATACTGACAGTTAAGAACGAGAGACTGTGGTTGCCGCCCTTTGCTATAAACGGGGCAACATCGAATTTCAGCTCGGGCTTATCTTTATCGGTTAATATACCAATTAGAATGTCGTCCATATATACTAGAAATTGTAAAAAAAAGTCAGACTGTTGTCCGAACACATTGACACGACGGCTTACCATGAGTGATTTCTCGTGGTGGATGTGAGAAAGTCATTGATATCATGGCTGGGTTGCCTTTTACAGAAGGGAGAGCTACATCATCACATACTGCCCACAAATAATCTGTCTTATCCTTTGTGAGTTTCAATTGAGGGGGAAATCCATGATGGGTCGTTTTTACAACAGTCTGATCAGACAACAGCTGTGTTCCAACAGGTTCAGCAAGATACTGTATGGTTGACGGCGATATGGGTTTGGTGAAGGCATGGAAAACGGTGTTGCGTACGACGAGACTATTCGAAGTTCGAAGACGTGGAGTGACTTTGGCAGTGTTGAATACTTCGGTAAAGTTGGATTTGCCATTGACACCTTTAGTCTTCACGGATATAGATACCGACCATCTTGGCACATTAAAAACAGACAGCGGTGTTTTAAAAGCTATCACTTGTTGCCGTGCTCTGTTAAACGTGAACAAGATAGCTCTGTCGTCCTTATCAACGTCGCCGTATGCCAGCACGTTCCCACCAGCTCCATTCAATCCAAATTCAAGGATTGACTCGGGTTTCTCCCACGACATGATTACATCCTTGTATTCACGCAGTATACCATGCATTGTTTTCAGATGATCAAACTTCCGTTCGTGCGGGAACCCATACTCGGTTACAGGTGCATCGTAGTCGTATGAGGTGGTGAGCAGCGGACCACCACTAGATCGATCAAAATTGGTGCCTCCCTGCCACATGTAATATGTAACTAGACTGCCTCCAGCTGCAACCCAATTCAATACTGCGACCGCCAAGTCCTCAGCTGGACGAGTAGGCGTTGCTTCACCCCAGAGCTGAAACCTAATCAAAAAGCTAGTTCAAAATGATATTCTTGGAAGGCAATTGACGGGACTAGTCTTTACCAGCCAGTCCAGAGCTCTGTGAAGAGGCTAGGTTGATTCGGGAAAGCCCATCGGAACGTATGAATACGATCATGACAATAAAATCCATTGCAAGTATTTATTACTGTAGCAGTGTCTCCTTGTTCGCACATAATCCAGGGCACTGACACGTTCAAACTGCAAAGAAATGTGATTTAAGAGATTGGAAAACGTTACTCAGAGACGTCGGAGCGAGCAAGCACCTGGACGTGAGATGAGCTGCCCAATTGATGTATTCAAATCCTCCATGGAAAAAGTTCATGAATTGCCAGTGATTGTATTCATTCTCCATTTGAAGCAATATTATTGGACCGCCATTTCTACAATTAGAAATGAATTATTTATGGATGAATCTTCAGTTTGCAGGGTGCTCCTGCCCAGACGCCTCACGTGAGCAATGCAGCAGTTGGAAAATGAACTTACGTGTAGAGGTAAGGCCGAGTAACATCAACCACTTTCCTGACAAAGGTTTCCATGGAATCCATAAATGGTTTATTCAGCCTTCTCATACGTATCCCAGGCTTTTCCAACAGCCAAGCAGGCATCCCCCCAAGATTGTATTCTGCACACACATACGGACCAATCCGTAACACTAGATGCATTCCTTCTTGCTTCACAAGCTGTATAAAGCCAATCAAATTGGCTCGATCCTTTTCAAACTCCCATACACCTTCTTCTGGTTCGTGCATTGACCAAAACACATATGTGTCTATAGCGTTCAAGCCAGCAGATCTAGCTTGTCGAATGAGATGCGACCACATCCCTGGTGATGATCGAGGGTAGTGTATAGACCCTACTAGAAGCAGCTCACGGGTGCCGTTGATTATTATACCTCGAGAATCGTATGTGACATATGGAGCTACAGGATTGACCAATGGATGCTACAGCAACAGAAACATTTAAGTACAAGTACTTCAATCGGCAAGATGACGCAACGTTCTTGTAATCTAGGCTCGACACTACCATTGAAGGTGGCAAACCAAGATGTGCTTGATACCCTTTCCCAAATGTAATCGCGATGCCATCGCGTACATCACGCCTGAGCAATAGAAATAGACTACAGAATAGTAGGAAAGCCAATAACTTTCCCCAATGGATCCGGCAGTACAGATCGTATAAATCCTCTGCGATGCCAAATACGTGAGTATGCACAGTGCGACCAACGCTGTTCATCCATAAGCGGATACCGTGAAAGGTTGAATGATTCTTGATTAGTCCTCGGCTCTCATCTGCATCTTCGTCGTCACTTCCTGCCATGACTGGTGAGGAGTACAGAACGCGAGAGTTGCGAACGTGCAAAACATTGTGAACTCGAACTAGCTCTTTCGCCTATTAGTACGCGTAATTTACGACATGATTTCGTGTATTAAGCAAAACTAGAAACTAAATCAACTCCAAAAGTACTCTTCGTCTTCTAGAAACGAAATTGCGTTAAGTCAATAAGATGGTAATACAAACAGTTGATTCCAAGTGTCATTTTTACCTTCTTCTTGCTTCTTGGTTTGTAACTCCCTCTTCTTCTTCCGTTGAGGAGGCGCTGATCGGAACATTACCTGTTTAGCAGTCTGCAAAAATGTGATTGTCAGATTCGGCGTGTCCTGAGTCCAGTGTTACTATGCCTTTTTTTTACCTTCTTCTGAACGGGAGCTTGAGCACGTTCCAGTGCTTTTTGCACTCTTTCTTCTTGTAAAGCTCGTTGAGCTTCCATCTTCTCCTCACGAAGCCTTTGTCGTCGTTCCTTTTCCTTGATCTATTCGAGACACACGTGTCAGATTGGCTGTTCTCGTCTGATATCAATACAACCGTTGCACCGCACTCTCACGTACCTTCTCAGCTTGCTCAACCTTGTCTGGTGGCATCATTTCAATGGTCTCAAACAGGTACTCCAACTTGTTTTCGATATTGGTCAACATTTGTAAGGTGCCCAGATTCGAGTCACCGTCACCAACACATTTCTTATACACTTCCTTGACTTTGTGGTTTAGTTCATCCAAAATCTTGTCTTGAGATTCGCCACCAACTCCACCGATTGAAAACATTCTAAAGACAAACGTGTGTGTTTGCATACGATTTGGGTATGTCCTCGTTGTTCTTTTTAGCAATTCTTACTTTGATCGCTCTTCAAGCACACGGGCTTTTTCTTCTTCCTTTTCAATGGATTCTTCGAGTAGGCGTATTTGTTGTTTCAGACTCTGCGTTTCGTCCTCCCTAAACTCATTTCCGTGAGATATTGAGGGGAAAAAAACGATTCACCGGACAGGATATTGTGGTGTCTTACATTCGACCTTCCGTTTCAGATATCTTCCTCTTGAGGTCTTCCAGTGTCTCTTCTGTCTCTTGACAGTTTTGGATTAGAGCTAAATTGTTTTCTTCCAATTCAGCGAAAATGTCCAACAATTGTTGGGGTGTCTCAAAGTAGAGTGGTGCTTCGTCTTCTTCCAACTGTGTGCTGTCATCGACAGCTTCATCAGCAGCCTCTCCTCCTGCACTAATTGAGCCATCAGTATTCTTGGGAGCTATAAGGAAATTGAATATGAGTGTGTTTTTGGTTCCTCCTTGATGTGGCAATGATCACATACATTTGGTCTTGGAATCACCACTAAAGTCCTTTGGTGTGAGCTGATCCAGAAATTGCTTGTATCGTTGTAAATCCTTGAGTTGATCTTCATTCTTGGACATTTCGCTCCGTATGCTCATTATTTGAACATTCAGTTTCTTGATTTCTTGTATCTTTTCGAGCTTGGCCTTGGTTTCGACTTCAGCCCTATTATGATGCATGGCGGTATCAGTTTGCGTTCAGCAAAACACCTACTACGGGAAATGATCACCTCTTGATAGCCTCAACAGAGTTCTTGTCGTTTTCCTTCAGGAATGCGTCAAACTTGGCAGCATCTTCTTCCAATGCCTTCTCGTCATCCATGAGCTTTTCTTCTTCAGATTGAGCCATCTCTTCCAGCTTTCTCATTTCTTCTCTCTTGACACCCAGTGCGTATTGAACCAGAAACATTTCCCTCTTCTTGGCGATAAAGTCTCGTAAAGATTCTTTTCCAAATTGGCCATCAACTATCAAGAGAAATGGTGGCGGTTTGAGAATGACAGGGGGGAAGGCGAAAAAAAGCGATTGCCACAGATCCTCCTGTAGGGCTTTAAAGCCACTGCGCATACCAGGTCCCTTTCGTTCTAATGCAATCTCATCTATGCCTCTAGCCTGTATCTTTTTCAACAGCGACGCGTCCTGAGTCTCCTCCATCAGCAACCTCTTGAAATTCTTTCTCTGCGTCTCCTTTTTAGATGCCATATCACGTTTCCCAGATTTGGTTTGCTAGATTTGAGAAACGACTTAAGAACTGAATAATGACGAAGAAATGCTTTAAAATACACCGTTCCAAGACTCAGTCTTTACCTTGCTCATCAATGCCTCGACCATTGCTGGACTTGATGGAAGCTTAAACGGGTTGACGGAAGCCATCGTTAGACGTGATAATCACGTAGATCAATGGGATCTCTGACTATGAATAAAATATACAATCAGTATCAAAGTATGAGTGAGTGCTTGACTGTTGTGGAATCGCGCAAAGACCATCGAATCAAACTTTTGACACGGAAATTAATGAGTTGTTCTTGTTAACGGATGAAGGCTTGAACAATGTACAATCAGGCCAACTCACCTCCGTACAGACAGCCAGATGCTCCGACTCCTCTTACTCCTCCTTCCGGAGCAGGTCAAACTTCGCATCGCAAAGAGTCGTTGACTTCGACAAATCCAATAATGAGGCCTCCTTCGACCACTCTGAATGCTGATCTAGTAGCGACCAAAATATCCTGTGCCTTCCGTTGGCTTGTTCCTAACTTAACATCGATACAAGATGATAAGGTATCGTCATATTCGTCAACATTTGACTGTTTTTACCGAACATATCATATCATGCCAAAAAATCTAATTCAATCCTGGTCTTGATCCTAGCTGATATCTCCACCATTTGGTCCTCCTGACAGTCTCTTCACTGTAACCTTATATCCCAGAGGTGTCAATGATGGGAAGCACTCCCACCTCAGTGCCTTCCTTAGGCCTCAAAAATCAGACCATGAAATATCTCTGGCCGATTCATGGCGCAGACCAGTATCGTCTTTCACAATATCACTGAGGAGAGGTGGAAGTGTATTGGATGCACCTGTCGCAGTGGAAACGTCAGCTGGCAACTTTAAAGGCTTTTCAAACAAGGTTCCTGGATGGTGCGCTTGCTGATTGTCGTTCAAATCATATTGTTTGTATTTGCTTCGGCTAATTGTGTAATCTGGGATACAGGGGTTTCAGCAAATTGTTAGATCTAGCACGACTGTCTGAAGCCATGGATCCAAACGATGGCACAATGACACTTGATTGTGAGGTGACATGGGAAGAAGCCAAAACATTCGGAACGTATGCTACAAGTGTATTGGTGGAAGAAGGTCAAACAGATCAAGTCGCATCCCAAGTGTTTGGAAGTGAAGAAGTCCCATGGTACTTGAGAATTGTGCCAACTGGTGATGGTGATGGGACAGGAACGCACATATCGGCGTAAGTGCTTGAAAATACTGAAATGCATGATTTTAACTTCTTGTCCGCTCTTTTTTTTTTGTTCTAATCAATCATTTTAGATATCTCGTGGCTATGAAGACACCTGTAGAAGATGCAATGGGTGAATTATGGACAAGACCTGTAATGTCATTTACTCTCAAAGTAAAGTCTATGCAAGGACATATCCTGTCATCAAAAACAACCACTGGTGGGATGGCCTTCACACCATCAAAACCGGAAGCTGGATTTCCACAGCTTTTCGAGGTTTCAAAAATAGGATATGGATATGGAGGTCTCATTATAGAGTGCGAAGTTATTATAGATAACAGCTTTATGGATCCATCCACCATGTTGGGCAAGACTAGAGCAGCCCTCGTTTCCGCACGAAACATGTCAACACCAGCACCTGATGCGTCTCAACAGTATCTACAGAATGAAATATGGCAAGCACAGGAGCAGAATAAGTCATTGATGAGTCAGAACGCTGAAATGAGGGCCCAATTAGAAGCTGGGCCGGTGAATGGAGATATGAATGGCAAGTGTCAGACTATAGACCTATTTGGCTAGCATGTTTGATGATTCTTTTTACCTCTTCTAGAAGTGTCACAACTACGTGAAGAGCTAGAGACATCTAGAAGAATAATAGCTGATCTCGAAATACAGAAAGGTGGACGATATGGTTCAGCCTCGCCAGATGGACTCAAGAGAGGCAACTCGTCGATCACCGCTGGTTTGTCCCCACCATTAGATATTGCTGCCATGATACCCAATGCGTTATCTTCCACGAAGGCTGAAGTCAAATCAGCACTTGCAGTACTGAGTGAAGCTTCAGCTCGTGCTCCCAAACCGGTGACGAGAGAGAATGAACCTGAACGATTGGCTATAGTAGCCGATCTGGCCATGAAGGAAGCAGAATTGGAAGTCGCTCGTGCAAGTTTAGCTCAAGCAATCGCAACAGGGCCAGCTCGTGAACGAGGCGTCTTTGCCAAAGATATTGATATTGGCAGGAAGGAGATAATGGACACACTGATGGCTTTACGATCTCTCAAAGTGGAATTAGAAGGAATGATTCCAGCTGCTTCACATCCACCGATAATGAAACCAGTAACACCAATACCATCACTCACTTCGTCATCGCCAAGTGCGGGAGACGACATAAGAGCTGAACTGGACGGTCTCAAGGAACGTATTCTGGCCGCCAAACATATCTTGGATGGTGATGCAGATGCTGCTGTACCACGCGCTCGGCGACTATCTCATACCGGAGCAATGTTATCACCACGAGCAGCAGGTCAACGATTCTCTCAGCCTTCCATATCACCTACGTTGGAAGGTCGTCATCTAGAGGTGATATTACGATAGGCCTTTTACAGTTTTTTTCCTGCGTTGATGTTGACCTTGACTTTTCATCTTAGGTGCTAATACGCGAACTTCAAGCAGCACGCCATCGATACAGGAGGGCACCATCCATAATTACCATAGCTGTTTATAGTTTGCTCTCTGTATTCTTGGTGTATTCAGTGCTCTTTGTGGCTTGTGCGCCCAAACCAGGTCAAAGACCCTCTGCCACATGTAGCACTTATATAATTCCTTCCTACGAACGTACAAAGCCATATATCGCAACAGGTCTAGAATATTGGCATCAAGCTTCGTTATACGTGAGTAGTAAAATGTTTCATTCTAGTTTTATTTGTTCATACAGCGATTGACCTGTATTTAAACTTAGGCCGTTGATGAAATAAGTCCAAAGATATCAATTGCTATTGAGCAAGCCTCTGCTATTGCTGAACGAGGCTGGGAGTCCGTGATCCAAATGATTGGTTCCAAATCACCAGAATATATGTCTGTAAAACAGCCTGTACCACCAACACCACAAGAACCCGTACCAGGACAGATTGAAGAAGACTTGATACAAACATCCGCAGAAGCACGTACTTCTGATGATTCATCGACCACCTTGACTTCTGGAGGTGCGTCCCATACGATGCCGAAAATATCCATAGATTTACCCAATGTAGGATATAAAGCAGTTGAGGTTGAACCAACTACAACGTCAGAGTCTGCAGGAAGTGTCGAGTCACTTGTAGTCGAGCCGATTACGGCTTCCGTTGAAATGACGACAATGTCAGTCGATGCCGAGTCAACTGATTCTGTATCGCCAGATAATGCAGGAGTGGGAGAAGAACACACTGCACCCCATGAATATATAGTAGAAACACATATAGAGTCGCCCCATGATATCATAAAAGAACCGACAGTGCCTGAAACACATGAGATTCCAAACCAGTCTCCTGTCGTGACAGAATCTACCATAGCAGAATTACATCATGTACCCACAAAAAGTATGTTGCCACGACCTGTTGAAACACCATTGTATACACATGAAGAGGAGGCGATTGTTGATAGTCGAGCAGATGGTGGATATGGAATGGGAGACGACGACGGAGAAGGGCAACCTACTCGAACGCATCAGAATGAGAGTGAAGAGTTTGGTCAACCTCACGATGAATTATAAAAAGTTGTATAGTGGGAAGGGAAGTGTGTAGGAAGGATGCTACAATAGAATGAAATACTATTGACAGTATTAAACTGGATTTTTTGTTCCCTTCTGAACTTAAACGACCTTCCAAGACTTTGAAGGTAGATCTCCTTGCTACCCGACCCCAGCCTTCCAAGACGTTGAAGGCAGATCTGCTTGCTACCCGACTCGGCGGTTCATGGAGGTGGCTGGATACTCATTTGGAATCAGCATTCAAGGTCAACCTATGTGTATCAACAGATTAGTTTTGTACCTAAATCACACGATGTTAATGACGCATTGGCTTGATTTGGCTCATGTCTGCACCATTTGGACCACCTGATGCTGCACTGTTACTCTATATCCAAGATTGTGCATTGTCACATTTCCTGCCTTCCTCAATACAAATCATGAATTAAGTCGGGCCGAGTCATAGCGCAGAGCAGTGTCTCTATTCGTGACACCACTGAGGAAAGGTGGAAGGTATAGCGGATGAGCATGTCACGGTGTTCACGACAGACTGTAACTTCAGAAGCATGTAAATCCATATATGTCTTTCCTCGTTTTAAGATCAGTGTTATCTCCATTGAATTTTACTTGGATTCCAGCATTGGAAGTGAAAAAGACTCGTCAGAAGCGTTTAAGATCCAAACACGGGTTAGGCTTGGAAATGTATGAAGCAAGTGTGTTGATTGAAACGAGCTTCAATTAATTGAAGTTGACTCCATACCTCTATCAGTGATGGAGATATGCATGCATGCCAAGTGAGCATGTGTGAAGGTCCTCGCTGGCTTTGTGTCGTTCGTCTCACACGGATGACTGCTCAAATGGACGCAACGAAGAAGATAGAGGAAACAGCTACTCTAACGCATGAAACAGACACAAAGGCCAAAAAGACAAACAATGCTGGTACAAGAATACTTTCACTGCCGGTGTACGCTGAGAGAGGCTTGGGAAAGAATATTCGCACAATTTTATTTGTGCTTGATCAACTCGTGCTTCAGGGAGATTCTACGTTGCAAGACTCTGGACCAGTGAACGCAGACGTGAATGAAAGTTAGCTGGGTGGAAAGTGTCGGTAGACTTGGTGACGTTCAACTGAGAACCCATTGTGCTGATGGGGAGAAAAAACATCGAACAACACGAAATGGCAGCTCCTCACACGCATCAGACCAACTTAAAGTTAACTATAAAAGATGTTTATGGAAAAAGGTTTGGAGGAAAGGGGTTGCTATAATACAATGAATCAATTAAAAATTACTACTACAACTACTACTACTTGATTGCTAGCCTGCTGTCGTCCGACCTATTTCTGCTTTTCTCTATTCATAACGATCAGCAAGACAAAGGCAATAGCTCTCAAGAAGAGACCCAACATGACCATGACAAACAAGTCAAAGCCAGTTCGATACAAGACGTAACCGAATTGATCAGCAGATTGGGCCAAGTCGTAAACGTCTTGGTACCAGTACAATGATTCCGTGTATAGAGCTTCAGCTCCCCAACGGTTGAAACTCAAGTCCTGGGAAAATAAGAAAGTAAGATATGGAAATATCTCAAACCAAGAGTTCAATCAACATACCCAGACGAATCCAAGACCCCATGAGTTAGCTTCATTGATAGATGGTCCATAACCACAGAATACTGCAGCGATGAGGCCGACAATGACAGACACTAGAGCACCATCTTCACGACGAACCAATAGCGATATAACGGCAGCTAGACCATATTCACCAAAGAAGTTGAGTAGAGCGATGGCCCATTGAGTTGCAAATGGTACGAGTGGGACAGCCAATACGACATAGAATGCGGTAAAGTGGAGAGATGATACAATGAATCTGTAGAAGGCTGCCAATGTTTTTCCGACATAGTAGGCTGATCGGGAGTGTCCAGCAGCAGCTTCACGCCAGTATACAGACTTTTCTTCACCGAATACACGGACACCTGCTGGTGCACCCTATATTTCATCAAGCAAAAAAAGGTAAGTCATCACCCAATATGTGAGCACCACACAAGCACCACTTACAGCAATGGTGATGGCAATACCCAACAAAAGACCATATAAAGGAACCAGCCAATTCAATGGTGCAGGAGTCAAGAGAGAGTAAGGAGCAATCCAAATACCATGATAGAGTTCACCATGGAATTGTTGTACAGAGACACCCATCAATACACCGGCAATAGCAGCTACAAATACTTCTATAGCCAATGAATACCATTGTCGGTATTGTTGGACAAGACTGCGGTTGTGACAATACATCATTTGTCTCCACCAGAATGCACCACGGTTTGCAGAGATTACTTGCACAGCTTGCCAAAACTCTTCACCGTATACTGGATCATGGATGTTTGTGATATCGAATCCAGTGCTGGCCATAGCAGTCGAGGTATCATCATCACCCATATCGGAAGCAGCAGATCGTAGAGATCCGTTGGATCGTTTCATGGCTGGTCGAAGATTTCCGGCATTGGTGCGGTTGGCAGTAGCAGCAGTCTGTAATCGCAAATCTATGCTATCGTCATCATCAGACAAGTAGGATCCAGTTTCAGGGTCAATAGCATGTTCAAGACTACCAGGTGTGAATGCTTCAGCATCACCATTGTTACGTTCAAGAGCCAATAATCGTTTATAAGCTGCTTCAGTGATTTCACCAGACTCATACAAGAGGGCAGGAATACGGGCAATGGTTTTGGGGTCTACTTCAGTCATTTCACCATTTACTCGGACTGATATTGGCATGGAGCGGTCAGATCGTGCTTGTGAGCGGATGGAAGAGGCATCATCGGTGGTTGGAGTTACTGGTTGCTCGATACGACGTGGGGCAGATGGGTTTATCATCTTGGGGTTTCGTTTGTATTGCTCGGTTTCCCAAGCTGAGACCAAGTCTGATGAGGACATGACACCGTTAACGTTGTTTCCTTGACCAGATAGAATATCCATGAGTACATCGGCAGCGTTTGATTTGGCTTCAAACTGTAATAGGGAAGAAAAAAAGTATAAGGAAAGATGGAGTCACTGCCACACGACGAGTTTATTCGGTCACATACCACAAAGCCCATAGATTCATAGTAGCTCTTAACACCAGAAGTAGGACCCAAGTAAGCAGTTCGACCACCAGGAGCAATCATCAAGACATCATCAAAGAGTTCAAAGATTTCAAATCGCTGAACCAAAAAAAAGTCAGACCAAACTCTTTCAATGGATTAACAACAACAAGAATCAAGACTCACAGGTTGGTGAACGACAGCGACGACAGTAAGACCCAAAGTTGTAATACTCTTCAGAATTTGAGCGACAGACAAGGCAGCAGTAGAGTCCAACCCAGAGGTAGGTTCATCCAAGAAGATGGCCAATGGGACGGCAGCCAATTCCATACCAATGTTTACACGTTTACGTTGACCACCGGAAACACCACGGGTCGATTCATCACCAATGATTGTGTGAGCGACGTGTGACAGACTAGTAGATACAAAGTACATTATGTTAACTTAAGCGAAAAGAATTGCTGCAGGAATATAGAAGTGACTTACTTGAGAGCTTCAAGAATAGCATCAACATATCCTTCAATCTCTTCCTGAGTCCAGTTGTTTGGTAGACGAGTGCGGGCAGAGTGCAAGATATTTTCACGGACAGTCATTTCACGCAACATGATATCTTCTTGAGGCACAAACCCAACAATCTTTTTACAAGCGTTGATACCAGCTTCTTCACGACCGTTGATGAATAAACGACCACCGGTACGTGGGTACTTGCCCATCAGAACGTTCATGAATGTGGTTTCTAGAAGAAGTGTGTGTGTTAGGTAGGTTACTTGATGGGCAAAACACGACAGGGTTGCAAGGATTATGCAAAATGCCAACTTACTTCCAGCACCAGAAGGACCCATAATAGCAGTCAAACGACCCGGCTTAATTTCACCCGTAACACCCTGTAAGATAACCTTCCCAGTCTTGAGCGTACACCCCATATCCTCAAACTTGAACCCAATAGCCAATTCCTGGTGGTTCATACCACGCTTGAAGGCATCAACCAATACAGATACATCCTTCAATCCAGGTGCGACAGATGATCCATCGTCAAGAGCAACACCGGGACGGATTTGAGTAGCGTTAAACATGGAATGAGCCAAGTGGGAACGACGTCTGGATGCTTTAGCAGAGAAACCCTTTTCGAGTTTCTTTACACGTTTACGTTCTATGCTACGGAGGTAGAAGAAGGCACCTATCATGACCAAGTCAATGAGGAGACAAAACACCATTCCGCCGTAAAAGACTTGGGTTCTGGATCCTTCGGGACATGACGACATTATGGAGCATTTGTTGGGTGCGATGGAGCCAGTTGGGCAGAAGTATCCTTGAGGACTGTGAATTATGAATAGTAGTACATGATGAGTCTTTCTGTTGGAGGCGATGGTGTAATTGTTGAAGCTGCGAGACAACGAAATACATACCAAGTTATTTGAGTTCTAAAGTCTGGACAGTATGTACCGTTGCGACAGCTAAGTTTAAAAGTTAGTTTTTCAAAACTCTAGCCTCCGAAAGTTTCATGTCCCTAACAGCAACTTACATGGTAGGCTCGAATCGTCCTTGAGGCTGAAAGAGAAAAATGGACGAATCAGCTCACCACAAGACCACCCAAATACAAATCAACAGATCCGAATACCAAGTTCCATCAAACTTACTTCACATGGAATACCAGTCAGCCTCGAAACAACACAATCTGTGTCTGAAGGACATACTTGCGGCAACGAATACCAGACTGTATCGTTGACATACGGACAGTAGAAATGTGGAAGACAGGAATAGGTGGATGATATAGGATAACCTGCGGTACCGTTAGATATATAACAAGACGGGGTCAATATCTTTTGGATTTCACCAGGCGACATGGCAGCGATATTGACTGGTACGGTCGTATTGCTTGTTGGTATGGTGGTTGCTCTTGGCGCGGCTGCTGCTGGTGCAGCTGCACCGCCCGCAGCTCCAACTGCTCCAGCTCCCATTTTCTTATATGGTTGAGATTAGCTAGCTGGTTTGCGTAAAATGGGATGCCCTGAAGACAGTTGATTTGGCTGCTGTTGTAGTGCTAGGTTATTCCTGAACAAGGTTTGTTGAGATATCCAGTGATTCAGAGCTGCCCAAAAAGTCAAATCTGAAATTGCATCTAGCTTGGATTGACGAATCAAAAACAACCAATATATTGACCAATCAAGGAAAAAACGAAAGAGGAGGTTGAAGAAAAGAGTCTAGTCACCAAAGCAGCGGTAGGGCTTCTCTGACCGTAACTTGTGGCAATCATTCAATGCTGCGATTTCAAATCTTAAAGTTGAGCTCATCTCGCTGTTGCTTGTTGCGCCCCTGCAGAAAGTTGTGAAATCACAAAAAACCAGCCAGCCACAAGGAACCAACTCTGGCAGCACAAATCATTGAGGGCGGCATCGCGAAAATTACGTAGAAAATACAAGAACATATTTCTTTGTGCTACGAGATATATTCTGGGGCAATTGTTTCTTTCATATGCGATTTTTCACGTTTTTGTCTATACTATTTACTAAGAACCTTCACTTAACCCTCCTCTTTGAGCGAAAGCAGCACCTAGTTGTTACGATGGTGCCTTCCATACCTTCCTAGAACCATCGCTTCCTGGTCTCATTTGAGGCATACCACCTTTGGCGGCTGACTTCCTCACGATGCTGATTCCGGAGTCCCCGCCACCGAATGCCAACAAGACGTTTTCTTCACCAGGCGGGGTATGAATAGCGAGGCCTTTTGCTCGTCTTTGAATGACTTCTTTGGCGAATATGTACCTAAAATAGGGGGGAGCGAAAATAAGACAGAAAGTCAAAGGTCACCAATACGCGTTCTTCCACTGAGCGATTAAGTGTTCATCATCTCTGCATCCAGGTGATCACAATTGCATGCTCGTGGCAGCTACATCTTTGATGCAAATGAGAACAGACAAGCCAAACAAACCTCTCTTGCCCAGACGGCACATCAAACGATTTGGACTCAACCACTCGTTTCAACCACTCGAATGGCAAGTCACAAAATATGCTGACCAATACACGATATGGTTCAGTATCTGATTTCGGCCATAGTGTGGGAGTAGCAGGTATTGGCGATCCAGTACATTCGAATGCTTCACGTATAGATCCTTTGGCCAAATAAGTAAATACCGCGTCCCGAATCTCTTGTGCAAATTGTTGATATGGAGCCAAGTCTGTTTGTAGCAAGAAGGCACAATATCCAACTAGGGTCATTCGTGAGATTTCATTCTTGATCAGATTCGTCACTGATGATGCCAATTCATTCAACTGCAAATGCACAGCCTGTTTGCAAGTATGGAGGGCGTTAGTGATACTAGACATGTGAGAGTTGGAACAGGAAGCGATGATGGCGCTTTACCGCTGCAAGCGTAGCTCGGTATCGGATGGATCGTTCGTCAGAAGATACAGTAGGGCTAGCCAAGTTTCCTTCAGAGTAGGATCCATACAGATACCCAAATGCAACAGACAAGCCCTCATAGGTGAAGTTTGGATCCATCATAGGTAGAGTGATTTCTTGGGGATGTAGTCTGTTGGTAGATGGAATCGTCAGACATTACAGTATATGTATATGATGAGACTTGATCCAAAAAAAAAGAGTTCATCACGCTCTTCTCATCAATCCTCATTTTTCATCGATTCACATCACGTTCCATCCTCGTTGTGGTCATCACACGAACATACCCATTGTCTTGTTGTTGTATCAAGGCATTCAAGAGAGGAGATCTTATAGCAAGGATTTTATGTAGCTTGAAGTTGACGACCTGGTCTCCAGACAATCTAACAAATACGGTAAGATCCGAGTACAATCCTTGGATGAAGCCATATCGATACATGTGGGAGCAGAGAATATCATTGTAGGATGGTTGTGGTGGTTGCATCATATTAGGCGACGGGCTACTACTGGTATTATTCGTGATGTGCATTGGTGCTTCTGATGTCGGTGATGGATTTTGTTGCTGGCGAGTATTTATATTTCCATTGACCAGATGATTGGCAGACGGTAGCGATGGCATGATGGGTGCTATATTATTACTATTACTGATTACTGCTGAAGCTGTTGGTGCTTCTTCGACCACTGGATTCTGGGTTTTCTGTTGCTGTTGTTGCTGGTGCTGCTTCTTACTATTTGGTGTCTTGGATTTCACTTTGGGGACGTTGGATGATTTACTAGTGCTTATATTGGTCTCCTCCATTCCAGACGTGAGCATTGAACTACGAAAAGCTGCTTCTTGTTGCGATGCTTGGATTCGAATTGGAAAACTCAAACGGGGGGAAGGAACAATGAAGAAGAAGCTGAATTATTACATGAGGACGTGTTGAATACATTACACGTGAGCCTTCTATCATTTGCAACGCGTTTTCCGCCGGTACATATAATTTTTTTGTAAGCATGGCTGCATGGTTCGCGATGAGTGAAGGTGTATCAAGTTTAGACAGAGGAGTCGAGTTGACAAATTCAAGCACGAGTAATTTATATTTCGGTGTGTTCCTCCTTTTAACATTGTTGATTCCAGGGTCTTGCACTTCTTAACTACTGTGCGCGTTGTCACGTACTGCCTTCAAAACGACTCTATGAGCACGTAATATAGGATATATCGACCACCATGGCACACGTTGATACATTCACATCGCGCCAACGCATTCATCCTTCACGCAGCTCGTCCGCACCATTACCAACACCTACACCACGGACCTCACACCGACATGTAGAATACGTTAATGTCCCACCATCATACTACCACCTGTTCTTTATATGTAGGACTCCGTCAAATTGGTCCGTCTTGCGATGAAAAAAGCACCGGAACGTTCGGAATGCAGACAAAAGCAGGGCAACACAACCCCAGACACGTTCATTCGAACATTCAGCGACCCGGAAGCGCTTCCGGTAGAGGTGGAAGAAGCAACTTCAAGTCTTTAGAGAGAGAAAGTGGAGATCTTGCAAGTTGCAGAAAAGGCTGGCAAATGTTGTTGAGATACAGACATCCTCAGGGCTTATTCAATAGACGGTACAATAATGAGATCGATGCATCATGAAAATACTCCATAGTCGGATGGCACACTTCACAGCGACCGGATATTGTGGAAGACTGCAGATCCGAGAAAAAGCAAGCATTGGAAAACAAACAAAGAAGGAAACCAGCACAGAGCAAGAAAGCGTGATCAATCAATATTTGCTTTGACGGCAAACGAAATTTGATTGGGCTCGTTGCTTTTATCTCTTTCCTTTCGCCCGACGGTAGATTGGGCAAAAAAAAAGTCGTCAATTTCAGGACAACCCACAATCTCACACCACCACTTCTTCGCAACAAACAAGTCAGGCCAGCCCTAGTACTCGTCGATAGCAACCAAAGTAGTTGTAGTAGCAAAGCAGCAACCATGACCACTCCAGTATGGGACTTCTCCAACGCCTTGTGGAAAACTTTCGGTTTCGACGATCTCTCTAAATTTACTTTCGATGGAGCCGTTTTAAGTACACGACAAGAAGCTGGTACGTCTTTCGCATACGTTTACAACTTGAATCTTGACGTGAAACATGTCGGATCTGTGTCGTGGTGGTAAAAGCTTTCGAACGGTTTCTTGCCGTTGGCTTGAAAACATTGGACAAACCAGCGCTTTTACCCAACCAAACGCTGACTAATACGAAACTATCATGTCTACTAGCTACCTACTTTGTTCTCTACCTTTCGATCGTCTTGGGCGGTCAGCATTTGATGAAACAAGTGGCCAAGCCCTTTAGATTCCAAACAATCTTCTTCTGGCACAATGCTCTGCTATCATTCTGCTCGGCCTGGTTGCTAGCTGGCTATTTGGAAATCTTGGTTCCCATGCTATGGAACAAGGGTCTCTTCCATGCCATGTGCAGTGCCGATGCTTACACTCAACGATTGGAAGTTTTATACTACATCAACTACTTGGTATGGGGTTGCTCTTCTTTCCCAATCACATGTGAAATTCGTTTGTGGTTTAGCTTGTAACTAACAACTTTACGTCTTCTAGTTCAAGTACTACGAACTCATCGACACTCTCTTCTTGGTCTTGAAGAAGAAGCCACTTGGTACGATCGTACTACACTATCGCTCGGAGCTATTTCTATGCTAACCAGCACTCTCATCGCACAGAATTCTTGCACGTCTACCACCACGGTGCTACCATGCTCTTGTGCTTTATCGAACAAGAAGGCAGAACTCCAGTCTCATGGGTCGTCATCACCTTGAACTTGTTTGTTCACGTCATTATGTACTACGTAAGTTACACTCGAAACGAGGCTTCCGAATCGTCATGGAACTCACGCTGTAAGTTCTACATAGTACTACGCCATGATGGCCTTACCCAACGCCAAGCCAATCTGGTGGAAGAAGCACTTGACTACCATGCAAATCACTCAATTCATTGTTGACTTGTGTGCCGTCTACGTAAGTCCTTTTAAAGTCCACCAACTCTTCGTCAGCAAAAAAGAAAACTCATTTCAATCGTCATTAGTTTGCTACTGGTACAATCTACGCCAACAGATACTTCCCCAACTCATACTTCCCCTTCAAAATCCCAACAATGGGTGAATGTGCCGGCTCCCTTGAAGCTGCCAACACTGGTTGTTTCGTCTTGTCCTCCTACTTGGTCTTGTTCATCCAATTCTTTATCAAGACCTACTCTGACAAGAAGAGAGCTCAAAAGGAAAAGGCTGCCAACAAGCTCGCCATGGAAAAGATTGCCGCCTTGAATGGTGCTCCAGCTGCTGTTCCAGTCGCTGCCCATTAAAACAATGGACTTTGGACTTTAAAATGTATATAGTTTAAAAAAGTAGAAGTGGAGGGGAGGATTTTGTCGGACGGACTTGGTTGTCGGTTGTAATGTACATATTTTGAACTTACAAAATAGAAAGTTAAAGTATAAGACCTCAAAACTGTTAAAGTATAAGACCTCAAAACTGATTTGCGCAAATTCTCGAATTCACCACGAAGGACAAGTACTTTGTGAAGTACTGTTCTTAAATTACGTTGTGGCATGAGTTATCTACACTTGCAAGGTCTGGAAAATGCACAACCAACACATCAGCAAAAAAACCCCCCATCTTGCCGCATATCCACACAGACGGGCTACCAGTCAATAAACCTTATGCCAAGCACTCAAATCCCATATATTTCGACTGGAAGCAGGCGGCAGACGACAAGTTTTGCTCGCACATATTGCTTTTCAACCAATCAAACCACTTCTTTCCTTTCACCCTCTTTATTTGTTCACTGCCATCCCCTCACAATCTCGACCATAACAACAGAACCAGGCCGTCATAAGACTCAATCTGTAAGATCTGACAGGAAATGGCTATAATGAATGCGGCATCTCTAGCTGTACTCATCTTCGCCTCTCTGATTGCATCAGGAAACGCCCAATGTAAGTTTCAACATCTCTGATCAACCAAGTGTGGCGTTTTCTTCAAGATGTAGATCTAGGAAAATCGAGCAACCAACATCGCAACTCGCAATCAGTATCCTCACCATATCTAAACGTTTTAGGCACTGGCACCTACGTCCCAGTATATAGAACATCATGTCGCAGCGTCGCAATCAAAGAGGGAATCACCATCTCCCAAATGATGGCATGGAATCCTGTAGTGTGTAGCAAAGCTGGTAATGCCATTGCTGCTTCTACAACATTGTGTGTTGCATGGAGTGCCGCTACTGCTACTGTTGGTGCTGCTGAAAGTCCTGCTCCTGCTACGCTTGCAACGTTTGATGTCTCGCCCATGAGTGCTGGTGTTTCGCCTACTCCTGCTGCTATTAGTGCTGCCTCTGCTAGCTCGACGCCAGGTATTGCAAAATTGTAGCAGCGCTTTTTTGGTTGTTGAACTGAGCACTGCCTTCCTTCCATGTATAGCTGTTGTGGACACCTCTTCGTCTGCCTCTGTTGCCTCTTCCAAGACGTCTTCATCAAACTCGAACTTGAGCACGGGAGCTCTGGCTGGAATTGTAGTTGGGGTTGGTAAGCATCCGCTCCATCTACTTTATCTATATTGTTTTTTTGTTGGCGGCTGCACCTTGTGTTCCAGTCGCAAAATGTACTAACATTCGTACTGTGGATAGTCATTGCTGTACTAGGCGGCATGCTATTCGTAGGCTACGTCTCACGAGGCAACAAACGTCGCAGTCTCTACATCCAGGGTAAGCCTCTTGACGGCCATGAATCCGATTTCATGGAAGGCGGAGGAAGACGTAAAAGTATGGATTTAGGCGCCAAACTAGCCTCTGAAATGGTGTTTTTGGATTTGGATAAACCAACAGTCGAAATCGCCAAACCAGTCCAACCAATGCCTGCTCTTGTTGCCGTAACCACCCAACGTAATGTCGAAACATCTACACCGGTCGTATTGGTACCAGGTCCCAACAACAGAATGTCGGTTGTATCATTCACTGAAGCAGAACAAAGTGCTGGTAGTCCGATGGACGATATATCCCGGGGTAACTCGCAATACTCGATATCTCAACAGAGTATGTTCCGTGCACCACCAAACACACCACTGCCACCAACACCAACCGGAATGCCTATAAACCGCTTCTCAATCCTCGATCGTCCTTTGTCTCGTCAAATACGTCGCAGTGCATCCTTCACAATGGGACAACAGCAGCAGCCACAACGTGACTCGGGAGTATCATCAACTGGCTCAGCACTATCTCGACACTCTAGATTGGTAGAAGCCCTCACGAACGCTGTCCGTGATTCTCGAATCAGAGCAACATCCCAGATATACGAAAACAATGGACACACCAGTATAGACTCAAACGACTCACATATGTACTTGCCTTTATTCAGACCACTGACTGTAGCCCGCCGTTTCTCATCCACCGGTAGCTTCTCGGATATGCTGACATCGCTGAATGCTCCTACGGCTATCAGCAACTCGGCTGCATCAAACGCTGTTTTGAGGGGTATGGCCAATACCACCAGTACCGAAAACGTATATAGAACATCACGTCCACTTTCAACCCTCTCGACCGAGTCAGCACCAGCAGCCATCGAAATCGTTGCTTCATCATCATTAGACTCGTCACCACCAGCATCAACATCACCAATCCTGGAAGCTGCTGCCTTGCCGCAAATAATCACTACCGCTGGAACCAGTATTCATGCAGCATCGGGATCGACTACACCTGAACACTCGAGTTTTGCACCAAGCAGCTTCTCTGTTGCTACGTCGTCAGAGACTTTGATCAACCCTCCAGAGTCGATGCCTGAGGCTGTTGTGTCTGAAGAGGACGCTGCTGCTGCGTCGTTGGAGGATGATAGGACTAGGATGGCGGCTTGGGCTTTGATGTAAAACAGCATGAGAGATCTGAACGGAAAGGCTTTTTTGGTTGGTGCTGTAGATGGAAGGTGAGAGTTGTAAATAAGTAAATGATGTATCATAGGGTATTGTAAAAACATTGTACAGCAGAACAAAAGTCATAGATAATTGTAGGGTAATAACCTGTATATATAGAAAAATAGGACAAAACAAACAATAGAACAAGTCATAGTAGTACTAAAACGAAAAGCTTATATTGCGGTAACAGAAAAAGCAAACGGGTTACGATATATATTATCATATCATTAAAAAAAGCTGGCTGATGGCGTCTTCGCAACTACCTCCTCTGCCGACTAGATCCTTCACTACGACCATTGGTACCATGCGATTGGTCTGAATAAAAGGATTCCATTCTAGCCTGTTTATCGACTGCTCGATCCTTTTCGGCTGGTGTCCATCCATAGGCTTGCATGGGGTATGCAGCTGGCAAAAAAATATGTCAATCCCAGTCAATAAACGAAAGTAACATTCGTAATACCATCGACATGACGCCAACTACATACCAGGAACAACGGGTTCAGCAGGGCCAGCCAAATCCTTAAATCCTCGTAATGTGCCATTGGCTGTCGGGCTAGCTGGTTCAGACTGTGGAGGTGATGGTAGTAACGGTAATGAGTCTTTAGCACCTTCCTCAACCGGTTGTGCTTTTACAACATTGTTGTGGTTTACAAGTATGGATATCGGTTGTGTATTAGGCTGTTGTTGTTGCTGGGGTTGCTGCTGCTGTTGTTGTGGTGGTGGTCGATGGTCCAACGTAGCATTCTGAGAATCACTACGTTCCTGAATGAGTGTATTACGTTGTTCAACAACAGTGTTATTCCGTTCTGCAGTTGCGACGGCTGCACTAGCTGCTCCAGCACGTTCGACACGTTCGGTACGGGCAGCAGCTGCGGAACCGAGCGTTGACGTTGTTGATGCTCGTTGTGGTGATGATGGAGACATTGCCATATTAGATGGTTTATGGGATGGTGATGATGGCGTTGGTGGCAGAGACTCTGCTTCATCTTCTTCTTGATCGTCGTCAATGTATATATCTTCTCCTGCGGCTGATAATGCAGTACCGACTCTACGAGCCAGTGCGCTCCACCAGTCTGATGATTCCATTATAGTATGTCCCTTTAACTTGAATACTTCTTTCGGTTTACTGGTCCTATATAGTTTGAATTCGAATGGATCCCGATCTGGTACGTGCATGGGACCTAGAGTGAAATCCGGCAAGTATAGAGTGAATTCAGGTCCATCGCCCATATTCAGTTGAGTCCATTCTGCTGTTCTGATATCCGTCATTTGGGACGGCGGTATGGGTGGGAAACCGTGCAAGAATCCGGATGTAGTCAATACCCAGAAACCAGACTTCCATTGCTTGGAAAAGAGTTTGATTTGGCGACGGTATAAAGTACTTGATTTCACTGTTGTTATGAGTGGATCTTGCATACCATCGTATCGCACATCACTAGGTGTCATTAAAGGAGTTTCGGGTGCTACCAATTTATCTGGATGGCCAGTCTTGAAGTATGTCCATTCAGTCTCGGCATCTAGACCATCCAATTCGGTTTGTATGCGCTGTATTGTGGCGGCATATGATGCTAGATCGGTAGTCTTCCAGTCGAAAAAGTCGGATATAACGGTTTTTATTTTTTGGATGATCGTGGCTTCAAATACGGCGAATGACTGTTGTTGGTTGAGGAGCGCGTATCGTTGAGCCTTTTGTTTACTGATTTGTACTGTAATGGCTCGCTTGACCACTAAGTATGAGTAAAAGTTAGTACAGGTGAGTGATTTAACGAAACTATGCTCTCGTTTTTTTTGGCTTACAAAGATTAGCAACCCAAGGATCTTTCAGAGTATCCGTGCTATTGCCACCAGGACTGCCATCCATGATAATCCGATTCCGAAGTATAGAGGACTGTAAAGCCTTGACTTTTTGCACGTAAGTCGCTTGATCATTGACCAGCTCACGATCAAGTGCACTCCATTCAGTTCGGACGGCAGCAACCTTCTTTTTGATATCATCACGCAAGTTTCGTAACTTGGTCAACAATTCCAGTTCGATAGATTTGGCAACTGAGGAATGCTCTCGTGCTAGTCGTACTGATGACTCGTATAGTTCTCGAAACACGTTCTACATTGAGAAAGTAAGGGTCAAGAGACAAAGTTCGTGGACCAAGCGATGTAATATCAGAATAAAAAGCTTACAGGCATGCCAGTTCCTTCACCAAATACATCACTAGCCGGGCCTTTCTCTTTGATGGGTTCGCCCATGACTTTTGCCGTTCGATTATAGATGGCTGCGATAGATCTATGGTTTACAGTAAAGTTAGCCTACAAGTACATGTAGAGATGTATCAAATCCCACCTTTCTTGATCCATAAGCTGTGAAAAGTGTTGAATCAACCGTTTTACAGCAGCTTGCCACCCAGCAAGCCGGTTAATGAGGATTTCGGTGGCTAGAAGCAAACCGTAAGCACATTACACGGTAAATAATCAAGTAAAGAAGGCCCATTGAGCCACATCGTTGCTAAGGACATACCTGGCAGGGGTATTAATCCCCCACTGGGGTTGTTTTGCAATGTTTCGGGCGCTGGTGTTCTGAAGATTTCACTTGAAGTGCGTGATAGGTCGAGAGATTTGCTGCGATAGGAAGGTGATGTTTGACTTCTACTAAGTGTAGTGCTGGCGGACGTTGCAGTTGCAGCCCGTCTGACAGTATCAGCATTGCCATTACCGGCATAGGCAGCCGCCGATGAGGATGGGGTAGACACAGATGGGCCGTCTCTACTAATGGTGACACTCTTCCTTGGCCCTGCTTGCGTGGCCATCGTTGCAACAAACGACGGAAGCCTCTGTACAAATAATTTCTGAGCCCGAGCTGGAATTGGCCTTACACACCGACGACTTTTCTCGCTGGTAGCTCCAAGTAACTTTAAAAGAGCCCGATAGTTCTAGTTACGAAACTAGATTGCCAGTATAGACTGTACTTGAGACAGGTATCTCTTTTCTTTTGGGTGGCAGAGCTTCAATTCGGGACTTATTGGCGCATGCTTTAAACTCAAAGAGACTCAAGTTATCTAATACCTCGGTTTACTCGGTTTCACGTGTGAATATTTATTTACAATTCCATCATCCTCAGAAGAACGATCAAACGAGGCCAACTGTTGCTCGGCTGCAGTTTTTAGCCCCAGATGCGAGATCGCGATCGAACGGCGATTCTAACAGTTCTAAGCGGTAAGCGAGCGCGATATCAAGCATGGGTCTATCTGTTCATGAAACCAACGTCGGCGCGTCTCCCATTGCATACCTCTTGGTGTTCGGGCGATCTTGACTTCACTTTTCTTCCATCAGCACGCACATCAGAGGACTAGCTCTTCTAAGAAGCAAGATGCCTTCTAGAAGAATACCACAGGTGCTACTCCTTGGAAGGATTGAGCTCAAGAGCTTGCTCAGAACTCGAGGGCATTTGAGATTATCGATTTTGGTAGACGGTGATGAGGACCTGCAGCTTCCTTCCCAGCCTCGTCCAAGGCAGCCACGCAGGCCGATAATAGCAAGGCAACAGCATACATATCTTATACCGTCCAGTCATGTCGCAACTATACCGAAACTCCCCACATCGCTACATCGCATCTCAACTGTAAAAACACCTCAAGTGACATCTGGTCTCCTACAACACCAATTTATATTTAAGAGCAGGTTTCACAGCACGCCCCCTGCAAGAAAGACGCTATTGATTGGGGCTCTATCAATAGGCTTTTATAACTCTCTGAGGACCATTGTCACTGGTAACTGATTTGTCAAACCTTACGAGCGGAAGAAATTGAAGGATATCACACAAACAAACATACCAATACCCAATTCTCTTATTTTATAGCTATGCCTGTATTGTGGAAGTGGAACTTTTTCAAACGCTATCCGAAAACAATGTGGAGTCTTGTTGGAATAGCTGGTGTTTCAACGCTTGGTTGGGTTTTGTTATCTTATGAACAACATCCCCTAACACAACGAGGTAGATTCATGTTTGTCGATGAGCCTACTGAGCTAAAGGTAATGTTTGCCGGCATACTATCTTGTCGACTATATCTGAACATTTTTTGCACCTGTAGATTGCAGAGACATTCTATCGTGACTTCGTCGCAAAGCATATAAATCGATTCCTCCCAGCTACACATCCCGATTTCATAAGAGTCAAGCAAGTAGCTGAGAGTATCGTAACAGTTGTTGGACCAGTACGTGATTGGGAGTTGTTTGTTGTAGATGATTTGTCAGTGTCAAACGCATTCGTCATTGCCACCGGCAAGATATTTGTATATCGTGGCTTGCTTGTTGATTGCCCCACGCAATCACATTTGGCTGCTGTATTGAGTCATGAGATCGCACATGTCTTGTCTAGGTAAGAAGAGGAACGAGTTGGAAACGGCCGTGAAAGCGCTTTGTTTTGGCTTGCGCTGATATTTCCACGCACTTAGGCACGCTGTGGAAAAGATGGGCTTCTCTCAATTATCTCGTATATTATATGACATGCTGCATTCGGCCCTCTACACTCTTAGCGTCAACCTCCCAGTAGTCAGTGATATCCTCGGAAGGACAGTAGATGCTAGTGAACAAGTCCTATCGCAACTCCCATACTCTCGAATGGTCGAAACAGAAGCAGATACCATAGGAATCTATCTCATGTCAATGGCAGGATACGATCCACGAGCATCTGTAGATTTATGGGAAAGATGGGCTCTAGCTGAACAGGCTTCTTCTATAAAGGATCGAAACTCTGACGCTCCCACTATACGACTACCTGAATTGTTATCCGATCATCCGTCACATGGTAATCGGGCAAGAGATCTGAGGGATCACGTAGCTGGGGCATTGAAAATATATGATGCTAGGAATCAGTTGCAGGAAGCTTTGCAGAAGGAACTTGGGAATGCTGTAAAGCCATTAGCGAGTCAGGATCCTGCTGCCGCCAGTAATGTCGCTTCTACGATAAAGAGTCTCACTATAGATGAGGTTGATAGAGCCTTGTTCCGAGTATTAGAAGATCACATAACGAGTCAGCCGTTCTGGTGGGCTTCGGATATCGGCCGTCAAGACATCTTAGAGAAGGTATGCACTTTTTTTGGGTTATGGGATATGCATTTTTGGCTGACAGCTTGCCTCAATTGCTTCTAGAGTCTTTCCATATCGAGTCTGAAGAGTGAGGAATCAAAGAAGGATAAGAAGCCGTCACAGCTTGAGTATCTTTTGAACACTATTAGGTGGATTTCCCTACCAAGCAAGGCGTGAATGTGAGTTTAGGAGGCAATGAAGGAGAGCTGTTTTGAATATACTAGTTTTTGAATTTGTTAAATACCCAAATAATATAATTGAATCTTGAGCACAAAATGATACCTTTTATTGTACAGCGTCAAGTTGTCAAGTTGGTTGAACCTTCTTCGCTCTAAATGATTCTCTTGTTTATTTGTTTTTGAGAAAAGTTGCAAGTTTCTCACACCCCGCCCTTGTTGGCCACGAGAGGGACAGAAGGAAATACCTGCCTACTCCTTGAACTGCCAATTCCATGATGCTGGCTGGATCTGGGGTCAAACACTTCAATGGACAAGGTAAAGCCCCAATACGAATTGCACAAATGAAGGACATTGAAATAAATAGTTCTGTGCAAGATCGACCTAGTTGTCCTACCAAAACCAGTGCCCACTGTAAATATTAAATCAATTTCCTTCTCTCTTTGCTAGATTACAACAAGATCTTTATGCAAAATGCCAAAATTGGGCGACGTTGGGTTGACAAGGTGTGTGTTGAGGAGTTGGGTTTTACTGTGTGTGAGCGGGATATCATTGCTTCTGGCGATGTGAGAGTCTTGTAACACTTGATTCCTGTTACTAATATTGTTCACTTGCCTCGACGACCTAGTCGTTTCCGCCGAACGATGATTCTCTGTTCTTGTACCAAAAGCCATCATGGGCTCCAAGTATTGTATGGAGGCGACCTTATGAATTGAGTTTGCAGCCACGATTGATGACGAGAACTGGAGAGTCGTCTAGTGTCATCCAGGTCGGTACCAACGCTTTTGCTATGGGTTACGCGATGAACTCATGTCTTTTTTCAACGCAGGGAGTACTCAACAATCAATGGCTCATGTCTGCTGTTGCTGCATTCTCTGTGCATCCGACTTTGCTCTCAAAAGTGAGTGCCTCCAAAAATTACAATCGCGACAAAGAAAGCCTCGCTTGGTGAATATTTATCAAATGATACGAATACTTGTATGCAGGTCATACCAAACGTTTCATATCAAGATTGGTGTCATGAACCTGATGCTGTAAAACGATCGAGATATTATCGAGGCCTGTATAGGGCATCTGAAACTCATCCAGGTATGACGTATCTCGTGGTCCGCTTTTTTGCTGAAGGTTTTCTTACAATTTATTTTAGGCATATTCGCTTTCAGATTCTACCAATTTGGTGAATGGGTTGAAGTTGTGGTGGATGATTTATTGCCTTGTACACCTGATGGGCAACTGATTTTCGCTAGGTCTGATGGTAAAGTACACCAATGCCAAAAAAATAAGATCAAGCATCAAAACTGGCTTCATTGACACCCATTTACTTAACAGATCCTGACGAGTTCTGGATTGCACTAATGGAAAAGGCGTATGCTAAAATGGTGGGAACCTATGAAGCATTAGAATATGGATCACCTGCTAGTGCTCTAGTGGATCTAAGTGGTGAGGGGTGTGATTATCATCAATGCGCATCTTATGTTGGGGGTTTTTTTTGCTCACTCCAACACCACATTCTTATAGGATATGTACCTGAAACCATTGAATTACAAAAAGAAGATGTTTATACACGCGTAGAAGATGGATCTTTATTCAATCAATTAGTGCTGGCAATGAAACGTGGAGCTCTTGTCAGCTGTAACCGTGAAGGTGGAAGGAGGCATCGAGCGAGAGGAACTAGAGGTACACCAAAAAGCTACTATTTTCTCATTGAAAGTGATTCTTTGACCCACCGTTTCACGGACACATCTACTGTCCGAACCTAGAGCTGGTGAAGGGCGCTTCATTCGCAGTGACTGGCGCCATCAATTTCAAGATTCGATTTACTGGACAGCGACGTAAAATGGTGTATCTCATTAAAATGTGGACACCGTGGGGTCAACGTGTGAATGCTCAAGATTTTCCGAATCTATGGAATGATGAACAATGGCAGCTGGTCCCCAAAGTGGAGTTGAAACGGTTGGGTATCAAGTTTGAGAATGATAGGGATTTCTTCATGGCTCTAGAGGTAATTCTGTGAGATTGTAAGAGATTCCTTTTTTGCATGCTGACTCCAAAAAACCGCTCCAGGATTTTGTACAACAATTCTCAACACTGACAATAGCTCATCAATTTGATGGACCATCGTGGGGAGTTGGACAGCCTTGGAGAACATGGCAGTTCTTTGGTACTTGGATACGGGCGGATCATACATGTGGAGGATCAGTAGCCAACCCCAAAACCTTCTTATCGAATCCCCAATTCCTTATAATCACAGGCGACAAGGAAGAAGACTTGATGATTTTAGTCAGTCAACGAGAACAACGTGCCGAACGTGGATATGCCCTCTCGAATATCCCGATAGGATTTGTGTTGCTACGAGTAGAAGAGAACCGACAAACACGATTACGAGGAGGTGCAACTGAAGTTGTGACTATAATCCCGTGTATGGAGGCTCGAGAAGTGTTTGGGAAGGTGCATGTTGAGGCTGGAAGATACATCTTGATTCCCTGTACCGAGAAACCGGGACAAGAAGCTAACTTTATGGTCAAAGCATTTGCCGGGAACTCCAAGACGCAAATGATTGCTATGCCGAATGAAACGCCGTATCAGGGATGGTGGGCGCTGAAACATGGATTTCCTGTAGGTGTGCTTCGCGTGGAAATTGTATCAGCCAATGGATTGCTATCACATTATAATTATACAGCCAATCCGTATGTCAAGATCGGATTCTCTGAATGGACTACCAAAAACAACACACATACAGTACGCACCACCATGGCACCCGTATGGAATAGTCACTTTGTATTTCCCGTGCGTAGACCAAATAGCTCGTCACTGACATTTGAGGTGTGGAGCAAAGGCCCCGTGCTTGATAAGTTCTTGGGTAGTTGTGAGACGGGTGTTGGAGACTACGGTGCACATGGTAAACTGGGCCAGGATTCCGAACAGTGGTTGGAATTGAAGGCAAGAGGAAAGTCGGGGTTGAGTGGTAATCCTGCTGATAAAGTTGCTGGGACTTTGGTTGTGAGGGTGAGGTATGACCATACGCTGCAAACTCTGTAAATGGGGTGTTTTAAAAGTTAGGTTGAAGGGTTGAACGAAGTCAGCGTCTTCTGCAAACTTGTGTAAATTGCTGGCCGGATTGAAATCGTAACTGCTGTATACTCTGCAACACTGCATCTTAAATATAATGCTGTAACATTCGAATAGATATTTTAGGTTGGAGAACATTGCTGTGAGATACCAAGAGCGAAAGAGCCATTGCACCTCTGATGCTACCTTTTTTTCTCTATTGCGACCAAGTTACAAGAACTCTATTTGCGCATAGTTTCACTAAAGTCTGGGAATACAGGATCCCTCTTGGCTTCCTACAATCATTTGAATGGTAGCGAATGCGTAAGTGACTGACTCCATTGACGCAAAAAAAAACCACACAAGGAGCAGCAGTTCCATAGCTAACACTTATTGCGTTCAACCACTCTCGATTCTCACACACATACCACAGCATCGAGTCCTTCATGCATATCACCAGTAGCATAAGCGTGAGCCTGAGTATCAGCTTCACGCCATAGCGCCCTTTCTATTCCATCATCAATTCTCAGGCGAAGGGTTTTTGTGGTTGCGCGTACAGCTACTGGACTAGCAGTAGCGATTCTTCGAGCCATAGCTAACGCTTCAGGTAGTAAAGTATCTGATGGTACAGCTTTGAGTATCATTCCTAATTTTTCGGCTTCTGCTCCAGTGACCAAGTCACCAGTTAGGACCATTCGGGCAGCGACTTGTGGGTTGGTTACTATTGGGAGAGTGTGTGTGCCTGCCATTCCTGGGGTGAGGCCGAGACGGACAAAGTTGAGGCCTATTGTTGCGTGGAGTTTAACAGTCGGAACAATACTTGACTTTTTTGGGGATCAGTTTATCTCTTACCCATTTTAGCCTCGTTTGTTGCCATTCGAATGTCACAAGCTAGAGCTAGACAGAAGCCGGCTACGCATGGAAAACAAGCAATATGTCAAGATTTGTTGAGTGGCAAAAAAATCAGTGCACCAACATATAAAAACATAACGACAATTCTACCTCCAACGGCTGGTCCGTTTATAGCTGCAATAGTAGGGAATGGAACTTCACGCACAGTGAGGTATCTGGAATAGAACTTCCTCACTACGGTTAGACGAGAGCGTCAGATGTTACTCGAGTTCATCAAGCCGGAGCGACAACAGCGACGAGACAAGATCTTAACTGATTTCAGCATTAGCTTGTGGGGCAGTGCGTGTTCTTGCACGTAAGAATGCTAAATCCCCCCCAGCACTGAATGCGCGACCAGAGCCAGTCAGCACCATACATCGAATAGAGTTGTCGGTTGCCAATTCCAACATAAGGTCACGGAAGACTAGAAGGATATAAAGTAAGCTAAATAGTAACTTTTGACTGGGTTTGAAAATTTCAATAAGTGTGACATCACAAAGCGAGTTGATGTCGATGATAAAACAAGCTCAACCACATGGACAAGACGAAAATACATACAATTTCCAGAAGTTTCAGTTAGAGCATTCAGTATCTTTGGGCGATTGAACTTGACAATGATTACCCCAGTCTTTTTGCCATCGACCTCATCGTGCTCAACAACTACAGGGTCATCAGCCTTGGAACTGTACATGCGACCACTAGATACGGCGCATGGTGCAGCGAATCTAGCTAGTGGTCGGCTTGTTACTCGTAGAATTGACATTTTTCTATAGCTGTAGTTGCGTTTTGAGGCAATAGGCAATGTTGCAAAACACGATCATCTACATCCCCAGAGGGGCTATCTCGTGATTTAAAATGGATTGCTGATTTAAAAGAATATTTACAATGTCTTCTCTCTTCTCCACTCTTAACGCGTAAATTAACATCTTTGGTGTTGTTTTCTCAGACGTTGTTGGAGAAATTTTGTTGTATACAAGATTGTTGACGACCAAGTCATCAACCACAAGCTGAAGACCCAGGATGTATGAAATGTAAATCTATGAGACGTACCCTCCTGCATCAAGGCTCTGGCTGCTTTCAGCAATGCCTTCACTATTGTGCAATTGCCGCAGATCTGTTCTAGAAGCCAGGACCAGCTAGTGAAATAATTTCTAACCGGAATCTCCGAACTATGGAATGTCACAAGGTATGGGCTGTTTGTACATTTTGTTTGTACATTCGCCGCCTGACAACAACATCAACATCTGCAGCTTCAACATTAAGACCGAAATTCTATTAAGGAGCCTAGAACAACAAGCAAACGTTATTGCGAACTGGATACATCAACAATGGATGGTCCCAATGTCTTTGGGAACCAGTATTACTGTCTTTTGATCTCAGCATTTTGAGGATTTGGGAGGAGCTCCGCTTTAGTCTCGTCGTGCTTTATTGGCCCTTTCGAAAGTGAAGAATGCGGAGGTCAAAGCCCATTTGGAATTAACTGGGTTCAACGTATCGCTCAAATGATAAGGCAAGCATGTAGTTATGGCATATGAAGAGGACGAACTGAATTTCAGGCAGATGGTTCTTGGATGCAAACTGAGACACGCTCGTCAACCTGGTCGAATACTCGAATTCGACTTGTCTGTGGGACATCCCCGTGGATGAGAGCAGGATTGTTGAGGTTGTGTGTTTTGCGGTAGTCGTCAGTGTTTGAATTGATCTGCATTTCTAACTGCAACCTGTTATGTGTTATTCAGACGCCAAGATCAATCATCGCAATTCATTCCGAACCAACTATGCGGCTCCAAAGGTATGGGCTGTTGCTTCTTATGCACTGCTGCCTGAATTTAACATCTGTATTTCTAACATCAACCCAATACGTATTTAGGAGTCAATACCAGCAAATAAACCCACCTCATTTCTAACGGAGGCATTAGCTATGGAAGGTCCCAAGGTCTTTGGGACGTGGGAGTAGTGTTTGGTTTCGACAATGAATGCTATTGCAGTCTTTCCGCATTGATTTAATAGTCTCAAAGTTACAAAAGTGTTCAGGTTGAATTGTGAATAAAGTGACTGGCCCGAGTGAGATATCATGGTAGGTCTTTTGGGTCATTACCTCAACAAGTTGGATGATACGAGAGTAGACCAGTGTAAGAGACTGGGTGTCTGGGTATTCGCAGTATTTGCTCATCTTACACGTGAAATCACGTCGAGATTCCCTGTTACTCTTGTTTTCTTTTGTCGTGAATTGTTTTTATTAAACTGGAACGAAGTAAGCACAACTAAAGCACTGCTACAACCCTCAAAACGCGTCCCCGTCCTCATGCGAGCCGTTAGCTGCCCTGCAGCCCTTGTTTCTAAGGCACTTAGTTAGGCATGATTCCAGTCTACATTCCAAACGGTTCTCGCGTAGTTTGAATAGGTTGTGTACGCGTATCGAATATATTTCGCTTGGCGCAGTCACGTAACTGGTCTCTCTTTTCGATCAATTCAATTCACTGACTTGGCTGTCCAAACCAGTTCGATATTTTGCTCCATGACGAGAATAGAAGCAGCCTTCATTCTACACTGCACAAATAATAATCTAGCATAGAATGTTTGGAGGAGGAGGAGGCTTTGGACAGATTGGACAGACTTCCTTTGGAGCTGCTCAACCTCAACAGCAAAATCTGTTTGGTCAACCTCAACAGCAGCAGCAGCCTGCTCAGACTGGATTCGGTATGTAATCTCTATATGTTTCTGTTGGCATCTACATTGAACTATTTTTATCCATCGTTTACCCCCCTCTACTGCTCTCCAACCCCCTTGATGTTGACATCAAAATCAAGAAATTGTCGAATAATTCATCACCAACTAATATACCCATCATTCACTCTCAATCACTAGGGTTTGGAGCTGCTCAGCCCGCATTCGGTGCCGTATCTGCCGCCCCATCTGCATTTGGTCAGCCTCAACAGCAAGCTGCTCCATTTGGCACTGCTCAACCTACCAATGCATTTGGAGGGTTTGGTCAACCGCAGCAACAACAACAGCAACTTAAACCATTCGGCGCAGGTGCGTCTCTATTCGGTGGCTCCACTTCTCAAGCTCCCTCTGCTTTTGGAGGCGGAAACATATTTTCGCAACGTGAGTGGTCAAAGCAGGTTTTCAACAAATCCAATCTGTGTTAAGTAAATTTCTTCAACTTAGCAACCGGTGGATTCGGCCAACCGCAACAACAGCAGCCTGCTGCAACTGCCAATTTATTTGGAGCCAAACCTGGTGGTGTATTTGGAGGAGGAGCTTCCAGTAGTCAATCAGCATTTGGTGCTCCCTCTGGAGGTCTCACCTTTGGCTCTCAGCAACCGACTGCAACGGCCTTTGGTACTCCTGCTCCTGCATTCGGTACCGCGCAACAACAACCTATGGGTGGTATGGGAGGTGCAATGGGTGGAATAAGTCAAGGAACCGGTAATCCCCCATTCACTGCTACCCACGACCGTGATGCATCAGCTCCATCCGCTCCAATGAATATATTCCAAACTATAACTGCCATGCCCGCATATCGTAATTCGTCAGTAGAAGAACTCAGACTACAGGATTATCAAATGAATAAAAAGTTTGGTGGACAGCAAGGCTTTGGTGCTGCTCCTGCATTTGGAGCACCCACCAGTCAAGCTGCTCCTGCTTTTGGTGCACCGAGTGCCGCGTTTGGTGTGCAACAGACGCCTGCTGGTGGCGGGCTCTTTGGATCAGCTGCACCAACTCAACCAAATATGTTTGGTCAAACGCAACAACAGCCAGCATTCGGTGGCGCTTTTGGCCAACAGCCAGCTACTAGTCAACCAGGTGGCTTCTTTGGTGGTGGTGGTGGTGCTGGAACTGTAACGGCATTCGGAGGTTCATCACAAGCACCAGCTGCTGGTGGATTTGGATTTGGTAGTGCTCAGCAACCACAGCAGCAACAACAAAATGCATTCGGTGGTGGTGCATTTGGTATAAAAACAACAGCCGCCCCTGCCTTTGGTGGTGCCTTTGGGCAACCAGCCACTAGTCAACCTGCATTTGGATTCGGCGGTAGTGCAGCTCAACCAGCCTTCTCTCAAGCACCAGCCACAAATCTGTTTGGAGCTCCTACTCCAGCAACAGGAGCATTTGGAGCCCCAGCAGCTACCAGTGGTGGATTATTTGGTCAACAAAAACCCGGTGGATTATTTGGCCAACCAGCTGCTTCTACAGGCGGTGCCTTCGGTAGTACTCCAGCTCAAGCTCCTAGTTTATTCGGTCAACCAGCTGCTGCTGGTGGTATGTTTGGTAGACCTGCTACTTCATTTGGTGCACCAAATGCTACACCTGCATTTGGTGGTGTTAGTGCTGCTCCAACTGGTGGTCTCTTTGGAACCTCAGCTGCCGCTCCTACTGCTGGATTTGGTGGTCAACAAGGAATGTTTGGTGCCGCTTCTCAAGCTCCTGCTACTGGGGCATTTGGAGCACCAGCTCCGAATGCATTCGGTACAGGTGCGCTTGGAGGCTCTCTCTTTGGTCAGAAACCCGCAACTGGTAATTTAATGTCGACAATCATTCATTCAGTTTTGCGGTGGTTCACGTCAATCTTTGCCTCGTACGTTTCTCACTTTTTTCTACACAGCACCATTTGGTGGACTATCACAGGCACCCACATCCACCTTCCCAGCCTTTGGCACTGGTCAATTCGGTACACAGCAACAACAGCCATTCTCACTGGGTCCTCCAGCAGCAGGTCAATCCTTGTTTGGAGCCCCGACTGCTGGAGCATCAACAGGTGGTCTATTTGGTGGGCAGCAACAACCATATGGAGGCCAACTCGCTGCCAGTCAACAACTCCAACAAGCGTTATATGCCACGCAAGATCAGCTCCCTTGGGGAAGTAATCCTGTATTTGATAAAAGTAGAGAAGAAGTAGAAAAAGGTGCAAGAACTGAAGGTCTAACTATATTACCACCTCCTCATGAAGTACCACAAAAGTCAGCCTTGCTACCATATATAAAACTAAACCCTCGTGGGTCTGTACCAGCCAGACTTCGAGCATATTCACCCGCAACATCTCGCGTATTGACCACATCTCCAGGCTCCAGTATATTTGACGGAACGGCCAAGGATGATATCATTCTCGGTCTAGATAAACGATATACTCCACGTCGAAACCTGAAAAAGCTGGTGGTGACATCCGATACTGATGTATCTAGTCCCACAGTCGGTCCCGATAGTATGCGCAAGAGAGGAAGTGTCACGTTTGACGAGAATTTGGAGAAAGTTGCCTCAGAAAGAGGACAAGGTCGTCTTTTTGTCGATGTACTCGATTCACTTAATGGCAACGCAGGTGGTACTGCAGTATCAACTCCAATATCAAAAGTCAAAGCACCAGAAACCACTCCCAATGGTAATTCATCAACACCAGGCTCTGTAGCTGGCAGTACACCTCGTAGTAACAATGGAAGTACACCTGGTAGTACGAGCTCATCGGAGTCTCCCGAAAGAAGAGTACCTAGAGCCGATGAATATATAATGAGTCCCTCCGTACCAACTCTACTTTCCATGACTGATGCTCAACTCAAGTCGGTACATGGCTTTACTATAACTCATCCAAAATATGGCAGGATACGTTTCCTCAAACCCGTCAACCTTCTTGAAGCTTCAACAACAGGCACTCGAGAGGGCATCCGTCATATTCCATCGAATATAGTTGTCATCACTCATAAGAATGTAACTGTATATCCCGACGATACTAAAAAACCGCCAGTGGGTCATGGTCTCAATGTCGAAGCTGAAATTGAATTGGAAGACTGCTTCCCTCTAGATAAACACACCAAGCAACCCGTCACTGACGAATTTGATCCACGGTACCTCAGGCACATAAAGAAACTCAAAGCCATGCCAAACACGAAGTTTGGTGGACTCCATCGAGAAAAAGGTTCTTGGCTATTCACCGTAGAGCATTTTAGCAGATATGGCCTTGATGATGATACAGATGATGAAGGTGCCACTAATACTAGCACTTCTGAAGTACTGACTGATGCCGAAGACCTTGAGGATGCTGAAGAAGAGGGAGAGGAAGAAGGAGAAGAATCATCCTCGTATGATGAATTGGAGGAAGAGGAAGAGAGTGGTGAAGAATATGAAGTCGTTGATGAACAGGAAGAAGGCTCTGGTGATGCGGAAGATAACGACGAAGTGGACAATGTAGCAGACTCTGAAGAAGGTGATGAGGACGAATCTATGGAGCCAGATTCATTTATGCATGTAGCTCGTCGGACACCCCAAGTTCGAGTACCGGATTTACGCACCACAGTTGCCAAGCCCAAACAATCCCAACAGCCTATAACACAAGGGTCATCATCCGATGAATATAATACAACCCAACGACCCACACCACTTCCATATCGACTTGTACCGAACGTGCCCGCAGCAGCTACACTAGCTAGTATTGGAATGTCAGCAAACATCCGTGAACTACAAGCAACCTCATCGTTACGCCTTCAACGACCTGAAAAAAAGTTACGTTCCTCGCCACCACGATCTATAGCATCACAACAACAACGGGATATTGTAGAAATGGAAGCATCGTCATTATCATCGGATGCGATGGTACCGGAACTCTCATTATACATGGATTTAGCTCTAGATGGTGGTGTAAACAAGTATCGACGTATTGGTACAGTTGGTGGTATTCCATTACGTAAAAGTATTGTATATGGAAAAGATCATTTACTCGTTGATGCTGGACTGAGCATGGGACGAAGCTTTCGAGTTGGATGGGGTGTAGGAGGCACTATAGTTGTGTTGGCTGGAAATAAAGCACCTGGAAGGTAAGCAACACACACAAGATATAGAAAAAGAGGAAGTTTGTATGGAGGAAGCGGTAGATAACATTTCCTAGTTTTGTTGAGATGTTGGTCTTGCCCTTACTCGCTTGCATATAATATAAAGATCCATACGGAATTTTGGTTGCTATGTTGTAGTTTATTGGGCACTGTTTTTTGACACGTTTTGTTTTCTTTATATTCAGTTCTCCTGATCGACCTGGCTCGTCATCTACTATTTCGATCAGAAGGATCAAGATATTTGGTGAAGAGGTAAGTGTTGGTGAACATTGCTCAGACACGACAATGATCCAATGGTTGATTGTGTTGCTGTTCCTGACAATATCTAGCAACCTGTAGACACCTGACATCTTGACTGTCGAACGTAAACGACACGAAAAGACCTTATCTGCCATGCTGGATTGTACAGAAATAATACCCACCATTGCTGGCAGTCGAGAGTTTGAAGAAGAAGATACACAAAACGATCCAGACTCGTCGTTTTTCGATGACGATATCGACCATGACGATTCATCTATACATAATCATCAAACCACATCACCAACTCCTCGAGCTCAAGTGAATGAGAACTTGGACTTTGATACGCTTCATGACGCATGTCTTGCTGCTCAACTCGCCCTGCCACCAATAGAAACAGACAAGCAATCACCGATTGGAATAAGGAATCTATTCAAGGATGAAATGAGAATATGGGAGCTTGCCTCTGCGCTCTGGGACGATGTGGCTGTAGAACGTATTCATGAAGCCACTGCCAATAACGCTGGAACGCCATTGACTGATGAACAGGTCGCTTCTGTCGAGTCTGGTATACGTAAAGATAGAGTATCGGCTTGGTTGCGAGCAGCAATCAAGGATGATTCCACTCCGCAAGCTACAGCTGAAGGTGCCAAAGGTGTCTTCCAATTGCTAGTCTCTCGAGATGTTGCACAAGCTGTAGAAACGTGTTTGTCTCGTCGTGATTTCCGATTGGCCTCTATAATAGCTCAATTAGGTGGTGCCGGTGCACGTGTAGCAGTCTCGTCATCATCGAATAATATAATCTTGCCTCCTTCGTCAGGTCATAAAGCACCTGGTCGTGGAGGAACCGATGATGCACTACGAGAAAATGTCATGGATCAAGTCGAAATAATGTCACAACATGCTGCCAAAATTGATCCCGAGATATTAGATGTGTGGTTACTCGTAGGTGGAGATATGGATAAATGGAACGCCAAGTTCTTCTCGAAATGCGTAAACTGGAAGACCACTTTTGGTTTATTTATGTGGTATGCTGATGGCGGATGGTCAAGAGTTGAAGAAGCTGTTGCTACATATGATCTGATGTTGGATACAGCTACAAAGAGTTTTGCTAGTCAAGCATTAGCATCACCCATTCCAGCTTATGTGGAACGTGGTTTTACCAAGTCTGGTAGTAAAAAAGATTTGATAAGCTTGGCGTGGCTCTTATTACGACTTCATTCTGATTCCAACTTGATGTTGGATGATGTTTTGTCGCCGTATGGTCTAGCTCCACGGCCACTCGACCTACGAGTCTCATTCATGTTATCCATTGTATTATTGTATGCCAAAGCAGCACGAGATGCTAAAAATGGTATATCTCAGGAGTCTGATAATTATCGAGATTTCAGCTTTTCGGATGATCCATTATTCGAAGATGTTGAAAACACTAATAATAACAAGACCTATTTGGTACGAGATCCAATCATGGATGTGGTTACCGTCACCCACAATAATAATAATAGTGGTGGATCTCGTAAATTTGATGAACTCGTCACTTCCCTATCATTTGCCCTTGAATCCTTGGGATTATGGCAATGGAGCATCTATGTCACACTCTTTTCATCGTATCGAGAAGCTCGAGAAGCTCGCATTCGATACCTCTTGCAAGCATATTATCCAGTTTATGATGTTACTCATAGTTGTTGGGGTGTTGTCAAGAAGGGTATTATTGCTGGTGCTACTGATAGACATAGTGTTGAAGGTGATGCAATGGAAGTTGATGCTGATGTTGCTGCTGGTGGTCTTGGTGGAATGGTTGGCGCCAATGATATCAATACTGGTAATCGTGACAACACTAGTGATGAAGATGAGGAGACTTGGAAGTTTGTTGTGGAACGACTCAAAGTTCCTGCCAAGTGGGTTCATGAAGCTAAGGTATGCTTTGTTGAATGTAGAGCAATCTTTCTAGTTTACTTATTCCTTTTTTCGCAGGCTTTACGAGCTCGATATCAAGGAGAGAAATTGAGAGAAGCCATTTATTTGATTGATGCTCAACATTACTCTTTGGCACACAAGCTTATTATAGTTGATATTGCTCCAGATTTTATGCTCGAAGGTAAGAAAACAAACCAGCAAAACTAACACGCGGCCAAGCATCGAGTAAACCTTGCACACACCTGTAGGTGACCACATTCGTCTACGAGCACTACTATCCCGAATACCCGATCACGTTGAATATTGGGCACGTGGAGGCAGTCTCCTCCTTCAATACTTGGACGGTCTGGAAACTCTACCCAATCTCCTCAATCGAGCCATACAACTAATCAAAAGCATGAAGTCCAAACCCACGACCACCGCTCCCACCGCCATAATAGAAAACGAGCACTTCATGATTTCTCATCGACGAGCACGACAAGAAGTAGAAGATTGGCACCCAAAGTTGACTCGAATGTTGAACGAGTTACGAGCACTTGCTTCGTCTGGATTATTAGGAGCTGGGTTGAATTGGGTTGATTGTGTAGGCCTTGCACCTGAACGCAATGAGAGCGTGTTGAATGGACGATTGTGTGTTGCAAAGATTGCTAGTAAGGTGGTTGAATGGGCTGAAATGATGGAGGTTGTTCTCAATAAAAAGGTAAGGGCAGTGAGGTGGTGCTCTTGAGCACTCATAATTAGCAGCGGTGTTTTTGGGATGCTATATCTCGCTTACACTTTCGCGATTCTTCTAGATCTTGTCATCTCAAGTCATGTCTTCTCTACCTTTGTCTGAAGATCAACGTTTATTGCATGTCTTGCATTTGAGCACAGACTGGTACTCGGGAAACCTGGTATACCAAAAACAATAAGAATGTCGTATATAAGATAGATTTGCATATTGTTTTTGTTTCAACAGCCGTGAGAGACCAGAATATACATTCTTTTTTTCACATATGAAAAACTACATTCCTTTTTCGTTTGAGATTATGGAGTTTTTTTGTAGACTTTTGTTGCTCACACTTGCAACGAGTATTTTGTCATGTACAGTGTTTTTGTAGTGGTGGCGGAGGTGGCGGTGGTAACTTCCCTCCTTTCTCACATCCATTTTGATCGACGACGTATCCTAATGACGTGGAGAATGTGAGATTCGATGAAATTGGAGACATATCAGCCATTTTGACTGCCGGGGGGTTTTTTGGTTTCCTACCATCCCATCAAAGCAAACACGACAGCAACAACTCCAAGTTGTCTGAGCAACGTCATGAGCAGCGAAGGGCCTTTTGGTAACAATGCTAATTACAGTAGTGATGGCATGTCAGAACGAAGCGTAATCTCACATAAGAATACCATGGCCGTTTACACTTGCTTTTTTTACCTTGAGAAAGCGAAGGATGAAACCTTGACGATGTCTTGGCAACCACAGATTTTGGTTTGGGTACAATAGCACCATTTGTTGTTGGTTTCGACAAGATACCTTCCACGACTTTGTTCGATTGTTTTGGTGATGATGATTTTGTTGTGCTGAATGGTTCGGCGAGAGCAGGGACATGATCTAGTAGACTGTCGTTCAAGATATGTGCTGCGGCCAAGCCGTATACCCTCGGAGATGGGATTTTGCGTCTTTGTGACAAGGGGAGTGATCGATGTGCCTAGGGGGGAATCGGGACGATGTGAGAATAGGAAAGCCGAAAACGTCTAGTATGTCGCCCGAACTACCTGTATGATCGCATTTAAATACTGCGCAATCGGTTTTGTCTGCCATCGTTTGGGCCTCCAAGTACCTTCAAACCAACCAAGATGACCTAGGTTTTTACAGGCAAGCTTTCAGAAAGCAGTATGGATTTAAAAGTGAGCATTTGCTACCTCCTGATTTTGTAGTCACCAATAAACAGCACGGGTTCTTTATGATTTCTTCTCTTGGAATAGCCTTTGGATTGACGATTGGGTCGTCAAGCGCATGGATGAATAAGCAAGGAATACTTATTTTGGGAACATATGTTGATGCTACAAGAGGGCATTCATGAGTAGGTGGAAAAACACTGACGAACACAGACAACTAATTTTCATACATGAACCTAACCGATAATACTCATCCACGCTTGAAAATCCAAAGCACTTGGCTGTCAACTGAGCGTCAAATTCTCTCACGCTTCCAGAACTTAACACGGCTTTCAGATCAATGTCTGGATGGTCTTCGAAAAGGTGCATATGCGGTCGAAAAAGCGACACAAGTCCTGCAACGAGAACTTCCGTGAGGACAAAGGTGGTCGTATCATCACGGAATGCCTTACCGATTGCCATGCGATATGAATACACATTGCGGGAGAACCATCCTCCTTCCAATGTTTCGCTTCCAATCACCAAGTTCAAGGGGTTGCCAACACTACGATTGGAAATTAAGCAAGCATAAAAAACCCAATCATCCATACGAGCTGTCTGCTTTATACCTGACTGCTGAAAGGAAGGGACAATCTTCACCAGTCTCTCCAACATATTTCGACAACACATTTGCGCCTAATGAAAAGCCCGTCGCAACCATTGGTGCGTCTGGAAATCGTGACTGGATTGTTTGGACGATGTGCTTGACGTCATCAGTATATGCTGCACAATATCTAACGAGAAAAGGTCAACAAACAAAAACCTTCAAGCTTTTTCCCACTTGTACGTACAATTGCGGCGTCAAAACATCGGAGCCAGCGCACCCTCTAAAGTTACAAACAACTGTTCGATAGTAGTACGGTGCGGACGAGAAGACAGAAACTAGTTCTGATACATAAGTTTCGTGTGATCCGCCAGTGAGGCCATGAGTCACAAACTGTGGTTGGTTTTCGAGTTAGGATGATCACGTAGGATTGGTTTTGGTGTGAGAAACACGTTCAATTCAGGCAAAAAAAAAGCAGGTGGAAAGGCCACATACCAGAATGGGTGTCTCTTTCGGTATCGAGTCAGCACATGTTGGATACCAGTCCAGCGCAATGACACCACCATCAGGCATTTCAACAATATCACGTTCATACTTGACATCATCAGATTTCCCAGCCTTTCTGGGTTGAGCAACCTGACACATTTGAGTAACGGTGCGAGTTGTGAGGGGTTGTGAAAAACAGAGATGAGAGAATGCGACTCTTATACGTACCAATGCAGCATAGATAGTTTGCAAATGACCATTAAATAAGTATGGCGTTGGTAAATAGACTGCCTTTTTGGATGTAGCCAGAGATGGCACGAAACGTTCAATGAAGTCACGTAAGGAGATTGAGTGTTGTATGCCGTCCTTGTCCAATCTATGCTTGATCTGTATGGTGTCCTTATTGGCTGTAATCAAGACAGGGGAAATGACAAGATCTAGATAAATCGCCCCGAGAAAGACAGAGGATAGTGCGAGAATCAGTATGGCCAGAACCCATGTTTCGGTGTCGATGGGTATTTGCTGTATGCACTCATTCAGATATGTTTGGATTTGCAATGCCTCTTTGTGCCATTCGTCCAGTATGTCTGCCATTGACATCTTGTCACGTTTTCGTGAAAGCAAGAATGCACGGTCAAGTGTCTTATTTTCAAGCGTTGCAAAGGAGACCTGGAGAACATACATGGACGCGTTATTTGATCTTTGAGTCACTTAAGACACGTAGATCTGCTTATTGAATGAGCAGAAGTAGAAGAACGAGCTTAGTGGTATTTCTTGATCTTGATTTGCTTCTTGGCTTGACCTACTCTGCAATACGATGCTGGACTGCTGGACATTCTGGACAACGAGATGCACGCTCTCATCACCAAGTTAAAGATGCCAGTTTTGGGTGCATTCTATGATAGGTTCTATTCTTGTACCTTCTACAATACCGCCTTCTGATATTGTGGATACTATCCAATGACTTCAAAGTCTTAACATTTTTGGCTTGTATGTATATCAGATTGACAATTTCAACACAGTTCTAGTTTCAGATTTACTCGTGTTTTTCAAATCACACAGTATATACTATTTACACATTATTCGTTGACCGTGGGATCTGGTGTAGCAGTTGGTGTAGCTGCAGACTGATCATTATTTTGTGGAGCTGGTTGAGCATCAAAAGGAGTTGGGGGAGCATCAACAGGAGTTGGTTGCAATACCTTGACTTGAGGCGATTCGATTGGCACTGCTGGTACCTCTATGTCTCGGGATGGAAGTGCATCAACAGGAGTTGGTTGAGCATCAACAGGAGCTGGTTGAGCGTCAACAGGAGTTGGTTGCACTACTTTGACTTGAGGCGACTCTATGGGTACTGCGATGTGTGGGGAGGGAAGTGCTGCAGACGGTATTGCTGGTGAAGAGACCTTGTTTCCGACATCAGAAAGTGGTGGGGAGTTCAATCTGAATCCATTTACACCAGCTGGACGTATTGGCAGGCCAGTACGTTCTCCCAGACACCAGTTTTGGAATAGGGTTAGCATTGACACAAGTGTAGGGAAGCTGGTCGAATCATGCTACCTGTAGCTTGAAGGAGCTAATTGCGATGTCGTAGTTCTTGCTGCCAGGAGGAACGACACCGCTAGCCCAGCCAGCATTGGAAGAACCGTTCCAAACGCCTAGACAGGGAGTTGAGCGAACGTGCTAGACAAATAACAACGCCAACACGCATACCCCATTGAATACGGACGGGGTCCCTTGGGTATTCGTAGTCATTAAGGCCAGAAAGCCAAGAATCTTTATAAGTTGATTTGTCGAAACACGACGCAGATCCACTGTACGTGACATTTGCACTCTGCGTCTGCATCGAAAGAGCGCTAATTGATTGATGGAGGCCTGAAGGCATGGTTGCGTAAGCCCCGGGCTGAAATCTACTACAAGTCTCTATTCCAACACGATGAATTCTTTAACATCTATAAACATATATGTATGTGTCAACGGCAATATTTGAACTCGATCAAATATAAGATCATCTCGGCTCATTTGAATCTTATTCGAGTAAGAATCGCAATATTTACTTCAGATTTCTGAATGAGAGAAGATCAAATATTGCAGCAAGTGTTTTGTGCTGAATGTTCAGCCACTATTTGGATCTACTCTGCAATCCGATGCTGGACAACGATATGCACCATATATGAAGGCTACCGGAATGTGTATGGCCGGCATCCGCATTCGTGAATCGTGATTTGTAAAACCAATGACCAATTACTGGATTTCGAATTTGTAAGAACCACTTTTCTTGATAGGAAGCTTGCCAACAAGGATCTCAAGCTTCATATAACTACATCTATTCAACTTTTCAAGGCAATTCAAACAATGAAGGCTGCAGTCGCAACTAAAACAGGACATGCCTTCAACGACATTGAAGTTGTTGATGTAGATGAGCTTACTTGTGGAGACGAGGATGTCATCATCAATGGTATGTATTCTAGTTCGTCTGATTGCGATTCGCGCTAAACCGCTGACTGTATGTCGCGAGCTTGAATCAAATGCATTGTGCACACCATGTCATTTGTCATTGTGGTCGAAAGGGTTGCAACAACTTGGATCTAATTGGATCTAGCAGTTGGATCTCACTTGAGCTTCAAACGAAACTGACGATGCTCATCCTTTGTTAGTGAAAGCCGTAGCCGTAAATCCTGTCGATTACAAAATGGCTCTTCTTGGGTTTAATGTCCAAACTCTGCCAGCTCGCCTAGGCATCGACGTAGCAGGAACGGTTACAAAGACTGGCTCAAAGATATCCAACCTAAAAGTACGCTACTAGTTGCCATAATTCGAGTACCTGAACCCTAAGCTTTATGTTAAATGTAGGTCGGCGACGACGTCTATGGTCTCACCGGCTCTGGCGGCTTCGCTCCATTCGCGAGACTAGCATCAAAGCGTGTCTTCCCCAAACCACAAAACATTTCATTCGACGAAGCTTCAACTTTGGGTATCGGTGTCGCTACCGCATCCTTGTCGGTCTTCCATCCTGATGTAGGACTTGGTTTTGATCTTCCATCGGCTCATACCAGCTACTTTCAGCCTCAATGGGTGCTCATATGGGGAGGCAGTAGCAGTGTTGGTGCTTTTGCAGTTCAAATGGCTGTAAGTTTTGTAAATGTCAATTTGGCATTGTTCTGAATGCTAATAGGGTTTCCATTTCTTGTAGGCTAGGGTAAACATTAATTGTCGTTTGCTTGAACGTGCAACGACTCACACCTGGTTCGTTTCTTGTTCAGGCTGGACTGTCGGTTATAACAACTTGTTCACCACGCAACTTTGACTATGTCAAATCTCTGGGTACGCAAAAATACCACAATTGCCCCCTATATATGGTATCTCAACTCTTTTATCTCACTGTAGGAGCTGAAGTCGTCTTAGATGCAACCGAAGGAGAAGCACTCATCCCAAAAATTAAAGAGATTGCTCCTAAACTACGACACGGCTTAGACTGCATCTCTGGCGCTACCGTTGTCATCGTATCCAAATGTTTGGAGAAGGGAGGTGTCGTCGTCGGAATGACTGGACCTCCACCTCCGATAGCAGAGGGAACCACTTACCGTGGAATACGTGCGTTGGCTTGATTTGGAGCATCAACAACACGATGTCTGACCTAATCCCTATTGTAGAGTCGGGAGCGCCAGCAACATTGGATTGGGTACAGAATTTCTTTGTCAGTGAGTTAAATCCCATGCTAGAGGCCTCTGAGATATTGCCAAACAAGGTAAGCTTGGAGAGACCGCGTAATGGAGAGAAAGTTTGTGAAGCGTTCGTGGTGTTCCTTTGGAACGTGGTTGCTGGTGGCAAGCACTTCGTGTTTTGCTCACCGTTTACTTTGAAACAGGTACAAGTTGTCGATGGTGGCCTTCATGGTGTCAAGAAGGCGTTGGAGCTCTCAAGTACTGGCAAAGTCTCAGCAGCCAAGCTCGTCTTGCATCCTCAAGAATCCTTGTAATCCTCATAAATGTTGCAAAGAGACGCGTTATTCACGTCTAGTGAGTTAAATAAAATATATAAAGGGAGAATTTGAGTCAAATCAGTGGTTTCTTCTACATATCTACACCGTGTAATGCTTCTTTGATCTTTTGTCCAAGCGAAAAAACTCATATGAGCGACAGTGGAATCTCAATCAAAGAACTTTTTCGTATCCTCGTAGTACTCACTATCTCTGCAGTCGCATTCTCATCAGCAGGTTCAATCTCTTCTACTTCTCACAAAGTTATCCCTTCAAAAATCGACAAGGTACATCAATTTTTGTCAATTTTTTTTGTTTCGTGCATATGGTCAACAGAGTCAATCATCTACTAATATAATTCGCAATCATCTAAATAGATGTCTGAACGTACTTACATTATGATAAGTGTTTCTTTACACGTTGCCTGAAATTTCTACCCTTTTTTTTCATTGATGCTTTCATCAGAAACCTCCATCACCCACCCAATCCAAGCTAATCATCTTTCCTTTCCCGTCATGAATTTACGTCAAGCCTGACGGCGTTGAACGTGGACTCGTTGGTGAAATCATCAAAAGATTCGAACAAAAGGGTTACAAGCTCATTGGTTTGAAAATCATGTCTCCTTCAAAGAAATTGTTGGAAGAACACTACCAAGATTTGGCTACAAAGCCATTCTTCCCTCGGTATGTATTGGAATTTGGAGGAATCGTAAATATACCGACGCCCAACCTTTCTTGGTCACTCCTTTTTTCTTGTGAATGAACGTTGATGCTAAGATTATTAACTTTGACTTAGATTGGTTGACTACATGATGTCTGGCCCTGTATGTGGAATGGTCTGGCAAGGAAAGGAAGTCGTCAAGACTGGTCGTGTCATGTTGGGTGCTGTAAGTTTTGTTCTTGGCTTGAATGTCATCAAGGCAACCAAGGCTCTTTATGGACACTGGATTTACCTCTTTAATATTAGACCAACCCTCTTGCATCTGCCCCTGGTACCATCCGAGGTGATTTCTGTATTGATGTAGGAAAGAACTTGTGTCACGGTTCTGATGCCGTCGAATCTGCTGAACGTGAAATCGCATTGGTATGTGTTAACGCAAATTCCCAAGGCGAAATGCTCTTTCCTTGTAGATTCGGAGATGCTGACTTTTTTTGGTCCTCGCCATTTCTAGTGGTTCCCTGAAGGTACTCTTACCTACAAGCGTCACGTCGACTCCCTCATCTACGAATAAACCCTCCCATTGTTGATTTGATTTGACAACTCTTTTTGTTTGAAGGACGGAAGCTCGTCAACAACATTTAAAAAAATGGAAAATAGATTTACATGTTACCCATCAACATCATTTGACGGCTGTGCGAATGTCTACATGTCATCCTGCGAGAAACAAACGCCTGTGCGGATACGTCAGGCTTAAGTGCGTGATGCTTTTCTTGCTAAAGCAATCTTTACAAGTGCGCTATACAAAAGTTTGCTAGATTTTACAGCTACCATTTCAAAGGATATAATACATCTGCTCCTTGTTCTTTCTCAGCTCTGCACTGATCCGCTTGAGTTCAATCAATGCCAGCACGACGGCTTTTGCTTTTCCATGCTTCTTGTCAAATGCCAGCTGCGTAATTTCGTCCACTGTGAATGCATCATCTACACCATCATCACCAGTCATAAACTAACAAAAGAGGTGTAAGATTTCTATTGAAAAATTGCAAGAATCACAATAACGGACCCTCTTGTCTGTTGTAAAGTCGTTTATCTAATGAAAATGAAGGTGAGATTCTCGTAAGAATAGAAAATCGTTAACTCGCTCATTCACATAACACAGGACTTGTCTCATTTCTCCGCCCCAACACATACCTCAGCTACATATGCATTGAGCACATCAGTCGTAAGTTGCGATTGCAAGTAATCTTCCAACCTATCCATTTCATCCTGCCTTATTGGATCCATGAGAGGCATAGACGATGATCGTGAAGAGTTCGATTCTCGTTTGGACAAACTGAATCTGCTACGATTATTTGAGAGCAAGAAGGGAACGGGTGGTGTTGCAGTCTCTGTATCTGTTGTTTTGCGCGAGAGTATAGAGTGTGGTGTTGGTGGTGCTTCTACTTCATCCGATTCTCGGCCGTATTCTTCAAAGTTTGCTATGAATGAAGTAATAATGATCAGCTGAATACAACATGGAAGCATACAGTGAAAGATATCCTCACATTCCATGAGATTCAACGAATACAGCGACAACCCCAAACTTTCGAATGCTGGTGGAGATGGCGATCGATCGCCCTGTCTCGATCCTTGTGTGTAGGTACGTTGGTCAACATTCAGAGAAGTGTTTGCTGAAGCGTATTCAGACCCTTGCATGACGTCCGCTTGATCGCCTTGATCACAAACTTCATCATCATCAGCATCATTGTCTTGATCAGATCGACCAGTAAGTTTGGGTGGAAGTTCGTAGCCATACTGTGATAGGTGCGAGACAATAAATTCTGTTTGCAGGTTGATCTGTAAGTGGGAAGGAGTGAGTGCGAGAGTACGGGAATGATATGAATGAGAATATGAATTACTTTGGATAGAACATCAGTCAGTGCACTCAATACACTTTCAGTGCTCATGTTTTCACGTTCGGATTCCAAAGCACTGGCGGTATCTGAGAAGCTGCAAATGGTCTGATAAAGCAAAAAAACATGTTAAATTCATGAAAATTCTTCCAAGTTGGTCACTGATCGAGGTTGCGAGTAAATTTGAATTGGATCGAATAGGTGTCATCACGATCAAGTACAATTCAGAATAAATACAGCATACAGAAATACTATAAATTCCAATAACATTAATACAGTCCACTTGAAGCATACCTGCGAAGTGTTGCTAAAGAAGGAATCTCTGATGTGTGAAATGGCTTCCCAATCTTTCACTGCATTCTTGTCAGTCAAGTTATTAATAGCTGCTACTTCATTCTGCATCTTCTTTGATGCCAGCAATAGAGCATCGCAAAAGTCGTCTGCCTCTTTCCTCATCATCGTGCCTAACAGGGACTAGCTGCAAAGTGTTTTGACAAGATAATCAACAAGATCATGCCCACAAGACACGGTGGAATGCTTAAGGAATACCGTTTCTCATAGATCATTCATCCAATTTACGAATTTGACCCGTCAAAACACGTGTCTAATCTCTCCTCATCGTGTTCTCCTATGTTTTCAATTCGTAATAAACGTCAATGTAAGCTTACACGATGGAAAGCAAACTAAACGCGCAAAAGAAGGTATTCTCGCTACCATCCGTAGTGCAGCCATCAGGAACTGGCCAGTCAGCCTCATTCAGTGTCCCTCTTGACCCTCAATTGCTAGACGACATTGAACGTGAAGCTCACAATATCGCCGCTGATTACGCGGATATGATACAGAGGCTACAGAATCGGATTATTAATGCATGTATATTTATATCTTTATTGATGTACTTGTTGAGGGCTTTTGGTTGAATGCATCACAACATCAACCACATCTAACGTTTTCTGCGCTCTCTCTTGGTATAGATGAGCCAATGGACACGAGAATCCGTATCAGTCAACAAACTCGCTGTCAATAATCTATGCGATACGGTGGACACCGGTGTGAAGAGAGCTACGGAACTCATCAACAGAACGGAGGAATTGGATTTTGCTACAATCAAGGGGTTTAACGAGCAAGTGTGAGTGACTTGTGGGCTATGTCATACGTTTGAATGTGTCTTATTCACCTTTCTGTTGTTCTTGTTGTGGTAGTAAATCTATGAAGCTTATGCTGGATGCAATGGAAGCCTCACTTGTTGGTCCAGACAAGTGAATTACCATATACTCGGTGCTTTACTTTGCTCTCGTCTTGTACATATGACCTTCATATACACCTTAATTTAAAGACTCATGAATCTGGGCAAAGCGTTATTGTTTTGATTGTTATTTTGCTTATGTTTCTGTTGGGTCTGAGAGCATCAGCAGGGCGATAAAAACCTCGCCTCTCTGTCGGAATGGCTGCATCGGTCACCACAGTTCGGTTGCTTCCACACACGGACAAGTACCAAACACGATCGTACCAATATATTTTGCAAGTATATAAGAGCTAGAAAAACGTTACAAAAGATATACGAGGCTGCACAAGGGATATACAAAGAGTCCAACGAACTTTGCATATAAAAAACAGAAACTACAGAATGTCCAAAATGTCCAAACCCCTTATTCAGACATGTAGCCATCCACCTCACTGAGGCCAGAGTCATCTTTAGCCTCACGCTTTGGTGATGGTTTTTGATGTTGTTGTAGTTGTGGTGGTGGTAATGGAGTACTTGGTGTTGGCAAGTTGTCGATGTATTCATTCATCAGACAATCAAGTGCTGCAAGCCCACGAATTGGACGTTGACTATTATTATCGGCATCCGATGACGTTGATGATGATGATGACGAAGATTGACCAACGAAATCTGGCCCGATACGTTGAGGTTTTGATGATGATGACGATAATGGAGTAGGGGTAATAATACGAGATCGATTATTGCCACGACTGGTATTGCTGCGGTCGTAGTTGCTCGTAATTTTCGATATGTTCATAATATTCGATACGTCCGTAATGGTTGACGTACTAGTATGGATCGATACTTCATCATCATCCTTCAATTCAGCCGTTCGAGCTATACGTGATTCAATAGACGTACCAGCAACACTTGCGGTACTACTATTGATTTCACCATTACTACTGACACTAGCACGACTAGCAATACGTTCATCTTTGTCATCGTTTGCTCGAGCCTTCCGTTTCAGAGATGGAATGACTTCATTCTCGATACGGGTTTGAGCTGCTTCAGTTTCGAGTAATAGACATGATACCTCTGCTAGTACACTTATTGCTGATCTGTTCAGCAAGTGTGTGTCAGAAGAGGTATCAATCGACGACTCATATATCGATAGTTGTTGTTCTGACGAGTCAGCTGGAGAGTTGGGATATGACATGTCGGGAGTGGCAAGAGCTTGTAAATTACGCTACAAAACACGGAGAGAATAGTTATTGTAATAGTGAAGTTTCAAAAAAAACACTGTAATTGGAGACAAATCTCAAATTGTAGTTACCTGAGTTGCCTCTAGACCACGGTAAATACGATTCAAATGTTTACGTGATCGTTCAAAATACTCAGACTCACGTTCCAATTGACCGATTTCTTGATCAATAGGCCGATTCTTGACAGAGACATTCTTGCCAGATTCTTTACGAATCCTGAGTGAAGAATCTGATAGAGTTGGAGACTAGAGAAAAAGGCTCGAATTAAAGAATGCATGCCACATTGAATGTCAAGTTTCTCGAACTTACATCTCCATATCCAGGCCTTGGAGCAAATTGACCATTTGACAAACGAGGAAGCCGAGCTGCAATATTTGCCTTTGCAATAGATGCTGCAGACGGTTGCGTCAAAAGCGATGTAGTAGGCAGAGTAGGTGTTCTCGCACCAGCACGTTTACGTAATCGTAATCGAGTACGTTTGGGTGCCTTGTAATCTGAGTCTACACTATTGACTTCATCTGTTTCATCATCTTCAGCTTCACTAGATGGAGCCATATCACCACCAGAGTATGGAGTAGGTACGTAATTGGCATACAATAGACCAACGAGTGCTGATGATGACAATGCGTCGTTTTCGGCAGTACCGCAAGTACTGGCAATATGTTTATGACGAGATACGAGACGACTGCTATCATCAGTTTCTCCATCACTGGCGTCACCGTCAATCATGAAATCAAGAGTAGCGAGTTCTTCATCTGTAGCGTTTGCTGGAATGAGTTCATGGAACTCGTTTCCAGAAGTCTGCATGTAGTCAATATGGATTGGATCAATGTCTCTGTGGTGACGAGAGCGAACTAGGTTTAAAGAAGAAGAGAGGGGAAAAAATTAGACGTGTTGATGGTACAGAATGTTGTTGACGTGGAGCTCATTCACCAACAACAATTTGAAAGTTTGAAAAGTCAAATAAAGGTCAAATCATACTTACTGTGAGAGACACAATTGCTCTTGAGAGTAAATACAGCAGCACAGGAGCGAAGTGGACACTATTGATATACCAAAAAAAGGTAACAACGAGGTGATTGATCCATATTGCGCGTTGCATTCGAAATACAACTTACCAGATACGGACGTTCCAGAGTATGAACACGCAAGTGTTCGAGCATACGACCTTGATACGTGAACACACGACGATTTGTACAGTCCTTCCATCGACACACACAACTTTCGTGTGATCTAATCAAAGAAAAGAGTGACAGAGTTAGCAAAGGGAGACAATACAATGTAATTATAATTAGATTGATGGCATTTCACTGTATTGATCTCATCGGTTCCATAACAAGCAAAAACGGTTGTGAAAAAATTGACAGCTTATATCGCCACAGCATGAACATAACACAGCACACCCGACAACAACACAAGGTGAATCCATCATTTCCACTAACGAAATGACAGATTCCACCCTCATTTTCCTTCATCTCTTAATCACCACCACCAAATACTTCCCACACATCCAGCAACATGACGCACAATTCCGTAGCAAAACACCCACATATCGATCGTTCATATGCAACATAGTGAAATGGCTCCGTACCAATAAGAAATAATTGATTATATCATCAAATTGGCTTACTTGTTTGGCCCAAATGGTAGAATCTCAACGTGAGTTTTGATGAGATGCTGGACGAGCTCATGCATTGTCGGCGTGGGATGGTTGCAGCACTCCCAGAGACATGTTTTTGGATGATTTTCCATTGGATTTACATAGCGCTGCATGCTTGTCATCTTGTCCTATTGGCAATATGAAGCTTATAGGTATTTACTTGCTTTTTGGAATATTGGAAGTGTGCAGGAGCACTGGATATATCAGGTACACCCCATGAAGACAGTGAGTATTTCACGTTAATTATCGCATATTTACGTGTCGAAACAACCTATTTTCCATCCTGCGATCTATTACATTACAGCGAACGTTTCTTCAAAGTCAGTCCACAACCTCGCTGCGGTAACGTGAATCTGTGAAGTTGGGTTCAAATATAAAGTAAGATTGGGAGGTTGATGGGAATAATTAATTTTATCTAGCAGCAATTTATCAAGACTATACAATGATGCAGGAGCAGTCTTTTCCTATGACACTCACTCTCACTTACTACCACTCAACTTCGTCTCCCTAGTTCCAAACGTATCAGGTACCCACGCTGGCCATCCAGAATGTGCTGGCATACCATTCTTCACAGCCACAGCATTCTCCTGCCGATACTTCCAATACTCACTAGTGAATTGCCAATGCTCTTCACCAGTGTCTTCCTCCAATTCTCGTATAAACCATCTAGGAGTCCACCACTCTTCACCAAATTCTAGTCCTGGATCTTCTCGTGGCGGACCATCTTTCACATGGGTATCTTCATATGCTTTTATAACTACTTTACGATTGTTGCGTTGTAGGGTCTCGAGAGTTTCCTTTAGTTTGGAAGCTTCGTCCCATAGACCTTCTTCCATAGCCTTCTGGTCGGGTCGTAGACGTGAATCTGTCAATGGCAAATATGGTTTCAAGGTAGTTGGCATATCATTTAGTGTCAGCGCTAGCGAGGTATAGTTAAAGTTTAGAGGTGATATGGTAGGTGGTTGTTCTCTGACCCATAGTGTTAAGGTCTGATTTAATAAGCCTTTGCCTATGGGATTTACTGGTACTGCGAGTACTCGATCACCCCAATTTCCTTTCAATTCATATCTAATCGTCCCATTCTTGTCTCGAACAAACCCTCCCAATTCACCTGCATCAGCTGGTTGCCCTCCATCTTCCTTATTGCTCACTGTTGGGCCACCCAAACCAAACCAAGTGCCACCACCTGCCTGTGCTTTTGACTTGAATGATATAGTGACTTCTTCGTTCGTTCTGTGGTTTTTAACTACCATGTCACCTAGGTGGTCGACCCATAACTTGCCAACGATTAAATTATTAACTACAGTAGTCACTAAAAATCAGAGTAAACATAGCAAACCGTTTAGTCTCTATCAAATGCATTTCTATTTGAGGCTTAATGTGATTCACCTTTGCGCCATGAGTAGTGCTCCATCTCTATAGGAGCCTTCGAGTCTTTTGATGGCAAGATGGGAAGCCGAACGTGGCAGACGCCGAGTGGGTGTAATTCCAAACTACGCCCCCAGAATTTACTCTTGACGTTGACTTCAGCCCAAAACACATAGTCTGGCGACTCACAATAACAAGCAGATATCGGCGGATGATGGCATGTTTGCTCTGAAATATATCTATACCACTTGTCCTCTCTGACCAGTTCAAAAGTCTCGCCCTAAATCATTAGTTTACGGCTTAGCAATGGACCAAAAACAACAAGATAGCTCAAATAATACCAGCATAGGATTGAAAGGCTTATTAGCTCTCTTAATAGTACTCGAACTAATTGTGACAAATGTTAATACATAGTGTCGTGGAAAATAACAATCTCATATCACGACGCCCCAACAACATGAAGACTCACTAATTCGACATAGCATAAGCAGCCACCATCATAGTCCTATACAAACTAGCCTCTTCACCTTCCAAACCTTCCACGTCCTTCAACTCACAACCAACGACTTTGGCATGTAGAGCAGCAGGATCCTGACCACCAACTTTCATACCTTCTATACTTCGCATGGCTCCATGACTTCCTATTCTAGCAGCAAAGCTCAGGATTTCGGCATACTCTACATCCTCTGCCATACGTTGTATCATACTTAGAGGCTCATTGAAAAACACGGGTAATGTCACTTTAGATAAGTCTTTACCTAAAAAAAAATACAGATGAGCGTCTTTAAGAAACGACGTTCAAGCAGGAACAAGCGCCTTGCCTATAGCTGATCGGATAAACGACCAGACATTCAAGGCAGGTCGTGGAGCACTAGGATTCAGCGGAAGCCGTTCTCTAAACGGAAGCTTGTATCCAACTGCAGACATCTTCACATCTTTCAGTGACGGCAGCTCGGATAATACCATTTCCGTTGACGTGGACTCTGTATTATCGGTATTGGTGCCTTCAAGTTGTTGCAATGCCATAGGGGATACAACTTTTGATCCTTTACGACTTGGCGTTCGTGTATTTGGAGTACGAGTTCCAGATCGCGAAGTACCAGATCGTTGTAAGGTAGCACCACGTTCAGGAGATGCTCGTTGTTGTTCTAATGGCTCAAATCCAAACACCTGTTCTAAAAATTTACTTGGATCTTCAGCCTCAGCGTTTTGAGCATCGTAGAACACATCTTCGTCATCGGCCTCTGCTGCATCGTGACTATTATCATGGTCATGATCATGACCGTCACTAGATGCAGTAGGAGAATGAGCTTCATGGTCGAAATCGTCGTGGCCTGAAGTAGTATTAAGATGACCTAGCCCCATTTTCCCAGTGGCAGCTATTTCTTCTTCGGTCAACCCATCGAGCCCAACAAATTTCCTGACAATCTCCTCCCATCGTTTCCTTCCTTCAATCTCATTCCGCCATCTCTTTGCCCACTTTTTCTCTCGTTCTTCACATAGAGATATCACCTTTTTTACCGTTTCACTCACTCGTGAAGCGCTAGACTGACACAAGGAGGCTATATGAGTCGAGTCCAACTCTTTGGATATGTCTTGAGATTTAGTACGACTGTGGATATATATACCAGTATCTGAAGCTGCATCAGATGTAAGCGATCTACCACCAGCAGCACTTGCTGTGAGTAAACCGCTACTACTAGCAGCAGCATTTGCCTTCTCCGTAGCCTGCACAAGCGCCTCCACCATTCTTTGCTGTACATCTAAATGGACATTGAGCAGATACACCAGCGTATGCAAATCCTCAACGGGAGTTGATAAAACATTGTTACTGCTATTACCAAGAGCAGCAAGCTCTTCTTTGGATGGATTTCGTGCTGGCAACGGTGGAGGTTTTATCTCGGCATTGACATAGGATGCCTCGGTGCTGGGCCGATCTGGCTGCTGTGACACATCAACGGAATGTTCACTGTGATGAGATACAGAGGCATTCTCAGAGGCTTCAATGTCATCCATGCCTCCAAATACTTTATCTATATCTTCGAACGGTTGTTCATCACCAGCTTGATCGGCTGGTAATGGATCTGGAGACAATGATTTTCCTTGCCGATTTCTATCAACGGCCCATAATTTGCTTTCATTTAAAGCCCAGACTATACGATAAGAAAGAGCGTGAGTTAGGCTGAGCTAAAAGATACAATAGCCTCATTTCATACCCCATTTTTTTGCTTCAGCAGGCGAACGAGCCTTGAGCGCATATCGGATCGATCCTTTACCAAGCACATCAAATCTCGACTTGTCATTATGATCAGGCATTACAATCTTGGCAATCAGTAATGATATGGATCCACGACAACTGAGTGGATAATCTCCTGCTGACTGAAAATATGATAAACTACTGTTCTCTAGTACAAAGTATCGGTGCTTGTAACCAGAAGCGTAATTGGTCCATTTCATCAGAGTGCCTCGTAATGAAGGAACACCAGTCTGTACTCGACCACTGGCAGAAGATGTTGCCTGTGCTAACGAGGCTGCGAGGATGGGTGCTTGATATATTGCTAGTTGAAATTGAACATGAGCAAAAATACAAGACAGTTGAATAAATGGGAGTTTGCTCAACATTCCAACACATGGTTTTGCTCAAGTTCAACCGCAATGTTTGCAACCAACAAGGCACACACCTGTTTTGAGTTTAGCTCTCGCAGAGCTATCTTTGGCAGCCACATCACTAGGCGTTTTACCCTTGCGGTCCTTGACTTTAGGATCAGCACCATTCTTGAGAAGCCATTCTACGAGCTGCATATCATCTACTCGAGCAGCGACGTGTAGTAAAGATTGATCACCTTCCAAGTCAAACGGTCCATTAATATCAATCCAACCGGCTTTCAAATAAGAATAGGCTCTAGAATCTGGAGCAAAGAGAGCGAGTATTTTATGAGTATCCTTCTTTTCGACAATGAGGCCCAAGTGAGTCAGTATCTCTTGACAGAATTGCTTGCGATGACTTTGTAGGACTTGAACTACTTTGCCATTCTTGGCTGACTCTTCTGTTGAAACACAAAACGGAAACTAGGTGTCAGTTTACAGAGCATGTTATCCAAACACGAACCGAAGCGCGACATCTTGCCTGGAGTGCGTCCTTCATAATCTCTAATAGTCTCGTCCACACCAGCAATATTCAACAACTGTCCAACCACATCCGATCTTCCTAATCTACTAGCCAAATGTAATGGCGTCTCTCCCTCACTATTCTTTTGATTAACCCAGCTATTATCGGTACAAAACTCCGCAATGATTCTATCAATAACCGGTTTGGGCGACAAACTAACAGCCAGATGCAGTATACTTCCAAAAGGAGCAGATTGTTGATGTTGAGGTTGCGTGCTCAACAACGCGAGATATCGTTTCACGACTTGGATTGTCGAGTCAATGTCGGCTGGAGAATTACATTTCTGGAAGGCTTCGACAAGTTGGAATTGTTGTTGGGCCATGGACGCGATGGTTGTGACATTTGATGGCGAAGTGTTTTGGCTATTCATGGAAGATAGAGATTCCGCAGAGCCCGCTGCGATAGATGACTTTGGCCTTGGTTTCATGTCTCGAGAAAGCGGTCTGGGACTTGGAACTGTCCCTTCCATCTTGACTGACTATCAAGTGCACGAGGAGGTGAATGTGTACAAGAGATGAGGGCTATTCACGATGCCTTATCACGACGCCTAAACAGCTGGAAATTTTATTTTACAGGTATACACGCCAACGACACTGTCTCCTTGCTTCCCCATGCCAAAATCACAAACATTCACCAACAAGACCACTCTGCAACATGTCAAGCAACAAAAGCGAACCAAAACATCCCTATCTGCTGGCCTATCTGTGTGTGGGCAAGCCTGACGCATCTACTATTACCACAAGACGCGATCGGAGAATTTTCTCGACGTGTTTTCAACCGTGATTAGAACCTCTAATACCCTACGATTGGCAGAGTCGACTGGCCAAAAGTTTCATTTTCTTCACAGACAACAAGCATTTCAAACTATCGAAACGTGTCGTTGAATATCTAGGGAAATTCCTGCTTAATGTATGTCTTGTGCTCCGTGCACCAGCATCACTGAGTTCCGTGAAGTTAACTTCAACACCACACATATAGCACGCAAAAGTTACGAAACTGGCTCCTGTACAAGTCATCATGAGAGGTTCTGGAGGAGGCTACTTTGCTCCAAAGGGTAGCTCGCCACCACGAGCTGGCGCTTTTGGACCTAGGAAAATTGAAGATACTGGTGAGCATTCAGACGCGTCGGATTTTAAGTGATGCTATTCATGATGGACGTGATTCTCTAATGACGCGTCATTCTCGTCTAATTCAAATCTGGCTCACAAACGACCTGAACAATCACACTCACAATACTCTACCATCCTTAGCCTCACCATCAGGATTCCGAAAACTGTATGATCGTGGTGACTTCCCAATTTCTGTTGGACATGATTCCAGCAAGAATAAGATAAACTGGAAGGTAAGCGCTTAAATGTGACCCTCAATTCATTGACAGTAAAACTGTTTTTTCCATTATCAAAACAATATTCAAAACACGCCTCCACGTAAACCAGGTCGACATCGAAAAGCTGGACTACCACCACTACCTCCCACTCTTCTTTTCCGGCCTGTGTGAAACAGAAGAGCCATACGCCTTCTTGGCTAGACAAGGAATCCACGACTTGTTGGATAAAGGTGGTTCCAAGATCCTTCCTGTAGTTCCTCAACTCATCATCCCCATCAAGAGTGAGTTTACATCGGAATTACCAAACCTCAAGCATGCAATGCAAAAAATGCCTGTCCACAAGATGAAGCATTTACTAACCTTTCCTTGTTTCTGGCTCTGATAGAGGCCTTAAACACCAGAAACATCCAAGTCATCACCACAACCCTCAAAGTCCTCCAGCACTTGGTTGAATCAGCTGAAATGGTTGGCGAAGCATTGGTACCTTACTACCGTCAAATCCTACCTGTATTCAACTTGTTCAAGAACAAGAATGGTATGTAACCGCAAAAATCTGCATCCTGCATCCAGTATACCACTTTTTTGCTCCTGACATCAAACTTACACATACGTTTACACACAAAAACAGTCAACTTGGGAGATGGCATCTACTATTCTCAACAACGACGTGAAAACATTGGTGACTTGATTCAAGAAACCTTGGAAAAGTTTGAAATGACTGGTGGAGAAGATGCCTTCATCAACATCAAGTATATGGTACCAACGTATGAGTCAGTTTTATCTCGTGTTTAAACAGATCCAAGTGCGAAGTGTATAAAATTGAACATAACATTGAAACGTAAACTGATTGCAGAAAGTGAATAAATTGTAAATTTTGATTGTCAATTCTCTCTTCTGTCATTTCTTTCCCATGGTTTCACTTTTAATCTGCCAAAAAAAAAAAACCAACCTGGCATGCTTTTGCGCTGAAAAATCTTTATTTATAATAAATCCGAGACAGTGTTGATATTGAGTGGTGGGATGTGTTTGAGCGGAAGGCGGATTTTGAATCACAATTCATTTGGGGGGGACATAAACTTTTAGAACTCTTTCTTCTCACACTCTCAACATGAGCAGTTTCCAGCAGCATTGGCTCGAGCTTGAGCATCCAAATCCACACGGCCACTTCCACCAGTTGCACCACTTCCAGCAGCTCCTGCTAATCCTGTTCGTGAGCGAGATTGCACCAATTGTTCGAGTGGTATTTTCTTGGCTATTAGTTCAAAAGTGAAAAGAGATGTGTTAGCTGGTGCGTGAAGATGAGAAGGATGTTGGTTGGTGCATCCAGATGAAAGCGCAGATAAAAGAGAAACAAAGCGTCGTACGTCCTGGAAAATGGCAGTGGGTCTCTTGCGATTTCATGCTACGTACCAATATCAGTAAACACTTCCATAACATTGTCACCCGTCTTTGCTGAAGCTTCTGCAAACAAGAGACCGGCTTCACTGGCGTATGATTGAGCTTCTTCTGTGGGGATTGCACGAGAAGTAGATTCCAAGTCGAGTTTGTTTCCAACCAAGGCAATAACTATATTTGGGTTTGCTTGTCTTTGCAATTCCTTGACCCATGACTTTGCTTTATCCAGAGAGGCCTACATTGTTAGATTGATGATGAGTGATTCTATTAGCAATATAGATGCAAAAAAAGCGAAGGTGTATCAAAGTTATCGTGCGAATGCAAGTCTGTTCGTTGACATGGTTTCGACTCTTGCACTTCCAACAGATGGCATAAACCATCACGATCAACAAGCGAAAAAAAGAATGGACACCATCAACAAGCTCAATGTATGGAATGAATACTTACGGGCTTTGTGATATCATAAGCGACGATGGCGGCTTGAGCGTTTCTATAATACATTGGGGCTAGGGAGTGGAATCGTTCTTGACCAGCGGTATCCCAGATTTCGAATTTGATGATCTTGTCTTCCAATTTACACTTTTGAGTCAAGAATGCAGCCCCAATGGTTGGTTCCTTGTTTTCTTGGAATTCATTGTTGACAAACCGTAATACTAGCGATGACTTGCCAACAGCTGCTTCACCTAATAGGACCAGTTTGACCTAAATAATGTAAATGTATGAGTGCATTGTTAGTGGTGGTTGTGGAGAGTTTAAAGTTTTAAATGTTGGAATGATTGAGATGTGTTGTGTCGAAGCCAGAGCGATGATGGAATAAGCAGGCTGACATAGTGTGGAATGTAGATTGACGATAGCAGAATGAGGCTGCTTAATAGAGTTCCTGCAGTCGATACAGTTCTACATACCTGAATGGGTTTGGCAGTGTTTGCCGCTGCTGGAGTTGTCGACATTTTTATCGATTGTACACTCGATATGATATATATATAAGATAATGGAGTTGGAATGTAGACCAGTGTAGGTACTCGATTTCCCTGTCTCTCTCCTTCCTGCTTTGAAACTTGTTATATAGCAATCACGGCAATCAGCAGATTCGATGAATTTCGAAACATTTTGCTCGACCGACAATCTACGTGGACAAAACTAACACAGAGAGAACCATAACACAGTTATTTTGGAAATGTTTCGTGATTTCTTTTTCATTATATGGAATGGCAGCGCTTTTAACTTTGTCCAACGGGCTGCATGGGCGACACGTCGTGACATTTGGAAAGGAGAACTCGAGCAACTCAAATCGCGTCGAATCTACTTAGACACGGCATCACTCAAAGCCTATTGACTATAGTAGTGATTTGGTCATATAGATCCAACCCAAAAGGACAGAGTACGTACAGCACATCGCATCGGGCGAACACAATCACCTCCAGCAGTCCAAATTCGTTGGAGAGCTTGACTAATACTCTCTCTAGCTTTTAAAATGGACATTCCACCTTTACGGTGAGCCAACACTGCGAAACTTTTCAGGGCAGCGATCCTCATTCGACTGAATCAAACCAAGTGACTACCACTCGTCTCCTTGAAACCTCAGCTTACACGACGCGAACAATGACTTGCTGAAACATTCCAATACTCAGTTAGGCTTCCCTGCTCTATTTCAAGAAAATACAGAGGTTGACACGTTAGGTTGGAGTCAAAAGGGAAAATCACAAATATGGCTGCCACACGAAAGCTATACTTGCGCATCGTAAATACCAACCGTGATGAATCAGTCGAGGTACCGGCACAGGCTACCGATGAAGAGGTCAAAAGCCTGTTACTAGCTGCTGCTGATGCCACTCCTGAAATCGTTACAATGGCACGATTGACGCGCTCATCCGATAACTCAGTACTCGCCATCAACAAATTCATACCTGCTAATGATGCTAACGATCGATATCGCCTGGAAATTAAACAAGGTATACTTATTGGAATGACGTACTTATTGCCTTTTGCGTACCAAACGTGAAGGTGTAAAAGCAAACCAGACATTGAACAACCTCCGTTTTGTCATTCATAGGCGAAAAGAATAGACAACTTGATGACCTAACCACCCAATTCACTGACGTCCTCGCCGCAAACCTGACTGTAAAAGACGTCACCGAACTCAAAGACTCGCTGACCGTCATCCGTCGCAAACTCGACGACTTGGACAAGACAATTTCCACAGCTACAGGAACAATTCCGAAAGCTCCTCGTCAAGTAGTCAAACGAGTCTCGAAACTTGATCCTCGATTCACCACCAGTCCTAAATACATCTTGTCTGAAGAAACAAAGATGTATTTGAAGCAACCGACTTTTGATAACTGGTTGTGGGATGAGAATGAAATTACTGTCTTGCTCGAAACTATCTTTGAGGAAATGGGCTTGATTCAGGATTTCAATATTGAGGCTGCTGCGTTAAGGCGGTTTTTGAATGCCATCAAGGATAATTACAACCACAATGTGAGTAATTCGCGAAATTAGCTTTGAAGGAAGCGGCCCAGTACAGAGAGTAGAATACTGACTTTAGTTACATGTTTTTAGCCCTTCCATAACTTCAGACATTGCTTCTGTGTCACGCAAATGGTATGCAAAAAAAGCTCCCTCAATATGGAGTGATGAGAATGCTTTTCTCAATTCTAATTTTTTGTTTTGTTTTCTAACCACTTAGATGTATGGAATCCTAAACAGGACTGGCGTCCTTCGGAAATTCAAGCCCCTAGACCGTTTAGTCCTTACAGTTGCATGCATCGGTCACGGTAAGCACACTCTCTGAAGCCATAGTTCCCACGCACAATATACTGATTTTGTTTTCCTCTTGCCAGATCTCGACCACCCCGGCTACAACAACGCCTACCAAATCAACGCCAAAACCGAACTGGCGACCATCTACAATGATCAATCACCACTCGAAAACCACCACTGTGCAATGCTCTTCGCCATCTTGCGAAACCCTGAATGTGACATACTCAAGAATCTGCCTGATGCAGTCTTCCGTGATGCCCGCAGAAACATTATTAAATGTATCCTTGCAACGGATATGGCCAAACATGGTGAAATTATGGCACAGTTCAAGAAGGTTTCTGAGAATTTCAACTTTGAGGATGCTGAACACAAGATCTTGGTAAGGTGTCTCTACTCTGAGCGTTGTGTATGCTTTTTTTTAGCTCTGTGTTTCAATCCTAATCTCATCCATCCTTTTGTATTCAACTAGCTCATGCAAATGATTATTAAATGCTCCGACATTTCCAACGAAGTGCGACCAAACGATGTAGCTGAACCATGGGTAGACTGCTTGTTACAAGAATTCTTCTCCCAATCTGATCGTGAAAAGGCAGAAGGGTTGCCAACTGCTCCATTCATGGATCGTGAAAAAGTCACTAAACCTGGTGCTCAAGTCGGGTACGTAGTGTTTGCTAAACTTCATGACTTCAGAGCAAGGGCGACAAAAACGGCTGTTTGAGGAAAAGAATATACCCTTACACGCTTCTGACACGTATTTAACACTATTGTCTAGATTCATTGGTTTCGTCATGATCCCACTGTACGAATTAGCTGCCAAAGTCCTCCCTGATATGGAAGATGAGATAATAAGGCCAATTCGAGACTCTTTGACCTACTACAAGGAGATGCAAGTGAAAATGGATGCAGCCAAGAAGGCCGAAGAAAAGAAATGAGAACACACCTTCAATGCCTCCTCCCTCAGATATTATGAAGCCTCAGGACAACGTGGCCTCCAAATTGTGCTTTTTTGTATACTTTCTTTGTGTCTTTTTTTAAAAAAAGTTTAAGAAAACCTCTTCAAACCCTTACATATAACCCGTCAAGTAAAACACCCTCGTCTATTTTGGTTTTTGCAGCGTCGTTTTACAACATCAGCTATTCTGTTTCTTCCTGTACAAACAAGACCGTTTCTAAAAGCCAACCAAACCACCTCCAGATGTATTTCTGGCCGCGGTGCTTGTCTTTGTGGACTGCGATATATCAAACCCAACCGAAAACCACCGATTATAATCCAGACGCAACAGTAGTTTCTCAAACGCTGCTGCGCCATCTGAAGTCTGATGCGTATCACTAGTCCGAGCACCAGCTAATGCATCAAACAAGAATTGACATGATCGATCAAACTCCTAAATTGCAAAAAATATTCATCGCATTAGTTGATGCATGAGTCATTTACATCCCAACAGCCAACATTGTTCTATATTTACAGTACCTGACGTAACGACTCAACCCTTGGAATACTATCATCTCGCAACCTTCCAGATCGTAGCGAGTCTTCTACAACACCACAATATCTCACAATCAATTCAAGCAGAGTTCGAACCACACTCCCCAAACTTTTCGACGCTGCTGAATCATCCAAGAAGCATCCTTTACATATTGCGTCCAAGTAGGCAGCATGATCTTGCTGTAATGATTCGAAATCACCATTGACTGATGTCTCTGGTGATGCATGAGTTGGTGGAATGCCTAGTGGTTGATCTATTGTGTTTTCATCTTCACTTTCCAGACCAGATTCTTGGCCATATTCAGAGTCATGTTGGTCGTCAAAAAGTCTGTTCATCAGAGCAGAGTATTGACTTTCCAAAACATCCATCTGAAATTCAACATTCGAGATGAGACACAAAAAAATCTCGGCTTCAGTTTGTTCACACACCATCAACAGTGTGTAGAACTGTCAATTCTTACCTGAATATAAGACCACAAATGATCCACGAAAAACATCATACGGCCACGTATAGTCCAGAATATTCGAGATAGTGGCTCATGAGTGGTTGACCCTCGACGTGTGCCACGAGAAACATTATTGGTCAATGACCAAATACGTTGTATCCGCATCTGCACTCGTCTCAGATAAATCAGGAACGTAAACACTACATTGTACCTAGAATTGATGCGTTTTGTGAGATGGCAAAAAAATGATTGATCACGGTCTACAGATGTAACACTACTTTTCCAAGTCAGGTTGTGTCAACACAAGATCTAAGGGCCATGTCACTTCATATTCAAGCCGTAACGGGAGATTCACCAGCTCGCTCTCAAATGGTGAGACTAGTGATTTTGGTGGTCGTTCTATGTTTTGACGAGAAATCTCAGTGAACCAAGGAAGGTTTGTCGGTACGAGCAACAATTAACAATTACCATCTGACTTGATGAATCTGAATGCGAAACTGTCAACAGCAGGATCATGTTCTGCTGTTGTATCACGAGCAGTTCGTCGAAACAGACTGTTCATGTCTACCAAAAGACCAGAGTGTTAGTCTGAGGAGAAAAAACATGGTACGGAAGCAGAAGCATACCATATTCGGTGATCAGCACAAGACGAGCTGCTGCACGTTGACGTATCAAATCACAGCCATCAAGAAACGACACGAAGAATTCTCCTTTTCCCAATAGATAAAAGTCCTTGAAAGCCTGCCGAGCAAAATTTGTTGGAAATTCCGACCACAAAGCACCGTGTGCTCATCCAGCACAACTACAAACCTTCAAATGCCTCCTCAAATCACGATCAATAACAAGTGCCTTCCAAAGAATCTTAGAAACATGACGCTTAACTCGATCTACTACCAACTCGAACGGTGCGTCCTTGTATCCAACAGTTTGTTGTTGAGTCAATGCGATAAAGTCTGGCAAGAATGTGGTTGATATGGAGGAGATTGCTTGCTGATTTTCTGGTGTAGGTGATTCACGTATAGACGATATGGCTTTTCCGACGAATAATATAGTTTCGGCAACTCGTGTTGACATGAATGGTGGTATCATTGATGAATCCAATACAAATTCTGAATACCTGCGATGGTAGACGATATATTAAACGACGTGGTTGATGACGTTTGAGCCATGGGGTAATTCCATACCATCGTGTTTGCTCTTGTTGAAGCTCGACAACGACGTCGGCCTACGCGGGGAAAAAATCAATATCACCACCTCAAACCATGAGGTCAATAGCCCACTACATACCATAAAAATAGCCGTTCGTCTGGCTTCACTTGGAGATTCATTCTTGATGAAGAATTCAGAGTAGGGATCATTGAGTTCTCCATAGAGCATCCATGTTGTAATTTGACGATACAGGGCTGCCAAACAGGCATGTTGCAACCTCACGAAAGAGTATGTAAGCAACAGATACCCAAAAAAAGTCCCACACTTTTAAATGTATCTCGACTCACTTGAGCATAGCTTGGCGTACAGCAGGCAGTCCCGTATTACATTTCTGATGAAGCAAAGACAGTATCTTTGCGCCGTGATACTCGCTGGTGTGAAGTTGCAATATTTGTATCAGATCATTCAAGTGGATGAACACCTGATGATACTGAGGCATCAAAATATGGAATGTAAGTACAAAATGTAGCTAGATATATTGGCAGCGTAAGCGCAAAAAATGCCTAAAGTAGATCAATATACCTGCGCAAAGGTGACATTGAGGTAAGCCAATGGAGTCCTCCCACCATCAGTATCCGGATCTAAATAGTCCAGAACTTTACGTTCCACTTGTACAATGACGCTCCTATATTCGTCCAAATAAGAAGCCAATGCACCCGATAAAGCCTGCTGGTAGACACCCTTCCAAACACTTGAGATTTGTGGCTGCTGATCGTGATCAGCAGCAGAGGGAGAAGCATTCGAATAATAACGAGATTTTAGATGATTTAGCCATGGAGTGCGTAGTCGTTTGAGGTAGGCATCAAGCTGCATGTACAGTTGAGCAACTTGCAATAGTGGTGCTAGTTGAGCACGTTCCGAGTCGTGGAGGAAGGGGATATCAGTAGATACTGCTAGTTTGCCATTTGAATATACGAACAAGTCTCCAGGACATCCTGCCAATGCAAGTAAAACTTCATGGATCATCCTGGTTTTCTTTTTTGATGTGTTTGGTCGAGTGAAGAATGTGCTTTTGACGCCAATGTTTGTTCAACCAAATAGACAATGAAGACTTTATCTACGAGTATATCGCTATATCGTGCTGGATTACGCGTCATAGGACAAAGACGTCAACTTTCAACTCCTACATCAACCTTTCCCAACATCCCAAAGTCAATCGCAGAAAATCTATCAACAAGGTTCAAGATCACAAGTCCAAACGATGCTCAAACTGCTCTGATCCCTCCTGCCCTTAGTGGACGAGACATAGTATTTAGATCTATCACTGGATCAGGCAAAAGTATAACGCTGGTCGCAATAGCTGCTAGTAAACTGGAGAAAAAGCAACCATCTAGCCAACCAAACCATGTTCAAACCGTCTTATTGTCGCCAACACGTGAACTGGCTGTGCAGTTGTATCAGTGGACGACTCAATTATTGGAACACCACGATGCTGACTACATAAAAAAGCACGTACAGGTGATATTGAACGGGTTAGATCGAACTGAGCAGACATCTAGACTTCAGAAAAGTACCCCCAGTATATTAATAGGGACACCTTTACGTATACTGGAGCTGGTGGATGACGGGGTGTTGGATCTGAGTAAAGTCGAAACACTTGTTTTGGACGAAGTGGATTATCTGATTCGAGAAGCCAGTCCCAAAGCTTCAGGTACCTGTGCGCTATGTGAATGTTGCGTCTTGTCCCGATGGACTTCTCATATTCTTCATATGTATCGAAGACCACGTTTGTCAACTAACGTCTTCTATTAGTCAGGGAAAAATTCAGAAATACAATACATCCCAAGCCGTCCGAGACTCTGGTCCAAAAGATTGTACATTTACGACGGCCAGAGCTTATAGAAAACGAGCAGCCAATAACACCGAAATCTCAATCCCCAAAAATGCCTAGCATGCCCAAGAAGCCAGTGGTAGCAGTAGCACAAAGTAGGACTCCGTTCCAGATTATCGCAACTTCAGCCACATTGCCAGCCTTCTTATATGAATCGTTGGTGAAACGTAGAAAATGGCTGAAGAACCCTCTGCTTCTGGATATGACGAGCACTGGGGAAACATCACCACCGAATATATCTCATCATGTACTGACTGTACGTGAGGACGGAACTACAAGAGACTTGTACGATTCTAGTCAAGAAGATGCACTTCCAATAGACGAACTAGAAATGGCTCTACCAGATGCCGATGACCTCGTCATTGATGCTGTAGTAGATATTATTAAACGAGACAATATCCAGTCGGCCATGCTTTTCGTCTCTTCCTCTGTCGCTCTTGGGCCTATACTAGACAAGCTAAATGCAGCCGGTATACCATCCGATAAACTTATTAGACAGGTAGAATGGAGTGACTTTGGAATCGAAGTTCATGCCACCGCGCGTGATTCAGAACCACAGAAGGAAGCTGGAACAGTAGAAGGCACAATGTCATCAACCACAAAGGCAGCCGTCGTATCAGACACTACAGCAAAAACGGCTCCATTTGCTTCCTTTACATCAGGGGATAATATACGTGTACTAGTTGCTACTGAACATGCTGCCCGTGGCTTAGATATGCCCAATATTAGCCATGTATTTATTCTTGGCCCACCAATATCTCCCACTTCTTATTTTCATATGGCTGGTAGAACAGGCAGGTTTGGAAGGCGTGGAACTGTCATCACAGTGCTTTCTGGTCGGCGGTACTCAGAACGGGTGCTCAAGATGCTGAAATCTCTACAGCTCTCGACCGGTATGCTCAAAAAGGTGTAAATCAAATGGAGCCCTCATAAGCCACAGTTGTCAAATGTTGCATAATGTCATCAATATAGTAGATACAGACATATACAGGTCAACATTCTTGTTCAGCACTAGTCTCACATGTTTTCAAATAATGCCAAAACTGTCACTTGAACGTTTCAAACATTCTCCGGCGTGCTATGATTCCAATCTTTTCATATGTATCAGAAATTGATGAATCCTAGTTGCCATGGGTGACACTTTATTGGAATTGACCTCGCTTGCCCAAACGAGGTAATCGTCCATTATTTTCGAGGAATGTTCACTATGATGAAACACTTCGCAGCATAAAAGATATATTATTTTGACACGCAGATATGCAATTACTAGCGCGCAATAGACTTGCTCTTCCATTGTTGAGCTTCTCATCTCTGCACACTTCCAACATTTCCAAAATCCAAAAGCAAGTAAATACCTATGAAGCTTCATATTGCCAATAGGACGAGATGACAAGCATGCAGCACTACGTGAATCCAATGGAAAATCATCCAAAGATCTGTCTCTGGGAGGGCTGCTACCATGTAACGCCGACAATGCATGAGCTCGTCCAACATCTTATCAAAACTCATGTTGAGATTCTACCCTTTGGACCGAACAAGTAAGCCAATTTGATGATATAATCAATTATTATTTATTGGTACGGAGCCATTTCACTATGTGGCATATGAACGATCGATATGTTTCTACCATGTTGTTTTCGTTTCGGAATTGTGCGTTGTCTTGTTGGGAGTGCGAGAGGTATTTGGTGATGGGAGATAGTAGGCGATTGAAGATGATGGTGGATTCTATCATTGTTATTAGTATAAATGATGGATTCACATTGTGTGGTGGTGAGGTTTCCTATCTTATATCGTGTTGTGGCGATTTAAGCTGTCAATATTATCACAACCGCTCTCGGTGTGATGGACGTATGGAATCTTCCCAGTGCAGTCCAATTAATTTAAACATCATATTATTGTGTATTCTTTCATCTAACTCTATCACTCCTCTCTTCGGTTAGATCACATGAAAGTTGTGTGTGTCGATGGAAGGACTGTTCCAATCGTCGTGTATTCACGTATCAAGGTCGAATGCTCGAACACTTGCGTGTTCATACTCTGGAACGACCTTATCTGGTAAGTTGTGTAGGTCGAATTATTTGTTCATGGTTGAGTCTGTAGGCGTGACGTTGTCTCGTACTTAGTGTCTACTTCGCTCATGTGCTGCTGTATTCACTCTCAAGAGAAAAAGTGTCTCTCACAGTAAGTGTCATTGCAGATGTATTTATATTTTCATCGTTACAAATTTGGCGTTGTTGGTTGCTGGTGCCTCATCAAGCATCTGGTGCTTTTTCAGTCCTGACTCATTTTTCGTCCCATCGCCCTCCTTTCTAGTTCGCTCTCGTCATCACAGAGACATTGATCCAATCTACCTTGACTATATGGAACCCTCTGGAAATGAATTCCATGAACTCATTCCAGCAGACGCTACTGACGAAGAACTCGCCACGCTTGACTTCATGATTGACGATGACGCCCTTGATGTGGATACTATGGACTTGTCACCTCTTACAACTCGTCATAAACACACCGCTAGTACTTCAAGCAACGAGACAGAAAATGGCGCATCATCATCAGTGTTATTGTATACCAATTATGATCCTGCCTCATATTCTGGTCGTAACATGACTCGATTAACTGATCCTGACTATGATGAAACAGACGAAGTGGTGAGCACAGACTTGGACTGCAAAGCACCAAAACGTTCTCGTCTATTACGTAATCGTGATATTGCACCTGTTACATCTGCTTTGAGGCCAGCACCTGCAAAATGTGTTGTCAAGTCAAATCTAGCAGCCAGGCTTTCTCGTTTGTCCAACGGTCAGTTTGCCTCTCGTCCTGATTTGTTTGAGGTAATTGTTAAACGTGCTGTCATTTGAAACGAACGGATATTTTTTGTTCTTACCGCCCGGTGTTTATCTGTTAGGCTCCAACTCTATCAGATTCTTCACGCAGTAGCTATCGTAAAGAGTCTAGCAAGAATGTCTCGTTCAAGAATTGGCCTATTGATCAAGAAATTCGTCAAATGGAACTTGATTTTATGAATTACGAACGAGCACGTAAGATTTGAATCGTGTGTCTCGTGGTCTAGAAGCTACTCAGGTACACATCGTATCTGTGATCCTATCGCATTACACTCTTTTGGCGGCATCGTCACCATTATACTAAGAAACCTCATATTCGTTTCTTTTTGCCCGACTAGAGTAATATACAAGCTCTTTCCACTGCCAAAATGTCATATCCCAACTCTCCATCTGACTCATCAGAGCCACATTCATTATCATACGAATCAAAGAATGATACCTCTTCTGACACACACTTTCTGAACAAATCAGCAATCAGTGTACTAGCAGAGGTATCATGTCTATTACTCGAAACGCAAGCAGCCCAAACCCGTATTGAGAACGAAGTCATTCCATCTCTGCAACGGAAGGCTCAGTCAAACAACGAAGAACATGAACGTAATGCTAGTCATGCTAGTGCAAACAGTAATGGTGAAAACACAATAGTATTGCGACTGTTGCTGGTACATCTATGGAACCACGAATAGCACGAATGGCTCAAATGAAGGATGATGATGACGGGTCGACCATTACGAACGTATCGAATATCAAGAACATATCGAATGTCACGAACGAGAACAACAACAATACTCGTCGTGACATTCCTCGATCTCGTATCATTACCACTACTCCATCATCGTCATCAAAACGTCAACGCATTGGGCCAGAACTCGTTGGTCAATCTTCATCATCGTCACCATCAGATGTCTGGTTTAGTAATGGTCAACGTAGTAACAGTCCAAATGGATTTGCATCAATTGATTGTCTGATGAACGAATTCCTCGCCAACTTCCCAACAGCAAGTAGTCCATTACCACATGAACTATCACCAATTCGTGAAGTCAAAGATGATTCTGGCCTCAGTGAGGTGGATGGCTACATGTCTGACTGAATAACTGTCAATCGTATATAAGGAAAAGAGGAGGATGTTTAAGAGGATTTGCGAAGGAAGAAAGGTTTAGGACATGTTGGACAGAATCAACAGAATGTTGATTATATTCTGTCCTCAATTTGCAAAAATCGTTGGACTTTCTTTGTATTTCTTTTGTTGTCATATATCTTGTATAGTCGTTTTTTATACCTCGTCTTCCTACATAAACTCGCCGTATATTCAACAAGAACAAATCAGATTCCATCTTCAAGGCCAAAAAGGGGGAGTTTTGCTCTCAACCAACACGTTGTCACGTCTACTAGACGCCCACTGACACCAACGAGAGATACGTTTCAATGTGTAATGTATTCAATAGCGAAAAAAAATTCAACAAAGCAACATGTGTTAACCCATTCATATTGTACCCTCAACTCGTCACGACTTCAGCATAAAAAAAATCAACCAATAATATTTTCATTGCAGCTGGACATAGTTTGCTGGGAACTATTGTATTTAAGGAGGAGGAGGTTAGTCCGAGGACACGTCTGCATGAGGATGGAGAGGGCGTCGCTTCTGCAACTACAAAAGAAGATAAAAATCCCTGCTCCTATGACGTACCGATCCTTCTCTTGCACCGATCTTCCCACTCCACCAATCATTGGTGCTGGCAGTCTTCTTGGTGATGGTAACAGTGTCACCTACAGTAATGCTCACAAGTCAGACTCTTGGCTCTTGTTTTGAATTCGCGGGCACATTTTTTTGGTTTATTTCAAAACACACACTTACCAGCACGGAAGTACAAGTCACCATCCTGTTCACCATCAAAGTCATACAAGGCAGTAGCAAACTCTGCACCACCTGTAAGTGTCCTTCGACCAGCAGCAGAAGGCAATGTTCCAGTTCGAGAAGCCATACCACCAGCAGCGATACCATTATTATTTTGTGGCGACCATGTATTTCTTGGGAATTCGAGTGACGCAGCTCGTTGAGCTTGTGCACCGAATGGATCCTTTGCTCTACCATAGTCGTTTCCTCCATATGATGCAGCATCGGTTGCTTGGATCATGAGATACCGTTGTCGTTCGGATTCAGCTACAGCACGAGCATTTGCACGTTGCTTTTCATCAGCCACTCTCATACCGGCTTCAATCTTTGTGTTGAGGGCTTTGTATAGATCGTTTGCTTGTGGTGGTGGAGGTACGCTACCGGATAGGATTTCCTTTGCAGTGATTTTGCGGTTGTAAAATTCGGCATTTGTTTCCTTTCGTTCTAGAATGACGGTTCCCTCAATGGAGACACCGGCAAACAATCCTTTCGTTTTACTGTATGAATATATAGCGGCCATATGTAGTACAGCACCAGCAGCTTCAGCACTTCTACCCATTGGACCAGCAGCGACTAGAAGCGTAGTGATGATTAGCACATACGTCACAGATAAGGACAGAAAGTAGTGTAATTATCATAATCCGGTAGCCCTGTGACGATTGCTGCTGTATTAGAGCTTGGATCTAGGCAACTTACCAGACACATTTCCACCCAACGTTATGTTTCCAGTATGCGAGAAGGCCTTGACAGCTTCATCCGTATTCAGTACAAATACAAAGTCTGTGATTTCGACACCGATTTGACCACCAGCACCAGCTCCAGCTTGACCAATAGCACAGGGTGCTGACCAACTTCCATCAGGAAGACGTGCGACGACCAAACCAGCACCAGCTCTACCCGAGAATAAAAAGCCAGCCTTTATCACTGTCATGACAGCCACTCCCTTTGCAGCCGCTAAATTATGGGTTGATGGAAGTTAGTCAACCAATTGAGACATGTTTTTGATCTGGGATCTATAATTGCCCTGTGACTAAGCGGCAGTATAGTTTTTCGGGGAGGAGCTGGCAATATAAGCCGGTCAATAGATAGATATACATGCATTCTATGCAAATACATGGTCCGTTTTGATCTCCTTTGATTCGATCGTTGATGCAAGTCACAAGCGGCTCATAATTAAACACACAAGTCTTGTGTTTAGAGTTTTGCGAAACCGTCTCCACGATATGCGGGAGGGATGGAGAAGCATATGATATCTAGAGTGCTCTCACATGCAGAATGCATCATGTAACAGGCTCCATGCGTCTTGTTCATGATTTTCCCCTGAATGTCAATGTTTGAATGAAATGTTGGAATTACCTAGTATTGTAGGAGGTATGTACTGGTCTGGACCAAACGAAGAGTCTGGCTTGACGAATTTGTTGATGATCTTTGCAGCAATCTTGCATTGAGCGCCCAGCTCTTGTGGGATGGGACTGTTCACCATTTGGAAGTATGTAAACTGTTGGACTTTGCAGGTATGTTATCTATCAATAGTGCTACTAGTCAGCAATGTGAATCGATTCGAACCGAGGGAACCGTACCTTTCAGCTCCTATCGCTTCCGCTTGTGTGCAAGTTTCCTTTGTGGCTGTTCACTCTGATGAAAACACGTTCAACGAATCATCACCTCAACGTCAAAAGACAAGAGACGAATCGCAAGAGCGGTAGGCTGTGACTTTAAATATTTGCCTAAAAGATGAACAGACACAAGAACATCGCGCAACCTGACTGGTAAATGGCACGGTCGGCCGACTCGACCGGGCGTTGCGATGAACTGTACAGATCAACGTATTGTGATATTCCTCTATTTCTTCACATATTGCGGTTCAAGATTTACACAGTCCTTAGTACGTCAACGCAAGCTGATCTCTTCTAAAATGACTGCTACCCAACGTACAGACATACAATTCACACATAGAATTCCTTTTCATGGCAGATCTGGTCGAATTCGAGCCTACATTGACAAGGGCACATCACGCATATACCCTTGGTGATGGTTGCCTTGGAATGGTGGAATACCCCAATGGCCCTGGTGATGATGAGCTGGCATTGGTAATCCAGAAATAGTGTCCCCTGTGTGCAATTGACCTGCACAAAGTGAGAAGCAGGTACAAAACCTACTGTAGCATTCCTGGTCCAAAAAAAGATAGAGATCAGTACAAATTATAAAGATTAGTTTAAATGTGTGATGTGTACACTGTTACCTGGCAAATGGGGTCCTGAAGTGTGTCGACACGAAGAGTCGGCCTTTGCCTTGCGACAAGCAATAGAACTCCTGACCTAATGTGGATTCGTTAGCGAAGCCCATCAGATTGACATACCAAACTTCTACATACCGATAACAAATGGGAGAAGTCCGCTGGAGTTGTCTTGACTTGGGCGGATTGCTCTAACTCTGATGATACCACGGGCGTCCATGTGCTTGTTGTACTTGAGTATAAGTATGATATATTGCAGCCTTGTAGCGCTAGATAATGGTAGTGTTTAACAGTGTGATGAATTAACAACTGCGGTCTGCCAACCGTTTTGGTGTGTAGTGTGTGGTTCCAGTGCTTGATTTGGGCGTAGATCGGGGCTTGACGGACATACTTTAATAACATGTGCTTCTCCATGAAAATGTGTTGTCCTTTCATGGATTGACGCATCATCAACAAAAAATAATGACTTCCATTGCCCTGTACTATGACTGCGTTTCTCCCGTAAGTGTATATGACTCATAGATCCCAAATCAAAGTAATTCATCGTCCTCTCCAATATTATAGTGGTCCTTCTTCAGTTTCTTGGTCAGTTCCTTGTTTTGAGCCTTTGAAAGTTGAATCTGGGCCTGTTGGCTTAACCGGTCGCTCATCTTCATCCTTAGAGGCTTCAACGTTACTCTGCCCTATGGAATATCAAAATTGATTTGCGTCCGTGTCTGCTTGGTAAGTTGCCCAAAAAACATGCAAACATCAAGAATTGTTGGTGTGGTACAGTCAACAGTCAGCACACACAAATCTCAAGTTATTCACCTTGTTCCAGATTAGTTTAACCATGTTTGTAACTTCCATTTAATGCAGGTGGAGTGCACAAGGCTACTGGAAACCAACCTCCAATGGTTAATGCTTGGAAGGGAAAGAACATGCTTGAAAGTGAGCACAAGAACGTGTATCTGCAAGCCTTTGTTGCTCACCAATTGACAAGCCGTGCTGTTTCCTTGCTAGTGCTGCCACTCGTCGCGCAAATGATGGACGTACAGCTCAAACGTCCCAAGAAGTTTCCAACTCCTACCGTCAAAGTTATGAGAATTCTGACTGCCATCAAGCTCAGCTCTCCAGAGCACTTGGCTGCTGCCTCTGAAGGCATGTGGAAACTTTTGCACTGTGAGCAAGGAGATATAGACAGTGATGAAGAACTCGTTGCGAAACTTGCTACTATTATGGGAACTGACGAGGCCAAAAAGATGCTCGAAGCATCAACCTCGAAACCTGTAAAAGATGAACTTATTCGAGCCACAGAAGAAGCAGTAAAAGAAGGAGCGTTTGGAAATCCTTGGATTGTTGCAGTAAAAGATGGAAAGAAAGTGTGCTTCTTTGGTGATGATTCTTTCGAACGTGTTTGTTTCTTCTTGGGTAAGTAATTTATAGCGTTGGAGCAATTTTGAGTGATTCATCTTAACAAACGTACCTACTAGGCAAAGACAACTTGGGACCAAACCCAAGTGAACAAATCAAAAAGCTTAAAGCCACTGGATACTCGCCTCGCTTGTAATAGACAATAATAACTTTGAATATCTCAATAACTAGTTCTTTGCAATTCGGGATTCCATACAAATCATTTTATGTGATGTTTTCGTTTCATATGATGTTCTACAACTTCGATGGTGCAACACTCGTAACAGGTCGGCCTACACAAGGGATCGTTAGAATATGCTGCGATGAAAAAGTATGTATGGCTGTGTTGAAATTACCTCTGTCCGCCTGTTCAGCTACCAACAAGGATGGGAATTTCTTTGGAAGGCTTCGTGCTGGTTCAAATCCAGGCACTATATTAAGGATGTGCGTTAGAAGCAAAAACGATGAATCCTCAACCATCAGAACAAACCCGTACCAACTTGATATTTCGAAAAATCAGTCACACCCTTGAAATCTCGAAGGAAATCTTCATCAATGACACAAAGTCCATTGACCTTTTCGGCGGGCTCGGACAGAATTCCGACAATGGCATCAGAGAAGATACTTGCTTTGCGCAAGTGTTTCAAGGATTCCATATTTGTGCCTGAGCGGATCTCTGTAACAGCAGATTGTATAGCCGTCGCTGGCCAAATAGATGTAACAGCAATATCGGATCCTTCAAGCTCAAAGGCCAGTCCCATAGTCAAGACGGACATTCCAACCTTGGAAGAATGTATCAAAGTGCACATCTGAATAAAATGTAAGAGCAACAGTCTTCCCGTACCTTTCCGACTGCATAGCTTGTTTTGCCACGGAAGAATCTACTGTAGATAGGAGGCGATACACCAATTATTCGACCGCTCTTTTGTTTGATCATGTGAGGATAGACAGCTTGAACGGCCGCATAGTAGCCTCTGACGTTCACCTCTAGCGTCCAAATGGGAGGGTGTGAGCGAAATTTGAAACTGTTTCCCACACAAAACTACTAGCAATAGAGCATTACCTTGCATCAGCTCAAATCGTTTGTTGTTGGTCTCTTTAACTGGAGCCCACCATATCGCCCCAGCATTGTAGATCAACACGTCAACACGTCCATGCATGGCTACTACCTTCTTGACCATTTCGTCAATAGATTCAACCTTACGGACATCGACTTGTACGGCATCAGCAGTACCACCAGCAGCAGTGATTTCGGCAGCGACGTCATCCACGGTTCCTGTTGTATGGGACGCGTTAATTTCTAAAAGCAATTGCCCTCATACAACGGATCTTCTTGCCTTTCAATTTGGTCTCCTTTCCATATCCTGCAACAGCTCCTTGGCTCTTTGCGGTTACAACGACGTGATATTTTTCTTTGGCTAATGCCAGGGCCATATCAGCTCCCATGCCACGGGAAGCTAGAGTTATCAGAGAATAAATTGAGTGAGCATAGTTTAGAGGTGGATCCAAGTTAACAATGTATGCACCAATGTTTGAACAAAAAGATGAATCAGCATGTTTTTGAACACAGATCAAGGAAACCGAAAAGTGGACAATAGGCGGTCGCTCTGTAAAGACATACCTCCTATAACGATAGCTACTTTCCTGACCATTTCTTAGTGTCCTTCTTTGCTAATATCGACTGTTGCGTGTTGTTGTTGATGTGTGGTGCAAATGTTGCTGAGGAGGCATGCATTTCTCATCTCACGTCATCAAGGACAAAGCTTTGAATAAAGCAGGTATTAATTATCGCGTAAATCACGCAGAAAGATCCCTGGTAGTTATAGTTGATTGATGCTGAGTTGGAAGAAAAGAATGATGTTTCTTCTTTCTTGCTTCTCGTCGTTACCGAAAAAACAGAGTTCGCACCTTACAATGAGTGGACAGGAGCATATTACAAGTGAGAGTGTCTACGATCTGTATTTAGGAGGCACATTGGAGCGAGGAGATACCTTGTACGTTTGCTTTGCTCTGTCTTTTCGCATTCGGCCACCATGGTTTTTGGAGTGCCGCACCTTTTGCTAACATTGACTTGTATACAGAAACGACAACCTTAAGGATAGATTACAAGGCTTGCGGGAACGTCCATCCTTTGGAAGTCTGAGGCCCGAAATAACTCAACCACAGCAGCAGCAAAATCTGCCATCACCAGGAGGTGCCAAAATGTTATCGCTCAGAGCTCAAGACTCACTGGCCCGTCCAGCAGCTAGAACTTATGTAGATGATGAGCCTGCGGAGGCTGAAGAGATGCTGTCTATAGATGGAGAAGTTGGGACGGACATTGAAACGATCGTGGTCACTAAACTAGCACCAGTCCCTGAAAAAGACTCTGGAAGCATAGCCTCTTCCACTCAGGTCAAGCCCATGGGCTTCTTTAGAGGGCTTCTTAGGAGAAGACCATCACGGGGTTCAACAACTGGTAGCGTAACTGAAAGTGTTGACTCGGAACGAGAATCTCGATCTCCAGAACCAAAATCTGGTGGATTCTGGAGGTCTCGTTCTAGAACTAGGTCTCCGGATAAGGGCAGAGGAAGGTCACAAGGTCGAGACACTGAGCCAAGCAGTCCTGTAAATAGTGAGCCGCCGAAACGGTCCAAGTCTCCATTTAGGTTCCTATCTGGTGCTTCGACAACGGGATCGTCAGCACCTGTAAGAGCAAAGTCTCCATTCAGCGAACGATTCAAGACACCACCACCAGCTTCTCCTGTCGCAAAAGTGCCTGGACTTATTGTCGTGGAAGGAAGACCCGTTAGCCCAGCACCGTCAAGACCACTAACACCGATAAACACATCGTCAGGAGTATCGTCCTTCCCTTCACCAGCTCATACACCCATAATGTCATCAACCTCGTCGACCCCAACCACAGCAAAAAAGTCATTCAGGGACATGCTTATGGCTGACGAACCAATAGAAGTCTCACACACCGAGCTTGAACCCTTGGAACATACAACCATAGACCCCAAGACTGTAAAATTCGTAGAACCGTTTGTGCCTCTGAAGCCATTCACCCCACTCGAATCTGGGCCATCTAATATTAACACATTGGGTGGCTTTGATGAGCCATATATAGCTGAAGCGGAAGAGGCATCTACACCGATATCCGACATCCCAATAAAACCGATAGAGCCACTGATGGCATTGAATTTACGACCGATAACTCCCCTCGTGCCCGATGAAGAAGACGAAGATATAGCGCTACCAATCATAACTCCAATGGAACCGATAAAGGAACTCGAGCCCCTTCAACCATTACGACCAATGACTCCACTCACTCCGGATCTAGATGATGACGAACCCATTGAAACGTCGCAGGCTATACAGCCACTACCAATCACTACGACAGTACCAGCCCAGGATAACTTCTCCAAGCCATACCAGCTGCCACCAAGTACAACTCCTCAATACGAGCAGCCTAGATATATAGAACAGCCTAGAGTAACGGTGCCTTTAAAGAGACCAGAACTGCCATTAGCTACCTTTGATACAACATCATCACCACCACCGGCAACAGTAGTATCATCTGCACCTTCAGTACCTTCGTCATTTATGGAACTGCCAGAATTGACCTTCTCAGATACGGAAAGCGTGTCTTTCCCCTCATTCTCACGTATTGTGAGTGCTGTAACCCTTGGCAGGCCAAGTGCTAAACAGTAGAAACTCCCTGTAACTTTTGTTAGTCTTGTAACTTTTGTTAGACAAATCGTATAATATTGACATTCATTTAATGTACTTTATCAAACTGGGACGTGTTTTCAAGTGCCTTTCATACTTTCAGGGACGCGTCTTGATGTGCGAAAATTCAGGTGTTCTTGCTAGATCCGAGTCAGAGAGGACATAAACCATTAGCAGTCATCACATCCAAGTAGATCCAGTTGGTTTGCTGGCAGGTGTTAGCTGCCAATTCTTCGACATCTCCGCGTGCTTCGCAAAAAGGTCAACATTTTCGAATCTCGTCTACTGACCGAGCAAAATTGAATCATGGCCAGCAAGCAAAAGCCGCTGAAGCTTCGACCAGCGAATGTCTCACTACCATGGATGTTTGGCATAGGACAGATGTCATCAGATGATGAAGAAGATGTGATCAAGGCTTCATCACCTCCAGCAGGTTGAGTATACTCAAACCGTTGCCCCTGAAATCTATTCATAATTGAATCTAACATAGTATTTGATCTACCTTATTCAGGCAAACAAGGAAATCTAGCTGAAATTGATGAATTCGTTGTTCATACACCACTTCGCGATGGACCAAGTGGCTATTCGCAACCACTATGGGAACAAAGAATTGAAGAAACTTTTGTACAAGAAGGGTGGTCGCCAACACGGACAGATACAGGTCTCGTTGGGACCTCAACTCCCGATCGCAGCAATTCAAATGAACGACGATTACATTCCCCAGAGGATCCAATAGGCAATTGGTCTTCACCAAGAATGCAGTCTCCTGCTAACGGTAGTAATAGTAATTCTAGAACAATGGACAATGCTAGGTCACCGGCTGAGAACCCATTCTTGACAAGTGCAAGTAGAAGCAATGCTGAAACCTATACGACGAATAATACAAGAGATCCATTTGCTACTTCATCACGACTAACTCGTAGTCCTCCACCGCCATCACGACCTCAGACAGCTAATGCAACACCGCAAAAGCCGCAACAACCCACACAACAGCAGCCTATACAACGACCAGCTACTGCACTACCAACAACAACAGCAAATAGAGTACCAGCTACTGTAACTCATATAGAACCTCAACCTCACATACCGCCCCTCGTTATAACGGGCATGACACCAGGATCTACTAGATCAGTATCCCCTAGAGTTCCAGACCAACAAGCAACACCTGTATCTCCTCAGAAATCAGTGGCTCAGACATCGGCGATACTAGATAAAAGCAGCATGCAAATGTCGTATGGTGAAATCAAGGCTGAGAATGATCGGATATATGAGGTTCAGTTATTGAGAGAAGAACTTCGAGCTGCGTTGAATGAAGCGCGTCGATGGAGAGATATCGCAGAGTCTGCTGGTGCTAGTGCTGCCGCTGCTAGATCTGATAGTGTTAGTCGAGAGGCTGTTGAGAACTTGAAGAATGAGGTACGTGGTGTGTCACGGATGCCCTGATTTCTTTATCGATCCCTTAATGTTTTTGCTCATATTAGTGCAGCGAATCACGACAACGTATTGCATTTTTGGAGAGCCAGAATGAAGATTTGCTGAATGCAATATACGATTATCAAAACCGTGAGCAACAGGCACATTCTCAGTTACGGCAAGTGATGGATCGGCTCGACGAAGCAACGCTCAAGGCGGAAGAAGGTCAACAAAGGCTGGCTGATGAAAAGGTTCGTGACAATATGCTCTTGCGTTTTTTTCTCACTTACCGAAGTTGTGGTAGGCAAAGAACGAGAGAAATGAAATCGACTTTCGTCTGTTCTCTCGTAAGCTCAGAGGTCTACAAGACACTAATGCTGAATTGCGGCAAGAAGGAGAACAGCTTCGATCCGAGTTGAGGGTATGTCATTACTGACCAATGTCCTCGTTTTTCCCCATCTTATCGCATCTTTTCACTCTTTCAAAGCGGTTGCAATATGAGGCTACTGGTCCACGTCGTTCTCGAGAAGAAGGCGTGTCGCTAAATGAGAGTCAGCTAGCCTTTGACAATGAAGCGTTGAAGGTGAAGAAAATTTTGATGAATCTTTAGATCAAACTCTCAGTTGTTTTTTTGCTCATCGTTTCCATCTAACTAGCTTCTGGTTATGGACTTGCAGAAAGAGAACGAATCTCTCAAGCCCGCTTCACAAAGACCAGATACAGCAACACTACTACCATCGACGTATAATTATCTGGATCGGCCACCATCAGCATCAGCCGACCGGTATAGATCACCTATAAGGACAGTACCTCCATCGTCATTCGACGCCGTTAGATCACGTCTAACCACTGCACAATCGAGTATACAGCCATCCACTAATACCAATGATCCAATGTCGTTTGGATCTCGTCTAGCTCGTTTTGAGCAAGAGTCCGTCTATAACCCAATAACGCATGATACTACACCGCCTCCTACTAGGCAGAGTAATGGAAATCATGCAACCAGTAATAATTGGGCGTCTTCGTCGTTATCTAATGCTAGAGATTGGGGTCGTGCATCGTGGGCTGGACCTTTACCACTGTCGGGTAATGGTTTGAGTAATGGTGGTGGTAGTAATAATTCAAGGCCAGCGACATCTGGTGGACCTAGTTATCGAGATTCAGAAAATCTTGGTGAAATGGACTTTATTCAAGTTCGTGACCAGCTGGATGCTGAGCTGAGAAAATTGAATACTCACAAGGTACTGCATTCGTTTACCATTTCATTTTTTTGGCCACGGTCGACTGACAGTTTTGCGCAACGTTTCTACAGGCATCGCTGGAGTATGAAGCGTCTCGACTTAAATCTGGTCCTGGATCTGCTCGAAAAAGGCGAGAAGATCTTGATGATCAATTGGAGAATGTACAACGGGATATTTCATCAGTGAGAATGAAGATGAGGACTCTCAAAATCTTGTAAAGTTTTGGCGACTAGCCTGTAATATACGAGCCTAACCTCAGAACCAGAAAGGACATGAGAAACTTGCCGGTGGAATCTGTTTTGAATCCAACGTGAGCATGGAACAGACCGGACTGGATCATTGTGGTGTGAGTGGAAATTTATTTTTCAATCATATGTAATGCCAAAAAAGAAAGGTCAGAGTGCTTTTACGACCTTTGCTCGTGTTCAGTCGAGTGCTTTTGCTTCTCCAATATATCGGAGTCTGTTCGCGCTTGAACGTAGTCCTGGAAATCTCCTAATAAACATAAAAAGCATAGTCAGTGCAAGCCTTGAAGCAAAAACGAGGCCTATACTCATGAAATGCAAAAAGGCTTACTGGGCTCTGGCCAAGGTCGTGGTCCAATCAGTGCAGAGATATCTTCACGAGAAATGACTTCTCGCTCCAACAGCAGTTTAGCAACCTTCTCCACCTCAGCCTTCCTCTCCAACAAGAGATCCTTGGTTCGGGTATATGCCGACGCAATAATTGACCTAACTTCCTCATCAATCAGTCTAGAAGTCTCTTCAGAGTATGGTTTCTGCAACTGCTGACTATTATCATCTCCCCTGCCATACGATATGGGACCAATAGCTTTACCCATTCCATATGTCATGACTTGAGCATATGCCATTCTAGTCACTTTTTGTAAATCATCTTGTGCACCTGTTGTTATTGATGCAAAAAAGATTTCTTCAGCCACTCGTCCTCCCAATGTCATGCACGTCATATCCAGCATCTGCAGAGTAGAATGCAGGTATTGCTCCTTTGGCAGATATTGGGCATAACCTAATGCAGCGACGCCACGTGGGATTATAGATACTTTGAGGAGAGGGCTGGCATGTTGGAGATACCATCCAGCTACAGCATGTCCAGCTTCATGATGGGCCACTATAGTTTTTTCTTCAGGTGACAATACTCGTGATTTCTTTTCTAGACCAGCAATGACTCGTTCTATAGCAGCTTCAAAGTGCTTTTCGACCACTGTTTCAGCGTGTCCACGTGCGGCAATTAGAGCTGCTTCATTACATACATTGGCAATATCTGCACCAGAGAATCCAGGTGTTAAAGCAGCTAGTTTACGAGATAGTCGTTCTAGATCTTCGGTGGTTTTGATGGGTTTCAAGTGTACTTTAAAGATATCAACACGGCCTTTAATATCGGGTCTATCAATAGCAATATGACGATCGAATCGACCTGGACGTAGTAGAGCAGGATCAAGGACATCAGGTCGATTAGTACCTGCTAATACTACTACATGTTCAGATGACCCAAATCCATCCATCTCCACTAACAATTGATTTAAAGTGGATTCACGTTCGTCATTGCCACCTGCAAATCCTCCTCGTCCACGAGCTTTACCAATGGCATCGATTTCATCAATAAAGATAATACATGGTGCATGCTTCTTTGCCTTTGCAAACATGTCTCGTACTCGAGATGATCCTACACCGACAAACATTTCTACGAATTCAGATCCAGATACCGAGAGGAAGGGCACACCTGCTTCACCAGCTGTAGCTTTGGCCAGGAGAGTCTTTCCTGTACCTGGTGGACCTGATAATATAGCACCTTTAGGTATCTTGGCACCCAATTTTTCGTATATACCAGGATCTTTGAGGAATTTGACGAATTCCATGATTTCTTCCTTGGCTTCATCCATACCAGCCACATCTTTAAACTTGACTTTTACATCCGTCTCTTGATTAAACATTTTAGCTTTAGATTTACCAATACCAAAGATACCCTGACCAGCACCTCCACCACCAGCAGCACGTCGCGACAGCCAAAACAAGACACCGACCAATATCAAGGTGGGAGCCAGGTTGAATAATAAAGATAAAGTACTTATTTCGTTCGAGTATGATACGGGAATACGGTCTCGTGGTGGGACTCCCAACTCTCGTTGGGCGGATTCTAGGTTTCGTTCAAAGGATTCTATACTACCTATAGTGAAGTAGTATCCACCTACACCCGACTGATCTGGTCGTTGGCCCCCGGTGCCTCGCATGGGTAGAGCTTGTGGAGCATCAGGTCTTAAATACACACGTACAATACCCTTGTTGATGACGACTAGATGATCTACATATCCCTTGTCTAGCATATTTACACGAAACTCGTGCCAAGTGATTTGATGCTCTTGGCTGATCTGAGACAAGAAGTGGTATGCGATAAAGAGTGCTGGTAGCCCATACATGAATATCATGGTAGGGTTGAGTTTAAAGGATGTTAGGACTTCGAATGTGTTTTCGGATGGTTCTTTATCTTTACTACTGTCCTTGCGATTCTGCTCTCTCTGCCTTTCCCGTTTAGCTAAATGATGACAAATGAGCTGTGAGCATGGGGTATTTCCCAATTTGCGGTTGCGCCGAGTAAGGCTCTTAAGCCTCGAAACTCATGCATAGCTTCTATGCTGTAAAACACATCGAGCAGACGTACCCTTGCTTTCAGATTCGTTCTCACTAGCAGATTTTTTATTCTTTTCTCCATCCTTCTTGTCTCCCTCATTACCACCGCTTCCACTACTACTTTTACTGCTCTTACTCTCACTCGAAGATGAATCGGATTTGGCTTCACTATTAGGACGATCGAAAAAGTTTTCAAATCCTTTTGGTATGACTTTGGGTCTATCCTTTTGAGGTGGAGGCGGTGCCGGGTCCGATGAAGCCCATCTCCTTATGATGTCGTTGAATGCGAGTTGATGTCGAGATCTGTGGACGTGCCGTAAGGGTATAGACACGTGTGCAGTAGTCGTTGTGTAATGCGATATGGAGGTCCGAGAGCGGATGGATGGTATGATGGATGTTGTCTTTGGCAGTAATGGGTTATTCGACCTGCTCAATAATGGTGATGACGATGCACATGTTGATGCATGGTGGGCAAGACACAGCAGAGATTGAGCCCTTCGTATAGTCTCAAGCGGCAGCCGTATACTGCTACCCGGCATGGTACCTCCTTGCTTTTACTCGTCGAACAAGCGAGAAAGGAGCTCGCTCTACGGTTTGGACAACGAATGACACGAATCAATCTGAAATCCCTGTTGCGGCTCATAATCGCGACGAGGACGCGTCATTGCTGTTTAGCTCGTGTGAAATGTCGGATAGAATCCTTGCTTGGCCAGTTTGTAGGACTTACCTTCCTGCTCTAGCTCTGACAGAAAATTCCAAACATATTCCGTTGTGAAGTTGGGGCAAGAACACCACTAAAGCTGCTAGAGAACTGAGTTCGAGGATACGTTCCTAAGAACGAAGCACTGCCCGAAGAAGTCAAAAGGAGTCGGAAAGGCTGGCCCTCATTGCGTGGTGAAGGAGACGCAAGCTTTCGTTGGCATTTACAGTACATTATTGCAGCCACATGCACAGAAAATTGACATAGAACTGGTGTTTAGACTATCATTGGCTGTCCTACATGTGGAGGGTGTCCCAGTTTCGTTCGGGTTTGCTAATAAGCATCTCCAAAACAGTGCGCTGGAGCAACATCGAATTACAAACTGATACAGGCGAAAGATGCTCACCCATTGCGATTATAATCGATTTGGGAGGCCACCTCAACGCATTGGCGCGTGCATCTGCTAAGAACATTCTCCGTGTCGCCGTGGACTTCAACGTTACGACACGTTGGTGCACTCTCTGGTCGAGCAACGTGGCTCAGAATTCTTTCACCAAGATATGATGCTTGAGCTGCTATTTTATTGCCAGATAGATATGCACGCCCGGGTGTTGATAGTTGATATTGAGAGAAACTAGACACATATATGTTGTTCAGATACATTACCGGACATACAAAGAAACGTACTTTGTAACCGCAAAAGCGCCAGAATTAGCATTCATTCTTGTTTCTCAAGTCTTCCAACCCGATTTAGCCTCTTGTATGGAGCAGTTCGATGCAGAGCTTTGTAAAATCCGTTGAAGCCTTCCATGAAAGTTTGTTGCGAGAGGGCGATTCCAAATTCGTCACAACTTTCCTTCAGCCTAATGTTGGACGAACCGTTAGTATCAGGCTTGACATGAGCTCCGTTTGCGGCGATCCACTATGTGGTTAAAGCAGCAGGAACACATACACATTTTTAAGAAGAGGATGATATGCATGGTCAGTGGTCGGCAGCAGGTGGTGCAACGTGTGTTCTCCAAAGGTTGTGAGCACGATCACTGGGTTGTCCTTGAGTTCGATCCTATCGGTAGTCACCTCCATATGATACATTCCGAAATCTGTAGGCATTGACGGATCGCCTATTGAAATAAAGACAAATTCAACTGGTCATAAGCTTGATAGATGTGATTGAAAGATTTTAAGAGATTCAAACGAGCCGTGCCTTGATGCCATGGGCCTTCATCGACCGAATCCTTGTTGTGAGAACTGTAGGATCCAATACTCAACAACGTCCAGCTGGTAAACATATGCATGAACTAATTGGAGCACGGATTTTAGGTGAACGCTCGAATGTTTACATTTGACACATGTCAGAAATGCACTTACAGAAAACAGTCCAAGGCCACCCCAAAAGGACTTGCGTAACTTGATAATCATTGCTAGTTCTAGCAACGGCAGTATCTCTCCAAAATTTTCCTTGCCGTTACGTTTACGGAATATGGACTGGATTGTACGAGAATAAAATCCCAATAAGGTTATCACAAAAAAGTACTTTTGTAGTTGCCAAAATCCCTTGACTTGTTTGGCCGGATCTCGCTTGGAAGTTGGTAAAAGTGGGAGCATTGGCTCTGCGCTCCATGTTTCCAAATCCCACCAGCTATTTGCGTACAGGTGGTGACTCAATGCGTGGGTAATTCGTCCAGTATATGAGCTCCCCAATGCCAGGTCTAAAATTTAATGTGTTTGAGTACATAGATCTTGTCAATACGAGCCTTTTTTTGTCTCACCCATTAGGTACATTCGCCAGTTGTCCCTTTGATGGTAAAAGTTGTGTCCGGCAACACTGATGAGGAAGAAAGGTTTTAAAAAATCAGTCAACCGTACTGTAGACGTAAAGCGAAAAACTCTGCATCACTCACGCAATCATTCCCAACAATACACCAGGCAGGACAACTAAAGGATATGCCTTCCACGACTTCCAAGATGCCGCAACAGCTACAAGTCCCAGGTGCGTCAGAAGCAATCCATCGGCGATCATCCGGGACTGTCGTTTTGGTCCATCTCCTGCTGCTTTAACAATCGGTAAAGCCCGACGACGTAAAGTGGCATAGAAGCCATCTTCTTTGAACGTCAAAGGTGACAGGCCTGAATTTCGAGTAATTTCGTAAGAATGTAGGCAAGAAAAACATAACACTTGGAAGGACTGACGTGAACCTCCTGCAGGTTTGACATAGTACTTGGATAAGAGTGATCGGGCCTTCTCGATGTCGAGATGTGCGCTTTCCTACATAAAGTACGAGTGTCTTGAGCTATATGTCAACTTGGGCAGTTCTTCAAACCAGTACTCTTACAAAGGCTTCTGTAATATCCAGTCCTTTGAGCATTGTAATCCACTGTTGCCCACCAGGATGCTTAAAGTTGGTGAGATCGTACAGTCTGCATATGGAAGAAACTCCTCAGTTGTTGTCATTGTTGTGATATGTCGCACTATGTACTGTCGTGGACTTTGACCAGTAGGTAGATCTTCGGCCAACTTACGAGTCATGAACTCTCCAATATGATGGATCAGCACCATGTTTACAATCATCGGTCCGTCTTATCTCCAACCATTCAAATGGATCTCGAATGTGTTCATCGCGCCGTGATGGTCTTGGGAAAGTAGTTCCTAAAGCAGATACTGCATCTCCTGAATCTTCCTAAAGATGCCAACAAGATATGAGCGTACAATTAGTGTACTGTGGGGCTTCAAATGCAACGATTGCAAAAAACGTGAGTTTGAATGTTTGAATGCTTTGTACCATAGCTTCAGCTATCTCATCCGCGATATTTGGAGGCATGATTACAGTGTTCTCTATGTCCTATAACAGGCAAACACTGCTGTTGCTGATATCAGATTTGATGGTAAATGGGGCCTAAAACAAAACCGGTGCTGGTGACACACTCGAGAGACGCAAAAATCATTATTTCTCGAAAACAGAGGTTCACAACATCCCAAACTCATGGACACAATTCGATTTCATTACGGCAATACATCAGCCATTTACTTGTACATCATTCTAACTGGATTGACGCGTCCGCAAGCAAATTTCATTGGAGCACAATTTTACAATTTACTTTTACGCCATCTTGTAGGCTGAGGTTTGTATCCAAGCATCCTCTTTGCCTTGTCTATAGACAGAAGAGTCTCGAATTCTCCAGTTCCAGGCTTCAGAGTGACTTTGCCATTAAAGTACGTTTTCAGCAACTCAGAGTTTGGAATCCTCATACATGTATCCTCGTTGGCGATGATGAACACTAGAAGACAATGGAATGAATGAATACCAGAGAATCCTTTTCGTAAACGGAAGGCATGCACTGCGAAATAACGTATTACCTTCAGCGCCTTTTATTGGTGCAGTCAATCCTTTTAACACGGCATCACTTGCATCTCGAGCGTCTGCGAAGGGAAAATGTTAAAGTCACTGGAGGCAAAAGCTCCACGAGACCAGAACCGAGAGCGACATACCTATATAACCCCAAAAGTTCCATGCTCTCGACATGACGGAAGCGGCATCCACAGAGAAACTATCAAAAGTTGCATATTCTTCGGCTGTGATAACATTACTAAATCTGAATCCCAAGATCTTGAGGTCTGGGTCTCGTCTTGCGTATTGTTCTGCCATCTTCTCAGACAGGTACTTGGACAGCTGTATATTCAAAACAAGACAAGTTCAGATCCTGAACGTGTTGAATCTAGAGCGACGAAACATACAGAATAGGAGCTCTCTGGTAGTTCGATGGATTCATCAACTGGGACTGAAGATGGCGTCGTTCCTGGAAGCCACATTGGAATTCCAAGGACAGTCTCTGAGCTTGCATAGATAATGTTCTTGATCTTCAATTGTCGACAAGCCTCGAATACATTGTACGTCGACATCATATTTGTCTGAAACACCACGGAATTCGTCGTTAAGCCAGGAGCTGGGATAGCAGCTAGGTAAAAAAAAACCATTACTTTAGTCACGAGAGACAATGTAGATGGTGTTGATAGCTTTCAAGCTAAACGATCCCGAAACAAATCATGTTCCACGATGTGATTCCAATGAAGCTCACCAAGATGCACCACAGCATCGAAAGGGGCCGAAGCAATGTGATCGCAGTGGCTCAAGACTTGGATGGTCTCTCCAAAATCTACTAAATTTGCTCTGACATAAGGATACGAAGGACGATGTGTTGCAAGATTGTATTGTGGAACAGTGTCTGTGACGACCACCTTATGACCATTGTCGTGCAGGTGCTGAGCGATTATTTTGCCAAGACGGCCCTGTCCTCCTGTAACGAGAATCCTCATGGTTGAACCTGCTGGTCTTGAAGAAAGATGTTTGGAAATGTGGTTTGTGTGGTTGAGGTAAGTGAAAAAGTCAAATCGCCGGCAATGGGAGTATTGCTACCAAATGCATCTATGCAATCATAGTTATGTAGTTGCTTTTCGATGCTCCACATCTCGTCTCTGTTTGGTTTCTGACCCCAGGCAAAGTTGTTGTGACAACATACCCCAAGCTGATTGCTGGAACATCGATTTTATTTTGATCAGAGTGTGATAAATGGACTATTTTCAAGTATCGCATATACCATGCCAGAAAGTCAAAGCTTGTTTTGTTGAGCTCTTGTGCAAATTGTGATCGAACACCGACGACTTTGCTGCACATAGACCGGTCGCTCAAAGCAAGAACAGCCATATACCACGATTGCCTTAAAGTATGTAGCAGCCCACGTTCAGAGGGTCAAAACTCCATACAACCTTGTTGGAACCACCAACAAATACGCCTGTTTGCATTCGAGGTTTCTTTAATTAGCAGATGGAAAAGATTATATACATTTTCTGGTCTTAAAATAACGATGCTGACAAAAGTTGCCAGACTGTTAATATTCTGCGTTGACATCCTACTTTTGTGCGCGTTTCTTCAGAGCCTCGGCCCGTCTCTTCAATGATGGGCGACCCCAGACAACGAATGCAATGGCACATATAACGACGACAACTGCAGATACAGAGCCGGCAATGATGGCAGTTTTGTTGGCAGAAGCTCCCGATGCAGCAGCGGCCAATGCAGTAAGGTTAACAGGAGTAGCAGAAGTTAAATTCAAGTTCACACTAGATTTACGAAGGTAACCGAGGTTAGCCTGATTTTACGCTATTGATTCAATGAGGCATTCTTGAATACTAACGATGGGTCGACAAAGACTGGTCCACCTCCTGCTCCTACAGCGCTGACATTGGGAGCCAATACAGGCTAAACAGGAAGACAACGTTGCGTTAGCAGGGCCAAAGAGAATAGTTTTGGTTGATCGAATCTGTCTTTCATAGGTTATTTATCCTTCTTTGAGCTCTTTCAATGCTACTTACAGTCCAGTAGTTAACATTGAAAGGACCAGTGTATGATGCAGAGGAGTTTAGCGACGGCTGAGTGGTAACATTGATGTTGCTATAACCGGTCTGAGAGGCAACAAAGTTGAACACGTTGGCAAGTGTTGGTACAGTATCGTGTCTGCCTAGCGATCCCAACCCCCAGTTGTTTTGCACGGTGCTCAGCGTAGAGTAGTGGGTATAAAAGGTGCTATCAACAGTACCGGCCATACCGGAACTGGTGACGGCACCACCAAGTAGAACGGCAAACACTCTATTGTTGTCAGATGGGTATACTTCGTTCTCGTCAAACGTTAACAGGATCAGTGTTCGATTGTCGTTGAAGTTGGGGTTGGTTAATAGACTGCCTAAGAAGTATTGGGTATAATTGCCCACCCAATTTATATTGGTGTCGTGACCATCTGTCAGGATGAATATTAGTGAAGTACATACAGGTGTTGACAGAAACGTAACTCACCATTCTTCATGTTTGGTGTGAAGAAAGACCATTGTGGGATCACATTGGCATTTACGTCCGCGGCGAAATCTGTCGAGCATGGCAACATACAGTTTAGTTGTTGTTGGAAATTTGTAAAAGTCGACAGCTCTTACCATTAAAGTTACGAATGCGACTAGCACGGGTAGGATTGAGCGCAACGGAGTCGTAAAAGATGACTGGATTGTGTTTTCGTACATAGTACTACACAGGGTTTGCGGCAATAATGAAGCAAGTTAGCAAGGGAGACTATACTCTGTCTTTGTTTCAAACTCACAGTGTAGTTGTCAGTGGGGTTTGAGTAGTTGAAGCCGGTGAATCCATCAGTTGGCATGTTCTCTTGGTAGACAGCCCAAGAGATCTTCTTAGCTTCCAGAAGGTCAACCACCGTTGAGACATTTTGTCCCAGCTCATGAAACGCGTCATCAATACATCCCCAATAGTCACCACCAACAACTGACATGTAATTAGGTTCGCTAGGATGCGTAACGGCGTGGTAGTTGTCCAAAAGCTGTCAAAAACAGGAGGTCGGTTAAATATCTGGCATTCTGTGACAATGACAACCCAATAGAAACTCACAATTCCTTGAGACGCCAACGAGCTCAAGTAGGCATTGCTGGCAGCCACTGCAAAGTTGGTGTTTTCCAACCAGATCGTTATTATTCGGTCGAAAGCCTAGCAGTGAGTTGTGTCAGGAACAAGCGGGAGGAAGCAAACGATTTTTAACATAGAACTCTTCGAACCTTCCCAGCGACCACTGGTCCGTTTACCAGGGTTCCATTGTTAGCACCAGTGTAGAACGACGATGCAGCAGTTGGTGCAGCAGCTGGAGCAGTAAAAGGAGGAACCACGGCTAATGTGAAGCAGGAAGAATGCAGTAAGCATCAGCTGTCGTAGTTCTAGCCGAAGCTCCAGTCAAATGGAAGCTTGCAGCGTCCAAACGAGATCCAATCGAGGAAATCGGAGCTGGGATGCATTGGAACCGTTTCTTACCTTGAGCGGTCACAGAAGCAGCAATGGCAAGGGCAGCGGCAGCAGCCTGGACCAACATCGGGAATCTTGATTTCTCTCTCACTCTCAGTCAATTATTACCAATGACTTAATGACGACAGCACTGGCCAATAGAATTCGCTTGCTATCCCACGTTTTGTTGAACCCCGGCTGAACCCATGGGAACAAACATCGGCTGAAAAAGCCGCGTGAAGTAGCTAAAACCCCAACGTAAAAGCTCACTCACGTATGGAAAGGGAAGTTTTCGTCATCCTTGTTGGTGTTGTTAAATGCAGTTGCGGCGCTTGGATTGAGATTTTCACTGATTGAGTGACGGAAGATACGCGTTGATAGGACCAATGGTACTCGACTGGTCGCTAAAAAAGAAAGGCAGCCCGGCAATAGGTATGGTATGAGCGAGTTATCGCTGCAATGATCATAAATCAATTCCGTCCGAGGCGTTTTGTATTATTATGGGGGTAAACTATATGCATTATCTGGTCTAAGAAATTATGATGCTGCTAATTTTTTGCCAGACTGGTCTATATTTTTGTTTGAGAACCTACTTTTGTTCCTCGACGTGTTTCTTCATGTCTGGACGAACCCAGATCACGAATACGATGGCAGACAAAATGATTCCTGCTCCAACAACACCAGCAATAGACCCTGCGATTACTCCAGTGTTGTCACCGGTAGCGGCAGCGGCAGCTGGTGCCGCTGCAGCGGCAGCCAATGCGGTAAGGTTGACAGGAGTAGCAGAAGTTAAAGCCAAGTTAACACTAGATTTAGTACGGTGATTGTGTTAGGTTCAAATTCCAGCTTTCGCTAAAAACACAGTCCTGAAACAGTTACGATGGATCTACGAAAACGGGTCCTCCTCCAGCTCCTACAGCAGTAACATTGGGAGCCAAGACAGGCTAAAGAAGCATTCAACGAGGTAACAGTGTTAAAAATCACATTCTTCGCATACTACTTGAACGGTTTTAAGCTTGGTACTCACGGTCCAGTAGTTAACGTTGAATGGTCCAGTGTACGAAGCAGAAGAGTTTAAAGAAGGTTGGGTAGTAACAGCTACGTTGCTATATCCGGTTTGAGAAGCGACAAAGTTGAAGACGTTGGCAACAGTTGGTACAGTGTCGTGTCGGCCCAATGATCCCAAGCCCCAGTTGTTTTGTACAGTGCTCAGTGTAGAGTAGTGAGTGTAGAAGGTGGAATCAACCGTTCCGGCCATCTTGGAGTTGGTGACGGCACCGCCAAGTAGGACGGCAAACACTCGGTTGTTGTCGGCTGCGTAGGATTCGTTTTCGTCGAAAGTCAACAAGATCAAGGTTCGCTCAGTGTTAAAGTTGGGGTTGTTCAAAAGACCACCCAAGAAGTATTGAGTGTAGTTGCCGACCCAGTTGATGTCAGTGTCGTGACCGTCTATAAGTTTAAATACAGTCAGTAAAAGTTTCGGTCGAGCTTTGGGACTCTGTCTCACCGTTTTTCATGTTTGGTGTGAAGAATGACCATTGTGGCATGACATTGGCACTGACATCAGCAGCGAAATCTATATGACATGATATTGAGAGCATTCGTTAGCGTTTTGGTGTATGGTGAAATATAAGGACATGTGTTAGCTCCGTTGTACGTGTCAAGATCAACCAAACTCACCATTGTAGTTGCGGATACGACTAGCACGAGAAGAGTTGAGAGCAACAGAGTCGTAGAAGATAACGGGGTTGTGTTTTCGTACATAGTACTACACAGGATATATAGATTTAGTAATTCAATTAATGGGCGTATGAATGCTGTGCTTTTGAACTTACAGTGTAGTTGTCAGCGGGGTTTTGGTAGTTGAAGCCGGTGTATCCATCAGTGGGCATGTTCTCCTGGTATACAGCCCACGAGATCTTCTTGGCTTCCAAAAGATCCACAACAGTGGAAGCATTTTGGCCGAGTTCATGTAAAGCGTCGTCGACACATCCCCAATAGTCACCACCAACAACAGACATGTAGTTAGGTTCACTAGGATGGGTTACGGCATGGTAGTTGTCCAAGAGCTGAGTAAAAGAGAGGTTGATTCAGTCAGAGTCATCCTTTGACGAAGAAGAAAAACCAAGTGAAGCTTACAATTCCTTGAGATGCCAGTGACTGCAAGTAGCTGTTGGTAGCGGCAACCGAGTAGTCCGTGTTTTCCAACCAAATGGTGATGAATCGATCAAAAGCCTGAATGCGTGTGGTTTGTTACGAGGTGCAGGATCAAGATCTTGGCAGTAGCAAACAAACCTTTCCAGCGACGACTGGACCATTCACCAAGGTTCCATTGTTGGATCCAGTGTAGAAGGAAGAAGCAGCAGTGGGTGCAGCAGCTGGAGCCGTAAAGGCAGGAACCGTAGCTAATGTTTAATAGGAGAAACCGGATAGTCAGCATTGCATTCCATAGCACCACGTATAGGATTCAAGTCATAAGAGAACGAGGCTTCCATCACAATCAAGGTTCCAACATCAAACGAGATCCAAGCGACAGACAAGACAGCTGAAGCCGGAACGGAATGGCCGGAACACTTTATACCTTGAGCAGAAGCAGAAGCAGCGAGAGCAACGACAGCGGCAGCAGCTTGGAACAACATGGTGGCTGGGAGCTTTCAAAGTGCGATGCAGATGGCGACGAGAAGAATTTTTCGTTCTGACACGGATCCAGCTCCCTCTCTCCAGTCAATGAGTGTTCCAGGGAAACATTTTGGGAGCCAATAGCATCTTCCTGTTGCCTACACGCTTGTGCACGTTCTCGTTGAACCCGAAGGGATGCACCTTTGCAAAAGCCAGCCTGTGAAAAAAAGTTTAACAAGTTTTTGACACATGTGAGCAAGTGGAAACTCCCAAAAGTGAAGCTCCTGCTCGGTTATGGAGAAGTCATCCCGCTTCAGTCGCAGATGCCTGGCCATCTTTGTTTCTTTGGTGGTGTTACTAGTCGTTTTTGCGGCCATTGGAATTGGTTTGGGAATTGGTCTGAGTAAACGGGGAAGCACCTCATCCAGTAGCAATGATATTACTGTGTTTACCAATTCGTCGCAGTTTTATCTTGATCCGGCCTTTCCCATCACTTCCACACCACAAACTCGCACATACAATTTCGTAATTTCGTCAATGATGGGGGCTCCAGATGGAGTACCAAGACAGATGCTAGTAGTGAATGGTAACTCACTTTGATCTTCTCAACGCCCATCCACTGGGACGAAATGCTGGATCTTTGCCTGCGTGTGTCTCACTCAACTCCATTGTCTAGGACAATTTCCAGGCCCGCTTATCGAAGCAAACACCGGCGATACAATTGTCATAAACGTGTACAATGCCTTGTCGAACGGCACTAGTCTTCACTGGCATGGCATGTTTCAAAATGGAACGAATTGGTACGTAAAATCCTGCACCACAACATACACAAGAAATACGCTAATTGTCTTGAAATCTCATGCAATTTTGATCTCCAGGATGGACGGTGCTGCTAGCGTCACTCAGTGTCCAATACCTCCAGGATCCAACTTTACATACGAGTTTGTTGTTGCAAACCAGTATGGTACATACTGGTACCACAGCCACGCGTCGTCTCAATATATCGATGGCATTGTTGGTCCTCTGATAATTCACAATCTCAATGACCCAAACAAGGCTTTATATGATCGTGAGATTGTGGTGATGATATCTGATTGGTACCACGACTTCTCTCAAGATCTGTTGGTTCAGTTCTTATCTGCCGTAAGAATATACGCTTGTAGTTTGGTGAAACAACGACCAGTCGCTTACCTTTAAACACAAATGCTCTTAGGAAGGTATCCAAGACACTCCTGGAACAGAGCCTGTACCTGACAATGGTTTGTTCAATGGGTTAAACGTCTATGCATGCTCGGCGGATCCATCTAGGATTGATTGTACTGGAGGCAGCATTAATAGTTTCTCGATGGAGCCAAATATGAGATATCGCCTGAGACTGATCAACACTGGAGCATTCGCAGATTTCATGTTTAGTGTCGATAATCATACCCTGCAAGTTATTGAGGCTGACGGCATATCAATTACACCCGCTGCTGTACACCGGTTACCCATTCATGTGGCTCAAAGATATTCAGTAAGCGCATTTTGAAGCGGCATCGATTTCACAAAGCCCGCTTCTGATACCTCTGTTTTCTCTTGACTAGGTTATTCTCACCACAAACCAAACACCTGATGCATATTACATGAGAGCGATTATGAACCAGAACTGCTTCAATTACGACAATCCGGCACTCAATCCCGAAACGCTTGCTATATTGAGGTACAGTAGTGTCAGTATCTCCACGGTTCCAGGAGCCTCTAGTGTCGATTGGGGTGACGAGATTCAGACGCCTGTATGTCTGGACTTGAACAGCAGCATGCTAGTACCAAGTGTAGCGATCAATCCACCGGCATCTACCCAAACACAAACTATAGTTATCAGCTTTGGGACTTACGGGCCAGGTGGTATATATAATCGAGGGTTTATGAACTATAATTCGTGGATTCCACTTGTTGGTACTTCTTCTCTTGCACTTGCACATAGCAATATCTCGGCTCTGCAGACTACCGGGCAAAACTTGTTGACTTTTGAAGACACCACGGTAGTGGACTTGGTGCTCAATAATGTCGATGAAGGTATATAAACGAGTGGATTACCAAAGTCGAATCACAAGATCTGAGTTTTTGGTTTAATCTAGGGACCCATCCGTTCCATTTGCATGGACACTTGTTCTATGTCCTTGCTGAAGGAGAAGGCCGATTTGTTGGAACAATCCCCACAAATCCTATCAATCCGCTACGGCGAGATACCATCTCTGTGCAATCTTATGGCCACACGGTGGTTCGAGTAAGTTGCCTCGGAAGCTGTTTTCATTTGTGGATACACATCTTTTTGGCTCTCCTAATTGTTTCTGCTTTATTAGGTTGTATTTGATAACCCTGGTCTGTGGATGTTCCATTGCCACATTCAATGGCATATGTCGGCCGGTCTATCAATGCAAATCGTTAGCAATCCAACAAAAATTGCTGCCTTCAATATACCAAGTCAGTTGACGAACTTTTGTTCCAACCAAGCCGGGACCTTATTGGTCGCGTGAGTTAGTAGAACTTAATCATGTTTAGACATATACCCTGTAATATCATTAGACAAATGCACATATCCTCATGATTTAAGTAACAGTTATATGTGCAGTGTTTACAAGTTTACAGTTACAAATCTCTTACAGTTTGGTCAGCTTCTTCATCATCTGGATTATCATGCCGTATCAGCACCATTTCAACCCAAGTTGCGATATCCTCGCTATAAACTTTGCGCAAGAATAAAGGGTCTAGCGGTTGTTTATCATCTACACCACCACAAGCATCTCTGAGCTGTCTCTCAAATGCCTGTATATCAACCAGTTCAGCTTTACGGTATTGTGCTGCAAATGACTCTGACTTTAAAACAGCTGGTCGATATATTCTAGCTTCGTTTGCTCGTAAGAATACTCGAAGACTCCAACTGGCAAGACATGGTTCTGATTCGAACAGTGTTTTAGCACATTCTATCCTAGCCTTGTAATCTTTGGGTCTTTCGTCGAGGTGCAGTTTGAATTCTCGTAATGATTCCTCGTAACACATTCTAGATCGATGGATTCGTCCTTTCAATAGTGTGACTCCTGGACTCTTGTACGCCTGCAATGGAGTGGGCAAAATAAGTTACACATCAAGCTCTACATGATTTTTTCGTCAATGTGTCCAAGACTCACCAAGAACGGCTTCCACCAGCTCCTGTTCTCCCAATCCTTTCTTCCCAAACTTATATAGCTTCGAGCAGCAGTCTCTAGCACTTCATCGACACCAAATCCAGACTGCCTAGCGTCCTCAGGAGAATACGTTGCTGCTTGCCTAATGATTTCACTACAGAGAGCCTCTACGAATTCATAGTCTCCAAGCGCATAGTATCGATTTACTACATTCGTGAGTCCACTGGGCCCAAATTTCATGGCAAAGTGTTTAGCAACATACTCCTTCAAGTTTTTGATTTCTTCTGGTTGCATCAGGTATCGATCATCGTCTGTTGGTTGGGCTTCGTAATGTTTATCGTATGTTAATACCCGTACTCGAGTCTCTTCGAAAAGAGAATCGTCGAGATCTGCGGCAAAAGCTTCAAAAGCTTCAAATGTGTTGTCTTCGACCGCCATTTCCTTTCTAGTAACTAGGATTTTACGGGGATCAGATTAGCCAAGAGCTATTTGAAACGTGCCTAAGCGAGAAAAGAATCAGTCTCTGGTATGTTTCCTGATCTGGGTCGTTGTGAAAAGAAAAAACTCAGATACACAACCAAAACCAACATTCAAGCTCAGAGATGACTACTCCTCTCAAAGATACCTTCTTGTCGACACCGCCGCTACCTCTAATACTAGGCTCCTCGTCAATATTCAGAAGAAAAGTGCTTGATATTCACAAAATACCACATTCAACACTAAATCCAAACATCAATGAAGGCAAGAAACTCTGGGACATACACAACTCAATTTCAAAATCAAGTTTGATCATAGAGTAATTGTGATTTCTATGTAATTAGAGGCTTTTGGTGACAGGCTAGATCCAAGTGCCACTGCCTTAGCAGTTGCAAATGCCAAAATGGATGCGCTGCTGAGTCGCTGGGATAATACACAGCCAGATACATTACTAGTCACTTGCGATCAGGTGGTGTCATGGAATGATGAAGTTAGAGAGAAGCCTCGTAGTGAGGAGGTTAGTGTGAATTTTAAATCACGTTGCAAGCCGTAATACAACATTTTTGATGCTTTTTTTGCAAGATGTGTCGAATGTATATGACTTCGTATACGGAGATACCTGCTGAGACTCATTCGGCTATGGTCGTCGCAAAAACAAGAGACAGGAATCGCGCTGCAGTGAAGTCGTTGAGCTACAGTTCAAATTAGAGCATCTTTCGCTAACTGTAGATATCTATAGGGCGTGGATGTAGCTAGACAATGGTTTCATCCAATACCGCCTAATGTGGTTGACCAACTGATTAAAAAGGGCGACGTGATGTATGGGTCATAGAATCATTAGCCGGGGTTTTCCTTGTTGGTACTTACAAGGACCTTATATTTTCTTGCAATAGGTATTGTGCCGGAGGATTCATGATTGAGGACGATCTGATGCAGCCGTATCTCGCAAAGAGGGACGGGACAGAGGATTCGATTATGGGGATGCCAGTCTTACTGCTAGAAGAACTTGTAACAAAAGTCATGCAATAAATTCATATATATTTGCAGGTATACAGTGAGTTTTCAACCTTGGTCTTGCTCTACAGAGTTGGCTTTGTGTTTTGGTATGAACTTGAAGTCTGCAGCAGGTTTTCCCAGAAATAGCTTTTGAAAAAAAGAAAAGATCTCAGTGAATGGTTCATGAGAAGAAGTATGTTGACAATTTCGAATTACCTCTGTGACTTTGACCCAATCTTCAGAATTTGGACTGGCCAACAAAGTCTCAGTTTCATCGCGACCCCAAATCGGAGGTACTCGATCATTGAGTCGTTGTGGCAAGACTTCCAACAAACCAGATGGAACCTTGAAAACCGATAACAGTCGGAGGTTGTGTCAAAAAAACCCCCCCGTGGCAACAAAGTCAAACTTACATAGCGATGTGTAAACGACTGCCATTCGCAGAGGTATCGTCGAGCCATTGAGACACCCATCGTATCTGAGCCCCAGTGCTCTAAGGCGTACTTGGCAAAGTCAGAAAAGATATCTAATCGTTCCCTGGCAGATATATCCCATGTTCTGCGTTCCTTTATTTCAGTGAAGATCTTGTAGCACGAAAAAATACGTTAGACGTCTTGTTACAACAAGCAAATTCAAACGGGACCATACCCATGGTTTGATCAAAGCTAAAATTTATCACAAAATAAGGAGAAATCAGAAGGGTTAAAACAACATCAGAACCACAACGAATTTCGATCAAGTGAGTAACTATCACCTCCTCGAGCAATCATTACACCTGCAAGCCCTCTTCCTTCGACAGCTTCCAACTCATAATGTTGATGGTAATCTTCAAAGGACATGATATCACCATTTCCAAAAACAGGGAAATCAGGTGCAGTCTGCATGGCATCTCGAGCAGTTTTATGAATATAATCCCAATCCGCCAATTTGGTGTATCTTTGTTCCCGACTTCTTCCATGCAATGTTGCAGCTGAGACTCCCCACAACTTGAATCTGGTAGCAAGCTTATGAGCAACAGAGTTCTTGGCCGACCATCCTGTTCTCAATTTGATGGTGATCGGAACTGTGCTTGCAAATACCATGCCTCGTACTATATCCGACAGCTTGCTAGACCTTTCAAGAAGTTGTGACCCAGCTCCTTGTCGAGTAACAAGATCAATAGGACAGCCACAATTCAAATCGATAAAGTCGACATTCAGATCTCGAGAGACTATTTCGGCAACTCCAGTAGCGCTCTGTACTGAGCTTGCGGCTATTTGGACTCCAAAAAAGTCTTCAGAGACATGACGTTTCTAACAAACAAGGATGTTAGTTATCTATTTGCGCTTGGCACAAAACAGATTCAGTACCAAGAGGGCCCATTCCGGTGCGTGACCTAAAGCGAAAAAATATATACTAAAAACATCTGTGATCCGTATTGAACTTTTGGAGAACATCCTCATACCTGATACGAGCTGTTGAGCAAGCGCCATTTCACCACAAGTGATATCAGCGCCCATTTTTTTGGCAATACGACGAAATGGAAGATTTCCAACGGTCTGCGAAAAAAGAGTATCAAGATCCATCATCTGACGCATTCAGAAACGATAACCACCTTACAGTCAAAGGAGCAAGATAGAGCTTATTCTTCCAATCCAACTGTTTGCGTTCTTCTGGTCGAAGTGGTAGCTCTACATCATTCATATCTTGATCGACTTTGACATCTTCGTTTTGTGGCGATGTAGTAGGACCGGCTAAGTCTGGCATCTCCTTAGCATCAACAGGTTCATCTTCTAAAATAGTATCTTCTCGTTTATCTACTACTGCGGCACTGCTACTAGTTCCGTTGGAAGCAGCGACAGGCTCTTGACGTTGGTTCTGGTATTGTGGCAATATGATATCTATATACTCTTTACTTTTAGGAGTAGGAGTTTGACGTTTCCTGACAGCCACCATAGTTGCCTTCGAGGTAACATTGAGTGTTCGTGGACCAGCAGCTTGTATTGAGGCATCTAGGGGTTCGTTGACGAGGTTCTTTTCAGTTGCTACATCTACATGAGATCCAGCCCATCGACACCTAAATCCATACTGGCAAAAGCCAAACGTCTCGTAGAGGTAACAGGTACCAGGAGCATCAGCAGGTTTGGTCTTCAAGTATTCGGCTAGATCGTGTCCATTTTTGCATGGTCGACCATCTTTGACTCGAGGACAATCTTCCCAGTGGGGACACAAGTTTGATGCATCAGATAGATGTTGTACTTCTCTTTTCTTATTCATGCCTCGTTTATCTTTTTTGTCGAATCGCTTTTTTGTGCGATTGTCTGATGTTTGATGTTCTGACTTTCCTGCGGCTTCAAGATCATCGTCGTTGAGCGATTCATCGATTTTGGTACGTTTGGAATCTGGCAGATCGGAGCTTTCTTCATCAGGTTTGGCACGTTTGGCATCTGCTACATCTGAGCTTGATGAAGCGTCATTGATTCTTTTATAGGGAGGTAGAGAATCGGATTTCTTGATGTACAAAGCCTTCACAGGAGCTTCACCTTTGAAGTATACTGCTGCGTCCGCCATCCTATAGATCCCTCTGCAAATTCGAAATGCGACAGTCACAACAAAATCCGGAAAAAAGTACTAACGCTCGCAATCGCGACAAGACAAGATACGTGATGATTTGATGATTTATTCTCTGTTATCTTCTCAGTATGAAAAATAAACTACAATCCCACAAAAAAGGGCGGCGTGACATTGACAACATACAAATGACTTTATGATTTATGGCTTTGAGCAGCTTTAGCCTTCCTAACTTGTTCCAATAGTTTAGCAACAACTTGTTCATGTTTAGCTCGCATATCTTTACTAGGTATAGGACGTGTAGCTCTCTGAGTAGTTAGTTCCTTAGCCTCGTTTAGCTTCAATTCTTCCAATGGCTTCTGTAGAGCTTCCACCTGTTTAGTGACTGGTAACACCTTCTCACTAGCTTTCCTACTACTATCGCGGTCCTTTGAGCTGAATGATGGCGCCATGTGTTGGAATACAGCTCCAGGCACCATAGACTGAGTGACTCGAGCATCTGACGATAGGCTATTGACTTGCATCGTTACTGATGGCATAGGAGTATTACTACTAGATGATGATGGTGCGGGTCCTGATGCATACACGATGGGCTGGAAGATGATAATAGGAGCTGCGGCTTGTAGTGGTTGCATCGTGTACTGTTGTCGTAGCATTTGATTTTGCATGTTGATTTGGACCTGCTGATTTTGCACTTGCTGTTCTAATAAAGCATACTTCTGTGCTACACTGGCTACAGTATCAGTTGGAGTGACGGGGTTGAAGTTTAAGAAGTCGTCATATAGGATTTCTGTTGATTGTGGTCGAGTGTTTATGGCTGGTAGTATAGGTGGTTGTGATTGTGGTTTCGTTATAGGTTGCTGTTGTAATGATTGATCAGGTGTTATGTTCCAGAATTCGTCAGAGCCAATTTCAGTCATGAGTTGAGTCAAAAAGTCATCGGTTCCATCTAAGACCTGAGGATCAAACTGCTGCATAACTGGCATCGAATCCTGTTGTAAGAATATAGCCAGACGATCAAGTGCATCGGCCGTTGCTATCAAAGTGGGAAACTCAGATCAGCACATTTGCTTGTTGCGGTCGTGTCAAGTGTCAAATGTGCAGAGCTTACCATCATTGTAGTTTGTCAACCGCTTCCTTTGTATATCTGTTACGAAATCGTCCATAGTATATGAACGTTTCAACGAATCACCAAGTTGGGTTGGTTCAGCAAACCAACGTGCATTATTTGTGTGCATCAAGTCGTCAGATGGAGCTGGAGAATGAGATGACGAGCTTGGGTATGGAGATAGATCTAGCACGGGACATAATATGTGAGTCACCCAGTTCATAAATATACGATGTGATGACCTGTCACATCGCGACTCGTCGAAACGTTGCTTCACCTGGTAAATCAAGATGTTCTGGAGTTCCATTCGACGAGAGCCCTGTACTATAAGGAGAGGCAGATGATTCGTACATGGCAGGTGGCGGTGTGAGGCCGTTAGCACCTCGATAAGTTCCATCCTTTCGAGTACGTTTGGGTTGAGCGATAGGCCGGTTCGCTCGAAGCGAGTCAGACGAGTCTATGCTACCATCGGCATGTAGCTTTTCGTGCTTTTTCAGATCTTGAGGTCGTTTGAAGGCCCTTCCACATAACTAGTATAGTCGAAAAAGGGGTCAATCAATGTCCAGTCAAACAATGTCGAAAGTTTACTTACACCACATGGATGCGGTTTGAGGGGGACATGAACGCGCAAATGAGAAGTAATGTGGTCCCTCTTGGTGAAAGACGGTGGGTTTTCACATGTGCTCCATTTACATTGTAAACATAAGTTGCCATTCGCCTTCCGACCAACATGATCCTGAATAGGAATAATACAAGTAAATATGTGTTTTGTGCAGTTCGAGACAAGATCGATTGTTGTTTGCCTAAAGATTTCAAAAAGAGTTACCTGGCACAAGTGAAGATAGAGTTCTTCTGGGTCGACAAAAGACAGTTCACAGGACTCCCACTCGCACGCTATCGAGTCCATATCGCCCAGAGTCAAGCTTGTCTGGATCCACTGAGATTCCTTTAAGTCTCTTGCAACTGTTTTGCTTGGTATCTCGAGTTTGATCTGTCAAGCAAAAGCAGAAAGTCTTGGCATTGGCTACCGAGCCGCTGAATCCTGACGGAAGGAATATAAGCATAATCTCGGCAAGCATACATCGAAAAACGTCAAATCTACGTGTTCTCAATGGCCATCAACGCGTTCCTCATCTATGGAGCTCGAAAACCCAAGCTTGGCATTCTTTCGAGACTAAACAACAAGATTGGCTGATACAGTCAATGTCTACCGGCAAAGGCGTACTGGCTATTTCTTTAGTCGGTCCAGCTCACTGCCAATATGCATCTCTCACGCGAATGAGTGCAACCTACCCGTTACGCTTCCTCTCTGCACGGAAAACGCTCCCAACAACCCCAACATCTATAGCTGTCTACGTCCTAACATTCGGTGGTGGCATGGTTTCTGGAGACAATATTGACATGGATGTTGTCGTATCACCCGGATGCACTCTATCTCTACTATCACAGGCATCACTAAAAGTATTCAAGCAACGAGCTGTCTCCATCAAACAGTGGGGGAATGTGCCAATTAGCAATCAGCGAGATGTAAGACAGACTATAAATGGTCTAGTGTCGTCAAACTCGCTGTTGGCTATACTGCCTGAACCTGTAACGTGCTTCTCGTCGGCATCGTTTACACAGACGCAACATATAACACTAGAAGCTAATGCATCGCTGGTATTGCTGGATTGGTTTACGTGTGGGAGGATGTCTCGGGGAGAAGAGTGGGAGTTTGACTCGTGTTCGAGCACGAATACTATAGATATAGAAGGGTATGGCACTATCGTTAGGGACTCTTGGAGGCTAGTGGACGATAACATACTAGTCGATATACCATTACTCGGGCACGATGATGGAGGAGATACGCTCATGAGCGGTAATCACGATGACGATCTAGAGCCTATAACCGAGGACTTTGCCAAACTCTCGAGTCAACCAAAGCCAAGGAGTTATGCAGCTCGAGTAATGCCATATAGATGTCTGGCCAATGTCATACTAATTGGACCACGAACACAGCAACTCGTGGCCCGAGTTTTGTCAGAATTCGCCACTATATCTATAAGTAAAAAGAATCCCATCCAGGATGGTGTGATATGGAGCGCGTCTCCACTTGTAAATCAGCATGGGTGTATTTTGAGGGCGGCTGCATTAGATACGCAGAGTATGAGAGCTTTATTGGTGAATCTCATGGCGTTTGGCTTGCTTGAGCAAGGAGTGGAATGGGGCTAACTCAATATAGCAACAACACAATAGTAGTATATCTAGATTTGCATTCAATTATAGAAAGTAAATTATCAAAATGATGAAAACCTCAGAGTGTTCCATATGTTGTGAGGCTCCATCCCTCTATAGATGCCTGCGCAGATGCCATGAATTGTGCCAGAAGGCAAGTACGTACAGCTTCCAAGACTTGCCCATTGATCTGCATCGCGTTAGTTAGTACATGAGTGCATTTCCAACACCTGCCAAGCGGACTAACGGGTCCCAGAAAAAGTTGAAAAAACACATGGAGTCGATTGTCGTTTATCGAGCCAGTGCACTTTCCACAGAATTGGTTAAAACCAACATTCCACGTCCGTTATGAACTTTACGAACTATTGGATAGGTATACCACAGGTCCCCAGCTAGATATATTCGAGTCATGAAATCTTTGGTTTCTTTCGATCTCCAAGCTATCTTTATGATCTCTGATGAACATTCTACTCTGAAATCTACTGAGATATGCGTTTTAAAAGCGCCAATACAACCTGAATCTTCTCCCACGACAAGTCCTTCTAGCTGTCATTCCTAAATTCACACAAACCCAAGTAAATGTGGAAGAATCGCATTACAAGAGCGGTATTGTTGCAGCTGCTACTAGTGGCCATACTCACAGTCTTTGCGACTCGTCTCTTTCTATGTCCAAAGTGTCAAAGTGCTATGACATTTGACGACGATCCAGTAATCATTCCAGTGCCATTGGAAAAACGAATAGCTGAATACCCTGTTGAGCCTCCACAGTTTCATGATCGATCGATACCATTTCCTAAAGTGTCGGATGCAGCTTATAAAACTGTGATTCCTAAGATACTACATCGGGTAACCACATTTGATTGATGTTTTGTGAAATTGGAAAGTTTGTTGACGCTTTTTCTTGGCGAATTCAACTGATAGTCATGGAAGACGGCAAATATACCACCAGCTATGCAGCAATGGACTAAAAGCTGTTCTGATTTGCATCCGGACTGGCAAGTGAATGCTCATCGTGGTCGACGAACACGCTGCACTTATACCAACACTTTGTTCATTGAGCATCATCTTTCTTACCACTTTCAACAAATTGCAGGACCCATATACTATGGACAGATGAGATGAACCGTGAACTCGTCAGAGTGTATTACCCTTGGTTTTTGCCAGTGTATGATTCGTTTGAGCTGAATGTGATGCGGGCAGATGCCGCCCGAGTCTTTTACATGCACAAGTTTGGCGGTGTATACATGGATTTAGATTTCGAGGTATGGTTGCTTGTGTGTGTATGTTTGTACGTATGTGATCGATTATTCATTCTTTTTCTACATCTAGTGCTTAAGGCCGCTTGACTCGCTTTTGAACGAAGCTACAGCATTACTAGGATACCTGTCGGATGACTGGCAATACGAACATGTACGTTCTTCTGGTGTACGACCTTGGAGGCACTCAACGCTCAGTTCTGAATTAATTTCCACTACGTCAACCAGAATATACCCAACGCATGGATGGCATCCAAACCAAATCACAAGTTTTGGGAATTCACAGCTAGATTAATGCAATTCAACCCACATGATCCTGAACTGAATCAATCGCATGCAGAGTACATGACTGGTCCGGTAATGTTGTATCACGCTTATTACAAGTGGGCGTTTCGGCATGAGAACTCGCCGGATTTGGATTATCGAGTTACAGTATTGAATTCAGGTGGGTGGTAATTTTCGATCTTGGACATATGCATTTGAATGTACGACATATTTCTAACCGTCCGTTCATGTAGATCTTATATATCCATTCGACTGGCATTCACGGTCGACATGGTATAGTTACTGCTGGGCAAGGTTGGTGCCTTCCATTTTACCTTCTAAAACTCGCGGGATTTTGCTTTCTTTCCGTGATTTCTTCAGACTAACACCCTGGTTTCATCACAGGTCGAAGGCCTATGACCCGGAGCTGTGTAAAAAGAAAATGGACGTCATGGGGAAGCGGTCGTACGTCGTTACATACTGGAGCCACAGTTGGGAGAAGCTCGAAAAAAATCCCAAGCCCTTCATAGTCAGAGGCTAGAAAGCAACAAATAATTTGTATACTAGACCACGCACGAGCATACATCTAAATTATCTGCAGATCCGATTATTGTCGAGTGTTTGGATGTCGCGTTCGTGTTGTTGCGCCCACGCAGTGGGAGCAAGCAACGACAGATGAAATGAAGCCACGGACTCAACAAATTTCCGTATTGCTTTCGTGTTCATTTTGTTCCAGTAGTGCCACTTCTTCGTCAAAGACGAAACCTTAAATGCTATTGGGTGCTTTAGGCTGTGCAACGATTTGCGTTTGTCCAAAAATTGCGATAAATCAGAAACAAGCTTGGAAGCAATCGCTTCGAGCACCCATGTTCACTTGAAGCACATTGCACTGAAGCGCCTCTCTGTCGACTCCTCTCATCATTGAAAGCTCTCGAGTTTTGCTCTCCAACATCAACCACCACCCAGGAAGATCGAAAGCCGACCAAACTGAACACTTCAAGAGAAGGGAGCTGCTTTGTAACAATAGTACTTACGTATAGCATTCATTCCACTCCCTAAAGTCGAGTTGATCGGTAAGCACATGCAAAAAAACCATGCATACATCGCAAAGGGCTCAGCACTCACAACATATCTTGGCAACTGTGCATTCAACACAGACGATACAGGAGCAACTGGAATTCAATCGCCCGTATAAAATCATGTCAAATCCGCCCATTGCCCATCCCAGATCGCAGATTCTATCGCCATCGTCTGAGATGATTGAGATGAACCAAGGATCAGCCAGCTCGTCCATCTCAGAGGCTTATACGAGTACGGATCACAATATATCTCAACCCAGCAGTCCGTCGCGCTCAAACGTTACGTTTGCCGACTCGATCCCAAACTCTATCATGTCCCATCCCAACATCACCAACAACCGCACGTTATACGAAACCCCTGAATCGTACTCTACAACGCAGATGAACGCATTTGAAGGAATGGATTTGATAACTAGATCTCCTATAGACGGTGAAGCTATGGGTATGAAAAAAGTCGCAACATCTGTATGGTATCCCCGCCCCCCACGTAACAAGAGCCTGCCGCTGCCACCAATTCCAATACCGGAAGCTGTCAACAATGGTGCAGAGATGGCCTATGCTGCTGGTGGATCAGAATTGAGTTACGGGGCTGATACTGAAGCCAGTCGTTTCACAGAAGCCAGTCGTGATTCGAAGGTGGGATTCAATTCAGATGCTTCCGAGTTGACTCTTGTACAGAATTCGCAAAGACCGACAGTTCATTTGTCTACGTTTTCAAAAGCTGGTATGTGGTTGGAAAAGCACTGTGATTCCAGTTTGAGTACTAACACTAGCCGCATTGTTTTTTTAGTCGCCCGATTGACAAGCACGCCGTTACCGCCATTGGATGACCCAGAATTCCAAGCTCGGGCACAAGCCAGGGTATTGCTGAAGTATGGTGGTAAACCAAAGAATCCACGAGCTGTCTGTATTCGACGAACATTACTTGCCTTGGTTCTTGGTGTTGTTGTATTAGCAGGTGTAATTCTCCTAGTCTTATATTTCACAAACGCCAAAGTGCGTTCTGCTCTCGGTGGCACCTATGCACCCTACTTTAATGCTACAGTAACTCTTCTGGACTCTAATTTTGTAAATGGCACCGATTGGCTTGGTTTTGGAACGTCGTTAAGTTGGTGGGCTCGCTTCGTTGGAGAGACTATGAATGGAACTAGTCAATTCGAGGCGTTGATGGATTCTGTCTTTGATGTAAACAAGGGTCTAGGTCTGACTGTAGTCCGCTATAATATTGGAGGGACACAGGCTGGTGCATCCGTAAGTCTGTCAAATTCTTAGGTTGTTTGGAAGGGGAGATTGATTAATTGAAATCTGTTTCAGGGATTCCCACCATACTATGGAATGCCTGCAGTGCAACAGTACGAAGGAGGTCCTTATAATTTTGATTTGGATTATGGTCAACGATATACACTGTTGGCTTCTTTGAAACGAGGAATAGTTGCCATAGAACTTTTCTTGCAATGTAAGAAGTTATACAATCTCGCTCGTGTTTTTTTTGGCATACTGATATTCTCTTCCTGAATTATCCAGCTCCTCCATGGTGGATGACAAACTCTGGCTCTTCGAAAGGCAATTACGATGGGTCGGACAATTTGTCGTCTTCCAAATACTCCTTAGCAGCAGGTATGTTGCAACAAAATAACCCGCGTCCCTTCCCGCTAAGCTGATAATCCGAGCAATGTCTAACGCATTCAAACCAACAGATTATCTCGTAAACACGATAAAATACTACCGTGACAATTATGGCCTCAACTTCTTCAGTGTTGCTCCATTCTCCGAACCAACTGCATCCTGGTGGGCAGACAATGCCGCTGGCAGGCAGGAAGGCTGTCATTTCGACTTGTCGTCCGTCGCTAGCTTCACATCCGTGCTTAATTCTACCTTACAAGCAAATAATTTGTCAACGCCGATTGCTAGTACTGATGATGTAGCATATTCGAATACGCAGGCATCGTTGCAGGGTTTGTCGAGTAAGCAGATTGCTCAAATCGGAAAGGTTAATACTCATGGATATTTTGGTATGTGATTGCGCTTCTCTGTGCACTGCCGCGGTTTGCTCCCTCGTTTTTTTGTACTCGTCGATTTCCGACTTGTTTTGAAACTAACACCGAACTCTTTTGACAATACAGACCCACCAAACTCTGAAAGGGCGTCTTTTGGACAAGTGGTTCAAAAGTATGGAAAGAAGGCTTGGTAAGTTCTTCAATACGTCCGCCCATCAATGGAAAGAAATCTCACCAATCTTCGTTTGTAAGGATGTCAGAACTGGGAACAGCGGGACAAGCAATGCTTCCAGATGTAGCTGGTATTCGTAATTTAGGTGGAATTGGTTTAGCTCGTCAAATTGTGGCTGATATATATTATATTGGAGTGACCGCATGGGTCTATTGGCAGGTACGAAGAATGGATTTTTTTGATCGCAGTTTTACTCAGTCCTCACACCCTGGTTTTCGTGAATCAATAGGCTGTTGATGTAGCAGGTGGTTGGGGATTAATAAGTTTGCCTAATGGAGTCTATAACGCTTCGTTTTTCAACAACATGCCAACACCCGGAAAGCAATACTATGTAATGATGCAATATTCAAAGTGGCTGAGGCCTGGCATGGATATTGTAGCGTCCGATCAAGGAAGTGACGTGGCAGTAATAGTCGGACGTTCAGTGTCTCAAAAGTCTATGGTCGTAGTTGCTTTAAATGCATACTCGTATGATCGTGTTTTTGGTATTGATATTTCTGGATATGCTCTGGGGTAAGCCTGCTTCTCTCAAAAATCAAATTCATGATGAATTGCGAGCTAAACATGAACTTTCCTCACTAATAGGGTCAACGCCACCGCAGCTGCAAATGTAACAATATCAGCTTATAGGACATCCGATACCGAAAACCACGCACCAATCGCCGCTCCACAATATGGGTCTAATAGTGTGATATCCCTATATTGTCCGCCGAATTCTGTCACCACGGTCATCGTTAATGATCTCACATGGAAAAAGTCGTCATAGGCTTTTGTGTTTGTACCTCATCCAATATTTAGAGCTTCTATTAGAGCCTTAAAACTTGTAAAAACTATAGTAGATAATATTGAAACTTGAAACGTAAAGATAGAGAATGTATTGGTGGTATACACGTTTATCTAGATTTAGAAACGATCTATTTGCGGAATGCAGCGAGTTTCTCATCCATATAGTCCAAGAATCTAGGAAGTTCAGTGGTATGAGAATCTTACTGTCTGCGCAAAACAGAACTTCATCGCGTAAAAGACATACTGGCCATTCAAATCTGCCGGACATTCCATGACGAGCTTAGCAAGCTGATATCCTGCATCTTCAGCTTTTACCAATTTTCCAGACTCATATAATCCAGTAAACATGGCGTGCACCGGTCCGTCCATTGCAACAGATCCCTGCTCTCTGATAGTCTTTTGCATATCAGTGTCTACAACACCAGGCCTAATTGATACACAAATCACATCTTTTTCTTCATTCGTGAGACAGAATCCCAACATATTGACGGCAGCCTTGGATGAGCAATACGCTGACCAGGCATCTATAGCGTGAGCTGCAGCACCACTGGACACGATAATGTATTTGCCGTGAGATTTTCTCATTTCCTATAAATTCAGTTCTTGTTGAGTGGCAAACACCGGCAAATGCAACTGATGTCATACTCACAGGTAAAGTTTCCTGAATAAGAGTCCAGACACTGAAAAAGTTGATGTCGAAACATCGTTTGGCTTCTTCAATGTCTGTGTTTTTGACTTTTGCAAATGGTTCGACGACACCAGCGTTTAAGACAACACCATCGATTTTGCCGTATTTGGAGACGGTTTGTTTGACGATTTCTTGAGCAACTGAACGTTCACACAAGTCTCCTTCAATGTAGGAAGCTTCTGTAGGGTATCTGAATCAAGATAAAGAGTGTCAATGAATTAGGCAAGCATACTTGAAGCAACAAGAATACTTTTGAAGCAAGTCCTTCCAAGCGTCGAGTGAAGTAATCTTTGAGCGTCCTGCTCCAACTACACGGCATCCAAGTGATAATGCAGATCGGACGGTAGCAAGTCCAATTCCTCGAGAAGCACCTAAGAGATCCAAGGTTAAGGATGTATGGTGGTTTTGGAAGATCATGCAATGAGTGGACACAATTAAGAAGAATAAGAGTTCAAGGTTTCATGTCCACGACGCGGTGTTCTTTTGCAGATGAGACACGAAATGATGCAAATTGTCATAGGTGTTTTTCATGTTTGATGTACATGAGGTGGAGCAAGTCTTGAAGTAGATGACGTACCGGTCACGATAATTACAGGGCTAAGAAATGAAATAGGGTGAGATCAGAATTAATGACATGCTAACGAATGTCACACATACCTAGACATTTTAGGAGCTGAGTTTAAACTAGAAGAAATAGAGGACGTTATACCGGCTGCTTTATAGATTAGAACGTGCAAGTGAAGCTTTGACTTACTTTTCCTTGTTGATGCTGCTCTTTTACGTCCTTTGCTTGCTTAACCAAAGTTTTCACAAATTCTGAAGCTTACTTACGATCTCTTTAGGATAGGCAAACACGTTTAATCATGATTGATTCCGATCCCATAATATGGATGCTCGCAGACTCTGCCCTCCCAACAGGCGGATTTGTTGCATCAGCAGCACTGGAAGTCGCAGTCCAAACCAAACACATCACAAACAACGCATCTCTAATGGAATTCCTAACCTCAAATATCAAGACGTATGGTCACTCGGCTGGTATTATCATGGTTTCCGCCTTTGATGCTATCACAACCACGGTGGATGAAGATTTGACCTTGTCGCAATTGGTCAAGATTGATTCGTTTTATGATGCTTGCACTACCAACCATATTGCTAAACGAGCGTCGAAGACTCAAGGAAGTGCGTACTTGACCCTCTTGTCTAAATCGTTTGAGGGAAGGAGGCTGGGGTTGGATGTGTTTACCAAGTACAAGAATTATGTCCGAGTATGTTAGCTGTCTTTGGTGGTAATTATATTCTTGTGTTGACTATGGACTTTGTGTATAGATTGGAAAGACATCTGGACATTTACCAGTGTGCTTTGCTCTAGCGTGCAAAGAGCTTAGCTTATCGAGTGGTCAGTTTATGACTTTTTTGTCGTCTGTGACTGTCCTAACACAAACCTCTCATAGACAAGGCACTACATTTGTTTTTATTCTTGCATGCAAGATCTATGGTATCAGCAGCCGTTAGATTGAATCAGATTGGACCATACCAAGGACAATCCATCTTGTTTGATTTACAACCCCATGTCCAGCAGACTTGCAAGCAGGTAGAAAACAAGACACTTGATGATGTGCATAACAGTGCTCCATTGATTGATATTTTGCAAGGGATGCATGATAATTTGTACAGTAGGCTGTTTAACTCATAGTATAAGGAGCCATTTAAATTATTAATCATCATCAACAACATGTTAATCTATTCAATCCTGCACAATTCCGTCTATCCAAAGTGACGGCTCTCCTGTTGCGTCCAACGAGTTGGGTTTGGCATGTCAACCTCAACATACATCCCTGGTAGTTTGTCCAGGACTAGATCCCATTCATCGTTCTGGTCTTCCCTCTTCAAGTAGTCCTCGCTCATGATAAAGGTAACTTCAGGCTGCGAGAAGGTGGTTCTCATTTGGACACTAGATACTCGTAGTTTTTTCAGGAATGGCAAGTGATCCATAATCCAAGTTTTGGGTATTAATAAATAATGAATGGTATGAGCATTGAGCCTTGTAGCTACTCAGCTTCGTAAAAGAACCGTATCAAAATCTGGGTCTGCACACTTTGATCTGTAACTTTGTGCACAGGAACAACCACATCCATTTTATTGGGACATAGATCCTCAGGCACCGATTATCAAGAATGGGCTGGTGTCGATATGTTGTCACCAATGACAGACGGCGTGGTCGCAAAGTTCAGGTGCGTTGACCTTCAGCCATCAAGCACACAGCAGGCAGTAAAGGACAGAGGGAGGACAGATTTCGCTGCAGACGCGACATTCAGAATTTACAACACGTATTTTTTGGCTGCAAATCTACTTCGACCGTTGACCTACCATTTTATCATATCCAAGTTTCGTCTTCCATTCAAGCTCCGAAGCAAGAATATCCGACTTTCACGGCTGCCCATCATGAGACTCGTTCCCAAGGAGCTCGATAAGATCTTACTACATCAAGTTGGATTTCTTGCTCAAAAGAGGCTCGCTAGGGGCGTTCGTTTGAACGACACCGAAGCTTGCGCTTTGATTGCCAGCCAGCTTGTAGAGGTATGTGGCATGTGTGATGTCGTGTTTTGATGATTTGGCTCTCTATTTCGATACAATTCAATTGTATTCAGTTCTTTTTCTGACTCGTATTACTCCTAGTTCATTCGTGATGGCAAACATTCAGTCGCTCAAGTGAGTTACAAGAAGGCATTTCCACGCCGATGCACGTCCTAAATTTAATTTCTCACCGTCATTTCAAGCTCATGGACGTGGGTCGAAGAATGCTCGGAAGACGTCACGTCCAGCCTTCAGTTCCTCATACCCTCCACGAAGTCCAAGTAGAAGCAACATTCCCAGATGGCACCAAACTCGTAACCATTCACAACCCTATCGCCTCCGAAGAAGGAGACTTGACTTTGGCATTGCATGGAAGCTTCCTACCAATCCCTGATGTGACACTCTTTGGTGATATGGAGGAAGACGAAGTTGCGCCAGGTAACCAACAACAAAAAAAGTACTACAAGAGGCTTTGTATTAAACCATATTTTATTCGCAGGAGCTGTAATTGTACATCCAGGCAAAGTCGCTCTCAACGCGGGTCGGGCACGATATGCCCTCAGAGTCACAAACAATGGTGATCGACCTGTACAAGTTGGTTCTCACTACCACTTTATTGAAACCAATTCTCAATTGGCGTTTGATCGTGAAATCGCTTATGGACGTCGGTTGGATATTCCTGCTGGAACTGCAGTGAGATTTGAGCCGGGTAGGGAATTAGATGATTATAATATGATTGAATTCATTTCCACTGATTTTTTTTGGCATAGGTGAAACCAAGACCATCGCACTAACAGACATTGCAGGCACCAAAGTAATATACGGTGGAAACTCTGTAGCTACCGGTCCAGTCGACAGATCCAAAATAGCTGGCATCGTCGCAAGTCTGAAAACAAGAGGATTTGCTCATGTACCTCAGCAAGCATTACCTGCACCTTCTCCATACCAAATGGATCGTCAACGATACGCAGACGCATATGGGCCTACCACTGGTGATCGTGTTCGATTGGCTGATACTGAATTGTATCTCCAAGTTGAACGCGATTTGACGCATTATGGTGATGAATGTGTGTTTGGTGGTGGAAAAGTCATTCGTGAGGGTATGGGACAAGCTGTTGGCGTGTTGGAAAAGGATGCGTTGGATCTTGTTATTACGAATGCGCTCATTCTTGATTATTCGGGAATTTACAAGGTTTGCAACCAAAAAACATCCAGTGAATACAATTTGTATTCTCACACGATTGAGAATCAATAGGCTGATATTGGTATCAAGAACGGTCTGATTGCTGGTATTGGCAAAGCTGGTAATCCTGCAGTTATGGCTGGCGTCACTGAAAATATGGTGGTTGGAGTCACCACCGAAGTTTTGGCTGGAGAAGGCCATATCTTTGTTGCCGGTGCTATCGATTCTCACATTCACTTTATATGTCCACAAATTACTGATGAGGTAAGTACTATCGTTTTGTAACCGCAAAAACCAGCGATGTCCCAATGCCCTGAATCACACAACATAATGTAGGCTATATCATCAGGTATCACAACACTAATTGGTGGCGGAACAGGTCCTAACACGGGTACATGTGCCACAACATGTACTCCAAACACCTTCTTCATGAAGATGATGTTGCAAGGAACTGATGACATTCCGCTTAACTTTGGATTTACTGGAAAAGGCAACACATCAACACCAGAGGGATTAGAAGATCAAATACTATCTGGTGCCATTGGTCTCAAGGTGCGCCAACATGGCAAAGCTATCCATGTTTGGTCTGACGTTTTTACAATATTTTAGTTGCATGAAGATTGGGGAACAGATCCAGCCTCTATTGATACATGTTTGACTATTTGTGACAAGCATGACGTCTCAGTATGTATTTGAGGTAGTTAGGTCTGCTTTTTTTGCTGATCTGACGACTCTAAATATGTAGTGCAACATCCACACTGACACATTGAACGAATCTGGATTTGTGGAAACATCCATCGCAGCTTTCAAAGGCCGTGCCATCCACGCATACCACACAGAAGGTGCTGGAGGAGGACACGCTCCTGACATCATCAAAGTCTGTAGCGAACCTAACGTAATCCCCTCATCGACAAACCCAACACGTCCCTTCACCACAAACACACTAGACGAACATCTCGACATGTTGATGGTATGCCATCACTTGTCTCGTGATATTCCAGAAGATATAGCATTCGCTGAATCTCGTATCCGTGGTGAAACTATTGGCGCTGAAGATATTTTGCATGATGTTGGTGCCATATCGTTGATTTCATCGGATTCACAGGCTATGGGACGTGTTGGTGAAGTTGTGGCGAGGACGTGGCAGACTGCTGATAAGATGAAGAAGATGTTTGGTGTGTTGAAGGAAGGTGGGGATGATGAGCCTGCTGACAACTTTAGGATTAAGAGATATGTGGCCAAGTATACCATCAACCCGTAAGTGCTTGTCAGTTTATTGTACATTTTTGTTGTAATTGACGGGATTTTTTGGCAATAGGGCAATTGTCAATGGTATTTCTCATGTTGTTGGATCTATTGAAGTTGGTAAATTGGCCGATTTGGTCATGTACAAGCCAGCTTTCTTTGGTACCAAACCCGAACTGGTCATCAAGGGAGGTCAGATTGCTGTGGCTATGATGGGAGATGCCAATGCTTCGTGAGTGAAGAAAAAAAAAAGCTATTAAAGCATGAAATATGCTCACAGCCCTTTCAACACATTTTTAGGATTCCTACACCACAACCAGTACTATCACGATACATGTTTGGCGTAGGAGCAGCAATAGGCACCAACTCGTTTGCATTCGTGTCTGCAGCATCCATAAAGGGAGGAGTTCCCCAAACCTATAAACTCAAGAAGCGGCTGGAGGCCGTGAAAAACACACGTAAAATTGGCAAGAAGGATATGAAATTGAATGCATTCTTGCCCAAGATAACAGTAGATCCAGAAACCTATGAGGTAGCAGTGGATGGTAAAGTGTTGAAAATGACACCTGCTACCAAGGTACCGATGTCGCAGAGAGCGTATATGTTTTAGGAGGAGAAACAGTGACGCGTAATAAATAAATGGAGGATGCTCATTTGGCGACTGAGCGTTTTCCTGTTGATTGAAAAGCGTGTTGAGTTTTAACCACTTTGCGTTCACCACATCAGACATCATTGACATTTAAGGAAGGCTTTTGACGAGGTAAGCAACCAGATCCAAATCATCTGAACAAGTAAATGACATTCCCACGAGGTGTCTCCACCATCCTACCTTTACAATTAACACAACCTGCTCAAAACCAAAAAAAAAAGTTTCATAAACAAACTTTTGACCATCAAACCCACATTCTTATTCAGAGAGTATAGAAGATCGTCTTGTATTATACCCAGAAATGAGTAATAATCAAGCACCTCCAGACTCTTGGGAAGAGCAAGAAGAAGCTCAGTATGACCCAAATGCATCATATCAAGCTGCACCAAATGGCACATACAACGTAGCTGCAACAACATTCAATCCAGGACAACCTGCTGCTGCAAATGCTGCTTATTATACTCAACCTGGGGCTCCGGGAGGGTATAATCAACAATACTACGGTCAAGGAGGATACTACAGCAACCAGTACGCTCAACAACAACCAACACCACAACAACAACAATACTATGCAAATCCACAGGGATATAATAATCAGTATGCCAACTATCAGCAGCCAGGGTACGGTGCGTATGGACAACAGGGGTATTCGCAACAGGGAGGATACCAACAACCACAATATGACTCGAGATACGGGAATGGAGGGTATGGAAATAATAGAGGAGGTGTATCTGCTCGTGGTGGTGGACGTCCACAATACGATACCACGACTGATCGTTCACAACAACAAATGTCATACCAAGAATACGAAGCATCAAAAGCCAGCACCGCGTCTATATCATCGTCATCTACCACCGCATCGTCAGTATCCGTCAAACCATCAGCTAGTGGTGGTAAAGCAAATACCGTATCGCTTGGATCAAAAGCTGCTGTCGTGTCGTTAGGTGGTGGTGGGAATACTGTAACGTTGGGCAAATCAACTGTCGCTTCGACACCAGCGCCAGCTGCTGTCGCTGCAGTTGCGGCATCACAGGATGTGAAGGTTGAAAAACCTGCTGCTGCTGTTGCGTCCATATCGTCCACACCTGCAGTATCAGAAGAAGCTGCTTCATCTACAGCAATGGACACTGATCCTCCACAACCAACCGCATCGATAAAAGCAGATGATCCTAAACCAGTTACCCCTCCAGCAAAGAAGAAGGAATTACCTGCATCAGCCGCTGATGCGCCTAAAAAGGCTGCTGTTGCGGCTACCGCTGTAGCTGCTGCACCACCACTTCCTGCTATTGAGGCAGATGAAGATCAAAGAGAACACGTCAATTTGGTTTTCATTGGGCATGTTGATGCCGGCAAGTCTACGATGGGTGGGCAGATATTGTAAGTTGGAACAGGTCTGCGTTGTTCAAAGCAGACCTATAGATTTTTAAACTTTTTTTTCGCTTAGATATTCTACGGGTATGGTAGATAAACGAACACTGGAAAAGTATGAACGAGAAGCTAAAGAGTTGGGTCGAGAGTCATGGTATTTGTCATGGGCCATGGATTTGAATGTTGAAGAGCGAGCCAAGGTATCTAAATCTTTATGATCTGAAAGACATTCATGATGCGTCTTCTCATCTTTTTTTTCACCACCATATCAGGGCAAAACAGTAGAATACGGTCGAGCCTACTTTGAGACACTCAAACGGAAATTCACGATTTTGGATGCACCCGGTCACAAGAACTTTGTCCCAAGTATGTTGGGAGGTGCTGCTCAAGCCGATGTAGCCATCCTAGTCATTTCAGGAAAGAAGGGTGAATTTGAAGCTGGATTTGAAAAGGAAGGCCAAACTCGTGAACATGCTCGTTTGGCAAAGACTGTTGGTGTCAAGAGGATGATTGTGGTTATTAATAAGATGGATGATCCTACTGTGCAATGGTCTCAAGAAAGGTGAAACCAAGGCGTTCGAAAGAATGGTGAATTCGTGCATTTGGTCGAACAATTCTAACTCGAACGATTTAGATACGATGAATGTGTTTCCAAGTTGACACCATTCCTCAAATCTGTTGGATTCAATCCCAAGAAAGGTATTAATTGCCTGTCGTTGCGCGTTTTTTCGCATTGGACTGCTCCTCAAACGTTTCAAATAAATTAAGATTTGGATTTTCTACCTGTATCTGGATACACTGGTGCCAATATCAAGGATCGTTTAGCTGAAGGTCTTGCTCCATATTACAAGTATGGATTGTATCATGTGTCTCGACTCTAAAATCAAACGCTAACATTCACCCTTACACTGTAGCGGACCTTCACTCATTGAATTCCTAGACAATATGGAAATACCTCGTGATTACAGTGGTCCATTAATCATGCCTATAGCAGATCGATTCAAGGTGTGTATATTTCATTCGACCACTGCTTTTTTCGCGTAAGTTTCTCATTCATTCTGCATCGAATCCTAGGATATGGGCACAGTCGTGGTCGGTAAAATAGAATCAGGACGCATGCAAAAAGGCCAAGCAGTAGTCCTCATGCCCAACAAGAAGGTGGCCGAAATTCTCACCATCATGGTTGAAGACAAGGAACTCAATACTGCCAAGAATGGTGATAATGTTCGTGTTCGATTGAAGAATATTGAAGAAGAAGTGAGTTTGGTGTTTTTTCAATGAGCGGTATCGCCAAAGAAAACCTCAACCTCTTCCACTCTAATTAGGATGTTTCACCCGGTTTCGTGCTATGCCTTCCCAACAACCCAATACATACCATCACAGCCTTTGAAGCCCAGTTACAAATAGTGGAATCCAAATCGATTATTTGTGGTGGATATCAAGCAGTTATGCACAGTGGAACGATTACTGAGGAGGTCACCATGACGGTACGCTACAAGAATTCTTTCGTCTCATACAAATTTTGGCTATCAAGGTACTGATTCTTTTGGTTCATGAAGGACTTGTTACATATGGTGGACAAGACTAGTGGTAGAAAGTCAAAGCATTCTCCCAAGTTTGTCAAGACGGGTGACATCTGTATTTGTCGAATTGAAACATCACAAATCATTTGTTTGGAAACGTACAAGGATTACCCACAGTTGGGACGTTTCACTTTACGAGATGAAGGTATAATTCTGGTCTCTGTGTTAGTGTTTTGTTGTGGTGGCTAAATGTCATAATTTTTCCCCAAAGGTAAAACTGTTGCTATTGGAAAAGTCACCAAGCTCTTAGCAGACCAACTAGCTCCTGTGGCTCCTGTCGAGTAAGAAGTTCCATATCATAATTGCATGGCGGTTTCTTGCTGTTGTAGACATGCATAGTATTTTGTTTGAAGCACAAAGAATAAAACAAACCATTTGCTATCTATGTTTATGCGCTCTTTTGTGGCAGGCAATTATATTTATGAATCAGCTATTGTTAATAATACGACACAGAAGGTGACGAAGTAGCAACCACCCGTTTCAAATGCTGAGCCTTCCTTATCAAATTATCAACCTCCTTTCTCGTATTCCCAAACTGTTGTTGCGCCAACGTGGCCTGACTCACAGTATTCCTACCAATATCAGCAACCTGTTCCTGTTTACTAACACCCTTGAGCCTCTCTCCATACAAATCCAACTCGAGCTTCCTAATCTTGCTCTTGTAATGTTTCTTCAGTTTCGAGTATTTTTCTTCAGCCTTGTTCTTGAAATGATGCAACCGCACATCGTTCTGATGATCATTCAAGTTTTTCGTGAGGACTGCTTCTGTTAGTCGCTGTTCACGTGCGAGGGATAACGCAAGGTCTGTTTGGGTGGTGGCGAGTGATAGCTGGTATGATGATACGAGATGGGAGAGATCCGAGATGCATTTTTGGGATGAGACGAGGGTGTGGCATTGTGTTGAGGTTGTGGGTGGGCGTTCTTTTGGGTTTCGTAATGTTGCAAGCAAGACTGCTATCGAGTCCAACACTGGTGCGACGAGGTTCTGTATATCTGCACTGGATGGGTCGTTCATGAGTATCGATTTTACTCGGTGGGGTGACGATGCTGTGGCTGGTTGTCGTGGGACTGAGCTATATGTTGACGATGATCGTGGTTTGGCGTTTGATATTTGGGAGACTGACCGTGGTTCCACTACTACGGATTGTTGGCGAGATGCGTTGTAGGTGCTTGGGATTGGTGATGCGTATGATTCCCTGGTTTTAGACTGTGTGGGTGTCGTTGGGCGTGTAATGGACGCAGATGCAGATGGCTGCCTAGATCGAGTGCCAGCTTTGCCTCCTCCAGGTATAAACGGTGGCTTTTGTACCTTTGGTGATGCGATAGTATTCCGTCTTCGAGTTAGAGGTGAAGATTGTCCTGACGGCTGTAAACCACTTTGAGATGTAATCGATGCACGGCCAGCAGATTTCGGTAATGGTGAGTTCGGCATGGAAGTATTATGGATTCCCAGCATAACGGAGGATGAATTAGATCTTGTTCTTGAATACTTGTTTGCTATCGTTGGACTGTTTACACTGAATGAGTTTGCCTTGACCAGTTTTGGGGTTCTAGCGTCGGTATTGAGTTTGAGAGGTAGTGAAGGTGGTGCTGGTGAGCTAGATCTTGAGATGGCTCTACTAGGTGTCTTGGAATCGTCATTGTTGTATGCGTTTAGAATGGACGAGTTGTCGTCGATGGGTGATAATGCTCTATGAGGGGACGATTTCCTGGTTTCCAGATCGTTTGATGTCGATGATCTTGCCATTGTTGGTTGATTCTTTTGCGATTCTATGTTATGCAACTGCAAGAGAAAAGTAGGTTTCAAGTTTGCGAAGCTGTTCAAAGTAACGTGGGTGTCGGGAATTTTTTTGATAGAATGACGTATAGTAAAGCATGATGGCAATAACCAGTCGAACGTTCTTCAATGGAATCTTTTGATGCTATGGATCAGACTGAATATAATAAAATGTGCATGCTATGCTATCTACAACGGTTCTTCTAAATACTACCTCAGTATATACTATATTGTCCCTTCCACTACTGATCAGTATCCATTTTACTGTCAGAAGATTTACTAGGAGCACCCGCAGCTCCAGCTTCAGATGATGCCGATATCGAATTCATTCGCTCATACCACTGCTGATTCCAATACTCGTGTACTTCTGATGGATGTAACGGTCTTGGTGGCCTTCCAGTGAAGAAATCACCGAAAGCTCCAAAGAATGATGGTGGTCTATGATGTGGTGGATGTCCTTGTCCCCAATGATGTGGCGGTCTATGATGTCCTCTATGATGTGGATGCATAGGGTGTGGTGGTGGCATGTAAAAGTTCATGTTATAGTAGTTGCTATTGCTGTCGGCTGTCCTTATAGGTCTCCTGTTGCTACTATTAGCTACTGGATCGAATGGCCACGTTGCTATAGGCACGGCTGACAATTTAGGTCCAAAGTCGGCCAGTCGTATTTCTGCAGCGTCCTTAGCACTATCTGATGCTTCAGACTCGTTGGTATTTCGCACCCATCCAGGAGGATAACCATACTTTTGCATCATTGACAAAAACGGTGGTTCGTCGGCTTCATTATTCAAACCTAGTGCTGCTCTCAACTCATTCGAGTATTTACCAGGCCTTAGCGATGAAATATGATGCGACCGCCTTAGCGTCTGTGATTTCTGAGCATCTAGTCCTTCTATATCAGCATTGAGAGAGTCCTGTTGTTGCAGGGCAAAGAATCCTTTAGCTTTATTTATTCGAGCCTTGTCTAGCGGTGCTGGACAAGCGACTTGTGTGTGTCCCGGCTTGTCACAGTTGAAGCATCCTCGTGGGAAGAATCGTATGGGTATATCAGATGCGTGTATATATGTGTTGGCTGTTGGGGCTGTTGAAGCCTTGAGTATAATCGGTCCTTCTTGTTGAGCCAACACCACATCTGTTGCTTCATATGGTAGCGCCAACAAGTCCTCTATAGCTTTCTGAATGGCTTGCTGCCTGGATCTAAGTCACAGTGCGAGTACGGGTGAGCGAAACAATTCACCCTTGATACAAGTTTAATGTCGTATCGTACAATGGTAGAGAGAGGAAGTTCTCAACGATCAGGGATCTATTCAGAGCTAGACCGGCATCTAATAGAAGTTTTCTGCTAGTTAGCTCTTCTAATAGTGACAGGACTATAGGCGATCTTTCAAGCTTTTGAGGAAGCTTGGCAAAACGTTAACATGAACTTGAAGGTGAGACTTGCCTCCATGATCAGCACTCTGACCCGTACTAGGCTTTTGCGCTTGCATCAATGAGGCCTATATGGACATTGACGTAACGGTTTCTCGATGTGTTGAGAGCTATCGATTAAGACATCAAAAATGATTCACCCAGTCAAGTAAGCCACGAGCAATACGACACAGAAAATTGGTTTAATTGTGTCGCTTCTAACTCGCTTCTAAAGGTGTGAATTCTTTTGATTTACTAGTGTATTAATTTGGACCAAACTTCAGAACGCTTTGCTTCATGACAACCATTAAATCACATTCATCTGGAATCCTTGAGGACAGTATCAAGCCAGATACGAGCAAGTTGTCGACGATCTCGAGGTACGGATCGGCGATTAAATGACTCTGTGATAAATCTCCTTGAATCACAGCTGCAAACACCCTCAAAAAACATCACATTTGCGGGCAGCGAAGATATAGACCTTTTCAGGACATCTATTTTAAAACTTTCGCTCTCCCTGTCTTAGGATATTGACATACCAAGTGAGCCACATAATGGATAATTCTGATCATATTCATGTCGTTGGCCAGCACCATCAACTTCAAGGAATACAGTCGACTTCGCAGGCCTTTGACTCGGTGACGCCGCCTCACAGTCCCGAGCACCATCAGCAGCAACTACAGGAGCTTCAAATACTATCAAATCATCATGCTCAGGAGCACTTTCTTCATCACTTCTTCCATCACAATCCCCAATTAACAATCAACACTCATCATGACGCTCACGGCAATATCTCTCACGATAATCAATACATGCTCGAAGCTGCAAAGAATTTGGGATTATCGCTATTGACGCCTCAAACACCAATATTCTTGTTGGCTGGTCCACCACCGCTCACGTCTCCTTCACCAACCACACCTCACAGCCATCACCCCGGTCCAACTGGCAGTTCGTCAAGGAGGAATTCGAGGCCTAAAAACCCAAATCAGAAAACCCGTGTTCCTTGGACACCACAGGAAGATGAATGTTTGATTGCTGGTGTTCAAAAAGTGAGTACTTCATGATTATCGAGATTATATCTGTATTTTTCCTCATCGGAGTCAATATTCGTAGCATGGTGCTGGACGATGGAGTGACATATTCAAGGATTCAACATCCAATTTCGACAAATCGAGAAAAGCTTCCGACCTGAGGGATCGGTATGTATCCTGTTACTCTTTAAACCCAACAAGAAGCTCACCGGTACTTTCTCGTACCAGATTCCGAGTATTATATCCCACCGAATACACCTCACTGTATCCAAATTCACAACCACGACGACTTGCACGAAAGGCATATACTCCATTTCCAGCCTCGACTCCTGGTGAAGGCGTGAAACGTTTAACGAGAGAACGAGCACCAAAGAGACCATTCACTGTGGAAGAAGACATTGAGCTGCTCGAAGCTGTTGCGACTGTGAGCATTCCTCCTGATCACTAGTTTTGTTTTTCGCTGTGTTTTAATTTCAAGTCAATTTCCTATTAGCATGGAGCAGCATGGACTCGCATCGCAACAGCAACTGAATTTTGTTTCGCCAAAGGTGGTCGACGAGCAGAACCACTTCGATGGAGATTCAGAAACCTGGCTCCAGAATCCAATCGCCTAATCATGTCTGGTGAATTAACACCAGAAGGTCAAAAGGAATTATCAGCCAAACTACGAGCACGTGCTCAAGAACTACGTACACTGCTCGCAAACCAACAACCCATCCCACCCTATGTGCGCAAAGAATCAAAATCGGCTCGAGCAGCTCGTGTTGCCAAAGCATATGAACGTATTGAACATGCAGCAACCCACGAGGGTCTTTCTCCTACCTCTGTGATTACTGGTGAAGAACTGGACAGTATGGATGAAGAGGATAGGCAGCTTTTGTCACAGTACATTACGGCAAAAGCCAATGGACAACACTTCCCCATGGGTGATGATGACGACAACGAAGATTCACCAATTGAATACGAGGAACCCACGTATGGTAGTCGATACATTGACAACGAACAAGCTGGTCCATCGTCGTCGAACGATGCTGGGTCTGGTGAAGGACACGATGATAAACAGTCCATTATTGCTGTTTTAAATCCAGGACAATATCAACATCCAGTTATGAGTTATCAGATAGTTGATGAAGGGGTAAGATTGATGGCTTTGACTTGTTTGGAGTCTGCAGAATCGTTGACTAACATCGCACAATACTCTCCTAGATTGCCAACATGATTGCATGGATGACAGGCAATGGGAGCAGGCCTCACGAGTTCACACAACAATAATACAATAATTAGTTCGGTCTTCAAATAAATGTTAGTATGTGTGCTTGTGGCACTATGTCATAGCGACAACTTTATGCCCAATAACGCGAAGCAAGAGGTGCCACAATATTTGAAATGTCAGAATATCCGTTTGACGCGTTTATGATGTTTTCTTCTTGTTTTCTGGTGCTCGAGCACCAATTTTCATTCAAAAACGAGCTCGCAGGAAATTGAAGAAGGAACATCAAAGGCAAGTATAGAGCTGACGAACTTGTGCCAATTCAAGCAATCCAGAGAGTAAGCTTTCTAATATTCATCCCGTTGTCGCACTAGATGGCATCAAAAGAAACAGTGAATGGAACAGCTAGCACAGATGCTCCAAAGTCTGAATGGGACAGATTTTGGGATATAGTCACAAAGGTAAACATAAAATAGACACATCAAACATCCTCTAGTTCCATTCGTGACCCGCATACATCTCGCTCATCTCATCTCACATCTATCCCAAAACTTTTTTTCTTACGTTTTGTCAAACATCATTGCCTACCATACACTAATTACATCTATAACAACTCTATTCATCTTTCATATTAGAATCCAGATGACTTTACATCCTGGGAATTCTTGATACGACTAGCTGAAACCTCAGGTGGTGGTCTTACTGCCGACTCTCCCGAATCCGATATTGTCAATCTACGACATTGCTACGACACATTCCTCGCCAAATTCCCATTATGTTTTGGCTACTGGAAGAAATATGTGGACTGGGAGAACTTGCTCAAGGGTAAAGACAAGGCTGTCGAAACTTTTGAGCGAGGGGTCCTTGCTATACATAATTCGGTCGAGTTGTGGACTCAGTATTGCCAATTTCGGGTCGAGAATTTCCCTGCTGATGAAGATAGTTGTCGAATGTAAGTACTAGTACTGCATGCAGGGTGGTGATGACAATTTCAAACATCCTTTTTGTGCTTTTAATCTCCCATATGCTTTCTCGCAACTGCATGTCGCAACATTGATGGCAATAAATGCACACAAATTCCTGACCGTTACTCTCATTGTGTAGGCTCTTTGAACGAGCTGTGGCATCAGTCGGTTACGATTTCTACTCGCATTCACTATGGGACAAGTACATTGAATGGGAAGAATCCAAAGGCCAAGTCACAAATGTCGTCAGGATATTGGACAAATTGATCGCTATACCCTTACACCAATATGCTCGATTCTTTGAAAAGTGAGTATCCTCCATTGCAGATTTGCCTTCATTTGTCGCGAATTCTAAATATGCTCGTCTCGCTATAGATATTTGCAATTCATGGGAGCTAGACCACCAGCTGAACTGGTGCCTGCTGACCAATTGGCAGAATTAGAAGAACAAGTCAGACATCCACCTGCAGGATCAGAGCAAGCTGTGCCCAAGGTAGACCACATTCTTGACAGGCATCACATATGTTTTCGCTCACACTTTCTCGTTATTTTTTTGCCAATAATCAGAACGACGATGAAATGCAGCTCGAACTTCGAAAGGCCATCTACAATCTGAAAAGTGCTGTATACATGAAGACCCAAGAAGAAGTGTTGAAGAGATGGACATTTGAAGGAGAAATCAAACGCCCTTACTTCCATGTCAAGCCGCTAGACGAATCACAACTAGCAAATTGGCGTAAATATTTGGACTTTGAAGAAGCTGAAGGCAACGATGCCAGGGTCATTATCTTGTATGAGAGGTGTCTGGTAGCTTGTGTAAGTTGATTGCTCAGTGATGAATGAGGTTTGTCCAAGTCGTCTGATTTTTTTTCCCGGGGGACCCTTTTACAGGCACTTTATGATGAATTTTGGCTTCGTTATGCTCATTATATGCTTTCAAAAAACAATACCGATGGAGCTCAAAATGTCTTCTATAGAGCTTGCTTCACTTTCATTCCCGCCTCGTAAGGAAAAAAAACGCGAGAACCTCTCGTCTCAATGATACAAATGTAACTGTACCTCGCTTATCTTTTCCTAGTCGACCACAAGCCCGTTTTGCTTATGCAAAGTTCTTGGAAAGCCAAGGTCGTGCCAAAGAAGCTCGAGATACCTACGAATTGATTTTACAAGCCACTCCTGGTCACGTCGAATGCACTTTACGTTCCTCTCAGTTTGAAATGCGTCAAGGTTCTTTGGAAACCGCTGTACAAATATTAAAAAAGGCTTGTGAAGGTGCTACCGTGGATGATCGTGGCAAGGCATACTTATCTGCACAGCTTGCCAAACTCTTGTTTGGTTCAGGTGATATAGAAGGATGTAGAACAACATTGAAAGAAGCTGTAGCCAAGTATTCAGAAGCCAGATTCTTGTGGATGAGTTATGTTGTGTTTGAAGTGAATCAACCAGGTATGAGGAATGTTGGTGTTAATGCGCACTCTTACATGTGGTCATCACTCTGTTGTTATTTCTCTCATCACAACACTAAGATTATCAATTCGCTTTTGTAGGAGCAGAAGCTCTAAAATACGTAAGAGAAGCGTATGATTTAGTCAAGTCTTCCAATCTTGCTACCCCTGACAAGCGGGATTTATCACTTCGTTGTCTCGATGTCTTTCTTGAACGCTGTACAGATATATCAATCATCAACACAATGGAATCTGACTTCCAAAAATATTCGCTACCAACAGCAGGAGGTGTTTCGGGTGCCAAGAAACGAGCATTAGAGGACGCAGCATCACATCCAGCCAAATTTGTGGCAGGTGCTGCGCCTGTTGGTGCTGGACCCCCTGTAGCTCCCGCTGGTGGATATGCCCAGGTGAGATTCTGCACCATGTTGCAAATGGTTTTATTGGGCATCGCAACTGTTGGCAACGTCTGTCACTAAAACTAATTCTTCTTTAGGGTTACGCATATGGAGCTCCCACCACGGCAGCATATTGAGGTTGTATAAGTTGCAGTCTTTTCTCGTATAAAGCAGACTTTGGTTGGGAATTGTATGTTGGTAGTCAAAAAGGGACGTTTTGCCGTGGTTTTTTGGTTTGTCGTTTATATTCTTGAAGTTTTTCTTGTTTCTTTTTTGTCAACATCATACTACACAAAGGAAAAGGAAGCTTTTGACAGCTGGTAATTGCACACTTTCAATAGATTATATCTCAAAAAAAGTTGAGTTTAGTTTGTTCAGTGTTGATGCTGGAAAGTGGTGAAGGTGAAAGTAAAGCGAATTAAATCATCAGGAAATGAAGTTTTGTTAAAGATCTGAGCGAGCCTCGTCTCATTCTGAGGGATATACTCTCATGCCAGCGTTTGTCTGCTGTCGTTCAGGAAGTCTGAATTGGTAAATAGGATATCGCAAAGGCGTTACATTCTCTATTCTTTTAATCAATTAATATTCAATACTAGTAAATGCAGCTAACGTGCCAAGATCAATGCCAAAAGGCATTCCAGCCTTATTCACGAAAAACATTATCACTTTCATGCCAAAACTCAGCCCAAAACTGCTTCAAACCAGATCGAACATTTGGATTCAATCCATACAAGATGGCATTGAAGAGTCCAATGAATTGTGTAGCACATTGAAGTGCTTCTAATAATAGAGTCGTGTTTCCAGTTATAGCCACATAGAGGCGATCCACAATTCCTGGAATCCAGAGCACAAAGTCTGTCGAAAAGAGGGGTACATTTAGTCATTTTGGTAACATCATTCGAATCGAGAATTAGCACGTTTTTTGTTGCTATACTTACATATGACCGGGAAGACAATCATAAGCCTCATAGCATGCCTCAATTGCGTCACCTTATTGATTTCAATAGAAGACCCTCGATCCGATGCTGTATTACGTCTATGCATTTTACTGGCGGATCCCTGTCGATGGAGAGTGATTATAGTATCACTGTCAGACCATTCGTCTACATAGATGTCGGTATCCTGTGACGATTTCGTTGGCGTTATATCAGCGTCCCATTCAGCTTCAATGGCTTGTCGAGCGAGACTACGTTCACGAGCATCTTGGTATGCTAGTCGAATTCTAAGGTAGATAGCACCATATAAGAAGGGCAGGGTAATCATTATTCCGATTCGTAAGCCATGGGATAGAGTGTAACGTGCGTATACGGGAGTTGTTGAAATCCAGCACCAAGAGAATGATGCCTTCTCGTAGCCTGGAATCAGGGCAATGGTGGCCGTGACTAGGGGTATGATAGCTATTGGAAGTATCAAGACCCATGGTTTAGATTGTACCCAGGCCAGTATCCTTGATCCATTCGGATTAAACGTTGCGTACGAGACTAGTGCCATTAAAACCACACAAAAGTCACTGCTCTGGACAGTTGCCTGCCCTATAAATCCAGTGACGGTACAAAACATGCCATTGTCTAGCTTGTTGCCGTGTAGTACTGTAATACCAGTGATTAGATTCACGAGAGAATTGGCGGTGTCTGCGTCAATATGTATAGTGTGAGTAGTGTATGTTTTCAAGCTTTGTGAGCTTACTTCAGCAATTACCAGCAGTAATAAGAGATAAGATGATAAGTGAGCGTAGATCATCACGGATTGATTCTCTTCGCCACACACTCAGTAATAGGAGTGTGGTTAAGATCAGAAATCCCCCTACAAGCGATAGGATATCGCCGACGAGATTCAAAATGACAATATCGTGTGGCAGCATGTTATGAGGCGTGCTACTGTTTTCACAATTGTTTGGAGCAGGGTAGGAGTCTGGAATTGTTCAAGAATTGGTGTCTGGCCATTGCCACACACAACAATTGATGTGCAGCACCGCATCAATGGCAACACGAAAATCTACTAGGAGGAAGCCCACGAATTCTGATCCTGATCCTTATCTGTCTCATCCGTCTACAACTTCTAGTGGCAAATCGAAAAGCATCAAAGAAACTCTCAAACGAAGTAAAGAGTGCCCATACGAAACTTTTGAGCTGTTGCAGATCCAGCAACGGGAAGCCTTCTAACTATGTATGAAATTCATTAGGTAATTCAAACAATCAAGAAACAATGGAAGGCTTCTTAACAAAGGACATTCGTCTTGTATCAAAACATGCAACCAGCACGGAAACGCCAACAACAAGTCGAGCTGAGGACACAGAGAGTCCTCTTATAGTAGCTTCCAACACGGATTCTGGCGCTATTCAAGACTTGAATGGCACATCTCCTTTGGTCGCCAACTCTGAGAATGAGAACGAACCAGCTGCTTTGGATAGTGATCTCGCAATGGAACGTCCTGTCCACACATCATCAAAACTCTCGAATCCATCTAATGGATCTGTCGTAGAACAACCGTCTTCTCTTGATACGTTAGGAGCACCATCGACCGACAACAAGGAACTTGTATTAGAACATATGGTAGAACCTGTGGTAGAGGACCTAGATGTATCCGATACTGTGCCAGCACTGTCAAAACAAATCATTGAACCAGAATGTGTCGTAAAAGACCTAGATGTATCCGATGGTGTGCCAGCATCGTCGAAACAAATCAATGAGCCTGACCCTGTAGTAGAAGACCGAGATATATTCGATGGTGTCCCAGCACCGTCAAAGCAAGTCACTGAAACTGTAGATTCAACCAATATGTCAGTAGATTTCGGAAATAATCTAGGAGATTCCGTCGATATGTTGGTAGATTTTGGACCCGATAGTCAGCCTGTGGATCCAGTTCATACGTCAACCCCAATACCCAAGGCAGCAATGAAAGTTTTGGATCTTCCCGCAGTCAGTGCTATAAAGCCTCAACAGACTCTTGAACGTAGTGCTGACGCCGATGCCGATGACTATAGTTTGTTTGATCCAATCAACGTTGGTAGCAGTACTTCAGTAGCGCCAGCACCGGCTGTAAAGAGTCATGATAGCAGTACCTTCGTAGCACCAAAATCGACTGAAACTAGTAAATATGAGGACACAGATGATGATTTTGGATTTGGATCTGCCGCTGCCAATGCGGTTTCCAGGGCTGTTGGTAATTCTGGCGCAACTATCCCTCTTAAGAAATCTGATAGTGTAGCATCTAGAACAGGTCTATCACCCATTAACTTTAGTGACGACGATGATCCAATGATCGGTGTTGGTGAACCACTCTTTGTCGCAACAAAAGTAAAGCAACCAGAGGAGAAGCCAGATGAGAAGACAAAGAAGAACTCTACGAAGAAGGCTACAAAGAAAGCAGTAAAAGAGGAATCGTCGCCTTCTAGGGTCTTGCCTCGTCGTGAAGCAGCTAAAAAGGCTATTGTCGATGATGACGATGACGATGATGACAGTGACACAGAAAAGGAATATGAAGAAGAAGAGCATCCCAAAAGGAGGGACAAGAAGAGCAAGGGTCCGAGGATCTCGTCTCGTCGTGGAGCAGCTAAAAAAGTGACCGTCGATGAGGATGATGATGTTAATAATGACAAGGAGGACGATGAACAAGAGCAGCATCGTAAGAAGAAGGCAAAGACGAGCAAGAGTTCTATGATCTCACTTCGTCGTGGAGTTGCTAAAAAGGTAGTCGTCGATGATGTGGATGACGATGTTCACAATGACAAGGAGGACGCGGATGAAGAAGAGGAACCTCCGAAGAGGAAAACGAGGAAGAACAACAGGGTGGACGATGAAGGAGACGAACCTCTTACGAAGAAGGCAAGAAAGAACAGGATGGAGAAGGTGGACGAGGATGAGCCTCCCAAGAAGAAGGCGAGGAAGAACAAGCAGGTAAGGCAATGATGGATGTAATCAACAATAGACAGCAACAACTCACACAGGTCTCCCTTATAGAAATGATCTATATTTATATTCTAGTGTTGAAATGCCAATTTGTGTATACTACAGTTTCGTTTCTTTATAAACAGACTTCATTTTGTGAATATATAACAGCAAAATTTAACCTCAAAGGTCACAAAATACGAATATTTGCCTATCTACGTTTGTACAATTCTGACTTTTTTGATGCTATACCTCTGCTCTGCGTAATCCAAGTCCACGACAATTCGTTCACGGTCACTCTCACATAAAATGTACCTTATAGATCCCATAGTTTTCGGAGCTTGACCAGACAAAAAGACTTCGATAGCTGCTCGTGCTTCTGGAGTCAGTGCTGCATCTGCTCGTCTGAAAATATTGTGAGTGGAAAAGTCGGGAAGTGGTTGAGTAGGTCGAGAAGCTACAGGACGTGGTTCTGGTGGTGGTAATTCTTTGATGAATTGTTCCAGCAGTGCCACTATAGGTTTGTTGGGAGTGCATCAGTTGACAAGACAAGAAACATTTGCCAACTCAGGACTGATGGCCAAAAAAATCATCATGGAACGTAACATGTACATAGACTTACAGGGCTGTCTGGTTTCTTGATCATCTTCTTCATCAGCAATCACTCGTTTACGTTTCTTTTTCGGAGATTCTACAGGAGCAGGTGCGGGCGTTTCATCTTCCATCATTGGCATATCATCATCCATTTGCTCTGGTGTCGCATCTCTAGGAAATTCTGGAGCTTTGCCCTTGTCCTTTGATGTTGAGGATTCTGGTTCGTTTGTCGTGTCGTCATTTGCCTTGAATCGCCTATGCTGTCTCTTGGCGAGCTTCTCTGCTTCCTTTGCAGCTAGAGCTGCTGCCTTCTGTGCTTCTTTTGCAGCTAGTGCTTCTGCTTTTTTAGCTGCCTTTGCTGCGATTGCTGCTGCTTTTGCCTCTAAATATAATTGTATGGACGAAAATGTGAGTCAAGGGAACCACTACCACGGATATTGGAATTGCACTGATTACCTGCTTCCTTTTTCTTCTTGTCTTCTTCTATCTTCTTCTCTAGAAGTATCTTACTCATATCGACCATTTGTGTCTTCGCTCTCTTTGGGGGCTGACTTATTCGAGGCGACGGTAGTGATGCTGAAGCTGAAGTAGAAGACACTACACGAGGCTGTAACATTGTATTGATGGATGGTTTACGTATGGGGACAGTAGGACCAGCCGTATTATTTGGTTTGGTCGCGGGCTTTGCGATGGTTGGTTTGGGCTGTGGTTTATATTTTGCGAGTCGATCTTCAGTTGATACGAGTATATCGACACCACCAAAAGTGAATTGGGCATCATCTAGATAAGGCGGTTTTGGGATTGGTTCCTGGATTGCGGCTTCATTGGCTCCTTCAGTGGTGAATAGAGCCTGGAGGGCTTCTTGAGACAAGTAGGCATACTCTCGCGGCATACAGTGTGGATCACGATGTACAGCTACGGTCAAAACAGTGAGTTGGATTCAAGGGGAGATGGGGATCGATTAGGAACGTACGCAGAGTGAGTAAGCCATTCAGCACGCCATGAAACTCTTCCGAATAAGCCTCCAGGGCAAGATTGAGTGCTGGCGTTCGTTCTTGCATGTAACTCGAGACCAGGAATGCCATGGCCCGAGTAAAGCTGTCACGTCTTTCGTCCAATAGGACCTTGTTGATGTACTGGAAGAAACGCACGAGATAAATGTTAAGCCTTTTGTTGATGTCGTTGAAAAAGACTATAAAACACAAGCAAGATGCAATTATTGAGTGCCTGGACTTACTTTGCGCGTAGCTTCTCTCAATTCAGGGAGCATAGTCTTCCTCTTGAAAGTCATTATGGCCACACAAAGGGCATCTTTGAGGGGCTGGATCAGTGTGTGATATTTGTCGACAGCTTGATCATATTCTGTATCCGCTATCTTGGACGCTATAGAAGATACAAGATTCCACGGCTTGGTCGCCTCCTCACTATAAACCTCCATTGTCGCAACTGCTCGATTTGCTGTCAGTTTGTAAACTACGTTGTTTGAAGGCTAGCAGCGCTGAAGGAGACCAAGAAATAGCAGACGGTGAGGTATACATAACTCTACACAGCGAATCTACTGTAAGCACCAGTCCCTTCATCTGTTTCTGGTCTAATTTGCATGCAACATCACAAGCAAAACATTCAACATTCAATTGATTGCGAGTCTATTTCATGAAACTTGATTTGAATTTTAAGGTTCTTATTTGTTACATGAGTAGATTCAAAGATGGCGCAGGCCCCACTGCTAGCACCTCAAGTGGCGGACCCCAATTACATCGATCACCAGATTAAACACTTGGTGAGTACACTGCATAAAAGGAAACAACAATAGATAATGTAATGACGAGTCTTCCAAAACAGATCAAGGCACCACAAGCTCTCTTCAAGCAAATCAAAACGCAAAAGGCTGCGGATGCGCTAGGTGAAGAGTTCGCATCTTTGTTCAAGGACCGCCCTGCTCAGTCGATGAGGGCTACAAAGATCTTTCTCAAAAAGTGCAGAGACTCAAAAATGCCGGAATCTGAAGCCTATGGAGGAAGTGGTATCATTATAGATGTGCTTCGCTCAAAGTCAACCGTAAGTTCCACAATGGTTTGACATCTTCTGGGAATGATACAGACGCAGTTCACATTTGTATTCTTGTTGAACGCCATCACAGTACTACACTCGCCCGTTTGTGATATCAGAGTCGCAAGAGCCGATGCATGTACCTTGTTGGACGCCATCACATTGTTATGCTCATGCCACTACAAGTTCGAAACGTCTGACTGATATCAACACCGCCTTAATAGATCAAGAGTGTTGATATGAGGATGTTGAGCTTCCTGGTTGATTTTGCAAGCATGTTCTTCCCATATCTCACCTTCCGCGAATACAAGATTCAACATCCGCATCTTTCCACGTCCATGACAAATTGGACTGGAAAGAAAGAAAACGGATATGGACCACAAGTACATGTAGACGATGTCCTCGACTCAATCGCTCCAGAACACTCTCCGGATACCAAAAATGACGGCTTTGGAATGATTGCGGTAGTTGGTCAAGACTTGACTGGTGATGCCATCAATTCAAAGGTGTCCAAAGACCACCCAAACCGCCACGTATATGTAAGCGCATGCAGATTTTGTTTTTTGGGTTGCGTTTCAAGTATTTTGACAAGAGGCAATAGTACTCTTATCTCTACGGGTCCGTATCTACGTGGAAGCCCGATCGAGTCCCTGCTTCGAAGGAAGGTCGTGTTTATCCAGACCGACGAACACTTGGCTGCTTCTCATTGGCTCGCACATACGCTGACGGAAAAGGTGCCGCCTATCCTGATAAGGAAGCCAAAAGGAAGGCAATGAAGGTATTGTGCTCTGATACAAACGTTTTACCTTACGTTGTCTCTCAATATTTTTATACCAGAAAACCGACTAAACGGTCGTCTTGTTTTCATTAGCTAATGGCACAATATGTCTGTCTCATGCTTTCCATGGAATTTTGTTTCGATCACCACTGTATCCTCAATCCAGGCATGAAATCGATTACTCTTCACTTCTGCCCGTATTGCTATGAACAAAGTAAGCAAGATTGCAATGCTTGCAATGCGCGTTTGCTTTGTCAAATGAAATCGAGGATAAATATCTTACGCCTTCCTTCGCTTGTTAGTTGCGAAACTGCTCGGATGGGAATCTATAGATAGGTGCAGGAATATAGAAAGGTTTTTGCGAGAGCATGGGTTTGAAGAAGATGCCAAATGGGAAGCCGCCATGTTGAAACACATGGAAACTATTTTACCATGTAAGCAACGTGTTCTGTGTCAGCAATTCTTTTGTGTCAGCAAGGTTCTGTGTTGGATCATTCTGATACTTGGACTTGTGAGCATTGTGATGACGTAGCTCAAATGTCCTGGTAATCCCCTGTCTTTTAGATGTTCCTCCTGGACAGCCTGATATTCTTGATATCGAACGGCAAGCAAAGAAGAGGAAGCATTCAGATCCAGTTGATGGGAATGAGAGCAAACGATCCAAGTGAGCCATTTTCTTCCCGTAAACAATATCTCAAACAACGGACTAACCATTGCGAACACTTAGGGATGCTACCTCACCTTCTCGAGTGAAAACCAGTTCTGAGAATTCTCAAAATACTCGTCACTCGTCAGTCAATCTTGATGCAGATCGAGATATTGATATGACAGACATGCCTTCCGACTTTTCTTTCCCCAATAGTGTCAATACAGACGAATCAGCCACCGCAGAAAGCACCCTCTTTGCTCCACCTATCGATCCCAACGATAGACAGGATAGCCCCACTGCAAGCGAAGCATCAGTGAAAATGAACGGTAAAATTATACCAGGTAATAACGGAGCTATCAGTCATTGGACTAGTGATTCCGCCGATTCGTCCATGGGATTAAGAACGGCTAGTATTAGTGGTACTAGTGCGAGGGTCGGTGATCATAGTAGTAGGAATGGTGTTGCGGAGCCTCGTGCAACATCTACCGCACCTATCGTAGTAGAACAGTCATCCACAGCATCACGAGCAGCATCCAAAGAACGTGCACCTGCAACAGGTGGAAAGCCACAGAAGAAATCACGACCATTCATCCTAAAACCATCAGCACCTGCTCAATCTGCTCAAAGTGCTCCAGCAGTGCAACCACCGTCATCTTCAGCTCAAACTACTCAAAACGGTGGTAGTACTTCAGCAGCACAACAAGCATCAACATCAGCTCAATCGGCTCAAACTGGCGTCAGTACTCCAACAGCACAAGCAGCTCAGCCACCTGTAGAAAATTCACCAAAGAAGCTGACTCCACGTCTTCGTCAAGCACGAGGTGGCAGCCAAGATAAACAAACAGGAAATAATAGTATAGGTCAACAAGATGCATCGGAAAACAATATTGCTATAAATCCATCTATGTTTCCTCCAGCAACTGCCACAGGTACTCCGACGCCATCTCCTCAACCAGTAGCGCTACAGCAACAACAATATCAGCCAGCTGAACGAACTCAATCTCCTCTATCGATCGGTAGTAATTTATCATCACAATTTTCCCAAACCACTGGATTCGGTCCACTATTGATGCCACAAATAGGTCATCCCCTAGGTCAACCACCATTAAATGTACCAATAGTTGCGCAACCACCACCAGTATCACAACCAGTAGTAACACACCGCAATACGATGCAAACCCCAACAATGCAACAACCGACGCAATACAGTAATGGATTCTATTATAGTCCAAATACGTATGATGTATTCCCTGGTGGTAATAGTATGCCCATGCAATCACCACTAGCCCGTAGTCGAGATTTCATCGTGAAAATCCATCCTCTACTCAACCCTGTAGGCGATGGATGGAAACAAGAGCGGATGTTTGTACGTGATAATTTGACATTTGCAGACCTTAGGACACATATATGGTCATTGTACGGCTTGGATCATGGTCGTGAAGCCAAATTGACTTTAAAGGATGGAAAGAGTTATGTCACAGTCTTTTCCACTGCGGTGACCGATGGCATGCAACTAGCCGATGATGATGTTTGTCAATCAGCCGCAGAGTGTGAGTTGGACATCGCTTCTTGGAAGCTTGTTCTCATTGGCTGCTTCTTTACGATATCACGCTCACACTATTGCATCTCACAGATATGACTAAAACCCCGGAGGGGCAATCCATCGTCTGCTTTATCCCAAGAATTTGATTTTGGTGGCGAACAGTTAGAAAGTATCAAGTCAGTAGTGTTAGCTAGTGCTTTTAGGGAGAAAAGGGACGCTAGTGTTTTAGGAATGACAAATAAGCAAGGGTTATATCATAGTTTGTTTGTGACGAGTAAATTGCGCACAGAATAGAAATTTGCAGAGATTATGTAAATCAATGACATCTTCTTCAGTTTAGAGATCACTTTTTTTTGCATGTTTCGCATACATTTTACGAAATCACCCTTTGGAAAACCACGCTGCAGTACACATAATGGTCTCGAGATATGCATTTTTCCTATTTTATTTTGAACTCTTTTAGTGATTGATTGTTTTTAAATGTATCTAGCAAATATAATCATCCGGTAATCAAGATGACGAGCACGTATCAGCTGTGGGGGTTCCTCTATTCCGGAAAGAAGGGTGTTGTTGTGTGTGATGGTTTTCATCATATTAAGTCGAATTTTTGGTTTAAGTTTTCCCTCCCGTTTTCCCAAACTCTTTATAGCGCTCCATTGTGATAGATTCCATTGTATTGCGCGAGAGAGTGTTGATAGTGGGTGTCTAACAGAAAGAAAAAAAACCAGTTGAGCCACAGTGACAACACACCAACAGTACGGGACCACGGATCTGCTGTTGCAAGTCCTTTTAACACCAATTTTTAACACACTTACCCAATTCATGATGATCATAATCAAAATAATATCCATGAGGCGCCATTTGAGAATGATGCTGCCCCATCTCCTGTTGCTGTTGGTGATGATGCACACTACCACCAGCACCTATATGTTCACCCCGTTGATCGAAATCAGCCCGCTGTTGATGCATGTAGTGTGGCAAGTGTTGTTGCGGCTGGTGGTGATGATGCTGTGCTATTACATTGCCGCCTGGTGGCACCATGGTTGGCAGATGGTGTGGGAATATGTGATGTGGGGATGGGAGTATTACGTGTTCGTGGTGGTGTAGATGGTGCATTTGGGGAGGTGCGGTGCGACGAGGGGGTTGTTGTTGCATGTGGTATGGCAGCTGCTGTTGCGGGTGTTGTTGATGGTGGTGGGACTGTTCAGAGTCTTGGTCGTCGTCTTGGTCGTGATGGGAGTAGTGTGGAGGATTTATATGATGGTGGTGTTGGGTTGCAGCTAGTGTATGCTGGTGCGGTGGTGATGATTCCTCATGCTGTTGCTGTAGATGGTATTGGTGTTCTTGCTCCTGCTGTATTTGTATTTGTTGTTGTTGTTCCTCGTCGTCCACAGCAGATTGTGACGACGATGCACTCTTCTTCGTAGAATATGGACCTCGTTTGTAACCAGTTTTACGGGATTTGCGCACCGAGTCGACACAGGTAGCAGTATGTCCTAGTCGTGTGCAGCGTCCACAAGGGCGATTGTCGTCGCACTTTTTAGCAGCTAGCAGTGGTTGGTGAAGTGTTAGTACGAGTAAGAGAAGGACGACTGGCTCATGGTGACCAAGCAATCCTTTGTTCTCATTACCTTTCTTGCAGTTCATACAAGCTACCTTGACCTGTTGCCTTTTTGCGACCCGAAAGCCCGTGGTTCTTGGAGCCGCAACTTTTCTACGTTTAGTAGTTCTTCTAGCTGGCGGACCATCGTATTCAGGATCGCTATCATCGTCAGGTTCGGCAGTATCGTCGTCTTCCTGGTAGTCGTCAGCAAGCTGGGCAGATTCAGAGGATGGCTCGTACTCATCCTCCTTTTTGTAGTAGGTCGCAGGCTCTAATATATAGGGATGCAGATGTGTAAGTTATGGTTGAGCTTGTTGAAGGTGGTGTATAGGGGTTGTAAATCGCAGCAAGCTGGCTTTTGTTGATTTCTGATTCGTTGACAATTTCCATACCTGGAGGAGGAGTCTCCCGTACTTTCAGGAGGGTTTCAGCCGCCATCTGGTCTTCCAGGGTCGCCGCAGTACGCCTTCTCGTCTGTGGTCGCATGGTAGCAGTCCCTCACGCTATAATTTGACGTTTTGCAATGGCTGGAGCGAAGGGGGGAGACACGTAAAAAAACAAGTTGCGCTTAAACAGGACGTGCAGATGGGCCAATGGCGTCTATATTCCATCTGATTACAACTCCCGATGCATGCGATGCTCTCACAGCTAGAGCTAGGATCTCGGGGCTGCATGAAAAAAACATTGCCATAAACCAATGGATTCGCATTCTAACCACAACTGATACCGCTACAACTGCTGCCAATATCTCCTCCTCGTCCACCAAAAGATACTTGGTAAGCTCTAGAACATACCGATCACTTATATTCTTGCACTGCTAGAACTGACACATTGTAACAAATTAGGTATACTACGCGAAAGCTTGGCCAACGTCAGATACAACCGATCAACCAACCATCATATGCGAACCTTTGATTAAAAGAGCTGCAATGTCCGTTGAAATCGGTCTCCTGTCTGGAATACTGCCTGATCAGTGTACACAATGTTTCCACTAGTTTATTTGCCCATCCCATTGATCTCACACGTGTCCCTGTATTAGGCATCATAAGGCAAATGCCATCAAAACCAGTTGATGCCATTCAAGTTCGCGTATCTGTCACTGTGAAACAACCTAGACTGCAACTGGACGAACTTGGTTTTGACTTCCACAAGGGATCTCTGGAGATGCAACAATCTGTAAATACGACGCCGTGTTCAATTAAAGCATTTCGACCTTTTTTTGCTCACTCACATCTTCTTGTCTCGATAGGCTGTACAAAACTCACTGTTGAACTTGGCCGTGAGCTCCAAATGTCGCATATTAGCACCGACTCGAGCCTTGTCAATCAAAATCCTCGATACAACACCGTCAAATGCTAATGTAGTGGTTACTGTTTCAACAAGTATCATCATTGATTCCAAGAAACAGGCAACGGATTTGGCGCATGCCTTCCAAAACATGGCCATATCAGCATCAAACGCAGATATGGATGATGAGGATGAAGAAGATCAAGATATGCTAGCTGTTGATCTAGCCAGTGTTGAAACTGTGCCTGGTCTTGAAGCTGCTTACAAGAGCTTGATGGATATTCTGATTTATCCATTATACTATCGTGACATTGTACAAAAGATGCACGTTGATCCACCAAAGGGAGTTCTAGTATACGGACCCCCAGGAGTTGGAAAGACCATGCTGGTTAACTTGGTTGCTAAAGCGTGTAAAGCCATTGTGGTAAGGAATTCAGAAATTAAAACTGTATAACCATGGATTGAAATGTGTCGTTTTTGGTACAGGTGACCATCAATGGTCCTGAAATATTTGGATCAAACCAAGCTGAATCAGAACAGAATCTTCGAAACAAGTTTGATCAAGCCAGAGATTTGTGTAAACAGTCTCAAGCCGTTATTTTGTTTATTGATGAACTGGCAAGTTCCTGTATGGATGTGCTATAGGCAGTCGGTCTATGTTTTTGACCTTTTGGCTTTTCTCCATTTTAGGACGCAATAGCAGCATCACGAAGCAACACATCCATCTCATCACACGTACGAGGCGTCACATCATCCCTCCTCTCCGAACTGTCGTCCATAGAATCACTCAGCTTTGTAGTAGTCGGTGCAACCAATCGACCTGAATCTATCGATGCAGCATTACGGAGACCAGGAAGGTTCGATCGTGAAGTTGCTATTGATCCCCCGAATGAAGCAGCTAGAACGAGTATATTGGCTCTTGTTGCGAAGAAAGTGCCGTGTGATGATACAATTGATTGGACTGATTTGGGGAAACAGACTATTGGATATGTTGGTGCTGATTTGGAAGCGGTTGTTCGTGAGGCTGCTATGGATGCTGTTTCGAAGGGACAGACGTAAGTTTACATATGAATATGTTTTTGTCGTCACTTTTTTTGGTTCCTCTTCAAAATCCATGCTTTTGAGGCCACTGACACAAAAATCCAAACAACGATGTATGCACTCTAGGCACGTCAACCACCTCAATATGAAACACGCTCTATCAATCCACCCACCATCAATGACTCGATCTCTAACCGTCAAATTCACCGCAACATCATGGACTGATATTGGTGGTCTAGCCAGTGTTAAAAAGGCTCTTCAACAAGCAATTGAATGGCCTATATCTAGACCGCAACAGTTTGAAAGACTGGGCGCCATGATACCTCGTGGTGTCCTCTTGTATGGTCCACCAGGATGTAGCAAGACGACACTGGTTAAAGCTCTAGCTACTAGTTCGGGTGTCACGTTTCTCTCTATTAATGGTGCATCGCTGTATTCTCCTTTTGTGGGTGATTCTGAAAAGGCTGGTATGTGTTGAGCCGTTGGGTTCGCCTGTACGTTTTTTTCTGTCGTGTATTAAGGATGTTCTAACTACCAATATTTCACGTATTGGTGTACAGTGCGTTCGCTATTCACCAGAGCGCGAATGGCAAAACCAACCATTATATTCATTGATGAAATCGATGCCATTGTTGGAAAAAGAAACTTTGATAGTAATTCTTCGGAATCACATGTTGGAGTACGTGAACGGGTGCTAGCTACATTGTTGAGTGAAATGGATGGTGTTGAGAGTGCTAAGGGTGTTATCGTTGTGGTAAGAGAGGAGCTCATGAAGTTCCGTTTTTATAGTTCCTCCTATTTTTTGTGTCCTCAACTAATCTCTTTCTCACTCACGCAGGCCGCCACAAATCGACCAGATATGATTGACACAGCACTAATGCGCCCTGGCCGTTTTGATCGTGTAATATACGTGCCGCCACCAGATACTGAATCGAGACTAGACATTCTGAGAATTCATACTCGTAAAATGCCACTTGATGAGAGTATTGATCTCGCAGTGCTGGCTGAAGGGACTAGGTACTATACCGGAGCTGATTTGGAGGCCCTTTGTAGAGAGGCTGCGCTGGACGGTGTTAGAGGGGATAAGGATTGTCAGTTGTTGGTAAGACTGGTTATATAAACGACTTAGAGAAGAGCTTTTTCTCTACGTTACTTGTGAACGGAGTCTAGCTCACGTGTCACCTTTTGTTTATTTGGTAGAATCGACATCACTTTGACAGTGCCTTACGAGCTGTACGGCCCTCACTGTCTGCTGGAATAGAATTGCAATTCGCGACCTTCCAAGTTGAATTTGGACGAGGACTGTGAAGTTCGAGTCATCCGCTGGTGTTTTGATCAAGTATTGACATGCTTTTGTCTCCTCTTTACCATTTTTTTCTGTCGCCAACGCCTGAACAATACCCACCTCATGACTATTCACTGTACACATATATACATGGCTTACACTTTGTACATAAAATTAGAATGCAAATACAGAATTTTATCAGACTTCAATGCTCGAATGTCGGATCTTTGCTCATGACCTCCAAAACATGCCCAATGTCCTCAAACAAGACCAACAACGGTGGAAACAAAGAAAATCAAGCTAATGAACTACACTATAGCACCATTTTCACTGTACACGAGATAGAATGTAAATGTAGCTTTATATTGAATGTTATGCCATCCGAGTGGTAGCTTATCTGGCTGTTGATTGACATGTTGACATTTCCCTATCATGAGTGCGTCGTTTTTTCGCATTCACAGACCGTCGTCGTCGAGCTACCACAGCCTAGGGCCAGACTAGGACATTCGTGAGAAGCTTCGCATTTGGACCTGATGACTAGTTCAGAACTATCCCAAACGACAATAGAACGGATTTTTTTTGCCATGCACAATACTACATCAACTCCAATAATACCTCGACAGCTGCATCAACCAACAACGCGATCTCGCCACCAACTCACCGCAAAGTATGCTTTGATATATAATCTCCGCAATCGACCACACTCTTTCCTTCAAAGACCAAACTGCGCGCCCACACGCGAAATCAATCTTCCTCAAGACCAAAAAAAGTGAAGATTGATTCATACACACTTCTCAAAACTAATATCCAAGAAGACATCAAGATGCTTTCTGAAAGGTAGATGAATTATGATCCATCAGTTAGCAGCGATCGCTTATTCGTTTATGCTAATAATGTCTTGCTTCATTTTTAGACCAATCCCAAGATTTTCCACCTCGACAAGAATCGCGTCTTCCCGTTCGCAGCGTACTCTCGCACAAGCGGTAATAAGATGTTCGCAGTTTGACGCGAGATATTCGCGTTCGCTTTGATGGGTTTTATGGGCCAACGAAGAATCCACCACAAACCCTATTCGAACTGGTCATCTAACACCCGTCATCCCCTCAACCATTTTTCACAGACACCGTCATCAGCTATCCCACGCTCAGTGTCAAGGTCATCAGCAGTATCTCGAGCCAGCAGTGTTAAATCAGCTGCAAGTTTCAAATCCACTGCTTCCTCATCGTCATTATTATCTGAGGGCGTTCGAGAAGTGCAGTCAACAAAACTTGCTAAGTTTTGCTCTGCTGCTTCTGGACGTGAGAGGCTAGTAGGGAAATCGGCACCACCTTCAGCTGTTCGCGATTCAAGGACTGAACCATTGGGTGGGAAGAGTCATTCAACGTGAGTTTAGGAGCCTTCTCTTACTTGTTGTTCTGTTCAACAATATTTGTTGCGGTATTGGAGCGGAACGAAAAAAGTTATGACGGTAATCATTGATGAGGAACTTTACCTTGCTAACAAAACTTCATCTCCTGCAACAGAGCTTTTGGAACAGTATACGTCCGTGGAGGCATCCCATGCAGACTTCAGCACGGCTCAGTCCAACACCGAATCTCATGGACTGCACCACCATCAGGTCTCTCCTTTTCAGCTCTATGTCCATTGTTCATCACGGGTCTGCTCGAAACACATCCACAATATCGATTCATGGCACACCAAGGACTTGTTGAATTAGTCTCGTCTGCTCCTGGTGCGATCCAGTTGGGTTTCCCATCGTGTATTGCTCCATTACGCGCTGTGTTGAGTAATGGTGCTGACAAGGTATGCTTGTGTAAACCACATGAAGGGTCTAAATCAGAAGGCTGAGAAGTTTTTTTTTGGCATTGATTTAGGGTGCATCACTAGTAGCGCTCCGAGTCTTAGGCATAATGGTTGAAAGACTATCACCAGATACGTTGGCATCATCATGTGGAATGTTACTACCTCCCATCTCACGTCTAGCAGTCAGCAAAGACCGCGAATTAAACGATGCTACACATTCAATGTTGAGAACGTGGGAGGAATCTGGTGGGCCTCAAGTACTGAAGTTGATCAAGGCTAGGATTCCGACATATACCAGTATTCGCTCATGCTAATGGCATTTGCAGATAAGCAGTATTTTAATAAGAAAGTATACTGTGTTCAAGGCAAAAATTTCAATAAACAATACAGAGATAGTAGTGTTAACACTACAAAGTAAATCCTTTTGCTCCTAGTATCGTGCTTTGAATGGTTTTGATACACCTGGCGCGATTGGTTCACCAGAGTCTCTCATTTTCACAGAGGCTTTGAATCTAGGGATTGAAGATTGTGAGCTATGCTACAATAACATTTAAGAGTTCACAACGTAGTTAGTTACCCATGCTGTTCACTCATTTCTTTAAACCAGAGTCCTCTAGGATGAACCAAAAGTCGGAATCAGAGACACACGAGAAAAAAAGTCGCTGGTATTCGTGACGAATGATTTTACTCTGGAGAATGCCTTGTGATTCCATCAAACAGTGTGGCAGTCATTTGAGTGCTAACCAACCCCATATTGTATAGGGACTGGTTGATCATGAGCTAACCAACCAAAACAAAACAGTAAGACGTAGCTAATAGCAGATAAGCGCCTTTCGATTCAACACACACACACAAATGTACCTTCTGCATCATCAACTGATTCTTAGGAACGCCAGCCATACGTTCAGCGAAGGTTTGGACTGCAGCATCTAAATCCTTTTCAGGTACGGCGTCCCATACAAGTCCCATTCTCTTGGCTTCAGTGCCCAGTATCAAATCTCCGGTAAATAACATCCTTTTGGCTTTCTCGGCACCGAGCCTATATACCCACATCGCAGTAGTCGGGCATCCCCATACTCGTGACGGTGGATAACCAATCTATACGGTTACAATAGAAGTGTGTAAGAAGGAAAAAGAGAGGGACACGAACCGGGAGTTACGCAAACGCTCTGCATATGACATTCTCACCTTGGCATCCTCTGCCATAATAACAATATCAGAGCAAAGAGCAAGGTCTGATCCTCCTGCTACAGCGTGTCCACGCACTTTGCATATCTGTGTTTGAGAAAGTCGATACCAAAGTGAGACGCATCTCGACGGGCATACGATCCACACGCAAATTACCACAGGTTTACGACATCTAAAGACACTCATCATATCTTGTGTGTTCTGCCACATGCCGCTGAAATCAACCAAAGGATCCCATGGCATCCTATTAAATGACAAACACTGAAAGCGAATGCAATAACCGGGCGCAATTCAAACGTACGTTTGAGTGCCACTTCTTGTCGTGTTTTCAGCTGACTGAATTAGGTCGTAACCAGCGCAGAATGACCTGAGTTGCAAAAAGTTCCAGAGCATTGTGAGCGGCGACGTTATTTCGGAGGGGATGAAACTCGAGACTGAAATCAATCTGATCAAGCCTGACCTGCCAGCTCCAGTTAAAATGATGACATGAACGTCATCATCACGTTCAAAAAAGTCGATAGCTCTTGGGATTTCAGCAATGATTCCATCTCCAAGCGCATTCAGACGGTCTGGCCTGAACAAAAGTCGAGAAGAAGGTCAGAATATTGCCTTTCAAGTAATTAAAGATCGCCTACTGGTTGGCTTGTAGCTCGTACGCTGAGAACTTCCAAACTACGGACACAGTGACGCAAACTGTGAAAACAGACCCTTGCAAAAGGATGGATCTAGAGCTCACCGATTCAACGTAATGGTTCCGATTCTTCCACTCTTCGACAATAGGATATTCTTTAATGGCTGCTCCATGCTGCGTGCTTCAGTCTGAAGTCAGAAAGTGATGAGGTGAGACAGCGACGACCACACGAAACGTCATTTTCTCGAAAAATCTTTTGTATTGTGGAGTATGATTGCATAAGCTAAAATATTTTATGAAAATGGTTATAAATCAATGCATTTTTTGTTGGTTGTTATTGATCCACCTATGTTCACTTCTGACCCTCCTCTTCTTCATCATCTTCCTCTTCTTCATCATCGTCTTCCTCTTCCTCACCATCGTTATCGTCATCATCATCTTCTTCGTCCTCTTCCTCAGAGGCGTTTTCCAACCATTCGATAAACTTGGCAGCGTTTTCATGGACTTCCTTGCTGACTTTACGATCTACATATTTTTTAGAGCTCTTGGCAGCCCAAGCCAGGATGGCTTCTTCAGTGAGGATCTCTTCTTCGTAAGCCATATGAAGGACTTTGGAAACCCGAGGGAGAAGAGTGCGCTGCTTGACACCTACAAGACGCTCAAAGCCTCCCAATAAGGCTTTTTGGCCTTTATCTTTTTTACAAGTCTTGAGTAGACGTTTAATGAGAGGAGCACGAGTGCTGATTTGCTTCTCGTCAACAACGTTGGCATCAAAGAGTTCAGAGGCAATGACGAGGATGGCCTTGTCTTGACGAATGCCCATTTCGCTGACAGCAGAGACGATATCGTCATCAGAAGCCTTTGGATGAGCAGACAAGTACTCAGTGAATTCCTTCAAAGGGTCTAAACCATGAGGAAGGTGGTAAGTAACACTGGATGTAGTCCAACGAGGGAGCATAAAGGTGGTGCTAATAGAACAAGAGAATGAGCAGTACTTGCCTTCTCCTTCCTCATCATCATCATCTTCAGGCACAGGAGTAGTCTTCATCGTCATATCACGGACACGGTTTGCTACATCCTCAACAGGCTTTGCGTCCTCATCTAATGTAGAAAAGTTTGCGTGAACAATGGGCTCCAATTATTCAACACGCCTTAAAATGTACCTGAAGCAGATCCACCAGCAGCAGATGAAGCAGCAGCAGCAGCGGCAGCCTTCTTGCCCTTCTTTCCAGGGATAGCAGCACCTTCTGGCGGGTGGTTTTGAATATAGGTGACGAGTTTGTGTCGCATGTCTACAGCACTGCGAGCACCGCATGCGATACAATTACGCATGACAGTTCCATCCTTTTCAATGCTCTAAGGAGCGAGGAAACAGGTTTAGATTCGGCGAAGAAAAATGAAATGAACAATACGTATGCTACTGGAATATAGTTTCAAGCTTACCAAGTTGGTCTCTGGATTGTCACAACCAGTACACAAGACGAACTTGATGATGAATTTTTCCAACAAGTCTTGCAACTTTTGAGCATCATGAGCACCATTGACAATATACTTGTCTTCCTTTTCCTTCAAAGTTACTTGAGCACCCAGTTCACAACCAAAGAACTTTGTAGGATCTAAAAATGCACATGTTTTAGGTCCGGTCATGAAAACGAAAGTGTCTTGATGTTTCTCCACTACAGGCAGGTGACAGTTACGTACAAGCAGGAGGACGGGCCAGCGATTTTGCAATGTCAGACATGTTTGGAATGACAGTCTTGATACCATTCCCTTTTCCTTCCACCTTGGCTACAAGCTGCGAGAATTCAAAAAATGAAAAAAAGTTGAGTTAAGTCACTAGGATTGAAGAAAAGACGGCAGACAGAGCCAATCCAACTGGGATTGGAGCAGCAGATGTATATGTAGTCATATGAGTGAATGACTCTGTCGTTGATGACTTACACGTGGCATCTTGTATCGATGGAATTTGTCATTCTTGTTTCCTCCAATGTTGAGAGTAGCCATGTTGATTGAGAGGGTAGAAACTTAAGCAGGAGGTTTTCGTTTATGTCGATCTGTGAAATATACACTTGATATTTGGTTTCCTTGTAATCTCATGAAAAAGACGGTCTGTTCGTTCCTTTTTTGATGGTTTCCAACAAAAACGGGCACTTGATGAAGTGAGATGGGGCGAGAAGGATATTGATGAATAGCTACGGTGCCTCTATATGATATGGAGACTGTCTTTGGTTGCTAGTCTAGTGGAATAGCCTTGTAGTTGTGGGTCGTTTTGTGAGAAGAAAAAGTTGAAAAAGATTGAATGAGGAGGGTCACCGGTTGGCACCAATCATCTCGTAATATTTGAGGAAGTGACGTGATTATCGTTTTAGAAAGTGAATATATAATATATATATATGTATTTGTTGAGCGTTCGTGTCTTGCAGGAGCGAATTTTCAATATGTGTTGCTGCACCAGAAAACGCCTCTTTCAGCCAAAAGTCACATTCACGTGGAATTATGACAATTGCATGCAGTGGATATTGAATATATTGCAATCACGTTCACGTCCGCATTGGTTCACGTCCAGAAAGTGGCACTGTTGTATCTGCAGTATCGAACACCCACCAACAAACTGTTGAAAAAGAGCAACTGGTTTGCAGGAAAACCCCCCACGGAGAGTCAAGTTGGATGTTATGAGTAGGATATCAACAAGGCACATTTCCGTTTGGGCACTCAAGCTCATATAGAAACTGTCCTCCTCTTCTCTCAAAATGGACGAATCCGATAGAGATGACAATGCAGATGAACCAAAAGTGGTCGAGGCAAGTCTTGTTTCATTTTCTCTCATTTCATACCTCCTGCATATCAAGGCCGTATCCGATTATTCGTACAACTACTCCCCACATGTCCAAATGATGTGGTTTCCTCCTGCTTTGGTTTTTTTGTGAGAGAAAGATTTTGCTTTGACGACATATCAAACTTGGACTTGCATGCTCACACTGGAGACGGTCTCATATACCCTTAAATCTATCCAAACCATCCTTTAATTTCCTCGCACTCCTTTACTAACCTTCTCCGTTCTCACTCCAAACAACGCCAGACCGACCCAAACAAACGTTTTGAACGATACGATGTCTCCCTGGGTAAAGGCGCATACAAAGAGGTCTTCAAGGCTTTCGATCAAGAGAGATTCGTAGAAGTCGCTTGGAATCAACTCAGGATCGACAATCTACCCAAGCGTGACGCTCAACATATCGTATCCGAAATCAACCTCCTTGCAAGTCTTCGTAACGACCACATCATCACCATGTACGATGCATGGGCTAGCGTATCTCCAAACGGCAAATACAGAGTCGTCTTCATCACTGAGCTCATGACGTCGGTATGTAGCAGACGTGGAACAGCTTGTTACTCCATTCTTGTTGTAGACATTAAGTGTCGACTCCTTTTGACATTGGTGCGTTCTTGATATAGGGAACATTGAAGAGTTATATCAAAAAGTCAAAAGGCCCAGTCAAGCCCAAAGTTCTAAAGGACTGGTGTCGACAAATCCTACTTGGACTCGATTATCTTCATACACGTAAACCTCCCGTAATTCATCGAGATCTCAAAGCCGAAAACATCTTCATCAATGGAAATAATGGTCAAGCAAAGATTGGAGACTTGGGACTAGCCATAGAAAAGCATAGAGAACACATATCATCAGTGTTGGGGTAAACAATATTTCACACTTTTGTTGTTAGAGTGTTGTGATTGGGACATTGTTCCTCACACACGTTGCATTTTTTATAGAACACCTGAATTCATGGCGCCCGAGTTGTATGATGAACACTACGATGAAAAAGTTGACATCTACTCCTTTGGAATGGTCATCCTCGAAATTGTGACCAAAGAGTATCCATATTCAGAGTGTACCAATCAACCACAGATATATCGTAAAGTCATGCAAGGAATCAAACCTGCTGCACTCAGTAAGGTGCTAGATGAAGAAACGAGGAGATTTATAGACGTCTGTATACAATCTGATCCAAAAAAGAGACCATCAGCTGCAGAGTTACTCCTCCATCCGTTCTTGGTCATGGCCGAAGGTCAAACGTCACATAATGGCCCATCACAAATATCTAGTCTAGACGACCTGAATCTAGCTACAAATGGTTATGACTTTACGCCACGTGCTAGTGTATCTTCGATTAGGAGCACTTCATTTCCCATTAATGGCACATTGTCATCTGCCGTGACAAAGGAAACTATCAAGGAAGAAGTTGGTATAATAGAAGGTGGCACTGATAAAGCTCTTGATCGACTTGCCATTCGATCTGACGGAATGCTGACTCAAACAGAAGCGGCTGCCGTATCTTCGCCAGTCTCGACGCTGGTCGACACATCATACCCTAGTGACAGAGTATCAGAAGTCTCGATGCCATACAAGTCAATGTCAATGGATCAATCTTCTCATTTACGAGGAGGCTTACTATTGCAACCATTGACTCCCGCCGTGCATGGTTTGACACCTAATACATCACCAATACAGTTGATGACACCGTTATTTCCACTACCATCATCAGTCACAATACCACTAGCCACATCTCCAACATCAGTAGATGGACCAAAACTATTACCTGCTATATTAGAAGCTCTAACTCCGACAGATACTGTAAATAGTGTACAAACAGCTGATTCGGCAACATCTCCACCTCACGCAACGGTGCGTTCAAGGTCTAGATCCTTACCAAGAGTGACGTCTAGGTCGCGGACTACATCACCTACCAATAATTATGTATTTAGTTCGCCAAATTCGTCGAATATGGTCCCGTCTTCAACGTCAATGGCCGCAATCCAACCTCCAACTCTAGGAAATAGTGGTAGCAGTCAAGTCAGTAATAGTAGTCTTCAAGTTAGTCAATCATATAGTAGTAGTAAAACTGGCACAAATGCTCAACCATCAACAGTCCATACCCAATTTCCCAGTATCACTAACACTTCAAGTCCAACACTGCATTCGATTTGCCTTGTACATATAATAGAACGCAAATCGACAGGTCTCTTGCTAAAGATGGTGTATACGGTGCCAGGAAAGCAATCCAAGGAAGCAAAGTTTATGTTTAATTTGAACGAGGATACCGCTACCAATGTAGTGGCAGAAATGGTCAAAGAGAATTTGATTGAGGAGGCTGACGAGCTTTTGGCCCGACAAAGGTTGGAGGACACTCTTCGTAGTTTGACTACAGGAGAAACCCCTCCTGTTACTTATGCTTCGGTGGCTAGTCATGCTATAACAGCTACAGTGGTGGCTGCAGTAGTGACTCCTCCAACTCCAATATTATCAACAGGTCAACCAGCGGCGGCATCAAGTAAAATAGAGGGGCAAAGTCAAACTCTGACACCACCAGCAGCACCTGGTAAAGTAGAAGGGCAAAGTCAAACATCAGGACCACCGTCTAGAGATGAATCGCTACCTCAGCACAAGGTGGCCCAGCAGCAGAACCCAGCTATAGATGAAATGATGAACATGCATCCAGAAGCAGTACCACCATCTCCTGAAATAGTACAAACTGGATCGAATGCTACATACTTTGATCCTCAGTTCAAATCACTGGGACGCTCATCGACTGTTAAATCGTCATCGTCATCTCAGGCAGTATCAGCTCTCGAACGAGAACCACCTGTACGTAGAACTCTTTCTCATAATGGTCCTTATGCTATGAGCCATATGGGTCAAATGCCACCTCCGTCTTCCCAACATAATAATATTACTGGACGTATATCTACCTCATCGCCACGTGCTTCCATTTCTGCTGGTCTTGGAATGTCATCAAGTCCATCGTCACCGACTTCGATAGATAAGCCCAGTCATGGAAGAACCCCTTCTACCGTGTCGGTTGGATCTATCGCTGGCGGGAGCAGCTCGTCAAGACCCAGTACCCCAGGTTCAGATTATGCATCTGCTCCTGGATCGGAAGGGTTCAAACGTGGTACTTCAGGTGAATTTTGTGTTTGAATTCATTCGTTTGCACGAGCTTTATGCTCTGTAATTGATGCTTTTTTTGTTGTGTCGTTATATTCATACTGAATTGAATCCTTTATCATAGGTGGTGACTTGAGGAACACACCGTCACCTCATAAGCAACATGTGTGGAGTAGTGATGGGAGCGAGTTTGTTGGATTTGAAAGTGCAGAAGCTCAACCTTCGGCAATGTCACTACCTCCAGTGGTACCTTCAACGAGTAGCACTCTACCAGCTAGTTTGCTAAATGTCGCCACTACTATAACTAGTCTTATACAGCCCAATAGTAATGCACTAGGCCAACATCTCTTGTCATCAACCACGACGACAACAGCAACTCCAAATATACAGGCACCTACGACGATGACATCGTTAGCACCCCCACCAGCAACAACATCAACTCCATCAATATCACCCACCAACATATTTCCAAACACATTGGCGACGATGCCTCCATTAGCGAGCCCAATACCGGTCTATCTGCGAAATCCATCACAGACTATACCTGTAAATTCCTCACCATCACCACCAACCAGCGGCTCACCAAACTCTACTAGTAATATAGTAAGTCAACCTCCACTACCACCTGCTAGTGCACCTCCAAGGATGGCCGACCCGGATGTCATGGCCAAACTTCATGCCATGCAGGAGAATGCACTGCGTGGGTTTGAGCTCAAGTCAAATGGCAGTAGCATGATACCTTCTAGCAGCATGATGAGCAGTATGGGACAAGGAATGTCTCGCGCTAGTACTGTGGGGCCATCGTCAGGAAATAATGCTATTAGGCCCTTGACTATGCAAAGTACTGGAAGTATCATGCAGTCACAACAAACCCCCAATAGTAATGTAGGATCTGCTCCGTCGTCAGCTGGAGGTTCACCTGCTCCCACCTCTGGTGGTCTACCACCACCACCTGGATTCCGCAACAACAATAATAATGTATCTATGCCAGCTGCGACTCCACTCATACCGCAAAGAACAGGCGGTGGAACGATGTCATCGCAAGGAGCAGCAAACAAATGAACACATAATTGTTTTTTTTTGAGAGCAAACACAAAATTTTAGAAGTATTATTCAAACTCTTGTACCTCAACTCACTGTCTTTAAATAAAACAAACGCATACAAAGTTAAATCGGGTCATTTGAAAGCAGGTGTTGAGGGCAAAACGCATGATGCGAAGAGTAGGTCGATGTGTTTCAAACAATCCTACACGTCTTTCATGGTTCATGAGCAGCAACAAGAGGTCTCCATCTGGATTTCATGTTTTGCAGCATTCCATGGTTGATCGCGAAATCGAAGCAATGAAATCCGGAAAGTGTAAACGGACGCAAAATTAGAAATGTAAGTCACCAAGGCCAAAAGAGAGGGATTGACGTGCGAATAGTATAATCAAGTATCATGGGCTCGTCGTTGGTTTCGGTGGATGAGTCGATGGGTAAGGGAATAGGATGTGTCGTACGACGAAGGTTGAAATCTGACAATCAACACCGTTTGCGTTGGGTTTTTTCTTCATCATTCGAATGCCCAGGTACATCAATTCTTGTTTTTGGACTCGCTTCCATGTTGGCTTGTGTGCTAGCACATCACCTTCTTCACCTTGAATGATAACATGAATTTGCATTTGTAAACCTACTTCGAGACTCTTCATACTGTTGTTGCGGTACCTTTCAGGCAGCCCGAACGTGATGTGTAGGATCCCTTATGCATACATATTATATTTGCTTTCATGCTGTACAAAAAAAGTTCAAACAAGTTGGCCTAATAAACTATTCCACAAGCATTTGCGAGGGCTATAATTATCTTCATGTCCAATCGTCCTCAAATCATCTTTGATTAACAGACTTCAAAGCCCTCCTTTTGGCCATGAAGGTATCAGTCTCCTTCTGTGCCTTTGCTTTTGCATTGCCTGTCTTGTTCATGACTCGTCTACTTGATCTTCGTATGAGCCTCGTGAGATTGACAACCAAGTCCTGACGAGCAGTTTCCAAGTGTTCATGTGCTAAGGTTGCTTGGAAAAGAAATTGAGTTTGCTGGTTGCAAAAAGAACGAATAAACGCCGAGTATACCATGAGCATCACGTTGAGGTACGGGAGACAATCGACCATGAGTGCAATTGGGAAGACATTTGTGTAGATGCAGATCATCATCATCCAGTATATCTGCAGCACCATCACCATACACCCCCTCTTGAATCGTTTCACCTGCTATTTTCGCTAATTGTATTCTCGGCGAATCAGTACGTGCTTTCCTTGCGATCTTCTTTTGCATTGGAACAGATTTCGTGATACGATAATTTTTCATTGAGGGAGTTGGCGAATCGCTGTGGTTCTTTGGTTGAGGTTTACCTACTGGTGTTGATGATACAGCTGAGAATACAGGTTTGGTTTGTCGATGATGTCCTACTGATACTGTTGTTCGTTTGATGACTACAAATCCAGGTTGGTCGTCCTCATCCATCTTATTACTGCGATTGTTTGACAACTCATCTTCTTGAGCAGGTGATGGTTTGATTCGTTTGATGTGATGCCATATGTGATCTTCAGATCTAGTTGGAAGATTTCGAATAAGCAATGAGTTGAAGGTACCATCAGCCAAAGCAATTCATGTCATCAGCCAAAGAAATTGATTGAAACGTACTCGTCCTCCTCAGCATCAGAATTTTCATCCACATCTGATGTAACTTCACCATCACTAGATAAATCCCGTTCTCGTTTAGCCCGTGATTCTCGAAAGTCGGCCATCATAGTCCGGTTTGGTGGTAAAGTCGATGTTTGTGTGATTGTGACTTCGCTAATGTGTGTTTCGGAATCTTCAAACCAAGTGTTTGAAGCGATGGTAGTGGCGTTGTCCAAGGATGATTGCTCATAGAGCCGAGTATATGATTTACCTATTATATCGTCCTCGTGGGTAGATTTTCGTTTCGAAAGCCCGGCAGGTTGCTGTGCGTTGCTGTGTTTGGGCGATGATGACAAGAGCTCTGTGAGGGGGAGGCAAGAGTTCATGGTGTCGTTTGGTGATAAATTATATAAATCGTTACGCTGACTGCTTAGGGATGAGGATCCCTCTTGGGCAGTCGAGCTGTTCAAAAAGTAAGCGGTCCCCAACTCCATCTGGGCAGCAAGCACCAAGGTGACAAACGGATTGCTTTCCTCTATAATGTGATAATGCGTCAGAGACACTACAGTTCGAGCCAAGATCACTCGTGAAAAGGGCTTGTTGTTTGTAGAAGCGCGTGCTGGTGTTTTTCGTAAATGAAACAGCAATGAAAGGAACAGGTCATGTAAAGCGTAATCAGGGAAGAGGAATCATGTCTTCAGCTCGATTGAAACGAGCTGCGACTCTTCATTCCACCCGGAACACGCTTTTCGTGTCAGAATCCCACTCACCAAAACCAACGTCACTCATTCTCTCAAAGTACACTTGGTCCGATCGAGATCAAGCTTCCGAGATAGGGGAGTTGCTGCTAATCTACTTATGATGCGGCAGATGTTCAAGAAATCCGAAGAACTTCCGTGTTTTCAAGTTTGGGCTACTGTGTAGTTGTTTTAGGTCGGAAGGCGAAAGCTGAATTGAGTTGCGCAAACTATTTTTTTGATCTCAACCAGACAGAAGCGCGTGAAGCGCGAAATCTACATCATAAACTATATTTAGATTATATGCAATGTGTATATTACTACAGATTCACTGAGTTTCAGGCCAGAGAACTTTACGGAGAAAACCGCGACATGGTCAAGGCTCTAGAGATGATGACGACACACGACTTAGATACTGCTTTCATCGAACAGAGGCTTTGTTTGGTCAAACCACCACGTTCTGACCACGTTATCATCACCGCAACTTAGCAACAAGCTCTGCCGCGTATTCCACACTCCTGAGTAGGCTACCCCATCATGAGCTGGTAACGTCTGTAAAATGTTGCCCGTATCACGATCCCACAAATAAACAATACCATCCTATGTATAGAAACCAACAGATTGAGAATCTATATCGTTTTTCTTCCAAATCATCACAAACCACTCTACCTCAGAACCACCAACGACAATAGCATCTCCCATAAACCCGGCACGCACAAAGTTCTTGGAAGTGTTCTGATGTCCTTTAAATCTCCGTATAGGACGTGTCTAAGCTCCAGTGTTAGTCTAAACCGTCCAATCGCACGAAACTATCAATTTTTACCATTCTCAAGTCCCACAATCGATTAGAATTGTCTTTACTACAACTCAACATTTCACGACCATCTGAGCTCATTTCGACACTAGTCACTTCTCCCAGATGGGAGGTAATGGTTCTTATGCATAGTCCTGATACAACATCCCAAAATCGAATCGTTGAATCTTTTGATCCAGAGACAATCAAGTTGCCCAAAGGTGAGAATACAGTGCGGGATACAGATAATTGATGGCCCGTAAATGTCTTGACAGCTACTCCACGTTCTAAATCATACAGTCGCACTGCTCGATCATATCCTCCTGTCGCTACATGGGTCTAGCAGAACGTTTCGAGTTGGTTAAAAACGCTTGAGTACGCTATATGAATGACGACTGCCTTACTCCTGAAGGATGGAATTTGACAGCATACACATCACCAACGGCTCCTTTTAACGTTTGCAAACAAAGCCGAGTGGAAAGCTTCATGTCCCATATCTGGAATCATGATGGCCATAAAACGAATGCGACGGGTGAGACACAGGTCAAGCACTACAAAAGATCTGCAAAGATCCGCACCTTCACGGTACCATCACCACTAGCACTGGCCACACGAGCACCACTCCTACTAGAAGCCACGTCCCATATCCGAGAAGTATGACCTTCCAATACAGACAAGACCATGGCAGTCTCCAAATCCCATACGCGTACTGTATTATCGCTAGATCCAGATACAATCCATTTTCCATCATCACCCACAAAATCAACACACTTGACGTTCCCTGTATGACCAGTGAAATTATGCCGTATGGCGTTAGGAATCACGACAGATGTGTAGTCTTGCAAGAGGCTAGCAAAAAAAAAACGAGTCAGTCTCACAAACGACACCATCAAATTTGGAAACGGAGCTTACGTGGACACTTTGGGAGCTATCCTTGGATGATATCTAGCAAACTCGATCTGGTATGCGACAGCCTGTCTCAACAATTCTAAAAGTCGATGAGGAGGGACAAATACGGAACCTGGGGTTTGAAGAGCGGTCAAAACCCCGTGTAACCGGTAAATCAATCACATATCAGATGTATGTACCTTGACGGTCAGCATTCTCGAATTCAAGCATATTTTGAAACTGTTCAGCCAATCGTTCCCTGTTAAAGAAGATGGTAAAAAAGAATCAACGATATTGAAAGCAAAGAGATCTCAAGCTCACCTAGCAGGACCCACACCCTCCCAATTCTTGAAACTAGGTACATCAGTCACAGCTTTGGCAGTCAACAAGTAACATAAATCTTTGAATTCAGTTGGTGTAGTTTGCAAATTCTCGAGCGGTTTCAGTCGCTTGTTGAGAAACGTGAATGCCTACGAACAGAAAAGTGTTATTGTTGTTGTTTGAAAGGCATGGAGCAAATCTTAAACATGCCTTTTGTGTTTCATGATGTTCAATATACTCCAAATATTGCACTTTATACATGGCATACAAGAATCCCTTTTGGTTCTTGAGCATTGGTCTGGCAAAAATCTTTTCGGCTTCAGCCCAGTCTCCTTCTATTACATGGAAAGTCAAAGGTCAAGTCAGAACACATTTTACCACGCAAAAAATACGGCCGACTCGTACCTAGTATAGCCTTTCGTATCCTCTTGGCATCAGCTTGCTGCTCTTCTCGCTCATACCACTTGACCGTAGCCTCATCGAGTACAGTCATCTTGGACGTTTGATATCCTTCATCTGATAAATACTGTGCAATCATGCGAATAATGTCCTAAAAGAGCGTAAACAGATAAGACCATGCTGCCAAAGCAAAAAAGGGAAAGATCGCAACTTTAAATGACCTTACTTCTTTAATACGAGGTTCATTAGCATTAAATATATCCTCCGTGGGTCTAATAGAATGGTTCTGTAGTCCGACATATGCATTAGCTTTAGCCAAATCTAGCAGGCCAAGCTGTTCGTCTAGTGATAGCCGCCGCTGTTGATCCAGTAGCGAGGACGGGCCCTCTGATTCTTCTATAGAGTCAATAGGCGTGACTTCCGCTGCGTTGATTGTTGGAGCAGCTGAAGGGATTGGACTAGCAGAAGTTATATCACTTGCAACACTAGAGACTGATCTAAAAGTATCTGTTTGCACCAAAGTTCGTGTCGCTCGACTGGGATTTGGTGATGTTGATGACGATGAAATTGATGTTGGTGTTTCTGCGATAGACAAGGGGCGTGTCGTTCCAGGGCTGGATGCGATATTTGTAGCATTTGAATTTACAGGATTCGAATCAGCTGCCTTCCCGTCCATGGTTCATCAAGCTTTGACAAAATTCACAAAACCTTCGTTCCAGGAGAAAGCTTTCAAATCCAAGCGGGAGAGAGGAAGCCTAGTATAGAAATGATTGGCCTTTGGCTTGTTGAATTTTGCTCAATGAAGCATGGTTGGATGCGATCGAAGGACAAGAAGTAGTCGAACGCGACGAAAACAGAGCCAGAGAAGGAAAGATACATCTCGAAACGATCTCGAAGACGCGCCGTTATGCATTCTATTCAAATATATGATATATGCGAATTGGGTGTTGTATTTTTTACATGGTTTTCTAGTGACGTGTTGAAACTATTGGTTTTGTTGAGGTGTGCCTTGATTCAGATTGTTGAGTCGTCGCCCGAGGAGATACTATGTGAATAAAAACGTTTTGGAGTTAGTCGTTTGACTTTTGATTAACATTGTGAAAGTGAATTTACCTCCTCGTCTCGCACTGCTTCAATGTAGCTCTTGACCATCAAAATGATTGTTCGTACTGCCATGATGCTTAGCATTATTAGTGCCGTTATGGGATACATGAGTCGGATTTCGATCTCATGCTGTTCTGAAAGGTTGAAGGGGGAACAAGGAAACGTCAGGTCGTAACAATGGAGGTCCACTAGCTTGCAACAAAATACTTACTCAATTCCAAGTTCCAAATGGATTGTGGATAAAGTGCAAGTATGTATAGCCATGGACCAAACATGAAAAGTAATCCAAGTCCAATAGTGGGTAAAACAACCGATATGAGTAGAGGATATACAGCCAAATTGCGGAACCCTTGATCTCGAGCCTGCAGTTAAGGAAAAGGAAGTCCCATTAGCAAGACTACTATGCTAAAGACGGCGCTTCTTCTTACCGTCACAATAGCACGTCTAAAGAAAGTTTCGGGTCCAATAATGATGAGATTATATATGATTTTTTCATGGACTGCTCCGAGAGCCCATGTTTGGGCCACATATGACAAGAATGGATAAACATTGAATCGGTCTTGTTTGCCCCTCATCAATGACATCATATATAAATCGAAATTGATACCAAGCAAAAGTGGGATGATCACCCCAATACTGAGAGCAATAAATAAGGCCTTCCCAATCTATGTGAGAATCAGTCTAAGTGTCCAATCAGGCCGCAACAACAAAAAAGTATGTACATACCGTGGTAAGCCATTGAGCGGCAGAGACCTTCCAACGCTGAGATAGAGCAAACATATTTCCAGCATCAAAGATAAAATCCAACCAACGAGACTCTAGAGAGGCATCAGCTGGATGTACCGCTGCTACCGGATCATCATGTAGCTCCAATTCATTGGTTTCAGGTACTTGCTCATCACTATTTGTTCTACGAGTTCGTACTCGCTCTACACGAACCAATTCACCTCTAGCTCGCTTTGCAGCTCTTTGTGATTCTCGAATGAGCCAAGACAAGAGGGTTTTTGAAGACGCTAGAGGTTTGCTTAGGGCTAAAAGTACTATGAGGCCCAGTGAGTAACTATAAAAGTCGTGAACCGGCAAATCCAATCTCGACGATTTTGGCATCGGTCCGAAGGACTTGGAGGGAATCCATGTGTTTATGTACATAGATCCGTATCGCCCAATTACCACTAAGATATGCATTTTTGAGTCAGTAATCAACAAAGATCGAGAGAGAAAAAAGCCAATGCACTTGTAAAAATAAACATACGTGGACCAACAAGCACACAAAACGACATGAAAACTCCATATAACCACTGCATAACAACCAACATTACGAGACGCCACCAAAACATGTTTGGAACTCTGATCTTTGTCCAGTTGGTCCTCACGTCGGCTTCAGTCTCGTTAGGTCGTCCAAAAAGTGCTTCGTTTTCCTCCATAAAGATCATCACAGGTACATTTGGAATGACTTCAATATGATCGTGATTAGGCACACGTATATATGGAGGTTGAGATCCAATAGGTCGCGCACCCGGTACTTCAGCCAATTCGTCATTATGGAATCCTCCAAAGATATACGATGACAACCTCAAGAAACGAGCAGAGTTTCGAAGTGCTCGTTCAATGGCATTTCGTATCAGAGGCCTTGGCTGAATAAAGTGTAGTACCCAAGGTATAGCGAAATGGAATAGGAGCAAATCAATGGGGAATTCAGTCAGAGACTCACTAAAAGCCAAACGTGAGAATAGATACTATTCAGATGTAAAACCTCATTCGTACTTGAACTCCCATTTCAATGGCCAGATCTTGGCTGGGTGAGCACCAGCTGGTAGTATAAACTCCAGGCACTTCACTGACATCACAAATCCTATCAGTGAAGAAGACAATAAGATGATAAACGTCCAGCGATGTACATCCGATCTAGTATTACCTCCAACACCAAAGATAACCATAGTTGCATATAACAAGCTTCCAATAAACAACTTTCGAAGTTGGACCAAAGCAGGGCGTTCCAAAATGTCGTTAATGGGATGAAATGCTGGATCGTTGGGGTCTCGAACGAACCACATCACGCCTGGCCTGTTTAGTGAAGAGATGTGAAAAAAGAGTCCAGAGCCAAAGTTTGATATAAAAGGCAGCAACCCGCTGTTTCGTGATACTTACCTCACAATTTCTCGTAAAGTGCCAACATAGATGGCGACATTAAACATGAAGGTAGTGCCGACAAGCCCTACGTAAAGATATAAAAATTAACGCGAGTTTTCGACCTCAAAAAACGAGGGTAATACAATCCTGATTTTGTCCATAAAGATAGATAAATGCGCCCTTACTTACAATGCAAGAACGAAGAAGTCCACGGAAACACTTGATGAAACTCCAAACGACCCTCCAAAGTAGAGTTGAATATAGGAAGTGTACACATGTCGATCAAGGCTCCACAAAATATCGGAAATACACCAAGCTCAATACTGATAAAGAAGGCAAACTGCGAGGCTGCACGTTAGTATTCGAACAAAATAAGCGGGAACAGAGAATTTGCTTTACCTTGATGGCAAGACCAGTGTACGAAAGGGATCGCTTCATTAGCGTAAACAACGTCGTAGCATATCGATGTTTCAGCCAGCCTTGCTGGCTCTGTATGGGTAAAGTAAGTAAACTGTGTATGAGTACAAACGACCTTGTTTTCACAGCACAAAACACTACATACCGCGATCAGGATAAGTTGGAAGAGCCAAACAGAATATCCAAATGCAACATACACTATAGTCTCTGGCATACCCCATATTTTACGATCAGTCTCGAAAAATGCCAATTTTGATAGCAAAAAGCCAGGACGTCGCAAGACACGGAATGGTGAGTCGTCATATTGGGAATTTACAGGACACGACCAATAAACCGTCATGTCACGTGGTAGACAGGAAATGGCAGATATTGCGTTACTTGTAGCGATAACTACTGGTTGAGATATCTTCAAATCAATTCCGCTTCTAGCGCGAATTTCCTGCATGACTTTGAGAGCGGCGATTACAGACTTCTTTCTCAGCAACAGTGTTACTACAGAAGCTACTGCATTAGCAGCAGGATCAAGCAACACGTCTATAGCCTTTTGTGTTGGCGTCATCATCCGGATCACCAGCACTTTGATTCTAGCCCAAAGTGAGACGAAGATGGGAAACACTAACCTTCCTGTAGCAAATGGCGCCCATGCTCCAATGCCTATCGCAGCAATCAACACAATTAAACACAATATAGCATTTTGTAACAAAATTTCAATTGGTCCAGTCATGCCAATTAACTCAAGAAAAGCATTCCAATCTCCAGCAGCTACAACGTCATCTTCGTCTTCACGTACGACAGCTGGTGCTGGAAGTGGCTCTGGAGCTGGAGCTGGTGCTGCAAGTGGTTCTGGTACTATCTGTGGTAATACTGGCGGAATTGCAGGTTCTACTATTGCTGGTGGAATTATCGGATAAGTTGTTGCGAATTCGTTGTATATCGGTAGTTGCAATGCGGATTGGGATATTGAATTTATGGGTGCAGGATTGAATGTAATGGGAGTACCAGTGGAAGATGACGATCCACCAGCATTGAATTTGACAGGAGTAGGCCATGTGGGACCACCCAGAAATGATGATGCAACAGCACTACTACCACTGCTGCTACTACTACTACTACTACTTCTGCCAAAATCTCCATTCCAAGCGTCTTGTAACGATTTACTAGGTGTTTTACTAGGAGATCCTCTAATAACGGATTCATTTGACGAACTCTCTCTACTTCGTCCTGCAGGAGACCACTTCAAATCTGGTCGAGAACCCAGAAACGAGGTACCAGCTCCACCTCGAAATCGCTCTTGTTCATTGTCTCGAGCCTTTCCTTTATCTACTATATGAGATTCTTGCAAATCTAACTCCAAGTCGTCAGAGTCATCAGACAGTTTTCGATCTAGCGGTATTGTAAGCCGTTCTGGAAGTGGTGGTGGTGTGACTGGCATAGCATCAGGCAATTCTAATGGAGTTGGAGGGCGATGTGCCTGAGGCCTCCTTAAAAATTTCAAAAACGAAATATTTAAATTTCAACTTTGCTATTCTTGAAAAAGCAATAATATGAAACGTACCTCGGTGGGTGCGGCACAAGTGTTGGCCTTGGGATAAAAGTTGGTCTTGCAAGAGGTGGATTTGGATTTTCAGCTTGCATCGGTTGTTGAGCTGGTTGTTGAATTCGTTGAGCTGGTGGATGCAATCGAGGTGGTACCCTCGGCGGTATATTAACATTATTATTATTATTTTGTGGCAGAGGTGGAGGACGAGGTCGCATTGGTTGAGGTTCTGGAGCAATGATGTCAGCTTGGGCTGCTACATATTCCTTAATAGCAAATCCAACAAGTGCAAATAGGATAAATATCGATGCAATGATTTGACCCTCAAAAACATCACTCAAAAAAGCACTAAAAGAATAATACGTCAGGTTGACTTCAACATCATCACTCGTCCTTTTCTTGCGCGTGAGGGCTGCCATACCGTATGGTTTTGAGCTTGTCCACGTCATTCAGCCAATCAAATGAACGCAATAGTCGGGTGCCTTCTTCAGTAGTAAGGTCATTGGCGACTGTTGACGGTTAAGATTAGCTTTGACTAATTTAATTTGGAAAATTAAAGGTGCATACGTATTCGCAATAAACTCCACATTGGACCGTGAGTAAGACCCCAGTAGTTGGTCTTGGAAAAGAAGAACTTCCATATCTGTGCTGTTAACCATGGGATGACCAACGCCCACACACAAATACTGAATGAGATCCTCGTGTAAGTCTTGGTTAGATTCCAAAGCTTCTTCACGACCACGACCAGAAAGAATTGGGCAGATATGGAGGGAGGATTTGCGTCCGCGTATACTGTGAAGGGCGAATGTTGTTTGAGTTTGTCCCAAACACGAAGGAGAATCAAGACTCACTTGGAGAAAACGAGAATTGGTGATTGCATATCTCGCAGTGCCTAAACCGATGATTTAGCGTGAGCTTTCAATACCCCAGCACAATGTGCGAGAAAGCCCAAATGTTGACCTCTTTTGTGAATGATGAAGCCACCTCTCGAGGCATTCTTGATGTACGTATTTCTAACAGACTCAAATGTCAACATGAAGGAGATTCGATGTAAAGGCTCTGACAAGGATGGCCCACCATACTACCACTACACAAGCAAGGATGATATAGAGGTGTTTCAACGCCATCGCCTCGGCAAACTCGGCAGAAAGGGGCTGCTCAAACGTGGAGAAGATTGAAGACTGTCAATTGAAGTTGTTAACGTAGCTGAACGCTAAAATGATTCTACCATCCTCTAGGCCATTGTCTGCTGGCAATGCAACTGGCAACGCTCCTCCTTCCATTGCTTTCAAGATGCAAAACGGCCGAAAGTTCAAGAATCACGCTGTGTGGGATTTTGAGGAGTGAAGCGCAAGTTTTGTGAGGGCACCAGTGTTGGCAGGAGACTCAGCCAGTGGACGCGAAAATATTCGTCATCTGGAATTACAGTCTCTTCGTACGTTTTCTCAGTGAACGATTCCTCCCTATCCTCAAGTCTTACCCACAAATTCGTAGATTGGACGTCATTGGCACACTGCTCTATAACTCTATAATCGTGGCCGCATGCTTGAATCGCTTCCATTCATGGCAATCTTGAATCGCTTTGCCATTCGTCGCCACCAGATGGTCAAAGGTCGCAAGACACATTTCCGTAATAAGCTACGTGTTCCAAATACATGGAGATGATGCTTACAAAGTGTGATGTTGTGGATCTGTATCCAAATAATCGCTCTATTGCAAAAGGTTTTTGTAGAGAGAGTCAGTTGTGAGCCGTTCAAAGTGTTACAAACTTCGTACCCAGATACGGAGAGAACGAATAGGATGATAAGACTGACAGTTTAAGCATCCTATGCTCCCTCTTTTCATATTCTCAGCTTCTAAAAGCGTCTGTTTGAGAGAGATTAGTCACGAAAGACTCCACATATGTTTGTATCGCAACCTCAAACTCTTCCCTAATACAGATACGGAAGTCACAAGATGTTGGAGCGACAAAGGACGTCACGGGAGGTTTCATTGCGGCCTCATCCGAAATGTGAAGAGCCTCCTTGTTTGCGTTTGAGAAGAATCCATGCAAGTGCTGATGTGAAGCACAGCAAACAGATTGAGGGTGCGCAGAATTGTATGTAGTATTTCATAAACATAAAACTTCTATCAGCATTATTTTTTGGCAGCAAGTGCCTTTTCGACTGCTTGCTTGAGCGCGTCCATACTGCTTCGGGCATCTCCAAAGTACATTCTGGTGTTTGGATCTATTTTGAATGTCAATTAGAATTTCTCAATATGTAAGTCATGAGTGAACGTACTGTAGAAAAGCGGATTGGGCACATCTGCATAACCAGCTGCAAGTGATCTCTTCATGACAATGACTTGCTTGGACTAAAAAATAAAATTGTGTTAACAATCTAAGAAGCATTAAATTCAATTCGTCCAACGTTCGAAATACCTTCCAAACGTGCAAGACCGGCATGCCTAAAATAGCATTCCTTTTAATAAATTGCATGAAAAATTGATTTTGGTTTGCACACTAACCGGCGATAACACTGTTTGGTTCGAGAGCAATAGGATTTACTGTGTCATTGGCGCCAACAACCAGTGTTACATCTGTGTCAGTAAAGTCATCATTGATTTCATCCATTTCATGCACAATGTCGTATGGCACATTAGCTTCAGCGAGTAGCACTAAACAAAAGGGAATGAAAATTAGTGATGAGTTGCGAGCCAAGCGAGAAAGATGCAAAGAGGCATGACTGCCTTCAACGCGGTATAGAGACGAGCTGCGATAAGTTTTATTCGCGAAAAACTCACCATTCAATTGACCTGGCATTCTTCCGGCGACAGGATGGATTCCGAATTTGACATCAATCTTATTGTCTCGCAAGAGTTTGACCATATCAGAGACAGCATATTGGGCTTTGGCAACAGCCAAACCGTATCCTGTTATTTCGGAAAGTGTTAAAGCTCAGCAGTTTTGGTCGCTTGGTGTTGTCCTTACCAGGAGTAATAATGACTCGCTCAGCATTAGCCAACATATCAGCAGCTTCGTCCGCATTGCATTCTGTAGCGGTGCCAGTAATTTTTGCAGATGCAGCTGATGGTGCAGCTGTTCCATAACCTCCAAAGAGTACACTGAGCAGAGACCGGTTCATGGCCCTACACACTAAGAGAAACCATCGTTGGATAAATAAGAAATTTCGATGACAAAGAAGGCGAAGACCACGTACTGATATATGAGAGAATTCCACCAGAGACACCAATGAGAGCACCAACAGTAGTCAACAAATCGTTTCCCAACATGAAACCTTCAGCAACCAGAGCCCACTATTCAAAATCATGCCTGTTGGTTGGCTAGAAAACCCGGAAGTCTGATGATGCGAGTACTTACACCTGAGTATGAGTTCAATACCTAGAACAAAAATAACAGAGAGGTTTATTAAACGCAAGATGCGATGTAACCATAATTTTAAGAAAAACGTACAGTTATCACGACGGGCATATCCGCTCCTCCTAATTTGAGAAATGCGGTTAGAGCAGCAAAGAATCAGAATCAAACAGCGAAAACCAGTAGACAAACCAATAGACGCTGTGGTATGCCATCCTTGTAAGAAACTGAGAGCAGTATTGGCAGCCAAGCAGGCCAGGCCGACGGTTGGACTAACACCTGTCAAAAAGTAGCCCATGATTCCAACATTGGCAGCAGCCATCGCAACATTTATCAAATTACGACCAGGAAGATGTAAAGGTTTGGAAGACAGAATTCCTTGCAATTTGCCGAATGCAACTAGAGATCCAGTGAAGGTGATACCACCCTAGCAATGAGAAATGAGTTAGCGGCCGTTGCTCTGACATAACGTTAGAGATGAGCTTACAATCAATGTTCCCAAATATGCAGTAGTCAGATGGAGAGCACCGGTAGGATGAATCATGTAACTGGCAACACTTGTGAGTACAGCTGAAGATAAAATTTGAATTACTACAAATACTCATCAAACTACAATAGAAAATCCTAAACGCTAAAAGCAGTAGAATGTTTACCGGCAAGACCGACAAATGAGTGAAGCACAGCAACAGTTTGGGGTAACTCTGTTGGAGTGACTCGTCGACCAAGGAATGCACCAACTGCACCACCAATAGCAGTGACTCCAGCGAACTGTGCGAATACTGGTGCAGCCCATCCGACACCAGATAGAGCCGACACGATTCCTGTTCCTACACCCAACATGCCCAAAGCGTTTCCTCTTCGTGCAGTTTCTTGAGAAGCGAGGCCTTGTAGAGATGATATACAAAGAAGAGATGAGGCTAGATATCCGGCACTAACTAGACCTAGAGCGCAAGATGTGACGTTGGTAAGCGTTTGATTATGTACGCATCTCCAAAAGATATTACCTGGGGCTCCAGTAGCAGACGCATAAACAAAAGCACTTGTGAAAGCAGCAGCAGGGACAGCGTATAAGTAGAGATAGTCTGGTGGATCTGTAGATCGTCGGAACATCTATTTTGTTGAGTAATGGTAAGTCCGCTGCCGTGTCTGGCGTCTCACCGGACTCAACATAGGTAACGATGTTATACTCACGTCAAGCATGCGTTGCGATATAATAAATCCACCAGAGACGTTCACCATAGCAATCATGACTGAAGAAGCCGCGAGGACTTGAGGAACTGTATGAGGCAGGTAACCACCGCCCATTACAAACATGCCACCAACTCCAACCAGACCAGATATAGCATTTGTCACCGACATAAGAGGAGAATGAAGAGCAGGAATGACCTACATCAGCAGATTGTGTAATGCAAAATTAGTTAGAAACTTTCTAGGAAAACAACCTCCCCCCCCCTCCACTTACACCCCAGACAAGACGGTATCCAATGATTGAGGCCAAACCAAAAGTGGAAGCAGAAGTCATCAACGCAACAGGAGCAAACTTGCCGATGACTGCCAGACTAGTAGAATAGGTATTTGAAAGACACTTTCACGGAAACATTCTTTCACTACTTACGAAGTCATTCCTGCAGTCACAGCTGCGACATCATACGATCGTTTCTGCCATGGTGTCAACTCTACAGGCTCAACCTTTGTTTCCTTGACTTCTATTTTAGCAGGGGCTTGTGGAGGAGCAGCTGGTCGTGGAGGTGGATATAAGAGTTTACCGTTCTGTAATACTATTGATCCTCGAACTACTTCATCTTCAAGATTGATGTTAAAGTTGCTCTTGCCATCACCGATAGACAATAAGAATTTGGTAATATTATTTGAGAGGAGAGTTGAACTCTGTGTTGGTAGGCGAGAAGGAAAGTCCGTGTATCCAATGATTGTGACTTCACCGTACTTGTACAGAGAGCCTGGCTTGGTCACTTCACAGTTTCCACCATTCTCACTGGCCAAATCTACTACTACACTTCCTGGCTTCATTGATTCAACCATAGCTTTAGTAATGAGGATGGGAGCTCGCTTTCCTGGAATCAAGGCAGTGGTAATGACAACATCTACTTCTTTACATTGAGCAGCAAACAGAGCCATTTCAGCCTGACGAGAAAATCATGAAATTGACTTTAGCTTGAATGTGGCTTTGAACCGACTTTGACACACACATACTTCTATGAACTCTTTCGACATTTCTTTAGCATAACCCCCCGTTCCTGACCCATCTTCTTTCAAGTCGACTTCCAAGAATTCGGCCCCAAGAGATTGAACTTGTTCTCGAGTAGGAGGTCGTGTATCAAAACATCGTACAATAGCACCAAGACGACGAGCCGTGACGACAGCACTCAAACCTGCCACACCAGCACCAATTACCAAGACTTTACAAGGTGGTCTATAGGAAAAGTATTTGAATCCAAGGTTTCAAATAACTGGCAAAAACTCCAATATTTTTACATCTTTCCGGCGGCAGTTATTTGTCCAGTAAAATATCTTCCGAAGTGGTTAGCTGCTTCTAGGACTGCCTTGTATCCGGCAATATTAGCCATGGATGATAGCGCGTCAAAGACTTGAGCACGCGAGATTCTTGGAATAGAATCCATTGAAAAAGCTGTCAACTAAATTCCAAATTTTAGCAACAAAACATTGAAATATCATATTATATCTTACTTTTCTGGCTGCCATTTTCTCAATCACATCTTTTGACGTTGGCAAAGATGGATACAAGAATGAGATCAAGGTAGTTCCCTCCTTGATCTGAGTGACTTCCGAGACACCAGCAACATCTTGTGGAGGTCGCACCTTCAGTACAATGTCTGACTGATATACATTCTCAGAAGAAGGCACAATTGTTGCTCCTGCTTTGACATAAGCCGAGTCCGAGAATTCAGCAGCAGAACCAGCTCCAGACTGAACAAGGACTTGTTTAAATCCTTTCTTCAATAGCAGTGCTGTGTTTTCAGGAGTAATGGCAACTCTTTTCTCGTTGAAATACACTTCTTTCGGTGTTCCAATGGTTAGCTTTGAGTAGGGCGTGCCGATTGGAGTTGGTTTAGGTGCATCTAGTGTCAAAATTAAGGGTAAGATTCTCCCGTGCCAGATATAGCAACAATCATCGATTCTAGATGTCTTTGCTTGCGAAGTCGAACTTGCAACGTCATGTCACACGCATCTCAATTACCTTTGGCGATTTCAGCATTCCAATGAGACGAGGAAGACAGGAATCGTCGTTCACAATTTAGAACTATATAAAAGCACCATCAATTAGAAACGTTAGTTCAAATAACTGAATAAGAACAAGCCGTCACTCAAAATAAGCAATAAGATCAGTTGAAGGAGAAAAGAGCCTGCATTGCAACACGTCATACCGGTAAGAAGACGCAAACCACGTAATCGCACCATCGTGGACTTTTTCTTCTCCCCACCAACCTGTTGTCGAAACAAACCAAATCTCAAGCTTTAAACGATAGCTCTGCAAAATCAGACTGAACCTCCAAGTTTTTTTTTCTCGTATTCAATTATTACGGTATCTTACTATATACACGATTTATAGCCATATCTGGCCTCATTGTGATATTTTGATGCTGTTCGCACGTGGATGCATCAAGTCCAGAACACTAAGTACGCGAGTTTTGATCCATCAGTCTCTGAGTCCCAAATTCTCGCGGAGATCATTACATACGCCGGTTTTGATCCACGAGACTCTGAGTTTCGTGAGACCGGAATCTAAACTGATCTTGGATGCAACATTTGGTGGTGGTGGAACGACCAAAGCTGTCTTAGGTACTATGGTGCTTTCGATCAACTCTACTGTTTGTTGGCCGCATATGCTCACAAGGTTTCACCTTTTCCAACAAGACTCATTTCCAGCATGCAAAGTGATTGCTGTTGACCGTGATCTGGAAGCCTTTGCAAGAGCCAACAGCCTAGCCAAGTTATATCCGCAACGAATCGTTCCTATACATGGAAATTTCAGTGAGATGGGAAGGTTGCTTCAACCAACCTTCCCACAAGTCGATACAGTAATACTCGATATTGGTGTCTCGTCCTTCCAACTTGATCAGGCTGAACGTGGATTCTCGTTTAAAGATGATTCACTGCTGGATATGAGGATGAACACCTCTGAAGGATTTACTGCTGAATATGTCGTGAATGAGTTTAATGAGTCGGAACTCACAGGTATTCTCCAAAATGTAAGATTCTTGATTCTTGGTGTCTCGTCAATACAAGTTTCTGGATGTCTTTCTTGATTAGTACGGCGAAGAGAGATTCGCAGCCAAGATAGCTCGATCGATAGTGGCAAAACGTGCCGTCACGTCTATCAGAACGACAGGACAACTAGCGGAGATTGTCGCGAAAGCTATTGGACGGCACGAAGCCAAGCATCCAGCAACCAGAACATTCCAAGGGTGCGTGGAACCCAGGCAACCTATTGGATATTGTTTCTGACATGTGTTTGCGAATAGGTTGAGGATTTATATTAATGATGAGCTGAATGAACTCAAGAAAGGACTGGAAGAAGCAGAGTCATTGCTTCAACAAGGAGGACGAATCATCGTTATAACCTTTCACTCGTTAGAAGGTACGTTCCCTGACGGCCCTCTTCAATTGCACACTCGCTCACATGTTTTCCAATTTCAGATAGAATAGTCAAAGAGTTTTTAAAATCACGTCAAGCAGCAGGATCTCTCATCACATTGACTAAGAAAGTCGTGAAACCAACAAGGGAAGAAATCCTTGCCAACAAGAGGTCACGAAGCGGCAAGCTTAGAGCTGCTGAAAAAGCTCTCATATAATTATTTACACATCGAAGCACGTTGCTCATCTTCAATTATTCCATTTGTATTTCTCTTGCACATATTTATTTCTCACTAGTTTCTACACGTTTCTGTCAATTCACTACTGCTGTACACGTACTTGATGCTATGTCGGGCATCAATGATGCAAACTTATTACCAATTATATGATGGCTTATGCGAAGGTTCCAATGCAAATAACAAACTAATTCATTGTCCTTATAATAAAGATGTGGGTGGGTTGACCATTGAAAAGCCAAATTCCCATGCAAAGATTAGGATTAGGATATCGTTCAAATATAAGCGTAAAGGTGTTGTAAACAAAATTAAAAGTTGCTATTTAGAGGTCTTGGTTTGAGTGAGTTTGGTAATTTGGCATGGACGTGTTGGCTTCGTGTCCTAGTCCTGGAGATGGCAAGTGAGCAAATCTACATAAGCTTCCTGCCCAGCATCTATTTAGAGAGAAGTCAACAACATGAAGACAAACATTGGCAGAAATATACCAACCTGTTGACCAAGTGATGCTTGCAGAGAGGTCTGACCACAACGTGATTTTGAGGAACTGGAGCTGGTCCAATCGAGTGGGAGAATCTAGGTGATACAGATGTGGAGTCAGCTGTGAGTTGGACTTTCTTGCCTGACACGTCGGTCTCAAATATGCTAGAGGCTTACCTGCAATGACTCTGTGCCCAGCATCGTCCTGCCAAGAAGTGTCGGCATAGAGGGGCAGGGAATCGTGGAGCCTATGAACGTGTCTGTGTTAGATACTTATGACAAACAATAGCGAGGATGGTTCGGACAAAACTCCACGAACGGAACGTCAAGAACAATAAGCTGTACAAAGCGTCTGCACAAGTACTCTCCACCCGGAAACATGGCTTATTAGCAAACATACCGATGAGTACATTGAAGTCATGGGACTTTGGGCGGCGAGCAACTGTTGATACATGATTTCCTACAACGAAGCGACAAGAGAGATCAGATCATACCTAAAGACTATATCAAAACATTGCTTCTTACAATAGGAGTCATATTTCCTGGTTGTGTCACTTGTTGTTGAGTCGGGTACTTTGCCAAGTCGTATGCATCGATAGCATGCTCACTGAGGCTGCGACCATTTGACATCCTTGAAGCTTCTTCCAGACTGTTCATAGACATACTCAAGCTATCACGGCGGCCCATACTGTCTTGACGAGGCAATGCAACACTTTGCAAGGCAATGCTCAATGCTTCATCAACATTTAGATTTAGGACTTCGTCAGAGTTCTTCATTAGCGATGACGTAGATCCATAAGCTGAATCGATGATCGGAGCAAGCGGTGGTGCTGATATACCTGTATTGGTACTTGTTGTTGAGTTGGTTGAAGATTGTGGTTGAGGAGTCTGAAGGCCTGGACTTTGCATTGCCGCACTGGACACCGCAGGGGTTGGTGGAGGAGGAGGAACACCTGGTTCCATGGGAGTAGCTGGGGCCGATATAGAGTTTACAAAGCTTAGTACCCATAAGGATCCTGCACCCGTGTTTGAGCCAACTGGTGAGAATTGCAACTGAGGTACACTTAATGCTGCTGGAGTTGGTGGTGCACTTGCGGATACAATACTGGATGGTGCCTGCTGTTGAGTATTTACAGTGGGAGGTTTCGTACTAATCTGATTATTAAGATTGGCGTTTACTTTTTGTGGCGGGACGATAGATGTCTGCGATGTCCTATTAAAATTAGGAGGTGATGGCATTGACGACGAATCCGTATCGTTGGATGTTGTTGGAGAGGTACTATCTGAGTTCATATCTTGTTGTTGTTGTTGTTGTTGTGGTGGTGGTGGTGATGATGATGAAGTCGCGGAGTTCAAGATTGTTGAGCTGATTATCGGTCCTGACGATGATCTTCTCATTCCTAGACCCATCTCTCCATCGATGGCACTCAAGGTACGGGCACTCAATGTACTAGGACTCATAAGCGACGATCTACGTGCCAAACCTATATGAGATCCTTCTTCTGCAATATCAGCCATACTGGGCAACCAATCAAGTTCCAAGTCCAAGAGGGCGTCCGTAGGGGTTGGTGGTAGACCTCTACGAGCCCTTCTAGCTTCTAAAAACTTGGGTAGAGTACTACGATCAAACGAGGTTGAGATACGTAAAGGTATAGAGGTTCCTTTATGTGTCTGTTCGTGGTGATGAGACGAGGTTGACTGATGAGAGTGATGATGGTGATGACTGTTATTACTAGATAGATTATGTGACGAGTATACAGCTCTTTCTGCAGCGGGTGCAGCTTGAGGAGCTTGATCTGATAAGTGAGGGTTCAAGAAACCCAGAGCGCCAACAGTAGAAGAGGAAGTCAGTGGGCTAAGATGAGAGAATATAGGTTCTAATGGAGTTGGAGGTGGCGGCGATGGCGGCAAACCCAAAGTTCGCGTCGAATTGGCAGCCCGGGAGGTGAATGAATTGCGAGTTGATGACGGCAAGAATAGAGCAGATAGGTCTTCAAAGGAGGCTTTACCACTACTTGGGCTTACTAGCTGACTCTTTAAATTTTCTATGTTGGTTCTACCAAAGGTTCCTGGCGCCTCGTTTTGGGCAGAATTGATGAAAGCACTAGACCTTTTCTCGACTAGATTTCTTGAGCGCCCTTCTGTATCAGACTCCCATAATCTGTCTTGAGCCAACATTACTGGCGTGCTGTCCATACAATGTTCCGATGTGAGCTGATTGTCTTGCTTTAAGGGCTTGGCCGTTTGTGTTGTGATGAAGTCGAATTTGGGACACGCCCGACATATTAAGGACCACGGCGGCCATAAACAACATCGAACAAGGCTACTTCGCACCTGCATGAACAATATATCTGCTATAGCTAGAACTGATCTGGAATGGGCTGGCGCGTAGAGATCAGTTAAAGAGTCATTCAAACGGTTTTGATCCAAAACATTGTTGACCAAACTTGATCTCTTTCCGTTCTCCAACGTTGCAGCATTACACCATGAGAGCACTACGATTATATACTGAGCCCGAGATCCCTTTCCACACAGACGACGACACTTTGCAGCTAAGGTGCTCAAATTCCAAAACCGCATTCATAGATCATATGCTACACACAGCACCTCCTCCAGCGACAACAACGGTTTCAGCTGGTTCAGCTCGTTCTATACGTTGCAACAGTACCTGAGCTCATCCCTTTGCGGTTGTCCTTTCGTTTTCCCCAATTGTCTTGGCTGGTTGATCAAGTTTCTAGGTTTTCGTTTAAAGTTCCGTTAAACCAGAAAGTGAGCAGCCAGGCTTTCCAACCAACCTTTTGTACCAACATAAGCATAATAGACGAACGAAATCGAGGTGAGTCCCAATTCTGGATCAAAAACAACTAGGTTGCTCGTCGGTGATATACGATCAACAAACCTGTCCTCAGAAACTTGACCTTGGGCTGGGCATCATTCAAAGATCCTTCATCAGATCGCGTCAGTTTGCAAGATCGAAGTGTCTGGTGGCATATTCGAATTGCATGCTGTGCCGCAAATTTTTGATCTCCAAAAGTGGCCAAAGGTGCTCACCATAATCAGAAGAAAACCTAAGATCCAGAAGTTTAGAATCCAGCAAGACACGGACAGGCTCTCAGCATAGCCTGTGTCCGTCTCTTATATCACCAAAGTCGAGTCTTGTAGTGCCGAGCTTATTGGTTGTCGGAAAACTCGAGTCCCCGAAAACATCCAAAAAACTTAAACCAAGCTAATCAGCAATCCAGTGAAATAGAACTGGTACAGAAGCAACCTACATCTGTAGTAAGCTTGCAGTAAACCATTGACCGGTTCCCTTAATCAAGTTTTTCTAGCTCAGGTATGTGTGGATGCAAGAAACGCCTCTCGCTTTTCCTGCAACTTTTGACGGGCATCAAACATGGCTGACAGCTAAAGCACACATAGATATTGTATTTGAAAAGCTGGAGCCCCTGTTTATTAGTATAGAAGAGACCACTGGGAATGCTGATCAGCCAATGTAAGTAATCTCATATCAAGTGTGCCGCACAGGTTTTTCAGCCCTTTCGCTCAAAGAACTGCAGTTATTACCTGTTGATGTCTGTTTGAATCCATGTAATACAATCCGAAACATGATAAACTCACCGAAATACCTTCTCCGTCATCTTTTCAAGAACAATGGAATCGCCAACCAAACTAGCTCCATCCGTAGTATCACCTCCAAACGGTGATTCCATCAGATATTCTACATCTTCCAGTATGCCGCCAGTACCACCACCCTCATTCTTTCTCGAATCGCTGCATGAAGCCTCCGACTTCGATAGCCCTTCGCCATCATCAGCAAACTCGTCCTCATCAAATGCTTCCATAAATAAAGCCAACAATCAACTGCACATCAACCCTGCTCTCGCTGTCGCAAGCGGGCTTCGACGAACTAGAGCAGAAACCTTCTCATCCTACAACACCTCCAAGGGGTTGAAGGACGAGGTCGTTGAACAAACTCCTCCAACCACAGCTGTAGCCAGCGGAAGAGCTAGAGCTGGATCGCTCTCTCTTCCTGCAAATAATATATCGACTGCATTTGGTCCTTCCCTATTCGCCACCTCATGGCAGCCAGGTCAACCACAAACACCAACTACGCCATCAGCCAATAATGTAAATGTAAGTCAAGATCTGATGAGTGGTGGTGGTGCAGAAGAAACAGCGTCTTTGGTCCGAACCTTGGATTTACTGGGATTGGACGATGCACTAGACCGAGGATCACTAAATACTCCACAATCAGCACCTGGTAATATGGGCTTCAGTGGCGGAGGAGTGCATGCTCTGTTTGGACGGGCACCTGGAGACAGCTCTGTCTTCACGTCACCAACATCTCCATCTCCTACTACGTCGCCAAGCCACATCCGCAGCAGGTCATACTCTATGGCTGTTGGTGAACAACTGTCCATCACCATACCGAATCATAATGCATCATCATTAAGGCCTCGAGCTACATCCATTGCTTACATCGAATCAACCGGCTTGGATAACGAGAGCATGCTGAGCAGAAAACCTGCAAACGAGCGGTTGGCACGTGCTGATAATTCCACTGCCATCCCAGAAGAGTCCATGGTATGTATGAATCTCTGCAATGAATGTATTGATGAAACTTGATGAAGTTTACATAATTTTATGCATCGTCCTGGACGTCTTTTGTTTAACTTTTTTCAAAATTCATCCGTAGCCACATCTATATATGGGCGAGAGTAGTCCAAATGGTAGTCCAAATGGATTTGGTCGTAAGATTCGCTTCATCAATTTTATATCATATCAATCATCCAAGCTTTATAGACTGATCAAAATTCATTCATTACAGCCGACTCACCATCAAACCATGAACAAATACCAACTCGATCGCTTTGGATTGGTAATATCGATACTACCATATCTCCATCCGACTTGTTGTCCCTCTTCTCTCCATTTGGTGTAATCGAGTCCTTGCGAATCTTGACCGATAAGGAGTGTGCCTTTGTCAACTATGTACGAATAGAAGATGCTATACGAGCTCGTGATGAAATGCAAGGTAGTCGAGTAGGCAGCTGTATAGTTAGAGTAGGGTATGGTAAAGCTGAATCTATCAGCGATAACCAAGGCATGCAACCAACAAAATCATTATGGATTGGCAACATCCCTCCCATGACAGAACCTGCTGAGTTGGAAAACATCTTTAGAGTATTCGGTCCAATCGAGTCTGCCCGTGTATTGACACATAAGAATTGTGGATTTGTCAATTACGAACGATTGGAGGATTCCATGGAAGCTCGAAAAGCCATGAATGGTAGAGAGATTGGTGGATCAGTTGTAAAGATAAACTTTGCCAAGGTGCCAAGTGGTGTAGCTACTCCAGGCTCATCACCAGATCACGAGAGGCCACCATATAACTATATAATGTCAACACCAACTCGATCTTCATCCTCGGCAAATGCTCGTGATGCATCCATGGATCCCAATGCTCCATCCTTCTCACCATTGGGTGCCCGTACTCAAGGTATATTATATGCAGGTGGAGGAATCCCGACTCTAATGGGTGGTATTCCAACAATGACTTCGAATGGAATGTCAATGCTGATGGGCAATCAACCACAGCAGCAACAACCGCCATTAAATGGTTATGAAAGCCATATGCAAGCTAGTGCCGATTCATTAGATTTGTCATTGTTGCCATTCGATGCCGATAGTTATGCTTCCACCATTCCACCACCTCCAGAACCTCGTGTCAATCGACGAGTCGACCAAAATCGTCTACGTGATATGAGGAAGAGACTAGAAGGTCATATTACATTGAAGGAAGTAGATTTGATATATCAAGAGATTTTGGAAGATACTGTCGATTTGTGTACTGGTGAGTACTTTGGTAGTTGTTGGATGACTTAATGTGTGAAGATATGTGGGAAAGGAACCGGGTTGGGAAAAGAATCTCGATAACAGAGCATTTATTCTAACGACTCTTTCACCTTTTAGACTACATTGGAAACGTCGTCATCCAAAAGATTGTCGACAAGAGTACCGACCAACATCGATTACGATTGCTAGAAAAAGTCGCACCACATATGGCAGCAATAGGTATTCATAAGAATGGTACTTGGGCAGTCCAAAAGATGATTGATAGCGCCAAAACCACCCAACAAATCCAAGTCATCGTCACGGCCTTACGAGCATACTGTCCACCTTTATTATTGGATCAATTCGGGAATTACGTTGTACAATGCTGTTTGAGACTTGGAGCTCACCGTAATCAATTCGTGTTTGATGCAATGCACTCAAAAGTGGTTGATATTGCTCAGGGACGATTTGGTGCTCGAGCCATGAGAGCCTGCTTGGAATCCCAATATACTACCAAGAGGCAACAAAAGCATGTGGCTATAGCCGTCGTGCAAAACTCTGTACAATTATGTACTAATCCCAATGGAGCCATTCTCATAACTTGGTTATTGGACACCAGCTCGTTGCCTGGACGATTCCGTGTATTGGCTCCTAAAATAGCACCTCATATTGCAGCATTATGTACACACAAGTTGGCTAGTGCCACCATCTTGAAACTTGGTAATGTCTTGCAAGTCTGTTCGTTACATCGTCCCTAACACAATTAACTTCGTTTTGCATTCTAGTCACTCAACGAATCGAATTGGATGCTCGAGATGTCATTCTCAAAGCTATATTCTTCGGAGATGACATTGTTTTGGAGGAGATATTGACTGATCAAGTCCATGGTGGTAAGTCAGCACAATACATTCACCAAACAAACTCGAGTTTACTTGATATTGACAGTGTCGATTTTTTTATCTACCCGTTAGTCTCCGTCATCCAAAAGATTTTGGCTTCAGCTTGTGTCTCCATTGACGAAAAGATTCGTTTGGGAGAGCGAACTCGTCAAGTATTGGGTCGCATGCCGGAACTGCAAGATAATGCTATGGGATACAAGAGATTATTAGATGAACTAGCAGTCATCCCATCAGCTGCCCCGCAATTGGGTGCCGAATCATCCATGTCAGTTCAAGATATCGTATCTCCATTGACGCCACAATCCAGCTTTTTCGCACCCACCGCCACCACAAACACTAGCACTATAAACAACAACATGAACACCATTACACACAACAGCAGCAATAATAGTAATAATAACAATAATGCATACTTTTCGCATCTCCCAACTCCATCACACTCTCCAAACCCACCCATTACCTCATACATGCCTCAATACGCCAGTAATCAATTCCAACAACCTAACTTTGGTCCTACTTCGTACATGGGGTATCCCACATCACCACCACATCAATCCTTGTTAAAGAATAGTAGTGGCATGTCGTCGTATGCATCACCAAACAAGTATGGGAATGGTGGATTGTCATCACAGCGTTATCCAGGTGCTCAATTTGGGAGCTTGCAAATAGATGAATCAGGTTAATTACATATAAAAATCAGTACAACAGAACAGCAAGACATATTACCATTATTACAAAGATGGTTATTGGGGATTTTTTAGGAGGAGTTATAGGGATATAGGTGGTCGGATTATTTTTTGTTTCTGGTGGATGGGATTTGCTGCTTTAAAATGAATAGTAATTACATGATGTTTGGAAAAGACGGTCGCCGTAGTGATATTACAACAAAAAACCAACAAATCCCAAACAAATCTTAATTAGGAGCACATGTAAACAAAATATTTTTGTAACCATTTTTCTCTACTACAAACACAAAGTCGCAACACAAAGTGCTACTGGAAATTGTTCTATGATTATACACCAACTTTTGTCAATCTGGTAGCTCCTCGTGCACCACCAGGTCCTTTTGGTTTGGCAAATGATTTGGATGTTGTTGACGTTTCGACCTTTGGGAACAGGAAATCTTCCAGCCATTCAGGTTGTATTTCTGATGGATCGTCAATCTCGACCTAAGTATTGCGAGGCTTCAGCGTTCATGTTTTCAAATTCATCATAGGGGCAAATAACCACGAGCACAAAAACAGCGCGAACGTCATAAAGACTTATGTACTCCTCAAATCAATTCTCTTACCTTCTTTCCAAGAGCACCCAACGACTCTTCAATAACCTGAATAACATTTCCTCTTGTTGAAGAATACAGCATTCTCTCCTTGACTTTCGAAGCTCCAGGACACACATACACGAATATCGTAGCATCCGAAGAATCACCTGGGTTTTTATATCGATACAACACGAATCGTGGGCTTGTGGTTGATACGTTGGCGGAAATGTCGGATGGCGATGATATGTCTGCTCGATCAGTTTCAATTGATTCTTCATCGATTTTCTAAAGCGACCAGAGCATTGGAAAGTGTGAGTTTCTGGTAAACAGCCACCATACGACGGTTTTGTTCTCATGCTCACCAGCTGCAAGAGATTGATCCCTTTAGATTTAAACTCTTGTAATCGCTTGGAAGCATCGGCACTCCAGGAGAAGCTCACACCTGAAGCCACGAGAGTCTTTCTTACAGATGAACCCATTTCTCCACTCTATAGAAGCCAGAAGATGAGGCTACAAGCAGCTGCAGTGAAACGGGAATAGGCAGAAATCACGTACTTCTGCTAATTTCACGCGAGCCATTTCCATTTCACGTTCAGTTCTTGGTGCTTCTGCATTCTTAGCAGCGACATGTTTTCTATACCCGTCCAGTGTGAATTCAGCCTGCAACAAAAAAATGAAGCCTTGATAAGAACAGCCCTATTGCGAATGCGGAATCAACTCAATTTACGTACAGGAGTAGTTCCATATAACGAATCAACAAACTTTGCATCTCCAAGCTCCTTGGTCAATGTTGCCCTACTAGCGGCATACAGCATCTTGTCGCGCACTTTTGCATTGTCTGGCACGTATTGCAGTATCAACCAATCATAATCTCCAGTCTTGGTCAGTGTGTCCATACGATAGAGGACGAAACACGGTGCAGTTGGAGTCAACCATGACTGGAAGGTTGAGAAATCGTTTTCAAAATTTGAGGAGGTATTTATTGTTTCATTTGCCACCAGAGTTTCTATTGTCGTGAAATGTTGGGATCAATGTTATGATCGTGAAGCGACATGACGATGCGACGCGCAGATAAGATGGCCTACCGTCAGATATGATGACTTGGATGGCTCTAGTTGATTGACCTGCTTTTGAGAATGTTTGAATCAACTCGGGACTGGCTAGTAGGATAGAACGGCACAGTTAGATTTTGAACATTGAAAGCTACCACACCGATAACAACCAAAGCAGACTACTTACGACGAATTCCAGACTGATGAGACATGGTACGGTATGTTCTTCCCGTGAATTATCAGTGGTGGTTGTCTCTGCTAGTTGACTTCTGATATTCGAGTTACAGGCACCCGACGACTGAATCAGGAAAAATTGAACCTCGAGTACGAAGAATTATCGGGCTTTCTTAGTTTACTCTGGTGTTGTCCTGTGCCGTAAAACGCGTAAGAAACGCGGCTTTCCATGTGTGAGAAGGTGTCTGATCAGAATCTGAGGCTGATTTCAGCTGTTTCGTGACTTTTGGGGTCTTGTACCTTCAACTAAATTTATCAAGTAAATCAAAAACTGCTTGCAACCACGGAGACTCCACTACACACGATTTATAGACGTGCTCGCATCGTTTGCATCTCTCCAAACATCCTGTCTATTACCCCTGCTTTTTGGTTGCAGAGAACAGGCAGGTATGAAAAAGAGAACTACATATTCCTTCACGTCAATGCTATACTAACCACATCAGATCTAACTTGAATCTACTCGTTGCTTAGATCTATCACTTCGATAACAATGAGTTACTTTTTCGCCCTACTACATGGCAGATCCTGGCTACGACTCTTGATGGTCGCCATCATTTTAACTATAATATGGTGTTTCAATCTCGGTTCTCACAGTTCCACCACTAATACTCTACTCGTGGAAGACTGTGCATCAACCAAACCACCATCATCAATTTCACAATCACAAGCAAACATACAACAACCGCCTGTACTAGCAGTAACAATACCAATAACAATCAAAGATTTCGACGGCCTGCCACAATTCCTGGCTAAATGGAAGGATGTGCCTCCTTGTGGTGCTGATTCATCGTCGAATGCTGAGTTGGTGTTTCTGTACGCAGGGTTATTGTCGGACGCGAATATGGTGGAGGAGTTTATTAAGCGCGTGTGGAAAGCTGATGAGCACAAATGTTTTAAGAGGACCCATTTCAGGGTATGTGTTATGGGTGTACATGCGTCATCCCAGTCTGTTTTTTGTCACTGCCACAAAACATCACACACCCACTCACACCACCTTTACTTACATAGAAAATCATAATGACGGAAAAGGAGAACGTGTATGATAAGAAGAATTGGGGTGTACCTGGTTGGGTTGCAGGTCCGAATCTCATGTTTTCAAGATTTATGTTTCAAGCACAGGTAAAAAAAACATGCTCGAGCCAAAGAAAGCGACACCGTAAACCTTCGCATGTAGCCCCACTTATTTTAACACACCACAGGACTTCCCATACGTATTTTGGATGGAACTTGACGTACTCCCAGTTCGATCAGGGTGGCTAGACAAATTATACCAACGTGCTATATCGGATGATTTCTATATACTTGGATCATGCTTTAAAGGTGAATGCTATTTGTTACCGGATGATACATGCTCTGAACTGGGTGCTACTGCTGCACATATAAATGGGAACGCACTATATAAGATTTCGGATGGGTTCTTGAAGCTTCTGAATGCAACTGTTACGGGGTTGCATAGACATTGGCCGTTTGATCAAGCATTATTTATGACGGTAAGAGATTGTCTAGTGCATTTTTTTGGGTTGGTTGAAAGAGTTCTCAGTGCGCTTCGAAAAGTCAAACATGTTCCTTCGTTTTGAATGGCATTTCCTATAAATAACCCCTCCCCTCAACTCTCAACTACCCTAGATCAAGTACGCAGACGACGAACTCCTAGAACGCAGACTCCTCTCCCTATACGTGCATAGCGAACTCATTGTAAACTATGGCAACTTCCCCATATCCATACCCGACGTCCTGGAAGCACATCCAGGCGCATATTTATTACATGCAAAGACAAGCATGACTGTAGATGAATTCCGGGCGCGGAATTACGATATCTTGCCCGGCATGGATGCTAAATGGGTTGCTAGGCCGCCTAAACGAAGTAGCAAGAAGATCGCGGGGCGGTTGAGAGGTGGTGCTAGTGCTATAGAGTCTATGCAGAGACGGGATGGCAACGAGGTGCAGTCGTCGCCTGCGCCGGTGGTGGTTGTTTTAGATGCGAATCAGCAGCAGCAGCATATTGTTGCGGTGCCTCAGCAGCAGCAGCAAGTGCCTGTTGCGAATGCGCCAGTTGTGAAATCCGCGCAAAAGGATTCGTCGTCGCCGGTAGGGTAGGATCACAACAACACATATACAAAGTTATGCAAGAAGTCATGTAGTTCTATATAAAAGAGTTAGGTACAGTAATCGCTCAGACATTCTTTGTACAAGTTTAACCCAGTATGTCGCAAATATATTAGAAAGTAAAAACAAAAAATCTTGGTTTGAATGAATGAGCTATCTTGATTTTGATCTACATGATACAGTTAATTTATGCACACAACTCTCTATCTTCTACTGCCCATCATTACTGCTACTTGCTTTCTTCGTCCTTGGTATCGGCGTATACGGCCCTCCCATATACAACGACGGTCTAGAAGTAACACCCAGCCCATCAATACTCCAAATAACAAGCGTAACCTTATCCACCGTAGCAGAAACATTAATCCACCCCAACCCTGCAAACGCCACATCACCCACCAGATACGCACCACCACCAGGCCCTTCCATTACAATCTCCTTGGCCCGAATCCATCTTGGGAAATCTCGTCGCAGCGGCGGTATAAGTACTTTGTCCTTTCCGAGATGTTTATCTAGTAAGCTCTGCACATTATGTGTTCCACACATGTGTGGTCTGATTCTATGTGATATGTGAGGTGTTATTTGAATGCTTTTCTTGTCTGGTTCTGTTGCGATTACGTCGATGCGGATTAGGCCGCCAAGGAGAATGCTCTGTCCAGATTGGATGTTAATTGGTCGGTGTTTGAGTGGACGTGTCGGGATTACGAGTTTTAGTTCGTTGGGGTTTAGATAGTTGGTTATTTGTTCGGGATTTAGGATGCCAGGAGTATCTATAAGTGTATGACGCTCACCCAGCTTGACGACATTTATATCTGCTGTTGTTCCTGGTATGCTACTACTTAATAACAGAGATTCGGGGCGACGTCTGTTAAGCACTAGTTCACCATTAACGATTGCAGCACCTAATTTCTTCAGAGTAGCAGCCGCTTCGTATCCTTTGTCTCGAATTATTTGAGGAGCTTCCAGTATAACTCTAGCAGCAGATATAAGATTCGATTTCCCGACATTTGTCGTCCCAATCAAGTACGTCCGTCTACTAGATATAGATTTCAACCATTCCTTCATGTTGTATCCAGATAGAGCCGATACGACATGTATATGACCGACATTCAAGTCTTGTATCCACGGTTCTAAATATTTCTTGAGATTATTCCTTCTGTTGGGCAACAAGTCAATCTTGTTAATGACAATCGACACCCGCTGTGCTTTGCCCGGTGGTGACCGTGGATCTACTAGAGTCCGTAAATGTTGTGCTAGATTTGGTATGATGCTACCAGGTAAATCACTCCAATCTATCACGACATGGACTCGTGACTCTGGGTGTGGGTAAGGGTGCTTTAGTATATCGGCATGTATTTGCTTCCATAGCGTGCCGATATCCGTGATGGATCTCTTTGAAGCAATGTTTTCGAATTTTATTTTTCGACATCGCTCACAGCACGTATGGCCTTTTGCAGGGTAGCCTGGATTATCGGGATGTGTTGTTTGGAAGGGGGCTCCACATGATGGACATTTTGTTGGTCTGAATACTTTAGTTGATGATGATGCAGTTGGATTTGTTGCAGGTGGCAGTATGGACGATATTTTGGGTGTTGATGTTGGTGATGCTGGTGATTGTGTGGTTGAATACACACGTCGGGCAGCTAGTATTGGCTTATACAGCGATGCGTGATGATGGCGACATGCTGTCTTCATCCATTGCAGTACGATTGACGCGACACTCATCGGTGCAGATCTAGGTAGTTTGAACGTGTTATTAGAGCTGTCTCTCACACAGGTACTGAATAGAACTCGTTCTCTTACTGATCCACGCGTGGAAAAGCTACGCTCTACTTGTTTTTACAGTGCTTCCCTGTTGGTAAACGTGTTGTGAGCCTCCTATCACATTGCCGACAGAATACTTATTTTTGGATGTCGAGTTTGGGAGCATTGGATTGTTGTATATTAAGTTGCATCTGAGTCATGGCTGCCAGGAAACTACAAAGTACATTATTGAATGTTTTGACTTGTTCTTTCCTTCGTTTCTCAACCAATCACAGCTTACTCTTCTCGCCCATTTTAACGCACAGCTGAAATCGAACGAACTCTGAAAAAAGTCGCTGAAGGTGTCGAGATATTCGAGTCCATATTCGAGAAAATATCCACAGCTACAAATGCCGCCCAAAAGGAAAAGTTTGAGGGCGACTTGAAGAAGGAAATCAAGAAATTGCAGAGATATCGAGACCAAATTAAAACATGGATGTCATCAAACGAAATAAAGGACAAGAGAGCCCTGCTCGACAACAGAAAACTGATAGAATCCGTGAGTAGTTTGATGATTGTGTTGGTGCTTGTATGTGGATGCTGCTGAAGAGGACGAAGGTGTTTGGAGCTATACGCTCTCGCCCAATCAATCAAGTTACAATGTCAATCATGCAATTTTGCAGATATGCATCAATTTGATCTATTCATCACCCTTGCTTACACTCACTCACACACGTACCAACAACCCAAACAGCAAATGGAAAAGTTCAAGGCAATGGAAAAAGAACTGAAAACAAAGGCATTCTCAAAAGAAGGGCTACTACAGCCAGGCAAAGTAGATCCCGAAGAAGCTAAACGTGAATCCCTCGCAGATTGGATTCGCAGAACAGTCGAATCCCTCCAGGAAATGATTGACAAGCTAGAATTCGAACAAGAGCAGCTTCTATCCACAATAAAGAAGAACAAAAAGGCCGATCCATCAAAGCAAGATCGCTTAAATTCCGTTGAACACTTACTGGAACGACATAAATGGCATATAAACAAGCTGGAAATTATATTGAGATTACTGGAGAATGGGAATCTGACGTTTGATCAAGTTCAATCTATACAGGATGATGTGTCGTTTTATGTCGAGTCTTGTGATGATGAAGGATTTGACGAAGATGAAGGCATTTATGATGATTTGAATCTGGAGGAGGCTGGATTGTATGGTTTGCCTGCTGATGATGAAGATGAGGAGAATGATGATAGCGATGCTGGTATGTTCTGCCGCTCATCATCCTCTAGCCCCGCTTTTTTCTCTCTCGGCATGAGGCCTGAGAAAAAAACAACTGATAATCACAATTTTTGTATGTAGAACCAGGATCCCCCAGAGATAGAGAGGTAAGTTTGTGTTTAAAATCTTTTGTTTGACCAAAAAATGGGTTATCATATTTCGGAATCAGGGCTCGCCTGAGATATCACCGACACCACCAGCCAAAGAGGAGAAGAGGAAGGCTAGTAAAGACATCGAGGTGGAGCCGGTACGTGCAAACCATAATCGATCACGGTAATGGGCCCGACGATTGTGATTAATTACTAATGAATATCTTATTAGCCCAAGGCTGCTGCCAAAGTCGTCGCTCCAACACCGCCGCTGCCTCCAAAAGGTTTGTGCACATTGTTCCTTTAAGCTCCTGAATGAGCTAATTCCAACACTTGTAAATTAGCTGTGGAACGAGTGGCCTCAAAGGACGACGGTGAATACCTTTAATTTCCCAGCACTTTTTTTGTCTCGGGCTTGTTCTCATCGAAGCTTTTTGCGTTTACAGGTAAAGCTAAACCTGCCACAGTTGCTCCAATACCCGCCGCCGCGTCAACAACATCACGGCCTGGTTCGACGACTGTAGCGCCATCAACACCATTGTCATCGATAACAAAATCATCACCAACAATACCTGCAAGCGTCCCAACACCAAGAGATGTAGTGCCGCCACCACAACGGTATGCAGCAGCAGCTAGTGTATCTGCTGCTGCCGCAACTGCTAGTAGTGCGGCCGCAACATCCTCAATAACGCCATCTGCAGCATCAACTATAACATCTGCTATATCCTCAGCTGCTGATAAAGTGTCTCCAGTGCGGTATGGTGATGCTGCATCAGCAGCTATATCTTCAGCACCCATTGCTGCTTCAATAGGGCAACCAATAACGACGGCCAGTGTTGTTGGTAAGCCCGAAATATCTCCTACTACAGCTAAACTTGTCCCTAAAGAGACAGTCACATCACCCATATCAACGTCACAGCAACCACTTCAGCAGCAGCAATCTAGTAATGTAGTTGGAGGCCGACCGCCAGCCACTGCTGCTGGAACAGCAGCAACTCCATCGACGATACAAACTGTACCACCAGCATCAAGTGAAAAATTGTCATTATCGCAGCCCTCTCCGACAACTTCTTCCTCTGTTGCTTCATCGCAACCGCGGATACCAACAACGCCAGAAGCACCAAAAGATGATCAAACGGTTGAGACAGTGGATAAGAGATTATCTGACTTGGTTGACTCGTTTGAAGCTACGAAAGCCAAGTGTGAGTTCGAATTTGAGGCATATTGCAGACTCGAGATGATTTTTTTGCATCTTGATTCCAGCGTTTTTACATATCTCGTAGCACTGGCAGCTCAAATCGAACCTGGATACATACATAACATGATGGAAACAAGCTTTCAGTATGTGCCGGATGCGTCTGATTCAGAAAAGTGAGTGTGATATCTTGTATGAGTTGTCATCAAAATGAAAGAAAAAAAAGTCTGAATCGAATGTTTAATACTAGGCCGAAGCATTACATGCCAAAGAGTCCATATCCAACACCTGGATACTATCCTCAAACACCGCTGGCGCTACTTGAGAATCTAGCCATGTTTGAAAAGTTTGATATTGATACCCTGTTCTTCATCTTTTATTATCAGCAGGGGACGTACCAGCAGTAAGTTGGATCATTATATAATCACACGGTTTTTTTGGCCAGACTCTTGCTCTCAATTTCTTCACCCTTCTATTTCCGTCTAACGTATTGTTACCCATTCGATACTAGGTACTTGGCTGCTCGAGAACTGAAACGACAATCTTGGAGATTTCATAAAAAGTACTTGACATGGTTTCAACGGCATGAAGAGCCTAAATCCATAACAGACGAGTATGAGCAAGGCACATACATCTATTTTGATTATGAAGGTGCATGGTGCCAGCGGAAGAAGTGTGAATTCAGGTACAGCATATTTTGGGACTTCGAATTTCGTTTTCCAACTCAACCTATTTGTTTCCTAGGTTTGATTATAGATATTTGGAGGATGCAGAGTTATCATAAAACACAGACAACGGATACACGAGATGTTTTGTTGGGGGAAGGATGCCAGATGGAAATGTGTTTTTATTGTGTAGAATCTTTTGGATGTGACCTGTGAATCAACAATATCATATGCATGTGCCACAAACAATATCTAGTTGTCTACTACGTGTTTACTACTATCTACTGTTGAGCGAATATACTCTATTCGAGTATGACGGTAGCGCCTAGAGATTCTAATAATTTCTTGATCTTCTCAGCTTCTTCTTTGGGGACTGCTTCTCTTATGACCTTTGGTACAGATTCGACGAATTTCTTTGCCTGCAAAGATAGGTAGGAGTGAGTAAATAGTTGTGTATCAAGCAAAAAACCGTACAGAGACATTGTATCCGCTACGCAGGCTACACTCGATGCTTTACCTCAACGAGATTAGACCCTGGAATCAGCGTCTTGATTTCCCGAATAATCTTGGCCTTAGCATCAGCATTAAACTTTTCGAGCTTTACTTTGAATTCAGTTTTTTCCACTGGTTTTTCTTCAGCAGCAGCTGGAGCAGCAGCCTCAGTTGCAGCAGCTTGTGGAGCAGGAGCAGCAGCGAATGATGGTTGGTATGATGGCATGACTACATCCTGAATGTTTAGTCGTGTCTAATGAGTGTGATGTTTGATGTGAGCAAAAAACGCTAATGGACTTGACAGAGTGTATGGATGTAATGATTACTTTGAGTTCCTTGACGAGACCAGCAGTTTCTAGGAGCGTTAATCCCGATATTTGATCGACGATGGAAGATATTTTAGGGTCGATTGTCTCGTTACGACATATCGGAGACACTGACAACGACCTGATTGCTTGCATCCGTGGTCGTAGAAGTGGTGTGCATGACGGTATACGCGATAGGAGAGTTCGTACTGATGACATCGTAGAGCGACGCTAGTTATGCTACGTGATTTAAATGGTTGTTCGTCGTTTCCTGTGAAATTCTTGTAATTTTTTTTATCACAAAGTTGGCTGTAGACATCCAGTTGACTTACTAGAGTCGTTTCATATCGATTCTGTACGTGTTCTTACACAGATACTGTCCTTTAATAGGCCGATCGACTAATTATTAAGCCTCTCAAGTCCATATATTAGAACAATGGCTAGCGTGGTTCAAGAAGCTGAGGATGGTTATGCTAAGGAACTGGATAATAGGCTCACACTCCTGGAAAGAGAGAGTTATGAGCTTCAGAAAACTAGTGAGGTATGGTGTCTAGCTTTCAAAGACTGCTGACATCAAACAGTGAAAACGTCGGATCTAACGCCCACGCATACATACAAATGTAGGCATATTTGAAAGAATATTATGAATCAGCATTCACCCAACGCATGTCTTCAAATCCCTTATTCGCATTCAACCAATCCCATCCTCAACTCCCGCCTACTGCAACTGATGCTGACTATCTCAACGAGTTGACGAAACTCGCATTAGAAAACCTCACACTTGCCAACACCGAAAAGCTAGAACTAGAGAAACGTAAAGCATACGCTTCCAAATTAGCTGAAGAACGCCTCGCATCCTCAATCGCAGATCTACAGTTACGATATGCTAAACGAGCAGAGAGTTTCCAGCCACCTACACAATGGTTTATGCTATCATCACCATCTGATTCGATTGTGCGGGTGCTTGCAATAGACGGGCAGTACAGGCTAGCTATAACGGACAAGAATATGGAGATTTGGAAGTGTGGTGGTGGGATATTCGGAAATGGAGTTGATGACAGTAGTAGTGGACATGAAGCGTTTAGACTTGTTGGGATTGTTAGGCCGGGGCATTTGAATAATATTACGGCGGTGCTGGATGTGCCTTTGCCTACGGAGGGGGCTGTTGTGAACACGAATACAATGGGTGCTGTGGCAGGTGCTGCTACGTCGAAACCTGGGACGACTTCGTTAATGCCGATACAGACAAAGGGCAGTGGTATACCACAACCAGTATCTGGGAATCTTTTGACGCCATCAACGACATCTACACCATCATCACAGGCTTCGGGTTCATTGCTGCCTACACCAACAGGAAACAAGAGAGATGGATCATTCCCGACAGTCAAGGATGTTAAAAAGACGATACTGCTAGGATGTGCCGATGGTCAAGGAGTACTCGTAGAAATATCCATAACAGATAATCACCAGCAACAACATAATCCTTCTAAATCACACCACGCACAACAAGCAACACCAGCAACAATAGACATCGCCACAAAATGCACAATCCTGAAAACCCGTAAATTGTCATCCTCAGCTATACGGCAAGGAGTCTCTGCCTCAGGTCTCATAGCAGTAGCAGCAGCAACAGGGCTGTACCTCTTCACACCCGAACTCGAAACACGATTCTCATGGCCTGCAGATGTATTGCTAACCATATGCAAAGACCGTGGCTCCAACGTCGCACAACCTGAAACCATGAGTCGTGGAGTCACATCATCCGATGGCGTTACAGTCGTATTTGTGACAACCGACGCTACAAGACAAACCTCACGTGTATTCGCACTGCTATCAACGGGATCACTAGCTGTTATTGAATGGCTGAGCGATGAGTCCAAATCGTACGCTTCGTGGGTTGCTGATCTAGGGACGAGACCGCCTGTTGATTTTCTAGGTGTGCTTGGACCAGAAGTTAGTTTAAGGAAACAATATCATTTAGCATGTGTGTCGGAAACTACGTTGTGGACTTTTGATCCTGCATTGTCTGGGTTTGAGACGAGGTATAATACTGGTGCGGGCAAGGGAGTTAGTATGCATTTGATTTGTTTGGAGGGTGAAAGTTTTCAGTCTGTTATGGTTGTTATCACTTCTCAAGGTAAGTGACCACTAACGAATTTCCTTTCTTGTTTGCTATGGAACGAAACCACAACTCAACACACATTCTTTCCAAACACATCAGGAATTCTGCAAATGTTTCAACCTGGAGCTCAAATACCCTTGTGCTCAGTCAAGCTAGTAACGCATTTGACGGATCCAAGACCAGCAGCGTGGAGGATCTTTGTGGTTGATTTGGAGTCTGCTTTGATTTGTGCTTGTCAAGGGAGCGAGTATGTGCTGGTTAGTTTGAAGGGGGCATTGATACGGTCAGCTGAGTAAAAACACGTCTTGGCATTAATCATTGGCAATGGGAGAGGTCTCGTTTCTTGTTACATGTGACGTATTTCCATATACTTCTGTAAATTCGGCGTTCGAATTTCAAATTTCAAAGCTGGTTATGTAATTAGTTGTGTTAGTAGATTACTGTGACTTTAATTAGCGAAGCAGACGTCGGGTGCATGTTTTCTTCTTCACTGGATTTCTTTTGCTCCAGCCATTCTTGTTCAGTTGTTCATGACACCTAAAACAGCTTCTAGCAACTAAGAGACAAGGAAAGACTCTAAACTCAGACGGTCATCATCCCAGAAAGCAAGAATGGTATGCGGAACTATCACCATGTCGCTTAGATCTACAGTGCTAACCTCATATTCACTTTAGACAAACATACTTGTTTGGTAAAGATTGCACTTCGATGGACTAAGTACAGCCAACAGCAGATCATTAAATCTTCTCGAGTATTTTAGGAGAGACTTGTCAGTAAAAAATGTACACGAGTTCTATGCAACTGATGCGCCTGAAAATGCAGTCAAGTAATCATCCACTTTGAAACGTCTGTTTTTTTGGTGCATTGTATCGGCAATGCACCATTGCGAAGTTGGCTAATTGATCTTATTCTCTTCAGGTATCTGGGATTACTTTTTGGACTAGATCGAGAATCCGAAAAGGATGCTATATTGTTGGACTTATATTATTATACTCTCAAGTAACGATGTCGTTTAGATACACAGAGTCTCCACAGATGATTCATATACTCGAACAATTAGATTCGCAAAGGACAAATCATTCACAGCAGAGCAGGCATCTGCACTTTTTAGTATCGTGAAGAGCACTCATCTGTCATGCACAAGTAAGATCCCGACCAAAAAGAGAAGCTCGCCAAGACGAGGAATTGGTCCATCATAACCCGAACATGCAGCTGACATGCTATTCCTACCTAGCAACACCATTCATAAACATGGAAAAAGACTATGCCAATTTCAAAACACTGCTTGTTCACCATTCAGTACAACGACCACCGTTTAGTCAAAAGATCTTTTCGTTGGCTGAAATGAAGGCTATAACTGAATATGTCACAAACACGTAAGTTTCTTATGATACATTGTCCCTCTTTTCTTTGTCGTTGCTAGTTGTGAATGAATTCCATTTTTCGCCAGGTACTTTCGACACTACCTGTTATACAAGTATGCATTCTCGAAAAAGATGCGGATGGACTTTTTGGTGGAGGAGCCTGTTGTTAACGAGACGCTAGCGGCAAATACCACAGCGGAGGTATGTGTAAAGATCAGATTGTTAACAAGATCAGAGTTTGAAGCACTTGAGTTATAAACCTTCTAGCGCAGACGACCAATGTTTTCCCTTTATCTAGACAACGACAGCCACACCTTCGGAACTCCCTGTAGCTGCTGAAACAACATCGACTGAGAAACCACCCGCAGTACCATCACTTGAATCGAAATCACAACAACAAGGAGCACCAGCTTCTGTATCCGTTCAAGAAAGCAAGTCAGCGCCGGTTTCAACTGATTGTATGTTTTCGGCGTTCTGTGCCTCTTTTTGGCATTTCGTCATTTTTGACAACCCCGTTTTCCTCCCAAACATTAGCACCACGAGATCGAGCAGCAGCGGAACTCAACAAGATACTGCAATCTACATTTGCCCCACAGATTAATGAGATGATGAAGGCTATAAATCAAAAGATGGCAGCACAGGATGAAGCGTTGCTACATAAATTGAAGAAGTTGGAAGAGCTAGAGTCGAGTGGTGGTACCAGTAGTGGAGTTAATGCAAAGAGTAAATCTGGGAAGAATTGATTTGTATGTACAGGAGGCTTGTTTAATATTATACACAAGAGGGACCAAAATAACCAATCATCTCAAATCACGCAGGTTTAAATGCGTTTCATGTAGAAATTCGTTAGTTCGTTGCAGTTCCACTATCGATGGACGCGTCAGAGATAATTGTAGCCTAATATGATTGCCTGAAATGCAAACCTGATATTCCTCAGCTCCAAACTCCACGTACAACAATCAAAAATGTCAGGATCTCCGTTGACACCTCGAGAGATTGCCGAAATAGGCTTGACAGTCGCTCCGACACTATATCTCGCATGGCATTTCTATAATCTGACTGCTCATAGTGCTCAATCTTGGGGTATTTACCAGCTTTCCACATCATTTGTTTTTGTTGGCAATCGGCGACATTCAGCTTACACGTAATTCATTATTCCACATTTAGGACTGCTTATGATATGTGTTTTGGCAGTAGAAAATCAATGGAAGAAGCATCGCCCATGGGGCACATCTATTGGTGATTACAGGTGCATTCATGATCTGATGTTTGGAGCGAGACTTGAACAGTGTTGACTCGAGCAGTCTTGCCTTTCTTTTCTCAGGCCATCTTCAGATCAAGGACTTATTTCGGGATCGCTCATCGCTCCATTAACAGCTTGCAGTATCTTGTGGTCTAATATGAGTTCAGGTAGCGATCGGTGATGTTCTTCTCACATTGCGTGTGATAAATTTCTTTTTTTTGCTTAACTTGGATATTCTTTAGAAACCGAATTCGCATCATCACACCTTGCTACATTATCAATCTCATTTGCGCTACTCGCCAATATCTTTTTGGTGTCGTCGACAAACACTATTGATGTGAAAAGGGTCATTATGGCTGGACTTGTGGTGTTTCGAATGTGTCATCAATCTGGTATACTAAACTATCTACTGGGGAGTTTTTTTCGCTCTCAAACGATTTATTTTTGAAACCTTGTAGGTCTCGCATTCTGGATGATAGGACCATGTCTAGCCACTTTCTCAATGCTTTACTATATCACTATCGCCATCCTGAGACGAAGCTTCACAGCTGGAGAAGCTATTCTTGCATCACAACTCTTGTCGTTGGCGTGTATATCATCCGCGTTGGCTGCTCTACCGAATGTAAGCTCGTAAATCTAGTCTTCGTTCGTCGTCGAATATTGACCGAGTTTGTGTGTGGGTTTTTTAGCCATACAATGGAATTGTACTAAAATGGACTGCAACATACATCATGTTGCTGGCACTCATACCTGGAATGCTCGCTATCGGTGTATTGACAAACACCGTACTGATATACTCGAAATCAACGTATCTGGATGTAGTGAAAGTTGGAAATCCAAGTGGTGCGCTGCTAGCTTCGTATCGGATATGGATCAGTCTTGCTTTTGTTGCTGGAGCTGCATTGACTGTCTTGTTTGGGATTTCACCGTTGGTTTCTGCGAGGTTGAATCTAAATCCATTTGTTTGGTAAATGAAACATTTACGTCTTTCGAATTACATTTTTTCAACCTCGTCTCATGCTCACTTGATTCACATGTTAAATTTTGTAGGACTGTTGATTTCGTATTCACAAAGGGTGGGAGTACGAGGATTAATGTATTATGCTACTTGGCTTTTACTCTGCTGCTTGGCGTCTCTCTCACCACCAGATTATTTGACTCCAAAAAACGGGCCAACACCAATGAAACCAATCTGAAACGAAAGTATTTCCACTTTTTGGCCTTCGTAATGTTTCTACCGTGCTATCTTGTCGATGTAAGTGTGGCTGTCAAATCTCAAAGTTATTCAGCATAATAACGTTCTTTTATCTTCTTAACTCTTTTTGCTGTAGCCCGAATTCTTGCATCTGGCATTCTCACTAGCGACATCTATATTTATATTAACTGAATATGCACGATTCTTTCGACTTGCACCTGTTGGTGATTTCCTGCACACGTATCTGTCACAGTTTGCAGACGCGAGAGACACAGGACCAGCCATCTTGTCACATGTGTATCTGCTACTTGGGTGTGCTATACCTGTATGGCTTGCCGGGGGTTTGACTAAGTATGGATTTCAAGGGTGTTTGGGGATTGTGGCCTTGGGCGTTGGTGACTCTTTGGTGAGATACAACTTGTATGCCATCTCGGTTTTTTTGGCTAATAATGGATTTATTCAAACAGGCAGCTATAATAGGCCAACGACATGGACGTCATCGGTGGCCTCATTCACGTAAAACCGTTGAAGGAACGGCAGTGTTTATCGTGTCTGTGTTTTTATGTTGGGTTGTTGCGGTCTTGTTGGGTGTAGCGAGGAGGAAGGATTTGCTGCCTGCGTTGTTCAGTAGTGTACTTGGAGGTAGTGTGATTATATGTTAAGAGAAATTTTTTTAAGCGATTTGCTATCCTTGAAAGTAATCATTTTTTTGGTTGATAGGATTGTTTGAAGCCATGTGTGAACAGAATGATAATTTATTGATACCGATGTATATGTTTTCTATATGGCAGCTCACTAACGCGTAAATTATACTGTATTTAGCAAAAAGAGATCGTCAGCCCAGATTTTACTTCGCAAACAGCCTTGTCACACAGTTGCGGTTTAACATCAAATCAGTTCGATTTCAACCAAGAGCACTATAATAATCTATTGTCCATTTCAGTACCAGTTCGACTTCAGACCACGACTGAATAGATAATATGGCATCCTTACCAGAGGTGAAGCCGTGGATGATCGGCTGGCTGTCAATTTCAGGTAATAACATGCTTGGGTGCGCTTAATCAGTGCTTTCGCTGTACAAAAATGATTGGATACAAACGATTCTCTCATTTCTAGGCGCATTAGTAACATGGGATGCTGGGTGGGTTGGCATCAAAAGTCAAAACATGTGTTTTGCAACATATCTTATTCATTCATTTCCGTCTATAGATACATGCTTTGCCGTCCATATTCTTTCAAAGGTTAGCATCAAAGAAATGGGTTGGCTCACTCAGTTATTAGACATCGGGACGTAACGTGATTTGCGACATCAACCTGGTTGTGTTTTGTGGAACTCAACTCTTGGATATGTTGATGTTACGAATCGACTTGATGTCGAATCATATTCGATACTCCCTTTACGTCATGAGCTGAATTCGGAGATCATTCTTCAAGGATTTTTGTGCTGAACAGCACTCCCTATCTAGGAAAGAGTGCACTGGCTGCTTTATGGGGTCCTTATGAACTTTATGTGTGTATCACTTCACCAAGAACCTTCTTTGGCTTAAGCTATTCGCTAAACTGGAGCCGATCTTTTAGGGCAAGGTTGACAAAGTCTACAGTCAAGAAGCATATTATCGAGGTGACGGGTTCGGGACCGCACAAACATGGATGAATGTAGTTGAATTGGCTTTTCAATTCGGTGGTATTTATTTGGTTGTCAAGAAGCATCGTAAGTGCTCTTTAATTCGAGTTTAATTACAGTTCCCAGACACTCTTTTTGGCACTTTTAATCGTCTTATTGTTTGATTTAGCTGCTGGTGCTCTTGTTGTTGCTACTGCACAGTTAATGAGTTAGCAATCTGGTTTGACGCGTCGGACAACCAAGAAGAAACGCTAACTCGATGTATTCTTTCAGCGTTCTGGAAGACTGTCTTGTACTTTTTGGCTGATATACTGGGAGGCTTTGATGTATGTTCTCGCTCTTGTAAAAGCCTCGTGTGCTATGGTCTAGCCTCATCGGACACTTTACTTTAGAACACCAAGCAGAACGATGCATGGACATTCGTGAGTATATCATTCCTTCCAGACGAACCTTGAAATGCCATAAGTCACCCTTCTTTCGTTCTAGTTGAGCTTATACCTCATTCCCAATGGTATGCAAGCACGTTATTATTTGATACACGGATCAGAGCTCTGACGGCGAGTGTGGCTTTTAGGCATGTGGCTCGTATTCCCAGGCTTTATCTCTGCCAAATTGGGACATGAACTCTTCAAGTTCTTTGTTGACTTGTCACTGACCAAGAAATTGAACTAGAGATCTCAATCAATGATTATGATCCAACCTTATTCATTATTGGACATTCAGCTCTATATTAATGAAATTGCTATGAGAACGTTGAAGTCATACCAAAAGTGTATGAATGCTATGACTGAGTCTATGTTTGGGTGGTTTGTTTCAGTGATGAATTTAGCAACGTCTTTTGGTTCATTGTCTCACGTCATCAGTGCTGAAATATGCGATCACGTTCATATCAATGTACGCGGTAAGCCGCATCGCAAGTGTCACGTTCGAATTTCAAGCTTGCTTTCGACTTTGGCTTTTGGCCTGACAACAAGCTTTCGAGACAAAGCAAGCAAACAACTGCGATGCCATCTGTAAGGGGAATAAAAATTTGCATAGATCGTGGAGGTAAGAACCAATCCTACGCTGCCTTTCGCTAGATTGCTCCCCTTAAATTCAAAACATCTTTGTATTTATCATCAACAGGAACCTTCACCGATTGTATTGGACTAGTTCCTGATGAGAATGCACATGGAAAGCAACGCGCTGTGGTCGTGAAGCTGCTGTCAGTTGATCCAAATAACTACTCGGATGCGCCACGTGAAGGAATCAGAAGGATCTGTAAGTCATCCTTACGCAACATCTGGGAGATTGAAGAGACACATTGGTCTGTATTCTTATCATTTTAGTGGAGATCGCAACTGGAAAGCCACATCCTCGTGATAAGCCCGTGGACACCTCTGCTATTGGTAACCCAAAAAAATGCTATGTAGTCGATCATAACGATCAACCAACACTTTGACCTTTCCTTAGAACTCATTCGTATGGGTACTACCGTGGCTACAAATGCTGTAAGCGCCGTATCGTCAACAAAACACACGTCAGTTGAAGTATTCTGACCCTTCTGGGATAGTTACTCGAACGCAAAGGAGAAAGATGCGCACTCTTCATAACAAGAGGATTCAAAGATCTCCTCCACATTGGGAACCAATCTCGTCCCAAGATATTTGACTTGGCCATCTTGGCACCTGACGTCTTGTATGAGCAAGTAGTTGAAGTCGATGAACGTGTCACGTTAGTCGGATTTAGCTCCACTGCCGCTGGCATGAACGTGAAGATACCGAAGAATGATATGTCGTATATTAAAGGTGTTACTGGCGAATGGGTGCATGTGATTGAACCACTAGGTATACGTCATGTTTGTAGTTGCAGCATTTTTTGCTGACGTGGACTTTGAATTTCTTAGATGTAACAGGAGTGCGCAAAGAATTACAGCGTGTTTATGATGAAGGATTTCGTAGCTTAGCTGTATGTTTGATGCACTCGTATACTTACTCTGGTAAGAACAAAAAAACGAGATCATGTATACTCTATTGTGATCTCAGCAAACTCACTCTTATTCGTGAAATACACAGAACACGAAAAACAAATTGGTCAAATCGCAAAATCAATCGGCTTCCCAAGCGTGACACTCTCATCTTCAATTATGCCCATGATTAAAATAGTCCCTCGAGGAACATCAGCAACAGCAGACGCATACCTAACTCCAAACATTCAACGATATATTACAGGCTTCTTTTCAGGATTCGACGATGGAATAACAACTCGGGTCAGGGTTGAATTCATGCAATCTGACGGCGGATTATCACCTGTGTCCACATTTTCTGGGTTTAGAGCTATATTGTCTGGCCCTGCTGCTGGTGTAGTTGGATATGCTTTAACGTCATATGATGAAGTTGAAGCTAGTCCTGTTATTGGATTTGATATGGGTGGGACGTCCACTGATGTGTCCAGATATGCTGGACGTTATGAACATGTATTTGAGAGTACTACAGCTGGTGTCACCATTCAGGCTCCACAGTTGGATATTAATACTGTTGCTGCTGGTGGTGGATCTCGTCTATTTTTCAGGAATGGGATGTTTGTTGTTGGGTAGGGGCACTAACAAAACGTGGAGATCCAATCCCACAATTGCTTAATTGCTCACATGTCAATTTCCCATTCCACTTAGACCTGAATCAGCAGGTGCAGATCCTGGCCCAGCATGTTATCGCAAAGGAGGGCCATTGACCATAACAGACGCCAATTTATATCTTGGACGACTAGTCCCTGCATACTTCCCACATATATTCGGCAAAACTGAAAGAGAACCATTAGATGAAGCTGCTTCATCTCGCTTATTCACCGACTTGACGAACGACATCAACAAATTCTTATCGGCCTCTGATAATCCAACTAGTATGACTCCTGATGAAGTAGCTTTTGGATTTGTAAAGGTTGCTGATGAGAGTATGTGTCGCCCAATTCGAGCACTCACGCAAAGCAAAGGATATGATACTGCTAATCATATTCTGGCTTGCTTTGGTGGAGCTGTGAGTTATTCGACAGATGTGAAAGTTGTACCGACCTCTCTGGTATTCTCGATGTTGAGCTCTTGTTTTTCCTATTAGGGAGGTCAACATGCATGTTCGATTGCAAGATCATTAGGAATCAAGAAGATTTTGATTCATCGATACTCGTCAATTCTCTCTGCATATGGATTGTCGTTGGCTGATGTGGTGTATGAAGTCCAGGAGCCAAGGTACATTCTGCGAGCAACTTGATATGTTTTGGTTGTTAAATTTAATTAAAACCGAATCTTTTGGTGCAGCGCCATAACATTCGAAACCAAAAACCTCGCCTATATACAGACTCGAGCGGCAGCACTAACTAAAGACTGTGTTGCAGAATTAAAACGACAAGGCTTCCCTTCAGAACTCATCATCCCCGAAGTCCATTTGAATTTGCGTTATCAAGGCACAGATGCTGCAATGATGACGTTAAAACCAACTGATTCGTGGGACTTGAAGACTGAATTCGTCAATCAATACCAACAAGAATTTGGATTTACGCTACCTGATCGTGATATCATTGTGGACGATATTCGAATCCGAGGAATTGGTAAATCCACCGGTATAATCAAAACCAATGTCCATGCTGAAATGGATCATTTGGTCAAGACACGAGTGGGTAAAGAAAAGAGTGATTCGGTAAACGAGGTGTATTTTGAAGGTGGCCGTGTATCGACTCCGATATATAAACTCGACACAATGAAAGTTGGTGATGAGATTGCTGGACCTGCTCTTCTCATTGAGAATAATGCTACGATTGTTGTGTTGCCGCATTGTACCGCTGTTGTTACAACTGAGCATGTTGTTATCACTGTTGGGGATGGCAAAAGAGTCAAGGTTGGACCTGAATTAGATCCTATTCAATTGTCTATATTCGGACATCGTTTCATGAGTATAGCTGGTAAGCTTGGGTCATCAACTTCACCGAATTGTTTTGCATGTACAGTTGCAAATGTGTGTATGTTTCTTTAGAACAAATGGGCCGAACACTCCAAAAGACAGCCATATCAACCAACATTAAAGAACGTTTGGATTTCTCGTGTGCATTATTTGGTCCAGATGGAGGATTGGTTGCCAATGCCCCACATATACCAGTGCATCTTGGATCCATGCAAGAAGCTGTGAGATGGCAAATGAAGTTTTTGGGTAAAAAGATTAAAGAGGGTGATGTCTTGTTGAGTAATCATCCCGCGGCTGGTGGTTCACATTTACCTGATGTGAGTATTGTCTTCGTACACAGATATTTTTTTGCCAGGAAGAACGAACAATGTGGTTGAATTTTACCTTCTTTTTGCTAGTTGACGGTGATTACGCCTGTATTCAATAATGGAAATATTGAATTCTTTGTTGCTAGCAGAGGGCATCATGCTGACATTGGGTAATTAACAAGTTTAGATGCCACATTTTTTGTCTTGAGCGACAACGTATCCTCACTTGCGAATCTGTTACCATAGGGGTATACAACCTGGTTCCATCCCACCCAATTCTCGAGAATTATACGAAGAAGGAGCAGCCATCAAGTCATTCTATCTTGTTCGAAATGGCAAATTTGATGAAGTTGGATTGACCAAGATCTTGAGTACAGATCCTGCTCAATATCCTGGATGCAGTGGGACGAGATGTCTCCGTGATAATGTCTCTGATCTCAAAGGTAAAAGCTCTGTATTTGGGCAATACGCCTTCTTGTCGTTTACGTGTCAACGCAAAACAAGCTGACCATACATAAAACCAATAGCTCAAGTCGCAGCAAATCACAAGGGCATAACACTAGTCCAATCACTTATCAAAGAATCTGGATTGGATGTCGTTCAAGCATACATGCAACATATTCGAGAAAATGCTGAATTGGCAGTTCGAGAATTGCTCAGAGATGTTGCCAAGAAGCATGGTACACATTTGGAATCTGAAGATTACATGGATGATGGAACACGAATCAAATTGAATGTGGATATTGATCCAAAGACTGGAGGAGCAACATTCGATTTTACTGGTACTGGCTCAGAGGTAAAAACAAGGCACGAGCGCGAGCGAGAGTCCGTAACGAGGATCAAATCATCTCACACTCCATACCGACGTCAACTTAATAGGTATATGGAAACACGAACGCACCACCAGCAGTATGCTACTCTGCCATAATATACTGTCTACGCTGTCTAGTCAACATGGACATGCCATTGAACCAAGGAGCATTAAACCCAGTAAACATAATCATTCCACCAGCTTCAATCCTCTCACCATCCGATTCAGCTGCCGTAGTTGGTGGCAACGTCATGACTTCACAACGATTATGCGATGTTGTGTTGAAGGCCTTCCAAGCAGCTGCTGCATCTCAAGGATGTTGTAATAATTTCACGTTTGGAATGGGTGGATCGAATGAGACTGGTGATGATGGATTTGGATATTATGAGACTATTGCTGGAGGTGCTGGTGCTGGACCGTCATGGGAAGGAAGAAGTGAGTGTCGATTTAGAACCCTTCATTGTTTCCTAGATGGTGTTGACCCTTTTTTGTCTTTCTAGGTGGTGTTCATACTCACATGGTTCGTGACGAAACAAAGGATGGCGTAGGAGTGTCCTATACTCAATGATAACAGCCTCTCTTTCTGTGTTTTAGACTAACACTCGAATAACGGATCCAGAAATTCTAGAACGACGATATCCAGTCATTTTGAGACAGTTCGGATTACGGCCAGGTGTGTATAGCATACTTCCTCAATTACTTGTAGGCTTTGTGTACAGTTGTTTCCCTTCAATGATTTCTTTCAGGATCTGGTGGTTCCGGCCTACATCGTGGTGGAGATGGTGTCATAAGAGAAGTACGGAAAGGATGCATTCAGTCGCATTACTAGGCTGAGCTCTTTTTTTAGCTCGAGTTCTTGGAAAAGTTGGACGTCTCCATACTATCTGAACGTCGTGTTTTCAGACCTTATGGGTATGCATCTCTAGCAATTTTATGGAATTTCATCCAGAATAGTTAATCTTTATTTCTTTTTGTACAGACTGAATGGTGGTGAAGACGGTCTACAAGGAATGAATTTACTCATACGAACCAACCCTAAAACACATGAATCAAGAACATTGAATCTTGGAGGAAAGAATGCTGCTGTTGCTATGCCTGGTGATCGTATTAGGATAGAAACGCCAGGTGGTGGAGGTAAAACGAGTTTTGTTTGTTAGCTGCCAATTAATTTCCTGTTTTTACAACTATTGTTCACACTTCAATTTTGTAAATAGGTTGGGGTAAAGCTGGTACTATGAAGAGGAAGGCAGATGAAACTGGTGAAGAATCTCGCAATGGTGGTGCCAAAGTTGTTAGACGTGAAGGTGGTGGTTCGCTTGCAGCATATCATGATGCCCAACATAGTGCCTAGTGATTAGTCTCTTTGAGGCCGCAAGTTTTTGTCGCATAGAACAAAATATGATTATTTCTTTGAAATTAGCTCACTTCGAGTCTCACCGTTTTTCTTTGTCTGGTTCTAGTTTGCCCTCCGACACAAAAGTCTCTTTAATCGTGTTGACCTCAATATTGTAAATTTTAGAACCTCAAAAGTTTATCGCCGGTCAGGCAGAGATCGAAACTGGAACGAATCCTAGAGAGAAGCCCACAAAGAGGCTTGAATTGGGTACATGATGACAAGGAGTTGGCGTGAAGATCCAACATTCAATATTGAGTTTCGTGGAACTATTCCGAGCCGACGATACCCAGTAATTTGATATAAACGATCAGGTATTGTGGCACCCTTGACTCCATCATATTAATTTGCTATTAGCAGTGTGTATTAACCTGACTATGTTTGAATACTTTCGTTAGGCTCTGTGGAGCTGGTTGTCATCGTAGTGCAGATGGTGATATAACGGGGAGTATACGATGAGGATCAGAATCTGCGTTGCATAGGACGTCTGGGTTGCTTTTTTTAGCTCGGGTTCTTGGAAGAGCTGGACGTCTCCATGTTTCCGAACGTCTCTTTTCAGACCCTATGTGCATGAATCATTTTGAAACAGAATGGCGGGTGATGGAGGTGACTTAAAAGGAATTCAAGTATCTTCACACGAACCAAGCCCAAGGCAGACGAATCAAGGACCTTGGATCTTGGCCGAAAGAATGTTGCTAGTGCTATACTTGGTGGTCGCACTAAGATAGAACCCGTCTGGTGGTGGCAAGTGACCGCTTGGTTGACTAAAGGGAAACATCTTTGCGAGTGTTTTTGTCTTGCTCAAAACTTCTTGTTCTTTCTTATGTAGCCATGCTGGAATAAAATTGGTACAATAAAGAGAAATGCAGATGCTAGACCAAATCTCTCAATAGAAGTAGAGTGTTGGCCCCGAAATTGCATACTTTGATCGCTCCTTAACATAGTACTCAGCTCAATGCCTTGTCATGGAATCGTGGAAGATCAATAGCGGAAATTCAAGCGTTACCTGTCCTGAGAAATGGATTGTCGTCTTTGATCGATTCGTCAAAGTCTTCAGTTTCCTCGCGGTTGTCTGGAACCAAAAAAATGATTCCAGCGAGTGTTTCAGCATCTGGAACGCGAAGATCTGCCTAGAGCCTTCCTCCCTTTACGTGTTTACATGTTGGAGTCTGCCTTTATATTATTCTGCCATTTAACCTGAAATAACGAAATCGCATCTAGCTTATTACAAGACAAAAAGAACCTCCAAGTAGACCTTCTAGGACTCGATATACGACCCAAGACAATGACATCTATAATACCGGCCTCCTCAGTCCACCTCGCAAATGACAAACTTGTCGAACCAGCAACATCAAATCCCTCATCAAACAATACCAACAACAGTAATAGTAAAGAGCCATGCAAGCCATGCTGTGCTTGTCCAGATACTCGAGATGCAAGAGATCTATGCATCTTTCAAAAGGGAGAAGAAGATTGTCAAGAGCTTATAAATGCACATCAGGCATGTATGAGGAGCTTGGGCTTCAATATCTAGATTAGAGGTTGTGATGGAGTAGTGGCTGTAGTGGTATTTAGTAGTATGCTTCGTTTCATATCTCATCGCATCAATAGCTGTCACCGCTGTAATTATATATTTAGAAAGAAAACATCTTGCAGTATCAAATCAAGGTTTTTGGCACTCCAAAAGCTTATTATCATTGCTGTCGTTTAAATACAAATTTGGTTTATGCCCATAGTGATGCTGGGAATCCAGAAAATTCTACAATCTCATCTGCGGCTACAGCTCCATTGGCTTGGAAGGATACTTTCAGACGCAGTCGAATAGCAGCTTTCGTTGGATTTTCTATACGCATTTGTTGCGTGGCACTACTTCCTGGTGGTAGCACAGTTGATGATGGTGGTTGCATTTGCAATCTCAAAGACTATGGAATCAAGTGGAAAAGTTATGGAGTTAGTCTATTGACGTATGGCATCCAGGCGTTTTTTTCTTTCTCGTTTAGATTTTCAGCAACATAATATACCTTTGGCACAGCAACTTGGAAAACCATAGCTGATATAGTAGCAATACTCGTATTGGCAAACACAACTCCAACATCCACATTCATTCCCATAGCATCCTTGGTTGGAGATAAAGTGATTTTCAATCCCGATTTATCATAACAAATATAATCTTGTCTAGTTGCAAGAGATGGTGAAGCCATTGCTGCAACAGGTGCTACTGGCATTGCTGTAATAATGGGGCGTGATGGTGCTGATGATGGAGTCGGTGTTGGACCAAACAGACCAGCCAAAGGATCGATTGATTGTTGTTGCTGTTTTGATGATGGCGAAGAAGTTGAACTCATTGGTGACATTCCTGGCATGCCAGACATTCCTGTTGATGAAAGACTGTTGCTACCACTACTACCGCCACCAAAGATATCTCCCAATAAGTCTGTTGTAGCTGGTCGCATAGACGATGGTGCCATCATAGATGGTGTGGTTTGTGCAGGTGCTGGAGCGCCTCCTAAAGAAATGCCACCCAACAAATCCATTACATTCTACATAGGAGAAAAAGTCAGGTGAAAACTGCCATGGATTATGCCAACAACACGGGAGGATATTGAGTTCCCGGAGGCTTACATCAGACTTTGTAGATGCTGCAGGCCCTCGAGACGATATCGATGGAGTATTATTGGTCAATAATGAGTTGAGCAAGTCATCTCCAGGTCGCGATGAGGATCCACCAGACAATGACAATAAATCATTTGTCGCACCATTGATCTTTGATGGTGGACTGCCTGCAGTTGGAGAGGCAGGATCTGCAAGAAAAAGTCAGCTTAAACAGTATATACTACAAAGTCTGGGTTTTTTGTCGGTCGTCACCTGCAGCTAACGCAACTCCAGTTCCCTTGGCAGCTTCTTCACGTGTAGCGCTTTCCAACACAGGCATACGTTCCAATAAAGCAATCCTGGTATCATGATCCAGAGCAAACAGATTGGTATATTCAACAGCACGTTGTTGGATTTCAAAGTCAAAGTTGGTGCGATACTTTTCAATCAATAATTTGATGGCACTATTCGAAGCAAGAAAGTGAGTCACGTTCAAAGAGTAGAATGCCTGCATCCTTCCATTAGAGCATACGTTTTTTGGTTGCATACGATATCGAAACTTACTCTGTAGTATCAGATTGCTGGAAACGACCACTGAGTTTAGCCATAGCAGTAATAGCATACTCTTTAACAATGGGAGTAGCATAAGGGCCCCTCATCAAACTGGTAAACATATCTAGCACATCTCGTTCAGAGGGAGCCATTTGAAGTTCGTTCGTATTCTCAAGACTGGTTCCGGAATCATCAGCATCATCCATGACTAGAACAGCAGTACCATTTACTAATGCATCACCAAATTCACCAACAGTCCAAACCATAGCTTGAACAAGCCCTTCTTGTGCCAAGGCTCGTTCACCTTCAATCCTAATAGTATTGTACAGTTTACGTACAGTATACTGTGATAGATCTGCTGGACCAGTTGTAACCAGTTTTACAAAGTGGTTGACCACATTTTGGTCAACATAGGAACCTGCTACACGTAATACACGACATACTGTATCTACTTCCCATCTCTTGTTTGGGCGGTATCGACCAGCAAATTCACATATACGGGATGAGATGGATGATTTCACGTCTCCTTCAGCGACTTCTAGATACGATAATAATTCTCGAGTCAAGATACGGATGTTTTGCGAGTTGATTAGGAAGAAGACGAGATCTAGTGCCCTTCGTCGAATAGATACATCAGGGTCGCGTAAGCAGTCTAATATAGTGGCACGATGCCTCTGTAAAGCGGCTGCATCGACAGATTGAGTGGTTTGGCATGCTTTGGTCAGGGTCGTCAAGGCTACATATCGAATATTATTATCCCGATTAGCCAAGAATCTACCTAGAATGTTTACACCCAATACTCGTAGCGAGCTATCACTCTCAATATCCATAATCGTCAATACTGCTTCATATAATATAGAATTTCCAACATTTTTCGATCCTTCGGTGCTAGTCGCTACTTGAGCTAAGACATCATTCATGGCATCAGAGGCTTCAGCATCTCCTTTACCCAGAATTCTCAACAAGCGGAGTACTTTGACTTGCAAGAATGGATCAGTAACACCACTGACATCGTGTTCAGGTGAGAAGCCAGCCGTCACGAGATTCTTCAAGTGACGGACGAGAGCTGGTACCAGTTTGCGTACATCGGCAGTTGCAGCAGGACTATATTGACACATTTCAGTCAAGAGTGTCGTTCCAGTAAGCAAGACACCATGGTTTCGTTCATTCAATAGTGATTTTGCTCGATTCAAAAAGTTTTCCATTAGGTCTGGCACTTTACGAATAACTCTGAGGGCACACAACGCTGCTTTTTTGCGAATGTAGGAATTTGAGTTGCCTAATAGTTTTTCTACTTCTCCTGATAAATCACGAGCCATCTCCTGTGATGAAATGTTTCCCAGTGTGCAGAGGGCCAGGCCCACAATATACATGTTTGGATTGTTCATATCACTGTTGTGTAAGGATATCAGGTTGGTAAAAAAGGCCCAAGAAATCAAAATTATTACAGATCGCGATTGCAAACCACTTACTTTTTGAGGCAATTCGTGACAAGTGTCAAGACTTCCTGATTCTCATCTAGTAGCAGCATAATGCCCAAATATCCCAGCCTCTTGTCTGCGAATTTTGGCGATGCCACTAATAATCGGTGATTCGTTGGTTGGTATCAGATTCCGTATATCACGATATCACATTCATAATTAATCAATTGACACATGAAAGGTTGTCGGAACTGATAGATCAGCATAATCAAATAAACAAACGTATTGACCAAACATCATGATAAAGTGGGAGGTGAAGATCGCTGTTTGCCTTACCCAATTTCAGACACTCCATCTGACCGAAATGGGCAGGATAGCCCAGCATGTGTATATACAATAATTTAGCAACATTGATATGCCGAGTTTCCACATTCTCCTCTTTGAAACTTGTCCGTATAAATGCTGATTCTTTGGCAATGACCTGACGTTCATCCGCTGCTGTTTTACATGCTCGAATAGCCTTGATCAAATCCTGAATTTAAATTTCAAAGTTAGAACAAGGATAGGTCCAACATATTCGTTTCAACGTTCGGTTTGTTCAAATGAAGAACAAAAATTGAATTCGTTGATTTACCTTCAACCTCAAGACTCCTAGTTTAGTGATAAGCTTATCCAGAGCTTCCATGATGAATATCTACCTATACGCTGCGTACAAGAATGAAAAGTCTCGACAATGCCCTGTTTGTTGGAGAAAGGACGACAACGGATTTTGAAACCACGCACGGCAACGAGGAAAAGAAGAAGAAAACAGCGGGAATCAATTTTTTGTGGAGAATAATCATTCTGTTTCATATTTCGTTTGTTATGGACGCGTGATATCAAAGATTTATGATTATTCAAGGAAAGCCAAATTTATGCCTTTGGCTTTCTAAAGTTCACGCCTGCATAGATGCAGTTGGCACCTAATTCCTCTTCAATCACCAATAGACGGTTGTACTTGGCAAGGCGTTCAGACCTGCATGGGGCACCAGTCTTGATTTGACCACTTCCAAGACCGACAACCAAGTCAGCAATGAAGGTATCTTCAGTTTCACCTGATCGGTGAGATACCATGACTCCCCAACCATCAGAGTTGGCAAGTTTGGCACTGTTTGGGTTGTGGCAAGAAAGCGTGTAAGAGACGTTCTGAAGCAAAACAAGTAGAGCCAACGCATTTGCAAATCTAGACAATACTTACGCTCGAATAGATTCAGTGACTGTACCAATTTGGTTGACTTTGAGTAATAGGCCGTTGCAGGCCTTGTGTTCAATAGCCATTTGAATACGTTCAGGGTTGGTGACAGTCAAGTCATCACCAACGATTTGAATTGTTTCAGATTTGTGAAGACTGGCATATGATTCAAAGTCATCTTGGTCGAATGGATCCTCAATCGAGACGACTATTGCAAAAGAATTTCAATAAGGCAGTTGCAAAAAAGCAGAAACGACAGATGTCAACACTCACTTGGGTAGTCTTTGATGAATGACCGGTACAAATCACCGAGCTCAACTCCAGACAGGAACTTGGAAGGATCTGAAGCAGAGTTCTTAAAGTCCAAGTCGTATTTACCGTCCTTGAAGAATTCTATGGAGATGTATTGTTGAGTGTTGAGTGGGGAGTTTGAATCGCAGATATGATGTAACAAAATTAGCTAGAATTACTTACCAGATGCAGCGACATCCATTCCAATCTTGACCTTGTCAGTGTAGCCTGCTTGAGCAATAGCTGCCACCAACAAGTCCAAACCTTCTCTGTTGTCTTGAATGTTTGGTGCAAATCCTCCTTCATCACCGACATTGGTAGCTAGGAGAGGAAAAGCAATGTACATAAGAGTTCAGGTTGACTTCAACTTTATCACGTCACTGACGTGTCGACAACATCACATACCATCTTGACCATATTTCTTCTTGATGACATTCTTCAATGTATGGTAGACTTCGGTACCAATCTTCATGGCTTCAGTAAAAGAGCTAGCTCCAGTAGGAAGAATCATAAATTCTTGCATGGCAAGCTTGTTTCCGGCATGAGAACCACCGTTGATGACATTGAAGGCAGGTACTGGGAGTACGTATGGAGTAGATTCACCAGATAATTGTGCCAAGTGAACGTACAATGGGACTCCCTATATGTACAAGCCGGTACAAGCCGGCATATGTTAAGGTTTTGTTGGCATTGCCATCTGCGTTGTCGAGTGGTGTTTTTGTACCTTTTGGGCAGCACCAGCACGAGCGACGGCCAAAGAGACACCGAGAATGGCATTAGCACCAAGTTTTGCTATGTGTTTAAGCAACAATTTCAGTCAAGCGAGTTTTTCCGTGTCGAAGGTACATGTCAACCAACGATTCAATAGGACTTACACTTGGCCTTTGTACCGTCCAAAGCAATCAAGAATTCATCAATAGCTTCTTGAGCGGTCACGTCAATATTTGACTTGATCAAGGCAGGAGCAATGATGTTGTTGACGTTGCTGACGGCCTTCAAAACACCTACAGCAGGGAGAAGTAGAGGTTAGAAGGAGGCTTTCCAGACCCCGAGCCGAAAGGCCGTGATGATGCAATAAATTCATACCCTTTCCAACATAAGCGGTCTTGTCATTGTCACGTAACTCCAAAGCTTCGTGAATGCCAGTAGATGCACCTGACGGGACAGCAGCAGTGAACTTGCCTATGGGACAGAATCAGACGTTAAAACATCTTCCGGTGGATGGTTTCGATGTGACAGGAGCCGTGAACTTGCCTATACAACAACAACGACAGATGTCAATTAGCAATGTTCATGACTTGAGTTCAACAATACAGCAACATAGCTCACCCTTGTCAGTAGTGACGTCGACTTCAATGGTTGGGTTTCCACGAGAATCGAAGATTTGACGAGCGTGAACCTTCAAACAAGCAGTTAAGTCAGAATTGGTTAGGTTGCCAACCCAAGCGGGTCCAACATCAAACAATTAGAAGAATAGACAATCGTCAAACCAATCGTCATTTACAGCATCATCATCTCCGCGTATAATCGTTCTTCATACCTTTTGGATTGCCATTTTGAAGTGGTTTATGTTTGTTAGAATGTTGGAAGTGAAAATTCAACCATTTTCGAAGGAAAGCATTGATTCGTGCAAGTGTCATTCTTCACGCGACAAGTACGGCATTGTACGTTGTTTCGCCCATGAATTTCGTTGCACTGAGTTGGACTCTGTACCTTGATCTACATACAACAAATGTATGGTTTGAATCTAAACAGTCAACCTCTTTAGTACGACATATGACGGATAAAGAACAAACTATCTACATGAGTGATCTGCCGCATGAAATTCTGCTCAAGGTCTTTTCGTTTTTGGATGTGCCATCTCTGCGCCACGCTTCATTAGGATCGAAACTTTGGAATGAATTGGCTGATGACGATCTGCTGTGGAAGGCTCTTTGGTATGTTTCCTTACGAATTTCAATCCTTCGCTGAAGTCAGTAGTCGATTGTCATTCACATATTCATATACAACCCTACCAATCTCATGTGTAGTGCTGAACGTTGGACTTTCAAATGGAATGCCCCATTGCAACCGCATCCTCTAGTTAATTATTCCAACGTAGAGTTTGAATTGCAAGACAGTGAAATCTCTAATATTCTCAGACGGCGAGGCTATACAGGAGAAACAGACACCACATCTATTACACATCGAGCTCTTCGGGACACCCTCCCAGATCATGCCCCACATCAGCAACCCAGATGGAAGAGCAAATGGTGCGTATCCGTTGGCTGGCATTACCATTACCTGATCAAGCATTCCCGTAGGAGGGAACCGATTGTAATGAAGGATTGATCGCTTCTGTTCTTCAGGAAGGCTAGCTACTTTATTGCTGAGAGAGATTCTATTCGTAGCGGTATCACTGAAAGGGAGCTGATCGCTATTGACTGGTCGTTTGAGCTACGATCACTCGTTCCAGCAGGTAACAACAGACCAAACGCGGAAGTTGGGAGATATGGCTTACCTAATGTCCCTACCTGCGCAAATATTATATACAGGGAGTGCATTCTTCAACGAGCATGGAATCTGGAGCTCAGATATGTGGCCAGAAAGACTGCCTTGGTTAATAATTGGAGGATCCATTGTTCAGGTTTGTGAAAGCCGTTTTTACCAAAAGGTGCCGATGGTTTTGACAAATTACGGTGTCGTAAGTAGATTGCAGATTATCGTCATATCGTGGTAAGAAGTAATAATTGGGGCTGGGAGGTGTCGAATGCCGCCGTAGTATTCCGTTCAGGTTTAAAGCTTCGACCTGGATACTGTTGCTGAAAGCCCGTCTCAGTAAAGACACGGCTGAGAGCTGGCTACAATCAGTAGAACCATGCATCTTTTTATATAATTCAACTGTTCTGGTTCCGAAACACTAGTTTTGGAGATCGACATGTTTATCGAAAGTTGGATTGTTTGTGGTGTTCCCATCGAACCTTTTCTTTTGGAGGGTGGTCAGGCGATAGAACATGACGAGCGACTGTGAGTCAACTCAGAGAAGGAAGGTATTTTTGGAGAAGGTCAGAAGGCAGAACGAGCAAAGTGATTTTAACCGCGCTCAAATAGGTGGATTGCAACGAACTCCATCGTCCTTAACGTCCTACACGTTTCTATTGCTCCTCCGGCCTCGTATCCGATTGGTTTATGGGAGCGTAGAACAGAAACCCACATACCTAGCTGACAAACTGTTTGAAAGGTACTTTATATGCCAGGTTGCAAGACAGACCAACATTATCAGAACTGTACTAGTACTATTACTACCACGTCTTCCATCTTCCAATCAACATCATATTTTTGTGGACAAAGATACCAACCGTACCTGGCTCAGTCCAGGCCCAGCAGTATAATCCAAACTCGCTGCTCGACACAATTCAAGCTGCCTCCTCAACTACCACTGCCTGTCGCACCTCGTTTTGAGGGTGATGGGAGTGACATTGAACTGGAAGGACCACCAGAATCAAAAATAATAGGGAGGAGGACAATAGAAGCTCAAAGGCATGATATATCTCTATCGTGGCCAGTTGGATCTGAGGCTGACGAGGATGTGGAGTTGCTTGCTGACGACGAAATCTTTCACAACCACCTTACAGCCAAGGAGCGATCTAACCTAGTTAATTATCGACCGGAGGGACGTATACCGTCTGAATCATATCCAATGTAAGTTCCCATGATGCGTTTTTTAAGCATGCTTTTTTTGAATTGAATCTTCGGTTGTAAAATCGCTGATCCCACTCTTCATTTTTTTGTCGGCTTTAGACCTCATAGCCCAATAGCTCTTCCGTCAATGATACAACTAGTTGCCATTTTAGCTCATAGGATATTCGCTCCAGCCGTAGCAAATCCAGGATACAACCCATTCATCCAAAACACTGTATTGACAGAAAAGTTGCAACAGGCTTGTGCTGCCGTCTCTGTAGAGCATCTTGGACCGCTACATCAGAAATTAACGTCAGAGTATTACACGATACTGGAACACGGTGAATATACGTTATGTATATTTGCTCTCGAGAAGGGTGAATCGATGCCAGTACATGACCATCCCAGCATGTGTGTATTTTCTCGAGTTGTGGAAGGTGTCTTACATGTCAAGACGTATGAGTGGGTGGATGGTGAATCGAGGGACCATCACTCTCCGAAGCGTACGTTGGTTTCGAATTTTGAGTCATCATGATTCGAAATTGTTTTGCATAATCTTAAAACACGTTTTGATATTGTTTTCTGGGTAATAGGACGTCTAGCTAAAATAGGGATAAACGAAGATATACCCTCAGATTGTGATAAATCCCTGCTAGTGATAAAACCTGGTGTAGGTAGCAATCTGCATTCGTTCACGGCCGCATCAGACCGAGTAGTAGTGCTGGATCTACTAGGCCCACCATATACCGAACCAGATGGCGACAGACCGTGTACGCATTATCGAGAGGCCTCGTTTGCCGAAGGAAGTGCCCTCTCGTTACAAGATGATAGAATACAGCAAACCAGCAGGAACGGATATAGCAATAGTAGTCGAGACAGTACGGAAGAAGCTGCAGTGACTATCTCCTCCGTGTCGTCGCAAAAGAAGAAGAGGAAGAAGAAAAAGAAACGAACAACGGCAAAAGAGCTATATCAACAGCAGGATGAGTCTTCATCAATCACGTCCGATTCTATAAATGACTGGAGAGACGAAGTTTATTCTAGTACCGCTGTAGCTAGTGCTAGTGCTTTTGCTGCTCCATCTGACGATGGTAGTCGTGATACGATTATTGAAAATACTCCTGACGTAGGTGATATTGTATGGCTAGTCGAAGCTCCGGATTTAGATTATCCGTGTGATGTAAGAGAATACCAGGGCGCCGAAGTTACTCCCGAGTTATTATCATCAACCGATGTGTGGAGTTTAGAACAGTTGCTAGTGGTGACTGATGCAATTTTACGTACCTCAAAATAGTCACAAAAAACATCCCAGTATAAGTGTAGTAATTAGTAGAAACATGTATACTCTTGCACTTCAATTGCAAACAAAGGTTTTTTAGTTTATCATGTCGAGGAAGCAAGTTCTATTGATTACATACAAGAGAGCAGGCGTATAGCGTATTGAGCAAATCATTTTAATCATGCATGCAGCTTTTGAGTCTCATCTTCCGCCCCTTTAGTGTCAGTAGTTGTAATAGCAGGTGGTATAGCAAGCGTCCAATCAACAATCCGATGCCCTGTGATTCTCCTAACAATAAACCGTGCAAATGCCGACAGAGCCATAACCAACACACTAACAACCGGAGCCACCAAGAAGGCGCCTAGCGACTCTCCAGGCTTATCAAGCCCGTTTGGCAGAGTCAATAAATTGACTCCATAATCCAGCGATCCACCTTCAATCCATCCAAACCCAATAACACCCAACATACCACCTATAAATCCAAGAATATAATCCATACCGGCGAATACGTAGTCGAATTTACTAAAGAGGCCTAGAATTAACGGCATGACGATTGCAGCTGCTACGAGATCAGCAATGAGGAAGAGTTGCAAGACACTTAGATTCAGTGTTGATACAACGAGACAGGGCACATTGATTAAGAGAGCCAGTAGTCTACCGAGCCAGAGAGGGATCTTCTTCCTACCAATGTCGTTTACGATAGTAGCAGTCAAACCAGATTGCAGAGTATCCACAGACGACGATACGAATGCGACAGTAAGCACCATCACAACACCATTAATCCATGCTGGCAATGTACTTATAATATCAAAGAAAGCCGTATACGATGCAGGCTCAGATAGCCCAACCCATACAGATATCGTTCCTATTATCCCAATAGCGAAAAATACAGGGAATGTCATGGCGCTACCTAATAATGCAGCTAGCCTCAAATCACGGTCTGATCTGGACGAGTACACGCGTTGCCAGTAGCCCTGGTGGAAGACATTGGCTGCTGTGACGGCTGCGGCGAGGGTATATAGAGATTCCCAGCCTACGCGGGTGGGAGCTGTTATTGGGGATGCGGCGACAGCGTCTGGATCTATACGGACGTTGACTGCTAGTGCGACGGTGGCTACTACCATTAGGATTAGGACAATCCAGCTTTGGAAGTTGTCTGTCATGAGTGAGGCTCTCATTCCTCCAAAAGCTATCAAAAACGTGGAAGATGAGCTAAAGCCCGAGTGCTACACCTTTTAGATGCTGATTTCGGCGTGTGTCAAAGTCATACCTGTATAAAGCGACGTAGCAACACAAACTATAATCACAGGTACCAATGGTGGAATGTCATAAGTGATCAAAAAGTCCGACAAGGCAGTCAGCTCAGAGCACAGGTAGACAGCCATATACAAGAGCGTAACAAGTCCAGTCAAGATCTCGCTCAAGATACCATATCGGTAACGAACAAATTCAGTGATTGTCACTCCACCGGGTATCTTGGATCGTATCTTTGGGCCCATCCACATTAACAAAAGTAGTGGCACGATACATGCTGAATATAAATTAAAGTATTGATGATTTCTAGCACGTTTTTTTTGTAAAACACGAGCTTTGTGAATCTCACCAAAAGCATAGTCAAACACTCCAAGTACACCAAGTTCGGCGCCAACTTGAGGTAGAGTGAAGATCGTCCATACTCCCAATCCTGTGTTTGTAGTAACGTTTTCAAAGTCAGATAAAACCAATTTTGTGTGATGTCACAAACAAGACATCAAAATGTATCGGATGCATCCGTAGCTGATCGGCTCAAAATGAAATGCAGACTAGCATTTTACATACCAGCAGCAAAGAAGTTGAGACCTAGCGGAAGCCATCCCTGACTCGACCGAGCAGTCAAGAAAGTATCCATACTTTGCTTTCCTCGCCCAGCCCAGATTCCAATACAAAAGAAGAAGAAGACTGTCACGTACAAGAGCACTTGGCTCACCACTATATCAGGGTACGCCATGGCGTACTTTTGTTTTGGTGGGTGTGGGAAAGGTTTGGTTTTTGACAAGTCGACGCAAAGTGTCAAATACACGGCAGCTTCAATCGAAAAAGGTAGGAACTTGTTAAATATTCAAACAAGTTAAATATTCAAATTGCAACTGGCGATTCGATTGACAAGCGACCGATAGGCGAATACACGTACAACTGAAACTCAAACGCAAGAAAATTATCGGGAAAATCATTCAAGGTTTAACACTATGTGTATTATGAGTGAATCGTACTTTAAGTGCGTAAAATTTGCTATCTTACTATTTTTTGGTATATATACTCGGAAGTTCTTTCCATATCACCGTTTAAGCCATCGAGTGTTGCTTCTATAATATCAGCGTCCACGGTCTAGGAATATTGAAATTCATTTTATCAGAGAATTCACCTCACGAAATGTTGTCAACGACAAGCACAGTATCGAGGCAACAAGTGAATTAACCTACCGGAAATCTCTCTACTAATATCTGTAAAGCATCTTGTGATGTATCATTCTTCTTGGTGCCAGTCATCACGTTTTTGGCAGCGTCACTATGAGACGGCGAATGAGAGTCAACCGTCACGCAGCTCCAGTCGTCACTCAGCTCCAGAATTCAAATTAAGCCAAATAGAATTATGGAGTATTTGTACATTGTGAATACATGGGTAGTTCCTACCTCGATTCAAACCCTTTTGTTTCTAAATAGGCTATCGACTTAACAAAGTCACCATCAAAAGTTTGCAAGACAGACTTGAGCATGTCTTCATCTACATCCGCAAACACCGTGGATAGCATTTCAACTTCTGCAGATGTAGGATCACGTAACTTGACTTTAGCAATGCTCCTTGCTAGAGCTTCATCGTCGTCGTCGTCCTTGCCATCATAGTCGTTGCTCGTAGTTTCATCGTCCGAGGTCGAGTCGTCAGATTCAAGTGGTGCCATTTGCAACATTGGTGATGCTGGCGGTTGCTTTGGTAATGGCTTCGTACGATCACTGGCTATCATCCCTTGTCCTTCTAGGTATGCACGAGCAGACGCTTCATTCTGATTGTATTTTGTCAATATTGTTGTCAAGTAGCCTTGATCGGCACTTGGGAATAGCTTCAACAGCTTCGATACTGCTGCACTCGGTGCTACAGGTCTCCTTGGTGGTAGTGCTGGTGGTACCTCAGCTTGTTGGGGATGTTCTTCCTTGCTCCGTGTTGAATATGATGGTGGGTTTACATAGTTTGGCGGTGGACTGTATTGATCAGCAAATGGATTGTCCGATGTATTGACTTGTGTAGAAGAGGTGTCTTCAGCTGCGAATGGATTGTGGATGGGGCTCCCCACTGTATTGATATGAGTAGGAGCGGTATCATCGTCAGCGAATGGATTGTAGAAGGGATTGTTGAAGGGATTCGACATCTTTTCTTCCTAATTTGTATAAGGGAGAACCTTGAAGTTGGTAAAAATATGGAGCACCGGCGATTATTGATTTTGGACGTGATTTTGATGTCAGACTTTGTGCTAGGAGGTTGAGATGGAAACTATAAAATAATATCAAAGCGTATTAGCTGATTTGTTGGCATAAATCACGTCTTTCGCCTAGTCTAGGGAAGCCTTCCGTGTGTCGCCGATTTCGCATTCTATCGCAACCATCCCTAAAGTCGAATCCCAACGAGTATAAATCGAAAAGGAGTTGTAAGTCTTCACAGCACTCACGTTGCTCTAGCTCCTTTGAATCCCCTGTCTGCTTCTAAAACGCCCTCTTAACTTGAATTTTCACCTGTCTAGGAACAAAAATGGCAACAGCTGTCACAACGAAAAAGTGGGATGCTAGAACTTACGGCCCCATTGTGCACGACTCCAGCTACTACAGTAAATGTGTATTAGGAGGTGTCCTTGCTTGTGGTGAGTTTCCTGCTCTCGGTTGAAATTAAATTCAACATTTTTTGTCAACGGTTTGACCATTCGCGTTCGTCTTTCATTAGGATTGACCCATGCCGCCTTGACTCCATTGGATGTGACCAAATGTAACATGCAGGTGAGCTTTTATTCCTATCTCCATCATGTGGCTCGATGCTCGAAAAAACCGCTTGACACGAAAAAGTGCATAAAAACCATCAAAAAGCGTGGTGTGACCAAAACACATCGATCAAAGAAATGTGTTAGAAACTACATTCATTTCATCGCATTGGAATCTACTGCTTGCTTTGGCTGGATGGAGTTGCTGTGTTGGCACCTTTGTGCCTTCCTTCTTGTGTTGCCTAAAATTTTCTCAAATCGTGGTTCTAAAGGCTCTCTTATTCTTGAACTTACAATGTTTCTACACGCTAAATTCAATGAATATTTTATAAATGTAATATGGTCACTCACCGCGCGACATTATTCTAGGTCTTCCCTGGTAAATACAAGGGATTGATCTCTGGTCTCCGAACCATTGTTGCTGAAGAAGGAGCCATGGCTGTATGGAAGGGATGGCTACCAACTCTATTGGGATACTCTGCTCAAGGAGCTCTCAAATATGGTCTCTATGAAATCTTCAAGGACTACTACTCAAACTTGGCTGGTGAAGAAAACGCTAAAGCCTACAAGGGTCTCATCTGGTGTGCTGGTTCAGCATCTGCTGAATTCTTTGCCGATATCGCCTTGTGTCCATTAGAAATGGCAAAGGTTAAAATCCAGACCTCGCTTCCAGGAACATTCCCAACTGCTATGGGTGCTGCTATGGCTAAAATGAGAGCTGATCCATCTACTAGATTCCCCTTCGGCTCACTGGTCCCTCTCTGGTCTCGTCAAATCCCATATACAGTTGCCAAATTCTACTTTTTTGAAAAGACCGTGCAAATGTTCTACACCCATGTATTCACTCAGCCAAAGGAATCCTACCCTAAACTCACTCAATTGGGTGTTACTTTTGCTTCTGGTTACACTGCTGGTGTTATCTGTGCTATTGTCTCTCACCCAGCTGACTCCCTTGTCTCATTGATGAGCAAGGCTGACAACAAGGGTAAATCTATTGGTCAAATCGCCTCTGAAACTGGTGTCTTTACATTGGCCACCAAAGGTCTTGGTACCCGTATTGTCATGATTGGTATGTTTGACTAGTAAATGTTTGACTGTTGGACCAGCAATTAATCGACTTTTCTTTTAGGCACCTTGACTGGTAAATAACTTGAGAGTTTGTATACGAATGGTGAGGATGTCTACTGATTTGGATGTCATCTCATTTAGGTCTCCAATGGTGGATCTACGACTCATTCAAGTCTGCTATGGGTGAGTACAGAATTTCAAATATGGGTTTGGTTAGAGACTGATAGATTGACTTCGATGTTTTCTTTTAAAACAATAGGTCTCGGAACCACTGGTGGTAAATAGATAGGTCGTCCCCGTTTCCCTTATAGTCTTATCAATAGAATCATTTTACAACCCGTAATACTCACGCTGCCGTTTTGATTTGGATTAAATAAGGCTGACGCACGATTCGCGTCGTATTTACTCTTTCTTCTGAGAAATATTGAATACGTTGGCATTCTCCGCGTGTCAGTCTTCGATTGTCACAAGACAAACGAACGCCCAAACTATACCGGACAACCAACATACTGCAGAGGGACATTGACTGCCACATAATAGTGCAGTAACTTGCTTGAAAGCCCCACCGTTATCACAGTTTCTTTCCACTTTGAACCCACTATAATCTCAGAACCACCTCACTTTGAATGATTGATCTGCCTGAGATCATAGTTATGGAAGAAGAAAACGATTCCTTCTTCAATAGCTCTTATGAAATAATCTCTACCGTACTTGACCTCGCTTTAAGCGAGGAACCACGGCCGGTTGAGTTCAAAACAATGGCCACATTCGCAAACATTTCGAGAGCATCGAAAAACATTGCAGGTACGACCAAATCGTTATTGTACCAGTCTCTGGCACAAGTGGACATTGTGTCCTTGCGCCATTAGCTTCAAATAGTCGAAAACTAAAATACTACTTGTGTGTTGTTCAGAACGAATATTGTCTCATCCAGTGGCTAGAACTCTATTACCATACTTACAAAGAGAGCTTGATCCTGTTGGAGATCAGGATATGTACTACGACCAGCCTGCACGTTTATATCTAGCTGAATGGATCCGTGAACTTCAGAAAGCTGATCTAGCGGCTTCTAGGACTGGAGACGCACAACCAACGCCTGGACTTGAAGGTGTTGGATCATCTACAGATGACTCTTCGGAGGAGGAAGAAGATAGTATTAGCGAGTCGTCGTGGATTGCTATACGACAGTCAACAGATTTGCCACGTGTACACATTGCCAAACAACACGTAGAAGGTGTCGTTGTAGAGTCAGATGCATGTGTCGTTGAAGGAATGGAACGTGCCATAAACTCCCCACTGCTTGATATTCAAAACATTGTAAAGCAACGTCGAGCTACCACGGTTTTGAATGATGTTATTGATACCAACACGTCGCTGGGCACGTTTGAGATCTTGAGTGTAAGTCCATGACTCAAGGGAATTGGCGGGGTTTTTGGCCTTCTCACTTGGTGTTTTTCGGTTTAGACTGATACCACGCCGCCACCTCCTCAGCCGAAACGAGAAGCTCCTGTTACGAGAAGTGAATGGAATGATTTTAGTAATGGAAACATTTCATCATCTGCCATCCGGCGAAGAATATTTTCTGGCGTAAGAATTCGTTTTGTCAAGTTTTACTGATTTCCAAACCTCAACTCATCAACCTTCTGGCCTCTTCAGGGATGTGTACAGGAGATACGTAGTGACGCATGGAAATTCATATTTGGTCTCTTTGCTTGGGACTCGACTAATGAAGAACGAGAAAGGATAATGGAATCCAGAACAGACGAATACTTTAGCCTTAAACGACGATGGATTGCATGCCTGTTACAAGAGCAAGAGGAAGATCCAATTAAAAGGGACCTCGATGGTAAACAAACGATAAAAGAATCCTTCACACGTATTGAAAAAGATGTAATACGAACAGACAGAAGCCATCCACTGTTTAACGAAACCATAGTGAAATTACCACACCCTACCGATTATTCGTCATACTCACCTATAGTTAGATTACGAGACATACTAATGACATATGCGTCGATTTCTGGAGATGGCTACGTTCAAGGGATGAGTGATTTGTGCTCGCCTTTCTTACAGGTATTAGATCACGAGGTGGAAGCCTACTACTGTTTTCTTGGTTTAATGAAGAGCATGAAGGATAACTTTAGGCATGATGGTGCTGGAATGAGGTTCGGGTTGCCGATTTGTTTGTTGCGAATGTTTGAAAGCTCGTTTGTGTGAAAGTAGACTAACATTTCTGCCAAACTTTTCTCTCAGGATGCAGCTGGAACTAGCTGAATCACTAGTTTCGGTCGCAGATGCGCCGTTATATTCTCATTTATCTCAATGTGATTCCATTAATATGTTTTTCGTGTTCCGCTCTCTCTTGATTGCATTCAAGAGAGAGTTTGATTTTAACCAGCTTCTCACATTGTGGGAGGCCATCTGGTGTAATCCTTACTCGAAACAGTTCAACATCTTTGTCGCCTTTGCGGTATTGGAAGCTAACCGGGACAGCATTATAAGATATCTATTGTCGTTTGACGAGATACTCAAGGTATGAGATTTTGACACGCAAGTGCAGACGGGTTTGTCAGGTACTAACTCGTGCTCTAGTTTGTTAATTCACTGGCTGGCAAGATTGACCTTGATCAAACGCTTGAAACCGCTGAACTATATTGTATCCTACTGCAACAACGTGCTGGATCGAAGATGAATATTTCCTCGGAAGAAGATCAATATGGCAACCTTTTCGACTTGTCCGAGCTACTGAAACAGCTGAAATCTATGTAGATCGTATCTGATTAGTCTGTAGTTTGGTGACTTACATTTGTCATTATCATTTATCAACGCTATCAACAATGTAAATATTTAATATGACCTCTTCAATCCTCAATTTTGTTTGTATCATTTGTATCGCGTTGTGTCTGTTAACTTCTATAACTTCAAACTTTGAACAGCAAACTTCCACCAAAATGGCAGCAGAGGCTGCAAGCGAGGAGGGGATAGCAGCTGCTCAGAGAGCGTGGGAAGGTAATTGCCAATATCTGTATCAAAACCTATGGAAATGTGTTTGGATTCTCACAATTGACGATTTTTCAACTGTTTAGCGATTGGATTGACCCAATTACAGCATTCATTGGATTCTGTTGGACTGGAAATAGTTGAAAATCAGAAGCAGAGTGTCGCTTCACGTAAATCTCTAGCTGATTCAACCAAAGGTAACAACATCAAAATATTGTTGAAGCTTTTTTCGGGAATTGCTCACATTGAAGGTCCTTTTTTTTGTCTATAGAATTCAAAAAGATCCCAGATGAACAAAAACTAGTTGAATTCAAGAATCTGCTTAAAGGTTTGTGTGAGGTGTGGTTGTCGGTGGAAGTCACCAAATGCTGAAACTATTCTTCGTGTCTTGTTAGCCTATCAGACTGAGATTGATAGCATTACGAAACGATGTAAAGCTGCAGAATCTGCCTTTCTGAATGTCTACAAGGTCATTGCTGAAGCTCCTGATCCAGCTCCAATTATTGCCAACATGATGGTAAGGACAATTTCAGACAAATATTCAGGAGCCCTTAATGTCACTTTTTTCGCTCATTGTCCATTTGTATAGGATCAAACTAAGGAGCTCACAGAACTAACGAGTCTAAAAGATGAAAACAAACGACTTCGTGAAGAATTAGCGGACGTCAATCGTGATGCTGCAGCGGGAAAGGGCGCCGAAACATCAATACAGACATTAAAGCAGCGTCTAGCTAAATATGAAGCTAAACTAGATGAAATGGTTTCTGAAAAGGTGCTGGCCAAGGAAATCGAAATCAAGACTGCCACTGATGAAAAAATCAAGATATATAAAGACACGTTAGTCAACTGCATTGCAGATCTGCAGTATGATATGAGCATGGTAGGCCTGACGGGTTTTCTTTCAAATTAGGGAACACGCATTACAACGACAGTTGAATATCGTCACTGATCAACTGTCTAGTCTTCAAGCGACTCATGACGCTATACGGTCGCGACTTGTAGACACTAGTCAAAAGACGGATGATGAAGGAGCTGCTAGATTGGCTGAGGTGGAAATGATTGTGTCGGATTTGGAACGTGCGAATTCCAAGATTTCTGTGTTGGAGCGAGAAAATGTACGTGGAGGGAATGCGATTTGTTTCACAAGAAGAAATGGTCTTGATAATTTTTTTTATCAGGAATTGCTGAAAAGAGAAGCTCCCAGGACTCCGTCAACCACAGGCTTTCAAGAGTGCGTTAAAGCATTGTTGGATTGCATGTTTTGCATTCTAATAATCAGTCTCTCTTGTCAGAGTTTCAACTTTGGAACGTCGAATCAAGATTCAGGAGGTAATGTCGTGTATGCTCCGTCTGTTTGACGTACTCCTTGTAACAAGGCTTCTTTTTTTCTCTAGACTGAAATTCAAAAGCTGATGATGGAATTACAAACCATTCAAGATTCTGCTAGTGATTCTCAAAAAGAATGGTCAATGAAGCTCAATTCACTTGAGGAGGCTCTTGCTTCCAAGGTATTGGCAAACGAACAATCTGTCAAATAGGCAGAAGTCGCATAATGCTTTTTTTTGCGTGCTAGAATCGAGAAAATGAATCCCTGCAGCGAGAACTTGGCACGAAAAATGATTATGATGTAGTCAAACAGGAGCTTGATGTTCTCAAGGTGTGGTCAGTGTGGTGGAGATCCACATCAAAGTGTTGTAGTCATATTTTTTCCTTTTGCCAGGCCATTGAATTCTCGGATACGAAATCTGACAAGATGCCACTTGAGCGACTTTTACATGAAAAGAATAAGAAACTAGAGTCAGAGTTAACTTCGCTGAAGGTATGGGATGGTTGAATTCATTACATAGATGGACCGAGCTGATCTCTTTTTGGCCTCTGTATTCAGAATGTTCAAGCAGAAACAGCTTCATCACTACAGCATTCTGAGACTGAGTTATCGCAAGTCAAGAGGCAGCTTGATTCACAGTCCAAGCTAGTTCAGAAACTTGAAGAGGATTTGCTTGTTTTACAAAAGTCGAAATCTGATGCTGGTGGTAGTGGTGGTGGTTCGAATAAGGCTATGCATAGTGATGCTGTGAGTTGTTTGTGAGCTGGTTCACTTTATAATTGCACGATTTGGCAACTCCCACAAATCACTTATTTTTGTCTCTTGGTTTAAGGACGTCTTGTCGTCTCTAGTATCTAGAACGCTACCTGGATTTGATGATGCTCGATCGAATAATAGCACCAAGTCTCAACAGTCTAATGATCCGTCATCCATGATACCAATCCTGACTGGTCAGAGAGATCGATATCGTCAAAGGAATCAAGAGTTGGAAGAGGTGAGCAAAAACAAAAAATCTACCAAATCCACTCGACTACTCTTATATCGCATACCCCTCTAGCAACTACGAGAACTATTGAGCAAACTTCAATCTGTTTCGTCTGAATCGGAGTCTCTGAAAGGCGACAATCTAAAATTATATGAGAAACTTCGATACACGCAATCCATGTTTAATACTCCACGCCCATCATCCGCACGTGATGATCCCTCATCATCATGGTCGTCATCGTCAACAAAGAATCATTACGTGGACGTAGCAGTAGAAGGACAGAATCTATCAGTCCGATTTGGAGGCCAAAATTCAGATGATGCCACCACAAGCAAGTATTCCAACTTGTATGAATCACGACTAGATCCGTTTTCTCGCTTTTCTAGAGCAGAAGAGTCGAAACGGATTTCTGCACTGCATCCAGCTGAACGAGCAACGTTAGGGCTGACTAAACTAATAGTATATAATCGGTACTCGAGGCTATTCTTTGTCTTTTATTCCATGTGTCTGCACTTGCTTGTTATGGCAGTTGTGTATAAATTGAGCTCGATAGAGGATTGTGTGCACGATCATGAAAGGTGGGGATGTGACAAACCAATAGGAGGATAGAGGGTAACAGAGCAGGAAAAAATATGTATTTTTTGAACAGAATTTCAGTGATGTAGTAGCAACATAATATAAACTATTTCTCAAGCCTAGAATCTTCTCGGAGCACCCGACCTATTTCATGCGATTACGGTTACTCAAGGTTTTTGGCAGTCGTGACAGCTGTGAAACTCACCTTTGAGCATAGGTCTTTGGGAAGATACCAACAGTTTGTCCAATACGACCTCGGTACCTTTTAAATTTTAAAGAAGAGTATCAGCAATGGTATTTTCCCACATATGCACAAAAACACCATCCAACACAATGCCGTGTGAACTCACCAATTCTCATCAACTTCCTCCACATCTATGATAATGTCACCTGCCCTCACATCGAGATCCCCGGGTTCGCCAGTCGCGAAATCAGCAATAGCAACGTACTGGTTGGCACCTCCAGCCATAGAAGGTGGTGGTGGCACAGCTCGTCCAGCAGTAGGACCTCCAATCATTCGCTGTCCACCAGCACCACCCACACTTCCTCCAGGAGCACCGATAGCCATTGGACCACCACCACCACCGAGAGCTCTGCCCATGATTGGTTGGAGTGAGTTTGGGGTTGGAGGTAGATATGGAGTTGGGCCGACTGCGTGAGGGGCTATTTCGACTATGGCTGCGGCGCCTTTTGGATCTGAGCGTTCTAGTTGTAATCTCTGCATCAACTAGAGACAGGAAATTGGAATCAATTCAAAACATGATGCAAGGTTTTGAAGTACACATAAGTCCAAAACGATATGATGTCCAAAGTCAATGCAGTAGATTTGGAGGTTGGAATCAATTCACAAAACATGATGCAAGGGAGGCCATAAAGGTGATTGCAAAACGAAACGATATCGTAAATCAATGCAGAATGATTGGTCATACCACGTCGAAAGCGGTGTTTGCAATCCAGCCCATCTTTTGTAAATGCCCCATGTCTCGAATGACGTTTTCAAGTAGGTACTCTCGGAATGTCTAAGATAGAATGGAATATGTATTAGATCTCTATCGAATGAATGTAATCCCATAGGTATCAATACCTCATCGATAATAGATAACCCTGTGTTTTCAGGTTTGTCCTTTTTGGAACTTTGAATTCGCACCCTACATTACATTGAAGGAGTTAGGAGATAGGGAGTTAGGAAATGTGGCATGTTTCGAATGAATCTTACATGATGTGACTTGCTTTCCTCTAGTTGTTCCTGTTTGGCCGACTTGCCGTCAGTTGGCAATGTTTTGTGTTTTGTGGAGATTGACCCAGATCAGGTCTATCAACAGTTTATATGGTAATCATGGAGCATGAAGAGTTCGATACATGATTTCAGAGTACATTCAGTCACGTACTCTACATAAGGAACGATCGTTGAATGTTGAAACATCCAGTCCTTCGATGCCAGCAAGTAAAAAGACACCGAATGCGATTCGACAACAACAATTGGCGCGTCAAGCTAATAAAACCAATCAAACCAGGTATTTAAAGACGTGAAAAAGCCAAGCCTCTCGATTAAAAGGTACGTGAGAAAGAAATTTAGGAGGCGAATGAGAATCCGAGACAGGACTTCAAAAAAACACGAGTAATTTAAAAACGCCTATAAAAGCAAAAATCACCTTCAGCTTCGGAGGCAAACAATGTCACTATTAGATGATAATGATGAAATGAATTGGGCTACAGATATACAGTCATTCAAAACTCGACATATTCTAAACCCAACACTAGAAGAAGAACGATTCCTTACGGATTTTCAAAGCGTCTATACTCCCGAATACTGTCAGAAATTAAACAATTCGTTTGATAATCTATGGGTCATGGCGGAAACGGTATTCGACACGAAAGGATACGGCTCGTTTTCCGATGAATGGAGTGGAAAAATAAACGAGTGTTGGGATTTTTCGAGGCTAACCGAATTGAGAGATGTGCTTAGAGAATTTAAAAAGGTATTCAAACCCATATTAAGAAATTTAAATTCCAGTCAAGTGGAGAGTGATGGACATGCTAGACGATTTGTTGAATTACGAATTCAACAGGATAGCCGTAGACCAACTATAATTACCAGCGATGATCGTACATATCAAATAATTTTAGGTATATTTTGGTATAAAAAGTTACAACTTGTGATAGACCTTTTAAGGGATATCAGTAATAGGAATCGTGTACTTGAAGGGGAGTTGAACGACTTTCTTCACGAGATTGAATAAACTGATTAGTATGGATTAAAATTTTTTCAATGTGTTTTAAATAAATGGATTTCTTCCAAAAGATTCCTACAATCAACTCACAAGTACGACACGTAGACCAGCGGTTCTAAAATCCATTCAACACAAGTACAATCAATTCTATTCGCGTTATAGATGCAGATTTGGATCAAAGCAATATTCCAAACTGAAAATTTAACTGCTTTCCAACTGTAACCTCCAACCTCCAGAGCTTTTACCCCTCCAAATTCGCAAAATCCAAACGACTGATCGGTGCAACCTCACTTACTATCAACCAAAGCTATCTACCAACATGTCTTCTACGCCATCTGAAGGAGCTCTAGACAGAGGAGCTGTAGTAGAAGTCCTTGTCCGTACGCTACTCAACAACAACAACCAATCACCTGAAAATGCGTCTTCCCCAACTGGAGCTCCCACGGTCGTCCTCAAGTCCGGGGCTGACTTGATCATGGCCCTCATACATGTAATCATGATCAAATTCGGGTGTCGCTTTGTTGGCTTGGGTGAAGATGGCCCTGAAACGTCATCAACATCAACTGATGCTACTGCTGCTACTGCTGACTCGACACAAGCTCTACCTGTGGGCTGGAATTCAACGGGAGATACATATTCATTCAGATATAGGCATACTCAGTCTACCTTTACCTTCCTGATTAAAGGGGTCAAGGTAGCCAATCGACTCGTCATACATGGAATGGCTATCGAGGTAGCAATCCGGCTTGAGTCTACTTTCTTTTTAACATGTCATACTCAATACTTCTGCTCATCTAGGATGGTAAACTACTGACCCTGGAACTAAATCTACTAGAATTTATATCACCTTCCTTCCCCTTCCCATACCGATCAGGATCAAATCGACCACTAACCAGTGGATTTATATCTGAAACCATCTTGGACGACCTCATTGCCCGCTTCAGAACCACTATAGCTGCTAGACTTTTACCTGGTCAAGGAGCTAAACTCGGCTACGAAGAACCAAAAACACATACACAAACACGAGAACAGCAACAACAAGGTGAACGATCACGACACGAACCACCATCACGATACGATCCATTGCGAATAGATCCACCATATGGACAACCACGATTTGGTATGCCTGGTAGTGGTGGAATGATGCCTGGAATGGGTGGATTTGGGGTTGGTGATCGTGACTTGGATCCATTTGGTGCTGCACCTGGTTTGATTCCTCCTCATGGATATGGTGGTTTGGGTGGATTTGGAGGTGGTAGTGGTGGGATGGTTGTAGGACCAGATCATCCAATGTTTGCAGGTAGAGGTGGATTCCGTGGTGGACCTCCTACTGGACCTACTCCTCTAGGACCGTACGTATCATGGTGTTTGAATTGACGTTCTGTCATGATTTGAGCCATGTGTGTGTGTTTTTTGGTTCCTAATTACGCTCTCAAACAGCCTCGCAATACCTCCTGGCGCACGATATGATCCAATTGGTCCTTTTGGTCCAGGCCCAAATGCTCCAGTGAGACCAGGACGTGGAAATGGTCGTGGTGCTCCTTTCTCGTAAGTGTATCTGTGGTTGAATGTTGAGCAAAAACAATGTCAGCTTAACTAAGTCAATCACTTTCGACATAGTGGTGAACCAGATCCGGATGAAATGATGCCACCTGGTTACGATCAAATGTACATGTAGATATGTTGACTTGTAGTCTTGAGTAGCATCAACATAGTTTTTGTTCATAGTCCTTGCCAATAGCTAGTTTATATCCGCATAAAACGAATACAGAGATTCAATCGCTTAACTCATTTGATGTATGGTTTAATACTAGTTGTTTTATTTTGAAGCCTATAGATTGGCGAGCAAAAAAAGTAGCAATGCTAGAACTTATATGATATATCAGCAATCGCCCGTCTTTATTTCGACCCTTCACCAGTAGGCTTCCCGCTACCCTCCCCTCCATTCTTCCAATCTTCACGTTCATGATACGGAGGATTCTTTAGAAACATTTTCGAGCCCCTCCACCATTGCGCATTAATCCTTTCCTCTGATTCCCAAGGCAAGAACAAGAATGATGGTTGTACATATCTCTTTGTATGGTATACGGGTTCCGATTGATTTGCGTCCCGCTTAGCGTCTTTGCCGATACCAGCAACGGGGGCTTTTAAATCCAATGGTTGCCAGTCTGGAATGTTTTTCATGATTTCTCCTTCTCGTAGTTTTGCGGCTTCGAGCCTGCGGACCATGTCACGGTCTGTTTCTGCTTGGAGGAGTGGGACCTGGAGGTGGTGAGTATGGTTAGTATATTGTGGGATAGTGGGAAGGGTCATGTCAACGGCTTCCAAACACATTGGTAACTATCTTTACCAGAGAGATTCTAGCCCAAGCCTTTTCACGACGTAGCTCTCTAATATACGTTAATACGAGTATTAAACAACTGCTTGATGATATTGATGTTCATCCATTCACTACTCCATCTGTTATCCGGTATGATGCACCAAATGTCTCTAATGTCAGCTACTTGCCTGCGTTCAGCATTAGCTTGTGCGAGCCAGTACCAGCCATAACCCATGATGCCGAATGTGCCCAAGAATATTACAAGTCCGGAAGGCCTACAATGTAATACGTTTGCAAGTCAAAAACTCGGTTTTGTTAAAAGTAACAGAACAGAGAGATGCAAGTGGTTGTTTACCCTCGCTTAGGTAGGTATCGTTCATATTTGATTGTCTGAGGAAATCCTCCAGATGGAGGGAGGTCCTGCTGAGCTGCAAAATTCATTGTCGGCTTCTCGCACGAAAAGTGGTGAAAGCGGGTTTGAGGTGAGCGAGTGTAATTGTTAGGGTACAGAGGAGATGTTAGTAGTGAGTAGTGAGATATGGAATGAGCCCGTGAGAATTTTGACCCTACTTCGTCTCCCCTTATTTCGAATTCGTTAGAATCGAAACAAAGCAGACCCGATGTCACCGCTTTACAACCAATAAGTCGTATACAAAAGCACTTCCTTACGTGATTCACGTGTATTTTAAGCATACCGATACGCTCTTGTACCTATTATGAAAGTAACTTATGCAGACACAGTCGTGTTTCCGGACCAACTTTGTTTCGAACATGACAAACCGCCTTGGAAGGCATCTAGAGGTTGCGAAAACGCGTTTTTCGCTCTCCGTAAGCATATCCTGTGCACAGATCTTCTTTACAGCAACGAATTCAGGACCTCGTGTCAACTTTGTTGTCAGAAAAACTTGCAAGAATTTACAAAACATAGACAGCAGGGCCTTGAATCAAGCTCTAGGCCTCCGTTTACGTTAAAAGATACTTATCAGTAGATTCATTACTTTTTACTAGGAGTCATGAATGTGTTTGAAGGAGCTTTCGTCAAGAATGTCGTAAAATGGAGCAATGCTCGAAATCTACAGAGTGTAGCAAGAAGATTAGCACCAACAGCATCATCTATATCGAGATCCGTACCACGATCATTTTGTACGAGTATCAGAACTGTGTATCAGCTGCAGTACAGGACGTTTTCGACAAAACCATTAGAGGTTTGCTTTGCAGCAGATTGAAACCTGATATTGATGGACGTGAGTCTAACGATTTTCTTGTGTACAATGACAGATAAGTCGTGCTGAAACTAGTCGTAAGAAGAAGGGTGTTCGTGGAGTTGGAGCTGACGAGCTTTCATCATCACCTGTGCCGGTAAAAAAATTGACGCCCCAGTTTTTGGTCCAGAAGAAATCTTTTCAACTCCGGTGCTGATTGTGAATTTATTTTCCCATAGGTACAACGTGCAACAGCATTCTGCACCGCAGAAGAATATAACATCGAAATCCTCCTACCCCTATTACAACGCCACTATGCCATGCAACCATATATTACTGAATTCGTCTACCATTTCAAACTGCGAGATAGTAACTTACCCGAAGGAGGTCCAGAAGCCTTCTTTTTCGATGACGGGACTTTTGTAACGTGGGGTGCAACACCTGAACAGAATGAATTATTATTGCTTCAGATCAAGGCTGCTGAGATTAATGGATATCGGGGGCCTGAGAATGAGTTTTTTGATTACTTTCAGGATCCAGAACAGTATGTGTTATTCTTGTTGCAACCAACGCTTTCTTTTTGCTATCAAAAATTTGTCCTAAATCCTAATTTCGCAACAGGGTCAGCACAATGGTAGGAGACACCATAGTAGTAGGCTCCGACCTAGCTCCCTACCAAGCAAAACTAGCCTTCTCATCAGGAATGGCGCGATCTGTAAAACTAGGTGCCCTCGAGTCACTCCTTGACACGCACCTTTCCAAAAACCGTCACATCCCATCCGTCCTCTTATCAGGTCGCAAACTACCACTGTCTCGACGAGCAGTCCTGCAATCTCTAGGTGAATTATTCTCGTTACGTGGTAACCTCAACCTCCATAACGAATTACTGGATTCTCCAGACTTCTTGTGGAGTTCGAAAAATATGGAAAAGTTATTTGATAGGATTTCCAGGAACTTGGATGTTGTGCCTCGTATTGCGGTGTTTAATAAGAAGCTGGATTATGCTAATGAGTTGGCGGATGTGCTGAGAAATCATTTGCATGAACAGCATTCGCTAAAGTTGGAGTGGGCTATTATTATTCTTATTGCTATTGAGATTGGATTTGAGTTGGGTATGTCTTGTGCTGTTTTCAATGTTGTGGTGGATGGTTTGAATGTTACTTGCTCATCAGTATCCATTTCTCACTCTAATAGTTCATTACGCCGAACGATTGGGATATGTCGACTTGGATGTTTTGGCAAAGAAACAGCCCAGCAAGCTGGAGAATATGGAAAATATGGACTCATCAAATGTCCCTCCTGAAGTTCTGGAGGAAATACAGGCTGCTATAGACTCGTCATCGTCGACATCATCAAAATCGAACTAATAAAGCCCTCGACATATAATACACTGTATCATAAAAAGACCATTTAGCATTCAGTATTTCCTTTTACAACCCGTACAAATAGAAGCAGCATTAAAACTTCATCCTTGTATCCAGATTTACTTATTTACAACCAGTCATTCCAAGAATCTTCAGCTTCACGTTGCCAGTACAATTTCACAGTTCCGTTAATCTCAGTGTTACAGAAGGGACACATCTTCATCCAGTTTTGAGAAGCTCTGATTCTCTCAATGTTATACGGATTGCTGGAAGACGGCATGGGTAGAGTTACAGGTCGGGCATCAACACGAGATGGATCAGACGGTCGTCGTGGGAAGTATATCGCAGTCCATAATTCAGCTCCTTCAGTGTGTATTGCATGACCACACGGATCAAATGCATGTGTTGGTGGGCCGCGTAAGATGTCTGGGGCACATCTGGTGATTTTACAACATGGTGAGTTCCTGAGGAAATCAAAAAGATACCACGCAAAGTGGCAATTCGCAGGAATCGTAAAACCACTACGTGCCTGTAAATCAATGGGACGAAGCGGCCTGGAGTTCGACATATGCTACATTTTGCGAATGGCCCGAGTTTTCGTAGTGCAGAATCGTAGTATGATACAATGTGTCTAAAGCAGAATAGTGTGTAATCAGTGGCAGATCAACTATTGCTTGAATTAGAAGCACCATACCCGCAGGATATGAACAACCAAGGTCGTTTCGCTACCAGTTCTTCCTTCTTATAATACTCGTCCATGCGTCTCTCCGGAACCTCCGGTGCCAGAAAGTTGAGCTTGGCCCTCATCTTTCCCAACGGTCTATAACTATGCCCTCGAATACTTTCCCCAGCTTTCTCAGTTGGAATCGTCTCCAACGTCACTGGGCAAAATACAGATTGTTCCAGCGATCTGAGTGCATCAGCTAAATCCTCTGATGATAAATCCGTTTCAGAAGGTGCTCCTGACCTCCAAAGGAAGGCATGGCCACCGTTATAGATTATACATCCATCTACTAGCTTTAATCCTGGTTTACCATCTGTTCCGGGCCCTCCAGGTGTACCAGCTATAGTTCCTGGTTGTCGAGCGTCTTCAGAAGCTCGTAGACCGAATGGCATACCTTGAATAGCAGAGACTTCAACCCATTTTCCTGGTGGTTTGCCTGGCAAGGCCGCTCGATCAGGAACCCAGACAACACAAGCATTCTCTGCTAGACCATCAGCGGCACCAGTTGGATCATTCCATCGTACATTATGACTAGACATTGTTAATCTGCCCTTTTCGTCAAAGCAGCCCGCAAATAGTCGACAATCTGTTGGATCTTCACGATTACATACAATGCGTAGCTGGAGTCTTCTAGCCTTTGGGCGAATTACAGTGTTGGTTTGAGGTTTTACATGGTGTTCTCCTGGTACTACTACATCTATACCTGGACCTTCCTCTCGCCCAATTTGAAACACATCCGTTGTTTCATCTGGCAGACACCAGTATACATCAAAGTTCTTTTTTAGGGTGGGCGACTTGACTGCAGCACATCTGTATGGTCTATCAGTGCTAAACATTCCACCTTCAGAGCTACTAATACTAAAAGTTGATCGTATAGACGAGCCAGCACTTGACGATGTCGACGATGTCGAGTTTGTTCGAGTCATTTTAAGTCCTCCACCTTCAAAGGAGGTCCGAGCTTTAGACCAGAATCTGCTGATACCTCGACTCTCGTCACTCGGTTCTCGTTTATATCTAAAGACGTCCACTGATGCTCGTCGATTGAGGGTCGACTCTCCAGTCAGACCTCCTATAGAGCTTTCTCCTTGTTGTGATACATTACTGCCTACATCCGCATGTTCAGGAAGCTCATCTCGATCATCTACTACTAGATCAGATCCACCATATCCATCCATTGAAAACCCTCGAGCTCTCTCAATACCATACAGGCGTGTCATTACGTGACTGCTTGGTGCAATAGGAGGCAGCGAGGTACCAGCCAACGGCCGAAACAGCTTGTATACAAACTTGTTGCCTGGATTAAATTGTACATTGAATCTCATGGCAGAGAAGACTTCAGGTTCCGAAAACTTGATCCCGTTTGGATGTGGTCGTTTGTACAGTTCGAATATCCGATTCGGACCTTCTCGTAGCGAAACCTTTTTTTTCGGATCATCAATTTGAATCACGGTTGCTGCATATCCTAATATTACTAGTCTGCCATACATTGTCGACATGGGCATTAACGGTGGTTTCTTCCTATACTTTAACGACGATATTCTCGGAGGTGCGGGTTCTGGCATTAAAATGTCTTCTTCGGCGGCTTGCATAATGAGAGAAGCGATTACAGGATCTTCAAATTCTTCGTCATCCAACAGCTCTGGTGGTTGCTCTACGGGAGATGTTACTGGGCTAAGTATAGCATCATCCGACAGGGACAGGAGCCGTGACAGATCATTTTTCCTTGTCTTCCTTTCCCTCACTACACCATCATAGATATTTAACGGCGGCAATCCCAGTTGTGGCCCTTCCGTTGTTACTGGTTCTATGGGTGATGCGGCATCAATGGTTTCAAAAGCGCTTGGAATAGCGATTGTTGGTGCTGGTGGAGCTCCTGAGGCTGTTACATCTGGCTCCACTACCGTTGAAGTTGAAATATCATTCTTCTCTGGCTTCTCCGACGCAGGCTGTTTTAACAGTGAATCTAAATATTCCTTTTCAGTAGCCGGTTCAGGTCCTAGTCTGCCCACAGCTTCATCAATCAGCTGATACTGATAAGTACTCATACGACTAGTACCCTTTGTCGTGCCTGCTCGTGATCCGAATCTCGACACTGCACGATCAACCTCATCAGCAGATTTACCATCAGCAGCGACAGCTATGACATCCACTATGCCTTCATCGAGTTCACGTTCCTTTTGTCGTAGCTTGTATATGATTGATACATCACTCTTATCTCGTGTGTCGATGAATCCGCGGACTGTCGATGCACGTGAAGGTGAAATTGGTACTCTGTCGATAAAAGGTTTACGTGATGGTGATGGAGGTATGGATTTGAGTGGTGGATCAGCGGCGGAGGTTGGTATTATTGATGTCAACATGTTTTGTCCTTATCTCTGCGTAATGTCGGTGACTAGATGGCAATCCCTAGCAATGTCACGAAGAAAATATTGTTAGTATCAGTGTTCTCGTAACGTGTAAAGGATGATAGGGTATGCGATCTATACAATGCACTCGTTTGCCGAAAAGATACCGTGGAGTTGTAATCCGGTTTCAAACAGCAGCTGAACTCACTCGAAAGAGTAGATCCGCAAAAAGGGACCCGGTCAACCGCTGATCTTGGAGAGAATTTCTAGTTCCTGGCCCTGACCTTATCAGTTCTATTGCATAAGTGACGTGTTTGGCAACAAAAGTGGGGGGTTGTTACCACATACATGTGACAAAACAGCAGCATCACGAAACTTAATGCATGGCAACCAATTCGTACTTCTGAGAATTGCGATTTTTCGGAATATATATGAGAACATCTGTGCTACCCGTGATTTACTAGCATCCAAACATGCCTTAGTTCAAACATATTCGTACAGTTGACGCGTCAGGAAAAGGTTATTTTTGGGCTAGACACTATGAGCCGGCCACCATGTAGAATAGTATGCTGATGGCAATAGATAGCGTGTCTTATATACCCCAACTCGTTCTCCGCAGCAAACTACTTAATTTTGCAAATTTCAACAAATCTCATAACAGCACTCGACAGCGGGCACCATGAACTTTGGCAAAGGAGCCAATAAGAAGAATGTCAGGAAGAAGGTCGTCTCTGTGCCTGATGACGACGGATCAGAGAATAATGGCTCGACAGGTCATCGAGAGAGTTCAAAAGATGCTGCTGGTCGATTTGAACAGCTAGACATCACCAACGAGCCTATAAAGCGATCCATGCCTTCGAAATCGAAGGCTAAATCTGCTGTTTTGAGTTTCGGACTTGATGAGGAACAAGATGTAGGTGCCAACATTTGCATTGTTTGATCAACACATTCACGAGAAGCTTACACGTCTTCCTTTACGCTAGGATGGGCAAGCATTCCGAGTTAGCAAGTCATCGGAAAGTCGCAGAATGGCTCAGAATAAGCTGAATCTGGTGCCAGACAATAGCAGAGTATCAACAACGACCACAACAGCAGATTACTCGCTAGCTGGACTACAAGCTTTGAAACTAGCTCAACTGAATAGACCTTTACGAGCTGATCCAGACTCTGCCATGGATATAGACTCGAATGGCGACTCTGCTCTTCCACCTATACCTGTAGAACCCGTTATTCCCGATGCAGCTGCTGTCTTTGCTGCGCGAAAGCTCCGTGAGCAAAGGAGGAATGATGCTGCTGGTGTAGGATCTGGTCGTCTAGATAAAGGACTTAAACCCTCTTCTTCGTCGTATATCTCGTTGGACGACAAGGAAGATGACAAGACGAACAATATGGAGGACGATGATGACGAGAATGACTCTAGCAGAAATGAATCTAGACTCGTAACAGAAGATCAGGAAGAACAGGAAGATGAGAATTTTGAAGATTATGAAGGTGATACCATCACTTTTGGATCTAGAGCTGTTAAAGATGCTGAAGCAAAAAGGAAGCAAAAGTTTGTGACTGAACTTGATGAAGCGTAAGTGCTTCTTCGGCATTGACTGCCACTTTTTTGTGTTTGTTTCCAATCTTACTTAATCGATTCTCATCTAAATCTAGACAAGGGGATGAGGATGAAGAAGGACGAATGTGGGAGGAAGAACAGATGAGACGTGTAGCTCCCATGCAGCAGAGAGAAGAGTTGGCCAAGAAGGCAGCTTCAATAGCTGCAGCTCCACGAGAAACCGTTTACAGTAAGTGTGCCTTGAATTGAAAATTTGAAATCCCTTAAATACTATCTATGCGTCTACCGCATCATCTGTAGTTCCGAATGTAATCCCAATACCGGCTGTAAATACAGTTATGACCAGGCTCACTGGACTAGTGAATAATCTGGAAATCTCACACATTGAACATCTGGCTCAAATACGAAGCTCTAAATCTGATTTGGAATCCTCAAAGACCTCTGCCCAGGGATTGCAACAAGATATTAAGAACGCTTCGCAAAAGTATACTTACTTTCAAGAGTTCAAGACTTATATTCAGGATTTGGCAGAGTTCTTGGATACGAAGGTAAACCTCCTTTGAAAACTAGTATAAACTGTTTTTTGTTGCTACTGACCCTTGTGTCTACAAACTTCTCAGTTTCCAGAATTGGAAAAGCTAGAGGAAGATTATCATAATCTTTTGCGTGAGCAATCGTCGTTTGTAATGGATCGACGGGACGCTATTCTTGATGATCGGCTTAGTGATTTTTCGTCTTATATTCCTGGTAGGAGCGCGGAAAAAAACGACGTTTAACCCATCATATATATTCTAACTTTCCATATTTCAGCTGAACCACAACTTCGCCAGTCACGGCAAACAGCCTATACTCAAAGACGCACACGAAGGACGTTTAGTCAACAGACTCCTACTCAAGAAGGGTTATCGAGTGATGATGAAGTCGATGAACAACTTGATATTGGGCGAAAAAAAGGTAAATCGGCCGCGTTTGAATAGCCTTGCATTTGCCAACTTCTTCTATACTAGACGCAGAAAAAAGAAACCATCTATATCTGTTTGCCGATACTCTGGATGAGTTTTGCTCAATTCCGATAATCAAGGCAAAGTTCGAAAGCTGGAAGAATACATTTCGACAGGAATATGAGCAAAGTTATGGTGGCTTGAGCATGCCTGGAGTCTTTGAATTGTATGTCCGTCAAGAGCTGTTAGCGTGGGAGCCATTTTCGGTAAGTTGTGTGTTTTGATGTATACTGGGAGCAAAAATACATATTAGTTCGATTTTCTTATGATGTGGTGTATCTAGACGTATCTGGATCTCGAGTCTATGAATTGGCATGAGTCTGTGATGGGCTATGGCATGAATCCCAACGCTATGGAAATCTCTGAAGACGAGGACGTGCGTTTGCTACCGAAAATAGTAGAGAAAGTCGTCATTCCTCGTCTTGTGTCGAGGGTTGACATATACGATCCGTATTCTTGCAAGCAGACCAAGCTAGCTTTAAGAATTGTTGGCCAAATGCTTAATTACACTGAATCAGATTCTAAAGCATTCAAGGTTTGTGCATCACAATATCCAAACTCCGTATATTGCCCGATCTGAACCACCCTATTTGTTTAGACTCTTATCGGAGCATTCGAGGCTAGAATCGATTCTGTAATATCAGCTATTGTGGAAAGGCAAGATGTCTTTGGTGTTCGATTCAACCTACCTCTCTCAGATCAAGCGATCGCTTCTCGTAATGCCTGGTTTGCTACACTGTCTAAGGTACTTTTTTTGAATTGTCTTGCTAGATTTTTTGCTTACGCATCAATTTGTTCAATAGCTTTATGATAACAGCTTATCGTGGAGGCGATATATTCCTGCATTATCTCTGCAAAGCATGGTCATCAATAAGCTTTTGAATCGCCATTTAATACCACTATTTCGTGACGCTCCATCACCTGTCACTGATGTACACAAGTGCTTACAATTATTGCAATCGATACCTGTGGAATGGATTGGTGGTGGGACTGATATACCACAATTTCTTCGTGTGTTTGAGAATCGCATGAAGCTCTTTGCAGAACAGTCAAGTTTGAAAGTCACAGACAAGTATGTACAGTGAAGTCATTCGTTGCAGAGCTTGCTACAGTCAATCCATAAACCCTAACTAGATTCTGCTCCTTTAGGGAATTCTTCCAACACCTTCACAAACTTTTATTTGGTTTACGATCTTTTCAAGAAGCTGAACTTCTAGCACAGAAACATCAATTAAGGCCTTGATAATATTATCGCATTCACCGTAATTGTATCATAAGCACTTTGCAATATCAAGACTCATGCAGATGATTTACACCTTGAAACTGATATGATATTTGATTTCATCTTGCGTTTACAAAAAAGAACTATCTTACGATGATTTTTATGGATTTTGTGGTTTATGTGGGGTTTCTGTTTTATATGAAGCAAAAAGAAAACTACAACGGAATGAGACAAGGGACACCAACACGGAATATGAAACTTTACAAACTCTCCCTCCCCCAAATATGACAGGAATTTCAACAAGACATAATGTGACTCTTCCCAAATGAAGTAGATCAATCAGATGAGAGGAATGCAGCAGCGACGACACTAGAAACAAAAAGATCGACTGAGACAATCGACAACACAAGGCACAAATAACAGTGTGAAACTTACCCGGCTGCTCCCATAATCATTCCAGTACCCATCCATACTAGCGATGAAACGATTTGACGCTTCAAACTTGGCTGCTGAGTAACAACAACGACATCATCTTCCACCGCCTCACGTTTTCGCTTCTTGTTGGTATTGTGACTTGAAACATCAATATCAGCCTCGCTGGATGCTCGAGATACCGAAGACGACTCCCCAGCCAATGCTGGCATCATATTGACATCCCCTTCTTCATCCGTACTGATAGACTTGGCAGTAATATGGGGCCTAGTCGTCGGTTCTGGTGTTTTTGAAGCCAAGGGTTGGGTGACGGTACCTTCGTAGATGACTTCTTCTTCTTCGTCGTCAGTGACTTCGACTTGGATACTGCGAGAGCCTACTTCTTCTTCGACTTCTTCTTCAGTGTTTTCGATTTCATCATCGTCATCATCCACCACAATAAGATTCCTGATACGACGAGGATTGAAGAGTATTTCGTCGTCTTCATCTTCTGTATCGTATGCGTGAGGTACTACACCTAATTCGAGGTCTTCTTCATGTGGGATCGTGTCTGGAAGCGACTGGTTGTCGATATCATCTTCTGCGTCGTCTTCTGCATCATTCTGACTATGATTATCGGTTTCAGGCATGATTTCATCATCTTCATCATCAGTATCACTGCCATCATCTAGTCCAAACCCAATACGTCCAGACTGTGGGGGTGCGGTTTTGAGTCTGAAGAGTGGTTCCTCAACATCACTAATAGATTCCAAGTCTTCGTATACATGTTTATCGTTGTCGTCGTCTTCAGTTTGTCGTCGTGCTGAGGGTCGGTACCTATCTAATTGTGATTCGATTCCGTTTCCTTCATCATCACTGTTACCTACGAGGGTATCAAATGGGATACGTTGTTTGCCTGATGTGTGGATACTGCCTTGGGTGTCGAGGTCTGTGCTGTCTGATGCGTTGTCTGCTGGAGAGTTGTCCTCGTCTTCGTCCAAGATAACAATCGATGTAGTTTGGGTGGTTTTATATATAGTAGTAGAGGATCCGGTTGGAAGAGGAGCTGAAGATGATGATGGCGGTGACGATGATGATGAGGCAGAAGAGGTTTCTGCGGGTTGGAAGAACCATGCGTTCTTTGACATATCAATGTCAAGAGGTGCAAATCCGTCCAAAAAGGCTAGAGCTATATCCAACGGTACCCTACAATGTACTCAGGAAAGTATTAGTATTGGTTTTGACGCTTCTTATTAGATCCGAAGAGTGACTGGTCGTTTTTGTAACACTGCATCGAGAGTGCCAAAGTCCTCTGAACACAAGCTTCACAAGGGCAGTCTGAAATCCATTCCACTTTAATAAAATAATAAGGTTTGTCACTGTACATACCAAGTTTCTTCGTCATTGCTTTCAACCGAGCTGTCGAACATATATCCTCGGACTTGGTTGTCGACATCAGGGACGAGATCAAAGAGTTCCTTAACTCGAATAGATTCATTGTTATCAGGTCCACGTCGCTTTAATACTATATCAAAGAGGAAGAGATTTGTGAGCAATGCAATCACGTTTTCGCAAAAGATAGACGATTTCTTCAAGAAGGATGCGTCAGGACTATGAGAAAACAAGTCCCTGGTATTTCAGGCACTGTTGTAAGAGAGCTGGACTGAGGCAGACATGTTGCTTAATAGCTCCTCCCAAAATAATTGGTGACTTTGTCTCCGTGACAAGGAAAGGTGTCTGAAAACGAGGAGGAGAGGACTTACTTTTGAGTCCTGCGATATCCAGGGACTTGTATGTATATTCGGTCATGATTTTGGACCTTCTCCTCGTGAAGGCGCAAGCGTTTTTTGTGTGTTTGGCGTGCTGGAGGTTTTATTTGGAAGACGAGGAGTTGCTTGACTTTTCTTGGGAGTGACTGCATGTTGAAGACAAGGCATTGCGGGCGAGGACTACGCGTCGATCTATGTTTGTAATTTTTCTCATGCGTCTCTTCACGCGCTTTGATACAGAAATCCCAAAAACGGTATGCGTTATGGTTTTAGACTGAATTGTCATATATTTGATCAGCTTCAAGGACAAATATACAAATATAGCTATTAACAGGTGCAGATCCATGGACTCTACCTCAAATGAATGTGTTGGATGCATTTCGGTTGGACACCTTGGTTTCGAAAGAGGATAAACGTCGTTTTAGCAAAGTGGCCAAAGCAAAGGGAAATTTACGGAAATTGTCAAATCGATGTAATCCAATGTGAAGGTGGCCTAGTATTCCTAGCACTAAGTCGCGACGTCGTCATTCTTCAGTGCGGAAGTCCTATACAAACAGAGTCACACAATACTACTGCCTATGCAGGTTTGGTTACTTTTCTGACTGTACGGTCGGTTTTCTGGCTTGCGTGGGCCCGTTGGAATAGTTTGTTCTAATTGAGATCCTTGCTTCCTTTGCGTTCTTTGCGGTATCTTGTTTCCGTTGCGGTATCTTGTTTCCGTTGTTTCCGTTGCGGTAACTTGTTTCCGTTGCGGTTGCTTGCTGCCGTTGCTAAGGTCGTGACAATTGCTGGATGACGTGACCGTTGTGACGTGTTGTGACGTGTTGTGAATGTTGTGACGTGTTGTGGATCCTGTGAATAGATTGTTCTAATTGCAATCCTTGCTTCCTTTGCGTTCCTTTGGTATCTGTTGGTTTTTGTTTCCGTTGCCGCCGTTGCTATTGTTGTTGCCGTTGCCAAGGACGTGACAAATGTGACCGTTGGTGGATGATGTGATGTGTTGTGATGGTTGTGATGTGGACCCTGTGAATAGATTGTTCTAATTGCAATCGTTGCTTCCTGTTGCTATCGTTGCGGTATGTTGTTTCCATTGCCAAAATTGTGAACGTTGTGAAGTGACGTGCTGATGAGTTGACAAGTTGCTGCTGATGTGACAAATTGCGATTTGTTGTAATCATTGTCAAGGACGTGACAGTTGTGATGTTTTTGAATTGTTGCGCTCTTTGCTTTCGGGTGCCAAGGTCGTGACAGCTAAAGGACGTGACGGGTGCTGACGGATGCTGATTTTTTGGACCCATTGTCCCGTTGGAACCATTGTGATCGATTCGACTGTTTTTTAATGTTTTGACGTCCGATCTTACATCTATATCCAGGTGTCAGTAAAACACAACTTCCAAAAAGAGTGCTAAAATGATCAGAAACTATCTCAATTAGCATTACCGTAGTTCTAGAGAAGCGAGACTCACCAGAACAATCATCACCAACCGTTGAATCGGCTTAATCGGTTGAATCGACTACTCACCGTTGATTCACAATGCAAAGGTAACAAACAGAACCACAGATCACAACATAAGCAACATTGCAGCATCAAGTCAAAAAAAGGAGACGAGAGCACATTAGAGGTGGGACCCTCATCAAAGACCCACAACCTGACTGACGAATGACATCAATCAATTTGCTGTATAAGAACTAAAGACATCAACTTTACACACGGCTTTAGAATGTCATCAAACCAGGCTCAGGTTCTTGCGGGTAAGAATACCTTTTTCATTTGTTGCTGCTATGACTAGTGAGCTTACATCTTTTGGCCATTTGTACTATAGCTTGCATAGACAAGCTGGGTGAGATTAGAATTTCCTCAGATTCCTTGCGCCGTCTATCCATTGGCTCCTTGATTCAACAGATAAACACGCTTCGAGCTGCCATACCAAATCATGACCCTCGCCTTGTCGTCTTTGACAACGCTTTGCTTCGTCTAGTTGAACTCAAACGGTAAAGTCTTTTTTCATAGCATTGGGTATTATTGAGCCAAAACGTATATTACGAGATTTGTTATAGATTTTTTTTCTTTATTAGTAGTATGGACCTGAACCCTGACTCAATTATGGATGCTATTGGCTTCATAGACCCTGCCCTTCAAGATATGATGCTATCTGATATAACTGAGGAGATTATTCAGGCGGATATTGCTAGAGAACTCGGGGTCAATTATCTATCATTATCAACAGCAACACCATCCTGGCCTGTTGAAGGAATAGTGTATGGTGAGAATCTTCGGGCTATGATCAACCTTGTAGTCCAGCGTAAGGAATGCAAAATCAATGTAATATTCCTTATTGATACTGAATCACCACATACTCATCTGACTGCTAAGGCTTTCAATGCTTTGGGCATCACTGAAAATACTCCCAGCTCGGCAAATGTCATGGTGCACGGATTCGCTCAAACCGTTTATGTATCTACGGGTCACTTTGAGGATGTCAACGTCCTGGGGGTTGCATACATGAGGGCAAAGGGATTGAAACTTGCTGTAGATTATGAATCGTTATTGTGTACCCTGAGGGAATAGGGCAGCTTAAGTAGTAAGCAATAAAGACTCTCATGTGGAGTAATGCCTTTCCAATATTAAAACTCGCTTTTCTACCACAATCTACCTACATCATCACATTTTGTTTTCTGCTCATTTTACAAGACACAAGACAGATGTTGGGCCACAATGATGATTTAGACCCGTTGCAATGGCAACAATGGTGCAAACATGTCACGTCTTTGGCAATGGCAACAATGGTGCAAACTTGTCACGTCTGTGGCATCGGCAACAATGAAAGCAGCTGCAACAATATTCGCAATACTACACAATTCAAACATCTGCGCAAGTGGCAATAACAATCCGCAACGTTCACAACGGAAACAACTGTTGCATCAAGTCACAACGGACACAACGTTCACGGCAGGAAACAACGTTCACAATTGGCACGACCTTGGCAACGGAAACAACGTTGGCAACGTCCACAACATTACACGTCATCCCACAACCGTCACGGCATTTCACAATCTTCACGACATTTCACGTCATCTCGCAACGGCCGCAACGGAAACATCGCACACAGCGGCAAACAACGGCAAGCAACGTTCACGTCAGCACACAATGTTGGCAATGGTCACGTCATCACACAATGTTCACAACGTCCACAATGTTCACAATGTTCACAACGTTCACAAATGTTCACAATGTTCACAACGTTCACAAATGTTCACAATGTTCACAACGTTCACAAATGTTCACAATGTTCACAACGTTCACAAATGTTCACAACGTTCACAATGTTCACAATGTTCACGTCATCAATTGTCACGTCATCCCACAACATTTCACAGTGTTTCACGTCCTTGGCAGCGGAAACAACAGACCGCAACGGAAACAACATTTCACGACCTTGGCAACGGAAACAACAGGCCGCAAAGCAACAGGACGCAAAGTTCACAAAAGAACAAAGCAAGGGCCCATCCAAGCTAGAGATGCACTGGAATGGAATGGAATGGAATGGAATTGGAAGTGGAATTCACGTTTTTGACGACCCAATTCCTGTTATTGGTCGCTTCCATTCTTGGAATCTAGAATCGCGAAATCGCCTTCGGCGATTCCATTCCATCGAACTTCATGTTTGTCAATTCTTGACCGATTCNNTCGGCCCTGGCCTTCTCTAATTTCAGTCTTTCTAAGGCAGTCATCAGCTTTTCATCACAATTTTGGATAGCGAAAGTCGCAAATTCGAGTAGAAATCGGTAATATCGGTAAGAATCGGTAAGAAATCGGTCGAAATTGAGAAAGTCGGGAAAGCGCAGGAATTCACTTTGGATTCCTGATGATTCCATTCTAGAAATTGGCGACTTCAACGATTCCATCACAATTCCAACTTTTGACGCGTCAATTCCTGTTCATTCCGATTCTTAGGAATGGAATGGGATGGAAATCACGGAATTGGAATCAGGAATTGACAACTCTAATCCAAGCCAGAAAACCGACCGTACACCATCGTCACGACACGTCACAACGTTCACAATTGTCACGTCCTTGGCAACGGCCGCAACGGAAACAGCAAAAGCAAGAGAAAGCAACAGAAAGCAAAGAGCGCAACATCCAGGGCCCACGCAAGCCAGAAAACCGACCGTACAGTCAGAAAAGTAACCAAACCTGCATAGGCAGTAGTCACAATTGACATTCGAAAAGAGCTTGTATCTACGGTTTTCGTTGGGAGAACACGCCTGAAGCATGAATTTTGACGTGATTTGGAATGGTCACAGTGCACAAAAAACATATAAGGTGGCTCACGGTCGAATGCTTCTGGAAAAACCTGCGCAGCGAGCTTCCAGCCGAGTGGGATGTCGCGTATTAGAACTAGAACAGGCTGATCACTGAATCTCTGCCCTCATTACCTCCCGTAGTGAACGTCTCCTCCTTGCGGAGGTTATAACCTCGACCTTCGGTTCCTTGGTTGCGCACCCTGCCAAATAAAAAAAATACCCAATTACCAAATACCCTCACTTCAATCGGAGAAGCAGTGAGGAGCAAAGCTTAGGGACCTACCACCTACTGTCGGCCATCCAGCAACAATGAAATGCATACAAATCCTATGAGTGAAGAAGGCTCAAATAAGAAATCAAGCACAAACGAGCAACCAAGCTCAGTCCATCAGCCTCACTTCCAGCCTACAGCCAGCAACAACGAAAAAGAGCAAGAGATCCTCCGTTTGTCTGATTTCTACAAGGCTCAGTCTCGCTACTTGCCTGCTCTAGAGGTAGGTTGCCGCATGACATTTATCTAATTTCAAACCTAATATTTAACACGTCTTGACTTTTTTCAAACAGAGCCTCCAGCCGTTATTGGCTAAGCGTCACCCGGAAGCGCTACTGAAAGCCTCCCTGATCTATAGTCTAGCTAATGAGCTTACTCCTGCAAAGGTGTGAAAGGCGGCACTCGAAATATTTAGCATGGGGGCTTCAGCCAATAACATTTTTTTGCTCAATTTTTTCAAGGACGCAATTGAGCAGGCTTTACAAGTGGCGGATGACCCCAGATATCATAAAGAGTACGCGAGACTGCTGATGAAGCAGCATACCAGTTTCCATAACACGGACCAAGCGGAAGAACATCTCCGTGAAACGTTACGTGCAGGTGCGTTTAGTCATTTGCTCAATCAGTTGTCTATAGTATAATGGATTCTAATACTTAAATATCTTCGTCTTCTTCCGACCTCAGAACGAAATGACCCTGAAGCTTGGCATATGCTCGGAAATGTTCATGTAAACAACAACCAATACTTGGACGCTTTTCACGACTTTCGAAGATCATTGTAAGCCGAGTATCCACTGTAAACTCATCTGTACTCCCACATTTGCTATCATATACTCATTATACCACATGCGTTTCCAGGGCACTGAAAATGGACGCAGCCGTACTTTACTCTCTCGGCCAACTGTACCAAAAGACCAACCAGCTCGCCGACGCACTGGAAGCATACTCATCATCAATCCGAATAAATCCACACGATCCACAAAACGTGAATACATGGATGGCCATGGCCCTCATATTTAAAAACTCGTATAGGCCGGAGGATGCCATCGACTCATATCGAAGAGTGCTAGAGCTTGATCCTTCACATGTCGAAGCACAGCAGCAAGTAGATGCCTTGAATCCACCACCTCCGATACAAAGTTCACTACCGCCTCATATGAGTAGTAGTAGACTACCGCCAAATCAACAACAACACCAGCATCATCATCACCAGCAACAGTATAATCCTCAACAATATCAACAGCGCCCTCCTCAAAGCATGGCACCACCACGACGTCCAGGTGGATTTCCATTACCACCCTTCTCAAGTGCACCACCACCACAACAATACGGATATAGCAATGATCCATATCAAAACACTCCACCGCAGTATAATAGTGGAAGTCCGTATTACGGTGGCCAACAGCAGCAGCCACCCCCACCACATCAATACAACAATAGTGGACAATATAATCCTGCTGGACCGTACAACCCAAGTGGACCTCATAACAGCAATATTCCATACAATAACAACAGTGGGCCACCGAGACGGCCTCCATTAGATCAACGCCAAAAAGAGTAAGCACGGAATAGTTAGCATGGAACCAGAGAAAGAACAACAAACAAGTGATGGAACGGGTGTAAATGTTTGTAGGGGTGTAGATATACTTGTGTGTAAAAGCAAAGACTCAATTGTATTGCGATAAATTATAACGAGGCCAAGATACAACAATATAGCATTTTTTGAATCGCCCGCACACACATCATACGTATCACAGAATTCTCTTGCAAAGTCGTTCAATAGGGAGTGTGAATGGTCTGCCTTCAATTCTGTAGTTTGTTCTGCCACTGATCCGTTCGTCGAGTCTCTTGGTTAAGAGAGAGCGATGGCAACCACAAAGGATTGCAACAGTGGATTTGTTTGCTTCGAAAGCTCTTCAACCAAAACAACAAGAAACGTCCTCCAACCGAAAAAAATACGTTGAAAAGCAAGCATACATTTCTTTGTTAATTAACCAACAAGAACAAGTCCTAAACAATTGCATTTATTCTCGTTCGATAACAGAGGCAGCACCCACTAATTGAGGGGAAAATAAACGGTTAGCACCACTGTAATACGAAATTACTCTTCCGTTTTGTCCAAATCAAAAACCTACTTCCAGATCCAATACACATGGAGGTGACACCAATCTTCTTTCCTTGTCGCTTGAGTTCGGGCAATATGGTGGCGATTTGACGAGCACCCTGTTACGAAAATTCAGTCAAAAACGGAACACACTTCCAAAAAAGGGAGCATTCCAACTTACAGTGCAACCTAATGGATGACCGATGGCAATGGCACCACCCTTGGGGTTGACCTTGGCGTAGTCAAGACCCAATTTCTCAATAGAGTAGACAGCTTGAGAAGCAAAGGCTTCGTTGATTTCGTAGATGTCGACGTCTCCCTTGGTTATGCCAGCGTGAGCTAGAACTTTAGGGATGGCAAAAGCTGGGCCAATTCCCATAACGCGTGGGGGCTAACAAAGCAAAGAGCGACAAGTTAGCTACAATTCAAGGGTGGTCTAACAGAGACAGATAACTTACAACACCAGCAGTAGCAAAAGCAACGAACTTGCCAAGGATGGTCAAACCTAGTTCCTGAGCCTTTGATCTCTTCATCAAGAGAACGGCAGCAGCACCGTCAGATACTTGAGACGAGTTACCAGCAGTGGTGGTTCCTCCTGCCTTGAATGCAGGCTTCAATTTAGCCAAACCTTCCAAGGTGGTGTCGGCTCTCATACCGTCGTCACGGGTGACGGTGACGGGAGTCTTTTTGCCATCAGCACCAATGACTTCGGTGTGTACTGGTACGATTTCTTCGTCGTACCACCCGGAAGCCCATGCCTTGGCAGCCTTGAGGTTGGATGCTACGGCCAGCTTGTCTTGGCTTTCACGAGAGACGCCAAAGTCAGAAGCAACGTTTTCTGAGGTGATACCCTACAAAAAGTAAGGTTGAGATCAAGAGGGTATCGATCCAACTATCAGTCACTGGAATACCATGGGAATCAAACAGTCAGCAGCAGATGGGACGGCGAGAATTTTAGGATCAACCTTGGCAGCTGGAGCGTTTCCGTATTGGGTCGACATACTCTCAACACCTGCACCAATACCGATTTCAATGGTACCTGGGAAATTGTAAAGTTAGCAAGTCTTACCGAGATTGGGAAATATCTGTTCAATGTCTCACCAGTAGCGATAGCGGCAGCGATGTAGTGAGTAGATTGTAGGCCAGATGAGCATTGTCTGTTTACGGTACAGACAGAGGTGGTGTCAGGGAATCCTAGTAACCAAAAAGCAGAATCAGCAATCAGTAACGTAAAATGAAACAAAAAAATCGTTCTCACCAGCAGCCAAGGCAGCCATACGGGCTTGTGTTGCTCCACCGCCTGGAGGTAAAACGTTGCCGACTTGGATGTCCTCTGTAAAAACAACGTTAGATTCGTGCTTCCCAAAAATGGAAGAAACGACAAAGCCTTACCAACAAGAGCTGGGTTGATCTTGGTACGGTCGAGGATTCCCTTCAATACAGTAGCCAATAAGAGATCTGGAGTGGTGTCCTTGAGACCACCTCGACGAGCCTTGGTGATTGGAGTACGGACTAGATGAAAGGAGCGTGGGGGGATGAGTCTTTTTTTTTCGTGGTTTTCTCAAACAATGCAGTTCCAACAAGAGCTCCAGTGTATCGTCAATCAATTGATGCAAGAAGATTCAAACAACGCTACTTTTAGGTGGTTTCAATTCAAAAACTCACCAGCTGCTACAATCACTACATCGTCTTGACTTTTGACGCCAATCTTTGAGGCAGCTAGATAATGAGATGCAGTTAGAATCGATGAATTGAATATAATTCGTATTCGAATGCTACGTCGCGGTTATGTATCTGGTCTTTGCATGTGTCAAATTGGCTAACGAAGCAGACAGAACGATTTTCTTCAGCGCTTACATGTGCGGTTTTCTGAGACGACGACTGAGCTTTGGGTCTGCTCTTGTAGTTGGGAAGTGAGCTGGTTGATACGGGATGCCATATTTGTCGATTGCTTCTGCTTGAAAGAGTGAGTGAGATTCCAGCGAGAAAGTGCAAGCGAAAAATAAAAGGTGAGACAAAAGTGGTGAGTAAGCAGGGGAGTGACCTACTACGTCATTTGCGGAAGGTAGGCATTACAAAGAGGATCAGGCAGTTGACGCGTTCTTGCATACATCACGCTTGATCTGACAGTTTCTAATGCTTTGCTCAAACTTGAGTGAATTTCTCTCTACCTCCAACTTTTGAGTTTTTGATAGAACTTTCCAATGAGACTATGGGTTGGTGTTGACAAAATAATCTAGGATTGTATTCATTGAAATCTAAATAAAAAGCAAGAAGCAATAAAGATTCATCTCACAATTCCAGCATCTTGTTCAACTCTTTACTGAGCAGATATGCCTTGGACGATGTGTTGAAGGACTGTGTCGAGCTCTTTACAACACCTTCCACCTCCAGTGCTCTACAGAGTTCCAATACGGTCTCTGGAGCATACTTTATCAATAGGCCCAAAGCAGCGAGGAGCCTCAAAACTAGCAAAGCCAATGTAAAGAGCGATGAGTTTCTGTGTAAAGGGAAATATATTAAAGATGAACTTGCTATAGACACTCACTAGTTTCTTCATCCTTGACTGCTGCAACTGCTTGACTAACACCAGCAACAATCTCACAAGCAAAGTCTTCGTCACAATCTGGATACGATTCGTGAATATATCGAGCTAAATTGAAGGCTAACGAAGCAGAAGCCTGATGCACTGTAGGATCTTCATGCAGTAATGAGTCCACTAGTAAGCTGGTGAGTAATTGCCTTGGTATCAGACCAAATGTCGTTTTTTGGGTTGATGTTATATAGTTGGTTGAATTGGCTGTTGCAAACATGTTTGATCCGACTCGTAGCACCATGAGACTGACTGCGCGTATCTGTTTACCGCTTCCGTACTTTGATACTGTTTTTACGAGTATTCCTTCAGATATGAGTGTTTGCAAGGCGATGGGATCAAGCACCAGTAAACGGATAATGTCCAATAAGGGAAAGACTTGATCGGGAGCTAATTTTTCGAGTGCACCTTCTAAAAAATTCAACAAGGGTTAAGTGGGATGATCTTGGATGAACTAGCACGAAAACTTACGAATGGCGACGTTCCAACCAGAGGGCAGAGGAGACCTGGTTTTCATGGATTCCTTTATAGCATTCCAAAAATTCACATCCACATCTACACCCAAGAAGCCTTGAAGCTTTGAGAATATAGCATCCAACGAAGTCGAGGCAGAGAACGTTATCGGTGCAACAGAAAAAGAATCCAGTATTGGCGTTGCGACTTTCCCATGTTTGTGTGCTAAATGAAAATACCAGTCAGAGAGACAAAAACCGAAAAAGGAGAAAGAAGAGCAAGCTTACGCGGATATGCAGAAAATTGCAGTAGGTTGATTGACGACTTGAGTTCTGCCACATCGGCACCTTTAAACTGACTCATGACTTTCCCGTCGAGAATAAAGATGAATGTGGGCGTTACGTTGACATTGTAATGGCTTGCTATTGACTGAGACATTGGTGTTTCAATCTTGACACCGACGACACCTGTGTTTGTAGTTTGTTTGACTCCTGCTGGTTTATAATTTATAGATTCCTGTATCAGGTTTTCGAAATGAGGAGCAATCATTCTACAAGGTCCACACGTCTGTGACGTGAAATCCAACACGACGCATCGGTTTTGAGCTAGTATTGGTTCTAGTTGTTGCATGGTGAATATGTTTTGTAATAGGGAGGATGATTGACCGTTTGCAGGAGCAGCTGCTGATGGTGTTGATACTGCTGTAGGGTGTCTCGACGCCCCAAACATGTTTTCAATCATGGGCCTCAATTGATTTCCAAAAGGTGTCGATAAGAAGTTTGCAGGGAGACTGAGTATATGATCTGGGATTGTTTTGCCGACCAGGAATTGGCACAAGGCATTTGAAAAGTCGTTACAGTTCGAGTCCAGCAAGTGATATTTGTCGCCAGTGTAGACTCCCCTCAGGGAATCGATGTATTCCATGACTACTTCGTGTGGGATCTGTGTAAAGGTTTAAAGTAGTTTGATCAGCAATCGTAATCGTGAGAGTTTCAATGAAGCTCGAGCGAGTGAATCTTCTGAACTCATGAATCCAGGTACATACATGAGTTTGGCCCATGTCAACGACCTCTAATGGATTTCCGAATGGAGATCCTCCAGGCGTCGATCCTTCAATCCCACCTCCACCAAAGAAATCTAGAATAAAGTTAAGAGTTTAGTTGGTAATAGTTGAGATAGCGATCAAAAGATGTTGATGCCAATATTCGACAGGTACAACGTTATGATGAAGTGCTCACATTCGGTACCAAATATGACGACGGCAGTATGATAGATAGCATCGAAATGCTGTCCAGTCAACATGAGCGAAAGAGATCGGGCCATGCCATTCGAAATGTCATAAACATATAACTGCACGTCGGCCATTCTTGAATCTCTATAGGGAAGTCAGTGATCAGCTTGATACTATCTGTTACACGCATTTCAATCGACCTCTATCACTTACTAGTAGCCCTAATTCCTCACGCTCTCCTACTTGCAAACAGACACAACTACTTTTTGCTGGACAAGGTGACGTGGCGATCAGAACTTGCGCAAGCCCAAACCACGTCACGTTCAGCTAAAATACACGCTTGGAAAATGCCAAAATACATATATTATAGCTAGGTTCCAAAAACTTGAATGGTGCCGTTTGGTTTCAACTCTGTCAACACCAACAACAAAGCATTTTCGTGAAGAGTAGTTTGCGAGTTTAGTTAGTAGCAGAGATGGCAGAAGGACAACAAGAAACCGGCACCAAGTGCTTCGTAGGCAAGTCATCCCTCCTCCTTCGTCATGTTTTATTTATTGGGTGAACTATAAGTGTCCAAGCTAACCAGAAAAAAAAACCTTGTTTTTCACTTTTTCAGGTAACCTCTCATGGTCCACCACCTCAGAATCTATGCGAGGTGCATTCGAAAGATTCGGAGAAGTCACTGTATGTCTTGAACAACCCTGGTTTCTCCCCGGTGCAATGCTCATTTAAAACCATTTTCTTTTCTGTTTAAAGGATTCTTTCGTCTTGAAAGACAGGGAGACTGGTTCGTGCATCCACGTCTTATTCAATCAGATGCATCATTGAAATTGCATATTTAATCATAAACTTACCGTTTTTCTGTTGTTTTTTCAGGTCGAAGCCGTGGTTTTGGTTTCATCACTGTACGTGGTTCGCCAAGTCGCTGTGTCTGTATTGTTACATAGCTAATCATTCCTAACATATTCAAACGCGTATATCTTAGTTCGCAGCCCCTCAATCTGCGCAAGATGCTATCGCTCAAATGGATGGCCAAGACCTAGAAGGTCGAAACGTCCGAGTCAACCTTGCTAGTAAGTTCTCGTCGCATTACCATCTTGCTGAACAGAGGAAATGCTATACGTTGGACGTTTCTCCGCTCCGTGTCGCATTGACCTTGCTTGACGACTTGACGTATATGTTCTCATCACCCCCCTTCATTCAATAGACGACAAGGGTGACCGTGATGGTGGATCCGGTGGTGGATTCCGTGGAGGTCGTGGTGGTGGATTCCGTGGCGGTACGTTCCAAACAATCTGCCAGATCATCGAGGCTCCAGAGTGGGATTTTTTGCTCAATGAACCTTCGTCCATAGGTCGCGGTGGTGGCCGAGGTGGTTACTCCAACGACTCTGGCAACTGGCGACAAGGTGGCGGTGGTGGTGGATACGACAACCAACAACAACAAGGTGGTGGACAATGGTAAACCATCAATGGTTGTTGAATGAGGTAAGCAATTCATACCTTGTATTGCAATTTAGTTTGTTTTCAACCATAGTTTCTGCGCTGACACGAGCATGTTTCTAGTGGTAGTCTGATATAAAAAAAGATCATGGTTGCTATATTGGTTGAGATGGTGTTTCTGTTTGTGTGCGTGAGAAAGCTGGAAGAAAGTTAGCACGGCCCTTGGACTTTATGTAAATAAATCTCTTCAATCCGTCAGAAAATCTTCCTTGGTCGTCGCGGCATTTTCGGTCATTGTCATTCTTCCGGCAACTGCGACACGTTTTAGCTCAAATACGATTCTAATCTGTTGGAGTCAACACGTTCCAGCTCAAATCTGTTGGAGTTGATATATAGAAAGACGGCCGACTCTGCATCGTTGAAATCCTTCGTTCCTGTCTGCCTGCCAAAAGCTTGGATTGCTTTGTGTGACTATAAAAGCGGTGCGTTTACAGCCCCTTCGAAAAAAAATAAGTTTTGGTAGAGATTGCGTGAATGTTACTTGATCATTGAATGTCTTGCCATCCATGTACTAACAGGCCTCGATTCTAAACAAAAGATGCTCTCTGATGTCGAAACCGAGTCACATCCACCTGACAATCCAGGACCAACTCTCGATGATTTGAGCGATTGGAGCGACGAAGAAGTGTTAAACGTCGAATATATAAGTGATGAGATCAAACGCCAAAGGATTACTGCATCATGTGTCAGGCTGGCGTCCAATGGGGATGTGCTTTCGCTCCAAGAGCTGTTGTCATCACCACTGAAACGACCATATCTGGATGTAAACGCTACCGATGCTGATATGTGTCCGCCAATCGTGTATGCTGCCTGTTTTGGGCATCATCAGACGGTCCAGCTGCTGCTGCAAAGTGGGGCAGTTATAGATGCTACCGATCGTTTTGGATGGACTGCTCTTGTAAGTGATATTCTGCGACTCAACCTCCTTGTACCTTGTTGCGTTGTACTAACTGTTGCACACAATTAGATGTGGGCATGTGCTAACTCTCATCGCGTGTTGATTGCATTGCTGATTGACAATGGAGCGAATACGAATGCCACGTCAGTCAATGGACGAAGTGCTAATGACTACTTGGATGCTTCGACTGATGCTCAGTCTGCTTCGGATGAAAGCCCGTTGGGATCAGATTCTACGTCTGCGACACAATCCACACTAGATGATTCAGAGGAAGAAACCATGCATCGTATATCGTTAGTGGATGATGACCGATCTGACGTGGGCGAGTACAATTATAATTACGATGTAGATGTTTTTGACTGGTCGCATGGCCTTCTGGGTGAGTTTTTCGGTACTTCCGCCCACATCGAAACCAACTAACTCTGGCAACACCAACAGATCAAATCCTGGTATACGAAGACAAAAATCTACAACACATCCTAAACGTGGTCGTAGAGCTCGTAAAACCAAGCCGCCACAAACTAGCACCAGCATCCATCCTCTTCCTCTGTTCGAGATTCGCACATTACTACCGCACCCAGCATCACGTCGAGCACTTTTTCGATGTATCCATTAGCGCTATTATAAAGGAAATCGAATGTAAAAGCAATATCGACGACTCGGCACAACTAGCTTCCATTATGGGCAATCTCGTTAGGCTGCTCCAGTATTTGAAACGTGATGAGGGACTCATGAGCGTTACAGTCGAAGTGCAATGTACATTATCCGAGTTGATCTCTGACGTATACCACGTAATCGTTCGTGATGCCGAACGTCGACTCCATAGTATTTTAGAACACGCGATATTATCATATGAGGCCACAACCACGGATGTCAAATTTGAAGGAATTGTAGCTTCGTTATCACGACGACGAAGCTTCATGTCATCGAATGGTGCTAACAGTAGTAGTGCAAGTAACCGAATGTCACTCCAACTGGGTTTCGCTCCAGCATCAAACGCCTTGTCTCGACCGTTAATGACGTCTAGGATATCACAACCGGTGAAATCAAGCAGATCCTCTTTAAGGGGGCCGTATAAGGTTAATCCAGATACATTAACTTCGACTCTATCCAGGTTAGTTGGGACCGAGGACTCTCATTAGGAGATCATGATTCTCACTCAGTTTTTTTTAGCACACTGAACATCCTCAAGGGCTCATGTGTACCATTATCGATTGCTCAACAAGTCTTTATACAATTGATTCGGTTCATTGCCAGTGAAGTTTTCAACCGCTTGTTATCGGATCGAACATATTGTTGTCGGTAGGTTGCTTGGCTGCCGTATTCTTCGCATATGTTCAAGAATTGTTTTGCGCCATGTAGCTATTGACCTTGCAATCTCACCCTCCACCCTTTGTCTCTCTTACACCAGCTCCAAAGCAATCCACATCCGAATGAACCTCTTCCACATCGAAGAATGGCTACAATCCACTCGCCCATTCACTTCACTCACCCAATATCTAAAACCTGCCATCCAGCTATCCCAATTCCTACAGATTGCAACGACGCTGAAGACCGCACATGAATTTCATGAATATACAATACGACTGAGTTGTTTGAGCATACAATCTATACGGGCTGCAATGTCGAATTATAGGTTTGAAGCTGGAGAAGAGTCATTCAATGAAGAAATTGAAATGTATATATCGGATGCATGCGAGGAGGCAAGTGTAGCAGATGTTGATGGAGGATCGCCGGTACCGTTAAATGAGATGCTGGATTGTGAGGCCCTGCCGTTTAGGTTGCCACCGTTGCGAGGTGGGATATCGGGATCGACACATCATCAGTCTAATAGTGACGCAGAGTGGGGTTTTGCAGGACCTGTATTAGCACCAGATATATTAAGGAAGCTGGAAGTGCATGATTGGGATGATACGCTCACCTCTAGAAGGGAAGAGAAAGTTGTAGCAGAAACTACGGAATCGCGCGGGCTGGACTTTTCGAGATTCTGGAGGAATTGATAAATAATGATTGATTTTTTTGCAGCTCGATTGAGCTTGAAGCTTTTTAATGTAAAAAGACCACACCTGTGACATCTACTAATATAAATATATTTTTGATCTCAACCTATACATAATTCATACATGCTCTGCGTCAACTCATCTCCTCCTATCCCTCTGTTCATCATCACGATCATCCTCACGACGACGTTTGTACCTGTCCTCCTCACCAGGACGCATCGTATACCTAGAATTATACGGTTCACTTTCTCTATCTCTTCCGACCCTCCTGATATCTCTACTCCTATCGTCCATGTGATAATCATCATCTTCTCGTTTGATATCTCGTGTAGGTGCATCTCGTCTCCTATCATGTCTATAATCGTCTTCTCGTTTGATATCTCGTATAGGCTCATCTCTTCTCCTATCTCCCCGGTAATCATCTTCTCGTCTTCTATCTCTCCTATAATCATCATCTTTTCTCTTGATTTCATCTTCTCGTTTGATTGAATCTTCTCGTTTAATATCGTCAATTTTTCGAGGTCGTGAATCTCGATCACTATCGTTATCATCGTCATCAGAGTCTTTCGAATGCTTACGTTTCTTGTCCTTTTTAGACTTTTTCTCCTTCTTGACCTTTTTGGCAGCCTTCTTGGCAGCTTTTGTCAAGAGATATTCACGCATGGGGTCGTCAGGGTCAAGACCTAGTGCTCGTGCTGTGTCAGAGTCTGGAGTTGGTTCTCGTGCGGTTGGGTCCTCTGATATAAAGTTTGGGATAGACAATGAGATTCTATTGATTGCTTTTTTTGGTTCATCACATTTTCAGTGTTCCGACTGCGAGTCTTTACCTGGCGGTCTATCTTCAGGAGGAAGTAAATGTATAGGTACGACAGCACGTCTCTTGACTCGTTGCCGTTCTTCAAAGGCTTCATCTTCTTCATTCTTGTTTTTGGCTTCTCCTTTATACTTTGCACAGTGATCTACTCTGACTGTGCGTTCCATTATCTAAGGACATATAAGTTGTTAGATATGGTGTAGTGTTGTAGGAGTTGACGACGGCTTCAAATTCAAATTCGTTTTTCTCTTCTAGCTCTACCTTGAGTCCATTAAAGTTATCGACAGCAAGAATAGTAGACCGCTGATCTTCATAACCAATGAAACAAAATCCCTTTGATTTTCCAGTTTGGCGATCTCGTACAAGGTGAATGTCGACAATCTCACCCCATCTAGTAGGCAAGATGTTTGGTGAGCCAAAACAGCCCAAAAGGCAAGGCAATACTTATCTTGCAATGAAAGAGATTGAAATCAGCTCTGGACAGCTTACTGCGAAAAGACAGCAATGACATCTCCTTCATTCAGATCGTATGGAATGTTGCCTGCGTACACATATGCCGAGTCCTAAACGAGGAAATATAAGTACATAGACAACATAGCAAGACATTTATAGCATATGTATACATGGCACCTACTTGATAATGAGCGTGCCATGAAGAAGATTCGGACAAGTCACGAAAGAGCTCTTGAGCATTGATTCTCTCGATTTCCTTGATGACACTTATGTATATGAGCATGTTAGTTAAATGACTACACAAATTGAAGCTACTTCAATAGCGCTTACTTCATATTCTTGAGTGTTTGCCTAGGTGGAAAGTCAATGTTGATTCTCAAGGGAGCTCATACGTGTGGCTTGTAAACAAGTACCTCGACTTTTTTGGACACCGTCAAACTACCACATACATTCAACGACACAGAAGCAACCCAACCGAACGATGGCACCACAGGTAAGCTGACATCCACGATTGATGGCCACAGTGCCCGAAACGAGGGGGAAAGATTAAATCACGAGTAGCCACAAAATGTTTTTTCTTAAACATTGGTTTGCTCAACTTTCCCCGTCCTCGACAAACTAGAAAAAGGACCTCAAGAAGAAGGCTAAAGCCCCCGTCAAATTCACTATCGACTGCTCGGCCCCTGCTGGTGATGGCATCTTTGATGTAGCTGCTTTCGTAAGTCATCATCAAACAACATGTTGCATTTGCATCCATCATGACTTGACACTGATTGATTTATATTATTGTAGGAAAAGTTCTTACACGACCGCATCAAAGTCTCTGGCCGAACAAACAATTTGGGTGAAGCCGTCGCCATCAGCAAGGCCTCTGCAAAGTCGGCGGAAGTCGCAATCACCATCAAGGATGTCCAATTCGCAAAACGTTACTTGAAATACTTGACAAAGAAGGTACATTTGTAGTTGCTGTGTTGTTGATGGCTGTTGTGGCCATTCTCTCTCAGTATTGTTGTTTTTTTGTTGCACTGCAAGACGATTCTGACACTTTTTCTCCTCTTACACTAGTTCTTGAAAAAGAACAGCTTACGAGACTACATGCGAGTGGTTGCCAAGGGAAAAACTGGCTATGAATTGAAGTACTTCAAGTTGGATGAAGATGCTGAAGAAGAAGCTGACGAATAAGAGTCCCCTCCGTACTCTTTTTATTCTTCCGCTTGCCATTGTTTACTGAGCCCCCAAGTAAACTGTAAAATATAAAATCTCTCTTGCTCACACCACCCATCAATATGCCTTTTGTTTGGAAACGTGTGTTATGCGCTCATAAGGGTTGTGAAGCCTTCTCTTTTTGGTGTAGGCACTACAAACTGAAACTCTGCTTATTATGATGCGAAACATATATTTCTATGTATTTAAGAGTTGAATCAATGTTTATACAGCAATGCAAAAAAGTGACCTAGAACCGCTCTATGACAACCATCACATACATGCTCATCTCCTCCTCCATATATCCATAATAGAAGGAATCCAGTTCCCAATCCCCCTCGTCCACCCAACCAGATTCGACAAGGCCGTAAAACTAGTATTATTATTAATCCACCACATGGCACAGATAGTAGCTACCGATACATACATTCCTAAATACGTGACTCCAGTCTCCTTCCCATTATTATGATGATTAGATGACAAGGCCGAGTAATCTCCAAGAATACGCTGATATGGTGGGATATCCTGTTTTGGAATTGACGTCGTAGAGTTCCTTCTACTGGTTTGATTATATACATTATGGATGGCGCCATTTTCTTTCACTGGAGATGTGCGTGAATTGGATGTTGATCTCATCATTGCTTTGCCGACTTCTGTGTTGTTGTTACTAGTACTTACGATGGCCCAATCATCATCTTCTGCATCAACAAAGTTAGGTTTGTGTGGTCGGTTTATTCTAGGTAGACTTCCTTTTCGTGATAGTTGATGGGGGTCGATGGGTGATGATGGGCTGCTATTGCTATGGTTGTTGATTGTGAAGGAGGAGTTGCTAGCAGATTTTCGGGGTGTGTTGTTGGTATCTACTTTTACTGGTGCTCTAGGTGGTTTAGGTGAAGCTTTTGCACTATTACTAACGTTAAGAGAGTCTGTCGACGCAGCGGTGGGTAAGGAGCGAGTTGACGATGGAGAAGCAGCAGTAGCAGAGACAGATGAGGACGAAGAAGAGCGTGGTGGTGCTGAAGACGATCTAGCAGGCATGACAGACGATCGTATCTTTTCAAATATCGGTATTCTAGTTTCCTGAGGAGGTGATGGTATTGTTTCAAAAGCATCATAAAACATGTCGTCTTCTGCTGATGATTCATCCGAGTAATCTTCCAACGCCCTCTTTTTACTTTTACTCGGTTCGTCGATACCATTTGAGACTGGATGGCCGTTTGCTGTTTTAAAGGTGCGAGCTGGAGTGGTATCGTTGCCCGAGTCGACGGCCTCTTCTTCTTCATCGTCGGCTGCGGCTGTTACTAGACCACCTTTTCTATCTATAACTATATCATCGTCCGTCTCGTCGTCGACTAATACTGGATCTACGCTCCTCTCACTATCATCTGCAATCAAAGCTTGATATGCCTGCTGTAACGCTGGCACTGCTGCAATGTAGGCTTCAGCATTGACTCCAAACTCGGCAAAGTAAGCATCATCCTGTAACACGTATGGGTCGGATCCAGATCCACATTTGCGTAACAGAGCGTCGACATCTCGGACGTGTTCTGATACAGCAGACTTTTCTACAAATTGCAGTTTGTTTGAGACCTCATGTGGCAGCGTTGCTTTCAAAATACTCCAGGCGCCAGCATAGACCCAAGAATATCCTAAAACGTATAAAGTAGCGACCATTCCTGGTAGATTGTTATGAAACAGATGGTATATGGTTGGGACAGCTGTAAAGTCCTGGTTTCAAAAAGTGTTTCAAAATTAGATTCGATTGAGGAACGATCGCTGTGCGAGCTAAGCGGAGAGGGTTCGGCTAGGATCTTACCATGTTGTGTCGTCCAACATCTTCCAAATCAACAACGATAGAAAACTGAGTAGCAAAAGGCACCTCTCGTACACCATCTTGCTTCTCTTTCTCGTCATGGAAGTCATTCATAGATTTAAGTATACGTCGTCCACATTCGAATACAAAGAGCGCAAACATTTTCAAGTCTTCATGGGAAGCTCCATGGAATCGGGCCAGATTGACAACCATCAGCGGTATGCCATTCAAATCGGATCCATAAAAGTGCAGGAGTCCGGCCTGTAAGATGCTATGGGAGCCATGGGACAGAGAAGAGAGGGAGATCAGGGGCACGTGTTGTTTGATACGCCAGTCAAAGTGTTGCAAGATGGCAGCCTCCGTGTCCGCAACCTGAAACTTGTAGAATTTAAAGTAGCGTAAGACAAAGGCTATGAAATTTGAAGTAATGATTAGAAGTTTGCCAATAAAAAAACCATCTATAAAGTCCAGTCGAAAAAAAGTAAAACAAATGTGATACAATTGGCTGTCTGAGTTTGATGAAAGTTGTCCCATATGCTCATACGACAAAGACACGATATACACAACGGAGAGCAGCTTACAATCATCCGATACCAATTCAATCAGACCAGCTAGATGACTTGGTGGGGCTCTCTTTGTCAAATACCAAGATTCTAGGGTTTTTGCAAGGTATTTCTGAATGCCACGAAGAGTAGCTGAGTGGGTCACCCGCAGCTGTGGGTAGTTGGTCATATATGGATTCGCTGGCTGTTATCTCCCACTTTTGGTTTTGTCTATGGTGTGTCTCTGTTTTGTTTCAAAGTTGCAGGAAATTGGGTTGTTAGGGGGACTAGGAGACGTGGCAATCCGGATCGACAACTGAAGTGTGGATTTCTTCGTATTTTTGGCATTTTTTACGTGTTTTGATTCTCATCTGCCACGTAATGTAGGTTTGTTGGGCAGGCATCGCAACCAGCATCACTGTGCTCTTCGTCTTTCGGATGGATCCAAGATCATTCGGCAACAAGTGACTGATCGTCGAGTTTCATAGTCCAACAACAAAGTTCGCACTGTTACAAAGCTCGTTTGTTTATGGTGTTCTCAAACTGGACGTCATGAATGTTGCATCAAGACTTCCCTTGACGTTTGAATCAAACGCATGTCAGATCAAAACAAATACGCACAAGATCTGATATTCTCATGTGGATTCAATTTCTATTTGACGCTTTCTTGACCAGTATGACATCGTGGCATCTAGCTATGACTCTCAACTTTGTGACAGAAACGCTTCCAAGAAACCACATTGACATTTCACAACAACGAGATGTACCACAACCAGTGCAACCATATGAGGACCATCGATTGCATGACTGGAGTTGATCGTAATTAATCGAAAATTACGTTTTTTTTGGGCACTTTAAATGAATGACACGACAATTCCTACAAATAGCCAACAACACGTTATAGCTTTGTAGCATCTTAATGGATGAGTTTGCTTGCATCCTACTTGTATTTTTTGGTATTTGCACGTGTTTGGTTGCGTTTACAAAAAACACGATTGATTGGTCTATGCCTTCAGGGTGACCACAATGTACCACATCGATTGCAACACGTCCACTTTTACACGTTCGCTTTCATTCTTCCGTTACTCGCTTAGTTTTCTACGTAAGTTCTTCCACGTTGTTCACCTGCCGTTCAAACTCAACAAATTCAGCATTATAACAACTTTGATAACTTTAAACTCCTCTCGTTAGCCGTACAGCAAACATGTCTGTGAACGACCAGGTCTTATATTACGTCGCCCAGGTATGAAAGCAAACATGGTCCCGATAAGCTCTCGTTATATTCAAACATTGGTCCTTTTGGGCGCGATTGCAAACTGTGACAGGAGTGTTTAAGGACGAGGGGAGAAAGTCTATGTGTCTTTATTTATCGTATAAATTGTTATCTGCTGGTTCGATATGAAGTGGAAGTGTCTTGTTACACCTCCTGGCCTGAAACACATCAAAATTTTGAGAGATAATAATCACACTCATAACTCGGTCTGGCCCAACTATACTAACTGACAATATTTCTATTGCGAATAGTTTGATAAGGAACTCTCTAAATTCCCATGGGCCATTGAATTGGAAAAGAGAACCAAAGTGCCAAAGACTTACCTTGTTGGAGGTGCTGGTGCTGTCTTGGCTGTCCTTATCTTCTTCAACGGTCAGTTTGAGAATACCTGTCTTGAAGTCGGATGTCATCAATACGTGTCCAACACAACACTCACTCTTTTTGCCTTGAATAGTCTGGGGTAACTTGTTGACCAACTTGATTGGTTTCGTGTACCCAGCATATGCAAGTTTCAAGGCCATCGAGTCTCCAAACAAGGAAGATGATGTTCAATGGTAGGCCTGAAAACACCACAAGCTGATCATTGGATCATAATTACTCATGCTCACATTTTCCTTTTGTTCGTTGAAGGTTGTCATACTGGGTCGTCTTTGGTCTCCTCAACGTTCTCGAATTCTTTACCGACTTTTTGTTGTTCTGGGTTCCATTCTACTACTCATTCAAGACTGCTTTCGTCGTCTACCTGTTGTTGCCTCAAACTAATGCAAGTCTTGCTGTTAAAGTTAAGCGTGTTTCTATAATATGTTGCTGACAACTTTTGTTTGGTTGTAGGGTGCCGCCTTCTTATACCAAAAGTTTATTCGTCCTACTTTATTGAAGGAACAAACTCACATTGATGCTGGCTTCAACAAAGTCAAGGTGAGCATTCGGTCTGAAAACAATCGAATTTTTTGTGTTTGCTGAAATGTTCCTTCCCATCAAACAAACAACGCCATATGCTATTCTTGATTTTTGATGTACTTGCAATTGCAACTGGATTTCTAAAACACAAATAATTTGCTTTACAGAACTAAAATCACAAAACAAAATACCCACACGTACAATACCCCACACTTTTAGGCAAAGGCTGCTCAAGCAGTCAACGACATGAACAAATCAGAATAAATTTAAAAACCCCCCCAAAAAAACTCTTTCCTTTTCTTTATGATGTTGTCGCCCCCTTCTTGAATTTGAGGAGGGACGTTTTTGTTGAGAGGTGGTGTTTTGGTGACCATTAACTCTGTTTGTAAAACCTGAATCATGTAACAACGAAACTCATTTAAGGAAAACACATTGTGACTACGTTTTTTGATGAACTTTTTACGTTGAGTTAAATTTAGAGTATCTACATATTTGCAATAGTGTGAAAGAAGGTCCATTTATACACTGGTGGTCTTGGCAAAGATGAACGATATTGGACTTCCATGTTCAAGGACGGCTTCAAGGACATCGTCATCAACCCTCTCGGTACGTGCGGCAGTACGAATGTGAGACCAGTCTTGAAGTTCTTTCAAATCGTATGCGCCAACCACCGATTTTGTTTTGACTTGCTCCTAAGTTGAGTTTGATTCGTTATGGGTAGGGCGGCGAGAAAAAAAACTCCACAAGATTTATGGATCGGTACCATGCATGGGCAACCCATTTGCTCATGTGTCAAACAATCGGTATCTGGATCAAATGTGAATAGATCTCGCAATTCTTCGTTGCTGAATGAATTGGATTCGAATGAGGCACTGTCCTATATAAGCAACACACGACGAGTCTGAGAAACTCTTCATATACAAAACAGGAGCAACAAATTCTATACCATCAGAGAATCACTAAGCGCCTCTTTGGTGAGTTGTCTCTGAAAGATCTTCTCCTCGATACTTGCACATGCCAGCAAACGATAGATCTTGACATGACTAGCTTTATTGCCATCCCTCCAGATTCGTGCCATTGCTTGACGGCATACAGCAGGGTTCTAAAGCAATTATTCCTTAGTTCAATGAGGTATTTTGTTCAAAGATTCTAGACCACTTTACGAGCTGAGGAACTGACCCAATCGATATCAAACAAGATCAATCTTGATGCGCCAAACAAATTGAGACCAACACCTCCAGCTTTGGCAGAAAGCAGAAACAAGACTAATTGTGAAATAGGGCAATATGAACGATTGTTTCAGCCAACATAGAATCAACTAGTTGAACTCACAGTGTTCAGAAGTATTGTTAAATCGGTCAACCAAACTAAACACGAGAAGTAAAATAAACTGAGCACCCTGATGATGTATTCCAACAACATCGTCTCACTCTTGCCGTTTGCCAACAGCAGTTTTGCCGTCGAGCCTCAAGTATTTGAAATCTTCCTTTTGAGCAAGTAAAGCAAAAGGATCCAAGATCCTCGTGAAATTGGAGACCAGTACAACCTGTAAATTCGTAAGTAAATTCGTAAGGTGGGGGGGGGGGGAGAGAATGAGAACAAAGCATGGTATGGTTTCGTTATTATCATGTGAATGCCTTTTGGTTTGGACAGGTATTCTTGATTGCACGCAGCATGTCCCTTAGCACCACCATCTTGGAACTCGTTTCAATAGGTAAATTGTCAGAAAGTTGAGTGTCTTGTCCTTCTGGTCCTTCATCATCGTCTTGAGAAGTATCCAGCCATGGCGCATTCGCAACAGTTCTCAATTTGTTGATATGCTGCAAGACATGAACACCAGAAAAGGCATCATCATCTTCCAGATCAGTTGCCTCAATGCTTGAGGAAGCGAAAAACAGACAATCAGTCGTTTTTTCGGTTCCTTGAACGATATGATGAAAGCCAAAGAGTTCTTATTACCTCTTGATGTAAGAGTCCATCTGGCTTCCAGATAGCTTGCAGAACACGGTGTATTCACCTTGCAGATGTAAGAGGTGCACAAGATATTCAAAAATTGTGATTCAAACGCGTGACAGAGCAAACATACTTTTGGGAGGCTAAAGGGGGAGCAACAAAACGGGAGTGGCAAGTCAGTCATACGTTTTATGTTGGGGAAGGCTTGCATTTCTCGCTATCTCTCTCACCAGATATTGGGCATTCACTTCTGCAGTTCGTCTCAGAATAAAGAGCTTGGTAAGTTGTGTCAACTACGTCGACGAAGTTAGCGGCGGCAGGAAAAGATAAATGGCACCCGACCTAAGGCTTACCTCAGCTTCTCGTTGCTTTCCGAGAGATGCTTCCTCTGGTGTACATTTGGAATCACGTCCTCGGACAATCGGATTCTCAAACATATTCTATAGCAACGATTACCGTTTGGGTCTTTTCTTCGTGCGTTTACGAATTCTACAACAATTTCACCTTGAAAGTAGGAAGATCACCAAGCAATCCAGGATTGACAAAGTCACAGACAGTGTGGAATTCTGAAAGGTCATTTTGTAATGGTGTTCCAGACAGAATGATTTTTCGCCGAGTTTGAAGGCTGTTGAGGGATACCGTTGTCTTGATTTCAGAGTTCTTGAGACGGTGTCCTTCATCACACACGACAATATCAATCCCAGCCTGCTCGATTTCAGTTTGCAGTTGGCGAACCTAGTATAAACAGTTAAGTCGGATAGACCCAAACACTCTCACCAGGATACAAACGTATGCTCACCCGCTCATAACTCATCACAAGTACCGAATACACACGACCAACTGTGAAATCATTCAAGTTTGATTTTCCATCGACGACAAATACTTTGATGCGCTCATCTCCCAGCCATTTCTTGAATTCATTCTTCCAGTTCTAATTGCAAAACAAGGAATGATAGTTTGTCGAAACAACTCATCAGGTACGCCGTGGAGCTAAAAAAACAATACCAAAGCAAAGATGGGAAATGTACCTGAACCAACGATGCTGGGCACACAATCAATGCTTTCTTGATAATCGTCGAATCCCCATAATAAGGTGTCTGTTTCACTAGAGTCCAGATCAAGGCGATGGCTTGCAGAGTTTTTCCAAGACCCATCGAATCGGCCAAGATACATCCCATAGACGACGGTGCTAATCGTGATTTGCGCATGAGAAAAAAATTCTTGGTGAAGTCTTTAACACGAGTCTTACTCTTCATCCCCATTACACACTCATACAGAAATCTGACACCTTCAACTTGGTGTGGTCTCAAATGAGCTGCCAATGAAGGATCTACCACGACATCGACGATAGGATACTGTTTGTGAGGTTCGGCGGGTCGTGTCATCACAATAGCACCGGCTGCGTTTGGATTGTGTTTTGGAGTTGGAGTCTTTGTAGAAGGAGTAGTTGTACTAGTTTGTTGAGGCTTGACAGCAAAAGTCATTTTGAAGGGAGCACTAGCGACATTCTCAGATGCTTGCGGTACTACGGGAGCTTGATTCTCAATATGTTTGGATCCGACTCTCAAAGCGTAAGCGTTTGCGTCTAGTATCCCTGTGATCTATAAATTCAATTGGGTTAGATCATTTATCATTTATGAAACATGATGAAGCGTAATTAGTCGAAAAAAATAACATGTACGTTTGTCGCAATGAGTATTGTGTCCCATTACCTCAAGTTCCTTGCCAGCGACAATCAATGTTGAACCTTCAGTCAAGGTAGATAAGGCAGTTCCTCGACCAATTCTAAAGAAGTAGTTTTATAAGAACTGATCTATAGATCAAAACTCTGGAATCTGATGCTTCTTCGATTGTCCTTTCCTTTTGCTTACTCCTTGCCAGCATCATCTTGCACGACCAAACTCTTGTCACGCTTTACAAGCAATCCATCACCATCCCAAGTCTTGTGCTAGACCATGTTTTGATAGTAAGTTGGTAAAGCTCAATATCATGTTGCTGCAGCACTGCTGACGGTCGTACCATCCTGGATTGCTTCTTTCTACAAAGCACAAACGTTAATATAACAGAAAATGATTGGCAAAATGGATCTATCAAGTTGAAACCATACCTCCACACTATAGTGTAATAAGTTGCATCACCAGTTCGATGTCTCTGATCTGGAGGTTGATCTACAGCACTAGACACCGAATCATTCTTACGAACAGATTTCGTCATCAATGGACTGGAAAATACAGTCTTTCTCTTCTTCGATGCGTCAGCGGGCTGGTTGTCAATGGGCATGTTTGGAATTGGAGCTTCGTTGCTCGCGACAACGTCAGTTCTTGGAGCAGGCTCCTGCGAGATCGGAGCTGCTGTTGGCCTATTTCGGAGCAACGAAACACTTGGAGCATTGGAGCGTCTCATCGCTGAAAGTGCCTCCCGTAAAAGTCTGTTGTTTGAGATTGCGCAGAGATCATAAAGCAGCAAAATTTCAGGCTCTGGTCCGATTGCACGTGAATTTACAATGTTGAACATTTGATCATATCACAAATCACAATTCATTCAAGCCGACATTCCTTGCTGATGAAGAGGCTAAGCTTATACAAACTATATTTTTTGTGCGAATGGTGCTGCTATGATACAAATGCAAAGTACAACAAGATTAAGTCTAAACATCTTAAGAAGACTCTAGATGCATTCTTCTAATAGCTGGAATAGGTTCAGCTCTAACATTCTTCCAATCCGTGTTTTCTTCACGCTCCTTGTCCAGTTCTCCAATAATTGATCTATATAGAAAGCAAAATCAACACTCGCAGTTGTATGCCAAATGCTTTCACATATTTCTTACATATTGTCTCCTCGCACAATGTACAGTCCCAGTGGTACTTCGTTAACAGGAGCATCAACAAAGAATTCACGTTCTGATGACTCTGACAGAATGATGTTTGTAGTCTGGTCAAAGCCTTTTAGCTTTCCCTAGTAGATACAATAGGACGTTGAGCTCATGATGACTTTGCATGCGTGTACTCCGTGTGAACTTGCCACAATAAACCTTCCATCGTTGGTGATTACAGCTACAGTCTCTTAAAAACAGGAGAGTACGATGAGAACGTAAAGGAAATGTCTTTTTGGGGGTCTGCAATCACATACTTTCGACGAAAGCTCCTAATTCCGTCGCCATGGCTCACTTCAGTCAATTATATAGCCTACTGAAATATTGTCGAAAACGTACGCAAGATGTTTGAAGACTATTTATTGGAGAATCACTAGGAAAAAATACAGGCTGATACAAAGGACAGGTGGATCTGCTGAATCACAACATGGCCTCAACGGTTTTCTCGATTTCAGCAGGAGTTGCGACGGAGCTGTACCGTTGGACTACTTCTCCGTTTTTATCGACCAAAAACTTCTCAAAATTCCACTTGATCCTGAATGATTATAGACGCGTTAGAGCTTTGCTGTCACGACAATGGAATGTTGCTGTACCTTTCCAAACCAAATTGAGACTTGCGAGCCTTCAACCTAATTGAAATTGAGCCACGGTTAAGACCAGAACAGGCTATACCGATAACTCAACAGTTAGGGTGTTCTTTACCATTGGTATACTAGAAGTAACAAACAAGGCAACCATGTTAGCTTCACAATTATGAAATTGACACATGGACAAAAAAGGCCGAAACAGACACACAAAGAAAATGGATAGGCTGTATGGAATCAGAGGATCAAACATACCTGGATGAGTATTGTCACCATTGACATCAATCTTGCTCATGATTGGGAATGTGACACCGTAGTTCTTTTGACAGAAGTGGCCGATTTCTTCTTCAGTACCAGATTCTTGAGATCCGAATTGGTTGCAAGGCTAATTGCATGTACGGTGGTATGAGGAGAACGAAAGTTGAGACCCACAAGCTAACGAACATGAATGTATTTCCTGTATGTCACTTACGAAGCCAATGACAACAAGCCCCCTACAACAGTGAAATCGCATTAGCTCATCTGTATCGGTTCGAAAAATCTCGTCAAAAGGTAATGCGTACTTGTCCTTCAAAGCTTGGTACATCTTTTCCAAACCAGCATATTGATGACTGTGTGGGTTGAGATGGTGAGAACCAGATAGGAGTTACTTGTAGAAGCCATTTCCTTACGTAAAGCCACAAGCTGAGGCAGTGTTGACGACCAAAACCACTTTGCCTAAACACGAGGAGAGCTTTGTTATGCTTGTGACATGGTCAAGAGTTGTCGATCCAAAAGAGACTGATGATGTGTTGGAGAATAGACTGAAAACATTTAGTAGGCTGCTTTTCAGTCTCGATCTCGATCTCAGTGTTCCACCACCACTGCGGCCATTTCCCCAAATGACTTTAGATGCGATCTCAAATCTAGACCATCGCAAATGCCAGATCGGCCGAAAGACACTTCATATCCTTTGAGCCTTCCGTTGCGAGCATACCTTTCAATTCAGCGAACAGGAAGGGCTTGCCGGTAAGAGTCGTAGCTTGGAGATCATAAAACGAGGCGGCGGTCATAGCTGAAGATAATGCTCGTAAAGGTTGCTGATTGACAAAGATTGAGGATAGTTGTTTTCGAAAAATGGCGGCTGAACCTATCATGAGAATTGCTACTAAATAATAGTTGAGGTTGCTCGCCATTTGAAAGCAAGAAAGGACTTGCGGGGATTCTCTTGGAACAAGGAAAATGTGTTCGCACGAGCTAGAGACGGCCAAATAACATATTTTGGACGTGGTCACTTATAATGTTCTATTCATATATGTTACATCACGCGATAAACATGAAAACGTTCATAGAAATGCCTGTATTGGTCGTTTTTCACCGATAGTGCTTGAACATAATATCTCTTGCGAGTTTAATACGGTCTTGCTGCTCAAAAGAACTACTGACTTGCCAGCTTCATACTCGCCAAACATTGCCAAGAAACGTATAAACTCTCTTGTCAACCCCTTAAACATTCCAGTTGGTACAGCCTTGCTCTCTTCCATCTCTGAAATTGGCAAACCAAAACAACCAAGCAACAATGTCTATGAGCCAACCTCCAAGATCGGGACTATACCAGCCTGTCCAGTATGCCCAGCAGGCACCTACTGCACCACCGATGGACGAAAAGTACATGCCCATGTCCAACAACAGGTAAAAAGCGGCAGTGCGATGGTGCTTTTAGCTGCATGCAGTGACGCACTGTTCTGTTAACAAAAGGAACTGTGCCTTCTTATCTTTATAACCTACTTACCGGACTCATGACCGTCATATCTCCACAACGTACTGACAAGCTTATCCCCGCAGGCGGTATTGCTGTGGTCTGTTTTCGTCAAGGAAGGGATGCTTGTGGTGCTTCATCCCTTGCTGTGTCTTTATATTGATTGCTATCGCTTTAATCTTGTTCTTTTGCATACCTCGTGAACCAAACTTTGATGCTTATGGGTGAGTATTGGGTCTTTGTGGGTATGCTCGGTGTTGGCTTTGAGCGCAGAACCTCGGGACCGCATCATGATACTCTCGCAACTCCATGCTTTTGCACACAATTCTCTTGGGATTGCTTCAAATATCTCACACTCTTCTCTATCACTCTGCTAGCGTCTCCTACACCAACCAAACAACCGTCAAGCTTGTCAACGGAGGTCCATTCATTCAATTCAATCTAGGACTCAACGTTAGCTTGTACAGTTTGAGCTACTATCCAACGACCCTGGCTTCAATCGACGTCACGGGCGCTCCAGTCGTTAACGGCCAACAATCAAAAACACTCGCTGTGAATGGTACAAACCCAAAGCCAATCTATCTACCATCATTCACCAACGTGTCAACAGTAATGTAAGTCGTACATCGTTCAGTTTCAACGCACATCGCGGTGTGACTAACTTCCTCATACTCAATCAGACCTTTCACAGTCATATATAATGCCAGTAGCGTGGCAGCAGCATTGGCTGACCCACTATGGGGTGATCTCTTCGAAGCCTGTGGCCTGATTCCTCTAGTAAAAGCCAGACCTTTGCAATTAGCATATTCAGCGACGGGGTCCCTTCAAGGGCTTGAATTCATCAAAGCTACTAAATCGGGCTCGTATAATTACACTTGTGTAATCACAGCATCGGAGGTTACTGCCATCTTCGGAACAGCGTTGGCAACTCTGGGACTATAAGGCAGTAGAAATCGAGCACGACATCATAAACAGATCTATTAAACTATATTTTGTGCAGTCTTTTTGTTTATATAAGTACAGACAAAACGACTTGTGATAAATTATCTCTTATTAGCATCAAACTGTCGGTTTTCGGCAGCCAATTCCCTTACACGACGTAAGAAATCCTCGACTTCAGCGTTACCTTCACCACTACTATTTGCATCACTGATTGCTTCTATTGGCGTTTGTTGAGGAATCTCCAGTTCAAAATGAGGCGATGGTGTCTTTATTCCAGCAGTCTTGAGCCAGACATGCGCTTCGTTTGCATTCGAGACTGGAAGTGGCACGACAATCTCCATTACGCCTAAATCCCTCCCACTCACCATCCAGTTGGACGGCGCGAGACCAGCTGCATCAAGCTTCTCAAGAGTGTTTGCTACTTGGTAGAGATGTTTCCTGTGTAGTCTGGCGACAGATTTCAATTCAGAACTAAAAGCAGTTTGTTAGTCGAGTTCTTGAATCACTTTCGCGTAGAGACGCTTACGTGATTTGTTGGATACTTGTACTGGTATCGATATCCACAAGTTCAACTGCAGCAGATTGGTATAAATACATGCTTAAGTTCACGTTTGTTGAGGTATTCGTATTGGTGGCAGTCTGATGAGGTAACTCTTCAGTAAAGTAGAGGGACGTCTTCATAGAAGATCGCCTAACTACATCAACCAAACCTTCCCTATAACAAAGCGGAGAAAGGATTAATGAATTTTTGTGTGATTGCTAACGATATTCAGGAGAATTCAGTTCGAAACGATCTTAGATCTGGGTGGACAAAAGCTCGAAACGAAAACTAGAGAGCGTATTTGGCAGACATTTACCATTTGCTAGGCAGCGTCGACGCAAATCTTTGAGCCACGTGGTTTGATGAAGTGTGATTTTGGAGGTTGGCGGCAGCAAATGGAGAATCCCTCATCAGCGGTATCAAAGAGACATAATGATTATGAGGTCTATGCTTAATCCCAAAATACGATATAGAAGCTAATGGCCTTCGAAGTGTAGTCGACTTCAAAATCACGTTGTGCAATTTCGACGATATTGACGGGGAGAGCCATCGAAGAGCGAATGGGACGAAGGGCACGATGGCGGATTTAGGGATCTATCGAAAGAGTCATTCTTTTAGTCCACAAATACGAAACATCCACTACCAAATCTCACACACCTGAACAATCTGCTTATGAAGCACATTGCTGAACTCTGCGGTCCTACCACTGGTCAATCTCGATACGAGCAGGCCTATGGATTTAAAGAGACTCCAATACTTGGACATTTTCCCACACAAAAAATCTACTGGAACGGCAACTTTTGGTTTTGCAATGATGAAACGTGTTTTTTCCGCCACATCAGGTGTTTTGCCTGACAAAATCCGCAAAGGGAGTGATTTTTACGTGATATAGTTCATATTACAGCTATTATTATAGGGACGTAACTGTATTTCGTGAATGCACAGGGTTTGACTACGTTTAACTAGTATATTACAATGATGCAGCAATTATGAAAGATCAAGAGAATCCAATGTCAAAAGAACCCGACATCACCCTTGAGCCTAAGTCTCTTCCACTCTGGTAGCTTCTGATACGCGACCATCGTCATTCCAAACATGGATTCAAACTCATCGTCATATAGATGGTACTCCAGCTTCGTCTTGGGCAGGTATTCAGGTGGATCTGATAGCAGTATTTCCAGGGAAAACTTGTCTCGTTTGAATTCCTTGAGTACTGATTGAGCGTCTTCAACTCGTGTCGTTCTAGTAGTGATATGACTTGGTATTTTCTCATGCGTCCAGCCTGGAAAGTGTCGCGTGAATTCTACTGGTTCTTGGTATGCAAACGTTACCACCATCGGTTTGGCGTAGTGAGTTGCATATTTGGAAAAAGTTTCCAATGCGAAGATCTTTTCTTGGGCTCTCGCTTCGAGACCGAAGTGGATAAAGACTTTAGACCGAGATTCGAGTATTGCTACGCGCTCTAAATCTTCTTGAATAAAGTCGCGAATCTCCTCAACCTATATTGTGTCGGGTTGTTAATGGTTCTGAAAACAGAATTGTTGATAAAACGAGCTTTTTTTACCTTGACAACACCTGTACTGCTTGAACAGATCCATAGTCGAGCATCAAATATGCGTGTCTCAGTTGGAAGACACCATCGTTCGGCAGCGACAGCTTTTTGTTTGAGCCATGAATCAAGTATGCCCGATCTTGGATCACTTTGTTGCAATACTTGCAATGACTTTATTTTCAATGATGAAGCCAACGTCTGAGAAAACTCTTGAATTCCAGTCGGAGCGTCTGGGGATATACAAAGAAGACCCAAATCCTTGAATAGCATTGCACGACCTGGTTCTACAACTAAATCCGCTGGTTGAATCTCTACAGCCTTGAAGTGCTTGCCACCATAACAAGGTATAATCTCAAAGAGACTCTTGGTAGTTACTTCCCGATTACGACATATTGTCATCGAAGGAAAGACTCTACAGAAATGGAGTGGCTCTTTTCCGTCTATTACTCGTACGTGTCGTGCTTCTATACCGGATTCTTTCGTCATTTCAGATGCAAGCATCGCAGATGTGCCCTTTTCAATGATACTTGAAGCACTTCCTTGCCAGAAGTAGCTGAGACACTGTTCCCGACCACCATATAGGCGATATTTGTAGAGTATAATATAGGATTCGTCACGGTACAGGGTCCCATAATCTTCAGAAGACACTGGCTCGGCACCACCTTCTCGTACTCGAAAGAGACTAAGTGTGCTACTCCTACCATCATCAACACATTCCAGCAATTCAGGATCTGTAGCTTTCCGTTCCATGAGAGATGATAATGGTATTTCTTGTTGAGGTGTTGTTGTGGCGACTCGTCCTTTGGGAGGTTCGGCAAGTCTCATTGATATCGGCAGAGTTCCTTCAAATCCAACAAAGTGTTCCTTCAATACTTCCGGTTCTTGACCACTAGTAATTTTCGCCACACCAACCCAACGAATTTCAGGATTTATCAGAGATTCAGCCAATTTTCGTGCAACAGCCCAGCCACTCGTTCGATGTTCGTTAGAACTGCCTCTCCCAATCCAACAATAAACCTGCTGCCATGCTTCGATAATGAATACGGAGCCCTCTTCCAGTACCGACTTCGATGGAGCCGATGCCGAGGTTTCTACTAATCGGACCTGACGTTTACGAATACGGCTATCAAAGATACGGTATATCCGAGTAGGGTGAGCAGCACAACGACGTAAGAAGCCTGGATCTGTGTGATCAATGAACAGATTCGTCCATGAGTCTTGACATGCCAACTTTGAAAAGAATTTGGCACTGAGGTCTGGTTCTTCGCTATCAACCATGTGGATTTTCGGCCGGTCATTACGGAACTTTCTAATTTTGCCCGCAATGTCAACAGCTTTGGCTCTTGAGACTCTGGTTGCATCTTTGCCGTACCAGACGTAAATTTCGTGACCTATATAACCACATGAGAAGTTTGAGGGAGCATGACGAGACAAGGTCTAGAAATGAAACGTTTGCATACCACAATCAAAAGTGAATGAAGAATCCATCCTCAGAGATCTCCAAATTGGTTCAACCAGTGTGACCACCAATTTTACTTTCCCAAACACACCAATTAGGACACTCCGTCGTCCTGACGAAATAAGCTTCTCGTCAACAACATGCACATTTTGGAGATGAGACTCCTTGACTTCAGTTTCCGACTCGTCCAGCTTTGCCTGTATTATCGCATCCTTGTATTGCTGTTCACCTGTTATTCCAATACGATTCAACACATCGATTGCTTCAAAATTCAAACTCATCCACATGTCCATCTCCTTCTCAGAGGCGACTCGAAAACGGGCTGGATGCATGTCCTTGATACAGATCTCTAAACTATGGGCCTCTTCAGCAACTCTCGATATCGACTGAAACTTGGATGATGCGATACAGTATACAGGAGTAGTTGAGAATGGCGTGTCGAATATGTAGATGTCTTCAATCACGACAGACAGGAAAATCCGTCCATAAATCATCATTTCGCCTAGAGAAGTGGTAAACTCTGCGAATCCCTCAATGCTGACGTCTTCGGCGACTAATTCGGCAGCTGGGAAGATCGACTTCGTTAAGAGAGCTTTTCTTGTCTCCAAAACCCACTTAGCAGCATCCCAGGATGCTAGCGCCTCTTCAACGTTATTCAAAGCACTGAAGAAGATGACCCGTTTCTTGGTATTGACCTGCCATGTGACGGGTGCTGCAAATGTGTTGTTTCTTGAAGGTAAAGGGTACTTGGTCAATCGAATTGATATAGCTGCACCGAGATTTATAGATTGGATGGGAATACTGTTGGAAGTGTAGTGCTTCATGTCAGTGTAAATGTTTAATAATGCATCCTGATCCAGCTCGACAACACGAGGATTCCATTTACTCTTTGATTGGTTGTCGGTTTCGGAGAAGACCAGTAATTCTCCCATCATAAGAATGCCGGTTCGGCTTCCCATAACCAGGTGTTTTAGAGACCCGTTAGAGCCCGTTGACGACCTTCCTGCTATAGATAATGGCCGATCGGAAATGGATGTTCGAGGTATTTCCAAACTATTTTGATTTCTTGACGTTTGTCGAGAATGAGTCTTTCGTTCGATTTGAGGAGGTGATGGTCGAATTATTGCATCTAAAACCTTATACCACAAACTTGCTTCGCCCTCATTGGCAAATTGGAAACGATACGTGCGATTGTCAAGTACGAGCGACAAACCAATCTTTGGTCCGTTGCTTGTGAAGGAGAGCTGAGACAGAGCACTGAGATTCTTGGATACGTGGAACAATGCAATAGGGGAGTCAGCATCAGCATCCTCGAAGAGCAAGAGCTTCCCTGATTTTTTCAATGATAAAAATCTAGAAGACTGATATATTAGCTCGGTGTACCAAAGCAAGTAAAAGTGTTAACAAACCTTTTTTCCCACGAAATACCAAACCATCCTCGATGGTCAATCTTAACATGACCGTCTAAATCTTCTCGTCCGTCATCTCTGTCTTCATCCTCAGTCAGACAATCTAGAGACGAGGGTCCATCTTGTGAAGATCTTGTGCCACCTTTCTTTGCTTTACGAGACATTGTTCCAGCTCGTCTTAGCGTTGCTGATCGCTTTACGGGCAAGGTTTCTGATATGGGAGCAACGGTTTGGAACGCTTCCGCCATCAGCGGTTCCAACGACAATTTTGAATCAAACCAGGCTTGTGCTGTATGTGACGGATCTACCATGGCGATGGGGGGATACAAGTCTTGTTGAATAACTGATTCGCCATCAACTCGTGGTACATTCAATGCTGTGATTTCGATAGTATTGTCGGCTCCCAGACGGACAAATCGAGCGATTTCACATTTTAATGGTGTGCACATTCCCTTCTGTAGCATGTCGATAGCTGTGAGAGGTCTTTCTATCTTACAATCTGCGGCGGAGAGTCTCAAACTTCCTTCAAAGAGTTCTACAATTCGAATACTTTCCCCTTTGGCAGTCAAATACAGCAGCGGGAGGGCAGGATCCCAAAACGGTGTAACTCCAGAAACACCGGCACCCGGCACATCGAGAGTCATGACTGGAGTCTCGAAAGAGCGTACGTCCCATAATAGCAATTGACGCTGGTTCCCAGATTTTGTAAATCCAGCTGTTACAATTAATGGATCTGGTGTCAACCAAACGACCTTGCTGCTGTTTCCTTTCAGACCCGATGCTAAAGAGTGGACAGGAGCTGTCCCGTCTCTTGGATCAAAGAGATGTACTCCAGCGATTGAATCCATAGCGACAAATTCATCTCCCTGATAATTCCATGACAGAGAAGTCGGAGAAGCCGGGACGTTGCAGGTTATTCTACACGTCATACTCATAATCTCCCATAGTCGGATTGTGGAATCGGCCGATACTGTGGAGACTATGTTTCCACATGAGGGATGGAATTTGATCAGGTCAACCTTTTTTTCATGTCCAGCTAAAATCATTGTTGGTGTGGTTATTTCAACTCGTTCAACTGGCAGTTTGTCATCTGGAGTCTCTGGCAGCTGCCATATCCTGACTAGACCATCATTTCGTGTCGAGGTAAGCAGAATATTGGGCGACAGTGGGCTGAATTCAAAGTCCGAAATAGGCTTGTTGTGTGCTGGCAACAGAGAGTCAGATTGATCCATAAACCATTCAAGAATCTTTCGTTTTCTACGCACCAAGCAAGATGTGAGGATGGGTTTCGATCTTTGTCGTTATTGGGTTCGAACCGGGCATTGGAAGCACCCCGACGTGGCCATTGGATCCTGGGGCACCAAAGGGAATAGCGAAATACCGTTCGCTGGCCTAGTCTCAATATTTTGATCAGCCATAAAAACACAGATTCAGCAAATTTCACCATGCTATGAACAACCTTTATCTTTGTAGGGGCTGTTGCATCAATTCTAACTTGAGTATATAAAGTTCGAAGCGGCGCTGTAGCAAAAACGTTGCGATACTATGGGAAAAGGTCGGGAAGTGAGTATTCCAACTCGCAAAATTGGTATTCGGCCCAGATCATGCTCACTTTGCTTAAAGTTTTGGACTCCATCGCATCAGCAGCACGCTGGGCGAACTGAGAGACTCTGAATAGCACCTTCCTTCCGCGATCAAAAGATCAGGTATCAGAAAAAGTTCTGGAGTTTTAGCATGGAACTGAGCATTTGAGATTTAGAAGGCGACGTAGTAATCACGTTAATTTGGAGTTGTCATCGACAGGTCGTCACTAGCTTTTGCTTGCTAGTTTTTGTTACTCCTTCCAGTTCACCCCAACTTAGTCACTCACTACTTCACAATTCCGCTTATATAACTGGATCCAGCTCTTGCCTGTGTAGATCCGCTGAGATGCCAACTTGGTCGGACGTAAGCGATGATGATCTTTCCTCTGGCCCAGTAGATAATCGATACAAGGATGCCCGCAAAGTGCTAACATATGGAAAACGAGCAACAAGAGTCTATGTAAAACCATCCGTCAAAGTCTGGGATGTATCGCCTGTCTCATCAATAGGATCAGTAGCAACGCCCGATTCCTCTAGGTTCCTCAGAAACGAAACCGTGGGCACACCAAACCATCATCATCATAAGGACTGGTTTTCAGCAACTCCTGAACGAGAACGACGCTCATCAAGCGAGAACGATAGAAATTCGATTGGCAGTATACTTAGTTTACATAGTAACAGCCCAGAACGCCACCGGTCTCCCTTGAGTGATGGATCGCAAAAGGAAAACACTCCTACTCCAGCATTATCTGATATTAAACAACCAGTACAGCGACTGAGTAGTCTATCGGTTAATGTGGCTAGTGAGAAATCACGCCAGTCAACAGGCAGCTCTAAAATACCCCTACCTGGAAACTGTCCGGCATCGCCACTCGCAAATAAGTCAGTTATCTCATCGACACAGTCTGTAAGGAGTGTCAGCCCACCACAGAGTCCCTCGAAACTTCCAGTTAGATGTAGGACGAGCTATGGTAGTGTTGCCAGTGCTAGCAGTGTCGAAAGTATAGCTAATGATGGTGGTGTCGAGGACGATGTAAGCATGGCACGATTCAGCTCTGGATCGCCGGTAGCAGCATCACCGACAGCAAAACTCAGGAGAATGATAGGCAGGATATTGCTGAACACGGATCAGACTCCTTCGCCAATCTCTAGAGTATCTATTGGCTCTGTAACATCATATCGTGCACCTCCACTGCACGTCGCAACACCCAAATCACAAGTACCGCCGTCATCACCATTATGGCACCATCGTCCACATTATCCAAGTCAGGTATCATCTTCGTCTCTGGTAAGAACGGAAGGTGCCTTCTGTAACCTAAAAGAGTCTCATTACTCACGTCAAATCCATTTAAGACACCTCTGGAGGAACTACTAGATATGTGTAATCAATCTACGCCGACAACGTTTGAGCAGATTCTAGGAAACGTTGCTTTGAAGAGTGTGAGGAAACTCGGCGAAGCCACATTCTCAGAGGTCTACAGCATACCACATCCACAGACCCCGAATGAGCTTGCTGCAGTAAAGATTCTTCCATTTGACGGCGACGTTCCAGTGAATGGATGTATACAGCAATCAGCACATAATGTACTACAAGAATTCCGTATCACTAAAATCATGGGTGATTTGCAAAAGGAGACCAAGGCTGCCTTCATCCCAGTAGTGCGACTTGGCATTGTAAAAGATCAGTATCCTCAAGAGTTGTTGTATGAATGGGATCGCTGGGATCAGGAGAACGAATCAGAGAGTGATAGACCTGGTAAGCATGGCACAGAAAACAGCACGGGATCATATATGTTGTTGCCAGAGACTCACCAATCTGTTGACACTATACAGATTACATGCCCGATCATCAAATGTATGCTATACTCATCTTGGAGCATGCAGGTACTGATCTCGAACATTCAAAACTGAAAACATGGAAGCAGGCCAAGAGTCTCCTTGGTCAAGCTGTGGCAAGTTTTAGTATAGCAGAAAAGGTATTTCGAGACTTTTCTTTGGTAACGATGTAGCCAGCTCTAAGTCATCGCCTTATAGGAAGTTGAATTTGAACATCGAGATCTGGTATGTAATATAAACCGACCAACAATGATATTTTTTGCACAACACAAGTTTTGAGATTCTGATGCAATTGGTATGGTCCATTAGCATTGGGGAAATTTCATGTTGAAGCCAACCTCGACGCCAAAATTCACGTATCAGTCCGAGTCGGAACTCATAACGATTAAATCTACAGACCTACGAGCAACCATTATTGACTACACACTCTCTCGTCTTTATTGTCGTACGTTGAACGATGTGTAATCATTGTAACGGCTGACAGTCCCTTTTTTTCTTACTCTTGCAGGTAAGAGGAACGTGCTCTGCTTCTTGGCTCTAGACGATGAAGACTACTTCAATGGCGAAGGAGACTATCAGTTTGACTGCTATAGAATCATGCGAGAGGAAACTGGTAGAGATTGGGAAGGATACCATCCCAAAACGAACGTAACATGGCTTCATTATCTTGGCTTGAAGCTGTTAACCAAACTTCCGAAGACCAAGTCGGCCGGACGGAAGGAATTCACCTCGTTTGTTGATCGTATCTTGACATACAATACTTGTGGTGAGATGATCAAGGATATATTTTTTGCAGACACCGTAACTGTGGTGGATGTGAACAATGTCGATGACTTGGCCGAAAAAGTTATACAGATCATACTTTGAGCCATAAGATTGAAATTATATATACTTACATTGTTAATAAACTATACTAAAGTGGCAGACGAAAAAAAACGTTAAGGGCTTATAGATGCATGAGGCTCCGAGAGTTGCACTATGGATGTTGCTTCTGGAGTCTCGTTAAGCGTTGGGGGCGGTAGTTCTTGCATATCATCAAGCTTAGACATTGCAATATAGACAGGAGGGCTCGGTTCCTTCTCTGCTTTATATTCGGGTAATGGTTCCTGATGTTTGGTGGTGGTTAGCGTCGAAGGCAAGATGTTCAATGACAACACACTGATAGCGCTAGATACCTCTTCGGCAGGGGGCGGTGGAGCTTCTACTGATGGCCTCAGTACATCATCAGTCCAGACAGTATATCCAGAGCGTTCTGCACCATCAAATGGTGTGAGCAACATTCGCATTCGTTGCCTCCTGCAAGACCAGAGCACGATTACTTGGAGTACTGCTCCTACTAGGAAGAGGAGGCATATGAATGCTATTGAGCCTGCATCTACCATTTCGGTTTATGGCCTGTTGGTGACTTTGTAAGCTAGTGCAATGGAATGATTTTTCACGTTCTACAAGTTTTGGAAGTAACCGAGGACGAGACGACACCGTTCATAGATTTCAAATTCAGTTTATATAAAGACCGACACCTTGCGGTTAGCTAGATCGAGCGATCGGTCGCAAGTGTGAACACCTTGAACACCTTATTTGCAAGTTTACTATTGGTTGTATTGCGAAAAACAAAATATGGCGAAGAATCTATACATAGAAATGACAGGCGAGGATTCTATACGGCGGTGATGAGTGTTGCGTTCATTTCTCCGACTTCAGTATTTATCTCATCATAGAGTGCCTTAAAGTCTTCTTTGCACTGTATCATCACACAAGATGTTGGTCGTTTGGTGACTCCAGCAAATCCAAGATCTTCTTTTGAAGGTACATAGACGTATGGCACATTGTTTTCTTCACATAATATCGGAATGTGTGTGATAACGTCTATGGGTGAGATGTCTCCAGCGATGATGACGACACTAAATAGAGAAGATCGTGTTGAGAACTGTCATGGCACCAAGGTTGATTCACTTTGAGCTTACCCTTTATGACCTTTCCTCAAACCTTTGACGACTTCCTTCACACCTCGTTTAATACTCTTTCCTTTGGCAGCTATACAAGGCAAGAAAAGATGATTCGAACCCATCACTTGAAACCCCTCAAATCTTGCTATAGGCTGCTACAATAAAGTAAAGCTTACCCTTCCTGACTGTTTTCAGCACTTTTTTAGTCAATTTTTTGCCTGCAAGAGGGTGAGCAATTGGACTGAGAGCAGTCAATCTCGATTCATAAGTATGTGATGCTTTGCCGTCTTCATTTGCTTCTTCATCATCTCCATTAGCTCCTCCAGTGGTTGAGGATTTTCTTTTAGATTTTTTGGCAGGTTTTGGCGAGTCGACCTCCATTGCATCAGTATCAACGACAGCAGTAGCTTCTTCTGTTGCCTCTGGTTGCTCGGCAGCTGCCTTCTTGTCCTTCTTTGCCATTATATTATTAGAGCTTGATATTTGACAGAAAGTTCAAGTTGTTGGCCAAAAAAAAAGATCGTGTTCTGCCAAAAACAATGCCTCAGGATCCGCAAGAGTATTTAGAAGAATACATAGCTAGTTACGTATCTGATAATCGCGTATTTGCTTATTGAAATTTGTTTGCCTCCCGCCTCGGCTGACACACAGCGAACGTAGATATCGACTCTGTACATAAGGACATCAAGCACGTCTTTACGGAATTGCAGCACAAGGACTATGTATTCCATGGTAAGCAATCTTGAAATTGAGCCCCTCTTTGCCAAACCGATCGTTACAATTTATCAGAGATCAACATCACATTTCGGCTCACATCACACGCACGTGTATCTAGAGCTCCGAAGAGAAATCGGAAACTTGGATACGACATTGAAGAAGATGATATCAACATCCGAAAACACCATACCGAGCACCTCCAAAGCTTCGGGATCTGCAGCACCGCCACCGCCGAACAGCACGTTGAAAACAGAGACCTCGGTTGATTCTGACTCTGGCAAGGAAGCAACTCCAGATAAAGGAGATCCTGCTAAAAAGGAAGAGACTCAAGTGTTTGAAGAAGTTCAAAAGAAATTCAATGCAGCCCAGGAAATTGCCAATGAGAAGATTCAAGAGGTTGAAAGAACTCGTCGCATGGTGAGTATACGTTACCATTGCTTGTTTCGTCAGTGGCTGACTGTTTACTCTATCTTTGTGTATGGATCCTCAATTAACACCATTCACCAACAGATTGACTCATATTATAAAAAACTATGTGACGACTTGAACCGTCTCACAGACACGAACACCACCGGCTCAACACGTCACGCTCAACAACACAGTCACATAAACACTACACACATATCGCATCATTCAAACCCCATACAATCTACCATACATCCACAACATCCTCCAATCACACCTACTGCATCGTATGCCTCATTATTTGGACTGAATTCAGCAACCATCGGAGGCACATTCAGCTCGTCATTTAGTGGTGTTGATGTAGCCAATCAGGGTGAAGGCAACTCGACATCTTCGCGAACGTCACAACCGAGAAGGTCTGATGGACGGTTTGCGAGTGTGAAGGGAGGAACATCAGGAGATCACTCTGGTAGTACTAGTCCTGTATCTGTACCGCTACCGATTATTATGTTGCAAGCTGCTGCCGGCAATTCATGTGAGTTATCAAGCATCTCTGAACCGTTTTTGTTTCGGTTTTTGGCAGCTTGACTGACCTATCCAATCTTCTTAGCATCAAGTAAGTATTGCACCTGGTCCGTTACTAAAACGTACTAACACTTTCTTTTAGACGTCATTGAAAAACGCAAATCCTCATCATCATCTGCATCAGTACATGCCCCTCATCAACAACAACATCAACCACAACACTTATCTAGTAGACCTCGAAAACAGAAAAAGAAAACGTCAGTGTGACAGACAGAAGCCTAAAAAAGACCTGTTAACACATGCTATTCACACAACACGCCCTCTAACTCTTCGTCCTTTACTCTCTCTGTCTCTAGTCCTGCCTCGGATTTCGTGTATGAAGATGAAGTGCCTCGTCCTGAAGAACTCTTGGTACAAACTCAGGGAGAAGCCGATGATGCTCTATATTGTCATTGCCAACAAGTGTCTTTTGGAAAGATGGTTGCCTGTGATAACGATGTAAGTAATGAGGGTTTGCGATGGGTGTATTGCATTTTTTCCGCACGACATGTTGCAACTGAAAAAAAACTAAATTTTCACAGGAATGCCCCATTGAATGGTTTCATCTCGGTTGTTTGGGCTTAACGGAAGTCCCATCAGGCTCATGGTTTTGCTCAGTGTGCTCGCCGAAAAAGAGCATCAATCCTTCTTCCACATCATCTTCATCCCTTCACCCAGACCAGAGCTACACGCCAGCTACCAGCCACAAGAAAGAAAAATCTCATAAACGACAACGCACTCATTAAAGTCTTGTAAAGATTCGTTAGGTACAACATCATCGTGTGTAAATACAATAGATTATTTTTGGGCCACAAGTGAAAAACTAAACTACTTGACTTCTATTACTGTTTCCGGGACGGGTTTTGAATATTTCAGGTAGTTTCGCCATCGAGTCGTTTCATGAGGTCTTGAAGACGTGCAGAAGTCCTGACGACTTCCATAAGGACCCCTCTCTTGTATCCATACCATCGACGATTATTACTGAATTCGGAAGCCACATCGTCCAGAGATAGCCTTTGCGAGTTCGAATCCATTTCAGCAAGTTTCGCCTTTGTGAGATCAGTAGCAAACATACGGAAGTCAACGGTGAGTATCGACAGACACTCCACACATGACGAAGTCACTACAGAAACATTATCCCACGAAAGCCGTTGAGATATACCATGTCGTCCAGTCTCTCCTTCTGTAGTGTATACTAGCCCAGGTATAGGACCTTCTCCAAACATTTCACCAACATTGATGATTTTGACTACGATGGGGCGGTGTACTATTGACATGTTCGATGGTAGAGTTTCGACGAATTTCGGTGAGTTGATGTCGACGCCTGGAGGAGGAGCTTTCAGCACGGCGGATCCGTTTGGTAGCTTTAGCTGGACGAACGGTAGCACTTTGATCACTCTGCAATGACCTGATAGTATGAAATGTACTGCGGCATTGCCTGTAGCAGCTCCTTCGGCAGAAACGACTGACTCTGACATATCTATTCATGGTTGTGGTCATTGTCTGTTGCGCTTGCACCTTTCAAAAAGTCAAGAACGAGAAGAAGCTTACATTTCTTGAATGTACAATAACGCATGAGTGTTGCTGGATCAGCACTCATCGTCTTCAAAATTGGAAATCTTGAAAGTAGCTTCAAGTTACGCTGATCTGACTGAGCACGACTCATGCCCAGAACAAAATCGACAGCTGCCTTGTCCACACTCAGAAATTCACAGGCCGTCTTCGTCATTATGGTGGCTGAACGTTTCGGTATGTTTGAAACGAAAGCCAATTCACCGATACATGCTAAAACGATAGAGGGGTTGGAACAAAAAGCCCGTAGAAGCAACACTGCTGAAATACTAAATCACATCGTCTTTACCTCCTGCTCCTAATTCAGCGACTACCATCATTAGAGTCTTGTCGAAAAAGACAGCTTTATCACCATTCGGTCGTTTCGGTGCGTTCTCGTCATTCTTCTGGTTTTGCAACACACTAGCGTTTCCATTGATCATGATATACATATTTCCGACGGGATCACCTTCTCTGACAAGCATACGGTTGGCTCCCCATCGTTCGTCTAATTTTAACAGTTGATAAAAACGAGCCAAATAAGCACAAATCCAGAACACACGAAAGATCATTGATAAAGCTACACTTACAACGCCCAACCTTCAAAAAGTGCATCTGACCTCTATAAACAACAAAGACGGAGGATCTTGAGCGTTGATTTCCCTTGACATAACAAAGAAGTGACTTACTCAACAGGCCATTTAGCAAAAGCACGCATAGGAGTGAAAAAGTATTGCAACATGGCGATATCGTGACTCGTACGATCCATCGGTTTCTTCTTTAGCAAATCACGCATGGTATCAGGTAATGACCCAGAGTATTGTTGTTGCATCGGTTGTGTTATTGAGCTATTTGGACTTCCAGAAATCATGAGAAGACTAGCAGCTGCACTTATACCAACATTGCCAATACTAGCAGCCAATCCAGTAGCGCTGATGAGTGAGTGATTCCGTAGATCAGTAGGTTCATCACGGAAAGCATCATAATAATCCCATCCCTTTTCAAACATTCTGCTGAGGGGTTTTGCTAATATTTTGACGAATCGGATGAAGTGCCTCACTAGCACGAAAGCTCTTCGTAGTTTAGCAGCAGCACGGGTCGATGTCCCCTTCTTTCTCGTACTGACGACACTAGCAGAGCGACTTTCGATCGTAGAGCCACGACGAGACTGTTGTTTGGTGACAGAGAGAGCTGTTGGACGTGGCAATTGTTTCATCTGGAGCGGATTCGGTAGGTGAAGTGGTTGTTGTTCCTTTTGTTGTTCTGTTTGTTGTTGTTCTGGTAACCCTTCATCGTCACTTGAGACTCGTATCATGATTTGAGGGCTTGAACTATATTCGTCTGGCTCATCTTCAGCAATCTCATCGTCAGTGATGGAAGGTCTCGTCATCATTAAAGAAGGAGCTCGTGTCGGATCGATAGATGGCCTTGCCATATCCAACGCCGTTATCAGAAACTTGGAGGGTTGTCTGCTCTGTTGTCGTGAGGCCGCATCACGAACTTTTTGCTGTTCCAAGTACTCAATACCGTCCCGAAAATCTTTGTAGAACTGTTTCTGGGCTCGTTCGTTTAGAAACTTGCGAGCATCAATTCGAGCTTCGTCGGCATGGCTCGTGAGAGGACGATGTAAATCCTGTTGTGGCATTCACGTCCTAGGTGACTAATTGATTGTTGTCAAATGGGAGCTCCAATTCGCGTCTAAAGTCAAAATACTGAATCAGCTGGGGAATTTCTTGCATCTACTGAAAGGGCCCAAAACTAACATAGATTGAGTCCACGCCCACTTCCAATGAGATTACAATAATTAGATGAATTTCCTATAACATCGAAAACTACATGGGCAGCTGGGCAACTGTGGTCGTTTTTTTTTTTCAAGGGGCCGCTCCAATCAAGTGAAAGGGTCTGGATACCTGATGTCATTCCAAGCTCGATGTTCGGTCACGTCCATCTTGGGTGAATCTCAAAGTCCATACAGACGTCGCCCTTTGTGGCAATCTACACATTTTTCTGGTAAGCTTGCTCCAAACCAGTTAAAAAGAAACATGAGTTCAAACGATAAGCCAGCAGCATCGGGAGATGCATCAGCTACAGTAAGTAGTACGTCTTAGTTTCCTCTGTCTTGTCTTGAATTCTGCTTGTCTTTTGGGTTGGCAGAAACGTTTGGGGAAAACGACGACGGTGGCGTTGCCTGATTTTCTTTGCAACCAGAAACCATAGTGGGTGGATCGGTCGAGTGTGGAAATATCAAAATGCGCTGTTTCATTGCTCCTTTGTCCGCGAGAGGTGAAGAAAGCTTGAAAGCATCTTTCATCAACCAGCATCTGTCGCAACCTTTCAAGTTGAAACAAGAATTCTCTGCTATCAGTAGTAATACCATCGTTTTTATCACTGCTGATTCGGATGCCGATTGTATTTATATCTTGTTGTGACATGGAGTTAATAATTTGATTCTCATCACATAGCCTACAGCTCGATTTGAGCGAGGAGCTGCACAGCCGACGCTTCCTCCTGGATTTCATACTCATGATGGTGTACATTTCCACTCTGGGTACGTTTTGGATGTGTTTCTTGTCCGGTCAAGCTAGCACCTAGATACAAAACTAAAGACGTCCGTTGGTCTACAGGCATGGAGCTAATGCGCAAATGTATGTTCTTCAAAGTGACAGCGAAGGAGAAGAAGATGAAGAATATGAAGATGACGACGACTACGAAGATGTTGATGAAGATGGCGAAGCTCCATTCCAACACAGTCATGACGGTGTAGTAAGCCTTCATATTTTGCTCGAAGTAACGATCGTTTTATTCATCGTGTTACTGCTACATAGCACTTTCACTCGTCTCACGCGCCACCTTCCATGTCATTTGGTGCTGGACGTGTACCTTTCAACATGATGGGTGGGTTTGCTCCGCCAATGTCGCACGGACATAGTCACGAAGATCGCAACAGCCACGGTCATAGTCACGGAGGTCCGCCAGCTCCCAATGTCGATTTCGCCATTCATCAGCCATCATATGGACAACGAGGTGCTCCTCAATCCAATTTGCATTCGCACGACGGGGTTTCATTCCATGCCTCTCACGGGGCTCCGTCCCATGAAGCCGGTCATCACCAAGAAGCTGGAAATCATGGACATACTCATGAACAGATGGATCATCCGGGCTTGTACAACGACCGTGATGCTGTTGTTTCGCGAGACTGGGAAGAACGTGCATTCACTATTGGTATTGGAGGGTGAGTGCCATATCTAGGAACTTTACTGATATCATTATCTCTTTGGCGCGAGTCCGTTTTCTGAGTTTTGATTTTTGAGACTAGACCTGTCGGATCGGGAAAGACGGCTCTCATGTTGGCTCTTTGCAAACGATTGCATCCAGAGTACAATATCGCTGCAGTAAGTGCTGCCTCGTTTGCCTGAATCTTGCGTGTCGCTGTGTAGCAACTCTTGACACGTCTATATCATTTAGGTGACAAATGATATTTTTACACAAGAAGACGCCGAGTTCCTGATTAAGAACGACGCACTTCCTCAAGGTCGTATTCGTGCTGTAGAAACCGGTGGCTGTCCTCATGCTGCCATCCGAGAAGATATCTCTGCCAACTTGGGTGCTCTAGAAGAATTACAGGCACAATACCATACGCAATTGTTATTGATTGAATCTGGTGGTGATAATCTTGCTGCGAACTATTCACGTGAGCTGGCTGACTACATCATATATGGCAAGTTGTGAACTAGCGTTTAGACCGTTTGTTCAAAGTTTTGTAGTCGTAATCCTTCACTCACCATAACCAATCATCGTCTCTTATTAACAGTCATTGACGTCTCTGGAGGTGACAAAGTGCCCAGAAAGGGAGGACCAGGAATTACACAATCAGATTTGCTGGTCATCAATAAAACAGACTTGGCTGAAGCTGTTGGAGCTGACTTGTCGGTAATGGATCGTGACGCCAAGAAGATGCGAGATGAGGGACCCACCATATTTGCTCAAGTCAAACATGGCAAGGGTGTGGATGAGATTGTTGAAAAGATACTGGAATCTTATCGCAACTCAGGCGCTGCTGATATTAAATTGACACCTCTATGAGCCTTTAGCAATTTATGAATCCAATTGAGTTCTCGTATAAGCCAACATTTACATTCGACTAGCTTTTATGAGGGTTCTTTGCAGCGTCATTTTCGTGCTGCGTTCGTTGCCCAAAGTAGAGGTAGAAGTAGACACCGTTCTCCAGTAGGAGCGAAAACGAGTAGGAGATCAATCTAGATGGAGAATAGTGTGAAAAGTAACGATAGAGGACAGGATCTGTCGCCGCAACCGCTCTTCAAGCGCCCGAGAGGAAGGCCTCGAAAACACCGAAAACCGAATTTGGAACAAGACGTGTCTGCTCAAGATGGAAGTACGACGAACGCTATAGATCTACTCAAATCTCCAGTATATTTTGCTCGGGAAAGTGCCAAGTCTACGGAATCTCCTCGAGATCACGAAATGTTGGGTCATCACGAGATTATGAACATCACACCGATGCAGCACCCCCTGTCCTATGAACCGTTGTCTCTGTCGCTAAGCCAGTCTTTGACACATCAGCAACTATGGCTATTGACTTCAGACCAGCACGGCCTCTCGAATGTGTGCACAATTCCATTTTGGAAACAACAACAGAATGAACAGCCGCCGAAACGTAAACGCGGAAGACCAAGAAAATGTCCCATAGCTGTCGCTTTAGATCCTATCTGCGTTGATGTTCCAGTCAATTCGGGCGCTCCAGCTGCTGCTGCTGAGGCTCATATGATGTCGATATTCGAACACAAGGATAGTCTCAATGGTGTAGATGCTCCCACCATGACAAGTGGCTTACCAATAATCAAACGTGGCAGAGGTCGTCCCCCCAAGTCCTCCTACTTGACTCTGCAATCTGAGTCGTTGATCTCCACGTCAGCACCAGCAACAATCGCCCCTCCCCAAATCAAGCGTCCTAGAGGCCGTCCACCAAAAAATCCAGGATTGATGCCAATCAAGAGAGGTAGAGGAAGACCTCCCAAAAACTTCTATTCTCAAGAGGGGTCATTGTCGACGACACACAGGCGTATTCCGATTCATCATCGTTGGCGTACTTCAGTATTGGACTCGTCTTTGATACGAAGAGCGTATAGCATCAAGGACCACAACATGGACGCATCATGTTTTCTACTTGCAACTCCAAGTGAGATTAAAACGACTCAACGTCCACCAGTACACCAAGAATATCCAATGATCCCATTTTCCGATTCGGCTTCGTACTTGTGTACCAGAGTACACAGTTTGGATAAACCTGTGATGATCGAGAACGTGCCTCTTCCAAGCCTTTGTGTTGAAGACTCTTGGCAGCCGACGAAACCTGGACGATACCATACTGTTTGTCGCCGATCTGTGTTGAAGGAATGTGTATCTGTATTGGGGGCCAGTGATTTGGACGCAAATGGGAATGTGATTGATTCTGCTGTTTGTTACAGTGAGTTCGAGGGCTTAACGTTTTTTGCTCGGTTAATGCTAAATGATTCACTTTATTTTATTAGCTGTTGGAAGGGACCTTTCTACGTTGAAGGCAAACTCGGTTGGAGCTGTCTTTCATAATTTACTGGTTGGTCTAAAGTGTTTTCGCACCAGTTTCTCCCACTCGGAGCTTACTTTTGAGTATTAGATCTCAAGTGACGACGACGTATCTGTGACCTGGTACATATTCCCTCACTCTTGTCTGGATACGATGCAACGAGCAATGTATTCGACAAATCGTGGCTCTCTATTTGGTGTTGATGGTTGTGATGTGTCGCTTGAAGAGTTGGATGCTCTACGCCACACTTGGAAGGAACGAAGGGTTCCCATCTTTGTGCAAACACAAGAAATTGGCGATATGATATACAGTAAGTCGCTCAAGTCATTGATTGGAGTTTACTTCAGAGTTTAAATCCTCGACCTTTCTAGTTCCTGCGGGATGTTGCTACATGACAAAGACGGCTGGATACGACGATAGTCGAACGGTTTCTATAGAATGGACTACTCTACCCGAAATTGCCCTGCCAGTGTATTTAGCTAGAGTCGCTCCTGTGCATCGCATTTTTGGTCAACGAGGACCGCAACACAATCCAGCAAAGGCTATTTACGAGAAAGTGAAGGAAATATCAAAACCAGAAACCTTTACAGCGGTTTCTCTTCTCACAGCTTGTCATTTCCTGGTCGCATTCACGAATGTTTTGAAGGAGGAATGGATTGATACTACTACCAGTCATTGTCGACGAGTTGGAGGCCAGCCTCGGTCTTGCTTATTTTGCTATGAGAGCATATGGAATCGTGCCGTTTGTTGTGACGAATGCAAATCAGATGTTTGCTTGCACTGTTTTGCTTCAGGTCGTTCTTGTTTGCACAAGACATCTTTGGTCGAATCGCATTCCTGGGAGGAACTCGCGAATCTCAGGCTCTCGACTTACGGCAATGTCCTGACAGCTTGGAAGAACGCGAAAATGCCGAACTTTGCTATTGAAGCCATTCATGTATTGCTGCAGCAAGTCACGTCGAAGTGGCATCTATGTGATTCGTAAGTTTTACGTCGAACATCGTTTCTGGCAAAACTGAACTTGAAAATTTCTATTTTTTTAGGAATCCTTCACCAAATCCTTCATCAGACGGATACATTGCGTATAAATTGCATCTTGATCGAGCTTCCAAATCGACGAGTTCTTGCCACGAGTGCAGTCAAGACAGGCCAAAAGCGTAAGTTTCTCTTTTGAGCACAGAGTCAAGTTCGAGCTCTAACACGAGCAATCTCTAGAGACGTGACAAGCTGCAAGACATGTTCAATCCGATTCTGTAACTATTGTTTATGGGATCATCATGGTTTGCGTCTGTATGAAGCTGCAAAGGTAAGTTTCTCTGTAAACGCAAATAGGCTTTAGGGGCTAAACGAATTATATCATCAGGACGCTGAGTGGGCCTGCCCGATGTGTGAGAACCGTTGTACTTGTTTCGACTGCGCTGGTCAAACCCAAAGACCTATTGCTTCTGTGGTCCATCCAGCTCCTTTAATTTACAAAAACTTGTCTTCTGTTGTGCTTCCAGTAAGTGGAGAAAGGAGAGTCGCAACTTCATGCATACTCTTTGACAATCAGACAATCATCTAGATTTCAGATGTGCGGCTCCCAGGAGAGCGATCAGTGTCTATTGCAACTCCAGCAGCAATGGACTTCGAAGTTGATCTATATCCAAACAAAAAAACTACCATGGTAAACTGGTCGTACTCTGACGTTTTTAAGACAAAATCCACGTGATTTAAGTGTTTGCTGAAAATTCCTTCTTTAATAGGCTGTATTCAAGCGTTACGGGCCTCAACAACATGCTTCACAAGTAGAAGCTCTAAGTGATAACCTTTTCGAGTCCATTCAGTCATTCAATCAAGATACGTCAAGACTCTGGCAGTATGTTTTACACGAATTCAATTCGGCATAATTCTGATTCAATAATATGTGACTTGGGTGCGCAACCTCACTAGTTGATCTGCGGTTCGTAAAAGTGAGAACTCACGTTCTTGACACGTTCAAAGTTGATAATGCGGATTTTTGGTACAAGATTAAACTGAAAGATAATACCTTTTCCTATGATATATCATCCCAATGACAGAATAGTTGACACGTTTGATTTGATACTCTCAAACCTCTTTCGAAAAAAGTTTCGAGTGAGAGCTTGAACACTTTTGGCCCGAATTTTTGGTAGCGGAGCCACGTTCTCTACTTGAACGGCCCAAAATCCAAGTCATTGCAGGATTCTCGACGGTTGAGCAGTCGCAACGGGCAATAATGAGTTCGTCAAGAGAAACACCTGATGAGACCTATGAGACAGTGCAAGAATCCGTTAAGGACTTTGTAGAAAAGCATTGGAAGTCAATTGCTATTGGAACAGCGGCTGCAGTGACCGTCGCAGCTCTAGTTTATTATAATTCTTCATCTTCATCAGCTCCCAAACGACCTCCTGCAACAAAAGGAGGAAACGCTTCAGCTTCGAGTAAGAGTAAGGGCAAAGACAAGACATCAAAGAAGCCTGTGGATGTGGAAGCTGGAACTCACAAGGCTCAACACTCGGATGATGTGTCTACGCCAGCTATGACTGTAGAATGTACGTGAAGTTTTGACGCTTTTTTTTCTCGAATGTCGTTTTTGATGTCAGTTACTTATTCATCTTGTAATTATTTATTGTAGCTGATGGTAGAACTTATGCTGAAGTAGCTGCTACTGATCCTGATCTCTTTGTGGAAGACGTGTCGAGTCTAACACCTCAGGTAAGGAGTGATGTGAGGTTTGAAATCTGCCAAGGACAGTTGAATTGTTGATCTCATGTTTGTAACCATTACACAGAGACGAGCTGAGCTAGCAAAGACTGCCAAGACAACGGGCAACAAGTTATATGGAGAGAAAAAGTATGCTGAAGCGGTCGACCTCTACAGTCAAGCCATCAGATTGCAACCAGAAGCTGTATTCTACAGCAATCGAGCTGCATGTTATGCCAATCTGGTATGATGAATGAACTGGCTTCTGTGTATAGTACAGGAGTGTGCCAGATGTACTGATGATGATTTTAACTGGCGTAGGGCAAATACGATGAAGTGATAGTCGACTGCACAGAAGCACTCAAGCAAGATCCAAACTATATTAAGGCATTGAATCGTCGTGCAACTGCTTTTGATCGATTGGGAAGGGCTAAAGAAGCACTAAATGGTATACATATAACTCCCAATGAGCGGCGTTTTTGGTTGTCAGATGGTTTGACTGACACATCATCAACCAACCGTGACTTAGACTTCACCACCATTTGTATCATGGAAGAATTCAAGAGTGAGAGTACTGTTGCATCAACTGACCGTATTCTCAAGGATATTGGAAAGAAGATGGCTGAAGAATTGATGGCATCTAAAGAGAAACGTCTCCCATCAGAGACCTTCATCACCGGTAAATATCATCCGTCGATGACAGTTCAATCCAAGATTTTTCTTAATCCGGTTTCCTTTATTTTAGCATACATGGATTCCTTCCGACAAAGTATGGAAGGACAAATGATATTACAATGGCAACATGAGTCTAACTAGTCATTTCCCACTCATTCAGCAAGCACACAAATCTCCAAAATCACTAGTCTCAAAGCTGAACAAGAAGGAGACACACTAGTTCAGGAGGCATTCTCATTGATTGCGAGTCGCAAATACAAGGAAGCTTATGAAGCTTCTGTAAAAGCAATCAAGTCTGGCCAATTTAGTGCAAAGTTTGAACCACTGGCCTACAACCTATGCGGAACCTTCCACTTCTTGAAGGGGGATAGTACGTGTAGATTGTATCCTGGGTGTTTGTGGAGGGGTTTTTTGCGACCCTTTTCTCACAGCAACGGTACTTTTTAATAGTTGAATCTGCGATGGTTGACTTTGAAAAGTCATGCGAACTGGATCCTTCCAACGTCAACTCGTTAATCAAACGAGCATCAATCTATATGGAACGAAGCCAAGTGGACAAGACTATGGAAGAGTTTGAACGTGCCAAAAACGTGGATGAAACCGATCCCGATTTATACTACCACCGTGGTATGTCACTCACCTCTCGTCTGATATCTGACGTACGTTTTCGATCTTCCTATCGCTACTTTCTGACATGATTCTGAACTTGTTAGGTCAAGTTCGATTCTTAACGAATGACTTGGCAGGTGCCGCTGAAGATTATAAAAAGTCAATTCAATTAGATCCCGACTTTGTCTATGCCCACATCCAGTTAGGTGTAGCACAGTACAAGATGAATGATGTGAAGGATGCCGTTGCAACCTTCAAGTCAGCTGCTAGAAAGTTCAAGCAAAGCCCTGAAGTTTACAATTACCATGGTGAAATCCTCCTTGATCAACAATCTTTCCAAGATGGTAAACATTTGAACGTTGTGGTCTGTTCTGACATCACCACACTGTGAAAACAACTGACATGCTTTTTTTAGCTGAGGAAAACTTTAACAAGGCCATCCAACTTCAACCCACTTCACCTCTTCCATACATCAACAAGGCCATTCTATATCTACAATGGAAGAGCGACACGACTACAGCTGAGTCTCTATGTCGCAAAGCTACAGAAGTTGATCCACTGTGCGATATTGCTTATGCACAGCTTGCCCAGCTCCTGTTGTATCAGATGCGTATTGAAGAAGCACTAGAGAACTATGATAAAGCCATTGCTGTGACAAGAACAGAACCTGAACTGATCAATGCCATCTCTTGTCGTGAAGCTGCTCGAGCTCAATTGCATGTGGCTACGGTAAGAATGGGACAGTGTGGGAGTTCGTGAATCTGATGACATGTGTTTACTAACGCATTTCTTCTTCCACAGAATTATCCGGAAATCATGGCCAAACTCGCACGACGTTCATAGTTTCTCAGTAGTATGCTGTTATTAGAGCGAGTTGATTTAAATACAAAAAAGATCTACTATATAATGTGGTTAATTTGACATATGGAGCGATTGATGACTATGTTCACTGTTTGTTATTAGCCTAGAACTAGGCGTTAGTTAAATCGGATCAAGTGGTGTATCATTAATCCAACCTTACACTTGTGATGTTCTTCAATTCTTCTCGCAGAGTAGTCCATTGAGACTCAACCTGGTCCAGCTCAGCACCTAATGCACTTAATGCGGCCTTTATCTTATTTGCTTCAGCACTAAAACCTTCTGATTTATTGGAGACGAGTTCACGTTCTTGGTGCTTGTTTTGAGTGCTTAATAAATCGGTGACGACTGCGTATTCTGAGAAGGTTTCTGAAAGCGACGCTAACTGACTTAACAAGTGACTGGATGATTCATCGGCTGATTCTTTCTTGTTGCTCATGGTTGTGATCTTCCACACACCAAAGTTTTAGTTCGTGAGGCACGATCAGAGCGACCAACCCAAGAAACACGCTAGATCCCACACGCTTTCATGTTTGCGAGCAACGATATAGTAATAGTGATAGTGATGATGATACAAAAGACTGAGCTTACAGTTCGAAATTGCTTACAGTATATTGTGTGAGAGGCTCTAATTTTCCATAATTCCTAAATACTTTTTTGATTGTCATCAGATAGTAAACAGCTGACTACTCCATGGCTTAGACTCTTTGCAACAGTCCATAAATTGATGTTATTTTTCGACCACTATCTGGCGCTGCGATTTCATCGAAGCCTGACATTGTTTTCTCCAAACGTATCAGGCGGTGCGGCAGCACTACTATTATCTGGACTACCATCTCTTCTAAGCAGCTCGCTAAAGAGCCTCGACACCCGTTGAGCAGACTCCAACACGTCTGAAGCAGATGCTGTAATACTTTGTCGTATAGGGATTCCTGTTATGTGTTGTTGATCCCATGATAAGTGTGGCGATTCGAGCGGTTGAGAAGGATGCTGTTGTTGGTGTTGATAATGATATAGTCTTGATAGTCTGTTGAATGTGTTCAAGGCGAGTTCTCTGACTTCTGGGTTTTGTTGTTGTTGGCCAGCTTCGAGCCGTCGTTGTTGATTACTATCGGCAGTCACAGAGGGAGGTTGAGAGATATGTATGGTGCTGTTACTATTATTGGGCTGGCTGTTGGGCCTCGTTATCCTGACGCGCTCTACAAAGACACGTTCAGGTACAGATTCGCCTTCAGAGTCCTCCGAGTCAAAGATTGATGGACCACCTCTACTGAGTCTCCTTCTACTAGCCCTCCTCCAATCGTCATCTTGAGAGGCAATAGATGCGCTTATCCTCCTTCGGGTTGTGTCACGATTTTGATCCGAGTCTGAGTCAGGAGCTGCAGGGGAAAAGGGCCGGGTAGTCGCCCTAGCTCTATCTACCATCAGTCTCATATTCCGTTCCCATTCACTTTCACATTCTTCTGACTCCATGGCTTCAGTATTATTTTCACGGGTTCTGCGATTAATCTCTCTTTGTTGCCTAAGAGCCCACCAGTTAGTGTGGCGAGCCTGCTTGGGCGCATCTTCTTGCTCGATGTATACTGGATTTCCCATAGGTACTGTGTCTAGAAAAGAATGATTGTGATGAGTTGTTAAGTAAATCTGGTTTTATTGGGCGAGGGAAGGAAGAATTTACCTCGGTGTAAATAGAGTTTAGCTAGGATAAATGGTTTTCAGTAGATTGCTCCTGTCCCGCTCTCCTTCTCGCTTGAAGAAAAGGTCAGTCCAGTCGTCAAGTGTGTGTCTAAAATATTTGAAGGCGGACGCGAAATCGCAGTAGCCGATGAACCAGCCGACGTGGATGCTGAACAGAGGTGCATTTCTGTTTTTCATAATCGTAGACATGCTCCTCAAATGAATATATTCGATCTTCCGATTTAGGCTCGAAAAAGCAACATTTACACAATATTTTAAACAACAGCGGACGCGCTGTTTCTTTAAGCATCACAGTCAAGCTCGAAGAAAATCAAATTAGAGAGCAATCAGGAGTCTTGACCGTATGGCTTATCCATATTGTGTTGTGGCTGTCAAATCTTGAAGCTGTCGTTTACAAGTCAAGTCACAACTAAAGCTGAAAGCGATCTCAGGCAGAGAAGTCACCTCATTGATTTTAATTTATTTATTTGCTGTAATGGCGACAATCAATCGTCTACCCAAAGATACAGAGAGGTATACCATCTGCAGCACTGCGATTTAATCACACTTTGATTCTTGACTTGCATCTTTTCCTAGGAGGATTGCCTCTGGCCAAGCTCAAAGCAGCATTCAAGCAGTCATCAAAGAGCTCATTGAGTAAGTCCGTCCTTGCTACTTTTCCCAAAGATCAACCAGAAACTTGCTGTCAACATTCGACATGTCAGACGTCAACATTTGAAACCAACGTGCATACCATCCGTACGCTCACATTAGGAATGCCCTGGATGCTGGTGCTCGTTCAATCAATATCAAGCTAGAAAGGAACGGTTTGGACTCGATAGTCGTAAAAGATGACGGAACAGGAATCCCTGTTGCATTCTTCCTTGATTCCATGATAGGACAACGTCATTGTACCTCAAAGATCACCACCTTTGAAGACTTGAACACGCTTGAAACTTTTGGCTTTCGTGGTGAAGCTCTGAACTCGATCTGTAATGTGTCAGAGAGTGTTATGATCGCTACTAAGGTCGAACAAGAGGGTGAAGGAGCTGGCAGAGTATATGAATTCGACAAGAAGGGACACATCACCAGGTAAACGATAATATGTTAATACTTTGGTCAACCTTGACCACGTGTTAGTCAACGCTCACACTCATCACCTCCCGTCTCCTAGCACTCAACGAATGGCCATGGATCGTGGTACTTCAGTGACTGTACGACGTGTCTTCAACAGGATCCCAGTCCGACGTAAAAATGCAGCCTCAAATCAGCAAAAGACTGCTACTCAAGTATCAGAAATGGTCAAGCTCTATGCCATACTCGTACCACAGTTGCGCATCGTACTCAAGTTTGTCGATTCAGCTGCGAGTATCAAGAAGGACTCTGAGATGAACAAACCAGCAGCCGGAACGCACTTGGAAGCCATCGCCCAAACATTTGGTCGAGCAATCTCTTCTCAGCTTATAGAACTTGAAGAATCCCTTGAGATACATCCTGATGATGCTGGTGAAAGTCAAGAACACGTCGAATCCAATGCTCAACAAGCTATTGAGATTCGAGCAGTGCTTCCAAAAGTTGGTGCTGGTAAGTAATACTTCCGCTTTGAGCAAACCAATCCCTTTCAACGATACGTTATTCCCTTCATCTTCACACGTTGGGAACACCCTATAGATCCCACCATTGCAGCAAGGTCAAATGCTGATCGTGTCTTCATGAATGTCAATGGTCGTCCTGTCAATCCGTCTAATAAGACCTTGAAAGATATGATTGTTCGAGCACGTGACACCTACTTTTCTTCAATGGAACCCATCAATGGACGTCGCCATCCTTTTCTCTTTGTTCATATTCAAGTACCAACAAACTCTATTGATGGTAAATCCAACAATGTCACATGAAGTTTCCTTTCCCTGTCCATCCACTCATAAACGTCATTTTCCTTCTTCAAATATAGTAAATTTGGAACCAGACAAGTCTCTAGTCATGCTACACAACCCTAATGTTATACTCAGTTGGTAATTCTTATTCGCGGTTTGATCAACATGCCCAAAATCAGTCCTCATGTCACTCTTTTAAAGTTTCCAAAGACTCTTGAAAAGAGCATATCCTCCAGAGTCTGAGAATCAACAGGTTCCTCAGACTCTCAGGACGCCTGTATCGAATTTGAAGAAATCACGGCCCTCACAAAATCGACAGAAAACGAGCCAGAATAGTCCAACAAAACCTAGAGTCTTGTTGGGTCTTATAAATGGGCAACTCACTTTAATGACATCCATGACTGACGAGTCTCCTGGGTTATTACGCATGGGTCGTGACGTACCAGAAACTCGCGTCGTAGGAGATGACGACGACGATGATGACGACGATGACGACGAAATCGATGAAGAATCAGGACAGCTTATGCAGTCCAAACGTAAAAGACGTCGTATAATGCTGGAAGGTGATGACATGGATTTGTATATTGATGAAACTCTCAAAGATCAGGCTACTACAGTCGATAGTGTTGTGTATAGCTCAAATGTGACTCTCGACTCGTGGTTGGAGAAGAAACGTCAGCCTCATACTACTCCTCAACCAGAGTCTGAGTGTGACGAATCAGCAGTAGTACATCAACAACCCGTATTATATCCTTTATTCCCTACATCCACTCCCAAACGAAAACCAGCCAACAAAGCACCACAAGTCACTCCTCCCGCAAATCTGGCTGAACCAAAACAAGTGGTTACTCAAAAGAGACCACCGATCATGGAAAGCAGTCAACGTCAACTGAAATTGAGTGAATTGCTCGCACCACGACTACCATTCAAGTCAAAGGGCAGAGAACCTGTCCGAGACTTTGCACAACCTACTAGTATAAGTGGTAGTACTGGTAGTAGTGGGTTAACACCAGTGTCCTCGTCTGGTTCACAATCACCTTTGCCCGTATATTCTACAAGAGACGAGGACATGGTTGTGTCTATTAAGTTGAGTAATTTGGCTGAACGTTATGCACTCATGGTACAAGATCGATTGCCTGCTCCTGAAAGTTCTGTTGATGATGAAGATGATGAAAAGGCGGCACTTGATTCGAGGATTCTGATCATTGGTCCTATCTCTGGAAGTTCTGGTTCTGGTGTCTTTGATGCTGAGAACTCACCAGTATGGACTATCACTGTCGATGGCAAAGTGGTCGTTGTGAACTTGCGAAGGTAAATTGCAAATTTGATTTGGTGTCTCAATCCAGTGCAACATAGGCGTCATACCTTTTTGCCTCGTTTGGTAGGATGATTGAAGTCTTGCTGTTTCGAGAGTTGCTTTCAAGTGGTGAATTACCACTGAAAACTCTTCCATATGCAACTCTGTTGCGACCGCAGTAAGTATTTTCAGCACCAAAGGTAACGCCATTTGGCTTGATTCAAACAACCTGTCCTTATTCAGGTCTGTCGGAGGTAACAAAGGATTGAATTTTCTTCAAAGAGTCACCAGTGAAGAAGTCTTGGTTCCAGCTCTACCAGGAATTGACAAGCGACGTGTTTCTGATCCACGTTTACTTGCAAATGGATTCGAGCTCTACATTTCTTTTGGTGAGTTGAAGCGAACGAGAAAAAAACAATTCTATTATAGAGTTGTGTTCAAGGAACGAAGTCTAACTCATTCAACCATCTTTTCTTAGATACCAAGAATCCAAAGAATGAAGCTACAGTAGAAGTCACTTCACAAACCGACGCAATCACTTCCTATGGACTTGGAGATCTCAAGGAGCTGATGGCATCGCTTTATTCTCGACCTATTCCAGCTACTCTAGAACTTGCTTCTACACGTCCGCCACGAGTCATTGAGTACTTTGTTGCTCAAGCTACAAGTATTGCTCGTGACAAAGTCAAGGATATATCGGATGTGGAGTGGTGTGATGCTACTGATGATGAGAAGGAAGAGATCAGGTCTCTAGTTCTCGGATATGTGACTGATTTCTTTGCCTCTTGTGAAGACGGTGTCTCGGATGTTCCTGCAGGCTCAGAATGGTTGTGTCCGGTAAGTGCTGATTTAGCTGTTTTTGAGATCATTGTTCTCGTGTAGATCTAAATACAAAATTCTATTCTTTAGCACCAGAAATGCGTGGGTATCATGATTGACTAAGCAGCAGGACAACACTTTGCACAAAGGCCTTGTTGTATTTATCTTGCACAGAACGTTAGAACTTTGCCTCTGAAATATGCGAATACTAGAATGCATAGTAGTTGTAAAAATGTAGAAAGTACCCCTGAAAGTAAATATTGCTAATAAAGTTCTAGTAACTGGTACCCTCGTGTTTTTGTTCAACAATATAGCAAGCTCCAGGTCCAATGGCTGTAGTTGGTGCTGAGGTGTTGAATAAGCTCCTGGCGGATATACGGAGCAAGTACGTGTCAAGCTCAAGTTCTCCTTTCAACCCAGCTTTTGAAACTAGTTCTGCGCTGACAGCCCCTCAAATTGATGTTTTTGCTCATTTGTGTATCTTATTTTTCCAGGAATGAAGATGTACGAGCCAGAGGAGCTACAGATCTACGTGATTACGTGAGTTTCCATTTAAAGTCATGTATCGACCGTCTCTTTTTACTCTGCATCAACTGTTGCAACACATTAAAACATCTTTTGGGACTTTGGCAACATTAGGTGGTCAGCGTGTCGCGAGAAGTGTCTGGAGAGACTTTCTCGAAATTCATGAATGATGTCAATCGAAGAATATTCGAATTGATACAGAGTAATGACGTGTATGACAAGATTGGTGGAATACTCGCTATCGGTGAACATGATGTTCTTATCGACCACACTAGTTTGTGAGTTAACCCTTAGATCTTTATATTAGACAAGCTGATTGATTTCGATGGTGAAGACAATACTACAAAGATAACACGGTTTGCGAACTATTTGAGGCTGGTATTACCAGGAACTGATCCTCAGATAGCGGTGTTGGCTGCCAAAGCTTTGGGTATTCTCCTTGGTTCACAGTCGGTGGTTTTGTGCTAGTATTAATTGTTTTTCGTCTCCCTGGAAAGGTCGTCTGGCACAACCTGGTGGAAATCTGACTGCAGAGTTTGTCGAGTTTGAAGTCAAGAGAGCTTTAGAGTGGTTACAGGGTGAGACACGTTCCTTTGTATCGCTCATCATGATCAAGAACTGACCGCATCTATGTACACAGGTGATCGCAGTGAAGCCAGAAGATATGCTGCAGTCCTAGTATTGCGAGAACTCGCAGCCAACGCACCCATCTTCATCTATTCATACGTTCCCCAAATACTGGACTTGATATGGGTTGCATTACGAGACTCCAAAGTAGTCATTCGAGAAGGTGCTGCTGAAACATTAAGTGCTACACTCGATCTAGTTAATCAACGAGAATCACATTCACGCCGACAATGGTATCGCAAAATCTTTGATGAAGCTCAGAAAGGTTTCAAGATGAATACCGCTGATGCGATTCATGGGTCTTTGTTGACCCTACGTGTGTTGTTGTTTCCAGCTGCAACTGTAAGTTGACGTTATATCAGTCCTCGATTGCATACTCACTTTGTTTGTGTCTATTAGCAATTCATGGATGGACGATACAGAGAAATCTGTGATTTGATACTGAAATATAAAGACCACCGCGACGTCCTCATTCGTAAAACCGTCATCCTGAGTATCCCAGCATTGGCAACATTTGAAACCGAGACCTTTGTTACAAACTATTTGAATCCATCCATGAATCATCTACTTGGTCAATTAAAGAAAGAAAAGGATCGATCTGGAGCATTTATAGCTGTAGGCAAAGTAGCTATTGCAGTTGGAAGTCATGTTGGACCATATTTGGATTCGATTTTGCAGACCATCAAGGAAGGATTGTCTATTAAAGGGTATGCAGAAAAAAAGATGTCAACGAAAGCTGCAAATTGTTCGTTGAACTCTGTCTCACTTTTGCTATTTTTGTAATAGCAAAAACCGTGGTCCTACAGATGCACCAATATTCCAATGTATCAGTATGCTGGCCACAGCAGTTGGTCCTGCATTGACACGATACATTCATGAGTTACTGGATTTGATGTTTGCTGCTGGTCTGACAGAGCCGTTGAGACAAGCTTTAGCTGATTTGGCAAATCATATTCAACCACTGTTACCGAATATTCAAGGTCTGTGACAATGAAGACCTTCAGCCTTCCGGATGTTTTTCACTCATGATTTTTGTTCTGTAGAACGTCTGCTTAATATGTTGTCACTGATATTATGTGGTCAACCTTATCGACATCCTGGTGCACCACCTCGTATGAATGGGATCATTCATACTAGAGATCTCTTGGTAGGGCAAAATGTTCTTTCGCATCAGGCATTGATTATTCATCACATCTTTGTACATTTCCAAATCGTCAGATATTGGAAGGCAGGGACCAAGAAACTATTATTTTGGCGTTGACCACGTTGGGTAGCTTTGATTTCACAGGTATTTGAGCTCCTCAGAAGGCCAAAAAACCACTGTTTTCAGTGTCAATTCACTAACGTGATGTGTCTTGCTCAGGTCACATTTTAAATGAAATGGTTCGTGATTGTGCCGCTCCATATCTGGAAGATGATGATGCAGAAGTTCGGAAAGCTGCTGCTGTTACATGTTGTCAACTCTTGGCTCGTGATGGATTGTATGGATCGAGCACGTATGCTATGCAGATTGTGGGCGAAGTTTTGGAGAAGCTGCTCACTGTGGGAATATCTGATCAAGGTTAGCGTCATTGCAATGCCGGAAAACAGTCTTTTTTCTCACTTGCACCCAATGCATATACAGATTCCACAATCCGACAAAAAGTTTTATCTTCACTGGACGAACGATTTGATAGTCATTTGGCTCAAGCGGAAAATGTCAGATCCTTATTTATAGCTTTAAATGACGAGATCTTCCCCATTCGAGAAACTGCGATCACCATCATTGGTCGCTTAGCAATGCACAACCCTGCATATGTTATGCCATCACTACGTAAAACCCTGATTCAGTTATTGACTGAACTAGAGTATTCAGGCGTTAGTCGGCACAAGGAGGAGAGTGCTCGATTACTGAGTCATTTGATTTCATCAGCTCAAAGACTCATCAAGCCATACGTGGAACCTGTGCTCAAAGTGCTGATATCCAAAGTAAAAGATCCAAGTCCCGGTGTTGGATCCAAAGTTTTAGAAGCTATTGGAGAATTAGCCCAAGTTGGCTGTGAAGACTTGTTGCCATACTTGGATGATCTGATGCCAATGATAATAGAGACATTGCAAGATCAGAGTAGCTCTACGAAACGAGAAGCAGCTTTAAGGACACTGGGTCAATTGTCTAGTAATACAGGATGGGTTATAGAACCGTATCTTAAGTATCCTAATTTGCTCAATTTGCTCATCAACATATTGAAGACGGAGCAATCGCCTGCTATTCGTCGGGAGACAGTGAAAGTAATGGGCATCTTGGGTGCGCTGGACCCAAAGCACAAGGTATAATTTGCAGTGGTTACCGGCTTCTTTTATTTTCAGCCAAGTTACTCGTCTCCCATTTAGATGGTGTCCCGAACATCCGACGACACCATGACTGGTGGCATAAATTCAGAGGCAGTCGCTGTGCCAACTGGTATAGCAGAAGACTATTATCCAACAGTCGCCATTAATTCGCTGATGCGAATACTTCGAGATCCATCCCTGAGTCCACATCATACCGCTGTCATTCAAGCCGTCATGTATATTTTCAAGACATTAGGTTTGAAATGTGTGCCCTTTTTACCACAGGTAAAGTGCTTGAAGATTTGATACTGAAGTGTCAATTTTATTCAAACCAGCCTCCTTTTTGGGAATAGATTTTACCTCCCTTTTTGAGCGTTATGGGACATGTGCAAAACATGTTAGAATTCCACTTCCAGCAATTGAGTTTGCTGGTATCCATTGTCAAACAACACATTCGAAACTATCTACCAGAAATCTTTGCCCTCATCCACGAATACTGGAATCCCAATGCCTCGATTCAAATCACCATATTGTCACTAGTAGAAGCCGTAGCAGTTGCCCTCGATGGAGAGTTTAAAGTGCATCTTCCAACACTGCTACCACAAATGTTGCAGATATTCGAAACCGATAATTCTGAAAGAAGGCTTCCAACCCAAAAAGTCTTACATGCCATGATTATATTTGGATCCAACTTGGAAGAATACCTCCATTTAGTGATACCCGTTATAGTCAAGTTGTTTGAACGGCAAGATGTGCCGGTGCATCTTCGTCGAAGTGCAATGCAAACCATTGCTCAGCTATGTAAAAAAATCAATTTTGCTGATCAAGCATCACGAATTACTCATCCACTAGTACGGGTATTGGCTACTGGTCCACCAGAGCTAAAAGTGGCGGCTATGGATACTTTGTCTGTATTGCTGTATCAGCTGTCATCGGATTTTGCGATTTTTGTACCCATGATTAACAAGGTATGAATCGAGTCGGATGAGCGAAAGTACATTTCGCTACCCATATCGGCAATCATTCTTTGCTCATGCCTTTCTCGGCTTCTTAAGGCAATGTCGAAACATCACATTCAACATGCTCGTTATGAAATGCTCGTCACTAAACTGTTGAAGAATGAGCATGTCCAGATTGAAATGAACGCAGAAGTAGATGATCGGTGAGCATAACCTGACGGTGATACTACTAAAGCACACATTGTCTAACATATTTTTTGTCCAGTGGATTTTCGGATATGCCGGCTGAAGAAACTCAGGCCGAAACATCATCGAAGAAACTGCCAGTTAATCAGCAGAATCTCAAAAAGGCATGGGAAGCCTCGCAACGATCCACAAAGGACGATTGGGCAGAATGGATCCGTCGATTTAGTGTTGAATTACTCAAGGAGTCTCCGTCACATGCCCTTCGAGCTTGTGCCAGTTTAGCTGCCAGCTATCCGCCATTGGCTCGAGAATTATTCAATGCTGGATTTGTATCTTGCTGGAGCGAGCTCTATGATCAATTCCAAGACGAGCTCGTTAGGTCGTTAGAAACTGCCCTGACGTCTCCCAATATACCTCCAGAAATACTGCAAACCCTTTTAAATCTTGCCGAATTCATGGAACATGATGATAAGGCTCTGCCAATAGATATCCGTACTCTGGGCAAGTATGCTGCTAAATGCCATGCCTTTGCCAAGGCTTTGCATTACAAGGAACTCGAGTTTATATCCGAACCGACACCTGGTACTATCGAAAATCTAATTAGTATAAATAATCAACTGCAGCAGCCGGATTCTGCTGTTGGTATATTAACGTATGCTCAGCAAAACCACGAAGTAGAACTTAAGGAATCATGGTATGAAAAGCTGCAACGATGGGAAGATGCTTTAGCAGCATATGAACGTAAACAACAAGAAGATCCATTATCTGTTGAAGCGACTCTAGGTCGAATGAGATGCCTGTATTCGTTGGGTGAATGGGAAGCATTATCACAGCTTGCTCATGAGCGATGGCCAACGGCTAGAGATGATGTAAAATCTGCCATCTCCTCATTGGCTAGTGGTGCAGCTTGGGCATTAGGTGAATGGGATGTCATGGAAGAGTATATTGATGCTATGAAACAAGATTCGCCTGATAGTGCCTTCTTCAGAGCTATTTTGGCACTACATCGTAACTTTTATCCTCAGTCTGCTCAGTATATTGACAAGACACGAGACTTGTTGGATACTGAATTGATGGCATTGGTCGGAGAGAGTTACAATCGTGCATACAAGTGAGTTTCCGTATTGATTGCTTAAATTTACTTGTTTATAAGTTCTTTTTTGTTTGTGTTTAGTGTTGTGGTTCGAATTCAAATGCTTGCAGAGCTTGAAGAAATTATACAGTACAAGCAAGTATACGATCAGCCAGAAAGACAGGCTCTCATTAGAAAGACTTGGATGAAGAGGTCGGTGAATCGCATCACTTAATCTGTTTGATTCTTCAAAGCTGATGATTTTTTGTCCAAAGGTTAAAAGGTTGTCAAAGAAACATTGATGTGTGGCAACGCATCCTCAAAGTTCGAGCCTTGGTAATATCTCCAAATGAAGACATGGAGATGTGGATCAAGTTTGCCAATCTATGTAGAAAAACTGGTCGCTTTAGTCTGTCGCATCGCACCCTAGTTGCATTGTTGAATCCAGAAGCAACTGATTTTACTCAACAATTGGATACTGTCAATAATGCTCCACAAGTAGTTTATGCTTGCTTGAAGCATATGTGGGCCACCGTGTCGAAAGACCACGTATTCACGCAACTCAAGCAATTCACAGTCAGTTTGGTACAACGGCAAGGATTGGCATCGCATGATGTCAGTGTAGTAGCTGTTGCCAATGATCCCAATCGTCTCGCTCAAATGAGACTGTTGGCACGATGTTATAACAAGTTGGGTGAATGGCAGCTCTCTTTGCAAGAAGAGATGACTGATGTGAGTGCCAAAAAAAAAACGTTGCAGCTATAATCAGAATAAGTGTGCGACACTACTAACTCTTCTCTTTTGCAATCACAGGACAACATTCCAGAAATCCTAAGATCGTATCGTGCTGCTACGCAATGTGATAAGGATTGGTACAAAGCCTGGCACGCATGGGCATTAGCCAATTTCGAAGTCTTGTCTCATTATGAACGGTCGAATGAGACAATACCACCGGAGCAATTAGTGGCTCATGCTGTACCATCTGTGCAAGGCTTCTTCCGATCCATTGCCTTGTCGAAAGGCAACTCTTTGCAAGATACTTTGCGTCTGCTGACGTTGTGGTTCAAGTATGGATACCAACCTGATGTCAACAAAGCTATTGGCGAAGGGTTCAATAATGTTAGCGTTGATACATGGTTGCAAGTAATACCTCAGGTACCTTCGTTGATAATGAATATTACAGTTTTTTCTCTCTAGCTCACTGTCCCTTGTCTTCTAGCTCATTGCAAGAATTCATACCCCGAGTCCTCATGTAAGACAATTGATTCATCAGCTCTTATCTGATGTTGGTAAAGAGCATCCTCAGGCTTTGGTATACTCTTTGACTGTTGCATCGAAATCTACGAGTTCATTCCGTCGAGATGCTGCCATAGCTATCATGGATCAGATGAGAACTCATAGTGCTATGCTTGTTGAACAAGTGAGTTGTCCTGGTTCATTTTTGAAAGTAAACCATTCCAGGCGTTTACTTCATTTTGCAGGCCTTGCTTGTGAGTCAAGAACTCATTAGAGTTGCCATTTTATGGCATGAAATGTGGCACGAAGGATTGGAAGAAGCTTCTCGCTTATACTTCCAAGATCATAACGTTGATGGAATGTTTGCTACTTTGGCACCACTGCATCAGATGATGGAACGAGTGAGTGATTACGACTCCTTATTGAGGTGTGATACAATAGAGGCTAGAGCTTTGATAACTTCTAGGGACCTGAAACTTTGCGTGAAGTGTCATTTAATCAATCATTTGGTCGAGACTTGCAAGAAGCTCTGGATTGGTGTCGGCGGTATAGGCGAACCTTGCACATAAATGATCTCAATCAAGCCTGGGACTTGTATTACACGGTAAAATACCCTGTCTGCTTAATTAAAGAATGTTGAAATATTCATCTGACCCCTTTCAATTTCTGAACAATAGGTGTTCAGGCGCATCAACAAACAATTACCTCAACTCACGACATTAGAGCTGCAATATGTGTCTCCTGCACTATTGGAAGCCCGAGATTTGGAGCTTGCCATACCAGGTATGCTGACCCATCGCTCAGATTATTTTGTGTCGCTGATGCAAACTTCGTTTTGCTCCAGGAACATATCACAGTGGCGAGCCTGTCATCAAGATTAGGTCATTCGTAGCTACATTGACTGTCATCACTTCAAAACAGAGGCCTAGAAGATTGACCATCAAGGGCAGTGATGGAAAGGACTACCAATACTTGCTGAAAGGTAAATCGGATGCTCGCTATTGTTTTTTGCCCTTTTGCTCACAGCGCACCATTACAGGACATGAGGATTTGAGACAAGATGAACGTGTCATGCAACTCTTTGGCCTAGTCAATACGTTGCTGTCCACAGACCCCGAGACATTCAAGCGTCAACTCAACATTCAGAGATACCCTGTCATACCGCTCTCGCCTCAGTCAGGTCTCATTGGTTGGGTACCTAATTGTGATACTCTACATACTCTCATCAGAGATTATCGTGAAAGTCGCAAGATTCTGCTAAATATTGAGCATCGTTTGATGTTACAGGTGAGATTTGTGTTGTGCGTCAGTAAGTGGCGCCGTTCACCAACCGTTTTTTTGTCGCTTTAGATGGCTCCTGATTACGACAATTTGACCTTGTTGCAAAAAGTCGAAGTCTTTGAATATGCGCTAGAAAATACTACTGGTCAAGATCTGTACAAAGTGTTGTGGCTGAAGAGCAAGAACTCTGAGGTATTATTTTATCTTCAGTACAAAATCAAAGAATGAATTATAAGGTTGTTTGGTTTTTGGTAGGTATGGCTGGATAGACGAACCAACTATACCCGTTCCCTTGCTGTCATGTCTATGGTGGGCTATATCTTGGGTCTTGGTGACAGACATCCTTCCAATCTGATGTTGGACAAGTTCACTGGAAAAGTGTGCCACATTGACTTTGGTGATTGTTTCGAAGTAGCCATGCATCGAGAAAAGTTCCCTGAAAAGATTCCCTTCCGATTGACTCGAATGCTCATAAATGCTATGGAAGTCAGTGGAATTGAAGGAAACTACCGAATCACCTGTGAAAATGTGATGAGGGTCTTACGGGAAAATAAGGACAGTTTGATGGCTGTTCTTGAAGCCTTTGTTTATGATCCACTTATTAATTGGAGGTTGGCTAATAATTCTCGTAATGATGCACCTGAAAATGATCATATTCCAGCAGGTATGGGTTGGTTGAATGGATGACTTTCGGAGCCTGAAAGACTAACTTATATTGTTCATGATGCAGAGGGAGAACAAGCTCGACCTGAGGCATTGAATGCTCGAGCTTTGGCAGTCATTACACGTGTCTCAAACAAACTCACTGGTGAGATTCATGATTGATGTGAGATATTCTTTGGCATCCCATCTTATTCGGTTTTGAAATTTAGGTCGTGATTTCAAGGCCAACAACACGTTGGACGTACCATCGCAGGTTCAACGTCTAATCCTGCAAGCGGTATGGATTGATTCGAGTTGTTGATGACTCACATGGATTCCTAACTTTGTGTCTCTATAATTTAGACTTCGCTGGAGAATCTAAGTCAGTTATATATTGGATGGTGTTCATTCTGGTGATTCTTATGAACGACATTTTCCTGTTAAAAACTAAAAATCTGTAGTATACCAATAAAATTTGACAAATTGAGCCATTGGTTCTAGTGACTATAATGATTTATATGCGTGTACGTTACAAAGAAAAACCAACAGTTATGCCGAGAGAGATCTGTTGTTAAGTAGCTAGAGAGACTCTTGTCCTCGAGTCCATGGCATTCCTATAAGAAAGAGGGACGAGTGCGGTTCGTGAGTCTATTCATTGTTCGTTTACATCGATTTTGATTCGTCTAGGCGTACAGAGACGTATCGGAAATGCTGCATCATTGTGGGATGAGAAGCTTGTTCATCGAGTTACATTTGCAGCCACTTCGGGCATCTCACTCGGGCGTCAATGACGACCAGAACCTCCTCATCTGCTTCAGATGAGCCGACCCACTCACCCCATGTACCGGCATTTTACCCACTACTCGAACCACTTTGTCGCACGTGCAAAGAAATCACAATGGACTCTGTCCAATATGTGCACACCCCATGAATGGATACGGCCAATTTGGAAATAAACGGGGATGGCTGCCTTGAACAACAAGCATGCATTCAGTGAAACGTTGCTTACCTTCTAAACGTTCATTTGAGGAGGGATCTTATGTACATGGCGAGACAATCCGAAAAAGGTGAGTGATTCTGAAATGTGTTTAATGTCAATCGGAAACCGAGTCCAATGAACACCTTGCACGAGTAAAAGCCACACAAATTTTGAAATATCTTGATTGAAAAGACAGAAATGGATCCATTCCACAGCAACTTCCTAGTTAGCAAAATCGTTTTCAGGAGCATGTGATAAAAACTGGAATTGTGAATTTCTTGCAACGTTTACAACACGATGCAAGGTCTGTAGTAAGACACGGAGTACTTACCATATCAGCTAAGATGGATCTCGGGTAGCTGTGGTCCTTCCTCCTTAGTTTTTCCTGCATTGGGTGCCATTGTTGGTAGTGTATAGTAACTTGAGTAGGTGTTCGGCAGTGTGGCCGATGAACAGACACTTAACTCAGCGATATGCTGTTTATTCGCGTTCAATGTCGGTCTGTTTATTGACATGGGTTCTCCAACACGTCGCAAATCAACTAATAGCTAAATGTTTTGTTTCGTGGCTTTCTGGAGGTGGACAATACTAAAGCTGAAAGATCTAGACGTGGGAGGAATGTGCCTGGAGGCTCGATGTTCCTGTCACGAACGGGGTTTGAACCAAGTTTGCGTATAGGCAACAGAATCTGTGTTGCAATAAGTATAACTACCACTCCATCTCTTCATCTTCGTCATTTCCACCAGCACCAAGAGCTTCCTCCAACATTATATTTTCATCATCAGCCTCCCTCAAAAAGCCTCCAGCAATGTTGTTTCTCAATTCAATTGTTTCTCCTTCATCGGCAGCACCACCGAAAACATCCTCCCCTTGGTCTACAGCATCATGACCATCTCCAAACTCAGTCTGAACTCTTTGACGAATGAATAGAGCTCTTACGAGTTTCTTCCAGTTATTGATTGCTTTTTTGGATCGCTTCTCCGCTTTCTTTTCATAGTCAATCTTTTGTTCCTGATCAGCAGCCTACAAAAAGAATCGAAACTTCAACAACCACAACAACAAAAGAAGATTCGTCAACTCCATCCATGTATCTGCATACGAACACTCATTTTACATGTGACGTACCTCAATCAAGACAGCAGCCGATTCTTTGGCAACAATGACACCTTCTACTCGTGGGAAAGATCGACCAGCCTTAAATTCAAATCCAGTGACTGCATTAGCATAATCGATTCCGAGCTTTTTAGCAGTTTTGCTCAGTCCTTTGACTACGATGCCAAAAGAAGTATGACAATGAGCGACAAAATATGGAATACAAACAGTCCACCACACTCTTACATGGCAAATACACAGCACCCGGTGGAAGCATACGCCGATTGAAAAACTCAAAATTGCCAAAACTATTCTTGGGAATCTTGCCCTGCGGAAAAAAAGTCAGCGCAGCTCCTTCACCTATGACACGAACATCTTACATCAACGATGGGAGGATGAGTAATCCAGTCAGTTTGCATCTCAGCGTATAAAGGTGTCTGACTGACATCCACACCAGCAATGGATTCAACATCATCGCCACGTTCTTCAGCTTGAGCTTTAGCTTCCTTGTATTGCTCAATCTCCCGTTTCTTTCTGATGGTGACGGCCCGAGCTTTGATAAGTTTCATAGGCTTCTCGCCTTCTCTGACATCTCGTCCATCACGTTTCCATTGCTCTGGTGATTTACACTACCAAAATGGAGAGGTCAGCAAAAAGCCCCCCGTCAATTGGAACATGCATAATATGACAATGTACCTGCAGCACATTCTTCCTCGGATACACAAGCATATTCCTGAATGTTCCTATTGCATGCTTCTTGCCGATAGGATGAATGACTTCAGCGCTCTTGAGATGTTTCTCCAGAGCATACCTTGCACGACAAACAAGCCCCGTTAGTAATGCAGTAGTATCCATCAGGAGCACTTTTTACAGTACGGACGTACAGCGGATGGTTGTTGAAGGCAGACAAAGTAGTAGGCATGGGTTCTTGCACAGCTGCAGCATTCAACTTTGCAGATTCAACCACACCAGTCTGGTCCCATTCTCGAGCAAAACTTTTAAGTGTCTCTTCTAGATAATCTTGACCAGATTCTTTATATCGTAGTTTACTGGTCTTGCCCAAGTATAGTGACGTATATCTTCGAGTCACACACCGAATTCCAAAGGCTAAAAAAATCGAGAGAAGCCAATATGAGATCTCTAAAGTCCCACTTAAGTGAATACATGCTACATTAGATTTTCTTACCGTCATCAAAAGCAACCACGTATTGAACTTGCGCCTGACGATTTTTGGAAAATCCAACCGCATTTACCCATTCTAATGGCTCATTCATTTTACCAGTCAATGGATTTAGAGTAATCCATTCGTTATCATGAGGATTGAAGACTTCAGCCATATACTGAATTGGAAGGAAATTGGGTCCCAATTCATCCAAGTCTGATTTACTCCTTCCTTTGATAGCTGATTTAGTTGATACTGTACTAGCTGGGAATCCTTTGACATCTATAATCATACAGTCTGAATCAGAAGCAGTGGCAACTTCCTCTTCTCTTCTCTGGATTGTCTTTTTCTTGGCGAGAGGTTCTATTTTGGCGACAGCCTTCTTACGAGGAGGTCCCTCGTCAAGCTCAGACTCATCGTCCGAGACTTCAACGACTTTACTGTTCTTACTATTACTACTGGTCTTGGATTTAGATTTAGATGGAGTTGGTATGGATTTGGATGAGGATGTTGGTGGATCGGTATCTTCAAAATCCGAGTCGTCGTCCAATGCTGCAGAGTCTGTCTGTTTTGGTTGAGGTTCTTGTTTGGCTGATGATGAGGTCTTTTCTCTAATAGTAGCAGCGATCTTTTTTACAATTGTCTGTTTCGACTTCTTTTTCGGCGGGGAAGGTTCTGAATCGTCACCCGATGTCGTACGGGCAGCAGCAATATTAATTTCACTGGCCTTTTTACGTTTGGTGAGTGTTTCTGTCTTGGCCTTTTTATTCAATTTCGTCTTTTTTTTGTCACCACCCGTATCATCATCATCATGCTCCACGTTATAATCTGCAGTAGTATCCTTTGATGAATGCTTTGTCTTTGCAGAAGGTTTACGAGGTAGTGGGGCCTTTTTGGCTACTAAAGGAGCTGGATGCAATGAGGCAACCAACCTCGTACGCAATCCAAGAGCTCGACACACGGTGACGAATAATATACATATGGATTCTCTAGACAATGGTACCTGATTTATACGTTGTGGGCCTGAAGCTTCTAACATGGAATTTATAGTGGCGATCAAGTATGGGACTCCACGAGATTCTTCCGAATCCAGATTAGGATTTACTGTAAATCGAGAAGTGAAGAAGGGAAGTAGCATCCGTAAATGGGTCATGAGCTGTGGCGATGAGTCTGAAGCCTTTCCTTTGCCTTTATTGGATCCTAATTGAATAGTATTTGCCATGAAGGCAGCTGAGAGATTGGAAGGTATCAAGCCTATCATAAGGGCCTAAGTTTGGAAGTGTCAGTGCATCGTAGAATATAGAAAATTGAATTGTTTACTTGAAGTTCCAAATCATTGCACCAAGTATTACGCTCCATGCCTACAGCGACCAAACATAGCAAGTGCACGCAGTGTATAGATTTGAGCAGATCAGCTTCATCCTTTCTGAGTTGTTGCTCTCTTTGTTTACGATACTTGTCTTCCTTCTCCTTCCTGAGTATAAGCAGGCGGTTAAGTCAAGGCCTGTGGAAGCTCACGATGATACGTACTGTTTGGTAGCCTTCCAATCGAGCTGAGTAGACTTTGGGATTTGGATCTCGAATGGCTGCATATTTGATAGTGAAATTCCACCTTGAGGCTCTAATAGAAGTATGCGTGGTCCGATTGGATGTCTGTCACCAAATCACGAGCAAATGTGAGCTTACCAACAGGGACTTCAAAGAATTCTTCTTCATCATCCTGTTCATCATCATCGTCTGAAGCTAGATCATTATTATTGTTGTTATTAGGAGTGTCGTAATCTCCTTCACCTTCATCTTCTTCATCCGACGACGAATCATTTTGGCCGAAAGTGACTCCGCCAAACCGACCAGTTGAAGGAGTTTTACTTTGTCGTTGACGCGGTTGTTGGACTGGTTTCTCGTCCTCTTCGTCAACGATCTTTCTCTTTGACATTGTGGCCTGCTGGTGAGTTGATGAGTATGTGATTTGTTCTTTTGCGAGATCAAGATGCAAAGCTGCTGGTCAAAACACGTAAATCCTCTGGTACTTTGGTACTTGTAGATTTTAGCCTAATGCTTTCCTCGTTCTAGGTCTATTCACATCAAAACTTCGATCTGCACATTTGGACATTTGCAGTGATTCAAGTCGCTCGAAAAAATGGAAAGAAATGTAAGAACAATAAAGATCTATTCGATATTCCGTTACAACTATGGCCATCTGACAGGATCTATTCACAGAATGCACGACCAATGACTACCCGCACTGCACAAAGGCATCAACAACTGGAGGATGATGATAAAATAGCTCGAGAATGGGCTCTAGAGGAAGACACTCGGATAGCTGCGAAATTACAACGAGATTGGGAAATGGGAATCGACACAGATTGGAGGATTGGAAATTCAACAAGGCCAAATACTTCAAAGGCTGGATTTCCATTCCCCAACGACCATAACGAAGATGCTCTTGATGACGATGAAGACGATGCGCCAGAAGATTCGCGGTATCCATATCAACAATCGCGAAACATGACTTTTTCAAACAAGGATTTGGATGACTTGTCACCTTCACAACAACAAGTAATATGTTGCAACAGTTGCTTCTCTCCAGCCTTGCTTTTTGTCTAACCGCAATATGATTTTGCTGTAGTCACCAATGATGTCAAGAGGCCTGGATCAATTCGAGCCATCTTCAACGCCAACTTCCGACGATTATTATGCCATACCAGGAATTTCCAAAAAACCGTCAAATGCTCCAAGGCAAGTTACAATATTCATGTCTTTACACTGGAATCTAAAATTTGAAACCTCAATAGCCCAGCTGCTGTTTCAACGGCCATGCAGCAACTCGTCGCGTACATTGGCGCTTATCATCCAGAAAACATTGAATTAGACCCGATATTGAAATGTTTTATACCCGAGTTCTTACCAGCAATACCTGATCCTGATCCCATGATGAAGGTACGCTCCTTCTGACTTCGATGCAGAAGTAGTACTATTGGGACGTTTGATCTGACTGAAGATTCACTTGTCGTTCAGGTTCCTCTCCCGAACGACGATCCCAAGATTGATGGTGCTGAAAATTTGGATTTTGCTGGTGTTCCTCGTTTAGGGTTGACTGTACTTGATGAGCCAAGTACAAAACAGTCAGATCCTGCTGGTAAGTTTGAACTACATACAGCACAAGACATAAACCTCGGTCTGATTATCGTTCCCCATCTCATAGCTTTGAGTTTGCAGTTACGAGCTCTGCAAAAGTCGTCTCAGAATGACGACACAATGGCAGTCAAGACAATTGATGTGCCCATCGCAACGCCAGTTGGAAGGAAGGCTCTGCAGTCATGGGTGTCTTCCGTGAATCAGATGCATATCAAGCCATCTGAAACAGTCACGTATTCCAAGATGATGCCGGATTTAGAGGACTTGATGCAAAGATGGCCACAAGGAGTTTCCGAGCTATTAATCGACAAGGTCTGCTATGTGCCATTGTGTTGTAACTGATGGTGCTTTCTTATATCACTCGGCGTTATGGCTTACTTGATCTCTCTCATAGGAGTCTCTTGGCATCGATGAAATTGATCTAAATCTCAAGGATGCTAGTCAATTGGTCTTAGCTCTGATGGATATACCAGTCCATCCTGTGAAGACACCAGCAGCTAGTAATAAGAGCAGCGGCAGACAACCACCAGTCAAGACTCGACAACTAATTGAGTCACTACATGTTTTATTTTCGTTGTATTTGGAGTTTGATGAGCATGGGCACTTCGGTGGTAGACTCTGAGATGATTTCTGTTATTCTCTGTACATTTAGAAGTTACTTTCAACATAACTGTAATAGACAGTGACGCGGCATAACACGTCGTAAGGCTTCTTCATTCTTCGAGTGTTGTGTTCGTCAAGCGGTCAACTTAGCTGCTATATACCTTTTATTTTTTCCTTCAGCCTAACATCGTAAAAACTCATCCAACTTAAACGGATGCAAACACATCGAGTTGTTGCCGTCAAGATGAGACGAGACGATGCCTAGTATAGTTTCCATCTCTGAAAATACGGAGGGCTGCTTCGAAAAGCAAGCTTTGGGGTCAAAATCAAGTAAGAAACGCGAATTAAAATTCTGCTACGCAAACTGATTGAATATGTTATTATTCGATGTGTTTCAACGACGATTCCTAACCAAACCTGATTCCATATGTGCATAGAACCGAGTCGGTCCCTTTGCAGTATGGTCCTCACGAACATCACTCACCAGCACCTCCACTGAAAAACCGTACATCCAATTCTGCTTCGGTCAAGTTTCTTAAGGTCACCATCCAGTTTCAATCTGCTCGTCAACGATTCATACCTGAGGTAAGCCTTGTTTGCTTAATACTGAGTCTGTTGTGGACACCATATGACCAGAAATGTTCTTTCGCCCACATATTCATTGACGAAGTGGTATGGGCGCCGTTAAAAGGCATTCGATAGAATGACTTCCTGACGGAAATGCCGACGATGGAGATGAATGCCAACTGGAGGTGGCACAGAGGTTTGAAACGTCTTTCATTCCTCTTGGGTATCATGGATGACCGAAGTGGCGCGGCCTTTGGGCTTCAACCCCCTTAGCACACGACCATGGAACTTGTCTGATCCACTACTCACACCTCCTTCAGACTTTCGATAGTATGTGCAATGCCACCTCTCCACGAATTCACATTGCACAGTTGAAGCTTGCTCATAAGCTCAATGTAAATCTGTATGTTGATTTTCACAGAGTAGATCCATATTTCGAGCTGCATAGTGTCGCAATTTCCGAAAGGCTAGCCACATCAGCCTTTCAGACGCAAATCGAATTTTCAGCGATAGCATTTTGCGAAACGTAGCTTAGTATAGTAGATACGTTCTAAGTTCACAAGAGGCTAGCAAATTGAAAGAAAAAGTGGCTTATGACATAGCTCCGAGGTTCTGAAAAAACTACTTCCAATTTCATCTTTTCCAACAGCACAGACACGACAGCCACAATATGAATCTTCAACAGCATGAAGAGCGACGAAGATATACGACAGAGACCATTCCACCATCGCCGTTACTTGCGAATGTAAGTGTTTGAAGGAAACGGCGCGCAGCAATCAGATTTTTTCCTCCTGAGTCTAACATTACACACCAAACTTGTATCGTTGGTAGGTTACTGCAGGAAGCACAGAAATGGTCATGGTATTGAATTATTACTCTGACGCTGTAAGCCGTGTAGCTCGTTTCTTGGATAGTTCTGTGGTCAAGCAACGTGCTGTGTTGCTGCTGGAGACCGACTGGCAACAGTGGCTGAGCAGTATTGATGCTGACTTGCATCAGGCTGCTCGTCCATTGTTGCTCAAAGTATTCTCGTCATTGTTGGAGACAATCACGGCCGAGTCGTTGAGCACCGTCGATGTAGTGGAGTTGGGTGCAAATGCTGGCGTGGCTCATAGGGAGCAAGAAGCAGGGCATGCAATTATCAAGCGCAAGGTATCTAAAAACATGAGTCATTGGTCGCGTGGACACATAACAGGCATTAACGTGAAGTGTATCAAAAATAGCTCGAGTATGTGGCTTCAGCGTCGTCAATCTCTCTCGGATATAAAGCTATCTCAAATTCACAAGAGCTGAGAGACATGGCCTCTGAATCGCTAACCATCTTGGAAACGCATCAAGTGGCCAAGCGCCGAAATGATGGATATGCTACTTTGGTCGAACACCCGTAAATCGTAGAGACGACATTCAGGTCTTCATCTGAGCAAAATGACTGCTTGATGTCGACGGGATGGGATAGTAAAACACTTGTATAGCAAAATTTTCATCCGTGTTATAAAGCCAAAAATGTAGATAGACTTCTTCCATCGTGGTAATCTTCATCGTTACAACTCACAACTGCTTGCTCGATTTCTTGAAACGTTAATTTCTTGATGTCAGTGTCTAACAAGGCGAGAAGGTAAGCACACGCGTGCCAATATACGTATAATACCGATACATGAAAGTTCTTATGTGCTTTCACTATAAAGGGTGCAATGGTGTCCAAAACTAGGCTCTACCAAGTTTCTTGTTGGAGGTGCCGAGCTCAGACTGTATGAATGGCAGCCGATGGTATGTATATGTAGCGGATGTAGCCTCTTTTACGCATGAATTACGCGGTTTGGTCAAGCTTAACACCCATCATCAAATTTCTGAAACTTAGGACGAGGCAGATTCCAAGGTCACCTTCCGAACCTTGGCTGTTAATGGGGATTCCACATTGATGAAGGTAAAGAAACAGACTTCGCCTTTGGATCAGCCGTATCGTTACATGCTCAACCAAACTGGGAAACCTAGTGTTTCGCTTGGAGTCCGAACCCCAATATCGAAAACCTCGTGGCTATAGGATATACGACTGGGAAAACATCGCTGGTTCAGTTTTCGTCTGAAAATCGCTCAGGAGGCTTGCCACGTTCTTCATCAGCCCCTTCCCTACCACCTTCTATGGCGAGACTTGGATCTTCATCCTCCTTAGTGGGAGGTGCTCCTAGTAATACTGCCAACATGCTGAATTCACACATCATAGCAGACTACGTTACCCGAAACGCTCGTGCTTGTAATGCTGTGGCATTCTGTCCTACCGATCATCGCTTACTGGCATCAGGATTGGACAAAGTACGGAGCGATCACTGTTTATTTGTATGGGATACCTCTCTAGCTACGGCTGCTTCTCCATCATCTGGAAATGTAGGAGGTGCGCAGTGGAAGAGCAGACCTGATTTGGCTCCGGAATCTCTACAGAGAGTGTCGTCGAATACGAGTGTGAATAGTTTGACTGAACTCGCGTCATCCAATCGCATGTCGGGCTCTCTGGAAAGTAAGCGTCGCAAAGCTCTTTCTGAACACTTTGTCCTTATAAATTGACGATTCTGCTCATTATAGCAAAGTGAGTGTGAAGCATCCCTGAACTTACGCAGCAAAGCCTAACTCGACTTTGCAGTGCTGTATCTCAATACGGAGTTGGAGACTCTGTGTCGTCCCTTGACTGGCTGAGCAATGGATCGCCGCGTATCGTCGCTGGAATGGGTGCAAAGATAAGAATTTTCGATTTAAAAGGTACAATTCGTCGCTTTTGTAACATCAAGTAGGGTCGTGTCCAACTACTTTGTGTCTTTTGATAGCACCAAATCAAACGCAGCCGATATCGATAAATACCAAAGCCGTGCATTTTATTACCGCTGATCCCTTCCATGCTTATCGTTTCGCCTCGTGCGAGTTGGACGGCACCATTCGATTATGGGATTGTCGAAAACCTACTGAAGCAGCCTTGACATTCCCCTCTGATGATCGAAGCGGGATGATGTCTTTATCATGGTCTCCCATCCGACAGGGCTTACTTGCATCTCTAGGAAGGGATGCATCAGTTGTAAAGATTTGGAACATACAAGAAGGAGCACCGAAAGAAGTGAATACGTGGGGTACTTTTGCGGATGACAATAATAGTATACGCAGTTTATCGTTGGGTATATCAGGTACTACTCAGCCTTTTATAGCTAGACCGGATCAAGAACGCTCGTCTCCATCTGTTGCTGGAACAAACTCGCCAGATCCTTCTGAGCCTCCAGAAGATTTGCACTATGAACCGTTTCCAGATGAGGTGTTGCCTTCTGCTCCTGTTCTCTGGCGTGTCAGAACAGGTAATGTATTGTAAATGATCCTGCCCTTCATTCCCAAAACACCCAAGTGATAACCCTTCGGTTAGTGAAACCTGCAATGGGAGCTCCAGTTGGATTCAGCTGGATGCCATTCGCATCTGAAACAGACTTCTCGCATCGAATCATTGTAGCTCATAACAAAGACCCCATCTTCGAAATTGTACATTTACAAGAAAGTCTCAAAATCGCATGGAGACCACAAGGACAGCTTGCAACTACGGCTGGAAAGATTGTCAGTCTGATCAATCCCAGTGAACGAATGGTTATGTTTGGTGTTGCTCGATCTGACGATGTGTCTAGGAAGAATTCAAGGCCAAGTGTCGCAAACAAGATGGCGTAAGTCCAATCGGGACATTCACGTAATTTTAACGTTTTAATTGACATCTGTAATATCAGCTACATTGATACGGATATATCTGTACTCATGAGAACTCGAGCTGGAGCTGGTTATGGAATGGATGTGAGTGTTGGAAGATGGAACGAAAGTGTATATGCTTTCTGAGTTCAGTACTGAACATGAAATGTCGCAGGCCAAGAAGAATTTGGAACTAGCTGAGCATCCCGCATTGAAGGAACTTTGGGCGTTGGTTGTGGGTATGTGATATCTCGGTTTTGCGGTCCTAACTCCTGAGCTACCCTCTCTCTGATAGATGCACAAACCCGTGCTTCATCCAATGGAACAACATTGGAGAAAACAGATTATTCATTTAAAGGAATCGCAAATGTGGTTGAAGACATGGCTACCTCCTCAACTGGTAACACCCACGTTAGCCTGAAAGCGTATTCGCTCTGACTTATCAACTTGACAAACTAGTCGTAACGTTTGGTGGACTCGCCAACCATCAAGGCCATAGTAGAAACACTTCTCTGTCTTCCAGCCCGACCAAAGCAGAATTCAGCGCTTCCGCACTTACTCCAACTTCATATTTACCATTCAAGATATACTCGAATCCATATCGTAAACTGGCACTCATCATGTGCGGATTTGGATTTGATGGAGATTACACTGAAGATCCTCAATCTGGAAACTTTGAGAGAAGACTACGTGAAATGGAAAATGATCGTGATTTTGAGAAAGCTGCTGGTTGGGCATTCTTCCATGCTTCGAACTTGTCTCGAGCTGTCCAAGCGTTGAATTCCAGTCAAGGTGTGATGAACAGCACCCCAACGCCGCAGTATTTGTACTTTCCGTTTCGCTCAACAGCTTCTTCTATGTAGACGAAAGACTAAAACTAGTAGCAGCTGCTTTAGCTGGATATTCGAATTTTCAATTTGGCGGTAGTGCCAATCTATGGAAGGAGCTCACTGAGTCTCTATCACGAGAACTGGAAGGACCTTACATTCGAGCCATGTTTGGTCTCATGTCATCAAATGGAAATTGGAGCACTGTGTTAGATGGTCCTGATGAAGACGGATCTGGCAATCGTGGATTACCCATACGAGACCGAATTGCAATTGCTTTGCGGTATCTGACTGATGAGCAGGTCTGTGAAATAGTTGAACTTGATCAACAAAAAAAACGGTCTAACGGATTTTGATAGCTCACGGCCTACATTCGAAAGACTACACAGAAGATGCGCCAAACTGGAAATATAGAAGGACTGCTACTGACAGGATTGACCTCCTCTGGAGTCGACCTCTTCGAAGAATTTGTTGATCGTACAGGTGATGTACAATCAGCATGCATGGTCATGAGTCTTGTAGTGCCAAGACGGTTTACGGATTACAGAGTGGAGTCTTGGGTTGATAAGTAAGAATGACCTGGTACTTAACTGTGGTTTTTTGTTGTCTCACCTTTTAAAATGATAGCTATCGATTGCTGTTAGATCGATGGCAGCTCTTCCGTGTGCGAGCGCAATTTGATATTGCACGACGTCGATACATGCCCAATGAACCTATTGGAGAAGCTGTCGTGCCTGCTCAAGTATATGTTCGATGCAACTTTTGCAATCAGTCGATTGCTAATGGACCAGCCAGTACTCCACGAAAACTTCAGACTCAACCACCGACGCCTAGTACACCACATCCGCAACCTATGCAAAATCAACCGAGATCAAAGGTATGAATTTTGTCAATGACTGCATATGAGAATGTCTTTTCTTTGAGTTTTTGGGTTGAGTTGATGACAACATATGGAAATTGGGTGTTCTTTTCTGTTCTTTGTGTTAGTATTGACCATGTTGGATAGGTGACCGTATGTCCGAACCCAAAGTGTGGACAACCGCTTCCGCGTTGCTCGCTATGTTTGCTTGCTCTTGGAACAGCTACGGAGAACTTGCAATCGTTTGCCAAGAAATCAGATGGTAGGAATCTTCTCAACCATCCAACCTCAGTTGCACCTCTCTGAAAGAAGCAAGTGTACTGACATCCAAGCTTTCATCTAGGATCAGCGCTCGCTGGATTCGATTTGTGGTTTAGTTGGTGTAGCAAATGCCGACATGGAGGACATTCTGGACACATTTTAGAATGGTTTGCCAAGCATGAAGAATGTCCTCTTGAAGATTGTCATTGCAAATGTTCACTCTCATAGAAGATGGTCAAGTTGCTGGAACGTGTATATCAGCGCGTTTTGTAAAAAGAGAAAATTGCATGATAAAGTAGTATTTACAAATATAGAATTTGATGTTGACACCACTCACAATATAGTCTTTCTGGACGAAACGAACACGACCCTCACAAACCGTGATCAATCTAACCCTGGAGCAAACAAAAAACCGAATCACTTCCTCCGTGGCGAGAAGAGCACAGTGGTATGGAAGAAGCCATACGCCTGCTCGATAGCACAGGCAGCAAAATAATTGATTCAGTTTCGACTGATTATGAGGATTCTTTCTGTGAGTTTACAATCCGGTTTTGCGGCGTCTACTTCAACATTGTTTGCAAAAAATTGTTTTGGAAAATCCAGAGCATTCCCAACTCGATTCTAAATAATATGTTTAATATTAGGCCTGGACACATTCGGTGATCTCATAAAGCAGCATGATGAGACTGATCCTAAAGGAACCAAGCATTTTATAATAGCGCGTGTGCAAACATGGGATGCAAAGCAGCCTGGAAAGGCATTCTATTCGTAAGCGGTCGCTTCATATGGATGTCAGACTGAATTGATGATGGCAATTAATGCCGCCAAGTGTCTGTATGAAGTTTCTAACTTGGCCTTACGGTTTTCTTTAAACAGATACTACAATGCCTTCCATTTAAACAAGATTTTGTTTCAGACACAAGTCTACTTGGGTCGCAAACTCATTCACCGATTACACGTACTAAATCCATTGACAAACTCGGATATTATCGGAAATGTGCAATATTTTAAAGTAAGGATTTCACGCCCGCCTCAGCCATCAAGAACAGCCCCATCAACACCTATAAAAGATTTGAATGGAGACGATGGTAATGGTCGTGATGAGCGCAAGATACTAGCTACAGCCTATGTGGACGATACCCAATCAACAAATCCAACAACACCAGCATCCAACAATGGGAAACCAGGATTGAGGATTCAGACTAAACCAAATGCAGGTCGTTTTACCGCTTTTATGGATAGAGCCTCACTTAGTGCTGGGCCACGATTGATGCAAGATGATGATGTTCCATTACCAAGTCCGGGAGTACGAGAAGTTGAAAACGGACATTTGCAATCATGGACATTACGTGGGCCTGAAGTGTCTGAAGTTGGAGATGATGAGGGATTGACTATACAAGGTAGTGGATCTAAATCGAAATTGATCAAGGCCAAGAAACTACCTGGTCGCGCACTATCCTTAAAACCAGTCGCAAGAAGAGCCAGTTATCAGATATCAGGTGGCACGCAAAAAGACGGATCAGTATCAGCAGCGTCATCTACGGATCGAAAGAGTCCCGGACAACTCGAACAAGGACCAACATCATCGTCCGTCTCACCAATCAAACTACAGCCAAAGAGATTGTTGATACTCCCATCAGTCAAGGAACAACCACTACAAGTCGACACGTTTGAAATAAAACTACCATTCAACAGTATGCATAGCCCCGTATCAGCTCCCCTCGAATCAATCCCAAACCAATTCTCACCACCAACATCACCACCAATGAAATCCGCTACTGCTGGAAGCGTAAACCGTAGCATGAGCATCCAAGTACGCCAACCAATGGGACCCGTAAATCTACGTAAATCCATGTTTAATCGAGCTGCAGTACAACCTGGAGCGGTAACACGATTTGGCGAACCAATACCATTGCAAGATCTAACTAAACTGGTACCGAAATCATCTCGTAATCGACGTCGTGCGCTGAGTTATCTTAATGCTGTGACAGCTGCTGGCCAGCCAGCAACGTATGAGGAATGGCTGGAGATGGTGCGACAGGACAAAGCTTCTTCGCCCGTCCGCCTAGAATTGGATGTTGATGATACAGATGATTATGATCTTGTCAGACCGTTTGGTGGTAGTGCTGGAGCCGATGCACCTAAATCTCCCATCGTCCGAGTCGATCCACCGAAATCACCACTTATTGAAAACAATAATGGCAAATTAACAAACCCTCCATCGCCGCAAAAGAATGATATCCCGCTAGTCCGACTGGAGAGTAGCGCTTCACCCGGATCGCTACTTCCATACAATATGTACGATGCCATCTTGTTTGCTACAGACAATGACTTTTTGGAAGGGTCCAAGACTCGGGTCATATTCAGAGAGAATGCTTGTACGGTAGAAGATGCTGCCTTGTTTGAAATGCCACCGTAAGTTTTAACATTGATGACACCAGGTCCCATGTATTGGAATCTCACAAACGAATGATTTCAAAATAGGTTTACTGGAGAAGAATCACCAGTCCTCATGGTCGTTGAGGAACACCCATTGTGCAGTTGGTGCTTCCCAACCATAGAATCCGTTCGAGGATATTCTCCATGCATCAGGTTCCTGCATCAGTTCAAATGCTACCTGTTTGCCCTCCTTCTAATGTTTGGAATGTTCTTGTTCATTTTCCTGGTAAGGTTCTCTCCTTCATGGTCCTCTCAAGTTCCAAAGTCCTAACCAGCTTGTCAACTCATGTAGACACTAAAGAATGCCAGTAGTGCAAAACTTCAGTAACGAGTGTAGATGTAAACTGTTTTGCGAATAATAATAAGTCGGTACTGAAAACCAAAGGCCAATTATTCAGATCTGGACGATGTATTGGAAATATCAACTGCCTTATGAAAAGGAGCTCTAATGTGATGATAGCAGAGACGATGTGTTTCGGCGGGATCCTGGAAAACGAACGACCTTGTTGGTTTTAGCTCAGCTCAACAACACTTTTTGGCGCGCCACTGATGTTCTTGATGCAGAGTTATATTTTGATCATGACTTTTTATTTTACAATCACCTGCAAACTACTAGCTTATCGCTCTTCGCGGACTATTAGTCGAGAAAATGACAGTCAGTCACACCGTTCAACCAACAGAAATAGGCACATATTCGGCAAACGATGAATGCCAACTCACCAACCATATCAGCCTTGATGAGCTTCATACGTAAAAGCATGTACTTGGCCTGTTTCTCATAATCGGCTCCCATTTCAAGAGACTTTTCAAAGATCTTGGTCCTTTGATCCGTCTTCTTCACCCTCAAGACCTATGTAATGCATAAAATAGCGTCAGCACTGCGTGGCAATAGCAAATACATTCCAATCGAGTACGCTACCTTATTGTGACTGTCAATACGAGCTTGTATGGCATTCTCTTGAATCAGAACAGCAATTTCTGGTTCAAGTTGAGCCACTGTGGTGTTGAAGGCCGTGGCCATCTTGTTCATGTCAACAGATTGGAAGGGTGAGAAGTATTGTACGAGTGCCTTTTTGCGAATGTTGGCCATGAGTATATCCACATGATTGCTGAGATAGAAATCCAATAGCAAATCATTCTATAGATGGTAGATTGGAGTGAATTCTGTCAGATCAAGAAGGCAAAAAAAGGAAAACGATGCCGCGCGCAGCCAACATACCTTCATGCGATTCATGATTTGCAAGCAAGTAGCATACTTGGAATTATAGAATGAATATAGGAGCTCTCGCACAGTAGGTTCCAATTCCAAGTATTGCTTGAAGTCGCTGTTTTCAAACACTTTTGTGCGTAGCTCTGTTCGATCGAACGACGCTAACGCACAAAGTCCTCCATACACAGCAATGTCATTCGGAGATATTATCTAATATGTGTTGGAGATATTTGTGAGTGCTAGTAGTTTGAGAGCAAGTGAAGCCACATTAAAACCAAAACCAACATGAAGCATTTGTAATACTAACCTCAGAATAATGACCTTGCATTTCGAAACTGGTTTCGAGAAAGCATTTGGCAGCCTTTTTGAATTTGGCTGCATCGAGATTGACCAAACCAGAACTAGCCTTGAGCTTTGCCATGACTATATTCTTGTCTGGTATATCGGGTGTTGTTTCAGCCTTCATGACATAGCTGTGGACATGAGCAAAGTTGCCAAGTTCAATGGAAACCTGTGGTTTGGGAAAAGAGAATGTTGATGAGTGGTGGCTGCTCAAAAAAGTACTGACACTTGGGGAGTAAGGATACCTTGATGACATTCATACACATGTCAGCAATATGTTTTGGAGTAGTGACATAATCACGAGTACGAGAGTAGCATTTCAATGCATTGCTCAAGTCCCCGCAATTGTAGTAGTGATCGCCCAAGTCATTATGACCCATCTGTGCATTTGCTGGTGTCGTTAGACCTCTCCCATCACACAAACTCGAAACTAGGCATACCCTTATAGATTCTTTGATCATATTGTTCTTGTAATTCTTCAATTCGGCCTCTAGTTTCTCAGTCTTGACTTTGGCCTCTTTGTTTGTTCGATCAGTCCAGGCAGTGTCTGCCGTGACGGAAGCCTGGCCTTTTGCAGACAGAGCTTCATTGAGGCGATTGGATACAAAGAGGTATCGAGTTGCATTCATTGTACGTTTGAGTTCGGATAGGGCCAATCGTAAGGCGTCGATTTGGAGTGGAGGACATCGTTCAGCGACGTAGATGAGTCGCTCCACTTTTGTATGGCCTAGAGGGAATATGAATTCGGATGAGTTATTCACTTTTTTGTTAGTGTCAAGCGAGAGCAATGTGCAGCTAGCTCCTCCAATCCAACCATGGTCGTTGTGAAGTGCAATGTCAATATGCTTGCTGTAACATACCAGAGTAGGAGTTCAGAGTGTCTAGATCGAAGGAGGTATGATCGACCTGGACGCGTTGTCGTTGCCTCTTTGATTTGTTGGATGTCCCGTCAAATGTTGACGAGTCCTCTCGATCGTCAATGTCCACTATAAGGTGCAGGTTTGAGTATAAGACGTTAACTTGAAAGATGAAGATATATGATTGAACATGCACTTACTCATTTCCTTGTCTCTCTATGTCCCTTTTCTGGAATGAGGAAGCTGGCTTGTTCGTCAAAAAACTTGGAATGGGAAGCTTTCACGGACGAGCTCGTGCTAATGAACTCGGGAACGTGTAATCGCGTTGATTTAATATTCAGTTAATAATTATCATATTATTATTCTGTAGACACTTCAATAAGAAACACGTCTTGTCTGTATCAGCAGTCACTTGGGATGGAGTTCAGCTTCAACAAATGATCGAAGTGGGTCTGAAGGTCAGCGAAGGCGAAATCAGAGCAACGACGTACGCTGCTCTAGAAAGAGGTAATCATCATCCCTTTATTGGTACTTACACTCTTCTCACAAGCTCATCCATTAGCCAAATTCGAATCTGTAAATCAAGTTCTACACACATCCCCAGCTGATCTAGAAAAGAAGCTCGGAATCAAGGATTGGGAAGCTAGAGAACTATTAAAGAACTGTGCTGAAATCATCTATCCCCCATGCCGTGTCATGAGAGGCAGTCAGGTCAGAGCATCATCCTCAAAGAAGTGCACGTCAGGAGATGACAAGCTAGATACGTTACTGAATGGAGGATTCCCTGTCGGCGTCGTAACTGAGATTTTTGGTGAAGCTGCTACCGGAAAGACAACTTTGGCTCTACAGCTCTGCATCACTGCTCAACTGCCGGAGGAGGAAGGTGGTCTAGGCAAAGGTAGCTGCCAATGATGTGGAATATGTTATGATCGCTTTCTATTGGCCCTAACTGCTAATGAGTACTCAGACGACTGACCTCCCTGCCTTAGGAGCTATATGGATTGCTACTGAACAGCTCTTCCCTTCCACACGATTATACCATCTAGTATCCTCCTTCCAGCAACGATACCAATCGCTATCAGGCTTTGATCCAGGCCAATTCATCGCCGTACTCTCTCTTCGAGATGTAGAAACCCAACAACACATCCTTCTCTACCATCTAACACATGTAATCGACAAAATGGACGCCGGCATCGTCATCATAGACTCGATCGCTTCCAACTTTAGAGCTGAAAATACTGGAACAGGTAACGAAGCTCTGGATCGTAGTAAAACACTATATTTAATCGGCGCACAGCTCAAAAAACTGGCGCAGGAGAAGGGGCTCGTCGTCATATGTCTGAATCAGGTTACATCGACGCCCGATACCCCATTGACACCTATACATAACAAGCAAAGTAATGATACCAGGCAGAATGCAGTACGAGATGATGCAGGGTGGCTTACAGGTCCAGACAACAAGTCAGAATTCATACTGTCGCTGAAGAATACGAGAGAGTTTACTGGTGGTCCTGGTGATAATACTGTGCCTGCATTGGGACTCGCTTGGTCTAATATAGTTAATGTCCGTGTTCAGTTGCTTAGAGGGGTCGAGGAGGTTCCTATTGAACAACAGCGACGGTCGGGTTATAATGGTGGTACAGATGCTGTGACGGTCCTCACGAGAACTTGGAGACGAATGAAGGTGTGCTTTGCGCCTCATCTATGTAACGGATCTGTACAATTTTGTATAACGCAGGATGGCTTCCAAGGATTATAGTAATACGCTTTGCGTCCTGTATATGTATATAATGATTCTTTCTCTCTCTACATCATCGCAAATAAAGTTACAGATAGATAGACTTGTCGGTTCGGAATTGATCTTTGAAATGCGTGAAGTAGGCATTCAATGCCGATGTGTACTTTTTACTTGAGGTCTCGCACTTGATATCAAATGACTTGAGGATTGGCTCATAAGCCACAAGCGACTCCTGTGATGCTAGGTCCTTTCCATGGGCTTGCTCTAGCAAACTTGAATAGCAATACGTTGCTGTATGCTGTTTCATTTCCATCTTGTTAAGCAGAGCAGCTCCCATACCAGTCAGCATGTTAGGAGCTTCCAAAGTCGGGATAGAGTCAACCTAGAATCATTAGATACTTTAGCTTAGCATTCTTTTTGTCGTTTGACACTACCTACCTTGGCTGATCCAGTGGTACTGAGCTGACGCAACCAAGGAGGAGAAACTTGATCTGTTTCATACTCTGCTGGACGATACCTACTAGCAGATAAGGAATCCAATATCACAATCCTATGCGAACAAAAAAAGTGAGCTTGAACCACATACAACACAACATATGAAACTGTTGCAGGCGAATATACCTCCTAGCGTCCACATTTTGAGACAGACACTGCGCCCATGACACTGCTCTCTCAGGAGCTACTGCATTCCAACACATTGCGACAAGTATGTTTGGATTGCTCTTTTCACGATATACAGCGGTTCCTGGTCTTGCCATATCAGATGAGAATGGATTGCCTGACTAATATAGAGTAAAAAAGAGTGAGATCTAGTGACGTGTGGAAAGGGACTACACAAACGTACCGATGACGCGTCAGGCATCAATAGCAATCCAACGAGCATTTTCTGTGGGAAGATTGCATTCAGGAATAACGCTCCAGATCCAGGTAAACCAATTAATAAGAGCTCCGCTGATAGTTTAGGGGCTTGTTTCATTAATGGTGAAAGCTGTGTTGAATGTTTCTGATGTGAGCAAAACATCATCCAATCAAGGCTCTTGCCAGTGAGATGTAATTTATTACCCTGAAAACAGGCGATGACCACATAGATTCTTCTTGATATTGTTCCAATGTGGTTTGCTCCTCCTCATCTTCGTAGTACGATCGCGACGTTGGATTTTCAGCTTCGAAAGGATAAAAGTACTAGTAGAAAGAGGTAGTTAGTGACATAGAAGACTAATCAACAATGTTGGTTGCTCTCCGTACCTGAGACATGGCTGCTTGACAAAGCTTTCGTGGAGTGAATTAATGATTTCAAGAAAGTTCGCGTTTGAGGACATTGGCCAGCGATGACATGCAAAATGAACTAGTGTACTCTGGCCACATATTTGAAAAAGCACTTCCAGATCGGCCTGTCTTAGCTGTCAAAGGCTGAGAGTGGTCGTGGCGGTCGTAAAAGTCGTGCATCTGTTGTTCTCCCAATTATTGGCTATTGCTGATGACAAGAACGGAACCGTACGCGATCTGATCCATTGCTATTGAAGTCGAGATCTATTTACGTGAGCTTTCAACGTGATCTAGCAGTTTTTAATTTAAGCCTCGATCAACCTCCACACTTTCCTTGTCAATCGTATTTGCAGAAGGAAGAAGTCATGGTGGCGAGGACATGGTGGGCACTATTGCTGGCTTGCCTTGCATGTGTTCCAATAGTCTATTCATACACCGAAGTATTGGTATGTCCTTTGTTGGCTCTCCTCAAAATCTGGTGCAATCTGATCCGTGAAACTTTTCAACTCTAGGATCAAGAAACTGATAGTTGGATACGGTGTGGTGGCATGTATGCATTGTCTGCTATACCTGGTGCTAGTGGCGAGGGCACCATCAACTTGAGATTCGACTATGTATCAACGGCTTCAAACTTGAACATCTTGATATATGATTCGCGAGACCAGGAATTGTTAGAAGACCCAGATACTCATCGGATGGTTATTTGTGGCGCTGGAGACACGATCACGTCGGGGAACTGTAGTGCTGAGAATAAGGGGAAGTTTATGGTCAGGAATACGAGGCCACCTACCTCGTCGATACTGAACGAACTATACCATTTCGATGGTGTATATGCAAACAAGACAGGGAGTGCTGTTGTTAAATACTCGTATCAAGTCAATATTACGGGCTTCTACTGCGTGGCTGCAGTTTCAATGGCAGACAGCACATTCTTGGCAACTGGTGAGTCTTACTCGTGAAGGATGCGTGCCGTGACTTCTGGACTCATTCCCATGTCTCTTTTAGTGGAATGGGACAACCCTTATGGTCTCCTTCCCGCTATCGAATATCCAAAGCTACCGTTTTATGGACTGCTATCAATAACATTCATGATTATCGGCATTGTATGGATGGTCTTGTCCTTTAAACATTCAGGAGAGCTGTTGCCAATTCAACTTTGGACTACCGGCGTCACTCTGTTTATTGTCACGGAGATGGCCTTCAATTATGTAAATATTAAGTAAATCTGTTGCTGGCTCAAGTTCTGACTACTTCCAAATCAACAGGGCTTTTATGAGGATTGGAATAGAATTGGCCGACCTTCCATATTCCTGTTGGTCCTAGTTGTCATACTTAACGCTGCTCGTAACAGTTTATCTTTCTTTATGCTACTGGTTGTGAGTTTAGGATATGGCGTCGTGAAGTATGTGTTAACAGAACAGTTGTCAAGTTGTTGTCTTGTTCAAAGTCAGAGAAATAGAGTATTCACTTGCTTTGTACTGTTAGACCGACTCTCGGAACGACGATGCATAGGTGTATAGGTCTAGGGTGTCTTCATTTCGTTTGCGGAGTGGTATGTAACAACCCACAATCATTCATTCCTTTATCACGTTCATTCTCCCACAAACTAACGAGCACTTTATCGCAACTAGATGTACATGATGGGATCTCAAGTCCTATCAGACATAACCGCCGTGACAATTTTGATTTTCGTCTTACCACTTGCTGCTACTATGACTGCCTTCTATTTTTGGATACTTACTGCACTGACAGAAACAATGAAGAGATTAGAGTTGAGAAGGCAGAGTGTCAAGCTCGAGATGTATCGAAGTACGTACGCACTCACGGAATGTAATCATCAAGATTATTTCCGGTTTGTTTCACTCTACATCTTCCAACTTGCTCATTTCGCATTTCTACCAGATTTGTGGAGGTTGTTATCGGCCTCGGTTGTGGTGTTGGTGATCTTCTTCATTGTCAAGTAAGAGGTTCAAATCAATTCTAAATTGAACGACTGCTAACATAGATTCTCATTCTGCTATCGCAGTACCTTTAATGTGTCTTATCGTGAATCGCCGAATTGGATGCCACATTACTGGCAATGGAGATGGTTTTTACTAGAAGGATGGCTCAACATTCTGTATCTATTCGTATACATTGGTATCTTGATACTATGGAGACCGACAGCAAACAACTCTCGTTATGGACTAGAGCAGATATCTAGCGAAGACGATGACGAGGAAGCGTTAGGAAAAGGTGGAGGATTATGGTCGAACGGCCGTGTGAAACTTCGTCAGACAAAGTCGGACACAAATCTAGACGATGACGAGGAAGAGGACGATGACGATGTCCTTCAATGGGTTGAGAAGAATGTCGCTAGTGAGAAGCTCACCAATGGTGAATCAAGTTCGAATCCGAAACCTCTTGTTGACGTGTAAGCCTTCTTAGAGTTGATTTTGTCCTTTTGTTGTGCAACTCTAAATGCTCATCACATACTTCGTCATCTGTAGACATGTCGATCCAGCTGAAGCCGCCCTGTTGGCTGAGGAAGCCTCTAAAAAGTTGTGACGAGACACCACTACCTCCCTTTTCACCATATTATTCGTTGGGTTAGTGTTTAAGCAAGTAGAAGTAATATAAATAGCATCTCTGACAAAAATCCATCAAATACTGCCACTGTGGCTGTCGAACATCTGGCTTTTTAGAAGTAAATTTATGGTAAGGCAACATCCACTTCAAAATCGAACCTGTGTCCAAAAAGAAAATCAAGGCTAGCAAAAGGAGTAAGGAAGTTGCGTTTCGATGTCACGTGCAATCCCTCTCATCTTATCTTAACCCTACCGCGGATATCACGGGAATCAAGTTCTTTAACACGGAACGTTACGAGCAATTGCTCGGTCGAAACCCAAGAAATTTATGGTCTATTGGTTTTATTCGGGCCTCTGAGCTCATTCTTTCAAATCTAGGTTCTCACAAATTACTACTGACGAATGGACCTCAAGTACGCTATACCTCACAATCCACCAACTAGAACTTGACGAGATCACATCAGATTAAGTCTTACTGCTTCTAAATATTGCTTATTCTGTTGAGCATTAATAATAGGAAAATTATACAACGATACGAGCACCAGGATCAAATCCAATCCGTGCAAGCTAATTTGGACACGCTAGTTGTCGTTTCAGGCTCGATATTGTCATACTATGACATTCCAGACCACTCTCACAAGGTTGAATCGACCTCTTCCATATGCTGTCGCTTCCCTTTATCACTGATATATTCACAGTACATGATCGTTTGATCCAGCATGTTAAAGCCAAAGACAATACGGTGTTTGATGACACGGTCGTTGGTATGTTGAACGAACTCGAGGATATAAAAGCAAAATCCAAAATCAGGACATGAATTCGCTATCAATACTAGATTCAGCAGTCATGTAGCTCGAATCTGTAGATTGCAATGGCACCCAGTTTCTTTTCGCCTTGTTAGGCCAGTATTTATCAGCCAGGCACAAATATGTAGTTTCCATCTTACTCAACAATTTAGAATTAGAAAATGGAAAGCTTTTGGTATTTGGGACAGACTTGTTAGCACACAAGTTATCTAGACCTGTTTACACTGCTGCCTCAGACTTTACATCCATTCATCGCCACAACGATGAATATGGACGCAGTGGTTTCATTGCATGTGGTCCTAATCCAACTCTGGTCTTGCATGACGGGTCTAATTGGATGCATGTTGGCGTTTCTGGAATGCAGGTATGCACGGATTGAGTTTTCTTTGAAAGAAAGCAGCTTATTGATTTTTTCGTTCAGAAAACTTTACTGTATTATCAAGTCTAAAGAGTAGAATAGTCGTTGCAACGCCAGACTCGGTTGAGATGCTCCAACTGAATCCATTCGTCAACTCACATTTGGAAGTTCAAGGCTGTACCAAGCTTGTTTATGTTGCCGGGTCAAGATGCATAGTTTCTTCTGAATCAGAAAATGCTACCTCGGTCAGTTTGCTGGCTACGGACACTTTGGCCGGTCAGTTAATCCATCAAGCTCAAGTGTTTATTACCTTATTTACTGAAATTCTCATTGCTTTTAATTAGTGCTCCATACGCCGACAATGGAAAAGGATTGAACCCTGGTGGACATAGTTAGCTCTACTAACATGGTCTTTATCTTGTCTAGGAACGACCTGGATTGCCATGTCGAGGTTTTGGCCCTGACGGATGATAGAATAACGCACCACACGTTTCTGGGCTCTGGCTTCTCTAGCAACTGCACTTGCACTTTGCGATAAAGTGTAATTAGTTTCGATGGGCAATCGAACTATAGATACTTTTACACTTGGGCCAGAATCAAACCTCGCAGTCGTATCTCATGTGGATGGTGTCTTACTATCTTGTCATACTGGTGCTGTTTTGATAACTAGAAGTAACAATATCGTTATACTATCAGTCACAGCTGATGGTCAAATCGCTGTTCAGCTGGAAGCTCCCTTGCTGTCGTTGGTGAAGGCTGTGGGCGCAGGATGCATTGTGTCCTGGCACTCAGATGATGATACACTATTAAACGTGTATACATCAACGAAGTCCAACCTTCCAGTTATTCGAAATGATGCTGCTGGTATGATACTCTTGTTTGAATTAGTGTCTTGGCATGTTACTCATGATGTGACTGACTTGATCATCCGTTTAGTTCTCAGTTACCAAGTATTTGCTAACAAGTATATAATCATCACGGACTCTTCTCGAGGTGTATGTATGCACATGGCATGGTCTCTCAAGAATGAGAACGCTGTCGAACGTATTGGGATTTCGTTGGCAGCAAGGGGTCACACATTCAAGGATGCCTTCAGCTGTCATGGCGCCAGTATTGATTCACCTTTCGATATAGCTTCGGCCATTGCATCATTGGATTTGGACTGTATCACATTCAAGAATCAGAAGAATGGAGGAATCAAGACCTTGTTAAACCTAACCCCAAAACGTCTCTAGTTGTAAATATGGTCTATGTTTGTATCATTGTTTTAAATTTATAATATTAATAAATATCTCTCGAACAAAATCTCGCCATACAAGCTTCAGAAACTATGTAGAGCGTACCTCCCACTAACGATCAAGAACTACTACCTGCTAGAACTTGCACCCTCTTCAGCCTTCCTCGTCAACTTAATCATATTTCCCATTGGCGTAACGACCAACTCGACAAATCCACATCCAAGCAAATCAGCTAGTATTAGTTTGGAGGGTAACAGACACTGCTTTAACGTCTTTTGCTCCAGTAGTGACTGAAGCACTTGACGAAACTGTTTACGTTTCAACCACAACAGAAGCTCTTGCCGACCACGAATATATGATCCCCAATAGACACCGATTGATCGTGCTGAGATGTAATATTCGTCGACTGATTTGTGTGTCAAGAAGCCAGCTTTTAGTAGCTCACTACCGATTGAAAAGAGATTGATGTGTTGGTGACGAGGAACAAATGTACACGATTGCAAACATGTGCTTTGGCGAAGCAGACATTAAGCAGCCACACTCACGTTATGTCATCGTCACTAGTTTGAATCTTGTCAACCAAAACAGCTCTCGTGATATCAACACCATCATGAGTAGCACTCGATATGAAAGCAGAGTATCGTTCTAATGGCATAAGTGCGGTGAGCAAAAATAATGTTATGGTCTCAAGACACTGCTTTCGTTTCTTACGTGATAGTTCAGCCAAGTCAGTCAACGTTTCACGTATTTGATCCAAGTAGTCCGTCATAAGCATCACAGCGTGACGACCAGATCCAAGCCTGAATCTACGTAATGTGCCTGCTTTGCACAGCGAGTCCTATAGGAGGATGGAATGCTGAGAATCACGTTTGCAATCAGACCACCAAATGACAACCCCAAACCGAGAGATAACTCACGATTTCACGGTCCACGACAGTACTGGAAGTGATGATGGAGTAGACCTGAGAAACCAGGACTAATGGAGCAACAGTAACTGGGACTTGAGCTCTGAGCGATCCGATGGCAGCCAACGTATCTACAGGATCATATCCAAGGGATTCAGTTCGAGAGGCCCATGTTGGTGTATTCTTCCTCTTTGATGTTGATGTTGCCGGCATCTGGAACGAATGTGTACGGTCCGTGCTCTTTGATGTTGCGGTTGCTGCCTTGATGTATGGTCTAACGAGCCCAAATAGTAGAATTGTACACGATTATGAGCAAATATTCATCAAAGCAGCACGCTATTCCAATACAAAGCATAGCACTAACCTCCTCAAGACACGAATGTAAGCCTACGTTTTTTTGATTCCCAAGTCAGAGCTTATGAGAAACGAATCACGACTGATCTTATCGAGTCACGCGTATTACAGGAATCCTCTGAGCAGATCTACCGTATTCCGTAAGCTCTGTAGGCTGTATGCTGCATCGACTCTTTCAAGTTGAAACTCGAGCGTGACGAACTGTCAAACACATCTTATAGCATTATATTGCCATCTATATACACATAATGGAGGACCTCAAGCAATACAGTGCCAAGATCGAAAGCATTCTAGAGTCCATCTCTCAGCCAATCAAACCTTACCTACCTTGGATTGCAAGATTCTTGCTCGTCGTGACATTCTTGGAGGACTCGCTGAGAATAACGTAAGTTCAGACAATACAAATCGTGTCTGAGTATTGATTTGCAGTGATTATGTCTTTGACTCGTTGCTGGAAGTGACCTACATCCGCAGAGAGGGACGAGACATTTCAAACATTTGGTCAACATTTGAGACTCAACATTTCGTTCCCTATTAGATCACAATGGGGAGAACAGACAACGTACTTGGAGAAATATAGAGGTATTACTTGACCCTGATGAAATCCTCTTGCTTTGGATACGCTGTATACACCCATGATACTTGACACACTCATCCACATATACCTCAAACACTCTCTCTTCTTTACAGGCTTCCATTGGACACTCTCCAGACTCTTTCTCTCTCTCAACGTCCTCACAATGCTAGTCTGCTCATCACTAGCAATGATCAAAAAATACACTGAATTAGCTTGTGGTGGCCTTCTTCTAGTCATCGTCTCGCAAGCCATAGGCTACGGTCTGATCTTTGACACAAACTTCTTTCTCCGAAACCTATCGGTCGTCGGTGGCCTACTCATGCTACTCGCAGACGCACTATCAGCTTCAAAACGCAAAAATATCTTTGCTGGTATCCCTATATCTGTCAATGAACTCGACAAGTCCAGCTACTTCCAGTTAGCTGGACGTATCTTGCTTGTCTTCTTGTTTATGAGCTTCTTGCTTGCTGGTTCCTTTAGTGTCATGAGGGTGGTTGCTTCTTTGGTGGGTGCTGTTGGGTGTGTCATGATTGTGGTGGGGTTCAAGACCAAATGGGTGTCGTGGTTTCTCGTTGCCTTCTTGAGTATATCTAATGTCTTGCTGAATAACTGGTGGTCACTGCATCAGTAAGTGCCTGTATTCTGAAGTTTGGGATGACACATTGTTGACGATGATCTTGGTCGCCTTGACATTCCAGTGTTTCACACATCTGACTTTTTGCCTTTTCTGTTGTTGTTTTTAGTGGACACCCACAAAAGGACTTTTTAAAGTACGACTTCTTCCAAACACTGTCTATAATGGGAGGTTTCTTGCTCTTGTTGAATCTTGGACCAGGTAAGACATAGCAAAGACCGCTAAGTGAAATTGAATAAGACAAGATCTTCTCAACACTCACAATACTATCTTCCAGGTGGTCTATCCATGGATGAAAAGAAGAAGAGCTTTTAGAAAAAAGCCCATCCATGAACTCCCCTTTTTATTATTGTCGTCTTGTTTGTGCTTTCTCGCATCCATCATATCCCACCAGAACAACTTGAGCACAGAACCATCGTCTAGTTCCCCCCACCAAAGGCTGTTTATAGTGTAGTAGTAGTACAGAACAAAAAACAAATATATAGATTCTCACATATGAAAGAACGTTGTGTTAGGGTTTGGTCACGTGAAAACGGCAAAAAATTACCAAGTCCATTATTATAATGCTTGCAGCTCAACCTCAGACAGACACACAAGCTTTCCGGAACGTAAGACGGCGAGGGAAAACAACCCAACACCACAAGAAGTTCGAATTCGACCGCTTGGCAACACCAATTATATTTTACTCATGAGCTTCTACAGCTGTTGTAGCATCTATACTAGCACCACCTGCTGTATTACTATTGCTACTACCCGCATCAGGACGTCTGGATGATGACGATTGTTGTGGTGGTTTTTTACCAGATCTCAATGCGGCCAATTCTCGCTCTCGAGATTCTACATTGGATGCGAGTAGTGATGTTCTGAATGATAAAGCCTTGGTTCGTTCAATGACTTGTTGGTAGATGGATGTCTGTTGTTTACCCATCACTACGGTATTCTAGAAGACGAGTGGAAGGAATCGTTAGTGTTGACGAGATGTGCTGGGTCTCTCAGCAAAAAAATGCTTGTGACATTCTGGGACTGCGATCGAGAGCAACGTCATCCCACTGCCAAACTCTCCAAGTTTAGCTCCATCAACCACGCAGCACTCCAACTTCATCTCCAACAACCAAAACTGCCATCAGATCGAGAGCTTACCGTTTTCGCATCAATCTTGGCATCCATTCTAGCATTACGAATCAAATTCACCACCCACTTCTCAGCTTCATCTACATCCATATTCAAACGTTCAGCCAACCCAGTAATCTCTATAGTCTGATGAATCTCACAATACGTTTCAAATATAAACAACCGAGCATTCTCTATAAAGTCATCTCGAGTAGCAACAAGGAAGAAATCATTCGACAAGACTTCATCACATTCCTTTAGTGTCTTTTGAGCCTCATCGAAATCAAATCTCACATATAAGGCTTCCACAAATTCAGTTATGGGATCTGAATACGAGTTTGATTCCTGTTGAATGACTTTGACGAGATCTTTTAATACATTACGGCGTTTTTTGTTTGTGATTACAGCTGTTGTCAAGTATCGGAGAATCCACGGACAAGATGTTTGGATTGTTGACATGTATGCTGGTTGGAAGAAGAGATCTATAATTCCGTCTCGACCTTTATCGTGGTTGAAGTAGACAAAGAGAGACCAGTGAATTAGCCATGTCCGTTGTTGCAATTGTTGGAGATGGGATGTGAAACTACGTGCGTCAATGACTTCACGCAGTTTTAATAGATCTTCTATGGCGGTTTCCCAGTTTTGACATAGGATTTCCGCGGCTAGTTTACCCCATAATGCGGATGTGTTGAGATCGTTATCGGTCGACTAAAAGTTTGAGGAAAGAGGAGAGAATGGAGTATGATGTTAGTTTCATCCAATACAATCGTAATTCCTTGTTTGTCCAAATTGGATTTGAGGGTGAAGAGGGGAAGAAATGAAACTCATGATGAAGACTGCGAAGTCATTCATTTTTCAGTTGTCCTCAGCATTGAGAAATAAACATCTCTAAGTGGAGGGCAAGACGATGTTCTAATCTTTGTTTTCTCCTGCCCCCTTCACCACCGTCCTGTTTTGGACCCGACTCAATAATCAAAAATGTTGGATAACTCACCAATATTCTGAAATGATACAGCATTTCAGCAGCACCCGAGTAATTGCCTACGGCGTATTGTGATGTTGCGTTGCTGTACAAGACGGATAACATTTCTGGTCGGAACTATCGAGAGTTGTTGAAAAGGTTGACTTATGTGGCGAAAAATATTACATTGCTATCCCAAAATTTCGAACCACACAAACACCTCAAAACACCGAATCCCGGAATCAAAAAGAGAATTGCTTGCATTTGTAGCTTACGTTGAAGTTTTCTTTGAGGAATTGTAGATTTGCTCCCTTGTCTTGTTTGAGTTGCTGAATGACCAGAGGGTTTTGGATGATTTCCATGACCTCTGCTGATTCATCACTGATGGCAGCAATGTTTGTGATGACTTGAGTTCTCTTTTCCTCATAACCTACATGCGACAAACAAGGCGATTAACACCTTTCTCAGTCCAAGTTGGAGTTGACGATGCGTTCAGTGCGCTATACACAGTATCGTTGCAATATCATCATCATGAGGTAAGATGTCGACTCCCGGCACAACAGATTGGTCAATCATCTTATAAGCACGTTGCCAAGTTGTTTAAGGAAGACAATTTTGATCTTGCAGCAATTATGTAAAAACTGATCAATGAACTTTGTTGAGCTCGTAGAGATCAGGGGTTGAATTGTGCGGGTTGAGGTCGATCGAAGCGAAAGTTGTCCATCACCAATGACTTTTTTCGTTCAACTCATCATTCCTTCCAGCAAGCTTACCAGCAAACCCTTGAGAATCAGGATGCATTTCCTTGTATACTTCGTTTGCATAATCGACCATGGTAGTTTTTGATAGCAGGTCATATTTAGCTTGCATAAGCTCTTCAACTGGGTATAGCTGTGTGTTGATGTGTTGCATGTTAGATGTTTGAAATAGCTGACAAGTAGCGAAACCAACAGGAAATCAATTTTAATGTACACGAATAGATGATCTACACGTACCTGTCTGTGAAGTAAGAATTCGATGAGAGGAATGACCATATGTCTGTCCATATATTCACTAATAACATGGGTCAAGTCCCTTGAGGACGATTGCGCATGGTTGGAAGCACTCGGCAGAGCGGATTCGCCCTCCATCGTCATCCTTACTAGCTTCTCTTCTAGCTTGCAAACTCTTTTTGAATGTCTTTAGCAGTCTGCTTATCAAATCGCTTATCAATCACTAACACCTGCAAACCTGCAAACAATCGCATCCATCCATCGAAAGTAGACGAGGAAGCAGACAGGCAAGTGCCCAGATCCATTTATTGTTATGTGCCCATTGCTGGAAAATACTCTATGAGACTCCTCGCATGAGGTTTTGAAGGAAATTTACAGGGTGATGACATTGACCAGCATCGTATCTATGCGAAGGGAATAATCAGCAAACAGCATCAGCTACAGAGTGTCATCGAATTGAACAGCAGGACCGACTATAGAATTCGATGTAGCTGCTCAGATAGAGACGAAGCTGTAGTGGATCCGCAACATCACACTCCAATAACAAACAACATACAAAACATGTCCAAGCTAACACTCTCTTCCTTCTACTATGGACAAATCAACTCACAGAATGCCCACCGTCACCAAAACCGTAAAAGGTGCCAATAACGGCTCTACTCGTGCCGTAGAACGACCAAAGGCTCCCAGATTCTACCCAGCTGATGATGTAGCTGCTCCCAAAAAATCCCGTAAAGCTAAAATCCCTCACGTCGCTTTACGCTCCTCAATCACTCCTGGAACCGTACTGATATTGGTTGCTGGAAGATTCAGAGGAAAGCGTGTCGTATTCTTGAAGCAACTGTCATCTGGTCTCCTATTGGTCACTGGCCCTCACAAAATCAACGGTGTCCCATTGAGAAGGGTCAACCAAGCTTATGTCATTGCTACTTCTACCAAAGTCGATATCGCATCTGTAAGTTTGATGTCAAAACCGTTTGAACAGTCGAGCACGGACTGGATTGTGTCGTGGCCTGCATGAGAGTGTATGGCGGCCTGCAATTAAAATTGAAGAAAGGGGGCATACAGCGGAAGAAATCTCAAAACTAATAATAGCCTTAGCCGTGTGAAAGAACAAGACTTTGAGACTTACTACCGTCCACTCACACAACTGTAACAATAGGTCAAGATCGATGACAAATACAACGATGTATACTTCAAGAAGGAAAAGGTCGCCAAGGACAAAGCTACCGCTGAAGCCTTACTCGACGGAAAAGTACAAGTATGCACTCATCACCAACATTGTTTTTCCTTGTTCTCTCCTCCGTTCTAACATTCACGTTTCTCAAACTCGCCAATAATAGAAGAAGGAATTACCAAAATCACGAATTGCAGACCAAAAGGAAGTCGACAAGGCCCTCCTCGTCGTCATCAAAAAGGTTCCTCAACTAAAGGCCTACTTGAACTCGTCCTTTGCTCTGTCAAAAGGTCAACTACCTCATACCCTCAAGTTCTAAAACCAGCACACTGGTTTCTAGATATTTTGATGCGGGATGATGTAATGTAAAGCAAAACAATATAAAAATCAAAACACCCAAGAACCAGTCTTGTGTTGTGTAATGTGTCGCATCAAGGAACATCACAGTAACTGACGAGGATGTGAAGATCTAGTTGTAGGTGTCTTTAGCCAATTCCTTTTCGAACGCGGTGTGAGGAGAATGTCTCAGGTATGTGAGGAGTGTCAAGCTTGCGATCGTTACATTCATAAATTCTCAAACTCTTTCTTTCTTTTACTCAAACAACATCACGGGCGCTATCCAGACCAATACTGCTCGACCGCACGACCTTCACGAGCCTCATCGTCGATGGAAAGTCTGCGTGGGCGACAAAGCAGAGTTTCGTATTCGCCATGTTTTGTATCGTGGTAAGGTCCCTTACTGAATCTCTCGACAATCGTCAAAACCTCTGCCTCTGGTTGCGTACAAGTGAGCATTTGCGCCAAAATGATCGTTTGTCGTCAACAGCACAGAAGAACCAGACAATGTAAGTACACAGATTCATTTACTGTTTAATTGCAATCAAGTCTTCCCTCTCTCTCTCTCTCTCTCCGGAACTCTGATTCAACTCGTAACTTATGGAAGATGACACCTATTCGTTATTTCTGACACCTCTTGTTTGAGCAATCTTCACACCATTGCAATGCACTCACTTCTTTGTCTGACATATACTACACAATGTTACCGAGTTGAATCGAAGGGTTGAAGAGAGATTGTTGATGTAACTGATTTGATTGGAGATCGGTGAGAGCAATCAAAATACACACGAAGCTAACACTCTCCTCCTTTTCTTATGGACAACCGTACTACAGAATGTCTACCTTCTCTCATATCGTGAAAAGGTGCCAAAACGGTCCTAGTCGTCTTGTGAAAATTCCAAGTTCTCCCAGAGTCTACTCAGCTTATATGTTCTTTCCCTTGATCCGGTGGAGCTTAAATCCCTCACGTTGCTTTGCGGCTTCGCGCTTCTCAATCACCCTGGAGCCGTATTGATACGAAGATTCAGAGGCATGTGTGTCGTATTCCTGAAATAATATTTCTGGACTCCTGTTAGTCGCTCGTCCTCACAAAATCAGTGGTGTCCCAATGGGAAGGGTGAACCAAGCTTATATCATCGCTGCTTCTATCATAGTCGATATCATATCTCCTCTGTAAGTTTGATGTCAAGCTCCCTGAATATTGGGTATCGTATGGTGCCTGTTTTTGTCGGATGCTCTGTTGGAATGGAAATGCTTGATAATGTGGGCACCATAGTACTCGATGATGACGATGGCGCTAAACATAACACAAGTGATTCACGCTACTCTTGTAGCAAGTCAAAAACTAGTAGAGGCTACCGTTTTATGGACTGCTATCAAGAACATTCATGATTATCGGCATTGTATGGATGGTCCTGTCCTTTAAACATTCGGGCGAGCTGTCGCCAATTCAACTTTGGACTACTGTCGTCACTCTCTGCATCGTAACATGAGGGTTTGCAGGCTCAGCTTTCTTACTGGTCTTCAGACGACCTGCGGTTTTATGAGGAGTGGAATAGGATTGGTCGACCATCCGAAAAGCAGTGTTTAGTTTGGAATTCGAGTCTGAATGGCCCTCTCATACTGCGGGTTACTCTCATTTTCATAGTGATGGGTGCCGACAGGTTTGAGATATTTCAAGACCGGTTAAATAACGTGAAGGAAAAAATACAAAACATCAAAAAAGCTTAAAAAGCGGCCATTTTGTTTTGTAATGTCTCGTGTCGAGCAGCACGTAACTCGAAAGCTCGCACTAAAGAAAGACAGGACTGCAATACGACTGGTCGCTAATGGCTCGCCCTTATGAACGAACAACAGTGATGTAACTACGAATCTTTGAAAGTATAGGGTTTATTACAAGTACAAATACCCTCAACAATCGTCCAAACTTCCGCCCCTACTGGCTTACAAGTTCGAAGTTGGGCCAAAGTGACCATTTGTCTTCAACTTGGCCATAACCTCATCTTTAACTGCACGTTTTAAGAGTTTGCCAGTTGTACCCATCACCATAGGCTCCGTCCTGGTGTTGTATATGAGAGTGAGTGAGTATGTGAAAATGTGAGTACAAAAGAAACCTCATGATAAAAGGCATGATAACTAACGGGTTAAGATTTCTCAAACAACATTTACCTGATATCGATATAAACGGGTACTTTAAATCCAGCTAGACGAGCTCTGCAGAAATCCTGTATCTCCTTTTGAGTTACTTTTCCTACATATTCTGCTCGAATCTAACAAACGATGAATAGATTTGGTAATTGGTTCATTGTGACGACGTGCACGTAGACACGGTATAGTGCACTTGTGCTGTCGTAGTTTACCTGAACTGCTGCAGCCGGTTCCTCCACATAGACTCGGTGGGGAATTCCAAATACGCAAGCCTCTGAAAAATGGAATTGTGGGGATGAGTTGGGAACGATAGTGAGAGTAACGATTCCATGGCACATACCAGCGACTCCAGGATGTTCTGCCATTATGTTTTCAACCTCGACACAATAAATCTGGAAAGAAAATGTGAATGTTTAGCACCAGTAGCAATGATCCACCCTTTAGCGTCGAAAGTCTCACGTTTTCACCACCACGGATGATCTAAAGTAAAAAATACTAGTTTAATGACACGTTTAAGACATTAAAAAAGCAAGGGAGCGAAGGCCTATACCATGTCTTTGGATCGACTCATCAAATACAGCATGCCTTCATCATCCATTCTTCCAATGTCTCCAGTCTTGTACCATCCATTCACGAATACTTCATCTGTAGCCTTCTTGTTGCGCCAGTATCCTTTAGCAACACCCATAGATCGAACCCAAATTTCACCTGGTTGGTTACGGCCAAAGATTTTGGTGCCGTCTTCATTCGTGATTTTGAAGTCGACGTAGTATGGAACACGGCCAACAGAGTCTGGTTTTCGGGTCAAGCTCTCGCCGACGTTGGCGCTGACACCGTGAGATTCAGTTGCTCCACTACACGTCGAGTTCATTGTCAGTGACCAAACAGACCAAACGAAGCGCATTGACAGAAGACACACTAGCCGTTTGTGGGGTAAGGCACATTTTTGAATCTGCGCTTTGTAGCGTTAATCAACTCTGGAGTTGAAGGTCCACCAGATCTGGAATAAAGGAAAAGGTTAACTTATTTGTTGGATGGATGAAATGCAGTCACGCAATTACAATGTCAATCCAGTCATAGAAGATAAGTCACGGGTATTAATATCAGGTTGTTCAATCAATTGAATAAATTGTGTCGGGACACCGAAAAACGATGTGAGTTTTTCGCGTTCCATGATTTTGATGGCTTCTGATGCAGACCATTTGTACATCATTGCGATACGGCCACCGCGAATGTATGTGCCGAGACTTGATATGTAGCCACCTGTGGAGATAAATATGTATGTGTGAGTTCCAAGGAAATATCAGAGCGACGAGTATCTTATTTTGTTTTACCCAGATGGAAAAGTGGCATGGCAATCAGAATGGCAGCTTGTGGAAGGGTCGAGACATCGGGCATGGGGATACCTTCTCGCAATAGTAAATGCATACCACTAAAACATACGAGACGTAAACAGTCAGCATCATGTTTTGAGAATCATGATCAACACCTCTGAACGTTTCCGACTCAATGTTACCCTGCTTGTCCAGCGGTGACGGTGTGGCACCAACTTCCATGGTGGGTTAAGACGCCCTCTAAAGTACAATGACAATCAATACCTCAAATCCAAGAGCAAAATAGACACAAACTTAAATCCAACCAGAATTAAAAGCCAAAACAGCCACAACTTTGGTACAGTTAAGTCAAACTCACTTGGCTTGCCGGTTGTTCCAGATGAATACTGAATGGTGTGGTTGTCTGCCCAAGACAAAGGGGGGCTGACAACAGGGTACTCCTGGACCTGCGCGAATTCTTTAACAAGAGAATCATACGAAAGAGATCCAGCAGGTGCTCGTGCGTTTGCATTATGGAAGACAATAATCGCCTCAAGCCCTTTAGATTTCAATTCATCAAAGTGAGGCAACAATCGTTCGTATCGTTCCATATCACAGAACAAGATTCTAGACTCCGAGTCTTCGACTTGATATGCCAGCTCTGGCGCAGTACCCCACGCATTGATCGAAACACAACACATTCCAGAGCAGATGATGGCCCAGTGCGTAATGAGCCATTCAGGACAGTTTCTAGCTGCTATTCCAACACGATCTCCACGTTGTAGTCCGAATCTTTTAATCAGGGCTGCTGAGACTCGTTTAACGTCGTCATCTACTTGTTTAAAGGTGTATCGTCGACCAGATTCATCTGCTGCAGTGTCGTAATAGACTATCATTTCCTTGGTTGAGAATTCAGACACCTAGTTGTGCAAGTACTTGAGTATAAAAGATGGTCTTCGTCGCATCATTCAAGTTGAACAATGGGAGTATGCCGATGCTCACAATGTTTTGCCACATTTCTCGTGCAGAGGGTGGTGCAGCCTTGAAGACCTTGACCTTGCAGTCAAATTCAGGATGTTGAGTCTCATAGACCTCGAATGGAGATCCAGGAGTTGCAAAGACTGCAATATCAGCCTAGAAGGAGCAAACATCGATGTTGGTCTTTGCAATGCTGGGGATTGTGACCGACAAACGCATAAGCGTTTGATAATGAGCATCAAAGCAGCGCATAAGCACAGTTTAGCATACCTCATCATAAGTGAGTTTTCGTTGGGGTTGTTGTTCAGTCTGCATGTCTGTGTGTTTTGTTTTTACAATGTCGTCACTTTATCACTTCTAAATCAGAGTTGTCTAATAAGTGGGGGCCGTCGAGAGACACGATACGGTAGCAGATAGGATGTTGGATCTGTTTTGAACTATTTGCAACGTTCTCCTGTTGCTTCTTGCGTCTGTTGTAAAGTTCTTTCGTGACACAAAGTTGAAAGCGTCAGAACCTCAAACAAAAATCGGGATTGGGGTATAGACGTTTGCTCAAACGCAAGTAGTTCCAGCAGCTGGGCAGGATTTTATTGATAGTCTTATAATCTTGCTGTCTTGGTCTCAGTTGATCTTGATTTGCTGCAAAGGTCATGTCTTAATGTCTTGCACCAATTTCTTGTAGCCATACTTCATGTAGGTACTACAAAAGCGCAAAAGCGCAGAAGCCCAGCTGCGAGATTCAATCTCGTATCACTCCTGTCTCCTCATCTCCTCTTGCTTGAGCACTTCGTGCACATGCAATCGCAAAAAGTGGTAAGCTATTTTTCTTGTTTTCGTGTCCAGCGATCCAATTCATTGAAAGTCTCCTCAAAAATGAAAAATATGAATGATCGTGAATAACGCGTCTGGCATGTTTCTCAACCAGTGGTTTGTGGTTTGCTTCTGACTTGATTCTTTGATAACGTAATAAGCAAATCGACTCAGTGGGAAGCGGCTTAGTGCAAGTTAAATCCACATAGATTCGATCGATTCAAGCAATCTTTGCATCATGAGTGACTATAGTGAGAAGCTACTAACAGAAAAGTTAGGGAAATTAGTAGATTCCCAAGAGTCAATCACCATTTTATCGCATTGGCTAACTCATCATAGAAAGCACGCCACTGCATCCGTCACTGTCTGGCTGCGGGAGCTTAAAAAGAGTATGCTTGGTCTATCCAGGCCTTCAGTGTTTATTCCGCTGTCATTCTTCATATTGTTGTATGAGCATCTGTCTTGAAGAACTGCATGTGAAGGTACCAAGCTCTCGCTTACTTCTTCTTTTTGAAATGATAGCTACCTCTGCACGAAAAATATCGTTCCTACACTTGGCAAACGATGTCGTCCAAACCTCTAGAAGAAAGAGCGAGGATTTGGTCAAGGAATTTGGTAAAATCTTCCCTGATGCCTTTGTACACATCTATCGGTATGCTGAATATTCATCACGAGACCGTTATTGCCATGTTGGGATCTCTTTCGTGTCAACCATCGTGACTCTAAAAGCTGAGATACAACCTCTGAATAGATCCGTTCCACCAGACGCTCAAAACAAGGTTGCGCGAGTACTACAAGTGTTTGAAGATCGAGCAGTCTATTCTACTGAATATTTGGATGAGATACGAAAGAGTCTGAGTAAGATCCATCTGCATGTGTTTTTCGTGAGACTTTCAGGATTGACACGTCGCCTTTAGATATTCCTACTTTAGCTGGACAGAATCGTGCTAGATCAGCCAGTGTGATGCCGAGTGGATTACCGCAAGAGGTATGATGTCATTGTTGGTTTTGTACCTGCAAAAAAAAACTGACTTTCCCACTTCTAATTAGGCCAGGTCAATCGTACCCTTGTTATCATCCATCGAAAAACAAATGGGAGCGACAACAGCCTTGACGATTGAAACTCAAAGGCTACCAATAGAGTGGTTTCAAACAGATTTGTGTACCGTCTATACAGGTAGGTGCCAAAAAAATGCGACGACGCAGACCGCCAACACCGCTTGGCTCTACCTCCCTCCCAATCTGACCAGTTTCTTACCAATATCTAGAGCAAAATAGGAGAAATGAAGCCATAGGGGCATTAGCAGACGCCAAGAAAAAGTTAGAAGCATTAAAAAACACATCAGCTGCTGAACTCAAGGATCGAAGATTACTTGCAACAGAGCTGCAACGGTTGCTACAAGCTAATGAATTGTCTATAAGTGGTGCATCTGCTACACTTCAGGTATTAGAAACAACACTTCTGATGCCCCCCAAAAACGCTCTCGCCCTGACATGAAGCCTGTCTTTCCATCAGCAAACAGAAACACAGTTAGCTGTAGTTGATGTGCAGCTGGGAAATCTTCGATACGCTGCTGGCAACAGCCCAACATTACCAGTATCTCATGCAGGGACTCCAGAGTTGCAAAATGATCCTACATCGACGACAGCAGCGACAGGTCATAGTAATCCGAACGAGACCCCATATTATGGATGGAATGGAGCCGCTGTGAGTGAACAACCTTGGAGCACGCCCGATGGTTTGTTATCCGGAGGAGACTTGAATGGCACATTGCAGTGGAATCAGTGACGCTTTGGCCCAGAATTAGATGTTTATATATACGGTTATATTATTTGGTGTTTGTATAGATAATTATATGTTCAAAAACAACAGATGTTTGTGGGATCTAATAAGTTTAAGATGCAAGTGCAGTTGCTTTGTGCTCTATTGTTGCTGGTGTTGTTTGATGTGTTCCGTGGGCGTTTGCTCCATCACGGTGAGAGACGTATGAAAGAAAAGCGTTCCTGTTTATCAGAAAATGTGTGAGGTTTCGATGGCAAGTGTACACGAGACCCAATATGAATCTCATTACCATCCGATATTGACACAATTAACCAGCACTGGTTGATACAGCAGCGGAATCCATCTAAAATTGATTAACTGTACAGGCGTCCATAAAAGCAAGTCTATAAAGTAGGTGTGCCAGAATTCGTTCTTGATCTGAGTCGTGACAGTTGTAACAGTGTTTCCGCTCAGAAGTCCAGTGGAAGTGAAGAACGCCGGCAGATAAATTGGTTCGAATACAAAGTCGTCTAGTGCCACTAAGAAACAAAAAAGAGTCCGTAAGACGACGTATCGTGCCAACAATAGACACACACACACAACCCCACCTTTAATAATGGCGATCTTCCAAGCCATATTAATTTTAGACACATTCAGAGTCGGATTCAACTGCTGCTGCTTCTTCAGCACCCTGCTGGTATACGACACGACGTGTTTATCTAGAAACCTATACCAGTATGTATAAGCCGGGCCGGCCATACAGAATCCAAACGTGGCCATGATAGCGACGCGTTTATAATCGATTTCAAAGGTACTACTGCGTGGTATGATGGCAGCCGTGTTTGATGCCTTGACAGTTTCCGTGATTTGGGATAGTGGGAAGGACAGATCCTTTGAGATTGCTGCTTGCGCTGATATTCTGTTGCCGCTAGTGGATGGAGGGCTCGTCGATGTGGGTGTTGGTGCTGTTGGTCGTGTTATATATTGACATAAGATGTCCCCTGTCGACCAGAGCGAGGCAGCTGTGATCATTTGCCCAAAAAGACCTGTCCTCTCAAGAAAATTCGAATATCCTCGCAATATTGACGCCATCGTTGCTGGTTTTTGACCGGTCTTTTGAACTGAGTGGCCTATGGAAATGCGAAAAAAAGAAAACTGTCGATCGGGTTAGTTCTGGT